GCGCTTTGCGAAAACTCATAAAGTACTTACAGATATGTATCCCATTGGTAGAAAATGCATGATCATCAATGTTCATCGCAGCTCTAAAGTACAAGAAAGATATTCTGGACCTTTTACTATTACAGGATACACAAAGAATAAATCTTACATCTTAGCAGACCAAGCAGGAAATTTATTATCTAGAGACGTACCTACCCAGCAAATTAAATTACTACCTGAAGAGAAAGCTTCACAAAATAATACCGCTGACGGTCATTATGAAGTACAAGCAATCATAGCACATAAAGGTGAACCCAACAATTATTCATATCTTGTTCACTGGTTAGGCTATAATGACCCTAAATATCATACTTGGCAACAAAGTGAAGACTTTGATTCCAAATTGCATATCGAATTATATTGGGCTAGACGTAATGCTGGAAATAGCACTAAACAGCTTCCTACAACAGTAAACAATACTATACGTAAAAAAGCTAATCGTGACAAACATAGTAATAAGAACTCTCGTATTATTACTAGATCACAGAGATTGCTTGAATCACAAAGCAACTCTAAGTAAACAAGTATAGCCTTTTTCCCCAAAGATACTTTTTTGCCTATAAGGTTTTTTTATTTTGGTTTTTTACTGGCACATATATTTACTACGATCAATTATTACACAAGTACATTTTATATACATATACATACACAGACACAGACACATTCTACGGGTTGGGTTTTATAAACATTATTTACGTGTAAATACCTCTTCTTTAAAAGCTTATCAAAGTGTGGTTGGGGGTAATGTCGTGATCGAGGCTATATACTTAATATATGACTCTATCTACACTTCTTAAATCTTCCATTTGATAATCCTAAATATAATTCTTATTGGTACTTTATATTAAATACTGATCATTTACTTTATGTACAGGCTTGATCTTATATCATCCTTCATACAAGTATAAGGCATACATTTAAATAATAACATGAATATGAAAACATATGAAGGTTACATCAGCCACGTTGAGGTGCCACAGCTATCTTTAATAAGAACTACATTTTCCCCTGAATGTTGTGCTACAAGACATGCACAGTTTAAGAATGAATGTTATTGTTATTGTTATTGACATCTCATTATGGTCTTTCTATATGGGATCATTACATCCGAGTATTATCTGGATAAATCTACCCACAACCGTCATCAGCCCATCTGTGATCAATGTCTGAAATAATGTGTATATAAAGACCCCCATTTATTTGTTTAATAAAGCTTTAGTTTATTTTTGCAGTTTGATAATTTCACTTTGTTAAATTTTACATTTTATTCTTAATTCACTCTCGAATTTCTCAGCGGCGTAGGGGACCCGAATCTCCTACCACCTATGTAGCCAACCATTTTGAACCTCAAAAACGAAGATTTGCACCCACGATTTGAGCACCCACTGTAACAAAATGGCAAAGAACAGCTAGATCGAACTAAAACAGTGACTCGCATTGAGTTTGTATAGCGCAGATAAAGCAAACTATACCCAAAGAATCCTAAAGACATGTGGATGAAAAGTATAGCAGGTCCTACAAAAGTGTTACGGACGCGAACAGTGACTTGAAATCGCAAAGTCTATCCGACACACGAGTTGTAGCGAGCCTTTTGACTAAATTTTTCCATGTCGACCTGATCATCAGTGAGTAAGGTTGGGGTGGTTACTTCAGACACATATACGTGAGTAGCGAGCACAGGGTTCTAAACTTATAAACCATTTTCAGCCTCAAAAACGAAGATTTGCACCCACGACTTGAGCACCCACTGTAAGAAAATGGCAAACAGCCTTCCCAAAGAATCCCAAAGACATGTGTGTGTGAAAAGTATAGCAGGTCCTACAAAAGTGTTACGGACGCGAACAGTGACTTGAAATCGCAAAGTCTATCCGACACACGAGTTGTAGCGAGCCTTTTGACTAAATTTTCCATGTCGACCTGATCATCAGTAAGGTTAGGTTAGGGTGTTTGGTAATTACCACCATTTTCACACCCCAAAACGAGGATTTACATCCACGATTTGAGCACCCACTGTGAGAAAATGTTCCCCAAAGAATCTCAAAGACATGTGTGTGTGAAAAGTATAGCAGGTCCTACAAAAGTGTTACGGACGCGAACAGTGACTTGAAATCGCAAAGTCTATCCGACACACGAGTTGTAGCGAGCCTTTTGACTAAATTTTCCATGTCGACCTGATCATCAGTAAGGTTAGGGTGGTTGGCAATTACCACCATTTTCACACCCCAAAACGAGGATTTGCATCCACGATTTGAGTACCCATTGTGAGAAAATGGTTCCTAAAGAATCTCAAAGACATGTGTGTGTGAAAAGTATAGCAGGTCCTACAAAAGTGTTACGGACGCGAACAGTGACTTGAAATCGCAAAGTCTATCCGACACACGAGTTGTAGCGAGCCTTTTGACTAAGTTTTCCATGTCGACCTGATCATCAATAAGATTGGGGTGGTGAAGAAAATAAGAAAAAAAAAATTGGCTAAAAGCTTATACGCGTCTACTTATGGCGTCATGTTTCTTTGGAAATTTCTAGAACTCCGTGATACTGGATTTCCCCAAAGTCAGACGCTAATTTTTCCAAATGTGGTTGATAATTTTTCCAAAAGGCTACAGCTGATTTTTCCAAAAAATGTCTTTATTTTTTCCAAAATTAAATTTTTGTGAATGTTATTATAACATCTTTTCCTTAGCAATACAACGAGGAAAAAAAGATACCGAATGTTTAATCCATCCGCGGCAATCGTTCAATGTTACGTTGGTAACAGACTCCATTATTCTCGGTGTTAAAAGATCACTTGAGTCCAAAGGGTTCCTTTTAATACCTGCCTTTACTTTGGACCAAAACTCTTCTATAGGATTTAAAAACGGAGAGTAAGGAGGTAAATAAACGCATTTATATCCTCTATTCTCAATAAGCTCTCGAATTGCAGCTGGCTTATGTATAGGTGCATTATCCATTACAAGATAGTAGCCATGGAGCCCATTTCGGTCCAAGCAATCCATCATGCTGCTTAAATACGTAAGGAAGTGCTCTGACCGCGTGCCCACTCGGCCATTAATCTTCACCTCTCTACCGTCAACCTTTCTTTTCTTAGTGGCAACAGACGATGTAGGTTTTCTAAGTGAAATATCTATAACACCATCAACTGAAATAGCACCCAAAATTGTAATTGATGTACTTCGTGCGGATGGAACGATGGCTTTGGCAGGTGTTCCTCTTTTAGACCATCCTCTGTTGCGAGTGATGTTAACATTGAACCCGGCCTCATCTATAAAAACGCAATTTTTCTGAAAATCCATTTCCTCATCGGCTAGCCATGTTTCTACAGCGAGTTTTCTTTGCTCAATAACATCTATATGGTTTCTCCTGGCAGGAATTTTTTCTAATCTCTTCATTGATAAAGCACAATAAACCCGCATAAATCTGTGGAGAGCAGATCGACTTATGGACAGATTTTCAGTTTCGAAGGTTCTACACAAGGATTCACTAATTTGATCTAGGACAGCTGTGGGTTTATCGTCGATATAACTGATAATCCATTCGGCATGATGCTGTTTTAATTTGAATAAAGACCCTTTGGTTCCTCTCTTTTTTCTGCGAATAAGTCCATGCTCAGGGTCATTGTTATAAGTTGTCTTATATTTGTAGCCTGACCATAATGCAATACCTGTGCTTTCACACGCAGATTTTACACTCTCCCCAGAAGCAATCAAATCAATAAAATGATCAATCTGTTCGTCCGTATACTTTCGGTAAGGTTTTTTCCCCTTCGAATTCAGCTTTAGTTCTGGTTGATTCAGGTGAGTCTCACAAAAATTATTCACTAGGGCTTCAGTCTCGATTGATGTTTCTGTGACAAGTTCTTCGTCGTCTTCCTCGTCTGTTACGATGTCATCAGCGACCAAGCCTAACTCCTCAGCAAGCTCATCGTCACACTCCATGGCCATGACCATGTCATCTTTCTTTAAAGTGCTATTCAATTGGTACAGATTAACATAAGCCACTTCACTTGTAAGATCCAGCTCCTCTTCCAGGGACATCTCGCTCATAAGATTGTCGATGCTCATTCTAGCGTAAACGTTTTTTGGAAAGAATAAAAACACTTTTTGGAAAAATTAGCTGTAGCCTTTTGGAAAAATTATCAACCACATTTGGAAAAATTATCAACCACATTTGGAAAAATTAGCGTCTGACTTTGGAAAAAATTTAATCATTTATTGGAAAATGAGGTGGGAAATCCAGTATTGCGGCTGCAGCTAGCCTTTGCTATAGGAGGGCGACCTCCTAGGCAGAGTTCTTGAATTGTTGGAACTCACGAACCGTGAATAGCTGGGATTGAACTGTAAATAGGTGCAATCATACTGGTCTGCTGGTCTTCTGGCCAGAATTCCTGTAAGTGGTATAAAAAAAATACGTTTGAAAAAAATACGGAGGTCTAGACATTTCCGTTTCTTTTGGTCAAAAAACAAAAAAACGTATTTTTTTGTGATTACGTACAGATATTTTCTTTAATCGACACAACTTCATCTTCACTACTCCAAGCTTAGTCTTCGTATACGGGTGCATCCTTCAACCATATTAACATGTGTACATGTGGGGAGCCTATTTAGAAAATCTGTAAATAAATACCCCCAATCGTCAAAATAATTTTTACCTTTGTGTTGAAACTCGACCCTGAAAAAGTGCTCTTTGATCATAAAGCCAGCAAAAGGCCCTTCTTTATCCAGCCATGTTCTTTTCAATTCCCTAAACCGATGGTCAAAATATCTCGCAGCCGTGATTGGATCAGATTGTAATAGCCGTGCCTTTTCTTCATACGTTAGTTCTTCAGCTTGCTCTTCCGTCATAATATCATCATCTACAACTTTTTTCAAAGGACAAAGAAGCTCATTCCATTTGGTCTCTGCTGCAGAAACAGTTACAAACAATGTCGGAACATTAAACTGTCTGATCATAGCCATAAAATTTTTCTTCTGATTTTTCCAATACTCAGAAGATGAAGGAACTCCCGAAAATGTCTTGAATGCTTGATCCCGGTTTAAAAGCCTTGTGACATAATCTTCGTTGGAAACATCCTTAGCTGTAGAAGGGACACCATCACTTGCAGCATTGCCTCGTTTTCTCAAAATGGTATTGATATTAGAACTCATTGAGCAGAACTTTTCGATCCATGTACAGGACCAAGTCAGGACGCATGGCAGCTCTTCTATCAAATCTTCGGGTAACAGATTTGGTCAGGGAACTATAGGAAATAGATTCCTATCCTTCAAGCTTTTGACCGTAATATACTTTTGGAAATGACAGGAAATCACTATCCTTGTCTTTAAGAATTGAGATCGGGATTCTACCTTCACCGGGAGCGATTCTAATGGTAATATCATTATCACTGATTAACATTGATTCGGATGTTCCAGCATTCAAGGGTTCATTGTCAGTCTCATCACAATCCTCTGCATCACTGGTATTATTGATTGTGTCAGTTTCATCGTTATTACTGTCAATGACATCCGTATCACTGTTGTTCCTGGTTTATTCCGTATACTCATCGACAGTGTCTGTACTGGCATTGCTCATATTGGCAGGTTCATCATAAGTTTCATCGTAAACATCAAGTGTCACATTTGTTACCGTCCATTGTTGTTCCTATGCAAGCTGGACATCATACTCAACATACAAAGGCATGGTTTGGAGATAGGTATCAGCTTCCCAAACTTTTGCAGGACTAACGTTACCTTTGATATAATCCTTGATGAAGATAAGTTTTCTTGCTAAACTAACGTGAATTATGCCTGATGAATCTTAATTTCGAGGTAGGCAGCTGACACTTGTATCGACAGTTACGGGAACATTAAAGATTCCGCCTTTTGAAGAAAATAAGTCCATGTATGCCCTGTTAGTTATAAATAGATTAATTTCATAAAAAAAAAATTGATATTTACAGAATGAGATACACATTTTAGCAAAGTAACTCTTGTGTGACCATGCAAGAACGTACTCGTTACACACACACTGCAAAAATGAACAGTAACGTTTTTTTTTTTTTTTTTAAAAAAAAATAGAATAAACACGCTTTGAAATTTTTCTTTTTTTTTATATATATATAACTCGTTATGCCTTACACGTCCTATAACGCTTGTATTGTGCAAACTAATGGTGCAGTATTACTGGCCATGGTGATACTCAATTATTTTATTTTCTCTTTTAACATTTGGTCTTTCACATACATCTTTGACGCGATGTTTATTCAATGTTTAGGTAAGAGTAAGAATAATTGAATTACCTGAGTGTGGTTCTAATCAAAGCCCATTCAGAAATATTGCTTTCTATTTTATGCATTCACAATATTTGGTCAATTTACAAAGGAACAATTAACCCATACTTTGCTAAGGTTAAGGTTCCTTATGGCGTTTATTTTTTCAGTAAGTAGAAACATTGAGAAAGTAACTTTTTTTATTAAACATTACTGCCTCAGGACCAGGACCTCTCTCAAAAAACTTTTTTAAAACAGTACACTTAGTAGTACATGGTAATATACGTTGAATGATTAGACATATCTTTATTAAAAAGACTAAAATATTCATTTTCGTATAGAATTCTTACTGGGAAAACAACCTGTTGTACCCAATACGCCCACACCCGCTCCAAAGGGACAACAATCAAACCATATCTTTGCCGATTTCTTGAAATTTATCAGGGAGAAAATCATTAGTCCCATTTCAGCCGCCCCCAGTATCCCTGCTTCCAGTACTTCTGTTCCCGGTCTCACAACCTCTTGTACGCCAAGCCTTACCAGCATCTTTAATACAGGATTCAACTCTTCTTTCGAGATCTCACCACAGAGAGTCTTTTCTTCTTTATCCAATTTAGTAGCTCACAACGGTACAATTAACATTGCAGTACCCAAGCTAACGTTTGTACCATGCATTAAACCCCCTCTTCGACCATCTGCCCATAGACAGCGCATTATGTGGTATATGAACAGAACAGAAGAAGTAGTTACCGACTTTAGAATCGAACAGGTAAACACAAGAATGAATAGATACTGGAGTAGATCAATAATGTATTAACAATACAATACTTAGATTCTCGAATTCAAGAAAAATTGGGCTAAATTTAACGATCACTGCTCCAGCCTCTTCTACGACAGACTTCTTCTCGTAAGTGTGATTGTATAAATCATTTGGAGACATTTTAATCAACTCTTTTTTTTTTGAAGGTATTGTATGAAAAAATATTCTCGCCCTTGGCAAAAGCCATTGAACACTTTGATGTTATTCTTGCTAAAAAGAACCAAAGTCTGGTAAAATCACCTTCTGTTACCATTGCCCTCTCCTTGGTGATCCCTGGGTTTAACGTAAGAATAATGTCATGGATTGAGAGAGTTTGACATATTAACATTTATATTTTAGGCCAATGCTGATTTTACAGTTTCAGAAGTCGTGGATTTTCTGGCGTTGCAAGGTCACACTGACGAAGAAAGTATGCTTTATGTTAAAAACCGTATCTTGGGTAAGCTGAATTAAAAGGTTCGCAGTAAAGGAAGGATTATGTTTTTCTGATCGGGTTCCCAAAATATAGATTTATCCAAAAGCAACAAGTTGGCTGGCTTTCGCTACACTCCCAAGTCGGCTGGTATGCCTTCGGATGCTGAGGTAAGTATATAGTGTCTTTTTAATGATGATTTTGGTTTTTTTAATTATTATATTACAGATAATGTTGCATGTGTTGGAGGTGTACTTAAGCCTCAAGGAACCCATGGCTATTCCCCCACTTGTGCCTGTAAGTAATCTAATAACAATCTATACGCAATATTCTAATTTTCAATTTTAGCCTCCCGTCAACTTATTCAAATTCCTTTTAACATATGTATATGTGACCCCAGAGTAAGTTATTTATTCGGTATTAAGTACAACATGTTTTGACTGATTATTTTTTATTAGGTTGGACCACTGGGACATCTTTGAAAAGGTTAGTCCTAAATAATCAAATAAAACAAGAAACAAAATAAAAAGCAATCATATCTATAACCAGCTACTGTCATTTACATTTTTATATGTTTTATATCATTACATCCGTACGAAAGTGAGAGTCCGTATATTTACACTTCAGAGGTATACGCGAAAGATGCTAGATGCGGGTTAGATTGCCTTAAAAATCAAACCTTCTATCGATATCAATTCGCTTAATCGCCTAGCAAAAATACCGCATTGCATTTGATAAATAGAATAGTTTTGGGTTTGTAGCAGTCAGAAAGAATTGGCCACTTTATCCAGTGAAGCTGCAACTGTATGGTGCAACTTGAGTTGTGGATCATCGCCAGTAAATGTGTTTGATGAGTATGTATGCTTCCTAGTAAAAAGATCATATGGTGATGCGTGCGGACATTCAACCACATGCGAAAAAAAAAGTACGAAGCAGACGTACAGCTAGTGAAAATACACGGAATCTAGAGGATTTATCACAAAAATTTATTGTGAGTAATAAGGAGATTGTTGTATGTTATCCATTGAATTTTTATCAAGTGCCAAATTTGAAGTCGATCACATAAAAAAAAAAAATAATAATAATAATGGGGCTCCCTTTCGGGTCGCTGATCCCATTTTTTAAAGGCGTATTGAACGGGCCCTCCGGTAAAGATACGTGGTTCCCGGAGGACACATCAGAAACGAGGGCTTAGCTTATAAGAGTTGCAATATCATATTTATTTTAAGTTAACAACCACAAAGGTTCGTGATAGCTTGTAAATGAGATATATCTCCCAGAATCAAATGTATCTTGATTCGTAAAAATATTATCAATAAAAGTATTCAGTTGACTTGACTGAGGGAGTGAGGGAACTTTTGATCCCATGGTTAATAAAAAATGAAACAATTGCATTTTTTTTTTTTTTTTGGCGAATCTTGGCTGAAGTCTAAATTGAAATCACCAGCAATTACAAGTATATGTATTGATGTTGAATTATAAATTCTAATGCTTCCAGCAGTAGGTCAGGGTTTTGGCAAGGATCTGGAGACGCATAAATGCTGCAGTAGAGAGTAGAATTAAATGTGACAGTTGACACAATTACGGAGGAGGAGGAGTTATTACTGTTAAAAAGCCTTGTTGAAAAAGTATGATCTCCTAATATCGAGCTAGAGACATAACAGCAACTGCCTATGGGCTTACGTACATCATCTATACAATCAACAGCCGAAACCAATTTAAAACCGGGAATTTCAAAATTATCTGTTGGTAATGTCCATGTTTCATTGAGGAGGATTACATCAGATGATAGATATACGGGGTCGTTGACGATCTGATCCAAGTGTGCCTGGAGACTTTGTACATTATGTGAGATAACTTGAAAATTCTCCTATTATGTAATGTTTATAAAAGTTGGTTGGAGTGTAATGCTAGGCTGACGTTGGATTTTGAGATATAAATCACTTTGTTTTTCTTTTCATAAAGGTCTGGGTGGTTTAAAAACATTATCTTTACATGCTTGCTGTCTCTTCTGAGCCATCAGATATAATTATCCGTCTGACTAATGCTTTTCCAAGTACCGCCTCCTTCATAGAAAGAGTATTTACAACAACATTCAAAAAAATGTGGACAGGAAGCAATCGTTGGTAAGACTGCTGCTTAGCATCTTATTGAAATTATATCAGAAGACGTTCTCTTCTGGCCACCAATTTATGAGAGATAGTATACAGCCTTGGCTAGTTTTGTAGAACACTGGAAGTACTGTGGAAACTTTCCTGACCCAGGAAGCTATTCATGAGAAAGACTCAGTTAACACTCAGCCACGTTTAGAAAATCTTCAGATGAAGAAGAGAAGATGCGATACTACTTGTGTCGTCCTTTTAGGACTTTTTTTTTTCTTTTTGCCTAATGACTTTTTGTATTGTTATTACTAAACATGTATCATTTATTCACTGAAAACGCATTTATCTTGTTGACATATTAAACGTGGATAATATTGATTTGGCTTTTTATTTTTGGAATATATGGTATAAGAAGTGATTAAGCGTGCACCACTATAAATAAAAGTCAACATGTGACACTTCTCACTAATTGATAGTGTATTAAGCTGAGGACACAGCCTATAAGCACTGCTTTTATAAGCTTAAGCGTAGGCTTGAGGTTGTTTTGACCAGGAACAAATTGCAGTTTTCCTATCAAAAACACGGTATGAAAAAAACTAATGTTCTAAGTTTTGCATTTTTTTATTGAAATGTTAAATTTAATAACGTTTAATATTCCAAATTTTAGAATGATCCAAGCAATAATCAAGTTCAAATATTCGAAAAATTGGAAGCAGAGCAGCTGGGATTGACTAAAGTTCCTGATGGAGATATGATCTGTTTTACTAGTGATCTCCTACGTATAAATATACGAATAAGTCATTAACTGATATGAGATAAATTCTTTCTTCAAATGAGCATGGAATTAAAGCGGAGGTTTTTATAAACTGTGAGTTGATTTGATTCTTGCTGGACCCACAAACCAGATGCTGGAATATCTGCTTCCTTAAAAGTATCAAACTGATTGCTTTTTATCTTTTGTTCGGGTTTAGCTTTGATTACGGTTGCAGCGCCTGTTGGTAGACTTTTTCTAGAGAGACTTTCAGAAATTTTTTGGATCATATTGGATTTATTTTTTTGCTTTGTTTGGTATGAAGACCATTTCTTTTTATACCACTTGCATACGACAATGTATTTACATATCTGTTACATATAGGCTCTTCAGACGGAGATGTTCCCTTAGAATTCTATTGCTTAAATAGCAATATAGCTTCGTTCACGTCTAGCACTAGTGATAATACTAGAATATCTGAACTACTGGAAACTGCTGTTTCAAACTTTAAAGTTCCCTTCAACGATAATAAGAGTAGATTACGAAATTATTTCTTTTCTTATCAACTGAAAATCATCCCTAATGCTGGTCAACTTGCGTTTGATAACAATCTCGCTAATAATGTTGTAGGTGAGAAAAACCAAGACAAGCTTATACCAAAATCGGAAATGATCTTGATGTCTACTGGAGGAAGAAGTCAAATTTCTGTATCGAAATTAGTAATGTTTTGTACCTTCAGTACTGCTACTTTCCCCGTGGCTATATTCTAAAAGTAAAGGTCTTGGGTTTGCTGCTTACATCTGTTAATAGTAGTAAATATATGGTCAGTACTTGACAAGTGTATAAAAAACAGTATATACATACTTCTTTTATCATCCACTTGGGCTTTCCGTTTCATCTTGAAATAAAGTGGCGAAAGTAAGGAAGAAAGATTGAATCTAACAACATTTTCATTATTGATTAATTAAAATTAACTCTTGTATTAAACAGGTCACAAACAAGGTATTAAAGTAAATCCATTAATTATCGAAAGATGAAAACAGACCATATGTAACTGTCTGACTAGGAAAAAAGGTACAAGCTCCTTTACATTTTTTTTTTTTTTTTTTATAAGTACAGTATATCCTTATCATTTTATTGTTCGAGCTTATGTCAGCAGACAATATTTGTCTGCGTATAATTACATATCACCAGTTGGATCGTACCCTCATAGTTATCGTCCTGATTGAAGCATTATTATAATTATTTGGTTACAGCCTCTGGATTGCCATTCAATTGGTTATAAAATCAATTACAGCCTCTGGATCGCATATCTATTGGATTCTGAATATTTTTACGGGCCCAGCTATGTTATCCCAGTACAATTTTTTTTATGCACTTCGATTATTGCGAGGCTAAAAATGAAGATAACACAGTGGCGGACTGGGTGGTAAAAACCCGCAACATGTGGTAAAAACCCGCAACATTTGGTGGTAAAAACGTCCATTTTATACCACCGAATGTTGCGGAATTGTGGTTCATTTACCACCGGATGTGGTAAAACTCCAAAATTATACCACCTAATGTTGCGGGTTTTTGCTACATGTTGCGTGTTTTTACCACCTAGTGTTGCGGGTTTCTTCCGCATGTTGCGTATTTATACCACTTCTAGTAGCTACTAAATTCCACTTGATGCGTCTTTTTACCATAATATAGCGTCCTTTCACTCAAAACGTAGTACGTACGTTATTACATCACTTTAACTATATTATTATTGATGCTGATGAACCTTTATACTGTTGTGCAATCAAGAAATACATTATATAATAAAAAAGCAGGGTTTAAATGAAAACGTTTTATTTTATTCAATTTTTATTTTGTATTTTACTTTATTTATTATAATTTTTGTACATATCATCTCCAAATTGATAAGGTACACTTACCTCCGTAATACTTCTTGCACTTACCTCCATAATACTTCTTGCACTTACTATTAACGGGCCCAATTAACACCATACTAGCCAAACAGCCGCCTATAGATACAGGTAACATTCGAGAGTCCCGCGAGATGTAGCAGTATATAGACCAAATCATTTTATTAGCCTAAAAAAAAATGCAGCCTAAAAGAAAAAATTGCAGCCTAAAAGAAAAATTTACAGCCTAAAGAAAAAAATATAGTCTAATTGAAAAATTTTCACAGCCTAAACCTGCTTTTCAATTCCAAAGACGGCTCGAAATCTATACAACTCTTTAGAAAAACCGTATTGGAAATTCAAATGATAATTACCTTCAGCATATGGCAATGTATACACACAAATTCTTGGTACTTTAAAGTGTAATGACATAATAATAATTTGTATTTCGTATGTCATATTTACCTAGTTTGTATAATCTACGGTATCTATTACTTAAATAACAGCACTTACAACACGAAGCAGAATTCCGGGCTGCCTTAAAAAAAGTTATAAGAGAAAGAAAGGGAGAAAACTAAATGAACAAATTTATTAATCTATAGCAAATTATTTAAAGTGCGAATCACGCTAAAACATCTTCTACAGTAGCTGATTGTAATACTTTTTTGTAGAAGCACATCATCCATTTTTCTACGGATTTGCTCCTTATTGGTCAAAGAAGAGTTATATTCTTCTTATAAAGCTTGTTTGCCTTAAATTAACTATACTCATAAGGTTAATCATTATTCTGCTGGTTCTTTAGCTGATTTGTAAGTTGGTCGTATCTTTCTCTGTAATGCGTAGACAAGTTTTATTATAATTATATTCTTTTCAACAATTGATCTAATGACAGTGCTTGTAAAAGAAAAAAATTTAAAAAGAGGAAAGGAAGGAAAAATAAAAATAAATATAAATAAAAAATTATATGCCGATGGTTGCGTGTTTTATCCACCATGTTGCGTCTTTCCGCAACATGTCGTGGAATTACGCAACATGTTGCGGGTTTCCGCTACCGAGTCCGCGGCTGTGTAAAGTAAAGCATCAAGAATGAGAGTGATACCAAACTTGTAAAATCAGTCTGTATTTGCTTTGGTGATTCTTCTAAACCTAAAAAATATATCTGTGATAAATCACTTTAGTGAAAGATATCTTCTTGTTTGTGCTACAAATGCAAAACCCGAAAACCCTGTGGATTTTTAATCTTGGTCGCGTGAAGTTAAAATTCTCTTATCTTATTGATCAATTTATTACTTTTTTTTTATAAAAAAATGATTTTTCATCTGTGTAAATGCGACCAATGCTTGAGAAAAAACCCACAAGGTGTCGAGCTCAGGATCACTAGTTACAACTATCATTTCGAAAGACAAAAGCGTTTTAATGATTTGATGAAAAGTCGTGACGCCGAACATTTTGAACGACTAAAGAATTTCAATGTAAAGTTGAAAGACCCTGACAGTAACCACTTTAAAAGCCGAAAGCGTTTCGATGCCTCAATCAAAGATCAAAACGACAGTAAAGCTCGTGTCTCCACTTTATCCCGGTCCACATATAATCGTCAAAGAATAGACAAACTCAACAAGAAGATTGCCCACTTTATGATATGCATCAACATAAAAGATTCGTGTACATTGTTAAAAAAAAATCATAACCACTTGTTTTATAAGCAGGCAGCTAGAAGGAACAGGGCACCGGCAATGCCAACGAATAAAGGGTTAATTTCGAAGGATTCAAGGAAGTAAGTTTGGTAGTTAATAAGAATAAAAAGGTTTGTGAAAAAAGGATAGTCATTTTTGGATGTTGAAACCAGTGTTGACCCTGTCAAAATTGTTGCACAATCAAAGCAGGCATCTACGCAATATTTGCCTCATTAATAAAGCTGTTGGTACCGCTGCTTAAGTCTTTAACTCGCCTTGCCCAAGTCGTTTAAAATAGTTGTGAATGGGATGCTAATGTCACCAGATATACGGCGTCCATCCATCAAAATCTAACAGGCACAATTGTACTTACTGATTAATATCCAAGTAGACTATCAAGGTATACCAACCGCATGTCATAATAGTGTGTCTATTTGGACCGTGAGTTATGTTTTTGTTCATGACGGTCCAACACATCTGGAGTAGCAGAAATGAAATTAAAGTAATGTCCAAGGACAGTTTTTACTGTTATCTTTGCCTTTGACTCCCCTGTAACTTTTCTTTCTTGGGGTTCTCTTAATCGTCCACTCTCATCTTAATGTTGACAATGCCTTGCAAATAAATTGCTCATAAAATGGTTGTAGTTTTAGCTTTTGTCTTAGTCTGAACAACAACATCTCTAGTCCCTTTTTGTAGGCCAAGCCATGCTGCGGCTCATATTGACATGAAAAGCAGACTCGTCGAAGGAAAATACAGTTGCTTCGATAAGATATTTCTGTTGGCGTGAAATTGTTTATCCATTTGGATTCTGTGGCGATACTTTCTGGTGAACTTCTTATTTGGGTCCAATGTCTATAAATCATTTACTCATTAACCACAAAGTCATAAACAGCGGTATTGGCAAATTTCAAGCCCAATAAATACGTAGTCAGGCTTTCCACTGCTTCACGCACTATAGTCCTAAAGTCTGTGTAGTATTTTTCAATAGGAACTAGTTATTTGCAAACAACTAGATACCGCTTATATTGATAATGTATTCTTAAGTATTCTAACTAATGCCTAAATTGTATCATAATATTTAGCTTTATTAATAGCTCATAATAATATGTGTCTAGATCATGTTAATGTATAGCATTGTTGTAGATTACTCCTTCTGTATAGATTAGTTGATTGTGATATTATATGTTCTCATTGTCGTGATCGAGGCTATATACTTAATATATGACTCTATCTACACTTCTTAAATCTTCCATTTGATAATCCTAAATATAATTCTTATTGATACTGTTATATTAAATACTGATCATTTACTTTATGTACAGGCTTGATCTCATATCATCCTTCATACAAGTATAAGACATACATTTAAATAATAACATTGATATGAACACATATGAAGGTTACATCAGCCACATTGAGGTGCCACAGCTATCTGAATTAAGAACTACATTTTCCCCTGAATATTGTGCTACAAGACATACACAGTTTAAGAATGAATGTTATTGTTATTGTTATTGACATCTCATTATGGCCTTTCTATATGGGATCATTACATCCGAGTATTATCTGGATGAATCTACCCACGACCGTCATCAGCCCATCTGTGATCAATGTCTGAAATAATGTGTATATAAAGACCCCCTTTTATTTGTTTAATAAAGCCTTAGTTAATTTTTGCAAGTTTGATAATTTTTCTTGTTTTTATTTTTATAAATCTACACCGATTTCCACACTCATTGGACATTTTATGTTACTATACTACATGGTCTTATGTAGTCTAATATGATGTTGTATGATATATGATGGTGTTGTTTGATTTTGTGTAGAGATAGATTATATATCATGTGATCTAATGTGGTTGTTCAAGTTATTATTATATGCAGATAATCACACACAGTGCTACATACGCTTACAACACCCTTTATCTAACACACCCAAGGCGCGTTTAAAACAAGATGTACCTATTAATAGTGTGGTATTTGACAAAATATTACATAGAAAAGTAATGAGATAAAAGTATATTTTTATTAAGGGTAAAAATAGACTAAAAGAACTCTGCTGCTATGAAATAATTGATCCTTTTTATATTGCACAACTCTCCTGAGTTTTAATGATGAGTCAACCTTTCTGGTTTTGGAATAGATCTATACTTTGTTTCCCGCCTTGGGTTAAATGGATACTACTCGTTAGAATTGTTTCCAAATAACGTTGTCCCATATCAGTGGATCGGGAGCATGAGTATTCTAATAAATCTTTAGTATTACGAGACACTTATTCATCAGATCATGCAACGGTTACTGTAAAAGATGCATACTTGTTTGTCAAGTGTAATTGGCAATAGAACATAATAGTTGATCATTTATTCATTATCTTTGTAATGAATAAATTACGATCCCAAATATAAAATGTCTTATCGATATTTGTATATTTGGTTGTAGAAGCTAGGTATCCATTAATTCATACACTATTTCTTTATACTCTTTATCAGCAGTATAATTATATCAATATATAAGTAAATGAACCATTTATATTAATAGCTGTTTTATTCTCTCTCTGGGTAGCTAATCCATTGAGAGAACTATTAATATTAAGTTTCTCTTTCTTATAATTCTTGATTGATCTGAGAAGTTTCTCTTCTCGATCGGTGATATCGTAACTCAGTGGTATAGCATTCTGTATCCAACTGTCATTCGTATATCGTATTTAGGCCAATCATGCAATCTTTTATATAGAAGTATGTCTCAAGTAAAGAACCATCTCTATTACAAGCTGTACAGAGTAGAATTCAGCATATTTTAGACTACTCAAACATTCATGACAGGGTAAAGTATACTGATACTATAAAAAAATTTAATTGGACCAGGAAACAACAGATCTCTCCAACAAGTGAGGTGATTGACTAGGTGGTCATGACCCAACTCCTAGATCTTGAAGGTGTTACTGTAATCAGTAAGTGAATTTTTTTTAATAAACCAATAATTTTGCAAGTCGCATTCCACTGTTTGAGGTTTAAAAATCGTAGAGTCCTTTAAGTTGATTTTCCATATCCTTGGTGACTGGAAAGACTTGTACAGTGAGTTTATCTTGATTAAATTGTGGTCCTTATTAACAAAGGGTGTGATGGATGATGTGGTATCAGAAACATGAGTAACATACAGATTATACTTGGTCTGTCTCTGAGTGCACGGTATCGAAAATCAGTTCATATAGCCGTCCTGGGGTACCTTTGGTCTCTCTTAATAATTTGTATATAAAATGATAGTTAAATTCACAACTTTATGATTAAGGGAAGGGATTCACAATTTTTTCTATACCCTCAAAAGAAGAATTAATCATGACGGCAGTTCCAAGAAGCACAGATATTCCTAACTCTCTTGTCTTTTCTGTCTAAATCTGTAAATTTTACGCACACATGTATTTTTTAGCGCTTTGACCCCTATTCAACTATTGTTTACCAATAATTTTTTTGGTATTCAATTGTGTTGTCCAAAACCAAGTTCAACAATGTTCCTTTGTAAAATGCTTTACATATTACCGCAGTAACTCGAAAAAACAGCTTACAGTTATATCCCACAAATAAGTTGTTATAAAAAGGATGTAAGATAAACCGTAGATTTGGAGAAAGTTGCAGCATCAGGATGGGTTCAGATAATGGATTATTCTTTAAAATTATAAACAATTTTTCTTAGATAGTGTTAGTAACAGGTCTTTTTTTTTTTTTTTTTTTTTTTTTTGAAAGCATGGACATGCTATCATATTTTAAGGATTACAGATTAATCACATAAGTTGGTGCTTGTTTCAACTGAGACGAGCCTAATAAATGTAGGCTATTTAGGGAGCCTATGCCGAGATGAGATTGCGACTAAGAAAAGATGAACAGCTGCTACTACAACCACTACTTTTATAACCCAAAACATAAATTGCCGCTACTATATATCAATGTACGTGCTTATTACCAATTTTCTGATAAAATGAACCAGGTTTAAGAAAGATGGATACCATTTCATAAGGTGGACACTTTATTTAATAAAAGCGTATCTTGATTTATTAACAAAAACCATCTTGACATTGTTCAGAAAAGTAATAAGGAAAACTTATAAATTTAAATAGAAGTTATTAAACAGTAGCACCACAAGGTTGGATACCCTGTTGAAATTCTCCAAACGATCCACCAAGTTTATGACACCAATCTTTCATATTTGTTTTGTGGGAATTAGATATACCATAAGGGTCAGCCTTGATTATTTTGCACGCAGTACAGTTTGAATATCGCCCTATACACCCGTCTAAATCACCATCATTTAAGCACGGAGAAGTTTCCATGTTTGTTACATAGCACTGTCCATTCTGTCCATTAGCTACAGCACAAAAATAATTTGCGTATAGTTCATCTTGTCTTCTTGTAATGGCCGAGGAAGAAACGGTTGCAACAAACAATAAGGAAGTGATGAATTATGAAAGTTGCATTTTAATGACAAGTTAAATAGTACAATTTTTTTAAAAAAAACATCCTTTATATAAAAAAACGTATACGTTATTGGGTTTAGAGGTTGGCGTCATTTGATGTTGACAGGATCTTCACTAGACAATTTAACTTCTCTAAAACGAGGACACAACTGGCTTTGAACATATCCCTATATTGTAGATCAGTGGGGTCTCTACTCTATCTGTATTCTGGAGATCGGAATTCCAAGTCGAAAAAAAGTGCATGCATAAATGATTTGCAGATTGACAGAAACCAACATTGGATCTAATTTGAAAGCATGGTTTTTTCTAGGAATGCTATCTTACAGTTTTAGTATTGACAAACTCATATGCTGAATAACCATTTAAGATCTAAAAAAATAGCAAAAAACAACAACAAGAGAATCGGGATTATAGTCATATCGACGATCATAAAAGTGCGTATAATACCATAAAATAATCATATTTCAGTTAGATGTAAACCATAGGGCCATAAATTTTTGAGGGAAGACCCATTTTAATCATATACAAAGCAATTTTTTTAATTGCCATTTATAAGATGTCAGCCATAAACGTGAGCGCTTATAGTGTTTCTACTGTAAATTCAGAAGTTGGACGAATCAAAATTTAAAAAAACCTGGCTTCGTCTGAAACACTGTAAAGAAAGCAGCGTGAGTTTATTTTATTTTGTAAAATATTCTCCTCGGGGTTTGGGGTAGCTCTTAAGGATACGGTTGTCAGGTGAAAAATGCAGAGGGAAGTCTGGATTTGCTGAAGTAATTTTAATATACCATGATTTATGGTTTTCTATATAATAGCTATTTCGAAAATAAACGAGTCTTTAAAGAGAGAGAGGGAAAAACGAAGATGAATAAACCAGTCTTTTGACGCTTCAAATATGGGTGCCACACAAAGATGCGCATACATTATAAGCACTTTCGACAATGTCGCAGCCAGAAATTTTCAAGCCTGTAAATTGCAGGTCAACCATGGATACACTTGAGTGGCAACTTCAAATGTACACAAATTTCACTTGGCACAACTCCGAAAAAAGGGGGGAGAGTGGAGAAAAAAAATAGCAGAATTTTGAGTTTCTACATTCTTTTTTTTTTTTTCGTTGTTACTAGAAAACAAAAACAATAAAGCTAGAAATGAAATGCCCTTCATGTGCTAGTATACAGAGGGCTATTATGGCCTTTGTCAATGCATCGCCAGTGATATTGTTACTCTTGATATTCATATGGAGTTATTGGGCATTCAACTTTAGTTTGTGTTATAATCTTGTTTCGGAAGGCCATGGTGTACAAGGTAAAAATAAAATAAGAAATAAAGCTTACAATGTTTAATGAACTCACATGGGGAAAGTATAGGCTCCTTATATATATTATTTTACCATCCGTTATTTATTTTATGCATGTGGAGTTATTGGGTTGTTTGCCGAACCTCACCGGGTTACACGCTTGATGTAAGTTTTGCTTCCTGTAAAGACGACATTAAACTGAATATTTGATTAGATGTACAAGAAGAGGGATGAGGAAAGAGATGAGGATGTGGGTTTATTGACCGACACTTTTGACAACAACGTCGAAGAGCAAGACAAACAAACGATCGCAGTATTAAATATCGAAGAAGATCTGCAGCACAGTCCACTTCCGATTACCGTAAAACGGGATGGTGCCAGACGTTATTGTCAAAAGTGTAAGCTCGAGAAATTTGATAGAACACATCACTGCAGACAATGTAATCGATGTGTATTAAAGATGGACCAGTAAAGTATATGTATATATTACGCGATAAATGCAACTAACACACTCTATTCTTATAGTCATTGTCCTTGGATTAACAATTGCGTAGGATTTTATAATTACAAATCGTTTTATTTATTCTTAGTGTATGCATCCATGTACTGTGTATTTGTGTTTGGTGCAAGTCTACCACCTACCTTAATCCAGGCCAGTGGACCTATGAGTATTTTGGGTCTGAATTTGAACTGTGCATTATTAGTGTTTATCTCAGGTATCTTTGGCTTGTTCCTTGTTCCATTTACCATTTTTCATACACGTCAATTATGCAAGAATAGAACAACAATCGAGTACTATGAAAAGGCTAATTATAGACTCGGAAATAACAATAACCGTGTTGACATTATGCGTAGTAAATATTTCAATCCTTGGGATTTAGGAACACGAAAGAATGTTCAACAAGTGCTTGGTAAAGATTTGATCAGACGGTTTATACCCATTGGTAAAGCGTAAGTGGTAATATGGATGTCCCTTTGTATTATTTTATTTATCCTCGGGAATAGTGTAGGTGATGGTTCTTCTTTTCCAATCAATAATTATGCCTATGATACTTTAGGCGCAGACGATATGAGTGACTAAAGAAAAATCTCCCCTCCATCCATTGTGACCTCGTACAAAAGAGCTGTTTCAGTGCGTAGTTTTTGTGTACATATTATAATAAATTTTAGCATTCTCTTTTTCTTTGTTTTTCTTTTTTAAACTCACACGATGGATCAAAAGCGACCCATTCATTCCTCAGACCTTGACTCTTATAATCAAGGAGTGCCTGCATATAGTGCTGGAGGAGAGCCTAGCGCGCCATCTCTTCCAGCTGTACAACACAACGAGTACCAAAGCATTCCCATGCCCAGCAACACAAACCGTTATCTCATTCGAAAGCGAGGATCAAACAACCGCCATTTCCCCATCAATGCAGCCTTATTTTTAATCGGACTATTGTAAGTCAATGTGTATTTTATAGGAGAGAGAACTGACTTTATTATCCCTTAAAAGTCTATTTCCCCCGGTTTGGCTTATTAGTATCTTTTGGAAGAGTGATAACAAGTATGAGCGAGCTTGGCGTAAAGTGAATATTGTGAGCACGATTATTTTGGTCTCACTATTAGGCATTACGGGGCTCATGTTACTGATCTTCAGTGAAATGCAACGACGACATGATGATAATAAGGATCCCAGCTGGGAAATCCCAAGCCTATTCGTATCTATCATGAACTTTTATTATGTAGGTGGGGTATTTTCTAATCTAGTCTTCCTCTTCGCTGGATTCATCATCGGAAGACATTATTGGTCGATTGTTATTTACAAATAAATCATCATCACTCTCTTCTTCATGATCACTAACCGCTGGTGCTGCCTCTGAAAATTGAGCAGGCCTACATTTAATATTTGAAAGTTAGTTTTGGCTAATGGAAGGAGAATACTATTTCTTACCATTTGCCAGCAGCTTTGAGATCTTTAATGTTTTTGGGGAAAAGAACAAAGGCAATTTCTCCACCAACCTTTTCAGTGATGCCTACGGTAGGATCCACAATAACATAATGACCTGTATATTTGTGAGTTTCATAATTACATAAATGTTTGCTCTTGACGTTTTACCTCGCTTGAGCCAAACGACATTACGGAATTTGGGAGGAAGTGTCACTAATGTCTTGGATCCGTCTAATAATTCGACTTCATGTTGGTGATTTCCTCGAGGACCTAAAGAGCGAGCATAGGTTTGATCGCCTGTAATTTCAAAATCGTCGTCAAGTTGGTTTCTAGCAGTTTGTTTCTTTCCCATTTTATATAAACAGTGTTATTACAAAAGAGAGAAATTTTTCCTATTTAAAAAAAGTGGGAACGGCTTTTCTCTCTTATTATTTTCTTTTTTACTGGCTTTGAAAGATTTTTTATTATTTTCTAATTTAAACATTGCAACATGTGGCAACAACCATTACAACCAAGTCAATATCCTTCCTACGCGTATGGCAATGCAGAAGCCCCTATTCCACAAGAAGCTAGTATTGGTAAAAGTTGTTAATGATAAGAAAACGCTCATGAGAAACTCAGTAGGAAGCTAAAAAAAAAAAAATAAAAAAAATAAAAAAATAGAAGCGTCATTCAAGCGTCAGAAAGACGGGCCTGTGCTCTGGTTTGCGGGACCACCACTGAACGTAGAATCTACTAAAGCACCGATCCACTCATTGAGTTATTTACACTGGAAACAACAACAACAAACCGAAAAAGTCGCAGAAGCCGTGGATTTACGCCCAACCCCCCAACAACAATAAATAAAATGCCCAAAATCTCTTTTTTGGGCTTACCTCTCCCTTATATAAAAAAGGGCGTTTTTTTTGCTTTTATTATTTCCTTACTCTTTTTATTTTTTGTTCTATAAATTTATTTTACTATGTTGGCTCTTCGTCGTGCTGTCTCTGTTCGTCCCTTGGTTCGTAGCTATACAATCATTCCATCCATGCCTGAACAATCCATGACTCCCAAACAGGCTCAACAAGACTATAACCCTGTCCATGCATTGTATAATAATGAAAACCAATCTGTTGGTGATACTCTCATTCATCCTGGTCAAACTTACCGCTCCTTATCTACTGATGATAACGCTACTTTTAGTCCCACTTTCAATAGTGTCTTTGACGAGTAACAAACTCTAAATAACAATAAAAATCCACTTGTATATATCAAAAAATAATGCTTAATGCGTGTGCGTGTGTAAATATATATAAATGCATAACCATCTGTGAGTGCATATATTTTTATTGAATGCATATTCTATGTGTGTGTGCATTTCTATTATTTTTGTATAACGTGTTTTATCTGTATGCATAATAATTTAGTCATTTGCTCATCCCCCAAAATAAAAATCATGGTCAGTTTTTAATGGATCAATTGATCAGCCCTAGGAAAAACAAAAACCTGTTGTTGGTCACATTTGAATTTCAGTTTACATGTAAAATATACTTTGATGTGTGGGTAAAAAAAAAAAAAATAGAGTAGACGGTAATATATTTGTCCGATGCGTGCAGAAAAGAGAGTTGTCACTGAGATTAAAAATAGTATATAATACATGAAGAATCTTTTTGTTTTACCTCTCTCTTTGCTTTTGCAGCTTATTTACTAGACATTGGAGAAGGAGCATTTGCATAGAAAATGTGTCTAGACTAAAATGTTTTTGGTTTTATGGAAAATTCACGTTGAAATCCAGGTCATGACAGTGGTGACACTTACTATTTTTGATAGAAGAAGCAGTTTTGGTAGGAGCTACATAGTAAAAAGGGTTAATTGATTTTAGGGCAAGTAGTAGCACGTAATTAAGGCTTCGAAATATGATAATTTTCCTTTTTCTTTTTACCCGCACTATTTTGTAGGCAACAACAATTTTTCACATGGGCGTAATTGACGTGAACCCTTTATCCCTTTACTGATACATCTCCATTCCTCCTTTTACATTTGACTTACTGAGCAATTCTGGGGACTTTGCTTGAAAAAAAAAAAAACTTTTGGGGTTATTCTTTTGGGGGAACGGGGCCGTTATAATTAATTATCTACGGTGAAGCTAGACCTCTTTATCTAAATTGATTACAAAAGAACTAACTTATTTGGGGCTGAAGCTTCCTATCTGTTCGTTATCAAACGCGCGCTTTACTTAACGTAGTTATTTAGCGTTATAACGTCTTGTTAGTAACGGTGGTTAGTCAATCTTGGCTATCCATATATTATGTTTCTATGCGACATTTGTCGTGAGATAGTAAAATAAGTCATCAGTTATTTCTCTCAATGTCAAATTTTCCGTCATTAGAACTCCAGATGCCGATAGTTATGTATGAGGCAGGTCTGGATTCTATGAATGCAGCAACAAATGACCAAAAAAATGGCGGTAACGCTTATACTTGCATGAAAACACCCACGGTTTTATATTTTGTGTTTTGTTTGTTATGTTTATTATTATTATTATTGTTGTTATGAGACTAATAGGAAACCAATCATACGACGCACGTGTATTATACAAGTTAAAATTTTTCACCATACTGCTCTTCTAAATAAATGGAATGTCATCCATATCAATATCATCTAATAATGAATCTACATCTTGCTTTGATTCATCCTCCTCCTCCTCGTCTTCCTTCACATCGGCTTCCTTTTTCACGTCTGCTACTTCTTCTTTCTTGATATCCTCCTTGATGGATTTTGAAGACCCGTTTTCACTGGACGATAAAAAGGTACGTGATAAAGTCGACCTGACACCACCAAATCCACTTGACACTTTATTCATTAAGGATGCGCTGGTAGGGGGGCTTGTGCTTAGCAGACTTGAATTGTCATCCACATCTCCAGTGTTGACCACGGCGGCCTTTTGATCACTAGTGACTTCATTGTCATTGGCTAACACTTTAGGACTTTTCAGCACGGTAGGCGTACTAGAACTAGATTGTAATTTACGGTTACTTTGCAGACTGCTACTGGAATCGGATCTGGATGTGAAACTACGGAGTAAACTACGACTAGAAGAAGAAGCAGAAGCTACGACAGAGGAAGACGGAAGTACGGATGGATCAGGTTTAATGGGTTTGGGTTTTGGAGAAGTGGGTTCTAAAGGAATGTCCAATTCAGGTATATCGATTTCGGGGAAAGGTGATTTCCAGAAATTCCAGTCAGTGTATTCTTCATCAATGACACGATTGATGGGAGGGAAAATTTGGTCGACCAAGTCGTTCAGGTGAATGTAGGAAGATTTGAATCCCATCAAAAGTTCGAGTTTCAAGTCACCATAAGGGTCAATGGTGAAAATACGTGAGGTGGGGACATTGACACTACGATAAGACCGAGCATCTGTAATTCTGTTACCAAAACCTGCATAAAATGGGTCACGACCTCCAAACAAACGTTGTACATCTCTTAAACAGGCCATTTTGAACACTTCGGGTTTACGGATGATGACTTCACGGTGAAAGGAAGTGAAGAGTCGATCGGGTGACATAATCACGGGTCCGTCTGGCAATTGATACTTGTCTTGCGCTACCTTTTTCAAATAGTCGCGTGTATAATCTGCCTGTCCAATGGCTCGACTGGTCAAATAAAGGAAATGGTATCCGTTATTAGCAATGTCTGTATACAACTTAGCAACACCCATATGAGTCCAATCTTTTCCAATCATGGTAAATACATGACCTAACGCATCTGATTTTGTGATGGTACCATCAATATCTGAAATCACCACAGAGTAACCATAGTTCCAGTAAAAGATTTTGGCAGCACAAGTTGCTGTACCTTGATAAGCAGAAGATACAGAGAATGAAATGGTATTGGCACCTTTCTTTAAATTCAAACTCTTCAGTTGATCCGAAGTTAAACGCAGTGTCTTAGCGTATACTTTACGAGGTCCTGGAAATGCTTCGGGTTGTTCTTGACCTGGATGAACATGATCAGCAGACCAACCTACTGATGTTGTTGTTGTTGTGGTTGTGAATGTGGTGATATCTTGTCCAGCATTTGTGTCTTCGCTGTGACGCGGTGTTGCTTCAGTTTGTTCGGTTTCGATCATACCTGTGGGAGCAGCAACAGAAGATCTACTTAACCATTGTCTCCAACCTTTACCAAACTGATATGATTCTCTACTATCCGAGACTTTGGAATCTGACTCTGAAGTCTCTGAAGTGTCTTCCAAGGGTTTCTTAAACAAAAACAAGGAAGTGAACAAGGGACCCGTATGGCCTGCTGCGAAATATCTGTTTTCGTAACGGAACACCAATCGTTTATCATTCAACATGTTGGGATTATGTGTGAAATTATCATAGGTTGAAATGTGCTCATCAAACACACGTGCATTTTCTTGTTCGTCTTTACCAAACACCGAGTCACCACAGAGACTCATTTGAATACGGTAGGTGGTACCAGTTGTGATCAAATCCAACTCCTCGGGATTTTTAGCCTCAGCTTCTGGTTTTTCCTCTGCCGCTTTTGCTTCTGATGCTGCAGCAGGTGCTGCTTCTGGTGTTTCTTCTTGTGGTTTGACAGGAAGTGATTCGTTGGTGGTTTGACGACGTGCACTGCCCCAGCCCCAGAGACCACGTTTTGTAGGGACCTCGACGTCCTTTTTCACAACATCTTGGGTGACGGCGGCGGTGGTAGCTGTTGTGACGGGTTCTTCTGTGAGTTGAACCTTACTCATCTCTTTGCTGATATCATCCTTGATAACGGGATCTGCTTCTTTAGCTGCAATAGCGGCCTCTTTTAAAGCAATAGCTACTTTTTTAGCAGCGGCAGAAGTACTAGCCTCTGCATCGACATGAGCAGCAGCTTCAGCAGGAGAATCTTGCTTATCATCCGCCTTTTGTTGAGCCACAGCTGCTTCTTCCTCTTTTGTGATTGCTTGGTGTCCTCTATCGTCTTGTTGTTGGGCAGCCAACTCTTCCAAAACAAGTTGTTGAGAGACATCACTGTTATCTGACAACAATTCTTGTTCGTTCTTCTTGTTCATAAACAACTTGTCAACGATTTCCTTCTTGACAAGGTTAGCAGCTTCTTCCTTTTCATGCGACCAGCTGTCCTCATCCTCATCCTCATCTTCGGGGCTGCCTGTTTTATAACCTGCGATATCCAAGACGATAGATTCATCACCTTTGCCATGTCCTGTTGTCTCTTCAGTATCAGACGTATCTTTTTTGTCTGTGCGCTGGACCGAAGTGTGTGTGACGTCCATCCAAGTGCTGTAGATATCGCCTTGAGAAGGTCTGACAATGAATTTTTCTTTGGCGACAGTGGTGGTTGTGATGGGTTCTGGAATGACCCGTTCAATCAATGTAGCACCGTCATTTTCGTTCTTTTTGACAATGATGGGTTCTTCATAGAGCGGTTCCATTTTCGTAACAACTTTATCCATTTGTTCCTCAATGATCATTTTAGGTGATTGAAGTTCTGCAGGTACCGAAAGTTTATGATGTTGATGTTTTTCTTCGTCTTCAAAACTATCTGTTTGTTTCGTGTCTCCTTCTGTATATTATTTAGCCTTTTTGTGTTTATTATTGTGTATGAGAATATTTTACCTTTGATGTCATCTTTGGATTCACCGATATCGAGATAAGGAGGATCCTATTTATTTCGTGAGTTTTTGTCAATAAAATAAAATAAAAAATGGTGTTAAAAGACGAATGCAGTACGTATTTACCTCTTGACTCTTTTCGGGTACGGCTTCCATGATGGGAGAAGTCTGAAACTCTTCTGGTACTTCATGTTCTGTTTCGAACACAAAGAACGCTTCACCTGCTTCACCTACTTTCATAACATACGGCACAGTTTCACCGTTGACCTTTATTTGGACCTGTTTTTATTATTAGTATTATTATTATAACAATATTCAGTAGATAGTTGAAGGGTAAATAATAATGAACTTACACGTTTTTCTTGAGGCATCAGTACTGACAATTTGCCAAATCGTACATGAAATGGAGAACATGCCAGGTCGCCATCTTGTTGTTCCACAACCACAATGTCAATAGCACCGGATAATGTAGCGGGATTAATCTCGTTGTAAAAGTTGTGCACCGAAGTAAACAAACTTCCTAGTTTACCAACGTATTCCATTGATTATGTCGTATTATGTTTGTTCAAGTTAAAGAGAGAAAAAGAAGAGAAACCAGAAACAAAACAAAAAAGTGATTATTGTCTCGTTTTTTTTTTGGCATGTGACGACGAGAGTGCGTACAGACTGTATTTAAGATCCGATTAAACATTAATGATGACCACATTTTTAATGCGTTTATGAGAGATACGCTCGATCAATAGATATGGCCTACTAGTAAAGTAATCATACTGATATCTTGTCTTACAGGAATGTTTAACAATGTCTGATTATATAAAGCTGGCTCTATTTCTTCTTCTAAATGTTTGTTCAAATTATTTCTAATTCGCCTAGAAAAACCTTTCGCAGTTAGTGTCGGCTCTGTAAAAGGTTATGTGCTTATGAAATAGGAGGAAACATACAGTCTAACACCTCTCTTTATTTTCTGCCGAGTTATTTGACAATTTTTTGCTAGTACGAGAGAATGACATTTTACGCAAATAAAGTTTAGATTACATGAACGTTAGTTTAGCAAAAGTTTGTTTTTTCCAATAAACGTAGGCATAAAAATGATCCATTACTTCATCAAGCGTCTTGTGAGTGAGTTTAAATGCTTTTAACACGAAATATAAGCTCAAGATATGAAATATTATAGTATCTAAGTAGTAGTATCAACTCTCGCTGTCCATTGTCAATGATACTACTTTAATCAAGTATCTATGGAACGTTTCTCTTGAGCTGGATGCTATCTCTGGTTGAATTGCCAGATACTTGGTAATAAGTTTAAGTCTGTTGTGACACCTGTTTTGATAGCATTTAAGCGCTATCTTTATGTCTGTTGTGAGGCCAATACTTATCGTAAACGACGCTTAGTCTTCTGCATCATATAAAAAAAGTCAAAATTCTACTAAAAAAAGGTAATAACCGTATATGCAGGATGTCTTCACTCTATGTATACTCCAAATTTTCTTAGTGGGAATTGATACGCGTGATTTACGTCAGAATGAGATAATTTACTATACAAATGGTCTTATTGTTTGTTGCCTTAATCTTAAAAAAGAAATAGCTGCTTATAAGACGATGCATACACTCCATTTACATAATTCAATTGTCCACTTACTCAATACCCGTATCGGCCATGACGTAGCAACCTAAATCATTAAAAAAAACAATACAATCATGCGTCACGTGGCTTGACAAAGCGATGCAAGATCCAGACATCCATGACGCCAGCTAAACGCCAAATGATGAATGTGAATATAAGCAAAAATGAAAGTAATGATATTAATAACGATTTAGTTCATATTTGAAAAATTAACTGTGTGATCTGTCTAGCATGAAATAGCGTGTAACCATTCGTATATTGCTTCAATCTATACATCTAAATTAAAGGGAACTCATAGACATATGCTTTCAAGGGTAGACAATTAACACTAATGTATTTTTTTTTCTTTGTACGCTGATGCACACTGATTTATGAACCAGTTTGTTTTTTATAGATATTTATATATTTTTAGTTGGTAAACTCGTTTTTGGCATGTGAAAAAGAGGCAGGATATTCAAGCACCGATTTAAACATTGACAATGACCACATTCTGGATACGTTCACCACGATACAGTAACGAGATCACGGCCTGAGGATCGAGGTCGATGGGAGGCAAAGGGTGCACTTGAAATGTAGCCAAAGGTTTCTTTCTTGTTTTTAATAGGGATAAAGTATCCTGATGGCTGATGATCATACTAGGGATTCTGACGGGTGTTTTTGCAGTACCCACAATACGAATATCGCCATGTTGGTTGTTCAAGAAAATAACAGCTTTGGCACCTGCCTTTTGAGCATGCAAAACTTTTTCTATAAAGGTACATTGACCTCCGCGACTGACCAGTAAGATCTTATTTTTAATAATCTTGCTGTCTTTACGAGAGTAAGGGTCACAGCCATAAAGTTTCTTGAGATCATGAAAGAGATAGACATCACCGTGATCGATAGTTGTAAAGGGAGGACCGAAATCAGAGCGAATACCTAGGTACTCATATGAAAATTCATGGTCGCTGGTTTTGATACTGATTTCATGCTGAGAATTTAAATAGTTGCGAATCCGTGTGGTGAGTTTAGGTTGTGTAACGGGTAACTGAAATAAATCCGAGTTGCTGGACATGTAAGGGTGTAATGCACTCATAGGTATCTTCAACGTTTCATTGACCTTTAAACTTTTTATTTTCATTTAATAACATATTTCTTTTTATTTTCATGTAGTCTTTTTTTTTTTTTTTACCTAATATTTGGATGAACTGGGTGGTGGAGGGGAATAAAAGAAAGAAAAAAAAATGTCAAAAGTCTTATGTACAAAAAGATGGGATGAAAAGGTAAGTGTTGTGTAAGAGAGGTAGAAAAGAAAAAAAGAAATGGGAAATATGGTGTGCGTGGTATATAAAAATTTAAAGAAAAACTAACCTCCTTTGACGAACAAACCATCATTTTTAGACCCCACTGCAAAATCCACACGTAATCCAGAAAGTGATTTCACAAGGTATCCACCCAACAAATCCATAAATGTGTTTGACTTGGTGCGTGTAGCATCATAATCGTTGTAACCAAAAGATAAGCTAAAAGATTTCGAAGCAGTGATAGGGGACTCACAATAACCATGTGAGGACAGGGGTAAAGGTTCGGATACTGTATATCCAACAATATCGGACGCATAATCTGTTTGTGGTTGATAAGGGATGGATGTCATGTCTAAATCTCCAGGCACAGAAATCGGGTGCCAATGGCTCGGGTTATAACGTTGACATGTACCAGAAGGTGTGGTCTGGATTGAGACAATTGATTTGGGTTTCTCTTCTGATTTCTTGAGGTATTTGCCTGGTAAAGGCAAAATATGTCCCTCTGTGGTAAATACAAAATTCGAATCCATCTTGTTGATCGCATGATCTAAAATTTAAAACATGTTAGTAAAAATATAATATATTCCCATATAACACACAAAGCTTGCCTGCATCAAATAACAAGTAAAGGTATTTTAATGTTTCGCTCAACATGAAACTCTCCATGCGATCTTCCAATCGACCTGTTTGAACATCGCCGATGGATGCAAACCCACAAGGAACACGCGTTCGATTGTTCAAATCTTCTACCACCATTTCACCTACCTGCAGGTAGAAGGGATCCTTGGTGGCAAGATAAAGGTGGTAGGTGGATTCAATAAATTCGGGGCGCAAGGGATAATAAGGTAAATCAATTGCCTTGTGGTAAAAATCAAATCGTTCGGGAAGAGCATGATAGCGTTTCCAGATATTATAATAAACAAGATGTCCCTTGATGGCAGCATCAATATCGCCATGCAAGACTTGGAGTCCTGGAAAGAACGCACTAAGACTATCAACCCAATAAGACATGAGAGAACCTGTACTCATGTGGACGTTGCGATAGAGATAGCCTGATGTATCACGCACATAGAGTAATAAAGCCTTGTAGGCTTGATCAAACATGTCTTTATACTCTTGTTCGCCAAACAAAACATAGGCCTTCAACATGTATTCAAAAACAGAATCGATACCAGCTCCTGTGGAAGAGGCTGTATGGATCCAATTACCTGTTTGAATATCAATGACGTTACCTAATAAGTGAATATTGGATCGTCGTGCCCAGACGGCTTTAAGCGCTTTTTTGGCAGCGTTTTCGTAAGCGGGGTTACCCGTTAATCGACTCAGGACACCAAACTCCAGGATCAGGCTACCAGCACCTGCTGTACAAGTCTCTGTGGTTTCTGTAGGTGGCACGCCTCTACGTAAATTCACCTGTCAGAGAAAATATTTGTTTAGTATTTACTACGTAGAAATACGTATATATATATATTTACTCTGGGAAAGGGAATGCCGGTCTTTGTGGATTTGAAGGCGGGCATAAGACGGTCCGCCAGATTTTGGGCCATGTGTAATAATTGGCCATTGTAGCCTTTTATGGTATGATTGAATGCGGGCTCAGTGGCAAACATATGAGCTGAAAGCTAGAATAAGAAAAGCGTGTGAGCAAAATGTTAATCTAGGCAATTTTTTTCAAAAAAAAAAAAAAGGGTGCGTACCAAACCACCTAGAGCACGGATATTCAATTCAAAGACCTGAACCTTATTATCGTTGTGGAAAGAAACGGTGTCAATCACCCGTTGTACGGCTTCTTCGAATTGTGCTTGTGTACCCAAGATCTAAATAAGAAGATGTTATTTTATCATGATCGATGTGAAGTGCGCCATTCCTCCCTTTCTCTTCCTCTACTCACTTACGGCAAGAGTATCAAGTGTATCCACCAATGTTAGCGAATAGTCTCCCAAAACGTCATTGACGTTGATATTGGATCTATTTTTATGTGTGGGAGTGTGTTAATGGCTGTTGTTATGTGTGTGTGCGTGTGTGCGTGGGATTGGTTAACGTACGGGTTGACTTGATCGCTACCTCTGCCGCTGCATTCAAAAGGGTTGAGCTATTTACAAAGTCAGAATAACAGAAATCAAGCTATAAGTATAGTCTTGTTACCTCATCTTCTGGAAACGCATGTTCATAGTAATTGTTCCATCCGTGGTCGAACATTTCCTACAAAAGATTATTGAATACGATGCGTTGTATGTGATTGTTGTTAATATCTTATTACTTTGGTCAAATCTCTAAAAAAAAAAAGAAAAGCGTTAATACAAAAGTAAAGATGGTGAAGAGAGAGCACATTACTTGAGTTCAAGACGTCTCTTCTCTGTCATGGCAAGACATGTCTGGACCCAAAAGAGAAAAACCAAGACAATGCTTGTCTGCTTAATACCATTCAAGTTATTAAGCATAAGAGTAAAGTTTTACACAAAGAAGAAAAGAAAGAGAGAAAATAAGGTACAGTTTTTTTTTTATTTATTTATTTAGTTCAGTAGAGGGGGAAAAACTTAATTCCGTTTAAATGTTTAAACCAATAGCGATTAAAGTGACCAACATGCAACTAGAGACAATGGTTAAGGTATTTGCTCCACTGGTGGGAGAAGCAGCGGCAGGACTGATAGAACCAACAGGTCTGGGAGGAACCAATGAAGTGATGCTACTGACAGGGCCACTGACTGCTGTAGAGCTACCGGAAGGAGCAGCAGTGCCGCTGGTGAGAGCAGTGGCATTAGGAACACTAACTGAGCTGCTCTCGCAGACAGCCTTCTTACTACCAGGACAGCAAACATCATCAATAATCTTACAGGTCTTTTCACAGTGAGTGGGGCAGACAGGGTCGACTGCTCGTGCAGACAAAGTGATAGGTGCACATACAACCATAGGACAGATAACGCCTGGAGGAGGTACAGGTGTGATCACAGATGGTGAGCCAGAAGTTGTGGTGGTGGGTTCGGCAGCACTGGCAACACCAGCTAAAACGGCTACAACTGCAAAGTATTGAAATTTCATCTTTTGTATAGAAAAAGTTTTTTTATTGGAGAAAAGAAAAAGAGAAAAAGGGAATTCAATTGTAGCGTTTATAATTGCTAAATGACTGTTACACATGGGTGTACAACAGTCAATGAATCAAAAAATAGTTGCTAATAGCTAAAAAAAATTAAGAAACGAATTTATGCAATCTATTGTGGTCCCATATATTAATTAAATAGAAACAATCGACTGTCCTACTGTAACACGCTTTTTAATCCCCTCACATTTTTGCTTGTTCTGTTTAAATTTGCCTTTTTGAGTTAACCAACTCTTTTATTAAAAATCGCCAATTTGAACTTTGATCACTCCCTCGCCACCTTTTTTGACTGTTTCAAAAGCAGCCAATGTATCTTTCAATGCAAATTTATGAGAAACAAGTCCCTCGGTAGGTATTTTTCCTTCACTAATCATGGCAATAGCCTTTGGGTGAACATGGCTATACCGAAAATTACCTAAAACGTCAATTTCGCGTGTCGAAATCAAGTCAATAGGCATCATACATTGGCTAGTTCCCATACCAATGAGCATGACCACTCCTCCTCTACGTGCTAAATACATGGATAATCCCACGCTACTTTCAATCCCTGTACATTCAAACACGGCGTCAATTTTCTCGGCATAGTCTCCTAGATGCTTTTCTACATATGCTTGTGCCCATGCCAATGAAGTCTCGGTCGGAGGCTTAAGTGGTAACAATACGGTTTTGATGGTCGGTAAGTAGGACGTGGCAAAGCTGAGTCGATTGGAATTGATATCAAAGAGGACACATTGTGTAGCACCTTGCGCATAGGCAGCAGCAGCAACAAGGAGGCCAATAGGACCCGCACCAATTACAGCTACACAAGAGCCTACTTTTACTGTGTTTGTACGACCTACCGCATGAACGGCTACAGCCAATGGTTCGATCAATGCGCCTTGTTCATATGACATATTGTCTGGCAATCTACAATAGTATAAACATTTGAATACAAGAATGACGTGCCAGTATTGACTTCTTACTTGTGGCATAAATCTGCAGGGAAACACACATATTCTCGTAACAAACCTTGATTAGGGCCTTGGAAAAGCGAAGAAGAAAACTTCATAGTAGGGCATAGATTATACCTGCCTTCTTCACAGCGTTGACAATAGTGACATGATTTGCCTGGCTCGATGACAACACGATCACCAACGGAAAGCTGAGCGACTTTGGAACCTACTTTGGTAACGATGCCAGAGGACTCGTGACCAAGAATCATTGGGTTTGAACGTTCTAAAACACGCGTGCCTTTAAAAAGGTATATGGCTGAGTTCGGATTATTTGCTGAGTATACGCTTTACGAAATAGTTACCTATTTTGCCTTGATGATAGTAGTGCAAATCAGACCCACAGATACCTAAATAGTTTTTCGTGTTAGATCAAAATATATATATATATATCTGTAAAAACGTGAATATACCAGTGGCTCGGATATTGATTTGAACCTCTGTGCGATAAAGAAATGTGGGGTTAAAAAAGTGCGTCATTTGGGGTTAAAGTTTTATTTTTTCAGGTACAAACCATCCTCGTTAGGCTCTTCTATGGCTGTTTGTTCCTGCATAAACTGTGAATATAATATATTTTATCTTACAGGAATATTCCTTGAATATTACCATACGAAGATCACCTGGTGCATAAAGTACAGCAGATAAGTTACTTGCAACTGTCATTGATATATATAAAAACTAAAAATTATGTGTGTGAAAAAAGAGAGGTTTTGAAAAAAGTTAATTTGCTTTTTGTAAAGAAAAATAAAATCGCAAAAAAGGAGAATTAAGACAAAAATATTCCGGAAGGGGAACAAAAAGCATTATTTAAACGTCATGTGTGTACAAAAAAACAAATACTTCTGTTCTTTGTATTGATATACTTTTATTCAATGAGTAATCAGTTGTTTTCTTTGGATGGAAAAGTAGCCGCTATTTCAGGATGTACGCGAGGTCTTGGTAAATGTATGGCTTTGGCACTTGCTGAGGCAGGAGCAGGTAATGTAGGAAGGCTTCAAATTTGTCTACTGATACTGACGTGTAAAGCAGACGTGTGTTTGTTACAACGAAATGTGGAAGACAAAAGTGTTTATGATTTAATTGTTTCTATGGGTCGTCAATGTGAAGTGATATATCTTGATATCAGTATTCAGTCCACTTTACAACCTGCTATTGATCAAGTCATTCGTAGATTTTCAAGAATCGATATTCTTGTTAACAGTGCAGGTATTCAAAAAAGAAGACCGTAAAGTATACTTTCTCTTTTAAACACACAAAAGTATTGGTTCTGACTCTCATAAAAAGTGCAGTTGATTTTCTGGAGGAAGATTGGGACACGGTAATGCAGTGCAACTTGAAATCCGTTTGGACCTTATCGCAGGCAGCCGGGAAACGCATGGTTGCACAACGCTCGGGTAAAATCATTAACATTGCCAGTCTGTTGAGTTTTCAAGGCGGGATTACGGTACCTGCTTATTCCGCGGCTAAAGGTGGCGTTGCCTTATTAACAAAAGCACTTTCCAATGAATGGTCACAACATAACGTGAACGTCAACGCAATTGCTCCTGGTAATGTTTGATTTATTTTGTGTGGGAATACAGCTGGGATTGCTCATTTGTTTTGAATAGGTTATATTGCCACCGATATGAATACAGCGTTACTTGAGGATGAAGAGAGAAGTAAGCAAATCTTGGGTCGTATTCCTGCAAATCGATGGGGGTCTCCTGATGACTTTAAGGGTCCAGTTGTCTTCTTGGCAAGTCAGGCTAGTAATTATGTAAATGGCGAGATCTTGGTGGTTGACGGTGGCTGGATGGGTAAGACAGCTATTTTCAGTTTTTTTCAGTTTTTTGTTTTTTTGTAATTGTTTTAAATTTTGTTCTCTTATAGGAAGATAAAGTAAGGACATACGTTTTATTAGTAAACAGTAGTTCCGTTATTATTTTAATTGTGTCACTAGTGTGACAAGTGTTTATGAGAAAACTATTTGTATGTCTTATTTATTTGACATCTATGTTTATAGAAAAATGCGCATTGAGCTTTTATTTAGCGTGACTTTAAAAAATTAACATGTCGGGTGATAATCGTTGGAGTTTCCTATTTGACCTCCATAAACACCAATGCACAGAGATTGAATGCTTTCAACAGCGTACTGTGTTTGTATGGTGTTGATGTCTGCGAACGTGCACACAGTGCAGAGCTGTTGATCCAAGCTACAATTTTTTAATTCACCACCAAATGTTACACAAGAGGTGTCGTCCATGATTGATATATTGCATTGATCCGAATACCTTGTAGTTACCACACATGTCAAGCCGTTTTCAGCGACCGCAAACACTGGTAGTATAAAAACATAAGCGGCAAATATCCAGTATAAAAGTTTCATGATGTTTTGTTTTTGGTAAAATGAGTAAAAAGGAGTTTAAAGGGCTCAGCTATTTATGTAATTTTTTAAGAAAATGCCATACCAAGGGCAAACAAACTATCACATAAAAGCTTATATCTCTTAGGCACCCCTATTTAATAACATTACTAAATTAAAAAGCTTTTTGATATCTTTATTATCAAGTACGCTTAAACATATCAGTTTTTTTTTATCACTTAAAAATCGTAAAATATATATCAAATTGACAATAAAAGCATATGGAAGGAGTCATAAGAATTAAATAATATTTACACTACAATTATGCATAGAAAAGAAAAGTACAACATAAGCTGCTTCTGCTTTTTATTAAACTTGAGCAATTCTACTTAAGACATTCATACATATATATAAGTTTAAGGGCAGGGTTTGATTGTATTGTTGTACACTTCAACGTTTCCTCTAAAACCATTACACCATGTCGTGATACTTTTCTTTCCTTCTGCAAACATGGTATTTTCGGAATCTTCAAAAGAACATACAGAGCACTGGTAGGTAATAGATCCTGGAGTTTCGCATTCCTCCATGGTTCCTCTATAATTGGGGCATCCTGACATTTCAATGGTTCTCATATAGCATTGCTTGGTTGTGCCTTTATCTAATAATCAAGCAATCTTTACAGGAGTAGCAGCAAAGACGGCGGGGATTAATGTACCAAAGATAATAATGACAGATGAAAGCCTCATAGATGATTATATTGTTATATAAACGAGTTTGATAAAGAAAGGTACTTATAATCAAATTTCGGAATGATATCCAGCCTTAATAAAGTTTGGAGTGTCTGCCTCAATTAACGCGATCTCCAAGGTGCATGTTTTTATCTTTGCTTAAACAAGTCTAATATGCAGCTTGTAATAAACCAATACAATGTCTTTATAAATCAACATTGGAGAATTTTGTTACTCCTCATAACCTAACCTAGATCTGCTACATATTTTCTTAACCACTCCTCATGAAGGTTAGTTTAGGGGTGTTGATCCCTTTAGCCAATCCCTTTACAGAAAGAGAAAAAATGGATCTATACCTTACTTAACAAGTCCTGTAAGACTGTCTGCGCCGATTTGAAGAATCTCTTTTTTTATGTATTCAAATATCACAAAGAGCATTTTAAATTTTTTTACTTACACCAAGTATTTCAAATTACCCACCTCCAAAAAAAAAAAAAAAAAAAAAAAAAAAAACCCTGTTCGTATAAAAAATCTCTTGTGAAGCTATCGCGAACAGAGTAATCTTTGATATCTTGCACAAAATTTTCCAAGAAAATTGCTGCAGAAAGAAGGAAGTAGCGTGGTACTAGAATACAAGCCCAAGGCATCGGATTCGTCTACAAATCAAAACATTACAAGCATCTCATATTTTCCTCCAGATTTACCCTATTCAGACGTATCTCATCATCTTTGGAATGCTTATTTGAATACTGAAAATAAATTTTGTATAACTGTTGTAATAATAATATCAACATAAATAGTTAAAAGAGGAAATTGTTTCTTTTCTACAATTTGTGTAGATAACCGATTCTCCCAAGAATATATAGTCATATTTCTCCTTATAATCCAAATAAGTGCAATAGGATAATTATTAAAAGACACATCCTTTTTTTTTTGTAACCTAAGAGCATTTAATAATGGAAATCATGATACTTGAAAATTTTAAAGCAATTCATTTTAAAAAACCCCTGAAAGAATTTTCCAGATGCACGTCATGTTGAGACTGGGCATGCATTATTTAGAATATGAAGCCTTAATCTATAATGCATATACATATTATAGTATGGGCCATTGTTATTTTAACATTATAACAATCAAATAATACTTTTTCATAATTACGTGACAGTTTAGGTTAGCGCCTGGTATTATAAGGACATGCAAATTAATCAAACTGAATGATATAAAGTAAAACCATCCCGTAACATTTCTTATATATTGAAAGATTCATATAATATCTAGCTTTTGAGCTTGAGTTATTGCACATTTATAAATTCACAATACATCTAAAATTAGAACAAAGAACGGACACACTTGTCCTTTGAAATTACAAATGTTTTTTCCAGGTACCCTTTTCGGATAGAGTAACAATATACACTGTATTGATTATGTATATTAACATCTATATAAAAGGGTCATTATTTATATCTTATTTTAGGCCTCAGTATTACTTAGCCCTTCAAAATGTTTGCAGTAGACTGGATTTCTAAAGCCTTACCGATTAGTAATTTTTTTATGACAAAATAATGAAAATGTAACTATTACTTATCTTAATTAGGTCGGGCAAAACCCAAAATTTTGGTTCTGGGTTTGGATAATTCAGGAAAAACCACACTTTTAATCATACTAAATCGCACAAGTCCTCTTCTAGCAACTTCTTTAGGACCTCTTGTCACAATTCCTACACTTAGTCCTTGTAAGTGAGTTACAGACTTTGTTTAATATACTATCTATATTGATTTGTCCAAGCATCAACGGAGTTTTTAATAGGAGATACTGTCTGTGACGGGTATGATATAGGAGGTTATCTTCCTAACAGAACATGTTGGGCACAATATACGTATGACGTTTCAGGAGTTATATTTTGTGTAGACGCGTCTGATCCTGATAAATTTGATACGGCTAAGTTTGAATTGGACAAACTTCTTGTGAACGAAAATTTGGACGGCGTTCCAATTTTGGTCTTTGGAACTAAAGTTGATGCGCCAAAATCAGTCAATGAGGAAAGACTCATGCAAGCATTGAATATTGGATATACTCTTAAAAAGGTAAAATTATTAAAAGACTAAACAGTATATAATACTAGATGTGTTAATATTGTTTAATAGGGGACAGCTGTAGCCATTACCAATGTTAGTAGACCGATAGAGGTATTCATGTGCTCGATGCTTAGTAAAAGAGGGATCGAGAGTGGAATGCTTTGGCTATCTCAGTTTATAAATAAATAACAACCACAATTTAAAAAAAGATTTATAAACTATACAATACGACTTTGTATTTACCCATCATCTAAAATCTCATCAAATTAAGTATTAAATATTAAATTGTCTTTCAAAACATGATTAATTATATTAAATCGTCAATACTAAATCGAAACAATGAGTTTGAGCTATTATCACCGAACCAGCTATCAGTCAGAAGTTTTAGTAGGGAATATGAGCGAGTGTACATGTATTATGTGTCGTCTTAGACCTCTTGTTCTCCAATTACATAGTGAGTCTTACATAAAGTTATATAACTCTCTAGACCTCTTTCAAATTAAAATCTGACAATTTATTTTGAAGAACTTTGTTTCTTCTTGGCCATCTCACTAAAATAACTTAACTAATAAATTCTCTTGAAAGTAATATCTAAATTCTGAAGGCCAATAACAGTGACACCATATGAGATTGGGCCATTTTTATGGATAGAATTTTCCGGTGTTTTCCAAATGAATTTGCGTACTACAAAAAACAAAAAATACTCAATACTTGATACCAAATACAATTCATTCAAGTAACTACTTACATAGCATTGCAAGAAATACACGCTGCTCATTTAAACTAAAATTCATACCGATACACTGTCTAGCCCCATTGCCAAAAGGGGTCCAGGCCATACTTTCTGCTCGGGAAGCTTCGCCATCTTCGGCGAATCTGTCAGGATCAAAAATGTGTCCGTCCTTCCAATTTTGTTCTGAATGTTGAACATTGAAAATGTTGACTGTGAGTGGTGTTCCTTTTGGGATAAATTTACCAGAAAGCTCAGTGTCTTCAGTAGCATAGCGAGGAAAAACTCTAGGCGTAGGTCCATTGATACGGAGGGTTTCCTTTATGACCTGGTTAATGTAAACCATTTCTTTAGTCTGCTCGACAGTGGGTAATATATCGTATTTTCCATCACCCAAGACACGAATGGCTTCTTCTCTAGCTTTTTGTTGGATGTCCTAATAGACTTGCGTAAATTAAGATAGATTTTGAAATGTTCGCTCAATATTACCTGGTTTTGAGCCAAATGATGAACTGCAAACGATAAAGCGCCTGCAGTTGTATCATGACCTACAATTATCAAGCAGAATATTATGTTTTAAAAAAAAGAATAATTCCTATCATTAATACCTTTTACCAGCCAAAAAGAATACACAGAACGTACTCTAATACTTTTGTAAGTTATAAACTTCATAAATTATGTCCTCAATAGTACTACCTTTAGTTCCTCATCAGTTAAGCCTCCTTCTTGTAAATCTTCACTTTCAATCATTAGAGTCAATAAATCTTTTTCGTTGTCTTCCAGTGCATTGTTTTGCAAGCCGTTCTTGATAGCTTCTCTCTTTTTGAAAATAACTTCATCCAGCATTTCTAAAAAGCTGTCCATTTCTTTATGAAGCTGGACTCTTTTAGGAAACATCCAACGCAACTTGGTGTCAAAAATTGGAAAGTAAAAGAATTTAGAATCACGAAGACCCTCACTAATTTTATCATATCTGCAAGCCCATTCGCTATTACGATCCTTGATAGCATTGAAGTCGAAATCTATAAATCATTTAGCCAACATATCTTATCTAACTCTTCATGGTCTTTACCAAAGCCTGCTTTTCCAATAGCATCAAGAGTCCATCGATGCAATAAATCGGATACATCAACTGTGTCACCCATAGTTTCCATCACGTCGAACATGTCTTGTGTCAATCTACCAAACAGTTTGACGGGCATAGAACGATGGAAGGCTGGATTGGCTATTTTTCTTTGGGTTTTCCACTGATGACCATTGAGAACCAGCATATTAGGCCCACCAACAAATTTTGCCCCAAGTGTTTCTTTATGTTCGTCTTTGGGTAAAATCTTTGGGAACAAATCTATTTTGCTTTTTTAGTCAATGTTTGTGTGACAAACAAAGTGGTTCCTACCGCTTTTTAAAAAGACACGCCTAGCATCTACTGCATTTGAAATTTGCACCGTCCATCCAATTCTTGTTTGTTCCTAGAATTTGTCTTTAAATACAAGATATAGATGTATATATAATTATATTGTACCAAAAAAATTGGATGCTTCTTTTTATCCACCTCAGGAAGATGAACCCTGTATAATCGGTTCCAAATGGGCTCCCTCATTATTGTCGACTTGATGAGATCCAAATAACTAATGTAAGGGATATGACGAAGGTTTCTTGGAGGTTTCAACAAGCTGTCTGTGATCATGTAAATCAATGATAGTACAACAGCAATGCTAATGGAAATTACTTTATTCTTCTTTGTTAGTCGGGGAACAATTTCTCTATTATATAACATCAGAGCATTGTTCAATGGTATTTCCAAGAAGGAGTTCTGCAACATGATAGATTTTAATATAAGTAATTGAAAAAAGAAATACGATACTGAACTTTCCCCCTTTATATACTCCTTGATGGATAATCTCTCGGAAAAACAAATGGAGTCACAAGAGCCTTCTGCATGAAATGATGTACATATAGTATGTAAGGTTATTAGTCTGGGACTTACGATCAACTGAAATGCAATTGCAAATGTCGGATAACGGTTAAACACTTACCGACTTATTGCCGGCGAAACAAATTATAAAGTATATGACCTGAATGAAGTGAATATCGGTAACTGATGGTTAAATGATCCCCAACATATTGCCTATGATAAAGGAGAAATCCAAGTTAAACAATTATGTCAGCACATTAATTGAAACACTTTTAATCTCTGCTTGATTTCATGACAATAATAAAGTTAAAAATACAAATTTTCATCTTCTTATGGCATAGTCCTGAAATTATTACACAATATATGACGTTTTTAAGTACATCTTAGTGTTCGTTAACCACAACAAGTTGATGATCAAAACGCTTTTGAAATTTACAAAATTTCAAGCTTCAAATAGCTCTGAATTTAATGCACAAATGAAAAATAATAACAACAACAGAAATGAGTAAATAAACACAAAATGTAGAAAACAGCTGAAATTTATAGGTATTTATTATAAAGTTGGTTGCATCGTATCGTCTAGGGATTGTATCAAATAACCAACTTAGATTCGATAAACTACGACTGGATCAAACGATTATAATAATTTATGGATTTAACTATCCAAACAGTAATAATCGTTTCACCCCCCCCCCCAGTGACGATAGTCACCCATATATAAAACAACCGGCAAGTCCAAGTAACTTTACACCAATAATTTAGATGAAGCTGATGTTTATTAAATCATGTAAACACTATCGGATCATTCTAAACAACCAGACAAATAAAGGAAACAAACTACTAAGCCAAGGTAAACAATAAATATTTGAAAATGTATAAAAATGTCGCCAGATTTGGAACTGACGAGAGACAATGATTAAATAAATCATAGTCATATATTAATATAAAAAAAAGTTAACTACTTCATATTTATTATTACGCGGCCGGTAAAGTATCAGGTGCAGTTGAAACAGCTGAAAGTTCGATAATCCTTGTTGAAGATCACCCTATATGCACCCACGCAAGCGAATAAGAGCATGCAGGCATTTTGGTTGGAATGATCTTCACAGGCTATTTATTTAAGCTTATAGCCCCCTAATGGCATTCCTGCGACTTGAACACCGAAACAATATTACGCTACTTACTCGTATAAAAACTCATACCAATGCACTGCCTTGTCCTATGTAAAGTAAGAGTCCAAGTTTACTATTCGTTTCCTCGACAGCTCTTTTAGGATGAGGTTTGTTATAAATCATTTATCCAATTCAGCATATTAGCGCAAGACTATGAAATGCATAATATATCCCAAAAAATTATTTTTGAGGCTGTTCTCTGTCAGTAAACGGTTTATTAAGAGAAAGTAGTATAAGAATAATAGTGAAAATGAAAATAATAATAATAACGCTTAGTATATACACAAGTTAAAGCTCAAATGCATGACTATTTTTTCTGCACTGAGTTCATGGCAACGGCCAAACTTTCAACGATACATCGAACAATCCTTATATCTTCGTAGTCAGGATGAGTTGTCTCCGTATGCTTTTCCAGGTCTAAGTGAATAAGGTTAAACTTTGTTTGCCGGTTTTCTAATACTACTATAAAGTTACCAGCTAGTAATAGGCCATATCTTGTGATACGCTGTATAGGGATGATGAGATAATCTTGTAAAGTAAATCGACGAGTCTCTTTTTTCAAGGCGAGTTTCTATTAACCGAGAAAAAATAAATATCTGTTATATTAAGGGCTTGTGCTGTATATATTACCTCTGCATAAAGAGCGTAAGCCTTTTTATTTAAACGCATGTCCAATGTTTTCTTGTTTGTTTTGTAATCCAATGCACATCTTAAGAAGACAACCATATACTCCACCATGCTACGTAAGATCAAACCCATATTCACATTGTTTAGACTGGTTTGGCAGTCAGGATCTGCAATATCCTCTTGACTGATATTACCGTCGGACCTTTCCATTTGATCGTTTCGTACACGAATGATGAGGGTGGAAGAAAAGCGCATAAGATCTTGTAAGTTTGAGAATGCATCGATATCAGCAGCCCTGGTTACATCGCTATTTCTTTCGACAGCCAGTTGAAGAGGGTCATAAAACATCTGTGGAGGAGCATCAGTTGATCTAGAACAGTCATGTGTATTTATAGTAAAAAAACTTACTACTTTGGTATAATTTAGTTGATTCCAGAAATTAATTTCGGTCGTATAAAATTCTCTCAGGATGAATTTTCTGGTCAGAAAGTAACGCTCAGCTTTTTCAGGCGACTTTTAAAAAAAGGGTTAATATGTTTTTGTAAATTAGTTTAATAATAATATAAAAAAAAGTACTTACTGGGTTTTCCCGCGGTAGTGATTTGGTGGTGTTTAAAGAAATTAGTAGTTGAGTTTGCCATACGTTCAATGCTTTTAGTTCTATTTTGGGGTTCACTTTGCGCAAAAGTTTACATGTCCTTGGCTTGATTGATTTGAAATCCAAGACAACATCATCTGAGTTTGGAGCCGATACAATAAAGAGGGGTTTAAAATCATCTAGACAGGGTGATATCGGCGATGGAGGAGGTATGGAAGAAGTTGATGAAGTGGATGATGAAGCGGACGGTGTAACCGTATAGCCATCAGTTGAAACTCCTCTTCGTAAAACGGGTCTTCCAAAAGAGAATAATTTAGTCTGTTTTTTAAGGATTTCGTTATCTTCGTAATTTGGACAGCTTTGACGACGCACGATTCTATCATTAAGCGAGGGTATAATTGGTGGTTCGATAATGTCAAAGTTGAAGCCAGAGCTTCTTTTACTGATGGTGGGTGTATTAGGAGTACTATTGACATCATTACCGAGGGGGGCATCATTGGATGACCACGCCAAGTTAAATAGGAGTTGTGGCGGAGGTTCAGGAGGTTCCACTAGGCCAGCTTTTAACCCACCATAGCCTGCTCGTGGTGGGGTAGATGCTTGCCTCTTCAGTGTGATACGAGGTAGTTGAAACCACTTCTTTCTGTTTGTCAACTGCTGTCGGATCAACCCTTTACTGCTGCTCTCACAATCCGCTCTAGGTAACATGATGCTTTCGTGGCCAGCACTTGCCGATCTTTTATGATTGTGTAACTTTTCTTCCGTTCCCTTGGCTTCCACATTAAACAAAAAAGACGTCGAGTATCTTTGTGTGCCTCCTGGCAACCGGTTACTACGTTTTGGCTCTTTTTTAGCTGTGTCGATCTCTAGAAGCCGAAACTTCTTTTCTGCTGCTTCCATGTTTCTTGCCTAAAAGGAGGTTGATGCCTTGTATTTATTGATATCTTTCCAGTTTCAGTTTCACTGATAAGTCACACCAAAGAAAAAAATTATAATAATAAAAAAAACCGGGAAAAAATAATTACAGGATTTGGAGTATAAAAAGATGGAAAATTGAAAAAACAAAAACAAAAACGTCAAAATCCTCAATTTGCGGGACAGTCACGGAATTCAGACACCTTTTTTCTCATTTGCAAGGTTTATTTCTCTTTATTTTCTTCATTGCCCTCAATGTCAAACATTCTCAGACGCACTCTTTTACAAACCAAGTCTCTTGTGCGTGTCAATGCACCCATCAGAACTAATGTTTGTGCTGCTATCAAACCTTCCAACTTGATGGCTAAAAGAAGTAATTTATGATTATCTAACCCATGCACCTCCCCCACATATTGACTGTCTTGTAGCATTCTTCGTTAGCGCACCAAAGTTCGACAGAATTTCTGAGGCTGAGGAATACGTCAAGACTGGCGCAGAATATATGGAAAAGGGATCTCTCGATATGGTAACTACCAAACTAGCCCCTGAAAAAAAAGTCTTTATTTTATTGACACCAATAGCTTAGGCCATGACCAGCTTCCACAAAAGTGTCCAGTCCGCACCAAGTGGTGCTGGCTATTTCAACATTGGTGTTTGCTACTTTCAAATGGGTACATATTAAAACGGAATAATGAACTTTTATAAAATTACTCATCTATCGTTTACTTAGGCAAGCATAAGGATGCTATTAAAGCATTCAACCGCTCATTAGAATACACCCCTCATTCAGCTGATGCCCATACCAACATTGCATCCTGTTACTTAATGTTAAAAGATACACAAAATGCTGTCAAACATTTAGAGCAAGCATCCAACTTTAACCCCTTGGATGGCGAAGTGCAATACAACCTTGCCTGTGTTTATGAAGCCGTTCAAAGATTAGACGATGCAAAGACTAGATTTGAAAGAGCCGCTTTATTAGGCATCGATAGAGCCGAAACTGCTTTGGAAAAGTTGAAGAAGAAGATGTAAAAAAAAAAAAAATCAAATAAATAATTTATCTTGAACCACCAATATGAACGGATCGTAATACTCTATCGTTGGCGGAAAGTGTTTAGTATCACACATTATCACACAACTAGTTTTTCTCTTTCTTACCTCGCAACATTCTCCATTTCTTTACGTCTCATTCTTTCCTTCTGACTGAGAACAGCATTAACAGGTAAAGGTGTACGCAAAAGCCTAAGATGGGTTTGAGTATAATTATTTCTGTCAAAACCACGGTGCGGCACTTACTTTTCAAATATGACAATCACATCACGTCCATTCAGTCGATTGTATTTACGATTTCTAACTTGTGGGGTCAAATATTCTTCAGGCTTATCGCAAATAATTGTCAGATCGAGCAATTGACGTAACTCCACAAAGGTGTCCATGACAGTAGGATCACCCAAATTACGCACGAAATCTTCCATAAATCTCACATCGATATCAAAGTTACTTAATGCAATTTCTGTAATATTTCGTTGATCTGGATCCAACAATAATCCCTTCATAGATTGACTGAGATGCTCCAAAGCGTCAAAATACAGCAGACTTTTGATGGTTTCTGGCAAGTTCAATAACGCCGCATTGGTGACATTTGTCAAAAATGTAACCAAATCCTGTAAATTGGGACTGGGCTGTGTTTGAATTTCTTCCGATTCCCTTTTTTGTAAATTTGCAGGAAAGTTGAGAACAATTGAAACTTTTTTTTTTTTTTGTATTTAGAACTTACCAATCGTATTCGAAAAGCTCCAAAAATTCATCAAGTTTGGAGTTGACCAATTCAAAAATACGCTTCTCTGCTTTTCTACGGGTATCATGGAAAGTAGAAGTAGCTTTCAAATGAATGTGACCAGATCGATGAAAGGACCGAGTCTCCATTAGTAACATCTCGAAATCGGGACACGTTGATTCAAAATATTCAATATTGATAATAATTTGCACGATTTGAGACAAATTAGTCGATTGTAGCTTCTTTAACAGAATCGCATTGACTTTTTGGATCAATAAGCTATCCACAGCCTATTACGAAAGTCGGTCAGGCTCACTTCCGTGTTAAATGGATTGTAGTTCTTACCTTTTTCAATATGTCATCCATTTCTCCGTGTGTCTGACTGAATCCCTCAGCAAATTGATAAAATTGGTGCACAAAGAAACTGACATCACGACAACAGGTAGGAAATACTTTAGAGAAGGGTAATCGAAGCGGGAATCCATATCGTTTGATAAATTCACGGTCAGGTCGGAATCGGGTATATTGCATGACTTCCTTTAACTCGTCATCATTTTCAACTGTCATAGGCATGCATTCATCTTCTTGCACAATCTAAATTACCAATTTCTAAGTCATTTACGTGTCTGTAAAATCCTGCTTTAGTCCCTACCTTTTCAAATACTTCACTATACTGGTTGATCAAAAGTTCTGAATATCTTTGGAAAAGAGTCAACAATGTCTCCTGTAAAGGTTTTACAGAATAATCAAATCCTTCCAACGTCTGGATAAAGATCAAGAGGGAGAATTTAATGCGCAAGAACAACTCTGGATCACTGCATCCCTTTAGACTTTCAGACACCACCAGAATAACTTTTCCTGTAACCATCTCCCATAATCCATCCACCTCTGCCTGACTTCTGAACTCGGTAGTGTTGTGTAAAATCATATGCTCAATAATAAAGAAACCCACAATATCTTGAAGTAAGGTTTCAAATGTTGTAAGGTTTCCATCTCGTAAGTTGATAGGCGTGGATAAAGCTAAATTGGCTTGTGCCTGCATGAAAAAAAAAAAGGTCAATCTCAACTAATATCTCGTTACCATGTGTGGCTGAAACCTACTCTTCTATCTTCTGAGTAGGATGTTTTGAACTCATTTCGTTTACCCAATGTTTCATATACATGAATACATCGATAAAGAGGCTCAAAATCAATATTAACTTCATCCAATATGCTAGCTGTTTACAGTTTATAAGATACATATTCGCTCGCGTTTCTCTTTTTCATAACATACTTTCCAATCCTTCATTTACCACCATTTCTATAGCGGAATTGACTTGGTGATGTTGGAGGTTTTTCAGCTTGGGGTTTTCTGTAGTCTTTGATCTCCATCTGTCTTGTCTCTCTTGCATCCGTTGCATAGCTAGATTACCGATCTCCCGAGATATCTCACGCACTCTAGTTGCCCCGCCAATATTGTTAGCTAAAAAGATGCAGACGTGCCTTATCATTCATTACCTTGCTAGCCATTCTTTTAATTCAACTGTAACAGTGCTTTTAATTGTATTTTGCATGATTGGCACATCTTGACTTAGCATTTTTGTAAAGGTGTATTCTGTGGTCTGTCCCAAACGGTCATTTTCCAATGTCTCCAATGTCTGTTTATCGAGAATTTAGTCATGCATGTACGCCTAAAATTATTTATGGATTTTTACCTTTAGTGCGGAATAATATATCTTTTTATCCAACAATTCGTTTACTTTATTGGCTGATTCCAGGACGATGAGACTGGATTGAAGTGCTTCAATAGCATCCTCCACATTTTGTTGCACTTTTCGGGCATTTGTCAACTCTCGTTTCTGCAAGGAAGTTGTTAGCGAACGATAGAAAAGTATTAGCTAATATTTACCCTTTCTGCCCATCGTGTGCCTCGAGATTGAAGAGTCTCATTCACATCAGCGAGCTTTCTTCGTAACTCAACTGAGCCTTGTCTTACTTTTAATAGTTGATCGACGGCATGAACGAATTCCTAAAAATGATGTCAATTACTTTTAAAGTAAAGCTTTGGAAGAACGCTTTACTTGATAATGAGAATTACACATGCGTTCAATTTCACCATCTTTTTTTCGAATGAGAGCATCTAAGGCTTCCAAAAAGGACGCCTGTTTTCCTGTTTCTGTAATATTTTTGATTACAGGTCCCAATTGTTCTAAACTTTCAGAGTCATCTAAAGTAGCAGAAAAGGTCAATTCCAAACCACTGGCAAATACGCTTGTGTCGTTCATGTTGGCCTTTTCCATAGACCTTGCTAGCTTTCCAAGCTCTGTATCATTGGATGTTGCAGGCATTATAAGAAAAAGAACGCCAAAAAGAAAGAGAGAGAAAAAAAGGGGTGTGAGAGGAAGGAAGAGAGAAAATATAAGTAGTCGGGAATGGAATCATTCACTTTTTGTAATGATGGTTGCACGAATCCATTGACCTTTGCTTTATTACCGTCTTAACTTAAGCTTTAATGTTGTTGTAAATTTGATAAGCACGAAATAATGATGTACATGTATGCAACAAACAACCGTTTTTTTTATTATTAATTATTATTATTATTTCAACAATTGTTTGATGTGGAACTTGCTACCGTTGCTCCTCCTTTACTTTGACACCAGCTATCGATAGACGATTTATAGATGCCTCTTCCGATTTCGTCTCTTGTCTCACAAGCTCTGCAATTCTGTCCAGAGCCATCGCAATTTATGGGAGCCCCGAATTTAAGACAGCTTGTTTGTTCGAACCCTGCTATTAGGCACTTTTGATTAACATCTTCACATAGCAATTGCATGATTTCATCACCACAAACCACAGTTATCAAAAGAATCAGGGCAAAAATAAGTTTCATTTTTTTTTTTTTTTTTTTTTTTTTTTTGGGGGATAAGGAGAAAAAATTAAAAAAGAAAAACTTGGTTGCGTCGGTTTTTTTTTTTCTTTTAAAGCTTTGGTGCCTAGATACATGTGTCACGAATGTACTTTTATGGTATATATGTATAAAATTCGATCAAAGAAAGCCTTCTTTCTTCTTTTTTAATTAAATATAAAGGAACAATGATGAAAGGAAATACTAACTATGACGAGTATGTGTGACAAAACGTGGCTAAAAAATTATTACATAAAGGTGCTTCAACTAAACTATGTTAAACAAACCAAATTATAAACACAGCAGAAAAAAAAAAACGCGTGAGAAAAACTCCTACGAAAAAAAACCCTGCTCTATATGTTCAGCAATGAAGGGAAAATATTTTTTAGCTATATCTGATCTACAAATATACCCCTCCTTCTGCTTAGATTACTATATCTGATATTTATTGTACAGCGTATATAGATAAAGCTTGTTTTTTCCGTTACCAGGCAAAATCGGGTAAACACACATGAATCGTGTAGTTTTATGAATAAATAAATAAATTAAATGGTTTATTAAAGTTAAATTTAAGCATACAACTATGAGGTGTAATTTACAGATTACAAGCACGCAATTTAGATACAGTGACTACCATACCGCCTTTGTCTGAACACCATTTATTCATTGCATCACCATATATAACGTCACCTTCCGCAGTCTTTGACTGGCAGCCACCACATCTTCTGCTGTAACCTCCTAGACAGTTAAGCAACATACCAAAGGATGGACAAGGAGTAGTTTCAAACCCATGGATCATACACTGCCCCGATTGATCATTGCCGACACAATAGTATGTCGTGGTCTCGTCTTCCTGTGCAGACACATAGGCAACAAAAGCAAAGGACATGAATATTAAAGAAGAGAATTTCATATTGATTTAGTAAAGTTTTGCAATTGCTTGATTTTTTTTTTTTTGTTCCATTCAAATGAGAATTCGATTTGCTTATATATATCCGCGATTGAACAGACAATCAAAGAATACTTATGCAAAGGTCTGTTTTTGCACTCTTTGGGCAATATATATTAATGCAAGATTATAAGTCACCGATTTTATTGTTTAATTTTATTCTTCTTGACTTTATCTGCCATTTCATTTTAAGAGGACATCGGGTAGATTATTCCGGAATTGATTCTCTTTGTTCATATATTTCACCAAAATGTATAGACAACTTTTTTTATGACTGTCAAAACGATGCGTAATTTATAGTTCAATCTCAAAATATTCATTATCTATAATAAAATTAGTTTTGTAGACGAACCATGCAATGAAAATCATAGCATAAGTAATAAATAAAAACCCTGATTTTACGATATATGAATGAAATCATATACATTTGTTGAATTACTTTCTTAGATGTAACATGTAAACCTTAAAAAAAATAAAGGCATGACAAGTGTTCCGGAATGAATGTCACTCAATAACACAATCTCAACAAAACATTGTGCCTGACAATTTTTTTTTATCTGACGATTTCCCGTTTTGGGGGTCGGGTGAAAGGATACACATATTTAAAATTAAGATCTCGACCCCAATTTTCGATTTTCCTGAAACGTTACATGATTAATTCTATACCAAATATCTATATGACTTGGGACGTTTTCCTGCTTGGAGAAGTCGTCAGAAATTATTATTTGACTATGTGACACGATCGATTGAAAAAAAAAAGGCGGTGTATGCTATGCTATTTTATGTGGTTTTTTTTTTGTTTATTTTTTCACCTTCATTCCCAAAAAGTTTAAAATAACTAATTTATCACGCACATCTTAGGTGTAAAAAAAAAAAATTAACTTATGAATATCAACACATACTAGAGCATGTTTCTCAAAATTTAACAGCTGAAAAGTGGATTTCTCGTGTAATCGGAGTGACGGAGCAGCCCCTCAGTTGATTTAATTTAAATACACACACAAAACATTGCCAACAAATAACTAATATGCATCTAGTTATTCTTGTTTTTCTATCAAAATTGACAGCTCTTGCGAGATCTGATTGTTTCAGTGATAAACAAAAATTATTTGAAAATATTATCTGGCCAATCAAGATCATTCCAACTATCTCAGCATCGTTCTATCTTTAGTGTCTCATACTACAGATCTGTTTATTGATCACTTTCTGGTCTCATTGCAAGCCTTACTTACTTCATAACACACCTCCAGAAGAGTGCTTGATATTCCATCTTTCATGATAAGAGTGAGGTTAGCTCTTCTATCTCCGCTGAATGTGTTACATACCTTTCAGCCTTTGAGATGATATTTTATGCTTTGCTGGTTTGAAATGCCACTCGAATTATAGTTTTTTTTTTGGGTCGCTTACTTTGTGATCCAGTGTTACAGAATACATCGCAATAGTTGATGCTTTCAATATGTAATGAACCGAGTTTGCTCGGGCTAGCCGGTCCTACCTTATTTTTTTAACAGTCAGATACAAGCGATAGTCGTAAGATTTTTTGCCAACATCCGAGTGCAATAGTCTTGTACGCTACGTATTAGATATTCCGTTTAAGACGTCTGTCTCAAGAAAGATGTGTCGGATTGGAATTCAAATAACTAGCCAATTGGACTTCAAAAAGTGACCAACGTTTATAAGATCGTGTCTAGATGAATAAGGACGCACTGTACGTTCTTTTGGTTATTGAAAAAAAAATCAAATATTCCATGTGCTAGTACAGTGGTACAACTACAGCACGATATAGTCGAGACTGCTTCGCACAAATTGTCTGATTGAGCTTAGAGAAACATATGTCATTGGATAAATATTGTTGTACTCCGACAGGACTCCTTGCCATACGTCTTTTATAGACGAATCAATTCCTTTCTGCTATTATGAGTTAGTGCCCTCCCAGCTTGTTTTTTTTTCAGATATATATATAACATCATATGTTTTTCTATCTCCCTTCATCATTTCCCGTCTTTCTCCCCGTTAAAATATACGATGCATACCTTTGGAAAAAGCATTGATTTTAAAATTGACGTTCACTCCAACGAAATTTTACTGTTAGGGCAACCGGACGAGGCTGCTGGTAAAATGCTTCAAGGCTCACTCATATTAAACTTGTCCGAGGCGATTAAAGTTAGAGCTGTCCATTTATCGTTTATAGGAAAAATGAAAGTGTCCTGGTCAGAAGGTACGAATAAAAGTTATTCTCGAAAATTTAATTTGCACACTCTAATACTTTACGATATAGGCGTTGGACATCACCAGCATTACCATAAGCAAGAACGTACCATATTGTCTCATGAGTGGGATTTTGTTAAGCCTCAACCTCATTCCGATCTTAATCGTTCAAATGCCACACACAATACGCCTAAAAAGACTTCCGTATTGAATGCCGGACTCCATAAATGGGACTTTGAATTATTGATTCCTGGTGACCTACCACAGACTTTGGATTCCGACATTGGTAGCGTTAGTTATCGACTCAAGGCCACCATTGAACGATCAACATTTATCCAGAACAGCGTCAAAAAGAAGAGTATTCGAATTATCCGTTGTATTTTACCTTCTGAATTCGAACTTGTGCAATCCCTAGAGATTCACAATACTTGGGCTCAAAAAATGGTCTATGATATCAGCGTTCCATCAAAACTATTTTCGTTTGGCGACACGATACCCATCTCCTTTAAAATCCTGCCAATCGCTTCCCATTTGAGAATACATGCCATCATGGCATCCATAAAGGAATATTGTACATATACCGCCAACGAGCACACAAAAACAGACACCCGTATCGTACGTTTGATCAGACTGGATAATCCTTTCGCCGAAGCTATATCCACGGCTTCTTCTCCCCCAACCTGGAATCGAGTGCTAGATTTACCGGTGCCTTCAAAGTCACCCATTATATTTGCAGATGCTGACAGTGAAATGATTCGTATTCGACATCGGCTAAAGTTTGTTATCTCACTTGTAAATGCCGACGGTCATATATCTGAACTCAGGTGTGCTGTCCAAGTTAATATTATTGAGTCATTTGCCATAACTGAAGAACTGACAGCTTTACCCGCTTATGACGAAATGTGGAGATCCGTGCCCTACCATCCTCAAGTAGTAGAGACATTAAGAACCCGTTCCTCTATATCAGGAGTGGCCGCTGGTGAACCTGTTTTAGGTACTTCCCCACCCCCAGCGCGTGAATTACGTGATTCAAGACAACCTGTTACCATCAGTGGCTGGTCACGATTTTTATCCATATCGTCCTCTGCTACACCCATTACAAATGGTCTTAACGAACAAGATGGAATAACTTCATCCGAAAGAACAGTCATATCACAGCCAATGACCATACCTGACTCAAATAGTAGTAGTAGACACCATTCTAGACGTCCTTCTATGGAAGATGATACAGGTGTCTCCACAACCAATAGTTCTCTGTCTGAACATCCCAGTCTCTGGAATGGGATTGATTTGCTGAAAGTGCCATCATACCGCAGTGTTTCCAATATAGATCCAAACATGTTATCGGCTTCTTTACCGCCAGCATATGATACTCTCATAAATTCACCAAGATGGTGATTAAATGCCCGTATCATCTAACCATGTAAATTATCATAAACATATACATATATTTTTTTTTCGTATTCACATCCCCAATAAAATACCAATTTCTTACATACCTGTGCTTTGTAATCTTGTCAAAATGTTTAAAGTTTTTTTTCTGATAATAGGACACGGTTGTTTCTAAACTAGTCAGACATCACATGTTATATAATTACTTGATATTAAAAGACTCCTTTTTTCTTAATTGTTTCCTGACATAATGACCCAGTATTACTCAATTAAGATTCAGTTCAGGAGAACAGGAACGAAGATGATTCCGGGATTGAGTAGGGATATATATATATATTCAGTTATGTATGTCAGTTGAGATTAGTATGGGTTGATTTAATCTTTAAAGCTTGGAAAATAAGAAAGTTTGACCTTGTTCCTGATGGTAACCAAGCGTTTTCTTTGAAGTATGCTACAAACATACATTAGTTGCGCCAAGAACTGTGATATCATCTTATACTTTGCAACTAATACTTCTACCATTATTACTACTGATGCTGCTATCAGCAATGCAAAATTACAAGATAAATGTGCATTAGAGGAGCCCGAGTAGGTACAAGCAGTCGTACTATCGATACACTAGTCAATCTGTGAGATTTGTAATTTATACTTTAATATACCCCCGCACCGGATAAACGTGCCAAAAGTAGGATAAACTAGACCGAAGATTCCAAACTTAAGACGAGCAAGAAACTACCGGTGCAACTTTAATCACATGCATATAGAACAAATGTGGGCTCGATAGATGGCACAGTTCATTGTGAAGTTTAGGCTAGTTTGTGGCCACTTTTGGGTCCAATCGAATTTTGGCCTCTCATTATAACGTTCCACAGGCTGAAGCTGGGCCTGTTTTATAGAATTATTAGACTTTGAAATTTATCAGTATTTCTGATTATGATGAGGCTCACAAAAATCTACGATTAAAGGATCTATGCACTATTGGGGACATAGTTCAAGATAATTAATTGTGGTCATAACTAGACTCATATGAAGTCTGAATTTCAATGTAGTATTTTTTTTTTCTAAAATGTGTCATGATCTTGGTAACGGGTAATTTTCTTTCTAGGATGGCTTTTATAGAAGCTTGTTTGAGTGGTGAAAGTAAGTGACGCTAGATGGTACAGTTGACTGCTTAAAGGACAGACAATCACTTCAATTGTTTTTTATTATGATGACAATAAATTGCGACAAATGATAGTAGTATGGGCGGGGAATACAATTTAATGAATGTATTACATGAATTATGAAGGTGGCATTGGACATTGAAAATATGAAAGAGGACTAAATGTAGAAACCGCATGCCAGGATATACCAGCAATATAATATACAATTCTAAACTCGATATCTAATGTTTGCTTCGGATTAGATATACCTTGGTCTCTATTAATGACGGTACAAGAGTATCTCAGGTTGACCAATGTTGGATTATCAGTTTGTCGAGTGAAATTGATATTGATATCAATAGGTATAATTTGGTCAATTGTTCTTGGAGTTAGCATGAGGTGATTTGAGTTCCCAGAACCAAATACTTCGCCAGTGGAACCATCCAATACTTGGACGGCGAAATTATTTATATTTGTCGGTATCCAATTATCACGATTATTCACAGTGAAATTTACAGTCCAGACAGCCTCCATGGAGGTTTCGGTATATTTACCACCTGATTTTAATCCAGCATCCAAAAATGTTAATGTAGGAGTCCTCGGCCAGACAAAATACCATATTAAAATTGTAATTCCCAATAAGCCGAATACAGTAAAGACAAGCTTTTTACCACTGATACCCAGCCGAACCCACCAACTCTTTTTGATGGGTGGAGGTATAATTTGGTCTGGTTTGATCTCTGACTTCATATCCTCGTCGTAGTAATCGTCATTGATTGTGTCCATCACAATATTATCTTGCAAGATTGATCCAACTGGACCACGACCTGTATTGCGATTTGGTGCATTAAAACTTGGTAAGCTGTCTTCTTCTTGTAGATGAATTGATTCGGCAGGACCATAAGGGTCTCTTTTATGATTTGAGTAAGGTAAGTAAGAATTAGCTCTTTTTCCGCCGGCGACGGGATCATTATTATTATTGTTGTTATTTAATTGTTGCTGGTGTTGCTGCTGAGTTCTCTTCTTTTTCTTTGTTTTTTGTTCAAGTCTTGGCGCATATGGGTCTTGTTGATAATAATCATTATTATATATATCAGCATTAGGCGCTGTTGATAAACGAGTGGTGCTGCTTTCTGAGGCTGACCTCGAGTGAAACTGTTCTGAACCTAAGCTTGGAGATTCATAATAACCATCTTGTAAAAAGGAATGAGTGACTTTTTTTTTCCCATTTAAAAAAAATATATATAATTTTATTTTACCTGGACTAGGAGGTTTTCGAACAGCTCTATAAGGGTCTGGTTTATAATGATGACGAGAATCTTGCTGCATTGAGTGTTTAAAAAAAGTATTTAGAAGGGGAAAAAAAAGGTTTTACTGTGCTTCCAGTCTCAATTGGTCACTATTTTAGAAATTTGGGGCTTGTGTGACATACCTGGGGGAGAAGGGGGAAGGAGAAAATAAGAATGTTGAATTAAAATTTAATTGTTTAATATAATGAATGTGAACATAATAGTGGCCAATTTTTCATAGTATAAAGAAAGGAGACAAAAACCGTTTACTGTTAAGATAGCATTTAATGTAGATATTATAAAACATGTGAAAAATAAATGCAGCATACAGTCGACGTAAGGCTTAACTAGATAAAATGGGATTTTGACATGGTAAAGAAGATTCGTTTACGCATGTCCTTCTATTTCTTTCTCCAGAATATTCATGCTTACAAGTCTGGCAGATATTTATTCTTTCAGGTGAGTTAAAAGTTCGTTCAGGAGACATGGTTTGGTGTGCGCGGGTGGGATACTTCTATTTTAAAAAGTCACTTAGTAGTCAGAGGGATCGACAATTGTTAACACCATCAAATGACAAGAGTAATATCTATTTCTCGGAATCATGCCGTCCTATTACATTGTATCGATTAATGAATAGGCTATATTTGTTTACTTGTCGCTTCTAGGAGCTATTCGCTTAGATTCCACTGAGGATAAGCGGAGGTCGTTCTTCTTTGGCCAGCTAGTAAAAGAAAGTGAATAATTCTTTAGAAAGTTTTATTTATTGTTTTTCGATCCACGCAATCTTTTCTGTTTTTGAGTGGTCACAAAGCCTATATGCGTGGTTTTGTTAATATCCGAGATCAAAATTGTAATAGAAAAGTAACTTACAACAATCCCATTCAGAAACTAGGAGACCGACTTGAAATCTTTCAGCTGTAATATCGCAAAGATCGGGAAGAAAAAAGTGTGTAAACTCGATTTGTAATCTAGCCATAACAATCTTCAAAAAAAAAAGAAGGGTCCTGAGATTTTTTTCATGCAATTGTCAATTATTTTCGTATGTGCAAATACCAAGACAAATCTCGTTTTTCATCTTGGTCCTCCGTCGACAATGCATGTTTATGTCTTGTAGAGTCACAACTCTAGTTTCCTTTAAATAAATGTATGTTACTTGAGAATAGGGTATTAATTGGCTCTTGACTTGCACAATCTCCATAGTAATTGATGAATGGAAGCCCATTAGCCGTTGTCAACAGCATTCAAACCCCGCCTCAATGAAAAAGAGAAACATTTTTCATGCATTTGGGTTGGAGTAAAAATCAGCCAATAGAATTGCTTATATACTTTGCATTTTCATTAAATTATATAAAAAAGGGGGGTTTCTGAGGCCGCTACCCGAAGTAATGGCCAGCGTTTGGGAACGAAAGCACCCGAATATATCCCGCACCGGACTCAGTACTGCCGTCCGCCTTTTCCAAACCCCAAAAAAACCTTTTTTTTTTTAGCTTCCATCAGTTTCGACAGTGACATTGGGCAGCAAACACGCGATCATGAAATTTTTTTGCATGAATCAATACTAGTCAATAAAACATATAACATCGTATGACAAGAGCAAATGTTGATGTGCGGAATTATAATGGACTGTTCCGGCCCAGTAACGCCATGTTTACCTAAACCAGCAGAATTATTTTTAGTAGACTGCAGCACATTTTGATAGTTATATTGTCGTAGTAGAACGACATTTCATTTTATCAATGTTAGCTGAATATTTCAGCACAACCGAATATACACTCATATTGACGAATGTTAAAGGGAAGGATAAAACAGTTCATTGAAGTCAGATATAGTGTCACTGTTTTGGTCTGAGGATAGTTATAAAAATTACTTTTATAATTATGTAACATCTTGTGTCATAAAAATTAGTCAAATCGGGCCTTCCGTTTAGAGTCTTAATCTAAACATCAAACCCGTAAGATTATTTAGATGTCTGATGTTGGGGGTATTTTATTAAATAACTTGAGAGATATCCAGCGAAATATCTAAATGCTTATACAGGTAGAAGGTTTCCGATAGATTCCCCATCTTCTAAGAGAGGTGCTATTTACGCCAGTATACCTTTTTCCTTATCTGAACAAAAATATATTGGAAGATGATAGCATGGATGCAAAAGTGTGCTGCGCACTCGATCGATGTAAATATAGGCCTTGAATTAGTTTCAAACACTTGAAAAAATTATTTATCATGACGGGCTTAAGGAATCATATGCAAAATTGTTTAATCTTGCCGATCTTTTTTTTTTTTAATCCGTTGCACAAAAAGAACATCTCCCATGAAAAGCAAAAATTCAATGCTCATTTTCTCGACATCCAATGAAGAAAGTAACCATGATATGCACACGGATGAGATGAGAATTTTATGGATTATTCAAAGGATAACACATATGTTCAAAAAGTAGTGAAAAAAAAAATCAAGTTTGTAAAAGTAGCCTAGACAAAATCAACAAAATAAACAAAAAAAAATTTTTTGGTATAAAAGGAAGACTGCTGCGAAAAAAACGCTCTTTATCTTTTTATTCTTTTTTAAACATTAGAACAGAGAAGTTAGCATGGCTCAGCACAAGAATGACACTCTCGACTCTGTTCGTTTTCCGTTAAATCTATCCACTTCATTACAGATCGGGCAGTGTTCCAAAGGCCGTAGTAATCCCTAAAAAGATTACATTGAGGAGTCTGCTGGTTGTCAAAGTCGCTAGGCAATGGCCTTGGTCGTTGTCTGTATCGCTTCATTCGGATTTCAGTACAACAATCTGACTGGGGCTTGTCGCCTTTTGTTCCAGGAACTTCTTACTAAAACTAGTGCCACACCCGTTGCTTGGTGGAGGGTGAATATAGGGCGTGTTACTAGACGGTGGGATGGTCGTAGCCGTTTGAAGCCAGTCGATACGTTCTTGGTCATTGGAATTGGTGTGGGTTGTTATTTTTGGTCGGGATCTGATGACAGTAGGAAGTTTAGTACCCGAATGCATCTTGTAAGTGCTTTGCCTTGTTTACGTCTACGCTAGAGATATTGCATTCTATAGGCAGCCATAGATTGGCATCCTGTTGGACAGTTACCTCATCTACACGGAATGTTAACCTTAAAGCCAATACTCGTCCAGGTGCGGTTGCTACGATTCTACTGCCAGGGTAAAAAGCACCACCCCAACATGGTGTAGGGGGTATTTGGTCCTGGTGATTCTTATGTTTGCGCATTGTGGGTAGGTGGCATGTAGAATTATCAGGTGCTGTAATGAAGATGGTTTATCGGAATTTACTTTTTGGGCCAGGATGTGCTTCCACCTTCTCGTGGTCTGGCCTGTTAACCAGATATTTTATGCTGGGAACTAGGAGAAGCACTTATTAGTATAGTTTATAGATTATCATTATCATTTATAAAAATAAAAAGTTTTTTTTTCTTTGATCATTATATTTTTTTTTTTTTTGCTCATCATAAATTTTAAAAGCCTTCAGTATAAGATGAAATGCGGAGAGCTTAAAAAAGTTCTTAGGCAAAGGATGGGATAAATCAACCTATTTAGGCTGTAATAAGATGCTTTTACCCTTATATAATAGACAGACATCTTTTTGGCACCAGTGTTTTTTTTTCTTTCGTTAATGTCAAGTAATCTTGTATTAAAAAAGGAGCATTCACGGCCACCAAGAAAAGTTTAATGCTAATGGAGCTCAATAACGTGAATGATTGTGCTAAAAGTTGGACTGTCAACTTTTTTAAAGCCAAGAACGTAATCAACTCAAGTAACCCTCGGGAGTGGTGAGCTATATTAGGGAGATTATACCAATACGAAGCACATACAAAGAATGAATACGAACAGATATCATAGCCAAAGATCTTTATAGGTAATATCAGGTGTAATCACCGAGGATGATCACAATGTACTGTTACGAAATTATTGTAGGTCGGTCTTTTGCACTGACCTTGACATATAGCGTTATAGAAGCATTTTGTGCATGATGATTGTCTATCAACGTCTCAATACTAGCATGTACCAATGGTAAAGCATATTTTATGAAAAAAAAAAAGCTAAACTAACCTATAAAGTTTAGAAAAAGTCAAAATGATGTGGCACGTTAATGGACTTAAACTTTTCTTTTAAGCCTATATGTACAGACTTCGCCAAAAAAAAAAAAAAAAAAAAAAAAAAAAACAATTGCTCAGACATAAGCGTATTGATATTTTATTGTTGATTGCCTTTTGTGTATGATAAGTCTTAGATTGGGAAAAGAGAGAATTACATGTATTGACACGCTAGTTTACCACATAATATGTATAAAATGGGATTTATTTTTATCAAATATTTGGTCCTACATTACACAAAAGTCTTTCTGGCAGAGAAAAAGATTCTTTTTTTTTAGGCTTGATAGAATTTCGTGTTTTTCTTTTCATTCTACCATATACAATGTCTGACGATCAAGGAACAACTGACAGTAAAGAACCAAGAACCTAATTACAATACCTTCATGTCCTAGACTTATAAACTTAATTTTCCTTTCTCCCTTTACTTTCAAATCAAAAGACGATCTCATTTTAGCAGCTTGTCGAAATGACCAAGACGAAATGTTGGAAGATGTTCTCAAGGAAGGAGATATAGATATTAATTATGCTGACGCTTTAGGTGACACAGCTCTTCATTATGCGTAATATATATATACATCACTATTTTTTATTGAATATACATGCTAAAAGCTATATAGTGCTCGATTTGGCTCTTTGACGTGCTTGGAAATTTTGGTTGATATTCCCGGAATTAATGTCAACTTGCGAAATAACCAAGGAGACACACCGCTACATTTAGCTGTGAGATATGAGGATGATCCCGAAGTTGCTATTAGCATGGTGGACATTCTTTTAGATTCAGGTGCTGATCCACGGTAAAAAAAAATGAAAGAAACTTTACAAAAATGCGTTGCATTAACTATTTTCTGTGCAGCATTCAAAACAAAGCAAAATCCACTGTGGGGGATTATGTGGTCGGTAGGAATGATGATATGAGAGCTTTAATAGATCAAGCATTAGCAGGATATGAGATGGTACGTTTGTGAAAAAAAAATGTTTATTATATTCGCCTAAACGTTTATTTTTAGGAGGATAGCGACGAGGAATGATGATACAAAGGATGAAGAAGGGGGTGGGGGGATATTATTTAAGAACAACGGCTGCATTTCTACTTGCTAAATATGCTTGAACATTGGGTACACCTAATGTGCTAATAAATTGATAAATTTCTGCATTGTGATATCGTAAACCTGTCTTTGGATCGGTGTATTTAGCATCTAATCCTGTAATATCGCAATACTTCTTTTGAGGCAAAATTGACGGTGCACATTCAATATTTTCATCTATTTGTTTTCGTCATTAATAATTATTGTTTTACGCAACAACTAGAAGGTCTTACAAGTGGGGATATCTAAAGCGAGTTGTTGATCTCTCTCCATGGTAAGAATTTGCTTTAAATTCTTATTTTTTTTTACAGTTTTATATTTGGGATTCTTGAATGGTCTTCTCGTCGTTAATAAATTGAGAGGTCCATCATAATCCTCTTCACTTTCAGCTCCAGCATACTAAATGACTCGAAGGTTTTAAAAAAAAAAGAATTTACTAAACGCAAAGGTAATCTGGTTATACCTTTTTTCCGAAATATGTCTTTTTTGGTGTCTTGACCCTATTATATGAATGATTTAGAAGAAGAAGAGTAGTAGTGGAAATGGCAATGCTTACATTGTATGCACTTCGATATCTCACGTATAATATGATAAAAAAAATCATGAAGGTTTTCCCTTTTGGTGAGTTCAAATCGGTATACCAGTCACGACGCTGACGTACATTTCCTGTAGGACGCGCAGGCTTTTTTTAAATGTGCAACGCCCTTTCATTTTCTTTTTTCACCTTTTAAAGCAAAACTAAGAAATATTTGAAAATGGTACACTTAAAATAATGAATTGAGTGTATTGACTTTTGATACTGATATAAATGTATCGTATAGGGAAATTCTCAATCCGGTATGCCAAGAGGCAACGATAAGAAAGACAAGGTAAAGAGTACAGGAGAATAAAGCAAGAAAGTATATACTAAATAATTTGTGTTTTAAAAAATAGGATAAAGATAAGAAGAAGAAGTGGGAACCTCCTGTACCCACTCGTGTCGGTAAGAAGAAGAAGAGAGGACCCGATACAACTGCCAAGTTACCTCAAGGTAAAGAAAGATAAAATAAAAACACGACATTTAGCATATAAAATACTTAAATGTTGATTAGTCTACCCCACCACACGTTGTCGTCTCAAGATGCTCAAGATGGAGCGTATTAAGGATTACTTGTTACTTGAAGAAGAATTCGTACAGAACCAAGAAAGACTTAAGCCTCAAGAGGAAAGAGATCAAGAAGAGAGAACTAGAGTGGATGACCTTCGTGGTTCTCCCATGACAGTTGGTTCATTAGAAGAAATCATTGACGATGATCACGTTATTGTTTCTTCAGCTACTGGACCAGAATACTACGTCTCTGTAATGAGTTTTGTTGATAAAGACTTGTTAGAACCTGGCTGTAGTGTGTTATTACATCACAAGACAATGTCTGTTGTTGGTGTTCTCGGTGACGATACAGATCCTATGGTGAGTGTCATGAAGTTAGAAAAGGCTCCTACTGAGTCTTATGCTGACATTGGTGGTTTGGAAAAACAAGTACAAGAAATTAAAGAAGCTGTCGAATTGCCTCTTACACATCCTGAACTTTATGAGGAGATGGGTATTAAACCACCAAAGGGTGTTATTCTCTATGGTATTCCAGGTACCGGTAAAACCCTTTTAGCAAAGGCTGTTGCCAATCAAACAAGTGCTACTTTCTTGCGTATTGTTGGTTCCGAATTGATTCAAAAATATTTGGGTGATGGTCCTAAACTTGTTCGTGAATTATTCCGTGTTGCTGAAGAAAATGCCCCCTCTATTGTTTTCATTGATGAAATTGATGCTATCGGTACAAAACGTTATGATTCCACCTCTGGTGGTGAACGTGAAATCCAACGTACCATGTTGGAATTATTGAATCAATTGGATGGTTTCGATTCAAGAGGCGATGTTAAGGTCATTATGGCTACCAATAAAATCGATAGTTTGGATCCTGCATTGATTCGTCCTGGTCGTATTGATCGTAAGATCGAATTCCCTCTTCCCGACGTCAAGACTAAGCGTAGAATCTTTAATATCCACACCTCAAGGATGACATTATCTGACGATGTCGATTTAGAAGAATTTGTCATGTCAAAGGATGATTTATCGGGTGCTGATATCAAGGTAAAACTAACAAACTTGTGCAATTATTCATAACTTATTAACCATTATTATCTTATTCAGGCTATTTGTACAGAGTCAGGTTTGATGGCATTGCGTGAACGTCGTATGAAGGTTGTTGCAGATGATTTCCGTAAGGCTAGAGAGAAGGTCTTGTATAGAAAGAGTGAAGGAACCCCTGAAGGTCTTTATCTTTAAATATACTATAATAAAAACTATTACTTTTTTTTTCACATATATATTTTATTCTTCTGGCTGGAACACTTGACAAGTGTTTTTCCAAATGGTTTGTGATAACTCTAAAGGATCTATATTTCTAACTGAAGCCACCACATGTAATACGAGACCCATCGTACAAGGCTCATTTCTACTCTTCACCATACACCCCATTTCAAACTTTTCCTTCTTCTTACTAGGAGGCGAATATAAGGCCATTTCTGCTGCAGTGACATTTTTAAGATGAGCAAACGATGCGTGGGTAGGACGAATATCACACCATGGTGCATCCGTTTCGATCATGAGCTTATCTTCAGGGATTTCTTTCACAACTTGCAAATTTTCTTCTGTCTTGAGGGAGCATCCATTGACACCGATATGTAAGTCCAATTCCACCAATTTCTTCATTTCTTCCAAACTGCCTGTAAAAGAGTGGACAACACCATACTTGAATTTGTGTCGGTTAGCTTTTACCAACTCATAGAAGTCGTCACCTGTGTTACGATTATGAAGAAACATTGGTAGTTTCGTATTTTCTGCCAAGTCGAATTGCATTTGAAAATATTTTTGTTGTGTTTCTTTAGGGCAGAAATGTAAACGATCGTAATCAAGACCGCATTCACCAATAGCTACCACTACTTTGGAAGAGGTGGCAAGCTTTAATAACTCGTCGTAATAAGCTTGGGGTCCATCCTTATATTCTTCGAATTCAGTACAACGAGTTGGGTGACAACCTACTGTTGAGTACAAGAATCCCTTTGCTAAAAGAATGAATGAGTTTTGTTTCTAATGGTGAAGCTAGTCTCTTTTTTACCGTCATTGTTACTTTCGATGGCCTCAATCGCTTCCCTAGAGTCTTCTAGGTTTGTGCCTGTAATAAATATTTTTTCAACGCCTGCATCGCGTGCACGCTTTAAAACCAAGGGGAGGTCGTCTAATTGAATTCGTTTTAGAGACGTTACATGATTGCAAATGTTTGGCCTTATTTACCTGCGTGAGATTGCTTTCCACGATATAAACCCCTGAACATGGGATCCGTCATATTTGCACCAATATCTAGAAGGATATAAGTGGATATTTCTTAAGTGTCTACTCTGGTATATTATTACCAATAAATCGCATCATTCTTTGCATAAATGTGAGGAAAAGAAGGTGAGCCGAAGGCTTGTGGGGTGGACCAACACCCTATTTTGATCGTGTTCAAACTCCTCAATTTTCGCTGAAACAAAATTAAGAAAAAACCCTAATAACCCAAAGACAAGAAATAATTCAAAAAAACCAAAACCAAATTATAAACCAACAAAACCAAAAACATATAGAAAATACAAAAGACACCGAAACAATAACAATTAGAATACCTGCAAAAGAAACCGAAAAAATAACAATTAGAATACCTACAAAAAACTTGAAAAGGGCTTACCCAACTTACTCTCAACAAACCTAAAAGAATCAAGGCTGACTTCCAACCTATGTTAGATTCAACAATAAAACAAATCGAAAGTTTCCATACGATACTTAACAAAATGAAAAAAAAATGGACGACGAGTCAAAAACACTTTGTCCTATTTGCTCAGACAAATTTTGCTCAATTGAAACTTTATATAACAATCGATACACAGAGCGCTGTTGTGTTTTAAGGTAAAGTTAAATTATAAAAAGACTATAGGAGTAGTTTGAGACTGTTTATAAGATGTCTTTATTAATAAATGAAATATACGAGTATTTATATAAAAGACTGTCTGCTGTGTTCATATCTCTAGTGCTATCTTGAAGTTATCATTGATTAACCAAAAATGTACACAATTATTACATAGTCACTAATTTAGTCTTGCTCTAATAAATGTTAAGTCTTCTTAACTCTCTTTGCTTTAATCTAAATTTTAAGTATTTCCCGGACGTACTAAATTAGACTTGTGATGTAATATCCTTATAGTCCTTACTATGGCATTTATTGTTAAGCTTATATCACAAATGGTATCAGCATGGATAAACCTTTGTTAGCTCTAATATGGCTATAGCCTTGCTAGGTCACCACAGCGATTTTTTATGTGTCCATAGAAATAAACTCATGGCTTTAGATATAAAATGTAATTCTCCCCCACTTTCACTTGAGCCTGTCCCCTTTATGACTTAAGCGTAGATCTGTTATAATGTAAGCGTGGACCCTTTATGAAATATTAAAGTTGGATTCTGCTTTGTTATGACTTAAACGTGGACCAGTTATAAAAACGATAAAATTGCGTCTAGCTTCGTTATTGTAAAGGAAGATGAAAGAAAGGTCCCAACTATATTGAGCACTTACTGATCTGATGATCGTAATCGCACAATTGGGAGCGGAAGTATTTAAGGGGCTGTGACACTGTAATATTTCATTGTTCTGCTTATATCCCCTGTACGTATAATCCAATTGGGAGAACACTATGTGTACAGAGATCGACTTAAAATCTGCTTCCAACGCATGCGATCACAAATAATGTGTCATTAAAAGCTAAAAAACTACAGCGTATAACAAGTGCAACGAATATAAGACTTAAATACAAAATTAACAGTTACATACCAGGAGTAATATTTCTTTGTCAAATATTGTAAGCCCATAGATGTTTTATTGCAAAGAATTATAAAATTTACATCAAAGTTTTCTTTTGCCCCATGCCAACAGGGATTAAAAAAAAATTTTGTTCACGAGTTTTTAATCAGCTTAAGCTTAACGTAGGTTAAAAACATTTTTGTCAGTCTACCAATCTACTATAATGGCCAACTTAAAAAAAAACCTTGCATCTAATTAAAATTGATTTTTTCAGATCAAAGACAACCACTATTACCTATCCGAAATAATAGTAATAGTTCCGGACATGTTGTATAAAATGCACGTTCTGGGCGAGTCCTTTTGTGTTCGTCATTATCTTCCTTAATTGGGGATATTCATCAGGTCTCTAGATCGTCTGCTGTATATGGTAATGGCAAAATCACAGCTTGTGTTTCATTAAAAGTGTTTATAAATAAATCATTGGCTTTGAAAGGGGTTATCGAGATATCAGGGAAACCCGCCACCAGATTCAGAATAAGGGGAATGATTGCAGCGATGTTTTTGTTGTAATGGGTAGATTTTTAATACCTACAGAAATCTCCGTTTCCAATTTTTATTTAAGGCATACTCATGACATTGTGTTTGTTGATCGTTAATCATTTGCTCAGCAATTTTCAATAGTTTATGTGCCTACAGACAGGATAACGTGATGATTATAAATTTGGGAATTTTTCTTCAGTTTCAAAAATAAAAATAAAAAAAAAAGGAAGACGGAAAGGTTTAGGTTAGAATACTAATATAGAAACCCACGTTTTTCTCTCGAAGACACCATCATTATAAGTGGGGAAGAACATGTATTGGAGAGATGTAGCTGCATGACATTTTGTACTCCGTATAGGATTTGGTCTAGTCCATAGGATATGACATCCATGTTCTCTCCGCAGAGTATTTGTATTACCTTGATCCCGGAAGAGAACATATAAATGAGATATCCTGGCCAATGACTGTCGGGAGCGGTTTTCTTTACCCACACATCGGAATTGTCAGGTAACACTGAAATGCATAGGTTTTGACACGACATCCTTAATGAGGAAATACTTTAACTCCTCAATTTGTATAAAGCGTTTGTTCCCATAACAAAAAAAGAAAAATTGCTGGTACACGTATGTCTTTCTATTTTTAAAACATGGCATTCTACGGCTTTCAATTAAAAGTGGCAATATGTCATTTTTCTTCTGCGCCATTAAGAGTGGTACCAGATGTAAAAAATAATAATAATCGTATCATTTACTAATTGTTTTGGTTCTCAAGTTCAGTATGAATAACAAAAAATTAAAAAAAGAAAAAATGGGCACAGCTCTTATAATTGATGTGCACTTAACATAATGACTCCTTCTTCACATAATGTTTGTACCTTTTTTTGGTAAATTGTTTTTTCTGTATATAGGTATAAACAGGTTATGACCATGTACGACGCTCCTGAAAAAAAGAATGAAAAAAATTGATCCTCATGTAAAAAAGTCATCGTTCAGAATTTCTAATCTTGATACCATAAGTCGATAGACAAAATTCCCATATTTATAAATAGTTGTTCCTCATTTTTAATATTACACAAAGAGTTTCTTTTTTTTTTGGTCTGATCCGCAAAATGGGCCAAGCAACTGTTTTTTTCTTTGTAATAAACAGCTTGCATTTCCTTCTTTCAACTTACAATGTATAACCTTTGTCTACATCGGACGGTTATTCACAACCTCCAATGGAAGCATTAGTCATGTAAAAGACTTGGGTATAGACTTATGAGATTGTGGTTGATTTGTATGTCTCTTATTTCAAAGCGAAAAAAAGATTTTCATATCACTGTCAAGTGTACGACCTACAATTAAAGTTTTTGAAACGATCGTAGTTTTGTTTGTTTGCATCTCCGAATGTCGTGTAACAGCGTAATGGTATAGACATTCAAGCACCTTTTCAAGTCTCCTCCCTTATATTTTTCTGAAAAAATAATAATCATTGTTTACTCTCTTTATTCTTATTCTTATTTTTTGAAAACACAATGATGTCGTGCTTTAAGGTTGAAGATATCGAAACTGGAAATGAAGACATTCTTGAAAATATTGAAACTGATTTCAACGGCGGAGGTAATGAAAAGAAATGTATGGTAGATCCTGTCTTTCATGAGGACACGCGATCCGAAGTGATTCTGCTTGATATTTCTACCAATAGAGAATGGTTGGCCTACATGACTTATCAAAAATACGATGACAACGGAACCACCCTGTATGCTAAGAACTCCAACAATCAGATCAGAACCTTCCTGACAAGACGTAAATTTGATGAAGTCGTCATTAAACAAGCCTCCGACGATGATACATTAACAACAGATCCAGAGGAGGATGCTCATGTCAGTATTGATATTACTCATCTATTGAAAGACCCTGGGCCAAATCATTGCAGATTCCTGTCCATCTCTCCTGATGGCAAATACGTGGTCTTGTCGTTTTATGAAAGAAATCCCAAAGACAATGCCGGTTTTTGGCCACCTCAAAACAAGGGTTGCCTTATTTTTAAAGTTTACGATAACGGGATATTCTTTCTGCATGCTGAAATGTATTGTGACGGTCGTGCTGTGTTTATCGGTGAAGATGATGACTATTCGCTTGTGCTAATAAATACACAGGCTGTCGAGGTGTATGCTGCATTTCCTGATATCACTGAAAGTAGTCATGTACTTGATTTATCCCAATTCCTGTTATCAATACAGCAACAAGAAGAGCTCTACACGGACGATCTGTATATTCAAAATTCATTATGGGTTGATACACAATCAGTTGAAGATAATTCAGATATAAACAGAATCATGTCGCTTTCTAGACATATTCAACACAATATGATTATTACGCATTTTACCGGTGGTCTTGCTCGTCTTTGGTCTCTTACAGAGGACGGTGGTTTGTTGACAGCGTTTCATGCAATAAAGGAGAATATCGTGGCATTCTCTAAGGACTCCACTTATGCCGCTACTGTGCCTTCCGAAACTACTCGCACCATCAACATTTACCACATCAAAAGTGGATCACTTGTTTACCAATTAAGGTCCCAAGTAGAAGAAGATTTGGACTTGGATTTTACAGTTTCTCACATTGATTTCTTTTACGGCGGTAAATACGTTTCCATGTCGGCTTTTGAAGGTGAACATGTAGTCTTTGAAGTCTGGTATATGGAAGCGGAAAAATCTATTTACAGAATCGCTAAGCCAGTCGTCACCGCAACGTTATCTTGGCAATATAGTAAATACATTCAACCTTTTGTCACCTGGACAGTCAATGAAGAAAATAAAAAGTGTCTGAAAGGTGTTTATGTGTGTTTCGAACAGAGTGATACTCCAAGTACGTATGCGATTGAACTAGATATAGATCAAGTCAACACGGAAAGCAGAATAGAATGGATTCAAGGAGACACTCTGCCTTTGATTGGAGGTGGTCATGAGATCTATAACAACTTGAATGATTACTCTAGACTCAAGTGTGCTCATTTTATCTTGCCTGAAACACAGTATCTTCTCCGTTTTGGTCAACACACGGTGCAACTTTGGAAATTATCAGAAAATAATTGTACAAAAGATAAATTAATTGCAAAAGAAGACGAACTTGTGTATATTCGAGCTTACAAGGGACCGGACTACGGTGTATTTTACTCGTTTCGCGAAAACTGGGAAATTCATAACTTTGACAGCATTAAATTGGTGGACGGTGTTTGCTCTGGAAGAATCTTGGTGAATATTACACAAAGTGCACCCGATCAAACCAGGTCAACATATCATACCGAAGAGCTATTTTTACCGTTGTCTATTCTTAGTAATGGCGTTCCCGATGCATCTACCACAGATTCCGACACACTAGCGGTTCAAAAAAGTTTTGATTATCACCGATTTGAAAGTGCATGTCAAGCGCTTCATTTTCTTACCTTTTATAATTCAAGTGCAACCCGAAATAAGGTAAATAATTTCTTTTAACGTTTTTTTATGAAACCGAAATTAACTTTAAGCGTAAATCATCAGGGAAACTATACCATGATGCTCTCTAAAACTGAAAATATCATCCACTCTACAATGAAGGATCTGGATAAGCAATCCAACTTTTTTTCAACGGTCGCCAGTAGCCGTACATTATCCATGCTTGCTTCATTCAAAAGTGGAAGAGACATCATCAAAATGCTGATCGGTATCGAGTTACCTATTCTCATCCTCAGTTATCCTGTCAGAACTCTAATCAAGACGAACGATACCGTCTGGCACAAACAAAAAAAAGGCAATTATCATCTATCAAACTTCTTTTTCAGAAACAGAAACACTTCTCAACAATCAGAGAGCAACATGCTTACAACAGCAAGAAACTCTGCCATATCCAATAATGGCATGTCATTTGTACCGGTTGTAGAATACAGAAACTCACGAAAAGAAACACGTTGTACCGATCTATCCAAAAGAAATGAAAACGTGTTGACAGTGTTGATTGAAGAAAATGAAAACGATTTGTATAAACTACTTTTTAACTGTATTTTACAGTGTTCGAAAACACGATCGGGTACCGGTGGTCTCTTGGCCTTGACGGATGCTCTTTTATTTCTTCAAAAGGAAGGAAACTCAGGTAAAAAAATAATGATAGTAAAAAAAAAAGTATTCGACTTTAATCCCAAATTGTTTAGATCTTTTATTAGAGAGTAGTCAAAAGCTATCCTTTGTATCCATAGAAAAGGAAAAACTAAATGCGCAAAAGCTTGAATTAAACCAAATAGAAAGAACGCATTATAACAAGACAGAGGTCAAAACAGGTGGTTTCAAGGTGTATACGTTAACGGAGCAAATTCACAAGTGTGGGAAATGGAGGCAAATAATGCGCTATTATACCGATCGAGTATCCGACCTATGGAAGACGTTCTCCAAGGGATCTAAAGATCATACATGGCACTCGTATCAAGTATGTGTACTCCAACTACCTCATACCAGCACATATGACTCAACTGTTGCTGCCCATTGTGATATTCTTGAAGGGTCTTACCAACATCGAAACAATATTTACCGACAGAGTGAAATTTTACATAAAGTGCTGCTCGAATATAAATACCAACAATTCATTCGGCGAAGATTATTTTATCTATTTGCTATCCATATTGTATACTATATTACGTTCTCCACTGGTGTTGTGTTTTCTCAAGAGCTGAATAATAACATTATCGAAACAAAATTTAGAGTGAGGTCACCGGGACAAATGGCTTCCATCGGGCTGATGTGTGCGGCGGCGGTTGTACTCATGCTACAAAAAATATGTCAATTTTGGACATCAAGTAGAAAATTGTCTTGGCTTTGTTCAATTTATCATTGGATAGATATTGCTGCTGTGATACTCCCTGTGTTTACATTTGTTCACATGATCAATGGATGGAGTCATTTTGTAAGTGTTTGGAAATAAGTGGCTTAAAAAATATTAACTAAAAAAAAAAAATGATAGAGTGAATTATGTAGTGCCACCACGTTAATTTTGTGGATACATGCTATATTCAGAATACGAGTGATTCCTTCATTTGTAAGTGTTATTCTTAAGGATTTAAGTAGTAGATTTTTTTGACTAATAAAGATTCGAATATTGTAGGGATACATTATTGAAACCGTGATTGAAACCGCCAGAATTGTGCGTTCTGTCGTTATCGTGATGCTTGTTGTCGTCTTTATGTTTACCAACACAAATATGGTTCTGATCCATTTAAAACCCGATGAATATTATCAAGAGAATTACAATGTGATTTATAGCGGCGTGGTGGGGAGTGATAATTCATTTGGCCACTCCAGTGGATCCTATGGATTTAGTAACGTCTTTCGATCCTTCTCGCAAATTTGTTATTTTATCTATGGCTCGTGGGATCCTGCCAATGATGGAGCTGAAGTAGAAAGCATTATATTTATTAAGGTGGTTTCTATTTTGTTCTCGGTCATGACGCTAGTGATGCTGTTTAATCTGCTCATGTAAGTTTCGAAAGATTTAACTTTTCTTGTGGTTTAAACTCACCCTTCTTTTTCTATTTCACAGCACTATCAGAGCGAACCGTTTGGATGACATACGGAAGCACGCAAGAGGTATCTGGTAAGGGGGAAAAAAAGCAAATATATAAAAAAAAACAAAAGAACTCATATCTGTCACTTGCAAAAAAAAAAAAAAAAAAGGGTTAAGCATTTTTCTGGTATGTGTGCTAATACAGAACAAGAAAAACTACAATGATACTCACATATTTTTTTAGCTGTAGCATTTGAATTAGAAAGTTATTGTCGTCCAAAAGATGCAAGGACGTTTATTCAAGAAAATCCAACCCATGTCTATTATTTAGCAACGGAAGAAGACGTCAAAAACCAGCAAGAAAAACTTGACAAGGAGACCAAGGATCTGTTGAAAAAATTGAAAGTTGGCAATTCTACAGAACCTCCTCCATGTGCTTGCTGCAAAAAGCAGTAGATGCTGTAATCACCTGTACTTTTTACCCCTCCTCCTCAATAGAAAAACTTGTAATCATTAAAAATTTCAAAAATTATAATTCGAGTGATACTCGTATGGGTGGGTTTAACTCACTTTTTATGTATTAATAACACATTGCTTTAGAAGATCTCCCGTGATGGATTGTAGACGTTCATAGGAGCATGTTTCTGATGACTACAATGCCGCATCAGCCAATCAGAAAAGGTATAGATATCTTTTTGTGGAGGGTTTTAATTTCTACTGTCAATTGTATGTTGTCATAATCTAGAAGTCTACGTACAATACAAATACGCTCAGGTGTGGATCATAGCGTCACTGCAATGACGGTCTTAGATAAGACTAAACAGCGTAATTTTAATAGTTCTCCAATAGCATATTAAAAAAGACTTGTATCATATGCAAGACACATTAAAGCAACCCCACCTTCCCATAAGAAGGAAAGCTCCCTTTTTTTGTTCATTTAGGCTCTAAAAAAAAGAGGCTTGACTAGTGTTTAGATCTCCAAGAATGTGAACATTGTTTTAGAATGTGGGGAACTCTTTTTTTTTTCTGCTTCTTATGGGCAACCGCAGCAGATAAGCAATTTATCATGATAATTAATAGAAAATGACAGTGTGGAGTTGCAGATAAGAGACACATGGAAATAAGCTCTTTATGAAGCTCAGGTGTCCACATCAATCATTGTTTTTTGTGTGTACCACGTACCACTTGTCTAATGAATTGAAACTAAGAGCTCACGTCACGATGTGATACACTTGGGGTTAATATTAAAATCTGTACTGTTGCATGCTAGTAGACAAATAGGTTATTTACAGAAGAATATATTTATTTTTTGTTGTCGTGTGTCAAAAGGGATATATTATATTAAATAGAGGAGGTGTGTGTGAGAGAGAGAGAGAGATTTTGAGTGAGATTAAGCTTTGGTGCCACGCTTCTTTTGATAATCCTTGATGGCAGATTTAATAGCATCTTCAGCCAACACTAAAAAGATGATGGATTAGTCATGTATTCATAGATGAATGAATAAAAAAAGGTTACTTACTGGAACAATGCAACTTGACGGGAGGTAAACACAATTCCTTAGCGATTTCCGTGTTTTTGATTTGACCGGCTTGTTCGAGGGTCATACCACGAACACGTTCAGTCATGAAACTGCTAGAGGCGATAGCAGAACCACAGCCAAATGTCTTGAACTTGACATCCACGATTTTACCTGTAGCATCATCGACCTTGATTTGTAATTTCATCACATCACCACAGGCAGGTGCACCAACGAGACCAGTACCTACATCCATATCGGTTTTAGGGAAAGATCCAACGTTACGGGGACGTTCGTAATGATCAATAACCTATAATTTGTTGTTTAGTCATCCATTTACACACACACAAATACACACTTTGGATATTATTAATCCATACCTTTTCATGGTAGAAGCGAGATCCAGAGATGGAAAGAGGTTTGTGAATAAGACGTGTTGAGCGGTTGATGGCGGAAATAGTAGTACGCAACATGGTTGTAATGTTTAGAATCAATGCAAGAAAAAGAAAAAAGAGATAATAAATAATATGAAAAAAAAAAGCTGGGGGGTCATAAAAATAATCAGATTTTTTTTTTTTTTTTTTTTTTTGCGACTGTGACTCTCAGCCAATGAGAATGGAGCGCAGAGATTATCTGATTGGGTTTGGACTCACAAAAGCATACAAAGCAGACAGAGCAGACCGAATCAGCCCGCAACTAAACATTGAATTTGTTGGGATTACATCATTATTTGAGTATGAAAAATGCAACCTATATTTGTGTGTGCCCCTTCCCTTGACCCTCCCCTTTCAAATGAGAGTGAGGGACTCCGCCTTTGCCTTTTTCTGGATTTTTTCTCAGTTACACACTACTCACGGGTGAGAGAAATGAGTGAGGACGTCAAAAATTAATGACAAATGTTTAAAAAAGATGAAGAAGAAAAGAGAGGTTTCCTTATTAAGTAGGGGTGTTATTTTAAAATAATAAAAAATCTTATTGTCTGTGCTTGCTTTGGTCATCCAATTTTTGTTATTATTTTTTTTTTTTTAATTTCCCTTTTTTTTTTTCCCACTTTTTTTATTTATTTGAAAAAGGTATTATTGTGTTCAATAAGTGAAAGGACGATAAAGATATAAAGATGCTATCAAAGGAGTTGACGCCCAAAGCGGTCAATATTATTCGACCGACAAGAGCAGAGGCACTTAACTATTCTTCTTCTACAGATTCCTCTACTAGTTTCTCTTTTACCACCAGTTCCGCGTCGACGACTTCGCCCATGATTCGTCAACCATCTGTCGAGACTAACCCGGGACTTTCTTTCTTTTGTCAATCACCTCTGCTTAAACAACCTCCTCCTCAGCAACAACTGCAACAACAGCAGATCCACCATGCGTCGTTTGAAAAGATTCAGTCTCAACCTCCTCTTGTCATTAGTCGAATCAACCTGACAAGAAAGCACACCACTGACCCCATCGACGACATTGATACTGAGGAGTCTATTCCAGCAGTCAAACAAAACCCTGTCACCCCTCCCATCACACACCCCGTCAAATTACCGTCCTTCAAAACAGGCTTTGGTATCATGACAGGTGGGTTAGCCTCCTTTATGTTACGAGGCAATATTACTTCTCCCGTCCTACCTGATGATGCCAGAGCAAATCGAAAGGTACAACAACAACACATACCTCACTGGGGAATGAATTTTTTTTTATTTCTTACTAAACTGACCAACCCCTTTAACTTTTAATAGATCCAAGACTTGGAAATTGAGAAAAAGTCCTTATTAACACTAAACCAAACATTGGAGACCGTTGTCAAAGAACAGTCCAATACCATCCATGATTTACAAGATAGATTAGCTGCGTAAGTACACACACTCATTATCTCAAGAGTGTGGCTCATCATCGTGCAGAATAGAAAGGCCACTGACTCCTGGCTTGGACACTTCCACAAGTAAGAACGGTATCATGGTACACATACACATTTTTGTTTAAAAAGAGAGAGAGAGAGCGAGAGTGAGAGAGTGTAAAACATACCCACAGGTAGATAACCTCTTTCTTCCTTTCTTTATATATATATTATTATACATAGTCTTGCACAGATCTGGTACAACAATCATCTGACCTACAACGGTGTTTAGAGGACGAGGATGCAGCGTTTGAAAGAATTCGGATCATGTTGCTTGACCTTATTGAGCAGGCTCAATCAGCCGTTTTGCAGAACAAAAAAGTCGTGCGGGTGACGGAAGCGGAGGGTAATTTATCCCCCCAAAGAATACCTCTCTTTTTTATAATACATGTTGCTCATCTCTTTGTATAATATATAATAGCTACACGGACGAGACCAAGGTCAGCACTAGGCACACGCAACAGCATCACTCCAAATAGATCAGCAGCAGCAGTTGCAGGAGGAACGAGAAGGACATCGCTGGGCAGCATAAACAACACTCATCATGCAAACAAACAAATCTCTTTTTCTCCCACCACCTCACCTATACCTCATAGACGTTCCTCTATACAACGTACGCCTTCTTCTACCATTATGACAAAAAGTGCGAGTAATAGTTCCATGCATTCCACATACTCGAACGCCTCTTCTACAACATCAAGAGCATCAAAGTATAGTATCAAAAAAGAACGGGATTCCACTCCCAAGAAATGGAGCAACTAACTATAACAAAAAACAAAAAAAAAAAAAAAATTAAGCTTATGACAACACAACAAAAAAAAAAAAAAAAAAAAAAAAAACTATGTAATACCAACTTTTTTTTTTTTACCTATACATTTAATATGATATACCACTCTACCAACCCCCATTTTTTTTATCATTCCAGAAAAAGAAATATAATTTTTTTTTTTATTTTTTTTTTATTAAACTGTAAGATTTGTGTAAGAAAGATATCCGCGGTAGTCATTGGTAACCATTTGACATCACACATGGCAACCGTTTCTATCGTAACAACAAGTGACTACAAAAAAAAAAATGAAGATTTATTTAAAAAAATTACAATACAAGAAGTGTGTGAGAGTGAGTGATTTTTTTTTTTTTTTTGTTAAGAGTGAGAAAGGAACTAAAAAAGGGTGGGGGGTGGGGGAATATATAAAAAAAAAAAATAAACAAGGAAGAGGGGATAATTTTTACGAGGAGAGATGCACAAAATGAAAAATAAATAAAAATAATTAAAGTTTGTTAGTGGCAGGGTTGACATTTTGACGAGGCCAGGTGTAATCATTGGCATCACGATGATAACCATATTTCTTGACAAAGGCATCTAATTCCTTGGGACCACGCGAGCCATAAGGATACGACTTGATATCGACTTGAGAATCGTGGCCGTCAATCTGATGGAGTAAAGGTGTAAAGATCTTCCAGGCACGCTCCAATTCATCATCACGCACAAAGTTGGAATGATCGTTACGTAATACATCCAAAATAAGCGATTCGTAAGCATCAGGTATATGTAATTCCGAGTAACGTTCGTGGTAAGATAAGTCCAAATCGGTTTGGATGGTCTGGTAGGACAAGCCAGGTTGTTTGTTGTTGAACTTCATGTAGACCGCTTCTTTGGGTTGGATACGGATCACGAGTTCATTACGTGCAGATCCACTGAATAAGTTACCAGCAACGTGATGGAATTGAATACGCACTTCCACCTTGGCTTCGTTTAAAGCTTTACCGGCCTTTAAAATAAATGGAACTCCTTCCCAACGTTCATTGTTGACCCAACACACAGCAGCAGCAAAGGTAGGTGTCAAACTGTCCTTGGCCTTGATTGTCTCATCCTCGAGATAACCAGGCTTACCATCAGCAGCAACATATTGACCTAAAAGTGTGTCTTCCAAAGCAATGGGTTGAATGCATTTCAATACCTTGACTTTTTCATCACGAATTGCTTCCGAATCGGTTGAAATAGGTCTTTCCATGGCGATTAAAGTAAGTACTTGCAACAAGTCTAATAAAAAATGTGATTTAATTTAGTACATAATACTAATTACACACACACACACACTTATACTTACGGTTTTGGATAACATCACGGATAATACCGAATTCGTCAAAATAACCACCACGACCCTCGGTTCCGAAAGGCTCCTTGAATGTAATTTGGATATTGTCAATGTTACTGCGATTCCAAATTTGGGAAAAGAAGATGTTTGCGAAACGAAGATTCATGATATTCTTGACCATCTCCTTACCGAGGTAATGGTCAATACGGTAGATCTAATTTTTAGGTGATTAGTCAAGGCCTATAAAAAAAAATTTTTTTTTTGTGACTCACCTCGTTTTCAGTGAAAAGAGCGCCTAATTCACGACCTAAATGGTTTGAACTCTCAGAATCCATACCAAAGGGTTTTTCGACAACGAGACGATTGATACCGTTGGCTGCATAGACGTTACGTTTTAAGCCTTGAGCAACGGGGATGAAGACGGAAGGAGGTAAAGCCATGTAGAAAACACGGTTGGGGGAGGCGACTTTGCGTTCGATTTCGCTGTTGGTGATAAAGGTGTTTAATTGTTGATAGGAGGCATCTTGATCGTATTGACCCGAGACATAATCTGTCAAGTTTTTGAACTCTTCCAATTTATCACCATCGTCACCGACTTTGATGTATTGCGTAATACGTTTCAAATAATCCTCGTGATCCATCTTGGTACGTGCATAACCAACAATACGTACATTATCCGGTAAGAATCCGTTACGATAAAGTCCAAATAAGGCCGGGTACGTCTTTTTCTTTGCAAGATCGCCAGAGGCACCGAGCACTACATGAAAAATAAAATAAAAAAGGTTATTATTGTGCTACCTCTCATAACTTTTTTTTTTAAAAAAAAAATCGTATTTACCAACAATCGTAACAGAGTCTCCGAGTTCCTTGGTTACTTGGTCGCGTAGTAATTGCACAGCAGAAGTCATTTTTTTTTTATTGGGATAATAATTTAGTGAAAAGAGAAAAAAAGAAAAGGAGAAGAAATAAAAAAAAAAAAAAAAGATTTAATTTTAAAATCCCTTGCACCACAATCAACCAATGACTGATAGCTTATAAATGCATTTTTTCCCAGCTCCTGAGGAGAAAATAATAAAAAATAATATCCCGGAATGTTTACAATTTAATTTGGGATTTTCCAGCGTTCTAACAGATAGTGGGGGGAAAGAAGGGGCTTAATAGTGATTATTCGTCCTACGGTGACAGCGCTTTCTGCTTTGATACACATCAGTGTGATATTGCGAAAGATGATATCGAGCCAATCATGGCTGTGCAGCGGAAACTAAAGTCGCGTTTTATTGGACAGAAATACATGTCAAAATGAAACAAAGTTTTTTGGACCCTGAAAAAAAAAAAAGATATAGCAACACTATTGCGAATACCCGTGAAATCCCGCAAAAAAAAAAGTTGTACGCGTAATAGTTTTCTATTTTTTAATGTTTTACCCGAGATTTCCAATTGATAAAGTGTCATCTGATATGAGATTTCTTCCGCTTGCCCAATATTTCATATCTTAAATGCGAAATCCCCACACTTCCAACTCGACGCATTCGAACTCGGGGTTAGGCGTTAATCGTTCATTATCAAAGGTGGGACAAGGCTGACTATAGCCCTTTTCTAACTCTGAGTTTATCCATAAGCCGAACACGCCCTCACTTTTATCACATATTAAGAAAAAAAATCAAAAAATTTAAGTAACCCCAACGCTTTTTTTTTTTCCGTAAATCTCTTAATTTGTCATCCTTACCCTCCGCCAATCGCAATAAAATCTGGTTCTGAAAGAATCATATATTCATTTTTGCCAGTCCATTTGTACGTCGTGATTTTGGATTCCGTCTCACTCCACTTCCACAAAAAACTAGAAAATTCATGCATCAATGATTTTTTATTCTTCTTTTTCTTCTTTTTTTTTTTTTTTTACCATTCTCCTGTGCCGTAATAACGAGATCCTGATTTTAAAGTTTCGTTTAAAAACGCGCCAAACACCTAAAAAATGCTCTTATAGATTAGCAACGAATCATCACTTTTTTTAATATAAAATGCTTACATTATCATCTGCATCCTTTACAACTAATACAATAGGTCCCTTTGTATTCTTGACTAACCGATATAACGTGCTTAAACTGATCCCATGTTGATCCAAACTATAAAGCAAATTCATTTCCGTTGCAAGTCGATACCTTCTTGGTAATTGCACTCGAAGCTATGATAGAAAAACATGATGAGAATGACACACATGCACACATTGTTAATCATTCAGTTTTACAGCATTGGCTATTCTTTCCGTCAGGACTTTGTCTGTGTCGCCTCGACGGTCTGTCAACTTTATTGCATTCATTAGACAAACTGTTCAATGTAAGATGAGAAAAAGAACCCTAAAAAATAAAAAAAAATAAAAAACTTGTTCCCGGGTCTATCATTGTAGCTTTTTTTTTTGGACCTCCGGAACATTGAAAGCCTCGGTTTGATTGGATCAGACTCATTCTTATTTAATGTCTCTTTTTTTTTTTTTTGTTCTTTCTCTTTTTTTATCAACATTATGCTAGCTGTCCATGCGTTGAAAAGTCAAGGTGTAAAGCACCTCGGTAAGCACTTCTATACAGACAGAAGACCACGTAGTAACACACAAGAAAGCCTGGAAAAGGTTTAAATCAACAGAAGCCATCAAACCTTTACAAGGTATCCGAGTTTTAGAACTTGGACAGGTAAATAAGAAAAAATCTCGCCCTCTTCCTTGCGTACACTCAGTACCTTCATAGCTTGTAGCAGGACCCTTTTGTGGCTCAATCCTTGGATATTACGGAGCAGGTAATACATACAGGAAATTAATCTTCTTGTGTATGCATTGAATTAACCCATCTCTTTTACTTGTAGAGGTTGTAAGTTACATGAATATACACACACAGAGAGAGAGACAAATGGGGAGGCATTGAAAAGACTAGATATTAGATTAAAGTAGAACCACCCAAGATTGGAGATCCTTTACGTATTTGGCGCCACTTGGATAAAGATGGTCAGAGTGCATGGTCCAGATCTCTTTCACGCAACAAGAAATCCATTACGCTGGATTTGAAGACGCAAGAGGGAAGAGACCTTGTCAAACAATTGGCTGAGCAATCCGATGTGCTTATTGAGAACTTTAAGCCTGGCACCATGGAGAAATGGGGATTAGGACCCGGTAATAAATAAAATAAAAAAAAAAAGGATTTGGGTTTTATGAGAGGAAGAAACTTACATGCACACAAGAGGATATTTACCCTGCCAATCCAAAGTTGATTTATACACGTATCTCTGGCTATGGTCAAACAGGACCTTATTCAAAACGACCTGGGTATGCTTCTGTCTGTGAAGGTATGGGTGGATTCCGGTTTGTCAATGGTCACCCTGGAGATCCTCCTGTCAGACCCAATATGAGTCTAGGCGACTCTTTAGCAGGTTTACATGCTGCTTTGGGCGTACTTTTAGGTTTAATCGCAAAGAACAAACTCGCTTCACAAACAGAGAGAACAGGGCAAGTGGTAGATGTTGCTATATACGAAAGTATGTTGAATATGATGGAAGGGGTCGTACCTGAATTTGATCGCTTTGATGAGGTAAGTTCATCATCCCCCCCCTTTTTTTTTTGTCAAAACTGTACCACATGGCTTATTTCTTCCTTGTATAGATACGTCAACCTTCTGGTACGACTGTCACAGGTATTGTACCTACAAACACCTATCCTTGTAAAGACGGTAAACATGTCATCATTGGTGGCAATGGCGATAGTATCTATGTACGCCTGATGAACGCTATCGGAAGAAGTGATTTGGTAACAAAAGTCTCATTCATGGTTATATATATATATAAAACTCACGGCTTAATTATTTAGACTGGAGAGAAATACAAGGTTAATGCGGATAGAGTGAAAGAGCAAGAAGCTATTGATGGTGCCATTGGTAATATTTGGGATTGTAATCCAAGTAAATTAAGAAATTATTGTTATTAACTCATATAAATAGCGGCATGGACATTGGAACATACGACAGATGAGGTTTTGGAAGTGATGGAAAAAGTCTCTGTACCTGCAGGAAAGATATATGACGCCAAAGATATTGTAGAAGACGAACATATTAATGCTAGAGGCATGATTGAAAATGTCACTGTGGGTACCAAAGAAGAAGGACGGGGATGGAATGTTAAGGTAAAGTGTGCAAGCCAAGCAGTCATTGTATGTTTAAATTGACATACAAACATAAATTAGATTCCCGGCATGTCGCCTGTACTTGGTACAACTCCTGGATCAACTGAATGGGCTGGTAAGAAAGAAAATGAAGATTACAAATATGTCTTGACTCACTTTTTTTTTTGCTTGTTTTAACAAAAGGCCCGGATTTGGGTGAGCATACAAATCAAGTTTTGAAGGATTTATTGGGTCTGTCAGATTCAGAGATTAAAAAGTTAGAACAAGATGGAATTACAAAGCCAAAATAAAAAAAGTGATTGTGTCTTTAGAAAGTAAATTGCGTCTGTTTAAAGAGTAGCCAATGAAGTTTGAATGGGTTCGGCATATCCGGCTGTACGACATCAAGCTTCTTTCTTGCTTTTTCTTCATGATTAACCAACTAGAATAAATAATCACTAACATTGCTCCCCATATTTTTTTAAGGTAGATATGCGACTAGTCCCAAGTTATTTTCTTAACTTCTCATCTGAAGTATAAACATGTCCATAGTCTTTGCTCATAAAAAAAAAAAAAATTGTAATCAATCAATACTTGTAAGAAAAGCGCAGTTATTCCTTTTTTTATAAATAAACAATTATTTTATCCTGACATAATCCAGAACTTGTTTATCACTGACATAATATATAAATAAAAAATTATCTCATCCTGACATAATACTGAACTTGTTTATCAATCTCATAAATATATAAATAAAAAATTCGCCAATTTCTTTTCTTTTCCTTTTTCTTTTTTTTTTTTAAAAAAATGCCAAGTTCCAAGCAAAAGGTAAGCTTTATAATGAGTTTTTTTTTTTTTTTTTTTTTTTTTTTCTCAAACAAAGGCTAAGACAAGATATAGAGAGCAGTTTACATAAAAAGTTGAGGCTTACTGGTTTTTGTGTGAGACATGGGTGATATCATGTTTACGGCTGGTCACCGATATATCATGGGAACTTCTAAACGGGGGATTCACGTATTCTTTTACTACTACTTGTATCTCAAAGCTACCCCAACAGTGTCAAATAAACTTACTTGCTTCATATAATACCCTACATTCATTAGAGGCTGCGGGTTTTACCTTCTGATACTATCTTGTATCCTATGTCGTATTTAGGGTAAAGACACGGGTAAGTTTCAAATGAATCACAATTGTCTCCATCCAAATAACCAAACTATTATTATATAGTATGATACAAGATTTAATTTACTCACGTACCTTACCAAACTATACAATCGATTAGCTGCCAAAAAGATGATAATAATTGGTAAGTCGCTTGATTCTATTACCGCTATTACCATTATTCATACTCCTCATGTAGAGCCTGTTGATTGAAAAATACATGGGAATCACGGAAGTACAACACGAGGACTCGACTAATGCTTGGTGGCGGTGATTCGTTGTGGTGAATCAATGCTCGAGGTGGTGATTTCTGGTGGGGAATTAAGACCGGACAGTATATTCTACTGGAGAATTTAGTCACTTCCGACAGACATGAAACCAGTGATACTCGTGTCTGGTACGTCAATGGAAGTGTTATACTTGGGACAAAAATGTATAATAGTAAGTAAAATTAGCCTTATTGTCTATTTGTGCATTTCTAATTTTGAAAGAAGAACCTGCGTATGAAGAAGATGACTTGCTGAATTATTCAAGTACTTCTTGACCTGTTCAACAGCACATGCCTTCAGTTTAAGTCTTTCTGGGATATATAACTACATAAATCCGCATATGAAGAACATGTACTTTCAAAAACTGAACAAGTCACCACCAGGCGCCAGTGAAAGTCACACCAACAGTTCTGTTCTACAGGCGATGTCTTATATCTACGTGCTTATTCATGAAAATAAAACCATCGACGACATGCTGTCAAACATCAATTTGGGAAAAGCGCGACTTCTTCAGGATACGTTGATCGACAGTGACTCCGACAAGGCTCACGTAATCCTAGAAAAAAGATGCAACTAGAGCAATACACAACAATCTTGACTATTTGATTGACAAGCGGCAACTATCATCAACAGCATTGAGGGTACTCATCTCTGGAATGAAGCGGGTAATGAACAAGAGATGACCTTTTACAGATGTCTTTCCAGCTACCTAGACACTTTGTTCTTAAAAAGTCATATACAGATGGTCGAGTATGTATAAAGAGCAAAAGTTGGCATCTCTTTATAATTGTATCTCTTGTATAATCTTCAGTGGGCGAAACAGGCTGTTTAAGCAAACAAAATACTGATCGAAACCAACCGCCAACTTTTCCACGCAACAGGCCTTCTCCTACCTATTCCAGAAACATTGATCTTATTTTGCAATACAACGATAGTCAGAATATCGATTTATGCAGTAACGAATGGAAAAGGTCTAAAGTCACTCCCGATCTCGAACTGAAGCAGCAATAAAAAAACTTAAGAGTAAATGCCTCTATAATTAATAGTATGCATGTGCTTGGTGTTCCACAGTTATCGTTGTTGGCCATAGACATGATAGGTAATGAAACTGTGATCGACAAACTATACTCTATGGGCCTACATGGGTACATCTACGAATTGAAAAAAAGTAGAAGATTAATTCATCGCGACCACTTTATCAATCTTGGTTGTTTTAAAAGGCTTTGATGATGTTACTTGCGTTGAAGAAACCCTCTTAGACCTTTTCAAGTTTAGGGCCAGTAAATGTTTCTTTTTTTTTTTTTTTTTTGCCAATGAATAGCCGCGCTAAACCGGTCTCAATAAGAAAAAGGATGTAATTCCGCAATAAGAAAAAGGCCTAATAGAAGAGGTGAACAGACTGTTCTGCATTGGGACGAATCATTTGGAAAGGACTGGCAATAATAATATTCGTTATTTATTGTCCATTGTATTCCGTCCTAAAAAGACAAGGAGAAGACGACACATCGAAGCAGAATAGGCCACAGTTGACATCAATCCCAATTAGTGGAAGTGGTGATTCCGGGAAATCACATTACTCCATCCTTTACAATAATGCAACAACCGAGGAAAGGATCATCAGCTGTAAAATATAACATTGCTGTGTACAGCAAGAATACGTACATTTTAACTTGGTCAATAATTCAAACAATGATCCCCACAGAGGTAGAATATTGAGTCAAAAAAGGTAAATTAACATTTGTGCTTGCGTGTGTATCTTAGTATACTGACCATATGTTTTTTGTTTTTGTTTTTTGCAGGTTTGCATAATTATGTCAAGAATAATAAAACTCCATCATTACAAGGCTTTATCCCAAAGAACAAATTAAATTTGATGCAATGGTCTGAATACAATGCCGATACAAGTCCTATAGCTCTTTACAATTTGCGGAATAGTCGCTTCACCATGGCACTAAGAGACTACAATAAGTTGAATGTGATGTAAAAGGGTAAGTAATTTTATTACTTCGATTGATGTAGTGATTTTTTAACGAAATGTACGATTCACTTAAAGGAAAGGATCGTTCAAATGTGCTTTTTGGGATGAAATTATCAAGGGATCAAATGCATTGGTAAGTTTTGATTGTCTCCAGGTTGATATTGTTCGTATAACTAAGCAAGTACTACTTAGTATGAAAATGAAATCGAAGTTCATGATCATCTTCCGGTATTTCATCCCATACAATATAGGTAGTTGCACTCTCTTCGGGGACTGTCTTGGATTCAGCGACAGAGACTGTATAACCATCAGCAGCCATGGTGGTATTGCAAATCGCTAAGCACTGATTAAAACAAGCCTGGCACGCTTAAGGCACAGGCGCGAGCCAATTAAAATGCGTCCCTTCTATTTACAGTGTAGCTACAGCCATTTAGAGTCCGATCACAGCAGATGAACTGTCCTCATGGAAAGACTGATCCAATAGGTTGCTGGCAGAGGTAATGGCCATCGTGGGAACGCCCTAATTTTCTTTTTAGCTTTCAGCCGATCCGGTGCTTCTACGAAAAGGCGATTCCTGGTGTTGATCCAATGCTCGGAGGTGGTGATTCTTGGTGGTGATCCAATGCTCGGAGGTGATGATAAGTTGGCACTCCTTACATGACGAACATGTACTCGAAAATGTTGAACAAATCGCCACCAGGTGTTACTGAACTTAATACAAGAGTGATATTTCAGCAGCATGTCCACGTGCTTACTCAAGAAAACAAAACAATCGAGAACATGCTGCTGAAAGTCAATTTGGGAAAAGTGAAGCTCATACAGGATAGGTTGACGGATAGTGACTCCGACGAGGCTCACGTAATCCTTGAAAAAATGTAAGTAAATCAATACATGACAATCTTGACTATTATATTGAAAAGCTGCAACTATCATTAATAGTATTATGGATACCCAGCTCTGGAGCGAAGAGAATCATGAACAGGAAATGACGTATTACAGACGCAGTGATAACTGCTTTGGAAAACGGTAGAATTTGAAAAAAGTGAAAAGTGTCGTGTCCCAAAAAGTTCCCAGTGATAACTGCTTCGGAAAACGTTTTGCAAGCTATTTAGATACACCTCGTTGATTCCGTCATTAAGGAAGAGGATTGCTATAAAGGAGATGCACCGTGATATCGGTATTGTATGTGAGGCGGAAACTGCTACCAATGATGACGGTAATGCCAATCAGAATTTTTTTTTCTTCAAGTCTAAAAAAAGAAAGTGAAGTTCCTCGGAGCCCGGAGCGTGAAAAACGTTTTATATAAATTTTTCTTGTTTAAGTCTCATATATAGCTCTCTCCCATCATCCCACCGTCCAATCTCTTCTTCGAGCCTTAATCTTGCATATACCCTAATAAATAATTACTATAGTTTACCCCGTGAAGTTAATTTTTAGCATAATATCCTATTTGTGTCTAGCTGGGTTCGGTCTACACTATTTACTTTACAGGCGTTTAAAGTAAAGAGTATGTTATTTATGTGCTTAAATCGGACCCTATGCTTGCGCCCGTAACACTACTTGTAGAGTCTAGCAATACATATTTTCAATTACTCTTGTAACTCTGATTTTGGGACGCTCTAACCGGCTAGTATAACTGATTCGATAATACCTTATCGTGATAGTCACTGTTTTCTCAAAGCAGGTATACAAATCCTGGACTGGAGATGACAGCGTGCATACATCGGGTGTTGGAATGGCGTCCTCTGAACTAACCTTTTCCTGTTAATGATGAGTGTATATGTCGTGCTTGTTGGTCTTGATCACTGTATATCTGGTTAAAGCGTAAAAGCTTGATTACTTCGGCACACACTTGTTCTGGCAATTTATAATAAATCCACAACATGCTACCCTTGTGTATTGGAGGGATTAGGTCCCATATACCGCCAAATCAGGTTTTTGTCCAATAGGGAATGGGTCTAAAAGATTTCTTTTTGGCAAGCATTTTTTTTTTTAAAGAAAAAAAGTGCATCAATCAATGCTGCTTTTTGTATTTAAAATTATTGCTACAATAACCAAAAATTGAGTATAACACAAAATCATTATTTTAAAATAACTTCTTTTAATAAATAATGCTATTAATGGGATTTCTGTACAATCATAAAAAGCAAAGTGTGGTGACTGGATCTTTTTTTTTATGGAAGGTTACGATTTTGGCAAATGAATAATAGACAAGTAAAGATGCTGTGGTTGAAGTATGTTCTGTTGTTAAAAGTAGGCATCCATTTAGGTTTTATGAACTATTTTAGTTATGTATTATAGTCTTAACTGTATCACTATATAGTTAAATAAACCATTTATAATAATACTATCCCACTCTCTCATTAAGCAGCTAATATATCGAAGGAACTATAAAGATCAAGTTCTTCTTTCTTATGATTTCAGAGAGCGTTTTCTTACACTAATCAAGATATTAAACTCGACAGTTTTTAAACCTTTCTGTTCAACATTTCACACGAGCTATAAATAAAAAAATGATGTTACCTTGTACTACGTTTGTATTATATGATCTCCCATATATTATGGCATGTGTTATCAATTTAGTGTCTGTACATCTAGAACACTTTATGAGTCTGTAACTTTTTGATCTCCTTTTCTTTTCTCTCTTTTCTCTCTTTTCTCTCTTTTCGTTTTTTCCCCATCTATCCATTCTTTTTTAACAGTCTCTTACAAAGACTCTCCTCTCCCTTCCTTATGTTTAATAGAAAAACCTTAGTGATATGCTTAGCATTGATTGCCTTATGTCAGTTTGTCAAGGCTCAGCTTGGTCCCGAGATTATATCCCCCGTACAAAATGCAACTGTTGAACCAGGACAAAAAATTGATATTGTGTACCAGTATCAGAATATGGGTGCCGGTAACTACACCATCGATGTTCAATTGTGGCAAGATGCTGCTGTTTCCATCCCAATCAACGATGTAGTGATTGATCAGCCTATTGCCTCAGGAAACTCTAGCGGTGTGAAAGTCAGCTTTTTGTTAAACAGCACCTATTCATGGAAAGTACCTCATGGTCTCAATGAAACCTTTTGGTTGACTGTGACTGAAGGTGCTCAAACCCCATTTTATAGTAAGGGTGTCAATCTTCGCTCTCGTCCTGTCATGCTTCATACAAGCGCGGCTGCAACCTTAATGACAAAACCCGCAAGTATTGCCGTAGTATTTATTGTATCGCTTATTACTCTGGTTCTGTTATAAATGATTCTCTAGAAAATCGCTTTGCTTATTATTTTATATACATTAATTTACATAAAACAAATTTTAATTAATATCAGCCAGAAGAACGTTCAAAGAATATTATCAATATTTTAAGTTACCGTATTAATTTAGTTGCACTTCAGTACGAATAACTTAAAAAATGTAGTAGCCATATTTAAGACTGTTTGGTTGTACTCAGAAAGTACACCTCCTTTACTTACATATAAAAGCAGACGTCTTGTAGCTCTGGGAGAGTTTATACTGACAGGGTGAGCCTTGGACGCATCATACTTTTTTATCTGTACTTCTAAGAATGATCAGTCAAAGTGAATTGTTGCTGTCAATGCCAAACAACTGCAGACGTTGCGGATCAATTTACTTTTTACGAGATCACACAGGACATAAATTACTTTTTTATTTGTTTTGAATACCCGATTGAATGGTGGGGGGACACCAGGTTGGGAAAAAAAAGCTGTTGTGGGCCAATTATTCTTTTCGTTTCCACTAATAAAAAAAAGTCGCGATTTTTTTTTTGTAATGGCATCTGCAACCAAAGAACAACAAGTAACCAAGCTTTTCACAGACTTGAAAAACGCTGTTCAAGATTATGACGATGAACGTAGCTTAGAAATTTGTGATGAGTTAATCAAATTAAACCCTGATGACCTCGTTACGCTTCAATGTAAAATCGTTTCCTTGATTCGTCTCGAAAAGTACAAGGAAGCACTTTCCATTATTGCTCGTCAATTCAGAAATAGTGATGTAGACTTGTCTTATGAAAAGATTTATTGTTACTATCGCACAAACCAGTTGGTCCCTGCTATGGAGCTTTTAGAGGAACTCAAGTCCAAGAGTGAAGCCCAAAATCCTTCATTGTTGTATCTTGAAGCTCAGTTGGTAAATAATCCCAATAAAAAACTATTGAAATGCAACTTATACACTAATATGCTTCCTACCTTCTTTTTAGTTGTATTCTCAAGGTCAATTTGAAAAGACCATTCAAGTTTACGAAACTCTCTTAAAGTCATCTGACAAGAACGATAGTCTTTATGATGAAATTCAAGTTAATTTATTAGCCGCCAAAGCCGGCTTATTATTCTCTTCTAGCAAGGCTGAGGAGAAGGACAAGGCTGATTTGAAGGAAAGTGCTGATCTTTACGAAGTTGCATATAACGCTGCCTCTGTCTATTTGGCTCGTGGCGACCTCAAGAAGGCTCAACAACAACTCGAATTAGCTAAAAGTAAGTCGTGCGGCAGGAATATAATGGCTGAGGAAACTAACTTTTTTATGTTAAAGAGCAATGCAATGAGAGAGCTAATGGAATGAGCAAAGAGGAACATGAGGAGGAATTAGCTGTTATTTCAACCCAACTTGGTTACACCTATCAATTACAAGGACGCTCCGCCGATGCAATCAAGATTTATAAATCTCTTTTGAGTTCAGAGTAAGTTTAGCAAGAAGGGAAAAAGTGATAGAAAAAAAGTTCAATTTTAGTAACATAAGGGCTATAGAGATATCGCAGTGGCAGCTGTTGTATCCAATAACATGGTCGCTATTGAACAAACAAAGGATTTGGAAGATGTTTCCAAGAAATTGAAGGTTGCAACTAGCAAAGAGGCTGAAGCAAGACTTAAAAACTATCAAAAGCGCGTTATTGCTATGAATGAAAGTTTATTACAACTCTACACCAACAAATACTCTGCTTGCAGAGATCAAGCACAAAAATTGACTGAAAAATATCCTGACAATGATAACCTTTATCTTATTTTGGCAAGCGCCACCTATCATCAACATAAAGCCGCAAAAGCTGTTGACGAACTTAAAAAGTATTCCGAAAAGAAACCTTCTTCTCTTGCTATTCGTTTCGCCACTATCCAATTACAATTGCTCGAATCTCAACCTGCCGCTGCCCTGTCAACATTAGAAAGCTATTTGGAGTCTGTCAAGGATGATAAGAAGGCTTATTATAAGCCTGCTGTCGTTGCTTTATTGGTTTGGTTATATGAACAAACCGGTCAATCCGAAAAAGCCATGGAAACATTGGACGAAGCTTCCAAGGTCTGGAAGAGCGATAGCTCATTCAAATCCGACACTGTTGCACCCACTTCTACCATCAAACAAACTGCTGCTTTCAAGTTAAAGACAGGCCGTTTCCAAGACGCTGTTGCCGACTATGAACAACTTGTGAAAGCCGATCCTTCTGATGCTCAATCTATTGCCGGTTTAATCGCTGCTTATGCCGAAGTAGATCCCAAAAAGGCCGAGCAATATGGTAATGCTTTACCTTCTATTGCTTTAAATAACTTGGATGTCGATACACTCGAAAAGATTGTTCCTGGTGTCAAGCGTGGATATGTTAAAAAAGATCCTAATGGTGTGCATGTCAAGAAACCAAAGAACAAGAAGAAGAGAGCCACTTTATTGCCCAAGAAATTCGATCCTAATGTTAAGCCCGATCCTGAGCGTTGGGTACCCAAACAAGAAAGATCCACTTTCCGTATGAAGGGTAAAAATAAGAAGGCCTTAAATAAGGGTCCTCAGGGTGTTTCTATGGAAGGAGGTGGAATTGGTGGCACGGGTAGTGCCAATATTGGCGGCAAAAAGGCTGCCACTCCTGCAGCAGCAGCTGTAGTTGAAGCTGTTCCCGAGCCAGTTAAATCAAAACCTGTTGCTACACCTAGTTCAAAGAGCGGTGGCAACAAGAAGAAGAAGGGAAAGGGAAGAAAATAAAGTGCTTTTAATAATAAATAAATAAAAATAATCGAAAACTGCTTTCCACGTAACGATATCTATCCGTCTCTATCTTGTGAAAACTAGTCCAAATTTCAATCTAAAATCGGCCAATGGGCTATTTCGGGTATTAGTAGTGTATTGTTTCGTTTTACATCATCTTACTAAAAGATAATGTGACTTATATGAAGGTAAATCCAATGTAGCTTTCACGAGACATCAGAAGACAAATTTGCTAAGCTCCATCTGGTCAAGAAAGAACGGTAACCGCCGTTTAAATATTTTAATACTATATTTAGGTATCTTTTTGCTGGAAAGGGTGCCTAGAAAGCTTATTAACCTATACGGTATCCATCTGCTTTAGTAATATTGGTTTTGTAAAGAATTAATATATGAAGTATATATGATAAAACATACAACATAAAGTACCTTGAATCTATGCCATATTACAAAGGGTGAATGGTGTTTCGATCAGGTAAATAAGGCAAAACTATTTTCTTGGCCACTTTCATCCCCTTCTATAGCTATTACTGGACTTAAAACTATTTTGGCTTACTAACTGTCGTCTAAGCATTGCTTTAACTATTTTTTAAAAGGCATAGCACAGAAATAAACTGTTCAATGCATCACGTTTTAAAAGCACGATACAATTTTATAAACTGTTTTTTATTCACAATCCACGTATATTTATCAACTTCACTCCCTTTTTTTAGATTTTATGCATGGATGCCGAAAAACTTTTAAGCAAAACAGTTCATCACAGTAACTATTGTCAAAATGATTGCAAGTGTTGTCAATATTTTGTGTTCTAAAAATAAACATAATATGTTGTGCATTTGTACGAATGCTAATGAGGGATCACAAAAAATATAAGCATATCTGGAACAGATAGGTAAACTAACAAGAAATGGATCATAAACTGATCAAGTAACTATATAAAACTTACAAACATAACAAATCCAAATGAGGTTTGATCAATATTCAACTCTATAATACATCAATTATTAAATAAAAATAAATTTAATGCTCAAACATGTCTCAATAAGGATACATGTCGTGTACTTTTTAATGTTTTGCAATTGAAAACCCCTTATAAACCCTCCTTCCCCTTTTCGTTTTATCTTTTTCTCCTCATCTCAACATGAACAACAATGTAGCTTTTCTATTACGTAAACGGTCTGTAAAAGCTTTAATTGCTCTCCTCTTGATATGCAGTAGTATATTCTGTCTTATTTCTGTTCAACCCACACTGGTGACAGATTTTGGCTACTACACAAGGCCGTTCTGGGACCGAGATCCTAATTCGTTCAACATGATTCCTCATTACTACGCAGAAGATGTGCCATTGCAAGATCTATGTCAACTTCACGGCTGGAAACTTAAAAGTGAAAGTGACCAGCAGACTGTCAAGGTGTACGACGCAATCATATTTAGTGTGGAACTTGATCTGTTACAAGTCCGTATACGAGAATTATGGGATGTAGTGGATATGTTTATTATATTGGAGTCCAATGCAACATTTACGGGTAAAACCAAACCTTATACGTATAATGAAAACAAGAAAGATTTTGAATTTGCGGCAAGTAAAATCCATCACGTTATGATCGAGCAATATGAACTTCCGGAAGGAGAAGGACCATTTTACAATGAAGGAAAGATGAGACAAGCTATGAATAATGCCATTGTCGAAGCGGGAGTGAAGACAAATGATATGGTTCTTATGTCAGATGTGGATGAGATTATTCGTTCGAAAAGCTTAAATGTGCTAAAGATGTGTGACGGAGTCCCAAACAAATTACACTTGCAGTTACGGAATTACATGTTTTCATTTGAATTTTTTGTTGATCAAAGTTCATGGAGAGCTCATATTGTTAGATACACTGCAGGAGAAACATTTTATACACATGGTCAGATTACCGAGAATTTATTATCAGATGCAGGTATGTCTCTTTATTATGCATATCGACACATAGAATACTAAATAACAATAATAGGATGGCATTGCTCCTTTTGCTTTCGTACCATCAAAGAATTTCAGTTTAAAATGAAAAGTTATTCTCATTCAGACAGAGTTAGATATGAGGGATTGCTGGATCCATCAAGGATACAAAAGACTATATGCGACGGAACAGATATATTTGATATGCCACCTGAATCATACACTTACAAGGACATGATTTCAAAATTAGGTGCAATAGAATCAACAATGTCAGGTGTAGGTTTACCATCCTCACTATTGAAAAATGCAGACAAATACAAATTCTTGCTACCCGGTGGCTGTATGAGAGAAGACTTTGTTGTTTGATGACCACATGATCTGTGGTAGTTGTCACAATTTGTATAACACTGATTTAAACCCCCTTCTCTCTCTCTTTCTTCTTCTCTTCTCTTCTTTCTTCCTTTTTCTTCCTTAATAAAATACAATGTCTGGAAACAACATTAAGGTCGTATGTCGTTTTCGTCCTCAAAACTCACTTGAAAACAGAGAAGGTGGTGTTCCAATTATTTCCATTGATGAAGAAGGAACCAATGTACAATTAAAGGTAGCAAACATCATCATCTTTTTTTCGGGTCGTCGCTTTACTAACCAAGTAACGAATAGGGCGAAGCAACCAATAACTTTGCCTTTGACAAAGTGTTCGGAATGAATACACCACAAAAAGATGTATTTGAGTACTCCATTAAAAGCATTGTCGATGGTAAGAATATTCTTACTCATGTGTGACAGCATATACTTACGCAAATACAGATGTCACCGCTGGTTATAACGGCACTGTTTTTGCTTACGGTCAAACTGGTTCTGGTAAAACCTTTACAATGATGGTAAAATTAAAAATGCGTACCTTTTTTTTTTTTGTGTATTTCAAACCCCCTCTCAACAAAAAAGTAATAATTATAGGGTGCTGATATTGACGATGAGAATACAAAGGGTATTATTCCTCGTATTATTGAACAAATATTTACAAGCATCAATGACGCACCGAGTAATCTTGAATTCACTGTGAAAGTGTCTTATATGGAAATTTATATGGAAAAAGTGAGAGATTTATTCAATCGTAAGTTTATAAGATTATTTTAATTTATTTGTATCCTTACATTTTATTTGTTGGTAGCTTCTGCTGATAATTTGGCCATTCACGAAGATAAGACACGCGGTGTTTATGTGAAAGATTTATGTGAAATTTATGTTTCCAATACAGCTGAGGTGTATCTCGCCATGAAGAATGGTAGTAGTAATCGTGTTGTAGCCTATACAAGTAAGTTTTTTTTTTTTTTTTTAAAAAAAAAAGCCCGTATTGCCTATATGCTATATTTGTACTCATATACATAAAAAGACATGAACGCCGAGAGTTCTCGTTCTCATTCCATTGTTGTGATCACAATCACACAAAAGAATTTAGATACTGGAGCTGCAAAAAGTGGTAAACTCTATCTTGTCGATTTGGCTGGTTCAGAAAAAGTTGGTAAAACAGGTGCATCCGGCCAAACATTAGAAGAGGCTAAAAAGATTAACAAATCACTAACCGCACTTGGTATGGTCATCAATTCTTTAACCGATGGAAAATCCAGCCATATCCCTTATCGTGATTCCAAGTTGACACGTATCTTGCAAGAATCACTTGGTGGTAATTCTCGTACTACTTTAATCATTAATTGTTCTCCTTCTTCATACAATGAAGCAGAATCTATATCCACCCTTCGATTTGGTATGCGTGCTAAATCCATCAAGAATAAAGCCAAGGTTAATGCTGATCTATCTCCTGCTGAACTCAAGGCACTTTTAAAAAAAGTCAAATCAGAAACAATTACTTTCCAAACATATATTGCTGCTTTGGAAGGTGAAGTTTCAGTCTGGCGTAACGGAAAAACCTTGGCCGAAGATAAATGGGTTTCGCTGGATAAAATTAATAAAGGTGACTTTAATGCTCTACCTCCTGCCTCAAATTTTAAAGCTTTATCGGTGGCCGATGATTCTTCTCGTCCTACAACACCCTCTGTTGTACTTGAGAAAGATGAGCGTGAAGAATTGTTAAAGCGTGAGAATGAACTCATGGATCAAATAGCCGAAAAGGAAACCGAACTAGCAAATCGTGAAAAATTACTAGAGTCGTTGAAGGAAGAAATGGGTTACTACAAGGAGCAAGAGGCTGCTGTCACAAAAGAAAATCAACAAATGACCTCTGAATTGAGTGAGCTCAAATTGCAACTTCAAAAGATTTCTTATGAAAGTAAAGAAAATGCTATCAATGTAGACTCTTTAAAGGAAGCCAATCAAGAGTTGATTGTCGAACTAGAAGAGTTAAAGAAGAACCTTGTCGAAGTCCGATTAGCTCACAAGGATAGCACAGATAATGAAAAAGAAAAGAAAAAGGCTCAAAAATTGGCCCAGATCATGTTTAAATTGGATCCATCTGTAAATATTTATCACACATTTGTTTACAACATAACTCGTATTAACTTTTTTTTTTATGCACTAGAGCGAAATAAACGAAAAAGAACGTCAAATTCGTGATTCTCTCCATAAGATTGAGACTGAGGGCCATGGATCACTCAGTTTAGAAGAGCTTGTCTCTCTTCGTCGAGATTTAGTGGATTCAAAAATTTTGTTAGATCAGCATGCAAAGACAATCACAGATATCACACAAGAAAAGGAGATACTTGACAAGAGAAAGTTGGAATTAGACGGTCGCTTAGGTAAACTTGAAAAAGAATACGAAGAACTTTTAGACAAGACCATTGCTGAAGAGGAAGTTTCTGCACAAAAAAATGCTGACATGGAACAAACTCTCACCAACTTGAAGGTATTTTATTAAATTATTCAATGCAAGAAGCATTGCTGACCCTTTTTTTTTTTTTTGTATAGAGTAAATTAGAGGCACAATATGCATCCAAAAAAGAGATGCAGGAAAAAGAAGTGGAGGATCTCAAGACAGAGATTTCAACAAAGAATGACAATCTTCACAAACTCACAGCATCTTTATCGGAGCTTAAGGATGCCAACGATCAACTTCAACTTGCTCTTTCTGATCAACCTATGCAGAATCAAAACGGTGATTTGACAGAACGTGAAAAAGAACTAGAGCGTATGCGCAAGAGCATGGCTAAGGAATTAGCTGATTTTGAAACCATGAAGAAGGTTTTGATGCGTGATCTTCAGACCCGTTGTGAAAAGGTCGTTGAACTTGAAATGTCATTGGATGAAACCCGTGAACAGTACCAGAATGTTTTAAGAGCAAGTAACAACAAGGCACAACAAAAAAAGATGGCATTCTTGGAGCGTAATTTAGAACAATTAACAAATGTTCAAAAGCAGGTAAGAATCATACAGGTGCATGCATATCAAAAATTTACCCTTTTCTTTTTCTTCAGCTTGTAGAACAGAATTCCTCCTTAAAGAAGGAAGTCGCTATAGCTGAACGTAAGCTTATTGCACGTAATGAGCGTATCCAAAGTCTTGAAACTCTCTTACAAGATGCCCAAGATAAATTGATTAACCAAAATCAAAAGTTCGAAGCCCAGCTTCAAGCAGTTCGTGAACGTCTTGAGCAAGCACGTACCCAAAAATCTCAATCTCCCATGTCGTTAAACTTTGGCCGTGTCGCTAAACCTCTTCGTGGAGGCGGAGCTATTGTTGAAAATGGTGAAAATTCACCTACATCGCCAAGTGAGAAACGTGAAAAGCGAAACTCTTGGATTCCTGGTTTCATGGGTTCAAGATAAGAAACAACCCTTATATTATTCCCCCTCTCCATGATTTTTTTTTATTATTATTACTATACTAGTGAAAAATATTCACACACACACACACACACACACACACACACACACACACACACACCTCTTGATATACCAAAATAAATATAAAAAACAGCTAATTCCATGTTTGTTAATACACACCTTTTTATTCATGGTATACGAGTATTTAATCCGCCAGGGATTCATTTATAATATCATGCAAACGATCAATCAACTCAGGCCATCCTTCCAATGCCTCCATAACACCATTCATCCAAGCTACATCGTCAGGCTGTTTTCTTCTTGTACAGCATATAAGACGGGTTAACTTACAGTCAGCATCATCTTGCTCTTCAGAATAGCATGTTTGATATCGTGGTTCCTCTAATTCGGTGACTGGACTTGGTGGCATTGCATCTTCCAAGATAGAGTTTCGACGGATTGTAGCTGAGAAATGATGTGCAGTTTCACCCAAAGACAATAACTGTTTAGCCTTGCGAAAGAACGCGGGATGTGAATAAGGCAAATTGGCTTGAAAATCAGGGTGTTCTCTCAACTTGATCAAATCCTTATCGGCATAAGTGTGTGTGACGTGATGAGGTGTGGAATATCCCGCTCCGATATCTTTTGCCCGATTTTGGTCACGATTATCATCATCATCATCGCTGCTGTCACTATCCAAAAGATCACCTAAATGATCACTCTCATCTCCACCTTGATAATTATCCTGACGATCCTCCACTTCGTCCACTTCGTCAATTTTGGATTCTACAAATGTAGGATGAGGCTCTGATTGGATAGAGTGGTAAGACGAGCGACGTCTTCGGTTGCCGTGTTGCTGGTAAAATTGGTCTTCATTAGAAAACATACCTTCCGGAACGTTTGGAGCGTCTTCTTCCAGTACGGAATCCTCATCATGATCCAGGATATCGCCAAGACTCATGTTGGACAATCGACGGCTTCTGCGGCGACCACTGTTAGAGCCCGTACTACTTGAAGTTGACAGTTTATGAGGAGGTGGAGCGGAAACAAAGAGGTTTTCGTCCTCATTTTCATAACCAACCGTGTCTTTAAAGCGGGACAGAAATATAGGGTTATGAACTAAGTATTGGCTGATTTGGTTCATCCAAGCGCGATCGGGTAACTTTTCTCGAGGTTTGTAAACCAAGTCTTGAAACTTTTGCCAGGCTGCCTCTCCTTGAGTCTCTGTAATATAGTGCTCCAATGATTCATAGAACTGAGCATTACGGGCTGCCAATTGCTTCATTTCCCCAGGTCGATCAAGAAGCGCCACCAGAATATCGGAGCTCACGGGTTGTCCGTGAATATCAATAGAGCATTTTCTGGAAAACTCGTCAGAAAAGCTTTCTTTTTCTTCATCCTCAAGGATAACATCCTTTGAGTTGTTTAGGTTATGTGTGTTAATATGATCAATAAAAGTGGAAGACATTCTTTTGTAGGTTTTTTTTTCGTGTGGGAAAAAGAAGGAAAGAAACAAAAAGAAAAAAAAATCACCCAAGAAATATGTTTACGAAATGGGAAAAATATTTTTTTTTTGGGCGTCAAATTGTTTATGCAGTGGCATTGATTGGATAAACCCACTTTAAACGATTTCTTGATATTCTCACCTCACTACAAGACAGATGGGTTTCATTTTCTGTATGTCTTGGAACAATTAGAGTAAGACATAGAAGCGAAAGGGGGTTGACCGCTGTGTATATCTGGATAGAAAAGGGTTAAACTTGATGTGCGCACATATCATCATTAATCTAAAATAAGAGATCATTTGGTTATTTTTTAATGGGATACATTTTTCGTCATAAAAACGTCATTCCTTGACACAAAATTAACTGTTAGTGTGAATAAGAAAAATGCCGATTTTTTTTTAATAGTGAATACATGGGTAGGTATAATAATAAGAATAATAAATAAAATAATAATAATAATGGAGAGCTATGATAGTTCTATTGTGTGTCTTTTTCTAATAGACGCTCAATCGACGTATTAATGAAGCCTTTCTTTATCGTCAAATCAACACCAAATAACAGTGATAACTGATCTCGTACTAAAAAAAGAAGAAATGAGTACATTGAAGTTTCACACACACATTTTTTTACATACCTTGCTTCTTTGTAAGTGTCATCAGGTTGGAACTGATTAGAATTCTATGGATTTCTCGTTCAATCTCATCGTCTTCAGGTAACATGACTGTTCTTGACTCGGATCCACCCGGTGTCTTTGCAGTGGATCGACTACTTTCATCCGTTTTTGGTCTCAATACTGCTGACAGATCCACTGAAAACTGACCTAACGTATCTTCCTCTGAGAAGCTTGTAATTAAAGGAGGTAAAAGCTGGTATTTACTACTAGTTGTGTTGTTGGAGTTTGTATTACTAGTTATTACACTCGAATGACTTCTCAAAGTCTTCGTGTCGCAAGCTTGTTCATGATGATGATATCGATGGTGATGATGATGACGACGGTGAGTTGAAGAAGCAATAGATCTTGCTTTTTTTGAGTCATCATAAGAGTAGGCAACAGACTTGTTTGTCGAGGTCACTTCGGATCTTAGTGTCTTTGTCTCCCACATCTCTTGCTCGTACACGGCCCATTTCTTGAGCGGGATCATCTTTTCATCAAACTTCTCGTCATCCGTCACGATAATTTGCTTTGTTTTATCACCGACCACAACACGCGTATTTCCCCACGAGAAATCATCGAAATGCCAGAACGCATAAATGGGAATGAAGAAACTAAAGATCGGGATCGCAAGGATATAAATGGCCATCCAACCAATATGCTGCCATTGGCGTTTAAAAATAAAGATCAATGACTGTAAGCCATATGCACCAGCCAGCATACCCAATGCAATTGTAGGGACAGGTCCTGTGCCCGAAAAGACCTCGTACATCAAATAAATCAGGTAAATAACGGAAGAAGGAAGAGTGATTGTACCAATCAAATCCGTCATAACTACAAATCGCATAGAGAGACAGCAGAACCCACACAATTCCTGCAATAATATCAGCTCAAGTAAATTATGAATGGTCGAATTAATCCATCGTCGACGTTGAGAAAGTAACACACGCCATTCATCAGGTGCCACGGTTCTACATTTAGCATAAGGTGTGAACATCATCTTGTATTCCGGGAAGTTCTTCATAATCAATGTGGTCAAGTAACGGTCCTCGCCCAAGTGAAGTAAATTCTTCTTATGAAGTGTGTCCACTTGATTGTCCGAGTAAGCATGGATAACATTGGGGGATACAATCAAGGGTTGATGTTTGTTAGCGGTACGGATACGGTACATACAGAAACAACCAGGTAAACAAGTAACAGAACCAAACAAAGACTCAAATGATTTCACCAGATGATGAGAAATGTAATATTCGTATACCTGAATCATAGTGGTCCACGATCGATCTTCATTACCTAATTCTGTCTCACCGCAAAGACCAATAATACGACTATCGTGCAACATACAAGAAATAAGCCGGTTGAGTGCATCTGGGTAAACCTCGGTATCCGAATCGACCATCAATATATATTCATAGAACGCAGGATCAATACCAATAATATGTTTGATGTGATAAAAAATCTCCAATTCCAAAGGTGACATTTCAGAGTCAAAGTGAACCTTGTTCAAGAAATTCATGCAAATAATTTGAGAATCACGTTTACCACGGTTACCGGGTTTGGCTCTTTCACTGGATTTACCGACCTTGACAACAACCACATAAGGTACAACATGACCCTCATGCTGATAAACACCAGAATAGACCTTGCCGTAATTCAGTTGTTTGGAGCCTTCACCAATGGATTTAAACATGAGTGCTTCAGGATCGTCGTTTTCATTATGACCCAAAATGTCCAGCAAAATTCGAGGTGTAGGCCTATCATTACCACTTCCAATAATCATACCATCGGCAATCAAGAATAAAAGCTTGTGTTTGTCATCATACGTCATAGCCGTCAAGGAATCGATTGTTTTTCTGAGCGATTCTTCATCTTCTGTGTAACAAGGCACTTGACAAATGACAAATTTGTCATGGTCTTCAGGCGTCGGTGCACTACCGAATTGCAAAGCAGCCAAAAATTTCACCAAAATGACCAAAGACATCATGACAGCAAAACTCAACAACAAGTAATTTACAAACGTACATCGTACAGATTCTCGATAATCTAGACGACCAATGTAAAATACGTTATCTAAGCATGCCTTATTGCTGGTGCGAGTAGCTTCATCCATAGTAGCACTGTATTTCTTCCACTCGGCTGTAGCGTCTTTACCACCAAACTTTGTAAACAGAGTCTCGATTTTTTGGTCAAGATAATGATAGTTGGGAACCCCGTTACTTGCAGAAGGGTACCGACGAGCTGAAGCCATATAGTCTGTTAAATCGTACACTTTCTCATCAATGGAAGCAATGAGTCTACCCCAGCTTGTATAGTCATCCTTGATCTGTTTCATAGGAATCACTAAATCACCTCTTTTAAATCCATTCATGGTGGGGCCAAAATACTTTGTAAACCATTCTGGATCTCGTAACTTTTCAAGACTTTTTTCGGGTTGCTGAGGGCCAGAAAAATGAACAAATGGACCTAAAATGATGGTTTCATTGGGTGTAACAGTAACAGCAGGATCTGTCACTAAACCAGCACAGGCAAATGATAGTGGTGGGGGGAAAGTGTAGGATAAATCACGACCTGCTAAAGGATCCAGATTTGATTTACCGGCCATATAGACAGTTGTACCATGATCGGTGGCTACAAATTGACTAACGTCGTATACTTTACCCCGAACTGTGACCCAGTAATCACTGATAGTTTGATGATTTGTAACGTCTTCTGCAGAGTACAGGTCTTTGGTACCAGGACATATAATTTGCCCTAAACCCACAATAAAGAAGATAAGACTGGCAGAAAATGTGAATATTAATAGACATAAGGTGACTTTTTCACGCCAAGCCATTTGAACATCTTCACGGCTCATTTTTCCAACGTATTTTAATGCGACGGAAGGAATCCACCAGGTTGCGAAATAGACAAAACGAGACCACCAATGACGGATACGAGTGATATTTACTTCTTCTACTTGTTCTTCAGGATGCACACTATAATCTTCCATCATTTTACTCATATCCAAGTTTGGCCCAAATCTTTTTTAACAAATAAAAACAAAAGATGTGTCAAAAATATAACAAGATTTGAATGATTTTGATTGACTTACCCTTCTGATAAACCTTTGCTGTCATCATCATCGCCCCATTCACTTTTTTTACCGGAGATATCGAAATGAGTTTCAATCTCGGTACGGTCATCATCGTTGGAAATATCAGATCGACAATCATCATCGAACGGATTTTTATCACTCGACCAGCGATCAGCGGCAATGGCAGCAATTTCAGCAGCTTGAGCAGCAGCCTCTGCTTCGGCCTCTGCTTTTTGCGCGGCCTCATATTCTTCAGCTTCAAGTGCAGCGGCAATGGCGGCTTGTCGGATTGCCTCTTTTTCAGCCTCAATGGCCGCCAATCGTTCCTTCTCTCTGAGTCTGGCCTCCTTTTCCATGGTTCTGACTTGATTTTCCAAGGTTCGCCAAGTATCAAAAGCAATCCAAACATCATGCTGACCAAAGCAAACTTGCTTTTCAGACCATTGCATAACCTGGATCCATTCGAGAATACGACTTTTGGTCTCTCCCTGTTCATCATTCTCGGTGCAAGGCAGATACACATCCATCAATGGTCTATAACGTACCATAAAATCATGTTGACTGTACGAGTAGAGGACATCAAAGTTGACAGCATGTTTAGCCAGCTCTGTAATTTTCAAAACCTGCAATTGTTGAGAGATATGAGGTATATCAAAAACGTCTGGCTTTTGTTGATCGTTGGGAGAGAGATGTATGATTTCAGATATTCTCATACCGTTCAATAACTCCTTTAATGCATCTACACCCACGACGACTTGATCCAGTACGGTTTGTATCAAGGAAGGCTTTGATTTCTTGAGCGAACTAAACGAAGGTTTCTTCTTGATGATGTCTTCCTCCGTCGTATTTTCTTCTAGCTCGATTTTTTCTTCTTGGACGACGGGTTTCGTGTTGATAGGCCATGCAGGTAATTGCGCTTTAATGACTGTTCTTTCATCACGAGGGTGAATCTCTGTAACCCAGCCCGCTAAAGAATTTTCAGAGGTGTCGAACAAGTCATGCACAAAGGCGTTGGTACAGTTATACTTGAACAAGTGGATAAAGTCAGGCGAGATAGAATCCAGGTTGGACTCGAGGAATCCATCGACAGAGTAATCAATATTGGTGTGATCATAGTGTCTAATTGCAAAGCTGTGAGAAGGAGTGGAGGGGTTAATGAGGGCGCGGTAGTCGTGATTAGGATTATTACTTGTCGATTTCTTTTTTTGAAATAGAACAGAGAGCAAATTACTGTCGGTCGCATCCAATGCATAACTGGCAAATCTTTTGGACTCTCGATTCATAAATGGGACAAGTGCGAATGTATTGTTGTTGGTGCCATGATAGAATGCAAGAGATAAAGGTGGTGGAATGCTAATCATGCCCAATTGGGGCCATACACCATCTTGTCGACGCTCCAAGTTAGTGGGTGAGTCAGGATTGAAAGTGCGATCAAACACGTAGTGCCGTAACTGCTCACCAGTGTAATTTACACACAGGTCGTGAAAGGAACCTGCTGAACGGTTTGTCATTAACTGGAAACCAGTTGTATCTAAAATGCTAATAGATCGCATAGATATGTTATCATTATTCACAGACAACTTTTGGTTCAATGCGTTCATGATCCATAAAACAAGTGCTGAATACAGTGTTTGTGCCAATGCATCTCGTTGTTGTGAAGCTGTATCCGTGGTCAAAAATGCGGTACAAAATTCATTACCAATCAATTTAGATTTATGAGTCAAGGTAGTTTCTAATTTGGAGGTAGCTACACCCAAGGCAGCCGCAACAAGAGTCAAAATCTCCTTGTTTTTTATGCGACAGGATTCTTGCGACGAGGCAGCGGTACCACCACCACCGGTGGCGGGGTTCGAAACATCAGGGTTATTGCTGTTGCTGTTGCTGCTGCTGCTGTTACCGCCACCAAAATGATGTTTGTTTCCGTCCACAAACTGCACGTTACCCAAATGAAGGATGGCTGACAACAATTGACACATTTGTGCTACTGTTTTTGTTTTGAATCCACACATTTTCAAGACGGCCTTAATTTCATTAAAACCCATTAAATCACGTTGTCCGTTTCGTTGATTGACGTGTTTCAAGTAATTGAAGTTGGAATGGGAGATATGAAGTGCTTGTTTTTCATCAGGTGTAGTTCCAGCTAATAATTGATAAAATATGTTGTATTGTTGAATATGTCTGGAAGAAATTCTATACTTATCAAGTAGAAAGATGAATGTTGAGCACCCAATGATTCTCCCTCTCTCGCTAAACTGAAGTGTTTGGAATTGGCCTAGACAGGAAGCATCTTCGTTTTGTGGACAGGATGCACTACCAAAAGATTCAAATATGGTATTGGCTCCTATAATTTGCTTTTGGATTTTTTCTTCTTTGCGTGTATGGGTGGATAAATAAAGTAGTTCCTTGATTAAATGTCGATGTGTCGTTGATTTTCCTGATCCAGTCATACCGCTTGATTAAATGTAAACGATTAAGCATGTAAAATGAAGATCTCTTTTATATATATATATATAAATATATATTTATTATTACCTTAATAAAATTGCTTGGTTTTCAGCTCTTCTTCTCATTAAAAGATAGACTCTAGTTGCCATATCGTAAACGTGAGGCTCTGGTGAATTTGAAGAAAAGCCATCTGGTGAAATATCTTTGTATCCATGTTGACCGTAGGCTTCCAAGGTAGCATCATTGAGTAGTTCTAGTGGTTTATGTGGATTCACTACTATCAACTGATGGTGTCCCAATTGAGTGTATGGTTGATCCGCTTTGAATCTGTAGTGTAATAATCGAAGGATTGAATCTTGGCTTGCTTTATCGTTATTTTGGGAGAGTTCAGGTAGTTGTATTAAATTCGAGCAAAGAGAAGTTTTTATAGTCATTTTTTTTTAGGAAAAAAGAAGAAAAGGAAAAAGTAGAAAGAGATAAGATTCGCTATTTTATGTATGTGTGGTTTATGAGGGAGAGGTTATATAAAAAAGGTATATCTATTTTGTACAGTCTTGATTAAAATTCAAAAAGATGCAACAATTACATGTACAAAAAGTAAATTTCAATTTAATTTCTTTCTTTCTTTCTTGTTTATATTTTTTTTTTTCCTCAAAAAAAAAAAAAAAAAAAAAAAAAAAAAAAAATGTTGTTTTAAAGTTTGAACAAGTTACAAAAGAAGAGGGAAAAAACTGTCTGGAAAAAAAAAAGAGCGGGGTAAAAAAAGTAAGAGAAAAAGAGAAAGAAGGAAAGAAAGAGAGACAGCCACAGACACAGACACACGCACACACAACACACAGAAAAAAAAAGGTATCATAAATATAGATTACTTTTTTTTTTTAAAAGGGGGAGATTCGTAGGGCGAGTAAAAGGGGAGTGAGATCAAAATTATTATAGGAGTTGTCTTCTTCTTGATTTATGCAGGGGGGAAACGTAAAATAAAGACAGCAAATGACAACGCGAGATTTTTAGTTGCTTCTATTAAATAATATGACTAACTCCAGTATCCATGGACGGTATATAATAGAATCCTGCTACCAACACAACATAACTAAGTATAAGAATAGATCCCTTAAAGTAATTGGACTTTCCTTCTTGATAAGTATACGTCAATAAAAAGACCGAAAATATAACAGATATGATGTCCCAACGAGGAAACATGAGGCTATTTTCATTGTTCATTAGTCCTGTAATTTTTTACATGATCCAAATTATCTACTTACTTGAATGTGAACTTTCTAATTTCCTCCTTGTCCCAATTATACCATAAAGAAAATGCTACCATGGCTGGAATTTGTAGCAAACACACCTGTAAAGCGTACGCTGATCCGATTTCCATACTATTTTAAAACTTGTTGGCCCAAATGTACATAAAAAAAGGAGTTCTTTTTTTTTTTTTTCTTTATGTATACCTTAATACAATATTTCCATGTAACGCAAAGGAAATGGCATTCATAAACTCGGTAATATTCGGTACCAACGCAAACAACGTCAATCCCAAAAACTTTTCATCAATATTAATACCTTCCATCACCAAATCCACTGTCTCTACCAAGATTTCTGCAATAATTGCATACAGTAACGTACACCCAAATAAGACCGTGTAACTTTTACTTTTACCCCAATTGGGAGAGTCATGGCCTGCCGCTGCTTCCTCTTCTTCTTCTTCTTCAGGTTCTTTGGCATGTACAAAGGCAATAGGTGCGTGGACTGGTAATGGGGCTTCAGTCACTGGTGTTGCTGGGGTAGGATGACTCACGACAGCTCGAAGGACTTGAGGATCTGCTGCATTGAGCGGAGTTTGTTCATTAATAACTGGATGGTTAGGATGGATGATGGCCACCGGGTATACTCTTGGGTGAGGTGCTTCATGAGGTTTTGGTAAAGCACTAGAACTCTTCCAAACCATATCAGCATGTGTATGTAAACTAAATAATAAGCCAATGATATATGCGGATGGTAAGATTGCTGCACAAATCCACATGAAAGGTTTGACACTATTTTGATACACTGGGTCATCAAACATGTTCATTTGATCATAATAACAATGTGAACAAGCAATAGACCCATCTGAACTCCCCTCAGGGCAGCCTGTACAACGCAATTCAAACTATATATTATTAACGTTTAGTAAACCCAACGGAACCCTCCCCTCAACCCCCTCTAAAAAAAAAGATTACCGAGCCAAAAAATTGGTAGAATAATGTGGGTGACAAGGCACCGATAATTGCCATAATCAACATTGTACCAGTTACACCTATAACATATAAAAGTCAGATATGTCCATAATTATCTTTAAACCTCTTCGTACCAGCACTCTTTGCATTAAATCGTTGTTCCTTGCGCTTCACGGCACCACTAACCATGGAAAATCCAGGCATTAATAAGACACCGGCCAAGATACTACCAATCAAAGAACCCTCTACTAAGGAGCTTTTTCCTGCCATTAGAGAAACGGAGTATAAAATGATTTCGATGATACTACCAAAAGTAGCATTGATGACAGCACCTAAGCCCATACTACTTTGAGCAGACACAGAACTGACGCCCATACCAATGAAATAAGATAGCGGGATTACGGAGGCTAGAGATAAGCCAAAAATCATCTTGGGTGAAGTAATGAAAGAGTCGGGTAAATGTTCCTTGAGCACATAATCGTCGAAAATAACAAAGAAAACAAGAGGTATGAGATTGATAAACATAATATTGATACCATCGTAGGTATATTTGTAGTATTGCCAACCAAAAGCTTGATAGGTACATAAAAGAATCACACTAGGCTGTCCTAATCCGCCTGTTAACTGAGATGGTTTGGATCGGAATCTGAGACTGAGTGGATGGCGACGAAGATGACGGACCAGGATATAGTTTAACTTGGCCATCGGAACTGTCACTACACACATCCAACATATGGTTGACACTAATAACAAAAGTGGTGCTAAAAAAAAAGTTTAATACAGCTGATAGTGGTTTCATTATTATCTACTATTTTGACTCTCAAACATTTACCCAGTATTGTGTAAAAGACAATGTAATAGAATACGGCAGAGGGGCCCAATTTGACTGTTTCAAAAACAGCACGAAACCAGTTGTATCTCTTCTTCTTGTGATGATCTATTAATCCACCTTCTTCATCCACATCAAATTCATCGTCATCATCAATTAACACCGAGGATTGTGCAGACTGTTCTCTCTCTAAATCATTCATGACAGACGGCGTGATTTCTACAAGTCTTTCCACATAGCGACCAAATGGCCAAAGTACATAGAAACTAAGTTCCCGAAAGATCATACCATAAGGAGACTGAAACAAACTAAAAGGAAGTGATGCTACAAGAGTCACCAGAGACAACCACCAGCCAAACACTATCACCCATAAAATGTTACCTGGATTTAAAAACAATTCCGGAGATGACGACGGAGATGAATGTAACGCACTGTTTGCTTTACGTACAACCGAACGGGACTTTTTGTAAAGAGCCGGTTTCCAGATAGGTAAACCAAAAGGATGCTGCTTATTCATGGCCTAAACATAAAAAGTTGATAAACGACTTATAATGATATATTTATAGTGTTCCTACTTCTTGTCTTTCTTTAAGCGTTATCTCGTGATCATAACTGTTCATTGACATGCGATCACTTGACAAGCCACGTTGACGCGCCATCTCTGAACGCTCATCCTCTTCCGGAATCTCGAAAATACCATTGTCAGTCTCTTGCTGCTCTTGTTCATACTCATCGCTCTCTTCTTCATGGCGGTGTTTTCTTTCTTCTACAATCGATCCGTATTTGGTAGAAGCTGTACGGCTCGGTCTTCTGCCTTGATGAAAAGAAGACGAAGTTGACCTAGTCTTTGAAAGTGGGGGCCTTTCAGAGTTATCCATTTCTGCAGAAGAAAGAAAAGAGCAGATAAAATGGTATGGGTTTCCGATAAATAAAGCAAAAAAAAAAAAAAAAAGGGTTTCACCAATGCCCCCCCCCCCCTCCATAAACAAACCCCGTTATATTGTCAGATGTATATGTGCCTCTCTGTGAAAGATATGTCATGGCGGTACAACATGTACATTTTGGTACAGTGCGGATGTCAAATTTTAGGACTAGTGACGTTTTAAATATAAAAAAAGATTGCATAAAATATCAACCTTAATGAACTCATTTATACAAGCTTCCCGACACCTCTTAGCAACCAGCTGTAGCTCGTGCAACCCATATCCAAAATAAATGTGTCAGAAAAAATAAACCAAAGTTTGCCATGAGATGCTTTCCTGGCATATGAATACATCTTTGTCGTTTTCGACCTGCATAATTACATAACGTCTATGTCTTCAAAAAGAAAAACTTTAATAATTATACTACAACTCTACATGTAAATCTTCATTTAAGGATGGAATAAAGCATCTTCAGCTATTCCTACCACCGTCCTATCGCAAATGATTTGCTGGGATGGTATCAAGTCTTTTGGGTCAATTTAGTTTTCTGTATGACAGCGAGGTTTTAGTAACTCCAAAAATCCTTTTCACGCTGCATAGCTGGAGGTAGTGTAGTCATCAGATGGCATGGTTGGCATTGTTTCAGAAAAATATATGTCGACGGGAAAAAGGCACGGTGCAACATTTTTTTTTCTTCTTATTTTTCTGCTACACAAAACGTTTTTAATAGCAGCAGTACAACATCCTTGTTTAAGTAAAGGTTATTTCGTGATTCATTGTTGCTATGCAAGCTGTATATGCGGATACAATCAGTCATAAAAAGGACACACAATCTCTAGAACTATGATAAATCCCATCACATAAACACAGGTGTAAACCCCATTTAGTTTGTGTGTGTTATATCATAAAAATGCAGCCACAGTAATTTTTTTTCTGCTTTCGAGAATTTTGCATGAATCAAAAATCCCTAAATCATTGAGGTTATTTTCTGTCTTCAAATAAAAAACCTATCCGACACCTAAAGACTCATCAGCAAACTACATACTAAAGTAAAAGGCGACTTGTATGGTCTGGTGTGGATGAATTTAGATCATATCAAATTGTACAATTCAGGGCTTATTATTCTATACGCGTTAATTTAAACTGAAAACTACAAGTTCGACAATGGCTGTATATGTCTCGTATATAAGTCTGGTTTTCTTTAAACAAAAATATGTTACTTGATAATTGTGTATTCATTGGCTCTTGACTTGCACACTTTCATGATTAATTATTGATGGATGGAAGCCCAAAGGGCATTTAAAACCCGCTTCATGCATTGGCTTGAAGCAAAAATCAGCCAATAGAATTGCTTATATATTTTTTATTTTTCTTAAATTATAAGGTGGTTCTGAGGCCGCTACCCGAAGTAGTGACCAGAGTTTGGTAGAGAAAGCACCCTGTACCGCCGCCTGCCTTTTCAGAACCCCAAAAAACCTTTTTTTTAGCTTCCGTCAGTTTCGACAGTGACATTAGGCAGCAAAGGCGCGATCACATGAAATAATTTTGCATGAATCAAAAGTCCCCGTCACGAAAGGGTCTTGTGATTTCTTACCCAAAAAATTTTTTTGAAGGGGGTAACAAAAAGGTATAAAAAGGGCTCATTTTCAGATTTTTCTTATTTTTTTTTCTTCTGTAAAAAAAATCATTCTCTGATGACAGCATTCAATCTGCTATGTGACCGATCCCCACACCAGGTCGCAGTCGACGGTTAGGTTTTTTTTTCAAGTCGCCTCATTGAGTGTTCCCGACCCCTTGAGCAACGATTTGGTTTTTAATATTAATGAAAATGAAAAATTATAATAATTTGAGTGTAGATCCACCCTGATTGTACATCACGCATCACGACGTGTGACTTTCATGGATCTTAAAAAGCACACCCTCAACAATCCCCAAATGCAGTTTGACTTGGGGGAAGAAAACTATGTCCTAACCTTTTTTAGTTGCTTTTTGTATGATGTGTAACCTTCGAGCTAATCAATATTAAAAAAGCTGAACTGCTTTCATGAGTATAGGCTCTTAGCTGTGTTTCGTCTACATTATTCGACAAGTCTTTTAAATACACAGAAAAGACTGAAAGATCCTCTTCCAAAGTACACAGATCTTGGCAATCGTACCCAGGTTGTTTTGCACGCCTCCCTAACTTGTTTAAAACTAGATAACTTTGACAAAGTTTGACATATTGCGCTACTTTTAGTAAGCCGAGCGACTACGGTAAAACCGCATGGTTGTATGGTCCATTATACACAGCCTATCAAATTAAATAGACGCACATAATTCACATCATCGTTTTAATTAAGACTTGGAAACAGTTAGTTAAAATGACATGGAGAAATGTTTATTTGTGTGCCTTTACTTTTATAGTTACTAGCATATAAAAACTTCAAATATTAGTTTATCCCAGTGCTGAGCCTAAAAATCCAGTTTTTTTTTTCTTTTTTCTTTTTTTGTATGTTGTGTATTGATGTAATTTAAAAGGCAACTATGTAGTTAAAGACTGATGGAGCAATATAGTGTAATTAGATGAGAGCAATTGGATGTTTATCACACGTTAAAAAGAATACGTTTAAGTTTTTAGTTATGTTTATTTACATATGTACAGATTCAGACTAGTGTGTTTATTATGATAAGGGGATGACCTCATCCTTATGCCATCCTGGGGAGCTTAATTTGATCTGATCCAAGTCGATCTTTCCTTTGCCGCTGACGGTAGCAGATGCTTGGACCTCACAGCCGCCACCTTGAGGGCCCTTGGATGCCTGATCCTCCATCCAAAAGTTAATATTCACCTTATGTTTATCCTTTCCGTCCAAGCGAGTTGTATCTGACTTATGAACCTCCTCCCAGATCATATCCTTGAAATGATCCAAACCAAAGGCCTTGAGCATTTGTTTACCTTCTTCTGTATTTTCAAAGAAATGCTTCAGTTGCTTGATGGTGTCGCTACGTATGAGATCAGTCGCGCGATGTGTGCCTAACTGAGACAACAAGGCCTGTGAAACCGTGCTGTCTTTACCGATGACAGGCGCCAAGTAATCCCACCAATTCTTGGTCTTGCGGAACAAACGCCAGCCAAAGATAGAGGCAGCGCCACCTGCTGCTACCCAAACCATGGGTCCCATCACACTACTGGCTAAAGAGGCAGCACCCAATGCACCCAGAATGTAATTACGATGTTTCTTGCCGACAGTAGCAAGCACGATTTTGGGTATGATTTTCCACATGGACAATGGACGCTGTTGGGTCTTGACGACATGGGAATTGAGTTGAGGAGCAAGCAAGACGCTTCGTCTTTGAATATTGCGATTAAGAACAAACATTGATGGTTAAAGGGAAAAGGATAAAGAGGATAATAAACAATAAAAAAAATGACAGGCATTTTATTTTAGATAAAAAAAAAAATTAAAACTGAAACTGAATTAATTAGACGAAACCCAATCATAATTTCTTCATGATATCATCATAAGTCGATTGAATATCGGCCATGTCCTTTTTGATTGGATTCCAACGAACGCCTAGTCCAGTTTCCTTATCGGGCTTGGGAATGATGTGGAAATGAACATGAGGTACAGCTTGGTTGGCAAGTTTGCCATTGTTCTAATTCATGTGTCAATCTTGTATTAAACAATTACAATTTTTTTATTATTATTACCTGCAAAACATTGTATTGAGCAAATCCACCAGCAGCAGCAATCTTTTTGGCAACAGGCATAACATCAGCTAAAAAATCGTCAGGTACTTGGTGCATGAATTCAGCGTGGTCTAAATAAAGAGTTAATGGTTTATTGTGTGCAGTGAATCTCTTTCTTTACACTTGGGAATGACCAACTAGAGATAATATTAATACACAAATAGTGATTGTCGCGCAAGGTTGACTTACTGAATGGCCTTCACTCAAAGGTTCAATGTCCATGAAGGCATAACTAGACATTTACAAAAGACGCGTCAATCATGTGTTAATGGGTCAAACTTTTTGTTGTGGTTACGTCTTTTCTGTTTCGACTAATTTGAAGGAAGGAATATCCTTTCTATAGAATATATTATATGAATACAACTCTCTTTTTTTAAATAAGGGATTATTTATTATATTTTTACTTTATAATTTTACAAAAGATACAATTATCGTCAAGGTGGTTATGACTAGACATGGCTCGTTGTTGCTTAAAATACGGCGTAAAAAGTGTAAAAGAACGTAATAAAGAACGCGTCATGTCAAAAAAGAGTAAATAAAAGAGAAAACCCGCTGGGCCCCCGCTTACTCTTACTTTTTAAGGCCACCAATCACAGAAGAAAGATCGGTGGGTACAGCTGCGGGTAAAGAAGCCAATACGTCAGATGGAATCAACTCTGTGGGTGATTTACCTCCAGTAAAGCTTCCAATGATGCCTTCTATGCCACCAGCACCACCACTGCCTCCTGCCAAACCAGAAATCACGGATTCAATGGTTTTAACCAAGGTCGATTGGTCATTGGGCTAATCATGGTGATAATAAAAAAAAAGTAAATTAAAAATGGTTTTCTTATAACTCGCCTCCCTAGATACAGCACTAAAAAAAAAAGAGAGAGAGAGAGAGAGAGAGACTTACATCAATAGGACACTTAAATCCAATGGTGTTGGAGACTGGTACACTGATAGGTACACCGATAATGGTCACGGTTGCAACCACTTTATAATCCAATTGGATGTCTTTGGCTGTACCACCGCCCAGTCCACAATCCGCCATGATTTTAGATAACACAGCGATATTATTGTTGTTTGTGACATCGATCGACATGGCAAATGGGAAAGAAATGTTGGTAACTGAATGCGAGCCAATATGGAGATCATGAAGTGTACCACCGCCTAAAGGTGTTGTATCACCATGGTAATTAGCCTAAAAAAAAAGATGTACGTTTTGTGTATATTTTTAGATATAAAAAAATTGTTTAAAATTAAATTAAAAAAACAATTTACATACGGTAGCTACTAAAGTCGTAAATGTAACACTTTCGATATTGGGATTATTCACCACAAATCCTAAAGAAACATTCAGATTGACGGTCGTTAAGCCCACCATACCAAACTCGGGTGTGCCTTGAATGCCTGTGAATTCGACGGTGGGGACTTTGAAGAGAGCAGCCAAAACCCCCACCACAATACCAATAACGATGATAAGTAATAGCAAACAGCAACTGATCCAACGACACCATCGAGGACAGCATGTACAGCATCCACAGCATAGTTTATCACAACAGGATCGATTTGCCTTATTGTTTCTTCTGGCATATTTTTCGTTGTTCATGGTCGCGGTTCCTACTTGACTGAGTCGTGATGGTGTGACTGAGTGGTTGTAATAGCCATCCGAGGTTGCTAAGGTGGGTTTTGGCTCGTTATGATTGTAGTGGGTCATGTCGTTCATGGCATATGTATCTTGGGGTTGATAGTGGTCATAATACTGTTGCTGCTGTTGTTGCTGATACATTTAAATATAGTATATAGGGGAAGGGGGGTGCCAAATAAATAAATGTATATATATACAAAAAGAAGCACAAAAGAGAGAAAGAGAAAAGAGGGGGTATGTGTGTGTTGCCTTATTAATTGAGAAACTTATAATTTCATTAACTTTTTAAATAAGGAATGAGGAGAAAAGAAGGGCCCAATGAAATGTCGTGATCTTAATAATTTTGTCTGTGCCAATGTTACACATGTGCCTAGGAACAAGAAATGCCATGTTTGGGTGGGTTTTTTATTTTATTTTTTTATTTTTAATGTGTGGGTGTAATAGGCCAAGTGGGATCCGTTAGTAACTCTTCCGAATCATTCACAATAATCACACTCATGTCATCATCATCTTCTTTTACAGAAGAGGCTTCAGATCCACTTCGTTGTCTACGATGGGGAGGTTCTAATAATAATTTCTTGTCGACCACAATGGTAGGTCGAGGTAAGACAGGATTACTCTGACTTCTACGTCGCATCATGCGATCCATCTCTACTGCTTTATCAGAAGCAGTCTTTACATTGCCTGCGTCCATAAAACTCAGGCTTTCGATAAACGATTTGGGGAATGAAAAGGATGGGAGTTGAGGTGTCTCTTCTTCGTTGGCGCTGAAACTACTCCGACTGTCGCTACTGATACTCTTCACTCCCTTATCATCTTCCTCATCTTCCTCTTCGTCATCATCTACTACATCGTCGTCGTCATCATCATCATCATCGTCATCATTAGCATCCACTTCTTCTCCATCGTCTTGACTGATAGCGGATGAGGTTTCCATCATGTTATGGTGGGAAGACGAGGTGGATGTACTTTGATTGGATATAGGTTCATTCTCTGTTGTTGCTGTAAATACCAAGCTTGACCTTGGTGGTGGTGTTGTGGTGGTGTTAGGCGGGAAAGGATATAAATGTGTGGGTAAAGATAATTTTCTGGTCTGTTGGCAAGTGCTAAAGGATAATTCGGATTCAAGATAATCTCTGTAACAAATCAAACGTTGTAATTCGATCCGTTTTGTCTTTATCCTCTTTCCTAGTGTCTCTGCAAACAACAAGATACGATCCTTAGTTGATTTTTGATAGGGTGAAAGCACCATTAGATTACGTCGTAACTGTAATTCACGGTCGAGTAATTTGACTTGTTCATCAATACGATCTGATAATTCGGATACTTTCTCTTTGGCCTTATCCTCTCGTTTTAATTTGTCGCCGTCTCTACGTGTAGGTCGCATACGCACACCCGTGGTCTTTAGAGTGGCCGCATAGTTGATCTTTAACATCCAGTCTTCCATCTCTTTATCGTTGTCAGCACGCAATAAGAATTGTTGTCCATCCCCTGTGATCAAGCGAAAGACATGTGGGTATTTTGTATATTCTTCATCGCAGATACAAATAGCATAAGACAGAGATACAATCTGAACCGGTCGTAGGTAGGAATTGGATGATGATGATGATGTTGTTGAAGAACTAGAGTTGTGGGGTATAGGCGTATTTTGTTGCTGTTGTTGTGTATATAGAGACGAGAGTGAATTGACCGTGGTGTTATTGACACTCAAGTTGGAGGAGGAATCCACTATGGAAGAGAAAGCAGGAAAACTATTGTTTCTTTTGGATCCTAAAGCAGATGGATTTTCTTCCTTATCCAGCCATGTTTGGTATGAAGAGAGATCAGCGAAAAAGATGATTTGACTGCCGCTCAGAATGATGCCAAAGGGTCTCCAACCACGCGCTGTGGCTTTTTTTCCACCTTGAATTAAATCATACTTGCGGTCCAAAATGCCAGCCTTGGTCACTCGTATCGTAAACGTATTGTTGTGATTGGCATCATTTCCATATCGACTTCGAACACCGGCCAAACACAACGATTTAGCCTTCAATAACGAGAAATGAACGTCCATGATCGGAATCGGCTTCAAAGTCCGTTTGTAACTAAAGCTATTTTCGGCTGGCATCAATTGTTCTAGCTTCTGGCCAAGATCTGCTAACAAAGCCGCCTAACAAAAAAAAAAGATGTGTCAACCTTTTTTTTTTTTTACCCGGCATCACATTGAATGATAAATCACTTACAGACTGTGTGGTGATATTGGAGTCGTTGTTTTTCAGCTTGGAGAACCAACCGTTGGATCGTTCTGTTCTTCCTATCGATTCTTTGTGTCCATCTGCATACGTGAATTCTGACATAACAATGTTGTCATACATGACCTAAAAGAAAAAAGGTTGTTCGATAAACAAATAAATAGAAAGAAAAAAGAGTGGAAAAGGGACTTACATCGAGTATTTCTTGCGCAACACCTTCTCCGCCTTCAATTATTTTTGTCCGCATAATAAACGTGTCCTTGTTCATTTTCTGACGCACGTTTTTATTGTGAGCGTCGGTATGAAGTAATAAGATGGAGAATGAAACCGCATAAACCACATCTAAAAATATAATCACATGAGAGTTTATTCATCGTTGCTATAACAACAAAATAGAAGAAAAAACTAACCTGGATTATCGACTAAACCCGGGTTACACTCGTAGTAACGTTTGGCAAAGTCCTCCATTGCACGATCAATCTGTTGAGCCTCTTTAGGTAATAAGACCTTGGCAAGTAATTTTCTAATTAAAAAAGAGAGTATTATTTCTCCGTCCTAAACCTATTTTTCTATACCATCTTTACCTTAGCGACGTATCAATTGACTCGCCACAAAAATCAAAATTTTGTACTTGGTACGCGAAACTGGCTTCTCTCGTCATTTTTTTATGATCATTGCCAGGTCCTGCCATTTGCCCGCCTTTTATTTCTGATTGCTTGTACTGTTTCTATCCCGGGATGATGTTGAAACGACTTCTTTTTTTTGTTTAAAAGGGCTGTTGTCAAAAGGTTCTTATCCAATTCTTCTACAGAAAAATAAGAGAAAGAGTGCTGTAATCAGTAACAATTGTCTTGATGGGAAAAAGAGAGAAGGGAAAGAGAGAGAGAGAGAGAAAAAAAAAAGGGAAAAGGTGAATAATAAATTGCTTTTGAAGCCCAGTTCTCATTTTCGCTCCTTTTTTTCCCTTTTTTAACACTAAAAAAAATGTCTGCACAGAATCAATATATAGATGTAAAGGGTCACATGGCAGAAAGCACCATGCGTATTAAGGATTTGGCTCAGGCTGAAAAAGTAAATAACAACAAAAGAATATTGGGCTTGTTTTTTCCCTTTCCCTTATTGTTTCAGCACGCGTATTCATTACTCTCATTTCTTAGAAACTAGTATTATTGATCGAGACAGCGGCAGAAGCCTTATCAATCTTATCTGATGAAGCACCCAATGACGAAAACACTGACCAGTTTGTGCGTGATCGAGCAATGACATTTCGTGGATTAGCAGAACGTTATTTCTCTCTTGTTAATGTAACTTTGACTTTTTATAAACACCCGCTTATGTATGCTAACTTTTTTTTTTAATCTAGGACATTCAATTTGCATTGAGAAGTCACACTCATTATCTCACAAAAGAAGCAAGTATCACCTCCTCTGCAAACAAAATTATACCCTTTAAAACATCGGTCCTTGGCCAATACAAGGAATTAGAAATTTGGACAAGCGCTATCGAAACCGTCAGCCAACGTATTGCCGAAATCAAAAAGATCGCTCAAGAACAATAATCTTTAATTTTTTATTTGTCAAGGAATCGTTGGTCTTTCAATTCGTCAGGAAGATACGATTGTTCCACAGGTCCATCAAAGCTTGGATTATACTTGTATCCTTTGCCATAACCTAGGTTCTTTAATTTCTTTTTTCTTAGTACGCAGTGTAAATAAAATCATATTTTATATTTTACCTCCATTAACTTGGTAGGTGCATTTCTTATATGCATGGGAACAGGATATTGAGGCTTTTGCTGAATCGTTTGCTTGACCAGATTATATGCCTTGTAACTGCGTACACTCTTTTTCGTCTCTGCTAAATGAACAACCAAATGTGCAAGAATCGTATCACATTCAGGCATTCCAATCTTTTCACAGGCTTGATAGGTCGCCATAGCCTATTTTATAAAACCCTTTTTATTAAATTTAATCCCTTCACTCATTTGCTTAGCCTTACCAATGGTAATGCGGTATTATCGGCTAGTCCAATATCCTCACTGGCACAACGCACTAATCTTCTTGCGACATACAATGGATCCTCACCTGCTTCCAGCATCCTACCTAGCCAATATAAAGCTGCATCCGCATCACTTCCCCTGATGCTCTTGTGCAATGCACTAATGATATCATAATGCTGATCCCCGTTACGATCATAGAGCAGATGCGATTTTTGAAATGCGCCCTTGACCGTATCTATGTCAAGTGGCGATTGCTTGTTCTCTAGCAAATTCACCGCCATCTCCAATGTGTTTAAAGCCGTACGTGCTAGTTCAAAGATATTTGAGGCAATTCTTTTTTAAAAATAGATTTACCCTAATCTTACCATCGCCATCACTAAATACTGCCAGTTGCTTTATTGCATCCTTATCTTTATCCGTATCAACAACTACCTCTTCGCCTCTCCATTCTTCAAGGCCTCTTGTCAAGATGGCTTCAATATGATCTTGATTCAAAGTCTTCAACACAAATACTTTGCACCGTGATAGTAAAGCTGAATTCACCTTGAAGCTTAATGTAGGATGTGTTAAAAAAAATTACTGTTTCTATCTTATTCCCTTGTCATATGTACCTAGGGTTCTCTGTCGTTGCACCGATGAGACGAATCGTACCATGCTCAACATAGGGCAAGAAAAGATCTTGCTGTGACTTTGTAAAGCGATGAATTTCATCAATAAAGATGATGGTTTTTTGTGCTGTCAAACTAAGGTAAGATTTAGCTTCGTCAAAGGCCTGTTTGACATGCGCGGTATTATGACTGGTGGCACTGAGTTCGACAAAGCGGGATTGTGTCATATTGGACATGATGCGTGCAATAGTGGTTTTACCACATCCGGGTGGTCCCCACAGTATCATGGAAGGTATGCTGTCATTATCCATCAAGCGCTTTAAAATACCCTCTTTACCCAATAATTCTTCTTGTCCCACGAAATCTGTCAAGGATTTCGGTCGAACTACACGGGGAAAAAAAATCAGTTATCCACCCTACGCATAGTAACTGCAGTTATACCTTTGGCAGCAAGAGGCATAGATTCAGAAACAACGTCCCTCTTGTTTCGTTTAATAGCAGGTTGTGGTGATGTTTCGACAGTCCGTTTTAAGCTGTTAGTAGTGTGGCTGGATTTGAAAATAGGTGCAGTTGGTCTCTGTAACGTTGTTTGTGCTTGAGGCTTCGGTGCAAACAATGGTGCCAGACGAGGAGGCGTTTCCTTAGGCGTATGCACGGTTGTTTCAGAGACAGGAGCTTTAGCATCCGTCGTGATAGCTGCAGGTTCCTCTTCTGGCGGAGGAGGAGGGCAGTTTTTATCAATGTGGACATTGATAATGGTAGCAGCTACGTATTGGCCACAAATGGGGCATTGAACTACATGAGGGTTTCTTTGATTTAGTCATTTTCTAGATCCCGGCTTGATTAGCCTTCTTCTTGGTTTTTTTTGCGTTACCTTTAGACATGGTTTGAATGGATTTATATTAAAGGGGAAAAGGTGTTCCTTCTTTTTTTTTGTTTTTTTGACGGCTTACCAAGAAAAAAAAAACCTACTCTACACCCACCCCGTTTCCCGACTATTACTGCTGAGCCTACTGATATCTATTCTGCGTATGGGTGTATATATTGTACAGGATGATAGTATTATTATATGGCTGTTTATGTTTGAAGGCTGTTCACTCTGTAACTCGAAGGAAAAATCTGGTATGTTGAGACTAAAAGAGTAAATAAGCGCATTACTTTTATTTTTCTTTGTATCTACGTTTATATAAGACTTCTTTATAGGCCGAATGAAACTGGTTTACAAATCAGCATACAGTAGACTGGTGCTCTTGGACGGCCATAAGTGGTCAAACAAAATAAGACATGTGCTATGGCATATCATTTTTATTAAAGAAGATTTTTAGGATCTCCAGTTTGGGCCAACAGGAAACCCCAAGGTATTTTCCCATTAGTGGAAGCAACCTGCCTCAGACCCCAATATAAGACATCTAAACCGAACATAAAAAAAATGAAAATGAGGCAAAAATTGGTCTGCTTTATACCATTTTCGAAAGCTAAAAAAATTGAGCAAAAAAGTCCATAACCTTCGTAAAATTCCATGACTGCCCGCACATTTCCTTTTTTGTTATTAGCCATGTACTCTGAGTGGATTACTGATACGACATCTAATAAGGAATGAAGCATACAATCGGTTCATGGATCGTTTATTTTTCCGTGTTGTAGAAAGCGCCTGGACTTGGTTTACGCATTTCTCTATTTAAATCGCCATGTCGAAAAAGCTTTCTGGTGCTGTGGCATACAACACGCAAACGCATGAATTTCTTCATTGTGTAACGTCCCGAACAATAAGCATCTTTCTGGCGTTTATGGCTTCTTTTTTATCAAACATTTTGATCGCGTCTTGATTCATTGAGACCAGATATTTCAGACAAAGTATTATCCCCAAATAAGAAGCTTGTTGCCCCTCATCATTTACGGCTTCTCATCGCCATGCTTAGAATATATCACTGGTTCTATAATAAAGTTAATACAGTGGGGATAGGATTTGTAAATAGTAAGCTAAGCAAAACATGACGAAATAACTTTCTCTTCCCATTAACAGTTGTTTATACATCTCTCTTCCCCCAGAACCTGCTATTTGTGTTTTTGCTGTTGGTAGAAATAACACGACAGAGACTAAAGTATACACGTGTATGTCCCATTTATCCGTTATACGAGCTGGCGTATAAGCTATTTTTAAGCGTCTAACATACTCTATGTTGTTAATATACATTATTTCTATAGACACCTAACCTTTATGCAAGCAAGTATCAGCTGTCAGTTTTATATTTCACTTTTCAAATCTCGGTGGGAGCGAGGTTTATATCGCAAACTGACGTACGCTTGTGCTCTTTATTCTCTTTTCGATCTCGTTAAAAAGTCTACAAGGCACATGGGTCCATTTAAGATGACGGACATTCGACATATTCATAAGCTACTACTTTTTCCAATATAATTGATGGATCACTCATTTGTATTCAACCAATATGTCCAAACGTTTTCAATTGGCGGCGGCGTATTGGCTAGTAAATGACACGAGGCATTATCTTTTATAAATATTAAAATTCTCAGAAGACTCCTTGGGTAAATGGAAGACAATAGCTGACAGAGGCGTGTATGTCTATCATAGTATCTACAATCTTGAGAGGGGTATCACCAACTACTTAATACAATTCCTCTTTTAGATCACCAAAGCGCTTTACCAAAGTGAACAGTTGATGTGATGTAGGAGCTTTTAATGCCCTTTTTTCCTCCTTTTTTTCGGAGCACTGTGGCACCATCGTCATTACTTACTACGGTGACCTTTCTCGGGCTAAACGGCAGATCTATATCAAACATTTATTTTAGCCAGCCTTACCTTTATTCTGTTCTGTGCGAAACTCAAGCGCAGAAAAAAAAATAACAATCCAAGCCTTCATTTTTGTAAATAAACGTGTGTCTTTCAATGTGGCTTAAACTGATTCACCTAAAAACTTGTTACTACAACCCCAGCACTCATTTAAGATGATAGTCGCTCTTAGGTAGATATTAACGGCATTGGCAAGTGCTGATTGCTGACGTAATTTGTTTTCACAATGAGATCTTTACAATAAACGAAATGTCCCGAGGGTGGTGTCGTTGGCTTTGCTCCAACGAAAAACAAGAGATGGGGTAGGACAAGGACAATTAAGCCTTTTTATCATGCAGAGTTGGGAGCGATAGTAGACTGAGTGGAGGATAAAAATGTAGTATTCTTGGCTTGATTTGGGAAAGTCAGATAGATTGGGCTAATTATAACACATGGTGGCTATGTCAGCAAAATCAAATGATTTTCTCCCCCCGTTTAAATTGCAGGATAAATGATGTGTTACACCTCTTTTTTTGATTGTTGGGTGAATGCTATTTTTATCATCAGCTGATAAAAAGACATGCTGAAGTAAAGAGAGTCTCCCCTCCTCCCGCCCTTAAAAAACTTGACACTGGCCTATTATTATTTCACCTTTTTCCCCCTCATCCTTGACAAGTTGCACCGTACCCTCACAATTGGAATTTTTTTGTGACCATTTTTATTATAAGTCATGTTACACTAGGGACATTGTAATCATATCACTTTATCAGGGTGGAAATTGCTATAAAGTTTTCTGTGTTACCTCAACGTAAATGTTATCTGAAGTGCCAATGACTTGCAAAAGTAGTAAAGATCTACATCACTTGGGTAACCACACTTTTTTTTCTTAAACCAGTTTTTTTTTGTTTTGTTTTTTTGCACTTGTATGGGCTTTACTCTTTTCACTCTACGTCTTTGCAAAACTGTATTGTGTATGTGTGTGTGTCTGTTATTTTTTTTATGAGGCCGCAGTAAAAGTGTTGGTGAGGCTCACCCCTCATTTTCGGAAACATCCTTAAACAGAATATCCTATTCTCGGGTGACACCTATTACGTTCTCTCTCTTTCTCTTTTTTTCTCTTTAGAAATCAAGTGGCTTCAGATCGAACACAATTTACGATCTTGGAAGACGTGCGTGCGTGAGTTATGGGGGGTCCACTGCTGCTATGTGAACATCGAACCAATGGTGTCTGTTTGAAGACATTTTCCTAATATATGCACTATGGAAGTTACTGATTGAAATGAACTAAATAGTTTTAATGCACATAGTAAAGAATGCGGGTTTACCCTCCTTTCGGGTTTATTGTCCATCGTAAGAAAAAATGCTTGAGCATGTGTGCATAATTAAAGTGTAAATCCGCCTACCTTATCGCTATGGCAATCGTATCCTCATTTACACGAAATTCTAACTAGGCAATATGGATTACATAATGGATGATAGCTTCATTAGAGTGTAATTTGAGCAGCTCTCTATGATCATCATCACAAGCCAAGATGGATAAATAAAAGGAATGAATGGCTCTTACTCGCATGGAGAAATGGTGTGAGTTAAGCAAGTTCCACCAACTTTTTTGTTCGAAGATACTGCACTTTTGTTTCTATCTATAGTTCATTTATATTTATATTAATTGGGTATTGTAATTTATGAAGAAGGAAAGAAGGAAACAAAATAAAAATTTATTCACACACAGGTACCAAATGAATCCGTTCTTCCTAATTGAAAATATAAAAAAGACAAATGCTCAAATAATAAAAAAAAAAAAAAGGGAAAAGTCTGTTCCGCACCAGATGATGATTTGTTGGCGATCATGGTTACAGACGACGGGCGACCAAAGACGATGAGCCCAACCCTGAGTACACGTAGCCTCGTTTGACCTTGTGATGAAGATCAAATGGTGTTAGGTGATGACTTTTTGACAACAGGATGCTTTATGATACAAGCTATTCTTATCATCAACATGGTTGATGTAAGAGTTTCATCCACCATGAGCATTCGGGTTTATCATTTCCCTAACCAGCTAACTTGGTGCGTCTGCTCCAGACCCACCCTCGTGGAGGAGTTTTTTTTTTCTTTTTTTGGGGGAGGGGGAAGAAATAATAATAAGACTACGCCCACACCAGGATAAAATAAGTTGGAATAAGGTTAAATTGCTGCAGCAGTAGGGGAGAGTTTTATTTACGATTTCGCCCCCAATAAAGACGATAAGGCGGTCCGTTTCACTTGTTCAGGGTCGCTTGTACAGTCTTCTTTTATATTCTTGTATGAACAGTTGACCTTAAAAGTAGTAGAAAGTTGTGTGTCATTCTTTTTTGTATCTGTCCTCATCATAAGGTTCATCGACATTCAATTATTTACTGCGTAACATGCAGATAGACCCCCATTATTTTCTTGCGTAAATTGGACACGTGATTTATGTCTCTTTCAGCTTTTACATTTTGAGGGGTGTGGACATAACCTGAATTGTGAATCCAAGTGTACAATTACCTGGATCATTTGAGCTTTGGGTGAGCAGTTTTTTTTTTGTTTTGTTTTTTGTTATTGTTTTGGTATGATATCATGCATCATTTTTTCCGATCTGCTGTTACCATGGTAAGACCTATTTGTAAAATAGCTTATTCACAATGTTTGTTAAGGATTATGCTGCAAGTCATATGAAACAAGAAAAAGATCACCCAATTCATTATTATAAATCGTTTGTAAGTTTTATTTATATATTTAGGGGTGTGAATGAACAAGGTATGCGGAACTGTTTGATTGGCTGAGTTTGTGGATACGTTACAAGCAACTTTTTTTTTTCTCTAACCAGATAAAATATTAAGGGACCAAAAAGCTCTACCAAACGCGTGTGTGCAACTCCAATCTTTTTTGAAAAATGTGACATTATGGGGGTCCAAGGCAGGTCTAAAAGACGGTCACATTCATAGTCACATAATAATTTTTTTTGAGTGATAATTGCCATTTGGCTTTATTTATTCCCCCCCACCCACCCACACAGCTGATTCTAGTCCGTTTGGACTACATGATTATAACAACAACATATTTTAACTTTTTGTGTGCAATGTTGTCACTCCGTTTTAAAATACAAAAAAATTTCTTGTGATATTATGAACGGGGAAAAGGAGATCAAAGTTGAAAATGTGGGATCTCCTTCGATTTTTTTTTCAGGTATTTATTGCCCCTATTTTTTTCCATTCTTTTTTAGTTTTTTTTCTTTCATTCTTTTTCCACATTTTATCAAGCAACCGATTACCCATAACTTTCTATTTTTTTTTTTTTTTTTTTTTTTTTTTATATCATTTCTCCCATTTTATATTAAAAAAAAAAAAAAAAAAAAAAAAAAAAACTTTTTTCATTACATATAGCGTTGGTTATAACCAAACTCACCCTTATACCCTACTTGCCTCAAAATTGGTATGATTTCTTTGCGACTCCAAAAGTGTAATTATAATTATCGGAGTAGTTCTTGATACTTTGTTTGTATCCTTATTTTTCAGAGATTTTCTTCTCTCTACTATTATCAATTCATTTGTACCCTTTTAAAAAAACCTTTCCCCCAAACCCATTATTATTATTATTATTATTATTATTACTATTCACACCAGCCCACCAACACACACAACAACACACAAAAAGCACACACAAATGTATATCAACGGTCTAAAATATGCCTGTTCTACTTGCATCAAGGTTAGCTCAATTTTTATTTATGTACATGTAATGGGGTTATTAAATATGGATGGGAATATTCTTTAGGGTCATCGCTCTTCTCATTGTAGCCACGTTGATCGTCCATTATTTGAAATTCGTAAGAAAGGTCGTCCTGTCACTCAATGTACGTTTTGTAGAGATCTTCGAAAAACAAAACAAGTGCATATCAAATGTGCATGTAGTAGTGATAAAAAAGGTAACAACAACAACAAATGATTCTGCTCTAATAATAAAATATATTCTAATTTCTCCATTATTATCATCAATTAAAATAGCCAATGCATCCAGCACTTCTGAAAAACCAATTTTAATTTATCGCAATAGTGAAGAAAACTGCCAAGATGCCAAGAAACACGGTCAGCATTGTACATGTCCCAGTCCTACCACCACCACCACCACCACCGCCGCCGCCGCCGCCGCTAGTACCGTCACCAGCAGCAGCACCACCAGTGCCACTGCCACCAGCGCCAGCTATCTCCCCAATGTTACTCAAGACTCTCCTACTCAGATGAAGGTGACACAAGAATCAAAGTCGGGCTTATTAGCGCCACTTTGTCCCACCCCACCTTTGCCTGTGAAAGAAGAAAACCTGTCCTACTCATGGGCGTTGATCACTTCCCCTTCCTCCAATCAGGGTGATTTACCTGTCGATTCTGTACCCAGTTCGAATTCGTATACAGACATGATGATGGATGATGATAATAGCAATCTTCAACATCTTGGCTTTATATTTCATAAACCAACCACCTCCACCAGTCAAAGATTTCTCGATGGCCAACCGCGTACAAGAAGACGTCGCTCCACTACTCAAAAACGTACTGCTGCAGCCAATTCAACCACGGTCACTCCCACCAACTACAATCGATTGCCTGTGAATGCCCTGGTTGACTCTGTCCTGACCATCGATACCATCCACGACTACAGTCTGTCCACTCCACCTTCTTCCGCCGTCTCCCCTCATCATCTGTCTTCTCTCTCAACCCATGAACCCATGGATGTGCAATTTGATTATCTTACTGAACAACTCGAAATCTTATCGAATAGTAGTCATCATAGTTATATTGGTGATTTATCTAATGCAGATGAATTAACTGCTATTTTAAATAACGTTCTTCAAAAAGATGATGATGATGATGATGGTGTCTCGTTACCTTCAGTATCTTCTTATTCGAGCAATAATACCACATTGAAATCCACTAGTACAAATAGAAAAAGCACTCCTATTCTACCTGCTACGAGTCATCCACCCGCCGCCGCGGCTAGCATGCCACCTTCTCATTGTGGTAGTTTTGTGCCTCTTTCGAAATGCTGTAAACCTGTGGGAGCAGCCGGTGGAGAATCAGTGGTGATAACGATTACGCCGTTGACGAACACGACGGCGCCGAGCAATGATTCGATGATGATGATGTTGGAAGATGACCATCAAACGCAGCAAAAGACCACAACACGCATTGTTACTTGTTATTGTGGAAACCAATGTACATGCCCTGGCTGCCTGGTGCATCCAAGCAATTTCTTTTTAGGCACGGATCCGTATTCTGGTCTGATGATGAATAATCCGTCCTCTTCTGCTTCTTCGTCGTGTTATGGGTCCGATGAAGAAGAACTCTCGTCTCTTTACGGCAAAAGTAATAATAATTTTATGTCCTTCTAATATGCTCCTCATTCTTCTTTTCCCCTCTTTGAAAAGAACACACTGTAAATATATGCTTTCTATTCTTTTTTTTTTCTTTCTTTTTTTTACTTTTTTTTTCTCTTTTTTTTTTTTTTTTTTTTTTTTTTTAAATAATTAAAAAACACTATCAATATGCAGTTCTATTATTTTGTTCCATATCATATAAAACAAATACAAACAAGCCCATCGTAAACGTTTCAATTTCAATTTTTTTTCTTTTCCTTTTTCTTTGCACCAAGACTTTTTTTTTCTGATTTGAATGGTAAGATATGTATAAAAAATAGACACAGACAGACACACGCCACTATCTGATGTAACAGGGAATAGACAGTACCTGATCAAATGATAGCTGAGGATACACGAGAGGCATTTTTGCTTTTCGATAAAGATAAAAATGGAAGCATTGATACATCAGAACTGGCTTGCATCATGAGATCATTCAACATGGATCCTACAGAAACAGAGTTGCAGGACATGATTCAGGAAGTCGATGTCAATGGGAATGGAATCATTGACTACGAGGAATTCGTTGCTATGGTAACCAGGTACGCATCTTTTTTTTTAAAATGCTAAATAGACACATTATTTACTATGACTAAAGTTTGCCCTTTTTTAAAGAAAGCGTAGGGGATCCGAGATTCAAGAGGAAATCAGAGAGACATTTCGTGTGTTCGATAAAGATGGTAACGGTTACATTTCTGAAACCGAATTACGTCAGATCATGGCTTCTGTGGGTAAATGGGATTCCTCCTCCTGATGAAAAGCCCCCCCCCAAGACACACACACGCCCAGCTCACTCACTCAATCTTAAAATTTAGGTGAAAAGTTATCGGAGAAAGAACTCACGACCATGTTACGCGAGGTAGATACGGATGGCGACGGTCAAATAAACTATCAAGAATTTGTAAAAATGCTGGTATGAAAAAATAAATCGCTCATTTTTCGTGTCACATTTTACTAACTCGCCTAGTTAAATGCCTACCCTCCCCCCTTTTTTTTGTGCAGGCAAAAGACATCTAAAATACATTTCATCTTTATTGTGAGCATGGCATTTATCTCCTTGATAATAAAACAGCCCCTTCTCCCCAATTTTTTTGAAAAAAAAGATAGAGGCATTTTTTTTTTTCAGAAAACTTTAATTTTAAAATAGATTTTTTTTTAGAAAAATAATAATAAATGTCTGACACTGGTAAAATATATGTATTTTTATAATAGAAACAGAAGAAAGAAGAAAAAACCAATTCCCCCGCCACCCTTCTTGGCGATAGAAACTTTAAATGAGGGGAGGGGTTACATGAAATTTATTTAGTCTATATTTTTACAATCAAATTAAAATAGTGACCCATTATTTTCTCTCTTTTACGCGCGCGTGCGTGCGTGCAAAAGAAAAGCTAACAATAAAAGAATTATGGCATCATTTTTTACTTTTCAAAAATTCTACGAGAGTCGATCTCTATTTTATAGAGAGCAGTAATCACATAAATGCCAAAATGACACCCCTTTTTTTTTTTTTTTTTTTTTTTTTTGAAAAGAAAGTTTCAGTTTTTTTAACTCAGTAAAAAACTTCTTTTATCAATTTAAAATATTCGGATCATCGTTTAAGCATCTCTCTAATCCGCCGCAACCTAAAAAAAACTCGCGCTTTTGTGTGTGTGTGTGGGCGGAGGGTGGGCGCGTGAAGAAATCGAATCGATACCTGTGACCTACAAGAAAAAGAATGAATTGCTTTCTTCTAAAAAGAAAAATCCCAATTCTCGGCAGTTTTTTTTTATTTGTTATCTTGGGGGGGAGAGAGAGGTCAGCCTCTTCAACATGACACCTTTTTTCTGTTTTTTTTAAACAGTGGCGTAAATACCGCAACTTTCAAATTTATCTATTTTCTTCGATTTTTATTAGCTCAGTAGGACAACCCTTTTTATTAAATAGGTGATACAATTGGTAACCTGTATCCCTACATTTTTATAAAAAAACTAAACGACCGCCGTGTTTTTAAGACACTCAATTTTAATTATATGATTGCTTCCCTCTCTCTCGTAAGCAGATATGCGGGGATTTATTATAGTAAAACGCAATTTATTGAAGGCTATGACAATAATAATTACTTACTTTTGATGCTCAAATGTAACTGTCTCAGCTACGCGGTTAACTCTGTCCCAGTTTTAAAATACCCTTCTAACGTCTGGCTCACTCTACCGATAAACCCCAATATTATCTAAACCTTTTTAGGGGGAAACCAGACAGCATGACACTTTGCATCAAACGGAACAATTTCAGAGTTTAGTGGGGGTAAGGCTTGACTCGCAACATCAACAATGACAATGACCCGAGCGGAAGGGATTTATCTTAAGGTTCAGGAAATGCGTGTTCAATCGAATAAGGGTTGACATGCGCCATAGAATTTGACATAACACTCTTGTGATGTTATATGCTCCCAGATATTTTTCTGTTTATCACTGAGACAGTATCGACACGACGCTAGCCATTCCTCTTTTGAAGCCTGTTCAATCTATCTTAGCTTCCTATTTCCTTTTTGTATAAGAGAAGCTTACGTATATTTATCGTGGTATTGTGGAATCAGGTAAGGACATCGCTTCATGAGACAGCCTAAAAGATAATACATGAATTTTGGAACGCTTGCAAAGGGCATGTAGGAGTATCTTGCTAAAAAAAAAAAGTGTGAGGCAAAGGGGTACCTTCTTTCTTTATTAGCCTTGATATCCCTTTAGTCTAGTAGTTTAATGACACCTCGTAACCATCGTTGGACTTTTGTTTGTGGACATTATAAGGCAATTAAAGACAACGGTAAACCGATTGTAGATTGACGATTGATAGATAAGAAATAAATTTCAACTTATCAATTAGTGACGCTTAGAATGACTATGAAATCCACAAAGGTCACTAACGCGTACATTATTGCAAGTATCTTCTAATCTCTGTAATAATCTCTCGTATGTCATCAGTTCCTTACGCTTCATTTTTTTTCCTTTTTACTATAGCCGAAACAATTTCAATTACTTTTAACTCTTCATTTGCGTTAAAGACATTTTTAGATATATTATAGGCGCATTGTTTAAGACCTAGCTTATTTTTTCTAAGAGTTTGTAATGTAGGCCGGAAATTGACAGGCGTGGAAAAGAGATAAACTCGAACGGATCTCAGGCTGAGTTGTTTGAACTGCAGAGTACTCTCAGTTAAATTATAAAGGTAGTCGCTTCACAGTTAAATTCGGGTATCTGATGCTTATTTTAGTTTAATTCTCTAATAGCTAAACTAGCCTATACTGCGCTTTATTCTGAAAAGGCCAATAGCGACCAAAAATATTAAGATGAAAAGAAGAACTAATGTTTTATTACTGTAATAAATTTAACTGATTACAAGTTAGGAATAACATGAGACTGGCATCAAACGGTAACTTTTATAACTGCCAATGCTTTGTAACGCATTCTCGTTTTCTATCGACCGTTATTTCCGATCAAGCTTTCAAAATTATTGTCATCCATTTAGATGACCACTTTCTTCTATTGCTTGATTTAGGCTCCTTCTCTACATACCACTTTTCATAAACTTTCAAAACAGATGATAACTTGTCGAAATCCAATACAAATTTGATCAGATTGTCCATGGTCAATGGGATTTTGATATCGGTCAATTCATACAGTATGTAAAGACCATCACTGGCCAAAGTGATATTATAAAAAAAATATCAATATGCCTATATGCCTTACTTAGTATAATTATCTTCAACATTGTCACCCCAGAAATAAATGATTTGATAAGCTAAGGACCCCTTTGAAGTTGTTGGTATCGATGCTAGCCTTTAAAAAAGTTCCGAAAGCAGCAAATCCTTGAAGCTTGCGCAACTGTGTTGTCTGCTTCTGATTGACTTTTTACCAAAGCTCAAGGAGAAAAAAATTCCTATGCATGATTTTTTGATCTAGTCCATCAGCTGTGTAAGCTTCCATCAAAATACAACCCACCACGTGCAATACGTTATTTTCAGACAACCTTTTTGTTAAAAGCGACTCGAAAAGAGATTATCACTACCATTGTTAGGTACCATCTCCTGTTTTTAAAGCAGTTTCGAGCAATGCAGCAGTGATATCGATAATTTTTGGGCTTCAGCGGTTATTAATCCAGTGCTAATATAAAAATAAGTAAATAGACCAATACTATTCTATTACAATAATAAGGCGAAGGTTCACCAGCTGTCTAACATTGTCATAAGTTGCCGTGTAGGAGGGAGAGGAAAATGATTTAGTTATAACGTAGATAAATCGCTATATGAGATATAATAAAATCGGCTAAAATTACAGACAGCAATTTATTGCACTCTATTAATCGGCACAAATAATCATTAAAAAGGTTGTTAATATAATGCAATTTAAAGTGTTTTAGATTATTGCCATTGGGTGTGTATTGAGGCTTAAGATCATCTTAAGTGTGTTTGCAGTTTAGTATATTTTATAGCTATGGTAAATTTTAACTTGTATTTATGGACGTTTAAGCGTTCAATTACTAATTGAATGGCTTAAACGTATATTGGCATTTTTTTGTATTGCACTGCTTATGTTTACACAGCTTTTTTTTTTAAAAATTTCGACTGATAGACTCCTTCCAAATAAAGTATTAATCATTAAATTTTATCATTTAAAACATTACTATATAAACGTTACTATGAGTAGGCATATCATCAATATAGTTGCAATAGAGAATATTTTACTTCGTTTGTGATTTATATTGATGCCGGTAAGAAAATTGAAGATGTTTGCAAAGTGTAAACGTATATAGCTGATTACTAAGTTGATTGCGAATAATTTACTCGTGAAGTAGATGGAAATTCTGTTTTAAACGCAAACTTTTCGGCGTTTCACAAAGTTGACATCCCTATTTAAACCAACATAGTTTTCAAGATATGAAATTCCTTCTAAAACTGTTGTCCCTAATTTACAATTATCAAACTTATTGCAAATATTTATATAAATAACATGGCTTTGAATTGCATACGACATTACCAATCTTCAATACTGTTATTTCGAAACGTATTCCCGTTAGGCAAAGACGAGAAAACCAGTAATTTGGGAAGTCGCTTTAAATATTGTTAGAAAAATGATGAGAGGTTTTACAAAATATCTGTCATAATTTAATAAACAAACTTTGTTAAGAACGTCATTGCCTATTCAATTTACTTATTCCTTGTTAAGTTGGTGGATACAATGCGGACTTCTTGTTACATTCGTTGTATGAGATTTACTTATACCCAGATTCAACTTTTACAAGCATGCACATATAGGTACCGCAGAAATTGAGTTCATTAGCAGAACAAATATTATTTTAATACCACCCACTGTAGCGGCATTTTAGGCTGCTATAAACAAAGATTTATTGACACTTTTCGACAGTGAATTACTGATCCTATAAACTCTATCGACTAATGGCCTAAAGTAAGCATAAAGCAAAACCATTTTATGACTTCAATAATTCTGGGTCATTGTAGCGAGCTTCCCTTTCTAATAGTGTGGTGAATAATAAAATAGAAAGAATAAAAGTTGTCACAAAAGCATCAGTTGCTTTGTTTTAATTATTTAGCAATCCGGTTCTCTCCAAAAATTAATAATGACAACTATTACGAGCTATTGGCGCTTTTATTTTGAATGATTAACCTACTATTCTTCAATAGGTGTTCTCAAGATCGGAAACCGAAAATAAATTGTCCATTTTTTCTACAAAAATAGTAAAAAAAGTGCTTGATAAATAAGTGTCTCGAAATACTAAAGATTTATTAGAATACTCATGCTCCCAATCCACTGATATGGGACAATGTTAACTGGAAACAATTCTAACGAGAAGTATTCATTTAACCTAAGACGGGAAACAAAGTATAGATCTATTCCAAAACCAGAAAGGTTGACTCATCATCTCGAATAAAGATATACTTTTATCTCATTACTTTTCTATTGAAATAATTTTGTCGAATACTACAGTATTATTTGCAGGCCAAGTCACTCGAGTGATCGACTCTTTATTTGGAGTATATGAAATAGATAACCTATTTATTCTCAGTTTTTTCAATTATCCAAGCTATGAGCTCAATAAGCCTTACCAAGTAAACACCAGAATAGTTGTCCACAATATCCGGAAATGTCTAGAACTCCGTATTTTTTTCAAACGTATTTTTTTCAAATAAACGTATTTTTTAGAATCACGCGATGGTCTACACGTCGATTGACATGCCATATCATTTAAATTTCATGGGATGATCGATTTCTGTTTTCAATAAAATCTGCTTCACTGTCATGACAAGCTACTATTAGAACGCAGATAGACAATTACCAAGCTCTGACTTGCTTGGGATGTTTTTGCAAGTGTTTTTATTTTAAGTAAAGGATAAAACATTATGGATGATAAAATAGACAAATGAAATTATCTTAACATGAGCTTTTTTATCTATAAATAAAGCTGGTTCACACACTTTATTCTTCTTTTTTTCTTTTCTCTTAACATACTTCTTTTATCTTATGAAAGTAACCGATCACGTAAAAAGGTTAGTTAGTAATGACTCTTGTTTCTTTAAAAAGAAGATAAATTGAAAAAGATATGTTGTGATATTGCGGCTGCAGCTAGTCTTTGCTATAGGAGGGCGACCTCCTAGGCAGAGTTCTTGAGTTTTTGGAACTCACGAACTGTGAGTAGCAGGGATGCATTTTAAATAGGTGCAAACATACTGGACTGCTGGTCTTCTGGCCAGAATTACTGTAAGTAGTATAATATAAATAATCTAAGACAATTTGCTGAACGAAAACACGCTCCACGCGATAGCGTAGGATACGCAGTAATCTTGTCCAAAAAGGACATTCGAACTAGCAACAATCCTCAGAAAGGTGGGCATGGAACCCATTAATAAAGTGGCTTTCTACTAACTACGATATGACAGACCATATGTTGACCTGTTATATTAGCGACCCTTCTTTGGAATCAGGCACTTGCTGTTTAAATATATTCAGTAAAAGCTTTGAGACACTTGAGGCTTTTCAAGAGAATCGAATTGTGAAAATGACAAACTTTTTTGTAAAGGAATTTAATAATAATCCACAAATCACTCTCAATTCCTTCTCCAAATATGCTCTTTTCACTGCTACAGAAATTAAACAAATCGAACTCGGCAATATGAATCTTCCTGCGGCACCAAACGATAAAGCCATCATGAAAGCTTTAGATAATTGGAACGCTGAGGCCTCGGGTTCAGAAGCAATGGTGTGGGTTCCAACAAAGAGACCATTGTTAGAGACTTCTCAGCTGTATGATGATCCATCTAAGTACTTTGACTTTGTTGGCCAAATCGTGGATATTAAGAACTTCGATGCGTTTACTTTGTTGGTGTTAACAGATTTTACTGAGAATCCTTACCCACCCACCTTACCTGTCGATCAAAAGGTCCTAGATCCCAAGTGTCTGATTAATTGCTCTGTATGAGACTACCATCGTAGTATTTGTGATAAATTAGATATCAAAGATTTTGTCTTCCTCCGTAATTGTGTCAAAAAACTCACGGACACGTTGGAATTCAACATCCATGGAAGCAATGATCAAAGCAAGCCGCAGGTTGTTCATATCTCTCCAGACGATGATCTTTTGAAGAACGTTCTTGCAAGACGAAAATCGGTAAAGGCTAGTTTGAAGAAACGTACAAGAGACCAATTAGAGGCATACCCACTTCGAACAGGTAAGGAAAGTATTAAACAAAATTATATGATCGTTGTTCTTATAAATATAAAAAAGAATTCATAACCAAGAAGCGTGGAGGCCTCAAAATTCTCAAGTATATCAAATCTCGACGTGTAATGAAGTGCATACATTGTATATTGTTAGCTCTGATCTGACTTTTTTTTGTTTTGTTTGTGTAGGATAATGGGGTTTGTGAGGTAAAGGCCAGTATCTGTAAGAACAGTCCTCAAGATGTTAGAGATTGGATCCAAACATTATGGATGATAAAATAGACAAATGAAATCATCCTGACATAAGCTTGTTTATCTATAAATAAAGCTGGTTCATACACTTTATTCTTCTTTTTTTCTTTTCTCTTAACATACTTCTTTTCTTTTATGAAAGTAACCGATCACGTAAAAAGGTTAGTTAGTAATGACTCTTGTTTCTTTGAAAAGAAGCTAAATTGAAAAAGATATATTGTGATATTGCGGCCGAGGCTAGTCTTCGCTATAGGAGGGCGACCTCCTAGGCAGAGTTCTTGAGTTTATGGAACTCACGAACCGTGAATAGCAGGGATTGGACTGTAAATAGGTGCAATCATATTGGCCTGCTGGTCTTGACCGGAATTCCTGTAAGTGGTATAAAAAAAAATACATTTAAAAAAAATACATTTAAAAAAAATACAGAGGTCTAGACATTTCCCTATTTATCCTCAGTTTTTTCAATTGTCCAAGCTATGAGCTCAATATGCCTTACCGAGTAAACACTAGAATAGTTGTCCACAATATCCACCCAGCATGGATTCATTCCGGTAAAGAGAATAGCCATTTGTTGACAGTCTGGACCAAGGCTGTGATGGGATCGTGCAGCAAAACACATGTTGATATTATTGAATTCTCCAATGATTTAAATGTTACATGTAAAAACACGGAAGTTATGACAAACCATGTTGAATTATACATTGATTGCATTTTGAATTTCGCATCATTCGCGGAACATATTCGACAATTGGAACTATACGAAAGTTTGAACAATCGATTTAATGTAGACTGGACTCCATAGGAATTTATGAAAATGTTTAAAGCCATCATGAAGTGTGTTCTTGATGATACAAATCGTGAATCTGAACGTTCTTTTTAAATAAAACAAAAATGAATAAAACAATTTTGTCGCCAGGATTAGATGGTAAATGAGTAGCTCCATATGCTATCTTGTGATTCAATAAATTCGGGTTGCTCCTTGTTCTCGATTTTTGTTGATACAAAAGTATATAGCCTCGATCACGACAGTGTCTGATGTGGAGGGACGTTCCATAAGTTTATATCAAAGGCTTATTTCATTGCTGTCCATTGTAAAAGCTTCGTTACCCGTGTTCATGCATGTGCTTGTCTGTATGAATTGTCCACATCATGTTTTGGGAGCTGATGGTGGAGCCAGCGTGGACCAAACTTGACCTGTAAGCATCAAAGTCTTTTGGAAATTGAGAGAAATTTAATTTATTTATCCCAACAGACTTTGACGAGGATATGAATCGTATGACTACCAAGAAGATTTAGAAAGAGAGGTGTATTCAGCAAGGATAACCACAATCTATTGTTTATACTGGCTAAATATGTATGCTTAAAAAATGTTGCAAAACGCGTTTGGAACGGATTTAGATGCGGATGGATTCTAAGTAGATACGCGGAAATTGATAGTAGTAAAACATATTTTATTGAAGAGGTGACAATAATCATACAATAATTTACTTGCGATGCTCAAATGTAACTGTCTCAGCTACGCGTTTGACTTTTCCGGTTTTAAAATACTCTTCCAATGTCTGGCCCACTCTACTGATAGCCGCACTATTATCAGGATCTCTTTTGGGGAAATTAGGCAAGATAACACTTTGCATCAAACGGAACAATTTCGGTGTTTGGTGAGGGTAAGCATCGAGTAAGGATTGACCCGCATAATCAAGAAGGGAAATGATTAGAGCGGGAGTAATTTCTCTCAAGGGCATATTACAGATTCTGGCCAGGTAAATCCATGCGTGTTTGATCGGATAAGGATTAGCAGGCTGTCCAGGGTCTGGTACCGTCTGACAAAGTGCGCCATAGAATTTGAGATAGCACTCTTGTGTTGTCAGATGTTGACTGAAATTTTCTCGGACACGTTTTACTTTGTCACTATAACCGTATCTACGCAATGCTAACCCTTCCTCTAGTGACACCTGTACAATCTATTTTAACTTCCTATTTCTTTTCTTTACTTTTTTTTAAAAAAAAGAGAAACTTACGTTATCTTCATCGTGGTATTGTGGAATCAAGTAAGGACATCGCTTCATAAGACGGCCTAAAAGATAATCCATGAATTCTGGAACGGTTGCACAGAGCAAGTAAGAATATCTGGCCAAGTAGTAAATTGCGTAAGGCGTAGGGATACCCTCTTTCTTTACCAGCCTTAATATCACTTTAGCCAAATAGTTTAATAACACCTCGTAAGCATCGTTGGATTTTTGTTTCATGGCCATTAGGCAATTAAAGACAGCGGTATACTAATTCCATGTGAGTTCAAGAAATAATCTATAAATGTATGATCCGTGCGCGACTTACTTTTACTAGAATGGTTGGATGGTCAAATTGTAACTGAATAGTTGACTTATTTAAAGTTATTCTGTGTGGATAACACAACTTGCTAAATGCTGGATCGTCCAATTTAGGTCTGATATTTTTCTGATAATGCTCGATTTTCGCGAAATGTTTCTTATATTCTTCCAAGCCTTGTGCTGATGTCGCTGCTGATTGCTCCTATTTTTAAAAGCAAGTCAATGGCATGGAGGGGGATTTCCTGTGATGTGAGTACATACCAACTTAGACTTGCTGTCAGCCGCTTCTTTATCCGCTTTGTCCTTTGCAGTCTGTGCTGCCTTTTCGTCTGCTTCTTTTTGAAGTTTCTCAGCTTTCGCCTTGGCTTCGGCCGATTCTGCATCCGCTCTTTTCTTGTCTAAAGTAATAGCGTCTTCAATAGCCTTTTTTCGGCTTTTCAACTTTTCCTCAAACATTTTATCCGCTTGATCATCATCTATCAGCCTATCATAAAAAAAAAAAAAAAAAAAAATTGGTAAATTGCCAACCTAAAAAAAAAAGGTATTTACGACTTGGACTCGATTTCTGATGCCATGGCTTTGTATTTTTGGTTAAGCTCTTCATTTCGCTTCTTGTTCCTTTGGATAATGGCTGCTCGTTCTTTTTCCAAGGCAATTTGAAATTGTTGTTCTTTCAAGTCAATTTGGTGGTCGATACAATTCTGTTTTGTTTCCGACGTGTAAGCTTATATATATTTTTTAATATAAAAGGGGTGGGAATCAAATATACTTTACTGGAATTTGAGTGAGACTCAATCGTTTAAATTCGTCCAAAACGTTATAAGTACAACCGAGTTTCACTAGGTTTTGCTGCTGCTTTTTGTACTTATTATAGTACTTGCATTTCCTACTAGAACTGTGGATAAGTAAGAAAGAAAAAAGCGTGTCTAAACAAAAAAGGCTTCTTATTACGTGGTGTTTCTTTGGTAATCGTCTGATTCGGACCCAGAGTCGATATCGATGCAGGTAAACACGTTAGGATTGGTGATTATTTTCTCGCTACTCATTTCATGTAGTTTTATAGTCTGGGAAATAAACGAAACTTGCAGAACCAGAGATATCAATCAAGCATTAAAAAAAAAAAAAAAAAAAAAAAAGGAACTCACACACATTAAAATTTTTTTGGGAATTTTTGGATGACGTCATTTTCTTTTTTTTTCTTTTTACCCCCTTTTTTATTGTATAAATCATTTGACTCCTTTCTTTTTGCTTAACTTGTGTCTTTTTACTTGTTTTTACAAAGAAAGTCAATGGCATCGCATTCACCTCATCCTACTTCTTTGTCACCGCAAGTAAAAACTACAACTGCTTTTCATTGGCCGATTCCTGGGTCACCTTCACATTTAAAACCCATTACTCATTCCCATCCAAATAATAATATGAATGAACTAACTGTAAAAGAAATCTTGGAACGATACAGTGATGATCCAGAACTAATGAAGTACATCTTGACAGCAAAGTCCGAAGAAGACAAGGTAATTTTTAACAAAATAAATAAAAGCTTTGCTATGCCTTACGCTTTGCCCCCTCAATAGAAAAAAGCTGCCAAAGACACATTGAAAGCAGAAGAGGCACGTATTCAATTGAGACAAATGGATCTAGATTTTGCTCGTGAGCAAACAAAGGCATCCACAAGATACGAAAGATCACATCCAGTCTCCAGTTATCCTCCACCACAACATGTGCAAGCACAACAGGCTCATCATTTACAACCACCACAATCAGCAACAGTCGGCGGCGGCGGCGGCGGAGGAGGAGGACCACCTTCAGCGGCAGCAACAGGACCACCTCCACCGCAACATGGACAGGGTTATGCGCCTTATTACGGTCTTGCACCGGTTCAGCAGCAAGTACTTGCTCGTTTTAATTACCCACCTCATTATGGTGGACATCAATCAGGTCATCCACCTCCCTCGTCTCCTTCTGTACCTTATCCTCATTCTGCTCACCCACTCTGTACTTCTACAGACCGTGTACAACAATTACGACAATCCTCTCCCACATCACCCATCACCGAAGAAACTAACCCTAAAAAACGCACTCGATCCTCTATATCCGTCACAAACGAACCGATAAACGAGCAGCACCAAGATAAATTATCGCATAATAAAGTCATGGAAGCCCTGAAAGCAAAGATTCAACGAGGAAATGGAGGCCCTCCTTCACCTTTGACTGCATCGCCCGTGGTGGTCATTCCTCAAGATGCTCATAATAATAAAAAGAGAAAGCCTACCTTGCCTAGACCGGTGATTGTACATTCATCCACCATTTCTTCTCCTTCACCGTCTCCTCGATCCGCTAAGCCTGTTCTACCACCTATTGACACAAATTTAGGTAGAATGGATATCAAAAAATTAGAAAATACCACGAGTAGTAGCAGTAGCAGTAGCTCTAGTAATCACAGTCAGAAATCTGTAAAAGACCCAGTAACCACATCAACAACAACCACAGCAACAACCACAGCAACAGTAGCTGCTGCAGCCTCCCCTAGTGATCATATATTATTAAATACCCGTCGTGCTCGTTCTTTATCACCTTCATCAGTAAAGAAAGCTTAATATTGTTTTTTTCTTTCTTTTTTTTTTTTTTTTTTTTTTTTTATTTTTTTTTTTAATTTTTTTATAAATATATTGTAACAGTTTTTAATCTTTGTGTGAATCTACGGGTCTACTATAAGAGGGTAAAAGACCATGGCTTAGTTTTGTGGGACCATGGAAAGTCAAATATCTATAAATAAAGCTACCCATGATAGCAAAACCAACAAAACTGATAAACCAATGTTTGAATATCCAACCCAGTCCGCTACCAGCAGACACAGTGAGTCTTTGATGGAAAGCTAAAGTGGAAGCACCCGATAATTCCTTCATGTTCTTTAAAGATTGAATGAGTTCTTGGGGACGCTCGATGGAGAATTCCTTGCCATTCATATCTTTAGTATAGTACTTGAAATTCTAAGGCGTTTCATTCAAATTGGACAAAAGGTAAGTTTACAATAGAAACAATATATACAAATAAAATAAAAAAACTTACGGGTGCATCGTAAATGATGATTTTGGATTTATCAGCTTGAATCACACCAAATTTATCCAATACATAGTTTTTCCACATGGAACGATCCATCTCGGCGAAAATGACAGAACCACTGTTGGTAGATTTGAACCAGGTGCTAGCAAAGTCGCGGAATTTGGATTGACTGGCGGTATCTTGGCTACTGACAATATTAAGCACAACAGGCAAATTACCTTGTAAAATACTCTTATGATTGCTGGGGCCCAATTTGCTAATCAAAGGATATTGCCCCTTTTCAATCCAGCGGATAAGTGTATCGCGAGAGGATTTGCTGTTCTTGCTGAAACCATCATGATTTCCTGTATACACGAGATGGCTGTTGTCCTTGGTGATTAATACAATGGGAAGGTCAGAGCTCTTCAAGTCAAATTTCTTGAGTAATGCCTCGTCTTGAGAGGCATAAAATGGAATGGTAGCAATGAATTCTTTTGCTACGGATTCAATTAAATCCTAAAAGTTCATTTTTTTTGTTTAGCATACATAAAATCAAGTAAATATTATAACGACTTACAGGAATATCACCCTTATGAAGATAGACAAGAGCAACATCTTTTACTGTCAAATGTGTCACTAATTCATCCGCAGTCACTTGCTTGACAGCAGGTCTTATAAAAAGGGCATTAATCTCTGCTATGCATGTATATTTTCTTTTTTCTTTTTACCCAGCGTTTGCATTTCCGAATTCTACAAGGCTAGCTAATGAGCGATCGCCTTTGTATGGTACGGCATCTCCGTGACCAAACATCTTTAATGTAGGAAACCCTTCGACGCCATATTCAGTGCATACATCTGTCAGAATTATATAAAAAATTTAGTGATTTTCCATTTTATCAAACTAAAAAAATTAATAAAACCTTACCACGTAAAGCTTCACAGTTCACTTCGCCAATATTAACTTGGCCACGGAAATGTTTAGCCAATTCAACCCATGTGGGAGCCAATGCTTTACAGTGTTGGCACCACGGTGCGTAGAATTTTACGAACCAAGGTACTGATCCTGCAGCGATTTCCTTCATTTTGGCACCATCTAAATTGACTGAGACCCCTTCAGGGTTTGCTAAATTCAACAAAGGTGCTTCTTCCTCTTCCTGAAGACCGTCATCTTCAGGCACATCATCCTCCTGAATCTCTTCCAGCTCCTGTACGTCTTCCTCTTCTTCCAATTGGCCTTCCAGTTCCTCGATATCCGACAATGTTTTCGATGCTTTATCATTCACGTATTTCTTCAGACTATCATAGTTATGGAGACCCTTATAGGTTTCCACCTTTTGGCCTTGTTGCCAGAGCTGAATGGTGGGCCAGCGATCCACATCGTGATCATGACATAAATCGCCTTGGAGTAGACAATCAATAGCTCCAAAATGGAAATCGGTTTCCTGTGAAACTGATTCATCACTCAACTTTTTCCAGTCAGGGGCTGTTGTAGATGGATAAAACGAGTTTTAGTAGGAGACTACAAACAGAGATAAAACTTGTTTCAAAAGTATATAATATTACCGAGTTTGATACAGTGTGAACATTTAGGTGAAAAATGTTCAATGAGCCTTTAAAAATAAAAATATTAACATCCGAACACGCTTAAAAAAAAGCAGGAGAAAGAAGCGTTTACCAAGTACCAGACCCGGTTAATCTCTCTATGTTGCTTGATGTAAGTTCGACTGATGCTGCTTGTATCGACGTGGCTAAACAAGCCAGCAAGATGCCACTGGCAATGTTTATAAACTTCATTGTAAAAAGAGAGAAAAGAATGAACAGCAACAAAAAAAAAGGGCCCAATGGGATTAAAAGTATTTTTGGCCGTCCAATAAGAATGTGTGCAAGCTTGGGATTGAAAAATGCAGCTGAATTAAGTTGAGTAAAATGGAGATTTTTTTATTTTATCAAAAAAGATTGGGTTGAAACAAAAGATACAAGGTGTAACCAAGATCTTTTTTAAAAGAGAAACTATACAAAGTGGCAGTGTAAACGATTATCGTTTAAAAAAAAAGAGGTAATTTTAAAGAGGGAGATGATATTTAAGCATCATAGGTGGAGGCAGAGACGTTACCACCCTTACCAGTCCAGTTGGTGTGGATGTGCTTACCAGGAGCATCCAAAAGTTCGTAAGTATGAGCACCGAAGTAATCACGTTGAGCTTGTAAAAGGTTGGCAGGGAGGATTTCGTGACGAAGACCATCATAGAAGTTCAAGGCAGTAGAGAGAGCGGGAGTGGGGATACCCATTTGAACAGCTTGAGCAATGACGGATCTCCAAGAAGTTTGAGAAGTGGCAGTAGCCTCTTGGAAGAAAGGATCGAACAATAAGTTCTCGAGCTCAGGGTTGTTGGTGTAAGCATCCTTAATCTTACCAAGGAAGACAGAACGGATGATACAACCTCCACGCCACATCAAGGCAATACCAGCAAAGTTCAAGTTCCACTTGTAGTCGGCACCAGCTTGACGCATCAACATGAAACCTTGAGCATATGAAACAATCTTGGAAGCGTAAAGAGCGGAACCGAGTTGAGCAATGAACTTGGCCTTATCGCCTTCAAACTTGTAAGAAGGTCCGGACAAGATCTTGGAAGCACGGACACGCTCACCCTTCAAAGAAGAAAGACAACGAGCATAAACAGCTTCACCGATCAAGGTAACGGGAATACCACGATCAAGAGAATCAATACCAGTCCACTTACCAGTACCCTTTTGACCAGCAGTATCGAGGATCTTCTCAACAAGAGGAGAACCATCAGTGTCTCTGTACTTGAGGATATCACGGGTGATTTCAATCAAGAAAGAGTCTAATTCACCATTGTTCCATTCTTCGAAAGTAGCAGCCATCTCATCGTGAGACATACCGAGACCTTCCTTCATGATTTGGTAGACTTCACAGATCAATTGCATATCTCCGTATTCTAAGATATATATATTATTAGCATCCCTTTGCATGTATATGCTATAACTATTATAAAATTACTTACCGATACCGTTGTGGACCATCTTGACGTAGTGACCAGCACCAGACTCACCAACCCACTCGCAACAAGGTGCACCATCGGGAGCCTTGGCAGAGATATCTTGGAAGATGTTCTTGATGTGAGGCCAGGCCTTGGGGTTACCACCGGGCATCAAAGAAGGACCATAACGGGCACCTTCCTCACCACCGGAAACACCGGAACCGACGAAAAGAATACCCTTACCCTCTAATTCCTTAGCACGACGAATAGAGTCGGGGAAGTGAGAGTTACCACCATCAATGATGATATCACCTTCTTCCATGTGAGGTAATAATTGGTCAATGAAAGCATCAACGGCGGCACCGGCCTTGACAAGCAACATAACCTTTCTGGGGCTCTTCAACTTGGCACAGAGTTCCTCAACAGAGTGAGCACCAACAACCTTGGTACCCTTGGCTTCGTTGGCCAAGAAATCGTCAACCTTGGAGGTGGTACGGTTATAAGCACAGACAGTATAACCATGGTCATCCATGTTCAAGATAAGATTTTGACCCTATTTATTTTTCATCGATTAGTCACCTTATCTACCCCCAAAATCTTTTTTATTATTATTATTATTAATTCTCGTTACCATGACGGCCAAACCAATAAGACCAATGTCAGCACTAAACATTGATAAATAATTAAAATCTCGCGTCGTCACTCTTATTCTGTATCACAACTTACACAGCTTCAACCATTTTTAATATATATATTTATTTCTTGGAGAAATGTAAAGAAGAAGAAAAAAAAAAAAAAAAGCGAAAGGAAAAAAAAATTAAAAACTGGTTAAATAGTGTCTCGGATGATGTAAGTGACAAATTGCCAGGACTGCTTTCAACAAAAAACTTTCCCGTTTCCATCAAGATCTAATTCAACAACCGAACATTGTCCAGCTTTTTCCGCTTAAACCTCTACTTTTTTACTCTATTCTGCATCTGTCATCAATTCACCCGAGGAGAGCCAACTGTATAAACACGTCCCTTATTTAACTGGGCACGGATTGCCTTTTTGTCATTCCGAATTAATGTTTGCTTTAATCAAGAAAAAGGGGGCGCCTCTTTTTTTTTTTCCGAAATTAATTATCCGTTCCGACTCAACCTTAAAAATAATTGGGGTGAAAAGTACTCTTTTGTATTCAAATCAAACCCTCTTCAAGTTTACGTAAGAGTCTCGATTCTCTTACAAACAAAATCGCTTCACAAATCGCGCTTGTTCATGTCTAGGTGCATAGGCAGGACCCAAGCATCAGCCGCGGTTCATTATAACAACTTTTTTTTTTTACAATAGACGTGTTATATTTAATACTCGTGATACACCAACAAAGCCTCGCCAATAAAAAAACGTGGATTCGTGTTGGATTTCTTACTCATGGGCAAAATAGTAATCAGATTTCCAATCTGTTGGCCTTGATTTCCCGGTGAACTCCGCCCCCATCCTCCATCATCGATTACCGTGCCCGCAAAAAAGTTATAAAGTCAGTTTCATGCCATGCCTCATAATAATTCTGTAATGTTTACCAAACATTGGTTTGTTTGTTTTACCTTACAACACGAAAAAAAAAAATCTTGGGGCTGTATGTATGCATCAATTTATTTTTTGTTAATTGGCTAATTTACATTTAAACAGAGCAAAAAGAACGTATTCTCAAGTCAACAACGTATTAGTCATTATCTGATCTAGAGATAATCCAATCAGTTCACACTTCAGGGCAACATGTAATAAGGGCTTTTAACTTTTCCTATTTTTTTTTAAAAAAAAAATGGCACTTATACTCGTAAAGTAACTCACAAAATGCGAGAAAGCCCCAAATTCATAATGCAGGAATTTCATGATGAACTTGGATCACCTTCTTTTTTAAACTCACTCCGTTCATGCCCACCCAATAGTCCGATGTGATTAAACCTTCTTTCTCTAAAAGCATATTGTTTAAACATCGCTCATTGAGCATAAAGCAAGGTCGATTCTCTGTTACTAATAGTGATATGCAGTGGCATATTTAAAACTTTCATAGTAGATGACAGGCTTCAAATGACAAAAGTGTCTCTACTTCTCATCTAATTATTTTTACAAAAAAAAAAAAAAAAAATGGTATGGACACTCGCAATCCTATACTTAAACGTAGGTACAAAGGTCGAATATTTAAATCGAAACCGAGAAGCTTTTGCTTTGACAGCCTGATAATGCACTTCTTTTTAATAGTACTTAGAAGATTCTCTCTTCCCTCTTGCAAGCAAAGGTCGATTTACTACAGATACATTACTATCTAACATGTCTACATGCATTGCACGTAATTATACGTTTGCTTATTTGAATTGAACCGTTTATAAAGCAGAAGCTAGATTATCACTCTTTTTGCATCTTACTTTTTCTTTTTTACTGCTTTCTAAATTAAATTGACGATTAGCGAATGCAGAGATAAAGGGTTTTTTTTTGTTTAGGTATATCTTGACGCTAATTCAATTCATAGCTGATGCGTATCGTAAAAAACGATATTACTTTTTCTGCTGTTAAATGAACGATCAATTATAGTTGGTGCTACGATAAACTTTTACGGATAATCCCAGCTTTTTCCAATATTTTCCCAATATTTTACTCTAGTTTGCAGACTTAAGGTTTATACAACGTGCAAGTTTTTTTTTTTTTTGAAGACATAACGGCGGGCAGTGTTTTTTAGTATGGCCCGGGAATTAATCTCAGCTAAATAAGGGGTAAAAAATTCTCCGATAGATGATGTAAAAGATTATGAAAAGAATAGCCACCGAGGCACAACGTATCACTCGAGTAACTTCTCTGTTATCAGACAAAACAGTAATCAGGGTAACGATGCATAATCCGCTCTTTAAAGTGAATGGGGCTTCGTGATAGTGATACAAAAAAACTGTAAAATAGAACAAAGGCCACCAAGTTACAATCCAGGTACGATTTGGTGTACTTATAAAAAGTCATGCTGATTCTTTTAATATAAAAACTTCTAAACCCTACTGTTTTAAAGGCTGCAAAACATTTACCCTAAAGCAACACAGCGTAGTGAGTAGAATCCTTTTTTTTTTACATTTACTGTAGTTTTACTTCGCTGTAAGTAATAGCCTGTTACAGAAATCAACATCATAATCCCCAAGTTAGTTGGCAATTTATACAATGAATCGCTTAATGATAAGTATTTTGTCTTATGCGGTCTGTTAGATTCATGTAAAAAAAAAAATCGTGTTACCTAGTCGTTGGCCACTAATCACAATTGTATATACATTTACTACGTGCAATCAATTATTATTCGAAGAAAATAATCTACAGATGAAACACACCAGAGCAACAATATATCCCAAATATTATCTCAATACCAAACTTTTTGTAGGTTTCTTTGAAAACTCTAGCCAACTTTCTTTATTGACCATCAACTAGAATTAAGAAAGCGGAGACTCCATTGGATGTATATTTTCAAGCAGCTACAGACAAACCTTTGTTATTTTAAAGCCATTCATTTTTGAAAAATAGCCAAATACTGATATTATAGCTCATAAACTATCCACTTGATTTATCAAATTGTGTATATGGTAACCTGCACCCAGATGAAATATATACAGAGGCTGTTGTTTAGGAGAAGCAAATTTTTATGGTCGAACATAATTTTATCTAGATCCACTAAAAAGAATTGACAGGATTAAGATGACATGGCTTGTTTATTTGTTAAATTATATATTAAGAGTATATTAAGGGCGCATATTTGAAAAAAAAATAAAAAGAAGAATTAATGGCTTGTGTCAACCTGGTTTGGAGGAAGAGGAACGAATATTGTCTTTGGTCCTGAACTATTTTTGCTCATAGATTGAAGAGTTTCCAAATAACGGATTTGAATGGCTGCGGGTGTGCTTAAAATATCAGCAGCATCACGCATTAATTTTGCGGCCTCGACTTCTGCTTTAGATGTAATAACTCTTGATTCACCCAATCTTTTAGCTTGTGCGGCTGATGAAAGGGATTCTTGAAGAAGTTGGGAAAGAGTGATATCTTTGACAAGTGTGGATTCAATCTAATCACAAACAAACAAACAAAAAAGGCATGAATAAGTATTCAGGACAAAGTTAAATTAAATGACAAATTAATCCTTTACCTTGACACCCCAGCTCTTTGCGATCGGGCCAATAATTTCATGCAGTTCTTCAGAGATAGCTTCTCTGTTTTCAATAAGATCTTGTACAGAGTGTCCACCACACACATCACGTAAAGAGGTACTTGCTCTAATCGTTTAAATAATGTCAGAAAGATTGTTACAGCAAGTTGATTCAAAGCAATCTTTATCATACCTTTCAATCAAAGCATAATTAACATCTGTAACGCCATACACAGCTTGATATGGATCCACGATATGCCAGTAAACCACAGACTCCAAGTTTACACTGACGTTATCCTTTGTGATGACATCTTGTTTGGGGATTTCTGTGACCTGGATTGTAATATCGATCTTTTTCAGGTTTTCGGTGGCAGGATTGACTTTGACAAGGCCTGGATCGACGCACTTGTAAAATTTACCAAACTTTTCGACAAGTCCAACATTACCCTGTTGTACCTTATGATAAGGATTAGGGCAGCAAACAATGCAAGGGAAAGATCCAGCAAATCCAATCGTGTTACCAATACAAGTCATCATTGTTTCGTAAAAGCCCTAATGCAATCAATCAGTTTTTTTTTCTCTGTTTTATATGCTCTTTATTTTATCTTACGTGTGGGATATCCTTACTGATATCTAGTTCTTTCGCGTACGAAGCTTGAACTCCACGAACGGCAATGCCGACAGTAATATCATCTATGTAAAACAAATCGCATTAAAAAATATTGCAACAAGTAATGATAATTATACCGTTTTTCTTACCAACTTTAGAATAACTCATGTCGAAAAAAATATGTAAAAAAATAAAAAGTTACTTTATGAAAAAAAAAAAGAGTTGAAAGAGAAAACAAAAGAAAGAGGAAATATAAATTTATGAGTTAATAAATTTCTCACACAGGCGTACACTAAAACAAAAAAAAATCAGCTTCGCAGTTGATGTGTCCACATAAATAAGGTTTATAGCTTGTTACATGTGATTGGAAACCGATGATTCTTTGCTAAGCAAAGTGGCTACGGCTTAGCAAATCCGTAAAAAAAAGCCTAAACAAGGCAATTTTATCATTAAAACAGGCATCATCAGCCGTGCTAAGCATAGTTACACGGCATAATTTGCAACAAAAAAAATGTGAAAGACAAACCTGCGAAGCTTCTTTCTCACACCATTATTTAACTTCATAATACTTTGAAACTTTTTTTTTTATAATTTTATATTTTCTTTTTCTTTTCACTTTTTTTTTTATACTTTAAAAAAAAAACACAACAAAAAATGAGCTCTCTTGATGATAATATCCCTTTGACTGATAGTCAATATTCTCGTGGACCTACACCTACAACTTCTGGTCCTTCTCATCCCACTATTAAACAAAAAAAGGGAGAGTTTGCTGTAAGCGGTGTTCAACCTAGCTTTGCATTAGAACTTGATATCAGTACCATTCAACACGTAGGTTAATCAGACCTTTTCAAAGAAAATAATCTTAACGCCTTTTACCTTTAGGGATGGTACGGTAATATGATGAACGGTATTGGTGTTGTTATGGGTGGTTTGGGTTCGGTAAGTCTTTCATAAGCAAAATGAAAAGAACTATAATAACATTTTTAACTTACTTTTTTTTAAACATAAGATTCCTTGTTGTGTCTGCTGTCCTAATCCATTCAAGCCTGTTAGACAAGGCAGTGTTGGTTTGATTTCTCGATTTGGAAAGTTTTACAAATGTGTCGATCCAGGTCTTGTAAAGATCAATCCTGTCACTGAATCCATCAAAAGAATCGATATCAAGATCCAAGTAGTGGATATTCCCTCTCAATATGTCATGACAAAAGACAACATCACAATCCGTATCGACAGTGTTTTGTACTGGCATATTATTGATCCATATCAAGCCCAGTTTGGCATACGTGATGTCAAGAAGGCACTTGTTGAAAGGTACCTACCTTATAATTTAACTGGTATTCTATTATTATCATTAATCATTTATATATCTGTTTAGAACACAAACCACACTTCGACATATTTTGGGTGGAAAAGTGTTACAAGAATGTGTTGAGAATCGTGAAGCCATTGCTCAAGAAGTCGAAGAAATTACTGGTCGTGTAGCATCTGAATGGGGTGTCAAGGTAAAACGGGAAAGAAAGAAAAAAAAAGAAAAAAAAATGCTGATGAATAAGTGACGTTTTAGATTGAATCCATCTTGATCAAGGACTTCAACTTTTCAAAGGAGCTTCAAGAATCGCTTTCTGCAGCTGCACAGGCCAAGCGAACCGGAGAATCAAAAATCATTTCTGCAAAGGCAGAAGTGGATTCAGCAAAATTGATGAGAGAAGCTGCCGATATTTTAAGCACACCTTCCGCTATGCAAATCAGATATCTTGATACCTTAAATAATTTATCAAAGGCTCCACAAACAAGAGTCATCTTCTTACCACCTCCAGAGGAAGGTAGATCTCAATCTGCTGTATTAAGTGGTAATGGCAATTCAACATCTTTTGGCCCTCTTCAGGCACAAAACTATTTGGAACTCGCTAAATAATACTTAAATGACCTTCTTTTAAAAATCCTCTTATGTAATACTTTTATGTTTAATAAATAATAACAATCTCTAATCCATTTGTTACGGACCTTATTTTCTTTTTTCTGAAAAAAACTAACATGACATCGGTATTATGTAACCGTTTGTATGTACACGGTGTTACACCTTTTTGAAGGTCGAAAAAGAGGAGGGCAGCTAAAATTACCGCTTTTTTTAAAAGTTTCATTGCATTGAAGCTGAGCATAAATTTCTCAACTCTTACGGTCACACAGCATCACATAAAACACTTCCTAAACATGCTAAGCATGCTAAGCATGCTATTAATGTCAATATTATCAATGAACTCAAATGATCATCTTGAGAGATTATGTAAATTTAAAAATAAAACAGATTATACCCCGTTTGGACTTGAATCATACAAATTTATTGTCTTATATATATTATTATCCAATAATATTTATCCAATATCCTTTATCCGTAAGCCACAAGTTTTGCACACAATAAAAACCTTTAAAGTTCGTAATTAAAGGCAAAATTACTGTCTAATAGAGACTTGATTGTATGTGAAGGCTGTATAAAGAATAACACTTGGTGGTCCCAAAAAATCACCTCTAATATTATATTAAGAACATCAACAAATCATTTTTCTTCTGTTATATAACAATATATATTTTCTGAAATTTTCAAGAAGGGTTATTTCACTTAACTGTAGATCTCATTAAATCCAGAAAACAAGTCACTTCATTTACACAATGTAAATCATTCGTGTAAATAGAACCGTTAGGATCAGAAATGAAACGATAAGAAAATTGAAGTGAAGAGTATTCTTAAAGGGAAAATGTCATTACCGGTCTTACGTTTAAGTGAATCCATTTTTATTAAATCACAACGGGCCCACGCTTACAGTGCGAATTGCACCAAATAAATCAGAACAGTTAAAGAACAAAATTGAGTAATTTTTTTATTAATATGGTACAATGAGGGGGGGGAATAGGGGGGGTGAAGGTTGTTTTTGTTTTGTTTTTTCTTCAGATAATTTAAAATCTTAAATCCCAGTTGATCTTGGGACCTAAACGGGGTAAAACTTCAGTGACAGTGTGCATATCTTTATCACCTCTACCAGAAAGACAGACGACAATATCTTGATCCTTGGGAAGCTCAGAGGCCAATTGAAGTGCAGCATAAATAGCATGTGCAGATTCTAAAGCAGGAATAATACCTTCCAATTGTGTAGATTTCTTGAAACCAAGCAAACATTGTGCATCATCAGCAACTCTGTATTCAGCACGACCACAATCCTTCAAGTAAGCATGTTCAGGTCCAACACCGGGGTAATCCAAACCAGCACTGACAGAATGGGTTTCGTTAATCTGACCCTTGACATCTTGCAAGAGGTAGGTACGTGTACCGTGAAGAACACCAGGGCTACCTAATGTAAGTGTAGCAGAATGCTTAAGGGTATCAATACCATCACCACCAGCTTCTACACCAACAATACGCACGGTCTTATCCTCGACAAAAGGATGGAACATACCAATGGCATTGGATCCACCACCCACACATGCAACTACAGCATCGGGTAACTTACCGGCCTTTTCAAGCATTTGACGCTTGGTTTCCTTACCGATCACAGATTGGAACTCACGTACAATTTGAGGGAAAGGATGAGGACCGATAGCAGAACCAACAAGATAATGAGTGGTAGAAACGTTGGCAACCCAATCACGCATAGCTTCGTTAATGGCATCCTTTAAAGTTCTTGAACCGTTGGTGACAGGAACTACAGTAGCACCCAACATTTGCATACGGAAAACGTTCAAAGCTTGACGACGACAATCCTCTTCACCCATATAAACCACACATTCCAAACCAAACTTGGCACATACAGTAGCAGTAGCTACACCATGTTGTCCAGCACCTGTTTCGGCAATAATACGCTTCTTACCAAGACGCTTGGCCAACAAAATTTGTCCAACAGCGTTGTTAATCTTGTGAGAACCAGTATGGTTCAAATCTTCACGCTTCAACCAAATCTTGGCTCCACCGGCATCTTCAGTCAATCGATTGGCGAATTGAAGTTGAGAAGGACGAGAGATATAATCGTAGTAGGATTCGAATTCGGCCTTGAAAAGAGGATCGTTCTTAGCTTCAATGAAACAAGTCTCGAGTTGAGTAAGACAATCGACAAGGGCTTCGGGAACATAAGCACCACCAAATCCACCAAAGCGAGGATCCAATTGATAAAAGTTTTTGATATCCTCAGGGGAGAAGGGACCACGACCTGCGGCATCATTTACTTCAATATCGGCAAGACCTGCATCCTTAGCAGCATACAAGACAGGTTCCTTACGACCTGTAACTTCGGCAGCGTATTCTTGAACAACTTCAGCGACGTTCTTCTTTTCTTCAAGGGCTTCCTTAATCACTGTAATCAAACGAGAACCAATGACAACACCTTCAGCATGAGCTCCAACTTGAACGAAATGATCACGGGTGGATACACCAAAGCCAACGGCTAAAGGAGCTTGGGTATACTTCTTGATACGAGAAACGAGACGAGGTAACTCATTGTTAACTTCGTTTTGAGCACCAGTGACACCCATACGTGAGACAACGTAAATGAAAGAATCAGCAAGACCTGCAAGTAATTTGATACGTTCTTCGGTGGTAGAAGGAGCGATCAAGGGGATATAGGATAAACCATACTTGTAACAGATACCACGGAAGTTGTGGGATTCCTCAGGAGGTAAATCAACCAAAATGTAACCATTGACACCAGCAGCCTTACAATCACGTACCATGTTATCTTCACCATAAGCAAGAATGGGATTGTAATAACCCATAAAGACAACGGGTACTGTTAAACCACGATCACGGGCTTCACGAACCATTTGAAGGCACATGGTGATATCTGTCTTGTGTTCAAGTGCGATCTGTTTGGTGTGACAAAAAATTTACATGAGTCATTTATGCATTGTTTGACGTTGATTGGTAAAGATGAACTTACAGTGCTTGCATATTGAATTGTAGGACCATCAGCGAGAGGATCAGTGAAAGGAATACCTAAAATATCCTGTATGAATACCCACAATTTCCATTCACCCTTTCTTTTTTTTTTTTTTCAAAGAAAATATTTACCTAATTCAATGACATCAGCGCCACCTCTTTCTAAAGCCAACAAACTTTCGACGGTGTCCTTAAGAGTAGGATAACCAGCTGTGAGGAAGGTAACAAAGGCAGGACGATCTTTTTTATCAAGGTAGATTGGTCAATTCGTATTCAATGTAAGAATTGTTAATTTTTTTTACCTTGCTCTTTGGCATTTTTAAACGCGTTGCGAAGTCCAGCAGACATACTATATTTTTTTTTTTTTTTCAGTTAAAAAAAGTAAAGAAAAATGAGCTAAAAAACTCAGAGCTCTATTTATTCAAAATGTCATCGTGGTTTCAATTGGGAGGGGAGTGAATGAGTCAGATTCTATACTATAGCGGTTAACTCCTGTAGGCCGAATGAGCGGGCTTAAATCCTGTTAGCCTAAAATCTTAAATCCTGTTGACCGAATCAAATTTGCGCAGGGCTATTTTTTTTTTTATAATTACTTGAATTCAGAAGAATGTGATCTTATTACTAACGGATGCCCAACTTTCTTAAAAGACATTAGATATTCATTATTTCCCATACTAGATATGTGTAGAATGTAAATAAAATGTTACTGGCTCAACATCACGGTATAGAATGTGTTCAACTAAGAATCACGACACCGTCTAGAGATCTCTGGGATCCCTATAAGGTTGCTGATATGCAAAACCGGATTTTTGGTTCGTTTGAACTGACATAAATGTATTCTGTTTTCGTGTTACATCTGAATTGAAGGCGTAAAAGTCAAGTCATCCATCGCTACAAAAAAAAAAGGGGGTTGGTTATTCAAAGTTGTTTGCTACAAATGTACGAGAACAAAAAGACAGTTATTTGTCGATACAAATAAAACCTCAATTGTAAGAGTGTTAATGCCCATTCAGTAACCAGCATTTTAAACAATGACATTGTCAGCTTCTCCTCAAACATCCACGTACCATTTATTTAGGCACATACGTTAGGGATAACATGTATGAGCTAGCATTCATGGTGGTCAACTCAGCAGATGTTTTTTTTTTCAATAAGCTTTTACAGACTTTTGTCGTTTATAAAAGAGCACCCGTCTTTAAAATGTGCAATCATTGAATTTTTTTTTAAAAAAAAAATTTGTGACAACTTCATCATAAGCAGATCTTCCTGTGTATTCTCTATTTGTTACACTAACCTTCATCCTTTCTTACCTTATAGGGCAGCATATATCCTACTTGCAACAAGGGTATTCCAAGTAAAAGCCTTGAGGTAGATTCAGTTTTTGGACAGATCTTTTTTATTTACAAATTGATCTTTTTTTTTTGCTGCAGTCCCTTGTTTCAGCATTTGATTTTAATGGAATATTTTTTCTATTTTAAAGGGTTTGATACTATAAGAGTCAGTTGCTTTGCTATAACTCCTTTGGCCGGGATAACCTAAAGTATTGTGTTATGATCTCGGTCAATTCCTGCTGTATATTAGTGACAGTGTCTGTAAGTTCATATCCTTCGTTTTTAACAACTATCGTCTCAGAATCCCAGTCAATGGACAGGATCATGACTGATCGGGTTGATCGAAGAGATCACTTGTTAGTCGTTTCCATTTCAACTTGATCGTCTTTTTAGGGTTTATTGAACAGAGATGTCGAAAGTTATTAAATATACACGTTTAGGCTTCTAGCTTTTCCTATTTTTAGTGGCAGACTTTTTACACAGCATTGCTTGAGGACCTTAAAAAAAACGAAACCCCGTGATTCTTTTTTTCCTGAAAAAAGGCTTTTCATGCATTGGATTGAAGTGAAATTCAGCCAATAAAATTGCTTATATATATTTTTCATCTTCATAAATTATAAGAATTTTTTTCATTTTCATTAATATTAAAAAACCGCGTTAACGGTAAAAAACCAAAGCCCGGTAAACCAAGGCAATATGATTTTATTTTAAAGAAAAAGAAAAAAAAAATGAGGAAAAATCCTGCCCTTTTTATACCTTTTCCCCCACCCCCTCAAAAATTTTTTTTGGGTAATCACAAGACCCTTTCGTGACGGGGACTTTTTGATTCATGCAAAAAATTATTTCATGTGATCACGCGTTTGCTGCGTAATGCCACTGTCGACACTGATGGAAGCTGAAAGATAGCCTCCGAACCCCCTTTTTTTTATAATTTAAGAAAAATGAAAAATATATAAGCAATTCTATTGGCTGATTTTTGCTTCAAGCCAATGCAGGAAGCGGGTTTAAATGCTCTGGAAGTGTTAATGGGCTTCCATTCATCAATAATTAATCATGAGAGTGTGCAAGTCAAGAGCCAATGAACACACAATTCTCAAGTAACATGTCTTTTTTATACAGCCATTGTCGAATTTGTAGTTTCCAGTTCAAATTAACGCGTATAGAATAAAGCCGACTGAGTTTTACAATCTGGTATGATGTAAATTTACCCACACCAGACCATACAAGCTGCCTTTTACTTTAGTATGTAGTTTGCTGATGAGTCTTTAGGTGTCGGATAGGTTTTTGCTTTGAAGACAGAAAATAACCTCAATGATTTAGGGATTTTTGATTCATGCAAAATTCTCGAAAGCAGAAAAAAAAATTACTGTGGCTGCATTTTTATGTTATAACACATACAAACCAAATGGGGTCTACGCCTGTGTTTGTGTGATGGAATTTATCATGATTCTAGAGATTGTGTGTCCTTTTTATGACTGATCATATCCACATATACAGCTTGCATAGCAACAATGAACCAAGAAATAACCTGTAGCAGAAAAAGAAAAATGTTGCACCGTGCCTTTTTTTTCCCCGTTGACATACTTTTTTTTTTTTTTTGAAACTAGGGCAACCATGCCATTGCAATGACTACATTACCTCCAACTCTGTAACGTGAAAAAGAATTATAGAGTAACTGCCTCAGCAAATTATTCATGATAGCGATTGACAAGAATTTAGCTCAAGATAATACTTTTGAAGCCCTTGTTCAATTTTGTATACGAAGTCCCAGCTATTTCGGGATGTCGAATTTAAAATATCAGTTATTTTCTTTTTTTTTCTTTGTCGAGCCAAAGACGTTAAATAATGATGCAAAATAATGAGGATGAATTTATACGCCATCAAAGTATCTTATGTGGAAAACTTTTTTTTTATTGGCTGGGTAGTCCTCTTTTTTTTTTTTGTTATACGGTTTTTTTAGTGAGTTATCATTGAGTTGCTAATCAGAGGTAGTAGCAGAGATGCTTGAGTTCCCTTTTTTTTTTTTTGGCTGGATATTTTACAAATGACCTTCCAAGAAAGAACAAAAACTAATCTTCAAGAGTCCCCGAGTTATAATATATGTGGATAGGGTGACACTATTTTGCACTGTGAATTGGCTTAGTTTTCTTCTGGATACCACGCATCATTGTTTGCTTTATAAAGAAATTTATAGATGGAATAAAAAGGGGAGGGGGCAGAGAGTATCGAGCCGCGAATATAAATAGAGTGTGTGTATCAATAAGAAGGAATACTCAGGGTATATCTTAAGTTTTAACCCACTTCAATTGGTATATATGTATATCATTTAGATGAGTAACAAACAATTCTCCCCCTACTCCTAAGCGCTACCCAATGCGTCTATATTTTATGAAGTACCAAGTTCATTAAATTGCCAGTGTTGAAGGGTGGGGGGAGTAACTTACATTTAGTTAAAAGGCAGATATAAAATGACAAAGCAAGACGATGGGCTATGTTTCAAATACAAGCAAGATATAAGGTTGGGTAGGTTTCAGTCATGGTTACTTGTTGAACAAATGGCTTTTTTTTTGTGTACAGGTAGAAAATACAATTCAGTGGGTATCATCAGACAGCATCAGCTTACTGTTTGTGTTCTATAGCCTTTTGAAGTATTCACTGGATAACATGCCTTTTTTTTTAATAATTGAGTAAATGCAAGTTATAACATGTGTCCATATTTTGTATTTACATGGTCATTTTTTCAATACAACAACAACAAGAACAAAAAGGGTTAAATTTATGTCGACGTGGAAGAAAAATCTGCATTTTAGCATTTGAAAATAAGCTTTGTTTGTGTTAATTGTAAAGAAGAATGTAACTCGCAAAGAAAAACGTTTCTTTAGTATGACGAATTCGAGCATAAATGATGAGTGACTTTTGTTTGCTTCTAACCCCCCCCTTTTATATATAATTGCAGGGAGGCTTCCTTCTTTTTTTAATTCGTTGTTCTTTTTGCTCTCCTTTATAATTTTTTTTTCTTAAAAAAAAATGGAAAGCTTATTCACATGGATTGAAAAGGTGTCAAAGAGTAGGATAAAGGAGAACAAGACGGCATTGGCTTGTACAACAGTATTGATATACATGGGCATCGTGCGGTATTTACGTTATAAAAACCTAAGGACGATACAAGCGAAATACCCAGACCCGCAACAAGTCTTAGACGATCCTGACGCAGCCCAGGAGATCTATTCCAAGTTTTTCAGCAGAGAGTTTCCATGTAAACTAACTCAATGTAATCTTATAATTATTAAGGTACTAATAATTAAAAATGTAAAAAAAAAAAAAAAGTCCTGGCTCGACAGGGAACAGAATTCGCATTATTTAAAACCTATTCCATCCCGAGTATTTCCCGTATTTTGGCAAGCACAGGTGAATTGGTTAAGCGATGTCCACGACGTGTAGAAGACACTGAATTAATTTTGGGAGAGATGCTACAAGCGTATGGACGCATTGAGAACCAACGTGCACGAAATCCAGATACACCCCAGAGCGAGATGGATGCTCAATGGAGTCGATCACAAGAAGCCACTGCTCGTTTAAATGAGATTCATGGTCGATACCCTACTATTCGAAATGAAGATTATCTTTATACCGCTGCTCTGTTTGTGACAGAACCTCAGTCATGGATAAATCGGTTTGAATGGCGCAAATTGGATGTGCGCGAGAGTAATGTAAGAAAAAACAGAAAATAGAATTTTATATTTTATTCACCGTAAGGTTGGTGTGTATGTAGGCTATTTTCCGTATATGGTATGATGTCAGTGTATCCATGAATCTAAAGAATATTCCTGATAGTCCACAAAAGCTAGAAGATTTCAAAAATGTAACGTGAATGACAACATTTATTTTGTGATTTAAGTAAATGAATGAGTAAATTTATATACACTGTAGGCATATGCGAAAGAGAATGTAAAATACAGTGCTAGTAATTGGAAATGCGCTGAACCTACACTTCGGCTCTTATTATCGAATTTGCCTCGATTTTTACAGGCGATAGGGTACGAATTAGGTCTCAGAGTGTTACCATCCATGTTGGATCCCCAGGATGCAAAGGCGTTTCAACTACCACATGCCGAGGTTCGATGGATCACGTGGTGCATCCACTCATTACTGTCCATGCGGGCTTTCTTCATTCGTCACTTTTTATTACCACGATCTCTTTATGTGGTTCGAACACCTTTTCAAGCTAATACGGGTGGACGTCTTGTACCTACATTCTTTATTTACAAACCACACATTTATCAAGATGGATATAGGATTGCTGATTTAGGGCCTGAGAAAAAGGGGGAGGGGGGGAAATACAGATAAATATTTATTAATAATAAAAAAAAAGAAAGATATGTTTGGGGTTATATACAAAATAGAGTATTGTTGTCAATGTAAATGAAGAAAGAAGAGTTGGGAGAGTTTGATTGATTGTTTGGGGGTAAGAGTGAGTAAATAAAGAGTAGTAGATAGTGCAAAAAAGTAAATGAAAAGGGAGTTAGAACAACCAAGGACGGAAAAAGGCGTTTTGGGGCAATTGGGAAGGATGTGGTTGAAAGGTTGAAAAGGAAGGCAAATTGACATAATCACGTAAGGGACAACGAGCGGGTTTCTCTGGTGATTCCAGGTCAAACAAGAGTTCATGTGGAAGTAAAAGTTCAGCGTTAGAAGGTAAAAGTAGTGAGTCATCCGTATGATTGAATTCACTCATGAAATTATTCGTGTTGCTGTTGGTAACGGTAGTGGTAGGCTCAACCAAGGTGTTTGTACCAACAAACCAATCTTCCTTGGATTCGCTCAACTGTTGTTCTTTTAATTCTCGTTGTCTTTCCTCTTCTTCCTCTCTATCGCGGTTCTTCATTTCAAGAGCATCACCGGGAAGATTGAAATGTCGAAATGTGCAACGAGCACCATAGGGACAAGCGCCTGTTTGATGAAACGTACGGCATTTCTGGGTCTTGTATTTAGGGTGACGATCCAACTCACGTAAATCGGCTGCTCCGTGCGCATATTGACATTTGACGCCATAACGACAATGGTTGGTTTCTTCCCAATTACGACACAGTTCTGTCTTGTACAATGATTTTTGCTTCTTTTCTGGTTTATCTTGATCATCTATAAAAAAAAATTTATTGTTATTATTTTCACATTCCACCACTTTACCCCCCAGAAATTGTTATTTTTTTGTTTTATTTTACTTTTTGTTGTCTTTTTAGCAGCTTTACTACTATTGGTTTTATGACTGCAAACACAAGTGGCTTTAGGAGAACTCACTTCTTCTTTACTGTGGATGATATCAGCTGACGATAAACCTTTATTTATAGATGACGACTTTTTATCTTCCAAATACGTATTCAATAAACTTTGGTTCATTTCCTTGATATAAATCTGTTCATTTAATTTAAAATCTGTAACTGACACTGGCATCTTTTTTAACGTAACAAAAAAAAAAAAAAAAAAAAAAGGGTTGGGGGGGAGAGAAAAGAGACAATCAAGTTTTTTTTTTGGGCTAATCTCTTTTTTAAAAAAAAAAAAAAAAATATAATTGGGGGACTACATACACTTCATGCTTTTTTAAGGTTCAAGACATATGTTCATTTTCCGCACACAGTAGCAGCAGCAGTGGCGGAAGATCGATTTAGCCTCGCTCTCTCTTTTTTTTTCTCTCACACTGAATATGGAGCCAATACCAATTATTTATTGGACAAGCTGGTTCGACATGGACCAATGGCAAGACTATACCATTGACAAGTGCAACTTGCCTTATACCTGCCAAATGACGCATGACCGTACAAAACGAGTGGATTCGTCTGTAGTCATCTTTCATGCTTCTGACCTCGACAAGATGACCTCGTTGCCTCCTCTAGACAAGGACCGAGCCTGGGTTTATCATACAGCCGAGGCACCACACTACACACCTAAAGAATTCCACTTGATGCAATATTCCATGACCTATCGTTTAGACTCGGATTTCCCATGGGGATACCTTGACGAGGACACCCTCTTACCCGTAATGGAATCACCCTTAGCCTCAGCCCCAGCAGCCCCAATAGAAAAGGAAAAGGGAGCGAGTGTAGCATGGATTGTATCGAATTGCAAAGCGTCCAATGATCGTCATCACTATGTCAAAGAACTCAGTCGATGGATTAATGTGGATATCTATGGCCATTGTAACAATAATAAGGTCTTTCCTGCCAACGTATCCACCGTTGAGCTCGTCTCCAGATACCATTTTTATCTCTCATTTGAGAATTCCAACTGTAAAGACTACGTGACAGAGAAATTAAGTACGGCGTATTTGGCAGGCGTAGTACCCGTGGTGGATGGGCCCAGTGATTATGGACCTTTTATACCAAATACACATGCCGTCATTCGTACCGATGATTTTGACTCGCCTCGAGCATTAGCAGACTATTTAAATACACTCATGCACAACAAGACATTGTACAATCAGTATCTGTCCTTTCGTCAACCTCATGGGGTATCCGATCGCTTTAAAAAAACCTTAAAGGCCTATAAAAAGGGACAATGTGATTTATGCACGTTAGCTTATGAACGACACAACGACATGACATCGTATTCTCCAGGAAAGAAGATTTATCTAGACAACACATGTGTGTTACACAAACACTTTAATTACAAACGTTGGGATGTCTTGTCTACCTATTTCCTTGTCTTTTTGGCCGCTTTAGTTATTCTATTTTACTTGATTAAATTATATAAAACCTCTAGGCGTACTAAAACTGCACGATCCTCTGTAAACTAAACTATAAAAAAAAAATTATTATGCTTTGTATCACGTAGGCCTATATATAAGTTTTTTTTTTTTTCGTGTGGTACCTCTCTCTCTTTCTTTCTCTCTCTCTCTCATTCTTTCTAGATATAACCTATGAGCCACCATAACCCATTTGTAAAGAAAGTCTTGGCACTTTTCAAAAAGACTCACGAGGAAGAGAAACCTCAATATCCTCCTGCACTCTCTGCTAAATACAATATTGGAGAAAAGACCTTGGGTGTGGGCTCCTTTGCTGTTGTCAAGGAGTGTACAGAACTCGCTACAGGTGATAAATGTGCAGTCAAAATTATTCTCAAGAAAGTCATTGCCGGTAAGTTTTTTTTTTAAGAGAAAAGGGAAGGGGGAGACATTCGGTTAATCGGACATGGTCATTGTATAGGAAAGCGACAAATGTTGGACAGTGAGTTAGGTAAGTATCACGCTACAAGAAAGAGGGCGATAGACCATTGATACATGATCATTGTAGATATTTTGACAAAGGTGCGTCATAACCATATTGTGTCTTTGCATGATATCTATGAATCCGATGATGCTGTCTATATCGTCACGGATCTCTGCACAGGCGGTGAACTCTTTCAACGAATTGTTGAAAGAGGTACTTATACCGAAGCCATTGCTGCAGATCTTGTTCGTCAAATGTTGGAAGGCTTATCTTACCTGCACTCTGAAGGCGTAAGTTGAAAAAAAAAATCATGAATTATATATACATACGTATTAAAACAGCAAACTAAATTAGATCGTTCACCGAGATATAAAGCCCGAAAACGTAAAGTATTCTCTATTTAAAAAAAAAAAAAAAATGAAAATCTTATACTCTAGTTTTCAATTAGTTACTCTTCAAAACACCTGAAGAGGATGCTGAATTGTTAATCACGGATTTCGGTCTCTCTAAACTCTTGAAGAATAACAATGAAGTCTTGACAACGGCTTGCGGTACACCTGGTTATGTTGCCCCTGAAGTTCTTTTAGGCTCCGGTCACGGAAAGCCCGTGGATATCTGGAGTGTCGGTGTTATCATGGTAAAATGGGCAGATCAGGGTGACTCTTCTAAAAGTTCCATTGTTTAACACATTCATTTTTTTTAGTATACTCTCTTGAGTGGCTATACTCCATTTTACGGTGAGGATCAAAACGAATTATTCAACTGTATCATGAAGGGTCAATATGAATTCGATGATGAATATTGGTCGGATATTTCCGAAGGAGGTAACAAACTTTGAATAGAGAACCGGGTTGGGATGTAAAAAATAGACTAAAATGATGTTTTCTAGCCAAGAATTTGATTAACCGTTTATTGACATTTGATCCTAAACAACGTGTGACTGCAGAAGAAGCCTTGACTGATCCTTGGATTGTAAGTGAAGCCGATAGTAGCATTGATTTGGCTCCCAATGTACGCAAGGGTTTCAACAGTCGTCGTACGCTTAAATCCATTGTCACGGCTGTAGCTGCTATTAATCGATTAAAGATCAATGATCATCATGACGATATTAACGAGGAGTCCGATTAAAAAAAAAGAAGGATTGTATTTCAAAAAGTCATACCCCCCCCCTATTAAAGATAGAAAGATTTTTTATTTAACTTATAATTTGGCTTGGTTGGCTTCGGGTTTATACAACGTAACATAACCATTTGTAAGGACAAGTACATTTCGTTCCTTCACATGAGCTTGAAAGACCACAGCATCCAGTTTAGGATCTTGACTGGGTACTTTCCACATGGACACTTGTACAGTCTCACCAGGAAAAACGGGTTGTGCAAATCGTGCTTCAATGGATTTAAACAAGAGTCGATCATTATTGCCAAAGTGTTTGAGTACAGCATGAGCACATTTACCATAGGAACATAATCCGTGTAAAATAGGTCGAGGGAACCCAACTGTAGGAGCTAAAGCCACATCCGCATGCAAAGGATTAAAATCTCTATATATACATTTTTTTTAGTTTTTACAATTCTTTTGTGCAAAAAATCAGTTATTTTTTTTTACCCTGATAAACGGTATAAAAGGGCTTGATTTGGTTGCGTGACAAAAGTGTCTATGGCATCAGGTTGTTGATGAGCAGGAGGAGAATAAGTAATTGAAGCCGGACCTTTAGGACCCTAAAACAAAAAGTTTTAGCTGATTTCTCTCCCATCAAAATCAAACACAAAAAGAGAGAGCATAGCAACTTACGTTCCAACCACCATAACCTCTGACAAACATTTTGGCCCCCATACGACAATAATGCACATTGTCTTCTTCACCATAAAGATCCACTGCAGTATCAATGACCATCCCAGACCCTTTATCGTAGACACCAAGACATGTCTTGACGGATTTAAAGCGTCCCCCTTCAACAGGGAAAGGATGAATGGTCTGAAAGGATTGTTCACCATGCACGATTTTATTAAAATCAAAATCTGGCATACCCGGTAAAGGACCACCGGCTGTCCATCTTTCCATAAAGGAATTCACATCCCAATCATCGGATTTTAGAAGTAGACAAAGAGGGTAAGTGGGTAATGGGCCAAAATCAATATCCAATTCGTATAACCATTGAAGATCCGATTCAGGAACACCGACAGATAATGCGTATAATAAAAAATCACGTCTCGTACAGGCTACCTTTTTTTTATAAGTTAGTTTAACCGCGTTGATGGCGTGGTTATCTAAATACTTACTGTTTCTGCAGGATAAACATGACCAGCAGCTTTGGAGACATCCACAGAAAATCCTTTAGGCATCCTTCTTTTTTTTATAAGATCGAGAAAAATGAGTAGATAGAAAAGAAAAGAAATAAGAAAAAAGTGTGTGGGGGAAATATATATAGAAAAAAGCCTAAAACAAGTCAAAAAAGATTACCAAAATCACACACAAACAAATCATTTAGAATTCCCACACTGAAAAAGAAAAAAAAAAAAAGGGGGAAAGGTGATGAAAATTTATTATTAGTCGAAAGAAAATGATGCGTTAAATAAGGGTTATAAAATATGTGTACATGCAAAGGAAAAAGTTTTTTTTTTCTTTAAAAAATAGCAACAGGCGTTTGATTCCAAGCATTACTATTTCGACGTCGAGGTTGAGAACAATGCGTTAATGGTAACCTCTTTTTCGGTGCAGGCATCCAATCATCGTGCCTCGTTGTTGTTGTTGCTGTTGATGCTGTTGTTACGGCTACTACTGCTGCTGCTGATGTTGCTGATGTTGTTCCTGCTATGGTAAAGCTGGATAGTGATTGTGTCACGGGTTGAGGTACCACTGAGGTGATATCATCTTCGATTAATTCATACAGCAACATGTACGGGTTGGCCTCCAACACTTCATCCACACTACATGCATCCACTCGTTCATCACTAATCTTGAACCAACTTGAATCATGATGCGTCAAGACAGTTTCATCATCACAACATGCATGGCAACTACATTTTTCCGCTACAAGACGTCGTTTATAGGCAATGAAATGACCGAAATTGTGACTTCCATAATGCACGATCGAGCTCATCAAGCGGTACTTGACGGACGACGTAGTCGTATTGCTAGAGATGGGTAAATCGGGTGTGGTGTTGAGTGTACCATTGGTGCAATACGGTGCTAGATCCAAGACCTGTGGAAACTGAATGTGACAAGGGTTTTTAGAGATGTCACCCGTGGGTGAATACGTGGATCGTGCTACGTGTAAACAAAGCACCTTGGGTGGTTTGGCAAACATGGCTTGTTTACTACTGACGCGTCCCATCTTGGAAAGAAATCCGTTTAATTGTTCGTCCTGCGTTTCCTCATGAATACGACCCTTCGAGAGTCGATGCTCAATATCGAGCTTGATCTTTTCTAAACAGGCTAATTTCTCTACTTTATCCGAACGTCGTAAACTCTCGATCTCGGTCGTCAGTTTTTCTACCGTGTCTAGGAAACTGCATTTTCGACAGTTGACATCGTTTAGGTATTCCATTGTTGTCAGTTGATTTAAACAGTCGTCTAACGTGGTTGTATCCTGTATTTTTTTTTATATGGGGATTTAATAACAAAAAAAAAGAAGTATATTTTATAATTAAAAAAGAGACTTACGGTATTAGGTAAGGTGAGTTGCACATTGTTAAAAGAAAAGTGGCGTATAGCTTCCTACACATTAAACCCCAAAAAATCGTCAGTATATAATAAAAAGAATAACAGAAAAGGGAAGGGGATGACTTACGGTATATCCACATTGCATACAGGATAATCGATTGGCTAATAAACCAGTGAAAGGATTATCAATTTTTTCTTTTTTAGCTGACGCCAACAACAAGGTTTTTGTAGAAAAGCTTAAAAGATCCCTAAATCCTTGTCTCTTTTTGGCCAAGACACTTTCATTTTCCAGTTCACCCGAGAGGAATTGAAAGAGTTCTTGTGCATCCTGTTGTTCTCGATTGACGACACGTCGGTTGGAAGACATGGCGGAAACGATGTCTACGGGTTTAAAAGCGGTCTGTCTGGTACTAGGGACGGATAAGAGTCGTAGTGTTTTCAATAATGATCTTGTCACTGGTAATTCGGCTGTTGTATTGCTGCTGTTTGTATCCATGTCGTGCAAATACGCTTGAAGTTTGGGTAAAGAGGACAAGGACTACTTTTTTTTTTCCTGGTGAGTTTTTTTTTTTTTTTTTTTTTTTGTTGTTCTTATTCTTACCTGTAAAACAGAGTTTAAAAAGCATGAATTACCGGTATTAACGAGACCAGGGACGAGACAAGGTGTTGCCACGTCATGTTGCGAGGAGAGGAGACATATCTTTGTATCGACAGTGGGGACAGAGGGAGAGACCTTGAGGGTGGCAGGAAGTGGTTTTTCATTGTAATAATACAGATTGATAAAGCGATGCATGCCTAATCTTTGTTTGCACATTTCGGATGCTTTGAAAAAACGAGAGGTTTGATTCAGAAAGCCATGATACATTGGTAATATCACAAGAATAAGTCCGGTTAAAAATAAAAGCCACTGAATAATACTAGAGTAGTTTGTTAAAAAGTAATGTAAACCATGCACTAGTAAAGTCATTGAGAACAACTTTTAAAAAAAAAAAGTTTTAAAAAGAAAATAATTATAAAAAAAAAAATAAGGTCTTGCTTTTTTTAGTTTTATATAGACGGACTTTTAATTAAACTCCCCCCCCCTTTTGTGCGTGGCACCGACAAGGTTCCGTGACCGCCTTGTATCTTTTCATTACGGAAACATTAGGCTTTTTTTTTTTTTGAAAACAATGAAATGGAGGGAACTTATACTTTTCCGGTTTAAAAGGAACGTGCTACGATAGGAAAAGTGTCAATAATAATTAACTTTTTTTTTTCCACCCCTTATTTTTACACATGTACGACAAACACATGGTTTTTAGAGTAGGCCTGTTGCTACCGCAGTGAGTAGCTCCCCCCCAATAATTGTGTTACACCCCATTCTATTTTTCATTGTTTTCTTTTGTTGACCTAATTTAGTGATGATTTAAACTTTTTGACTCCCGCCGTGAAAGATCGCTGTAACCTCTTCTCGGACTCGAGTTGCTAAAAAAAATATGGGTACATCCGGGAAGAAGCTTTTTTTTTTTATTATTTGGGGGAAACCCATGTAGAGATGGTTGTTATGTCGGACCACAGTGTCAGATTGATTCCCTAACAACGGCTTGATCTTTTTACTGTCGCCCCTTATTACTGGTTACTACGTACGGCAGTGGCATTTCAACCTACTACTACTTGTTCTTTCTAAATGAAATCAAAGGTGACGTTTTATTTTATGATTCACATCCATGTCTCTCTTTCTCTTTCTTTCGGATAAAAAAACGGAAGTGTCTCACAAAGATGTCATTAATGAGTCCTCCCTATCCGTCCTTTATGGGGGGGGGGAGATTATTAAACAAGTTTTACTAGTTTTTGTTAAACAAAAATGACTCCTTGAACCCACACAGAACTTTACCTTTGAACGGACAATTCTTCCATCATGATGATGACAGTAATAGCACATCCCTGAAACGAGTTAGCCGCTATTTTTTTAACCACGAAAATCTCTACATTTTTTTTTTACAGTGATAAAAAAAGACATATTTTGGCATATTTATCATCAAGTGCCATAAAGAGACTGTCATGAAGATGTTGGGCCCAATATAGAAAAAAAAAAGCATCCGTGATGAGGATAAAATATATACAAAGTGTATGTGTGTGTTGTTGTGTTTTATTAAAGGGTATATGTACAATATTTTTTGTTTTTGTTTTTAATCGATCTCTAATACTTGCTTCATACGTTCATAAGTGAGAAAGCTGACGGCAACCATGGGTATGACCTTGATATAACCAATGGTTAATCCAACATAAAAACCTTTGAATCCTTTCACTCGGTATATATCCAGGATGGTTTCTTTAAACGTGATGAATTTATTTGGCTCTAATAAACCGCCCACTTGCATTCGTCTGCGAATAATCTAAATGAAAAAAAAAAATGTTTTAGTGGCCCTACTTTTTTTTTAAAGATTGCTTATTGTTTTTGTACCTCTAATGGATAGCTACTTGTTTGTGCTACTAGACCTGCTAACCCACCACATAAAAGCTCCGCCCAGGTCTTGAGTGGTGGCTTTTCCAGTGCCTTTTTCTGATTAAAAGTTAAATCGTCTGCAAACTCATCGAATTGGATCGGTGATCTTGTGTAGGGTGTGACTAGAGGATGTTGACGAGCAAATCGAGTGATGATATGATAGAACCAAAAGGACACACCTGCATAAGGTGTCATACCCACCATGGTAGGTAAGAATCCACGATAGAAATTCAACAAGTGGATTTGTTGTGCTGGTTCATGGTAGATGATTTTACACACTTCTCTTAATCCAGCTCTTTTTTTACCAGCTTCTCTTACTTCGTATGCCATTCTAACTCTGACCAAGTCAAGTGGATACGTAAACATGACAGACGTTACACCTAAAAAAAATTATTATAAATCGTCAAATGTCTGAGCCTTTCTTTTTTTTTTTTTTTTTTTTTACACACACACACACGTACCTGCTAATGAACCTGCAATAAATTGTCTAGTAGAGGAATCCCTTGTTTCTTTGGTAGGCATCAAAATTGCACGAATTTGTTCCAATGCTACAAACTTGATGGCAGCATAAGGAAATATCCGAATCAATGTGACGGAATGGCCCTGAAATAATCCCATGGCTCCTTCTCGTTTGAAAATATCTCTTCCTGCTTCAAATACACCTGTGAACCTGCCTGTAAACAAAAAAGACGGTAGTTCATTTTAGTACTTGGAAACAAGATGAAAAGTTCAATGCTTTAACTTACCAGAGTATTTATCAAAAATGGGGTTTCTTGCTTGAAAAAGGATCTTGACTCGATCAAGAGGAGCAATGACAGTTTTACCCTTTTTTGACATTAGCATCTCTCTTTTATATGTATAATTTAATTATTATTCAACAAACACATACCACACACCCGGCAATACCACCGGCCACGCCAGATCTCAGCATGTAATCCAAACTTTGTTCATGTCTTTTAAGTTGTTCTTTTGGTAATGTTCGACTTGCAGGTGAAGAGCCTTGTTGTAACGGAGTAGCAGTTGTTTGCATTGACTTCTTTTTTATATCCTTCTTTAACTAATTCAATTATTCTTTTATTCTGAATATAAAGAGAGAGAGAAAGAGAGAAAAGAAAAAAAAAACTTGTGGAATTTATAATAGAGAATAAGTAAGTACGCCCCCCGCACTCAGCAAAACAAGTCGTGGGAAATGCGTTGAGACACCAATCACATGGCAGAGCATTTTTTTTTTTTGTGGAGAAGGTCAAGATATTGGGATAATCCGGTGTAACCTTCATCCATATCCCACGGTCGTCCCTTTTTTTCTTCTTCTTTCATTGCAAAGTAGCCACAAGAAGCTGCTAATACGTTGTAAAAATAGATAAACACATACGCAGGCTTTTTTTTTGTTTTGTTTACACGTCCTTGTTTCATCATTGCCAATAAGAAAGATGAAATAACCAACAAAAGACGACTGTGCGACGAACTGCGCGGGCGGGCGGTAGAGGTATCACGGGAAGATGTAAAATAGATTTACTTTATTAACTGATTTACATGTAAAAATGCAGATAAAAAAAATGGGGATGTTTTACCGTTCAACGGGATACTTTATGAATGAACAAAAAAATGTGTTTTTTTAGACGGTGGGTGAAAATACAGGCAGAGGATGTGCTTCTGTATTAAACACATATCCTTCCAAAGGTATGATATCATCGGGACTAAACAACAGATACAAATACTTTAACGTTTCGGCTAAAAAGAAGGTATCCATTCTATTATCCTTCGTTGCAGGCAATTTTGTAACGTCTTTTAAAGCTGCATAACCTCCACCTTCTAATTTAGTATGTTTCTCAAACGCTTCAAAGATCTTCCAACCCCATTCACTATACATATGGGTCCAAATAGATGAGATTTTGTATAAAAGCCAATTCATAGGTTTTACTTACCGATATTTCTCTTCACCTGTCATTCTGTATAATAAAAAGATACTTTCCAATGTCTCTGGTCTTAACAAACTATGGGCATCTTGGTAGTGAATCTCCATATCGGGTTGTTCAGGATCACTCTGTTCAAATGTGTTCAAATATACAATTTCACTGGCTAATCCTGTCTCTGTCATATTATACATTTCGTAACAGGTACGTGTTAATTCCTGTCCCAAACGGAAATCCTCTGCATCCTTGGCATCCAAAGGATCCAATTCATGAATAGAAGATCCTTCTGTGACACCCAACACGAAATTACCACCCATAAAGCATACGAGGTGATCCATCTTGTTGTGCGTGATAGAAGGGTATTTGCTGTCCATCATTTCCGCAATGTACATGAGATGATTAGGATAGGTGTACTTGACCAAGTGTTTCTTGATACCATCCACTGCATGATCGTATCTTTCACGGTACTTGATTTCAGATTTGTCGGTTTGAAGGTACTGCTTTAACAAGTATTCTATTTTTTTTTTTTTTTTTTTTTTTTTTTTGAAAACAAAGGAGCAGTATTAGCCTTTTTTTTTTCATCAATAGCTGTTAGAATTATAAAAAAGTACCATAGTAACTATCACCACGCGATCCCAAACGGATTTCTCTAGAAGCAAAATTACCCTCCATAGCCCTACCATATATATTAACAACATTGTTTGTGTGCCAAAACAGAATGCTCCCCACACACACACACTTACTCGATATAAATCGGTACTAATCCATCCACGGCACCTGCATCTACAGCCATGACCAGTTCATTTAAACGCTCCATGACCTTTTCAGCCGCATCCCAATACTTCATATCGCCCGTGAGATGAGACAGGTATTTGAACTCCAATTGAATGGTAGCTGCTTCAGCGGTACTGCTGGAACCATAGCTGTTAGGTACGCCGGTGGATAAGGTAATGTCAGAATAAGGGATGCCTGAATCCGTATTAAAGGCATATAATAATCTGTCGCCCAAATCCACGGCCTTTTCAAGATAGAGTTTATCATTGTTCGAAAGATGGTAAGCGGATAAGAGACCACCTAGGATACGAATAGTGGTTTCAAACACGTTGACACCTTGGTTTTTGTTAAAATCCAGGCTAGTGGCGATCCACTGACGCGCTTGGTTGTATTCGGTAGTCAAGTTCATGAGGAGCATGGTATCGAGTGAGTCAATGATCATGAGGCCGACACCTCCTGGAGCCCAATCATGACCCGAATGAGATAATGGTTGGTATTCATCTTTGCCATAGGCATCTTGGGAATAGCCTTTCCATGCATGACGAAATGCGTTGATGATTTGCTGCTGACGTGAGGCAGTGAGAGTGTCTGTGGGGACAAGTGAGGTAGGTGGAGGATATTGTGTGAATAAGAAAGAGTCGGAGTCCAACTTTAAACTGTCCTCGATGATGACCAGTGCTTCCTCTTCTTCTTCTTCTTCAAGGTCTTCTTCCTCTATTTCTTCTTCATCTGGAATAATGGGGTTGGGTATGAAGGTTGGTACAAATGGAAGCGGAGAGATGTCTAATTCGTCCTTCTCATTGGTGATAGAAACTGAATGACCGGTCCATTGAGAAATATAATATACAACGAATACTGTTACAATGAGGGTGGTTACAACTACTTTGCGGTCTAAATTCTTTATGGACTAGAAACAAAAAAAACAAAAAAAATTAAACCTTAATATATTCTACAATAAGGGCGCGGGGGGATGCTAAACTATTCTTGGAATAGGTTACTCTTAATATACCATAGCCTTTGCTACTATGTGTTTTATCATATTTATCATCATCACTATAAAAATCACCACGATTATTATTCGCGGAACTGTGGGTGGGTAACATCTGCATGTAAGAATTAAAAAAAAAAAAGAGAGAAAAAAAGAAAAAAATCAATCTAACTTTTAAAGTTTGTTTTTTAATTAATTTCTGCGTGCCCTGCGAGCGCTACTTGATTTGTTTTTACTTGGCTTGTGGTGTATCTAGCGATCAAGATCTATATATGTATACATCTCAGCTTTGGCTCGTACTTCGTTACACATTTTGTGTAGAAATCTGCTCCAACTTGGAACAATAAAGCTATGTTTTTGTTGAGTACAAATTTATATTTGTTTTTTCATCTTTATTTTTTTTCGTAGTTTGCATGAATCTCAGGGCACATTTCTAGCCTCAAAAACCTCTTGATAGTACTACTATCATGTCTAAACAGCCCGAAAAGCCAATAATCTAGGTGCCAATGATCGGGTAATATTCTCAATACTTCAAAATGAACTATTATTTGGAAACCGCCAATTAGTGTGTGTTTGATCCGGCCATAGGCATATTTCGTTTAGTCCATGTTATAGTGATGAATAAATGATAACTGATAAAGTATTGTGATCGAGTCCGTGGTTTCTCTTTATATGTCAGCTGTCATTACTACGCCTGTCAAAAATGCGATATTCACTGCAGTTACATAGTACTGAGCAAATAATAAAATAATAATAAAAGAGATAAAAAGAACATAAAACTATAGACCCAAGTACGATGATGATCTAGTAAAGGTATGCGATAAAATATCCAGTAGAGTGGTAAAAAAAATATTCCGATACTCTACGTTCCTGATAATAATTCCCTTCATAATTCGATCACTTTTATTTCTTCCCCACCCCTTTTTTTTTATTTTCATTCATATCTATTTCTTTTCCATCGCCAAAGTATGTCTAACTATCCCACTATACGTAACCCATTGCTCCCTAGTCCACCGGCATCTTCTACTCGTAGCCGGTTTAGTAAAACAGAGCTACTTAGCAATTTATCATTATCCAACAACTCTACATTAAAATCATCTATATCGACGGCTTCTATTCGCACTTTTATGAGCCAAACCATGAGTCAGATTAGTAATGCTAGCGCCACCTTTCGTTTTAGTTCCAATAAACGAATTATGCCGACAACACCTAGCACAGTTATGGGCGGTTTCTTGTCAAAATCACCAACAGAGACAAGCATTGATTTCACGACCAAGAAGAAGAATAGTAGCAGTAAAAAGGGGTCACATAACTTAGCAGCAGCGGCAGTGGCAGAGCCTTTAGTTCATTACAATGGACCCTATCATACATTGGAATCTTTTCCGATCGAAAAACTGAATTGGATTAAAGATGAACAAACATCAGCTCTTGTTAAAAATCCACTGACCAATTACCATCAATCTATTGTGCTGAGGAAGCCCTTAACCCGTAGTCAAACATAGTAAGTTACAAACTGTCAATTTAAAACAATAACTTTATATACATTTTTTAACAAATAAACATTTCCTTTCCTTTTTTTTATAATACTAAACAAAAAAAACAGCCCTATTGTATCCGGGAATAGTACCAACCATAACAATACAGCAAAGCCTAAAGCCATGTTCTATTTACGAGGTAAGAAAAAAAAATTAAAATAAATAAATAACGGAAAAATAATAAACGAAAAAAAAAAAAAAGCAGAATGTCCTTTTAACATTCTATTCTAGTTCTTCAAATTATTGCCACAGATTCTTCAAAGTGTAAGATAATCAGAGTTTTTCAAGTAGTTCAATCTGATATTTACAAGTCTCTTTTCAAATTTCATAATTTTTATACATAGCAAGATTATTCCGATGTGGAATTCAGGTCAACCAGGAAACCTGTCTGAGTTCATATGTCACCAGCGAAAAGACAGGCAAACATAGCTCCATTGCCCAGTTTGACGAAACATTCTTATTGTAACATTGACCAAAAAAAAACATATCTACATAGTACAATCCCGACTAACTAATATCCCACCCCTATTTTATTGTTTGTAAAAAAGTGATGTCGACGGACCGGCTACTGCAACCATCAGCGTCTATGCCCAAAACAAGGGCACGCATTTCTTTTCCAGTCGCACCAACAAACAAGAAATCTGTCTCGGCAGAGAGACCATCACAGTATCCTTACACCCCAAATCAAAAACCACGGAGCGTTTTGTATTAAACAGTGATCCTAAAGCTGGACAGAGTAACGACTTTCAATTATTGGTCGTGCATGGGACCTATATCAGTCGTCGAACTCAAAACATGTTGAACAATACCATCTTGTTTGAGGATTTCATTACGGCCTATGTTCGCACCAGTATGGTGCCTGTAAGTAATTACTTTAAGCGTGTGCTAGGATGTGATTTTTTATTATTATTACTTGCTAAACACATGTTTTTTTTTATTTGTATATATAGAGATGGGATCGATTTTGGGGTATATTACGTGGAGTTCAATTTGAATTATATGATTTTGAATACAAAGAGGTATTTAGTTTGAACGGGTTTTAATATATGTATATAAAAAAAATGATGATGATGATGGTAACCATGGAAACCATAGAACCGGCCTCCGCTTTATATTATCCCATTGGATAATTTCATTAGCGCCTTTGACCCTTCAGAGGAAGATGAAGAGGAAATCCGTATTGATATAGGAGCACGGGGTATAGCGCTTCAATTTACGGAAAAGGCGATTCATAAACATGAAAGACGATGGATGTTGGATGATTTAGAATGTCGTATGTATCTTTTACCTGAATCCTCTGCTGCAGCACGTGAATGGGAGAACAAGTTTAATTACGTTGCATCCATCTTTAATGAAGTCAGAGGTTGGGATGAAAATAGTGGGGCAAGCAGTAGTATTAATAGTAACACAAGTGATGATTATTCTTATCAAAGCTCAGACGAAGACGACGACGACGAGGAGGAGGAGGGTGAAGAAGGGGCGGATGAGGATGAACACGGTGCTTTTACCAATCATTTAACAGTTCCATTAAAATTAATGTGGTAAAAAACCAACGTTTATAAATAAATCATTTTAATAAAAAAAAAAAAACTCGCTTTTTTTTTAATTGCTCGAGATTCACTTCATTGATTGATTGAGCACGTGGTGGACAAACAAGTATTAACACGGTGTTTCAACTCGAGTCTTACAATCAAGATCAAAGGAAGGGGCCAATCAGATTTCGTTTGGGAGCGTGTCACGTGACGATACAAAATTTTGGTTGCTTTTTCCGTTGCTGTGGGAGGGGTTAAAATAAAACAAAAAAAAACATTGAGTTTTTTTTTTCTTTCAAACTTTCTCATATTTTTATGTTCTGCACTTTTGTTGATCCCAAGTTTGATCAAATCCTCTTCATTCACTCTTCTTCTACTATTTGGTGCCCACTTCCATAAGTACAAGCGACAGATCCTTATATCCACTCCATACCTCTTTTTTTTTTTCTCTCTCTCTCAAAAAAAAAACTTCTTTTTTTTTCATCTCGTAAAAGAAAAAAGCCTTATACAACAACACATTTTAAAAAAGAAAAAACTACACACCTTTTTTTTTTATATACACACAAGAAAAACAAAATGTCCAGAAACGGTTCACCCCTTGGACGTATGCTTACAGTTATCGACTGTCCGACTTCTTCATTGAGGTTCTTGATTCTGGATTGTCCAACGGAATCCACGCTTGACTTTTACATGGAAGAGTTTATGAGGCTTAATGTGGTAGCGGTGGTTCGGTGCTGTCAACCTACCTACAGTGCCTCTCGTTTAGCTGAAAGAGATATTCAAGTATTGGACCTTCCTTTTAAAGATGGTGGTGTGGTAAAGTAGTAAATTTCAATGCAATTTTTTTTTATTTTTCTATTTTTGGGCTAACAAACAAGACTTCTCTATATAGCCCCCGCCGCAGGTCGTGCGTGAGTGGTTACAATTAGTAGAAAAGAACAAACAAATAGCTGAAACAGTTACAGAAGAACCTGTCCCCGCACCTACTATTGCCGTTCATTGCGTGGCAGGCTTGGGAAGAGCTCCTGCGTTGGTAGCTATTGCTTTGATAGAGATGGGAATGAAGCCTTTAGATGCCATCGAGTACATTAGGGGAAAGAGAAGAGGGGCATTCAACAAACCTCAAATAGCTTACCTTGTAAGTGTTCATTGATAAAAAAGGGGGAGAGATGGGAAAACTAATCTCCATGTTAGGATTCTTATAAACGAACAATGAAGCCTAAATCTTCCACTTCCAACTACTCTCTTCGGTCCTCACTCGGCCGTATGTTCAAGTTAGGTGGTAGTACCGCCGCCAAGACTAGTCCACCTCCATCTACAACTGGAAGCACACTGACTCAATTGACATGAATTTTTGCTACACCTTACAACCTTTTAAAGCAACAGTATTACTACAACAACATTGTCATGACAACTAATTTCAACCATTACAATTTTATTAACCTCGAATTTTCATTAGACTTTTTTCATTTATTTCACATTAAAAAAAGGTTTTGCTTTAAAAAAAAAAAGTATATTTTTTTTTTGTTCTAGTTTTTGGTGTAGGCAGGTGGAGGCAGTAAACAATCATGGCACAGATCTTCATGCGCGGAAGAGGAGGAGGTTGCATTGGTATGTGTATGAATATGTAATTCTTTTGCTGAAGGGGCGGATGGTTCTGGTGTTGATACAAGCGATATGGGAGGTAGCGGCAAAGTAGTGAGATTGTCTAGTAGGATGATTTCTTCTTGCACCTGTTCCTCTGCGGCGGTAGGATGATTAGGATTATCTCTGTTGTAGAAATCGCAATTCCTATAATTGCAGACAGAGTAGAGTGATTTTTCATCGTCCGTATCTTCTTCATCTTGCTCATGATTGTCTGTGTTTCTATCGCCCAGTCGTCTCTTTTGCTTGCACTTGTGAAGATACCAATAAATCATGATGCCTACTCCTAATGCAAAGGATAGTGCTAGACCTCCTGCTAAACTCAGCACGACGGCCAAAGTACGTAATTGTCGCTCATTAGTGTGTAATCTATGTAATAATATGGAGGGTGAATCTTCAGTGATTATATTGGTTGGTATAGATGTTAATAAATGACTACTTTTATTCATATCATTCGTTCCCTATCAGAACATAATAAAAGAAAATATATAGAATTAAAATAAAAAAAAAAAAGAAGGCAAGGGTTTTTTTATTTTTAATTTATTTTATGGTTCAACAGCCCCTTTATTTTAGTAAGATTAGTAAAATCGGCATTATGCAAAACACATTTCGAGTGGCCTTTCCTTTATTTCTTCAAGGGCATCATCATACCACTTCATCATCAAGGCATCATCTTTCTCATCATCGGTGTCGCCACTTGTATAGCATTTGGAATTCAACCCTTTTTTTTTTATATGTATATCAGATTCTTTTTCTATTGATAAAACAAATAGCATATGTATTGTATATTGAAAAGAAGGTTTGCATCACAATGAATGATATATATATATCACTCAACAATTATACACGGCAATTAGGTATTCTATTATGTGTGTATTGGAGTCTTCTAAACGGCACTATCAATTTAAGTTTTCCGTGTATTCAAGAACCGCCCTACAATGAAATGGGAAAAAAAAAAACTTGTGGTATGGACCATCCCATGCAGCACAGAACGTGATTTACATAAATAATAAAACATGAGAAAGTTTTAATTCAGCCAGTCTTGTTTATTAGGAAAATGAGTAGAGGTAAAGGTGTATGCATACTGAGTCATGAAATTATCTAAGCCACATCATCATCATTGTTCATAACACAAACCGTCTCTCTTTTTTTTTTTATATAAAATTATTTTTGAGTGTCTTGTTTACAAAAGATACATGCGTATTGTACCTGTTGTAACTTTATTTATACATTCTTCAAGCAAATTATTTAGACCCGTTACAACACCATTTTATCGACGTACCTTCATGTCTACCGAAGCCAGTGTTAAATCTAGACAACAACCCAAGTGGCAAGTGCCCACGGCCAAACCTGTGCCGGTATTAAAGTTCCAAAACTCGCTTACCAAAACCAAGGTAATCATATCCCCCATGCATGTCCCACTATGGGAGAGAGTTACTGATGACCTTCTAAATAGACCGAGTTTATCCCTAAAGCAGGTAGACGAGTGACATGGTATAACTGTGGACCTACAGTGTATGACGCGTCCCATATGGGTCATGCCAGAACTTACTTGACCATGGACATCATTCGTCGTGTCCTTGAAGATTATTTCAAGTACGATGTCTTGTTTGTTCAAAATGTCACGGATATTGACGACAAGATCATTTTGCGTGCTCGACAAGAGTATCTCTTCAAGGTCATGAAAGGTGAGACCACTGAATTATCCCAAAAACTCATCGAACAGACTGAGGAAGCTTGGTTGGAATACGCAGAATCCAAGCTCAAGAAATTGGATCCCTCTCTTTTCGCCTTGGCTAAGGCTAACTGGACCGATTTCGCTGCCAAAATGACCCCTGAGGAGGTTGCTAAGGCCATCATTCTTGATCCCAAGTACAAGATGAATTTCACTGCATTGGTACAGTATACAACGTCTTTTTTTTATCCATATATACATATATGAAATATCTCTCAAATTCATATGATTACATCACCTTATAGGATACATCTTATACTGCTATTCAAAATGCAAAGAGTCAGTTGGAAAAGGGCATCAAGACAAAGGAAGCCGCTCAACAACTTTTAGATGCTTCCCAAGATACACTTTCTGCGTGGTTAGATGCCAGAGTAAGTGCAAAACGAGATATATATATATATAAAAAGAGGCCACATCATGTTAAAAAAAAAGAGCAAATAGAAAGGATCAGAAGTCAATGATCCTAAAGTTTTCCGTGATCTCCCTGCTTTCTGGGAAGCCAAGTATTTCGAAGACATGGAGGCATTAAATGTACGTGCTCCCGATATTCAAACTAGAGTCAGTGAATATATTCCCGAGATCATCGAGTATGTTCAAAAGATTATTGATAATGGATACGCATATGCTGCTGATGGATCAGTCTACTTTGACACCTCTCGTTATGATGGCCATGCCGGTCATCATTATGCCAAGCTTGAGCCTTGGTCCAAGGGCGATACCGAATTGATTGAGGATGGTGAAGGATCTTTGGGTAGCAAGCTTGAAGGTAAGAAAAGTCCTAGTGATTTTGCCTTATGGAAGACATCCAAGCCTGGAGAGCCCGTATGGGATTCCCCTTGGTCTCAGGGACGTCCTGGCTGGCACATTGAGTGTTCCGTGATGGCGGGTGCAGTCCTTGGCGATAACATGGATATCCATTCGGGAGGTGTTGATTTAGCTTTCCCCCATCATGATAATGAAATTGCTCAAGCGGAAGCTCATTACGACTGTCACCAATGGGTGAATTATTTCTTGCATGCTGGTCATCTTCATGTGGAAGGACAAAAGATGAGTAAGAGTTTAAAGAATTTCATTACCATCAGTGAAGCACTTCAAACCTATACCGCACGTCAACTTCGTCTCTTCTTCTTGTTACACCAATGGGACGCCAAGATGGATTTCAAAAAATCGCGTATGCACGAAACGGTCATGTTGGAACAAACCATCAAGAACTTTTTCGATAATACAAAGGCGCTTGTTAACAAGGTTCAAAATGACGGCTCTCGTGGTGCCACACCTTTACCTGATGGTGGTATTACGCATCGTTACAGAGAAGCTGAAAAGGAGTTGCTCACCATTTTGCAAAATAAGCAAGATAGTGTGCACGCTGCTCTTTGTGACTCCATCAACACTCCCAAGGTCATGGACGAAGTGTTGGATATGGTCAATGTGACCAACAAGTACATGACAGCTGCTGGTGCCAAGGGAGTCAATATCCTTCTTTTGAACAAGGTGGCTAAATGGATCACTTCCTTGATGAAGATCTTTGGTGTTGCTGACAGCGGTGTTGAGATTGGATTTGGTGCTGCTACAGGACAAGCCGGTGGTAACACGGAAGAGATCTTGATGCCTTACCTCCAAACACTCTCAACTTTCAGAGATCAAGTGCGTATTGGTGCACGTAACAAGGTGGAACATACCGAATTCTTAAAGATGTGTGATGATCTCCGCGATAACCAGCTGGTCGAATTGAGTGTGTCCTTGGACGACCAAGAAGATGGCATTGCCCTTGTGAAACTGGTTCCCCGTGAAGAGCTTATTCAAGCGCGTGAAAAGAAGTTGGCGATGGCTGCTGAAAAGGAAGCCAAGAAGGCAGCTGCTGCTGCTGAGCGTGAACGTAAGCGATTGGAGAAGCTTGAGAAGGGTAAGGTCGCACCTGGTGATATGTTTAAGAGCTCAGAAGAGTTCTCCAAGTTTGATGAGGCTGGTTTCCCTACCCATACAAAAGATGGTGAAGAAATCACCAAGAGTAGAAAAAAGAAGGCTCAAAAGGAGTGGGATATGCAAAAGAAACTTCATGAAGAATATCTCAAAGAATTCAAGGCCTAGATTATTATTAATTAATTAAAAAATGACTATCTTTTTTTTGTTTTTGTATTTATTTATTTTGCTGCAAATCAATGAAAATTAAAAGAGATTTATGGTGTGTGTGTGTGTGTGTGTGTGTGTAAGAGAAGGGGGGGAGAAGATTTTATTTTTCATAAAAGAAAAAGAAAAGGGAATAGTGAAGATATATACATAATGATTTTTTTGTGTGTGTTTTATGAAGGTTTTTTTTGTTTCTAGATTTTTAAAAAAAAAAGGTTAACATTTTTAGAAATCAGCATCCAAAGTGAAGGTCTTTTCAACAGGAGTCTTGTTCATGACACCAGCACGTTGATAATCAGAGACACGCTTCTCAAAGAAGTTGGTCTTTCCTTGAAGAGAGATCATGTCCATGAAATCGAAGGGGTTAGATACATTGTAGATCTTATCGAAACCGAGAGCAACCATCAATCTGTCGGCGACGAATTCAATGTATTGGCACATCAACTTGGAGTTCATGCCGATAAGGTTAACGGGCAAAGCGTCGGTCAAGAACTCTTGTTCGATACCAACAGCTTCAACAATGATGGTCTTGATACGTTCTTGGCTGGGTTGTTTACGAATGTGGGTGAATAGAAGACAGGCAAAGTCGGTGTGAAGACCTTCATCACGAGAGATAAGTTCGTTACTGAAAGTCAAACCAGGCATAAGACCACGCTTCTTGAGCCAAAAGATGGAAGCAAAAGAACCAGAGAAGAAGATACCTTCAACAGCAGCAAAGGCTACCAATCTTTCGGCAAAAGAATCGTTGCCGGAAATCCATTTGAATGCCCAATCAGCCTTCTTCTTGATACAAGGAACTATTATTTAATTAATATACATGTACAACGCAGATTTAGAAATAACTTACTGGTTTCAATAGCATCGAAAAGCATTTCCTTTTCGACAGTGTCCTTGATGTAGGTATCAATCAAGAGACTGTAAGTTTCAGCATGAATGTTTTCAATAGCCATTTGGAAACCATAGAAACACTTGGCCTCAGGGATCTTTACTTCGTCACAAAAGTTTTGGACCAAGTTTTCATTGACAACACCATCGGCACTGGCAAAGAAAGCCAATACACGAGAGATGAAGAATCTCTCCTTATCATTCATCTTTGTTTCCCAATCGTGTTGATCCTTGGACAAATCAATTTCTTCGGCAGTCCAGAAAGAGGCTTCAGCCTTTTTGTAAAATTGCCAAATCTATTATGGAAAAAAGATAGTGTTAGTTTTGGTTTAATTTTAAAAAGACGTGTTTATAGAATGTATTGGGGGCGGGGTCATACCTCATGATATTTAATAGGGAATAAACAGAAACGTCTTGTGCTGTCTTTAAGAATCTCTTCAACTTCTTCACCTTCAGTGACATCATTCAACTTTTTAATCTCTACATTGTCAACTGACAACTTGGATAACTGAGCAGTGGTGGTATCAATAGTAGCAGCCATTAGAAGAAAGAGTCAAGTGTTTCTTGTTTATAAAGTAGAATAAAGAAGGGTGAGGGAAAGGAATTTCTTTATAATTCCTCATCTTATTTATAGATTTTTTTTTTCTTTTTTTTTACGTGACTGATTAAAAGAAAAAAAAATTTTGGTGTCGCGTTTTTCCTTTTTTTTTCCACTTAATTATAAATTGGACGTGTTGTTTGGAACGCGGTTTTTTTTATTCTATTTTTCAATTTCAGTTTCCGTGTACCACATCGCTCAAATTACTAATAAAATGTGAATTACCAACACCGAGAGATATATCATATCGTATAAAGGAAGAAGCTTTTGTTCTTTTCTTTTGTCAAGTTATTTTCTGTTATTTTTTTGTTATTTTCTGCTTACTTTTTCATTAGTAAGATTACAAATGCAATGTCCGCGCCTTTACATTTAGTCTACGCAAAAAAAAAACCCCCGCAGGTATTGTTACGTCTCATTGTTCTCTATACCCTCAAGTTGTCAATGAGGTTACCTTGGTGAGACATCTGTCTGAACCATGGCAAGAAGGGGGGTAACCAGGATACGAGATGAATGGGAGGGATGCGGGTTTTACTTTTACTTTTTCTTTTTTTTTAACTGCGGATGGCACTATCTTCATTTATCCGCACCAATCATGCAAATTTAAGGAGAGTCTTTTTCGAACAAACACGCGAACACGCGTTTTAGGAAAAGATTGAATTTTCTTGATATCTCTGTTGCCGATCTAAACAAGAACCCATGTGGTCACACGCACGTACGCACACAGTATCTCACTTTTTTTTTTTTTTTTTTTTTTTTTTTAATAATATAATCTAGATTTAAAAGATAATAGTATGGGGTTCGTAGTATGAAAGGAAATCTAAGATTAATTGCGGAAACCTAATGTTCTTTTTGTGAAGGAAAGAATCTGATAACAAACAAAGAAGACTAGTTTCATAATAGTTGGGTTTAAATGTTAATCTATCCAATACATTTTGTGATGGTATATTTAGAATCATTGGAGTCACACTCCTTTAGTCTGCTAGACTATTCCGCAAACATACATAGTGTAGGACTCGTTTACACAAAAAAAAAGACAAGACTCGCTCATAGGCGGATGAATTCGTCGAGACTGTAAACAGGAGAGACAAGGAATGTTTATCTTCATAAACATTGTATGCATAGATAAATAAACATGGCTTTTGGTAGATCCCCCACCCCAGTGACCCTTTTATCTTGAAATCCTTGTAACTCTTTTTTAAACAGGTCATTGTTTACAGAGTCATAGACCATTTTTAGCGGCTTTATTTATGTATCTCTTAGCAAGTTACGCAAACTATTTTTCCAATGGTCGCTATTTCACAAATTGATACTATTGTCTATAATATCTCTCAGCATAAATACCGGTATCCAATCTAAACCGATATTTTTAATCGTACCGTACTCTATCATACATTTATATATATTTTTATTATGAAGGACACTGTATCAGTGGGTCTTTTGCGTTATAAAATTATCAGGGTAACCGATGTCTTTTTTTTTTCATGCGGTTGCTCAAATAAGGACAGTTCCCGGCAAAGGAAGTGTCCTTTGCTGAGTAAAATATAGTTTTTTTTTTGCCACAGACCCCTCATATAACTATTTTATGGCCTGACTTGGGACAATACGGAGTGTAACTACTTTTATGTACATATAAGCGAAATTAATGAACTACATTGTATGTTTACGCATGCTTTCTTCATTGATGTTTACATTGAGTGATTACTTTTAATCAGAATTCTTGATTTGTGAGATAAAATGCTCCTTTTATAGTCGGTTGAGTAACATCAAAAGTGCATGATTATAGAATGGGTTTAATGATTTCAGCCATGTAAAAAGAATACATCATTCTAATTATTTTGTTTCCGATAAATGAAGGGCGAATCCGATTATTTTTATATCAAATCAGATTATGACAATGCCAGTACAAAAAAAAAAAAAAAAAGACTGTGAAAATAAAATAATAAATTCACGTGTAACATGGACAAGAAAATAGGGCAGTACATGTGATTTTCTCTTTCTCTCTTCTTTTTCTTTGGTCCTTTTTTTCTTTCTTTCTTTTTTACGTGTTTTCAGTCATGGCCAACATTCCACCTCATTATACTGATCGATTCATAGTACAACGATATAACAAGGCGTTACACTTTGTTCAACATTTACCTGCGACTTCCAACTTTCAGCCGACAAAGAGTCAAAAATTAGAAGTAAATCATGATATGTGTAGTTTTTTCTTGCTCGTATTAAGAAATGATTTATAGTTATATTCACTTTATAAGCAAGTATCGCAAGGCGATATTAATACACAAAGACCTGGTTTATTTGATGTAGTCGGTCGAGCCAAATGGTATGTTACGGACAAAAAAAGAAGACACAAACATGGTCACTTAGAAAAAAGGGGGGCCAACCGATTTTTTTAATCACATAGGGATGCCTGGAAAAAGTTAGAGGGTATTTCGGTGTTGGAAGCAAGGCACATTTACGTTGAAGCACTTTTACGAGTGGCAGCCGAGGTTTGTAAGGCACTTTTTTTAATAAAAGCATCAAATGTCAATTTAGAATTTTTCCTTCATTAGGCATATAAAAAGAATTTAGGCCGAGAAGAAGCACAACAGATCATCCACACATTTGCCATCATGAGACCCTCAGGCGATGATGATAGTGATGATCTTGACACGGACGATACTTCGAATCAAGAAGATGATGATGAAGAGGAAGATGAGGGTGAGAAAAATAGAAAATCTGCCTTTTGAAATGAAACCAAGAAAATAACATGTGGCCTTGTATTAGACTCAAGTAATGCAGAAGAACAAGCATATCTTCGAGCTATCGAAAGTAGTAATAGCTCAACACAGCCCCAAGCGCAAGACCGGTATAAATTAACATCACCCGTTTTATCAAGATACAATCGACCTTCTTCAGTGGCATCTGTACAAACAATGGTGACTGCGCCAACAAGTATGCGACCCCCTTCCGTAGCGACCAGCACACGATCCAGCAGCCGACGTACTGAGAAAAGACCCTATCAGATGACAGATTCACGGGTGTCACCTATCCAAGATAGTTTTAATGAAGAAGAGCTTGATAACAGTGTGAATCCTTGGCAACATCTTTCAGTCAATGATCAACGCAATGGTGGAAGCAGTCATAGTATAGAGCATCCACTTCAGACGTCCAAAAGAACACCTCAATTAAGACTACCTTCACCCATGTATCATCGCCAACAACAACAACAACAACAGCAACAACAACAGCAACAAAGGCTGGGCTCTTTAGGGTCGCCACCCCTTTATCCCCAACTTGTGAATAGACCCAATTCAAGTGCTTCATCATCTGTTACTGCAACACCCCAATATAATATGCTGAGAGAACAGAACGTGTATACACCTTCAGATTCAAGGTCAGTTAGTCGAAGTCAGTATACTTCAGTTGCCTTGGGACCTGCTACGAAACGTGCCTTAGAATCCTTACAGCAAGAGATTATTGCGCTAAATGATCGCATAGATGATTTACGAAAAGAGTTGGTGGAAAGGGACAAACAACGAGTTGTGAAAAAGAAATCGGACGATGAAGTAAATGAAGAAGAGTCGGCCGATATGGATGACGGATGGAAATGGGTGATAAAGGTACCCAATTTTTTTATTATTATTTTTTGGGTGTGTTTTTTTAAAGAAAGTGACACTAAATTGTCTTGTTTTGTCTTGTTTTAGGCAGCCGTTAAATATGCTGGGGTAAATCTGATGACAGGACTTTTACTGTTTTTCATCCTTTATAAAAGTGGGAGTCCCATTGCTTATGCTGTATTGAAACAAACTGGTAAATACTGGCATACATTCAAACTTCGAGTGTTGATAAGCAACATGGTGGTTTAAATAAAATTATTTCGAATCAAACTACTGTTTTTTGAATATGAGTTTGCGTTGAGATAAAAATTAATTTGCGCTGACATTAAAAGAATATTTACGTCAAGGTAAAAATAGTTTTGCGTTGCTTAGTAATAAATTTTGCGCCAAGAGATTAGAAAAAAAAATATAAAATAACCTAAAATATCGCAAAGGTTTCGACTCCTTTTTTCTTTTATTTAGTTTAAATATTAGAAAAAACATGCAAAGCGTTAGTGAATTTATCACTAATAGTGAAATTATTTCAGATAACGATATGGACACTTCATCTGACGATCATATGGAAGATGACGAGCAGGAAGAAATGGAAATTGAGCATTTCAGTTTGAGCGAAGAATGGATGGAGAAAATAAGACGAATTGGGAATGATTCTCTATCATATGTACGTGAATATATGGAAGTAGATTCAATAGAGGAAGAGAATGAAGATTTTTTTGAAGATGCTTTTCTCTTCGCAGAGTCAATGCCATTGAGAAAAAGACATACAGCTTTGAATGTTAAAACAAGAGGTTCTTACAGAAAATATACTCCTAAACAAGTTGAAAAACTCTTCGACTTAATAATCGAAGAAGGATTCACGACAAAAGCTGCAGCTTTAGCCACTGGGATTAATGTACGCACTGCCCAGAATTACGTTAAAACTTATAACAATGATCCTGAGAGACGACTTCCAGGATCTTATTCTAAACCTCGTGGAAGACCTCGTAATAAGTTGACTGAGGAGCATTCTAAATTTCTAGTTGACTATATCGAAAAGAATACCACTGCTATATTAGATGAGTTAAAGTTAAAACTTTGTGAGAAATTTGAGGGTTTGAAAATCTCTATTTCTGCCATCCACAAACATTTAGTACATAAGCATAACATTACGTTAAAGAAACTTGAAAAAATACCAGCAGCAAGAAATTCTGACAGAGTAATAGCATTACGAAAAGCGATTGTTGAACAATATAAGAGTGATGCAGATATGGATTTTTCTAAGAATTGTGTTTTTATCGATGAAGCAGGTTTCAATTTGCATACGCAAAGAAACCACGGCCGTTCATTAAAAGGCACACCTGCAAAGGGCACTGTACCAACTGGAAAAGGTGTGACATTTACAATTTTAGGTGCAATTTCTCAAGCAGGTATCATAAATATTGGAGTTAAAAAACCAGAATCAGCTTCTTCTAAAAAAAGAAGGGCAGATGGTAAGGAAGTAAAAATCAATGGCAAAGTTGGGACAAGAAGTGAGCACTTTTTGGCTTATCTAAACAACGTAATGGATACACTAGATAAAAATAATATAAAGGGGCAGTATATTGTTATGGATAATGCACCTATTCATAAGCCAAAAGTAATCAAAGCATTGATCGAAGAACGAGGACATAAGTGCATATATTTGCCACCATATTCTCCTTTCTTGAATCCAATCGAGGAATTTTGGTCAAAAGTAAAAGCTGGTGTTAGAAGAACACCATTGACGACAGATGATCGTCTCACAGATCGTATATGTGAATCGGCTGGAAAAGTAACAAAAAAAGATTGTGAAGGATGGATTAAGCATTCAATGTCATTTTTCCAGAAGTGTTTGAATGAGGAAAGAAATCTTTAAAATAGTCAGTAGGAGTGCAGCTTTCAACAGACGCACTCTGAATGCTCACTGAGATTTTAACATCATGAAACAAGTACAGCGACTCCGCCCCCAAAGTTCGTTTTCCAATTTTATAAATTCGCTTTTTTCGCAGCCCAAAGTTCGCTTTTTGATTGGTCAAGGTTCGTTTTTGTAAATCATCCAACGTCGCCTAAAGTGTTACGTCATAAATTTAAAAAGTCACAAGTTTCCACCAAAAAAAAAACCCAGGGTGTTTCGGTTTCGTTCAGGTTTCGCTCAGGTTTCGCTCAGGTTTCGCTCAGGTTTCGGTTTCGTTCAGGTTTCGCTCAGGTTTCGGTTTCGTTCAGGTTTCGCTCAGGTTTCGGTTTCGTTCAGGTTTCGCTCAGGTTTCGGTTTCGTTCAGGTTTCGCTCAGGTTTCGCTCAGGTTTCGCTCAGGTTTCGCTCAGGTTTCGGTTTCGCTCAGGTTTCGGTTTCGTTCAGGTTTCGCTCAGGTTTCGGTTTCGTTCAGGTTTCGCTCAGGTTTCGCTCAGGTTTCGCTCAGGTTTCGCTCAGGTTTCGCTCAGGTTTCGCTCAGGTTTCGGTTTCGTTCAGGTTTCGCTCAGGTTTCGGTTTCGTTCAGGTTTCGCTCAGGTTTCGCTCAGGTTTCGCTCGCTCAGGTTTCGTTCAAATTTGCTGGACTTTTTTTTTTTTTTTTTTTGCTTCATTGATTTTGTGAATCATGGATTGCAGAGGTAAGTAGGCTATCACTTCAAAAAATTGCTTATTTACACCATTTTTTAGTTTTAAATATTATTCAAAATTTGGATTTTATCAATCTTATTACCCAATCAGTTTTGAATGAAGATGACCGCAATCTCGTACTTACATCAGCGGAATTATTAGCTGATGATTTTCATTTGATTCTTTATTTATCTGAATCGCACGCAATTCTTTTGGGAATTCAGCCAAATGTTACAAGAATGTCGTTGAAACAAGCAATTGGGAAATCCTTGAGAGTGTTTGAGCAATATAAAATTCAACCCTCTGTATTTATTCTTTGTACCAATACTATTTTTCCGTCACTACAGCCATTATTATCTTCCACTTCACAGAATTCTCATTGGCAGATAACAAAGTGTACTATGTGGGCAGAAAAGTTTGTAATTATCTCCAATGATGCTACTTTTCTCCAAGATGCCGAAGCTTGCAAGCACCTTGATCCTCTTGTGGTACTTGCAATATATTTTTCTGGTGATGAAAATCAAATAGAGAAGTTGCTAAATGTTGGCAACACCACTATGCAATTTATGCATAGCATTCAATAAAGTGATATCTATTTTAATAATTCTTAAATGCTTGTTTTCATTGTCCATACCGAACCACATGTGAAATGTTTTTGTAATCAGCGATTTAATTCTCACCGAATATCATAGTTCACGAAAGAAAAAAAAGAGCACAGCAGCAAACCATGTTCAAAATAATAGGCAGAAAGTAATTAAAATCTGCGGTTGACATTTTTTTTCAATCAAATATAAGATAATCCTTTATTTACTACATGTTGTATTCATACCAGTATTATCATAGTAGCTTACTATATAATGGTAATGCAATACATCTTTTAATTAAGACACTGCATATTCTCAAGGCTGTGTTATTAGTATAACTGTTGGATCACAAAGATAGACATATTGTACACTAAGGATCATAGGTTGTATAACCTGATTATACATATTTAAACTCAATCATATTTATAAACAATGGACATATTAAGTATAATAAAGAACAATCTCTTTTTTGTTTGAATCTGATAAATTATAGTCTTTATTATTATTATTTGATTTGAACAAGAATATAACACTACATAAACTGCTCTGGTAATTATATCATTTGGTGATCTTCAATCATGAATGTTCCGTATTATTCAGTTGAGAAAATAAAACTTGTTGCTTAGAAGATATTGTGGCAAAAATTGGGTACTTTTGCACTGAAAAAAATATGTATAAAAAAAAACAAGAGATAAATAAGATTAAAACTGTGGATAAGACAAAGATGCAGTGTCTTTATTAGTAATACATCATACATTCGTTTAATTATAGGATACTCTCGATTGAACATGTTATACTATAACATACAAACCAATCATTTATTATTTAACCATCGTTTAGCCGATTCGTCACTACATTATTATTTTAACAGAACTTTATTTGATCGATCTTATCTCACTGTAACTGAATTATACTTGAATAACAGTTACATACTTCCATTGGACCATCACCTTATCAGATATATAACTCAGTTGATATCGGTTTATCCTAATAACTACTCTATCTACCCTTATACAAAGCCACAATTATAATTGTTAATAAAAAAGACACTTAAGTGTCTGGTACTTTTCTAGCCTCCTTTATTTTAAGTTGTATTTGTGTTTACGGACATCACTATATACAGTTACAAATGCTATGCATTACTACATAGAGCTGTAAGGTGTCAAGCAAGTACCTAATTGGAATTACACACAAAGCGAATGCATGTGCACATCGTATCTGATATGACACTGTGCCCCTATGATCTGATATTTAACAAATACTTTATTTATTCCATATACTATATAAGCATCCTGTATTTACTGACATTTTTTTTTTTGTTGGTTTATGTACTTATTGAATTGATTACGAAGAACATCCGCACTTTTGTATTTAAATAATTTTAATTCAATTCCTTTAGAATAACATGCTGACCAATCCATTCTTTTAAACCCTTTTTGCATCCTAGTATGCTTATAATTTTCAACAAATATCATACCTCGTTCATATGGAGTGACCGATTCTAGCGTAAAGTCAATATTTTCACTAATTGTAGGGTCTGCTGCTGCTGTTGTTGTTGCTGTTGCTATTGCTGTTGAGATATTAGTAGGGATAGAGGAGGGCTCGAGATTCACATCAGTGTATTTCCTTTTCATTGCGTAGTTTTGTGATTGTAAATTCTTGATGGCTTTGGCAACTGTTTTGGATGATGAATTTTGGTCAATAAGTTCCAATATTTTGGTATGTTCGTGATCTTGGGTATCCAGTACTTGTGCCAAAATATCGGTAATATGCTGATCTCCAAGACGATTTTGATGAAAATGTGACACCAAAGTGTACAAATATTGCATAGTTGGATCATCTTGGTAAAGTGAACAATTTTTTGTAAGTTCCCGGCTGGTCAGAAATAAAGTAAGAGCAATGAATGGATTCAAAGGCATGGTATCAGTATACTCTAGGACGCGTCTTTTACATACAATCAGGCAATTACAAGCCCAACCTGTAGAAGGGAAGTCATAGCAAGCAGGAATATCGCTGGTCTTTACTTCTTTGGCAACAGAATCAGATAAGGTATCAGTACATATGATTAGAACAATAGGGTCCAATTTATGTCTATTAAAAGCTTCAAGACTGTAATTTATGACTCTCTTCATAAACAATCTGTTAACGGTATGTTGAATTTCTATGATTATTGGGGGAAGGTTCAATACTGATGACTTTGCTTCTAGGACAACATCTGAGCGAGTGCCGTTATTCCACTCAGGATTCCCTACTAGGTAATCATTTTGTGTATTTGACAGAGTAGTTGTAATAATGTTGGTGATTTTAGGATCGTGGATGATGGCTTTTGACATTAAATCACTTCCAGGACGCAACAACTTGGGAAGAACGAATAAACTCATTTTAAATCGAAACCTGAGCGAAACCTGAACGAAACCGAAACCTGAGCGAAACCGAAACCTGAGCGAAACCTGAGCGAAACCTGAGCGAAACCTGAACGAAACCGAAACCTGAGCGAAACCTGAACGAAACCGAAACCTGAGCGAAACCTGAACGAAACCGAAACCTGAGCGAAACCTGAGCGAAACCTGAGCGAAACCTGAGCGAAACCTGAGCGAAACCTGAGCGAAACCTGAACGAAACCGAAACCTGAGCGAAACCTGAACGAAACCGAAACCTGAGCGAAACCTGAACGAAACCGAAACCTGAGCGAAACCTGAGCGAAACCTGAGCGAAACCTGAGCGAAACCTGAGCGAAACCTGAGCGAAACCTGAGCGAAACCTGAGCGAAACCTGAACGAAACCGAAACCTGAGCGAAACCTGAACGAAACCGAAACCTGAACGAAACCGAAACCTGAGCGAAACCTGAACGAAACCGAAACCTGAGCGAAACCTGAGCGAAACCTGAGCGAAACCTGAACGAAACCGAAACACCCTGGGTTTTTTTTTTGGTGGAAACTTGTGACTTTTTAAATTTATGACGTAACACTTTAGGCGACGTTGGATGATTTACAAAAACGAACCTTGACCAATCAAAAAGCGAACTTTGGGCTGCGAAAAAAGCGAATTTATAAAATTGGAAAACGAACTTTGGGGGCGGAGTCGCTGTACTTGTTTCATGATGTTAAAATCTCAGTGAGCATTCAGAGTGCGTCTGTTGAAAGCTGCACTCCTACTGACTATTTTAAAGATTTCTTTCCTCATTCAAACACTTCTGGAAAAATGACATTGAATGCTTAATCCATCCTTCACAATCTTTTTTTGTTACTTTTCCAGCCGATTCACATATACGATCTGTGAGACGATCATCTGTCGTCAATGGTGTTCTTCTAACACCAGCTTTTACTTTTGACCAAAATTCCTCGATTGGATTCAAGAAAGGAGAATATGGTGGCAAATATATGCACTTATGTCCTCGTTCTTCGATCAATGCTTTGATTACTTTTGGCTTATGAATAGGTGCATTATCCATAACAATATACTGCCCCTTTATATTATTTTTATCTAGTGTATCCATTACGTTGTTTAGATAAGCCAAAAAGTGCTCACTTCTTGTCCCAACTTTGCCATTGATTTTTACTTCCTTACCATCTGCCCTTCTTTTTTTAGAAGAAGCTGATTCTGGTTTTTTAACTCCAATATTTATGATACCTGCTTGAGAAATTGCACCTAAAATTGTAAATGTCACACCTTTTCCAGTTGGTACAGTGCCCTTTGCAGGTGTGCCTTTTAATGAACGGCCGTGGTTTCTTTGCGTATGCAAATTGAAACCTGCTTCATCGATAAAAACACAATTCTTAGAAAAATCCATATCTGCATCACTCTTATATTGTTCAACAATCGCTTTTCGTAATGCTATTACTCTGTCAGAATTTCTTGCTGCTGGTATTTTTTCAAGTTTCTTTAACGTAATGTTATGCTTATGTACTAAATGTTTGTGGATGGCAGAAATAGAGATTTTCAAACCCTCAAATTTCTCACAAAGTTTTAACTTTAACTCATCTAATATAGCAGTGGTATTCTTTTCGATATAGTCAACTAGAAATTTAGAATGCTCCTCAGTCAACTTATTACGAGGTCTTCCACGAGGTTTAGAATAAGATCCTGGAAGTCGTCTCTCAGGATCATTGTTATAAGTTTTAACGTAATTCTGGGCAGTGCGTACATTAATCCCAGTGGCTAAAGCTGCAGCTTTTGTCGTGAATCCTTCTTCGATTATTAAGTCGAAGAGTTTTTCAACTTGTTTAGGAGTATATTTTCTGTAAGAACCTCTTGTTTTAACATTCAAAGCTGTATGTCTTTTTCTCAATGGCATTGACTCTGCGAAGAGAAAAGCATCTTCAAAAAAATCTTCATTCTCTTCCTCTATTGAATCTACTTCCATATATTCACGTACATATGATAGAGAATCATTCCCAATTCGTCTTATTTTCTCCATCCATTCTTCGCTCAAACTGAAATGCTCAATTTCCATTTCTTCCTGCTCGTCATCTTCCATATGATCGTCAGATGAAGTGTCCATATCGTTATCTGAAATAATTTCACTATTAGTGATAAATTCACTAACGCTTTGCATGTTTTTTCTAATATTTAAACTAAATAAAAGAAAAAAGGAGTCGAAACCTTTGCGATATTTTAGGTTATTTTATATTTTTTTTTCTAATCTCTTGGCGCAAAATTTATTACTAAGCAACGCAAAACTATTTTTACCTTGACGTAAATATTCTTTTAATGTCAGCGCAAATTAATTTTTATCTCAACGCAAACTCATATTCAAAAAACAGTAGTATGTGTGTGTCTGGTTTGTAGTAGGAATCATGGGGTCACACTGTCAAAAAAAAAAATCTTTCCCCCGTATCACTATTTTTATTACCCCCAAAAGAAAAAATAGGGTTAAAATAACAACAACAAACGATGGGGAGGATGAGAAAGGTCATCTGAACGATTAAAATCACCGCCATGTTTGTTGCATTAAATAAGACCACTTTTTCGTTATTTCTATTTCTTTAATTTCATGTGCTAGATTGCTTGGATTACCCCCAATTTTGGGCTGTACTTTGAAGATCTGGCCAATAATGTTATTACATCATCCACAAGTCACACAGGCTGAGATTGAACCTATTTCCTATAATATATGGTATTTAGGTTTATTTTTTTATTTTTTCTTTCCTTTTCTTGCATTAAAACTTTCCTTATAAACCCCCTAACTCGTTTATAATGGCTATAAAGAATTCAGATAAAGCGGTTAGAAAGACAACAAACACATGTGTAACCACTGCTGATGATTCAGGCACTCGGTGTTTGGACGATAAAGAATATAACAAGCACCAAAACCCTTTGGATGTTGAATACGTCAATGAGATCCACGTCAAGGATTTCACTAGAGCACTCGAATACGATCCTATCACTACAGAAACAAATCCGGAACAGATCTCCGCTTGGACAGATGCTTTACCCACTCCCAGATCCACCTCTACACCCATCAAAGCCAAGTCGAAAAGATCCACAAGGAGGAAATTAGCGGAACAAGAAGCCGCTACACCAAAAGGGTTCACACATACACTAGTGCAGTATCCACTCATCGTAAGTTGCCAGTCTAATTTTTTTTTTTTTTTGGTTGCTAGTTTTTTTTTTTTTCATTAAATAGCTCCATTTTATATGTATAGTTTGTGATTGGGTTCATCATGTTTTTTGAATTGATGGCCTACATCTCTTTACGGCTACTTGTGCGTTTATGGGAAAATCTATTTAGTTGGCGAGGAAGGAAAAGAAAGCTTCGTGCACAGTTGCGTGCATCTAACTCGTATAAAGAATGGTGCGAGGCAGCCGATGCGTTGGACAAATATATGCACAAGGATGACTGGAAAAAGACGATCCCTTATGCATTCTACGATTATCGATTATTGCAAAAGGTCGTCAAGCATTTGAAAATGTATCGCCAGGGAGACACCATGGAGGATGCCACAAAACTGATGGATGTCTTGTATGTTTGTTTGAAACAAAATTTCGCTGGTATTGAGAATGCGAAGCTATACAGTAATACTTATCTGGGAACAAAAAGATTAGTGGAAGAATACGTTGAAGAAGGTATATATATATATATATATATAAAAGAGGGGAGCTTCATTGGGCTTCTTGTATTAACACTTTCTTTAAAGTCACCCGTTCGATTGAAGCATTGGCGAACAACAGACATATCACACCCGAAGAAAAACGTCTCGCGTTCAAGTTGTATTCTAAAAATTATGGACGTACGGCGTTTTGTTTGTCAGGAGGTGCAGGTTTCGGATATTATCATTTGGGTGTGATTAGAGCTTTATTGGATCGTGGATTATTGCCTTCGATTATCACTGGTACTTCAGCGGGGTCGCTGATGGGCGCTATTGTTTGTACTCGTACGGATGAAGAATTGAACGAGATCTTGAGCCCTGATTTGGCTAAAAGAATCAATGTGTGTCAAGGCTCTTGGGCTTCCAAAATCACACATTTGGTCACTACCGGTGCTTTGTTTGATACAGAACAGTGGTGTCGTGAAGCAATGTGGTTTTGTAAAGGATCGCTTACTTTTAAAGAAGCATATGAAAGAACAGGCCGCATATTTAATGTATCCGTCATTCCATATGATCCCCATTCACCACCCAAGCTACTAAATTATCTTACCGCGCCTGACTGTGTTATTTGGAGTGCTGTAATTGCTTCAGCTGCTATTCCTGGTGTAAGTGTGTCCTATAATGTTCTCTCTCGATTTAGTCATGTTAATTTTTTCTTATCTTCGATAGATTTTAAATCCCGTTGTGCTTATGCAGAAAAAGCGAGGCACAGACCATCTGGTTCCTTACAATTACGGCCACAAATTCAAGGATGGAAGTCTTAGTACAGATATTCCTACACTTGCATTAAACACGCAATTCAATGTGAATTATACGGTTGTCAGCCAAGTGAACCCTCATGTCCATGTCTTTTTTTATGCAAATCAAGGTAGTCCTGGCCGACCCGTTACTCATCTCGAAGGACGTGGATGGCGAGGTGGTTTCTTAGCTTCGACCATTGAGCAAATGTTGAAACTGGATTTAGCAAAATGGCTCAAGGTTCTCCGACATTTAAAACTGTTACCCAAGTTCAACGATCAGGATTGGAGTTCGGTATGGCTTCAAAAGTTTGATGGCAATGTCACTATTTTGGTAAGAAAAAAAAAGCTTTACAAGAGATTCAGTGTAGGAAGACTAACTTCATTTGTAATTGTTAGCCTAAATCCGATATCACAGACTGGTTTTATACGATTGCAGACCCTGGAGCGGATCGACTCAAGAAATTGATGATTGCTGGTCAAATCCGTACCTGGCCTAAAATTTCCATGATTTCGAATCGTATGCGTATCGAATCCTCCATCGAGAAAGTGCGACGTTCATTGCGCCACAAGTCCTCTAGCGTGCGTAGCCGTGTCAGTAGTCGATCCGAGCCCGAGCTTGTCAAATTAACACAACACCTTGAAAGTCAAGATCTGGTTAATAGCGTGATTGATCATGGTCATCATAGCGATGCAGGAAGTGGCGACGAGTTAATTTTCTTGACACGTCGTCGTGTCAGTATGCCTGATGGATCGTTTAGTAATTTAGAGGAGAAAGACTTTTTCAAAGAACAACATCGTAGAAGGAAATTCATGGCTCAGTTTAATGACTCACTGGTCAATGGTACCAAGACGAATAAGCCTTCTTCCCTGTTTGTTGATTCGGATTCGGATTCTCACATCACCCCGCCAAGTTCGCCTGAAGTCTAAGTCGCTATTATCCTCTTCTTTTTTTTTATTGTATTCCCCCCATTCACTCATTGATAGGCTTGTCCTGTCTTTCATACACCCCCCTCATTCTTTTAAATAATAAAAAAACGAAAGCTTTTATGATGACCTCCCCTCACAAAAAGGACACTCTTTATTACTGACATATAACATGTCTGCTGAAAACAATGACACAGTTAGTGCATCGCGTGACACGGCGTATCATACCCAATTTTAAAGAGATAAATATTTTCTTGTTAAAACTAGCTCATTCAACTAGTCGCAATGTTTACTTAAATCTCACCCATTTTAGCTAAATATTAGTTGTACACATATCTACTCAATTTTTAGCACTACATGTTTATGTCAACGCTACTATATCATGGATACAGTTTAAGTGATGATACACGGAATACCGTCGTAACAACCCAAATTTATATCTTGCTGTAACAAAAAAATAAAAGGGTTATGACCATACTCAAAAGTTCGTGTTAGACTTATATCGAATTCTTGATTTTCATGATGTAGAATCGGAACAGTTTCTCTTACCAGAGCGAATGGAGCATAAATCGATACATAAATCGTTGAAGTACTCTTTTGACTTACTTTAACTAAAAGCATCTAATACACTGCTATTAAATTAAGGAATGATTTAAGAAGAATTATTAAATAACTCAGATATAAGCAAGTAAAAGATTTATTGCGTAATGATTTGCGTTTTAGAGTACATACGTGCTTATAACTAGATTGAACAGCACAGATACTTCTTATTAGCTTTTATATCCATATTTCATTTTGCACAACCCCTCCCCCTCCCCTTGGTTTCGTTACATAAGCTTGGCCTGCCTTTAAGAAACTTTTTAAAACATTCTGTTGGGTTGTTTTTTTAATTACATCAGAGCGATAAATAAATAATAGGTGTATGAGCGTCTTTTATTGTTCAATAAATAAAATGATTTATCGCCAAAAAATGATTTGAAAAGGATATAAAAGGGCATTTAATTATGCTGGGATGATGAATGCCCCGCACATTTAGACGCATCATAGGCGAGTGATACGGGTTACTATAATTTAGGTTAATTGACTAGTCGAAGCACACAGTACGTACATAAGATTTTATAGTGTGGCAAACTTTAAGTCACAAGATAAAAACAAGGTTTTAAAACTTTAAATACGTAGAGCCCGCTTTTACCCATGTGCCATTACATCGCTTCACAGCATATATCTTTTATTTGATGGGCCCTGCCATCAATTATTATACATTGAATTATGGATAATCCCCTTTTCAGTTTGTTTGCTTTTGTTTTTAGCGCGAAGGATTTTATTCTTTTGTTGTTTTCTACTAAATACTTTGCATGATTTCGAAAATAGAGGACCAGGTCAGTGAATAGAAGGGAAAAAAAAGCTCATGTATTCCTTTGTGTAGCTACATAATTCTGATCTAAAATGCCGTTGTTCTAAATAGAGAGACAAGAACAAATTTAAAAAAGAAAAATCTAAATTACAATTTATCCCATATACTTGTTTTTTGTAAATTAAGAGTAAATGAAAGAATGAGGATTCTAAACGAATGAAAAAGTATATTTTTGCACATATCTTTTTTAGAATGATGACAGCCGGTTGTAATTTCTATTCGATACCTTATTCGGCGTAGCTTTTTATATATGTATACATCCTGTATGCGCGCGCTACAAGACTTTTTCGTTATACCTAGCATAAGCTGTCGATAAAAAAAAATGCAAATTCAAGATAGATTAGAAATGGTTTACAGCATGAGACCATGGTATGCTCAAATGACAAGGCAAATGGATGATTACCACTAAAGTACTTATTTTACACTATTCGTATGCTGTATGACAGGGCATGCAATACCCAACCTTTAATATATGAAAGCCTACAGAGCCGTCATAATCAGCTTTTATAAACACTTGAGCCTGCCACATGTTTTAAACTATAGAGTTAATTAGAAGTTATTCGTCTGATGGGTTTTTTTCTATTTTTAGTTCCAATTGGGTTTGTAAACTAGGTGGCCCAAACAAGACCAACTTTTTTTTTGCACAAAACGAGGCCAAGTCTTGTTGCGAAAAAGAAACAACTAAAATCGTTTAAAAAAGTGTCAGGCCAGAAGGTGGCACGTGTCACTAGAGTAAAACGAGTTTCAAACGCAAGTTTGAACATTGTAATGAAAGTTAGATTAGTACATTGTATAGCAATGGGGGGAGTTTATGAGAGGTTGCATAAAAGGTCAACATTTTTCAGGTGGCGCTTGAAGGGGTGGAGCGGTTAGACTTACAATGATGTCGATACTATCGTGCTTACGAGATTGAAAATATGGAATGCATGTAAAATGTAAAATGTAAGAATAGTGTTTTATTATTTATCTAAAGAGAAAAAATCTATTAGGTGAAAAATTGGCGATTGAAGGAAGGCTTTTCATCACAACCAGTGACGTATTGATATGATTCAGGGCGGTGACAATAAGAGATGTTTGCCAAACAAGCGACGATGGTGGTCGCAACAGATTTTCCTTCGAACCAAGCACCATGTAAAAAGCCATAATAATCAGCAGACATGGCCTCACCTGCAAACCACAGAGTATTTTTCAATGGGGCACGCATATTCAGGTGATGCTTCTTCAGTGCACCAATAGGCCAATTTGAGTAAGATCCCCGAAATAAAGGATGTTGATGCCATCGAGGAATTAGGATGTCTGTCGGTTCCTCTACTTTGCCAAACATGTTGTGAAGTACATGCATGATTTCTTTTAAAACTTGAGTGTTTGTCATTCGCTCAATGCGTTGTGATTCCATATCTGTGGTCGTTACCATTAATATATTATCTGTTGCTTCTGCTTCTGCTTCTGTTGCTGTTGATGCTGACGCTGATGCTGCTGATGCTGTTTGTTGTTGTTGGAACAAATAACCTGGTGCATTCAAGTTTTGCCACACGGTATAATAACCGCCATGTTGTGTCACATTATTGGCATAAAGCGCAAACTGTTCAAGAGAGGTTAAATTAATATATTTTTTTTTTGTTTATGTTAAATTTTTTTTTTACCTGCCAATCTGCCCAAAATTTTGTCTTGAATCTTAAAAAATCTTTGTATAGGTGGTCATATGAAAACTTAATAATGCTTCACGTTTCCATTCTGGAAAAGTAGGTTCAAATGTAACCGCGTCACTTTGTAATACACCAAGCCTGTTTTTTTGATTTCTTTGAGTTCAGGATAGTAATAGTAACACGAAAAAAATATTTACGAAAATGTGCAGATTGCATATTCGGCTTCTATTGTATCTCCGTTAGCGGTAAATACTGTCACATTATGGTCATTGTAAATGACCTTTGTAACCAGCGTGTTAAGCATGAGACGAGGGTCGTCTAAGTCCAAAAATATCTTGCTTTCTTCTTTTATAATGTGATTGAATCCTCTTTTTTTTAAAAAAAGCAGAATGATGTGAGTGTAATTCCGAAGAATAGAGTCAAAAGCTTTTATCTAATAATTTACCTATTGTCTACCACAAATTCATTACCAAATGGATATGTTCCGGTCACTGTATCCCCCGTTCCCGTAGCATATTCCAAAGAACACATTTCTGCAGGCTCAGAGAACTCCCAATCAATATTAAAGTATTCGATAGCAGCTTTTAAAGGAGTATTTGGTTTCCATCCAAGCAAACTGAGGGCCGATCGGCTTGATAAATCGACCTGTTGTCGCTTCATCCTTTGCTCTAGGAAACATAAAAAAATACGGGCATTTGTTTTTTGGGATGAATAATTGAGACGTTTTTTGTTTTAATTACCTGCATAATTCACCAATTTTATTTTAATTGATTCAAATTCATCGTAAACAAACGTCCCTTGATGCTGGTCTTTTAATTTGCCTTGCTCATCATCAAAAAAAGCTAAATTGGTTTTGTCGTTGGGCACAGTTTTCAAGCCGTGTTGTAAAGCCAGCCTATAGATTGGATTTTGGCCTTTACCATAAATCTAGATTTTTGTTGTTGTTGCTTTCGTTTTAGCTAGGGCAGATATAGATATTTAGAGATGACAATTTCCAATTTTTACCCAATTTGCGCCTAATTCAACCTTGCTATTTCCGAATTGTTCATGTTGAACTCTGCCTGTTGAAGAAAAGAAATGTAAATATAGAAGAAGCGTAGTGTGTGTGTGTACACAAGTTGATTACTAAACCTCCAACAAAGGATTGTGCATCCAAAATAATGAAATCGTTCAACTTTAAATCGGTCAGGGTTTTAGCGGCCGAGATACCGGCTGCACCTGCACCTAATATAACCACCTTTGTTTTAATATGCCTTGCTTCTGCTAGTAATAGTAAACTGATGAAGATGAGTGATTTGTACATATAAATTGAATTTATCTAGGGGGGGAAAGGAAAAAAAAAGAAGGGTTCAAATGATTAGGGTTTTATATAATGGAAGAATCATGTGGTTTTATAGATCATGGGGAGAGATTTTTTTTATTTTTTATTTTTTATTTTACTGCCAAAATAAATATTATGGGGGGAGAAAGAACATATTAAAATTACTACTAATAAGATAAGAGAGGGAAAAAAACGGCGTATAAAAAGGGGTGGTGGGGGGAGGGAGGGCGTATATATATAAAGATCTAATAGGGAAAACATAAAGAGTCATAGAAAGCATAAAACGAATAAATAAGTTGGGGGATAAGTCATAAATGTTGTTGTTGGATTTTTTGTTTATATTTAGGCGCCAAAAACGATATTCATATCAGGTGATGTAATAAAAGGAGTGAATTGTTGATCAACATAAGGTGCATAATATTCAGTTGGAGTTAATAGCATAGAGACGTCTTCTACAAATTGATATTCATCTACTTGTTGATTCATAATTTGTTGTTGTAACATGTCTTGTTGATGAGGATGGTTGGTAAATGGATGAATGGGTTTGAATGGTGAGAGTAATGTCATGTTGTTATTGAATTTTAAGTCATATTGAAGTGTGGAGCAAGGTGAGGAAGCGGACGAGGATGAAAAATCATCTTCAGATCGTACAATATTTGAAATCAGGCTTGAATCATACATATCATTTTGCTGTTGTTGTTGCTGTTGTTGCTGATAAAATGAAGTATTGACAGTCGAGGAATCCGTGGTATTTAATGAGTTTGTGCTACGGCTGGGCTGTTGAATATCCGTCATATCGAAATCCAAATCCAGCATTGGACTGAGCGTGCTGCAGCGACTACTACTGTTACTGGCACTTCCATTACGAGAAACAACACCAGTCGACCAACCAGAAGAACGAGAGCTATCGAATGAATGGCGTGGGGAGGAATAAAATGTGTCACCATTGCTATTATTATTATTGCCATTTTGGTGATTTAGTACTTGACGTCGTTGAAATGCAAGGTTATAATTATTGCGTTGATCATCAGGTGAGGAAGAATCATCATCATTATTGTCACCACCACCACCATTATTATTAAAAGAGGCATGATGATGATCAAATTCATGCTCACGACGATGATGTAAAGCCAGATTTTCGGAACGAGGGAAATGCTTACCACACAAGTTACAGACAAAAGAAGATGAATGAAGGGCTGCCATGTGACGATCAAGATGATCTGCTCTCTTAAACAATCTTCCACAGGTAGGCAATGGGCATGCATAGTCAGCAGAAGACGAAGTCGAAGAAGTAGACCAGTTGGGCACATTTGTGTGTTGAATCATTTGCATGGTGGTAGGTTGAATAATTTGATTGGGAGCAAAACCAGCTTTGACAGCAGCCATAGCTAATCGGCTACTATGACTATTGATGGTGGGTTGAGTCGAGGGAGTACGTAAATGACATTTTTCATGGCGGCGGATACGCTCGGGTCCACCACTTGTTGATGTAATTAGAGCGGAAGAAGAAACGGATGCAGCACGACGTCTACGTTGTTTGTAAGTGGGAGAACCATCAAACAAGCTGAGATTGCCGAATATAGTCTTTGTCTTCTTGATGGCGTTTGAATCAAGGGATTTGGAAGGTAATACATTGTGAGAAATCATGCTGTTGGAAGAAGTGTTGCTTTGGCTGGATAAAGAACAGGTGATTTCTAACTGATCTACACCATGCGAAATGGGATCCAAATAATCATCTTTCGTTAATGAATCTGTACGACTGTGGCGTGATGGTTTATTGGCACTGAAAAAAGAGCCATGACTCATTCTATGGTGCTTTTGTTGCATGAGCTGGAAATGCTGTTGCTGTCCTAGGTTAGCAGGTACTGAATTCACACGAGATCGTTTTGCTTGAGAAGCAGCTCTCTCAAGTCTTGATTGCGAAGCAGACCAAGGTGTCGATCCATTAGACCAATTATTGTCGGCGACTGAAAATAAGAGAGAATATTAGTTAATAAAGTAAGGGGGCGTAAAATAACAAATAATTACCATGGTTCAGGGAGAGACTGGTATTTGGCATGGGACCATTACCCATATCTTGTTCGATGGCTTGAGCAGTTGCAGCAGCAGATTGTGACATGCTTTTTCTTAATTGATCGAACAATTCTTGAGTCGAATCAAGAGAGAAGGAAGTAGCGGGTTCAGCCACAGAAATGGTTGTTGGTTCCATACCCATTTTTTCACGCTTTAAATCACGTTCGAGAGCATCCAGAAATAATCTGTCATGAGGCACAGAATACCAAAAGAATACTTTTTGCTTTTTTTGTGTTCTTATGCAATTATTCTTATACAACATGTCTAATAATTCGGACTTAGGTTCTTCCAGTTGAGCATCATGTCCAGGCTTTAAATTTCGCAAGTCACTGAAAATGCCTTCTTCAAATTTCTTTGCGTTGGAAACCGGTCTTCCGAATGCATGAAAACGAAATGTGAGTGATCGAACAATATCTGTACCCGTAATGAAAAATAAATCATTCCAAAGTACACAAGATACACTTTCTCCGCCTGGCAAAACAAATCGTTTTAACGGCTGATTCGCCTCCCATTGTTGGATCGCCGTGGCGAAAAACAGCTTCAAATCATCAATCTGCGCTAATCGACTGGATGTATTGTGATTGGATGGTGGTGGAATTCCATAACTGGACGCGATATCGGATTTTTCTTCCAACTGCTGCTGTTGTTGCTGCTGTTGTTGTTGTTGCTTTTTACTATACGTATGAGTTTTAATCATTTCTGATTGGTTGCTTTTTGAAGGTTTTTTTTTTTTTATTATTATTATTTATTATCTTTTTTTGTTGTTTAAAAGAAAAAGAAAGAAAGAAAAGAAATAAAAGAAAAAAAAAGGGAGACTATACAATTTTGGCGAAATGCGCATCAATATATTTATATATATATTGAAAAAAAAAAAAAAAAAAAAAAAAAAGGGGGGGAAAGCCAAAGAGGGGGAGTTTATATCAATAGGTGCATGTAAACAAAACTGCCAAATTTAACCAATCAACGATTGTTTATTGAGGAAGAGATTATTTATTTAAAAAAGCATGATTTATAGTAGATGCAATGTATGGGTGATAATATTAGAGGTCATTGCCACATCCTTCTTTCTTCTCTCGTACACCCTGCATTATAATTTTTTTTTTTTTTTTTTTTTTTTTTTTTTTTTTTTTTTTTTTTTGAAAAAGAACAATCCCGGAACTTGATCCGGTCGCCATTACCCCATCTTTGCCTAAAAAATAAATAAAAAAAAGTAGGTTATCACCACTTACCAAACATGACTACCTGGTAACCATGACCACGCATCATCTCGTAGCCATGGTAGTAACCACGTTATCATTTTATCCATCAAAAACTTAATTTCCCCTGACTGAAGTGGAGAGAGAAAGACATCCCTTCTCTCCTCCTCCCCCCACCCCTTTCTTTTTTTGTCTTAAAAAAAAAGCCCCTGTACTGCTTTCAAATTACTCTTACACCCTCCTCATTAAAAAGTTTTCTCCTCTCTCTCTCTCTCTCTCTCTCTCTCTTTCTTCTTTTTCTTCTTTTTCGTTTTTTTTCTTTACATAATTTTTGTGCTATTGGGTAAATATGGCGGAGATTAAAATCGATGGTTACCTACAAGTAAAAGAAGATGGTTTGAGGGCTTGGATATGGTCCAAGCGTTATGTTGTTCTGCGTGAACAAACCATTACTTTTCATCGAAATGAAGTAAAACTCTATTTTTTATATGTAATAAATTCTTAATCATTGCATCTAATGAAAAGGAATATGTGTAGCAAACCGGACAGTGCGTAGCGCTTGTCTTTTTAAAACATATTACTACCGTGACTCGTTCAGAGTTAAAAACGCATTGCTTCGAATTAGGCACGAAGCAAAAATCCTATTACATTGCTTGTCGTAATGATGAAGAACTTTATTCATGGATGGGCGAAATATACGATGTAATACCCCTCTCCCTTTGATGCTGGATTTATTTTACCGTAATAACACCTTTTTATTTAAACTTTCCCAGAGGTCTCCTTTAGGTGCTTCAGGTCCGACTAACTTTGTTCATAAAGTGCATGTAGGCTTTGACCCTATTACTGGAGCATTTACGGTATAGTCCCATTCATAAGTGAGTAAAAAAGAAAAAAACTAACTATTTGAATGATGATAGGGGCTACCGGATCAATGGAATGCATTATTAAAAGGCTCAAAAATCACACCTGAGGATGCAGCCAAGAACCCACAAGCTGTATTGGAGGCACTGGAATTTTATACAGAGCAAACAAGGAGAGAGAAAACCAACTATGATAATAAAACAGATGAAAAGAAAATGAAGCCAAGTCGGTCTACACCTTCACCTAGACACATCCGAGAGCCTCCTCCAAGGCCGCCTGTGGTGACAGAAGTGCCTTTACCTCCTGTAGATTTAAATTTGGTAAAGGGGATGGATAAAGATGTGCAACTAATGATGGAGAAACTTAAAATACAACAGGTATGATATATACGAGAGAGAGAGATAGAAAATATGTGTGTATGAAGTGATTGTATAGTAATAATTTTCGTTTAGACTAATGAGGCAGAAAGACTGAAATCAGAGGTTTAAATTATATATGATGATTTATTTATAACATGCCTAATCATTTTATTTATTTTTAATACATATAATAGCCTAAACAAACAGAACCTAATATACCTACGCCTTGTATTGTCAGTGGCTCACTTCCTAGAAAAATTACGGCCGCTAATAACAAAAGGTTACCTGATCGGATCGAACGTAGCACACGATTTGAAAGGGAAAAAGAAAGGCTCAAGGAGGCTGCAGCTGCATTAGATCGTGATTCAAAGAAAGACACCATACCCAATCCTCAACCACAAGTATCTACTCCTGTACCTTCATCCATAATTCATGAAAAGAAGTCAAAAAAAGATCAAAGAATAAGCACAATGTCTGAATCTCAAATCATGGAAAGATTAAGTAAGTTGTTTTTATCATTTGCATGATTTTTTTATCTTTTTAGTGTATTCACCGAATTAAATAGGAGCCGTGGTCACAAGTGGTGATCCTAATCTGTTATACAAGAGAACAAAACGTATTGGTCAAGGGTAAATAATAACAAATAAATATCAATTAAAAAAGTAATAATAATGACACAAAAACTTTTTTTTAGTGCGTCCGGTTCTGTTTATTTAGCAACTCACATTGCCACCAATGCCAAAGTGGCCGTCAAGCAAATGGACCTGGCCAAACAATCTCGACTCGATTTGATCGTGAATGAAATCATGATCATGAAGGAATCTCACCACGACAATATTGTCAATTTCTTGGACTCGTTTCTTGTGCGCGGTGATTTGTGGGTCGTCATGGAATACATGGAGGGAGGTGCTTTAACCGATGTCATTGAGAATAACAATTCCATGACCGAACAGCAAATCGCTACTGTTTGTTTCGAAACTGCAAAAGGATTGGACCATTTGCACTCACAAAATATCATTCACCGTGATATCAAGTCAGACAACGTTTTGTTGAATTTCCATGGCCAAGTCAAAATCAGTGATTTTGGTTATTGCGCTAAATTAACAGACCAGCGAAATAAGAGAGCGACCATGGTGGGAACACCTTACTGGGTAAGTTGACTATGCAGTATGTATTTCATTGTACTTTATTTTGTGTAATTGATATCATTGTCACTGGTAAAAATTTTAGATGGCACCTGAAATTGTAAAACAAAAGGAATATGGCGCGAAAGTAGATATTTGGTCATTGGGTATCATGGCGATTGAGATGATTGAGAATGAGCCACCTTATTTAGACGAGGAGCCGTTAAAGGCGCTTTATTTGATTGCAACCAATGGCACGCCTTCACTGAAAAATCCAGATAAGCTCTCCAGAGAACTCAAGAGCTATCTTGCTGTATGTCTCTGTGTAGATGTCAAGTCTCGCGCAACTGCTTCTGAGTTATTAGGCGTAAGTTAAAAATATCTTCATGAGAACAAAAAAAAAAAAAGAAAAAAAAAAGGAAAGAGAACACGTACACTTACTTTATTTTCTTATTAGCACGAGTTTCTTAATAAAGCAGGACCAGTAGATATCTTTTTGCCATCTCTATTAAAGTTTAAGAAGAAATAAATACTAGTTAGGCAAGAGCGCGGCTTTACCTTATTAATTCTCCATGCGTAAAAATGTGTCTGTAGTAAAAAGGGCGTTTTTTTTTATGTTTTTAAAGGGTATTTTATTTTTTTTAGTTTTTTTTGTAGTGATATAAAGAAAAAGAAGGGTATATATATATAAAATAAACAAACGATAGATAATAGTAATAAAAGGGAAAAGTACAGTTATGATACAAAAGTCGCCACAATTGCACGCGCACATCATCTAACGTTTAGTGGTGGTGGTGGCTGATCTCTTTCTCTTAGATGAATTAGAAGATTCTTGGCCACCATTTAACAAATCCTGTTGTAAAGCTTGAGAGCAAGTAGCATCTACTTTCCAGTGTCTTTTCAACGCATCGCTTCTAGCAAAGCTTCGATGGCAAAAGTTGCATCCGTGAGGTTTCAACCCACTGTGTTGAAGTTCGTGTCGCTTTAAGTCGTGAGGTCTTGCGAATTTCCAGTTACAGGGCTTGTAATTACAGCTATAAGGCCGCTCATGTGTATGCGTTCTCATGTGCGATTTAAGATTGTAAGGTCTTGTAAAGAATTTGTTACAGTTGGGTTCAGTGCATGGGAAAATATGATTGCTACTGTTCTTATTCAGGTGATGGTAATTGTTTGCTTGTTTAGATGGAAAATAATTGGTTCCTTGTTGTTGTTGTTGTTGTTGTTCGTATTTGACACGCTGTAATGAGGAGTAGTTTTCTTGTTGATGATATTGTTGATGGAATCCTGTAGCATCATTTCCAGTAGATGTAGTTCTCATGCTGGATGAAGCATACGGATAGTATCCGAATGAGGATTGAAAGGCGCTTTCAGCTGAAATGATGGGTGTCATATAGTATGAGGTAGAAGGATTGAGAGAATATGAGACTTCCATAGTATTAACACCTTGATAGAAATTTTGTTGATTATAGAAAGGGTGTGATAAAACCTTGTCTTGTTGTTGTGTTTCAGGTTGAATCAACAAAGGCATCAAAAGCTGCTGAGGATAAAGCGCCTGAGGAGTAACCAATGATGAGGTGTTGACAGTGGGTGCTGCGGAAGTGATACCACCATAGATAATTGTATCTTCAAATGTTTGACATTCCAATTCGGAAGTATCAGACACAGAAGATGAGCAAGCCGAAGAGCAATCTTCTCTAGAATAAACACGAGCGTCTAAGAAATCATTCTGATTTGAAAGAGGTGGAGAAAAGTAACAATCAGCGGTGTATGGAGACAGATCAGGTACTCTACCCATATACACATTATTTGATGATGTAGTATTATTACAATTCCAGTTATTCATGTTTGATTATTATAAGAGATAAGAAGCTAAAGAACAAGAAAGAAGCGGAGAAGAAGAAAAAACCTGTACCTTATATACGAAAAACACCTAGAATAAGAACAATTCTATAATAGGTAAGACGTTTTGTTACCGATATTTGTCTCTTGTAAAAAATCTAGCTCACAGGTATCTCTTTTAGGACTCATTTTGTCGGCAACTATAAAAGAATTAAGACGTTTTGAGGCTCACGTGTAATAAGAAATTCAAGATATTGTACCTACCGTGCTACCTTGGACTAAATTTAGCGATATTCGTAACATGGAGTTTTAGATATCGGCCTCCTCGTTTATTATTATTATTATTGGGCAAACGTAAAAATATTAACGTATCATTGATGCATGAATAGTCATAAAAAAAAAAAAAAAAAAAAAAAAAAAAAAAAATGGTATACCGATCCATGTGTATGCAAAGTTTTATGCTGCCTTTTTTTTCTTAGGATAAATATATAGACTTTTCCTACATGTTTGTGGCGTGTCTTGATGAAGATTATGACAAGATGCCTATGTCTCACATTTATATTTAGGGGTTTTATTATTTAGTCATTTTAGTCATTATAAAAATCCAGTATTCAGACACACAATAGGTTGTGACACACACTTGATGTATGATGTAGTTATTTCAATTAACGATAGTATCAAGAAGCAATTTACACAGATGACAAGCGAATAATGCGGCTGATGCCATAGTGAAGGCAGAAAGAACAAAAATTAAAGATCATTCTTTTCTTATTTTTTTTTTTTTTTTTTTTTGTATTATTTTAATGCGTTGCGACATAGTTTTTCTATACTAATTCTGAGGGGTGCAGAAAGATTTGAGAAGTTTTCTTCTTATTTTAACGTTCTAGACATGTAAAGTAAGATGTATTACGTATCACAATAATATTACAAACAACAAAACGTTTGTTTTCATCCCTTTGAATTTTTCTCTTTCTAGAAAACTTGTGAAAAAAAAGTCGCTTACATTTTTTTTACTTTGTTTTAGTCCATAATTCGGTGATTTGTACGGCACTGAGAAAAAGTAAAATAGATTTGTTAGAAGCTACGTTTTTGAACAAGTGAGGGTCCATGTACCCCGGTACTCGGACACAAGAGACTAAATAGACTTCGTTTGTTCTCTTCTATATTAAGTAGTGTTTTAAACCAGAACATATGTCGAATATCAGTTTCAATAGCATTGATGATATACAAATACTTTTCTTGTTAGTTACTGTTTTCTACCTTTTCTGATTAATTTACACGAGTTTCAGGAGGTGGATAACAAAAAATAAAAAGACCCGTTTGAGAAGAAGCTTCACCACCCCCTTTTGAGATCATCTACTGCTCCGTATAATTTAAACATTTTAAGGATTCTAACCATTAGAGATAGAGAGATCTTCATCACGGATAAAACTAATCCCTTGCCAAATCAAGCATTGCTGATGGTGACACAGGTCCTCTGACTGTTAACCATCAATCATCCGTTAAAAGACTAATATTTGTTTAGAAGAAGCTTGGTTGGCTGTATTCTTCTTTTTGGGACTTCTTTTTCTCTTTTTTTTTTTATGTTTATTTCACAAGATGGGTCATTTTTAATGGTACAAATTTGGCTTCAAAAAAAAAAAAAAAAAAAAAAAAAATTGCCGTTATTGAATAGAGCGAAATAAACATCTAAAAGCGGTATCTCACTTGTATTTACACGCATTTGAGGTATACCCGGTAAATGATAACGGATCTAAAAATACTTTTTATCTTTCCAAATCGATACAACATGGGAAGACAGAAAATTAACTATTAATTGGATCGACATGTTTAGATCCTTTATAGATTGCTTGATCTTGTTTAAATATACGAGCAAGATTTCGCATGGGCTCTCTCTCTCTCTTCCCCTCTTTTTTTTCACATTAAACTACAAGAATATGTCTCGTGGCTGATCACATAGAATGCATGGTGGGGTAATGTACAATGGGAAACGGCCACAGTTTCCTCATTGGGGTGATATAAAAATAGAGGCTTTTTTATTCTTTTTCATCGCGTGGCATAGCCTGTATTTTTATTGCAAGATCAATAGAATACATAGAACAGTGACGAAAAAAAAATTGCTGATATCTCAGCTTACAGACATATCCAAAAATAAAATAAAACATTATGCTAAGCAAATGGAGAGCTGCAGCTTTTATTATGATAAATAATACGCGTTTTAAATTTGGGTTTTTTCTGTATGTTTGGTCAACATAATTACAAGCTGAGCCCGCGTACACTCTGTGAAGCGACTAAATATTTTTTGAGACTTTACAAATACCTATTCATATTAACTACTATCATTACCAACAATAGGCAACGAATTTGTAATGTTTTTTTTGGAAATACTGTCAATTAAAAACCAATACAACGGCACCTTTATCATTGGCCCAATATTATTAGGCAAAATGAGTTCATAGTGTTACAATTCTTCTTCAACATGCGTAATAAGTAGTCAATATTGCTTCCTGTAATTATTGTTGTGTATCACCAAAATGGTTATTTTTAACATAGAGAGGATAAAAAAAAAGTGCTGCTGAGCCCTGGGTTTGTCTTGGCTGCAACTGAAACCAATTTAACCACAAATTACAATCATGGAAAGATAAACAATACGCCTTGTTTTTTTGTGGCTGCTATATTTGTTGTAGAATGGCTGAAATTCAGCCAAGAGTACCTCTAAAATTCTTTTGTCGTTAGAACAATAGGTACTTTAAAGCTCTTGTGCTACACTTCAGAAAACCCTAACCGCAGACAGATACCGGTATCTATGTGGTACAATTGTTTTCAAATATGGTTCTAAAAATATAACACATTTTTTTCTTGTAAACTACTGACTTATATTTGATCTTACAGTTTCTGTTAATGAGTCAAAAATAAACAAAAGTAGACAATGGAACAATTTAACATCTAAATGAAGCGAAAATGATCCACGTTTTATCTATTATTACTAAAACAATCTTATTGTTAGATCATCCCGATTGTTTTTTTATCTACCCCCGCAGCATCGATCATCAATAGAATTTTTGTACCAGGTAAAAATGTTGATGAGGGTAATTCACTAATATTGGTGCGACAGTAATAATAGAAAAGCATGACATCTTGTGAACGTGGTAAAAAGAATTGTAAAAGAATGGGTTGGAAATTTTTGTAGTATTATCTATCTATACACCCCTCCCCCTTTACAATCGCATTTTTTTTTATTTTGGCCACGATTTTTACTACATTAATTCTTGATAATAAAACTACTTTCCGCAAGAAACTATCGTAAATTCCAGGATCAATTGATTATCTTTTGACTGAAACCTTTCCTTAAGATAGGTCAAGTCCTTTAATGATTTTCCATTGGAGCTTCTCTTTTGTCTTATTTCTATGCAAAATACCTTAAAAAAGACAGAATTAACTTAACTTTAAAGATCTCATCAAGATTTTTGTTTTCACTTGTAGAAGATGGATACTGTGTAAAACTATCTTGTTTTTTTTGGCTCAGAAACATGACCATAAATATTTAGACATTTGACCAATAAACAGCCTAGTTACAGCACACACATTCCACATTTATCCCAGATGCCTACAAGACTATTAAATGTTACTGAATTAAAAACAACTTGCCAATGTGCAACTTATCTTTTCTCTTATATACAAAATTTACAGACTTTATTAACCTCCTAATCACTGGTACATCGAGTGCCTGCATCTACATCAAAAACGTCACACTTTCGAATTGTGGATGAGTTTTTAAATCGATAATCGTTATAAGAATACAGAAGTCCATTTCATCGATAATGATAATGCCAAAAAATTGATATTAAATCGAAAAAATGAGTGTCTTATTTACATCATTTGATAAGCTGGATCTAAATGTATACATCACTGTCAGACTTTCAAGTACTGATGGATTCATTTAAGTCGAAAAATACAAATTTTATTGATCAGACAGTGTTATGTGGAAGATTTTTTACCCTAATGTGTTATATGTATTTGATAAATATGCACAACTACCCCAGTTATTCTCAAAATTTGACAGATTGTCTATACCTCTACCGCCGATACTCTTTAAATTTTTCCAACAGCATCCACACAAGGCCATTGACAATATAAACGTTTTACAATTGAGCAAGACAAATTGATACTCTTGAGATAGAAACCCGGGAGCAGATAGCATAAATTTAGGGCTACTTGGTATCAGTTATTTCTAATTGATCTTGATCTAGGATAATTCTAGGCACACCGAAATCGGGCTTTAAAGCACATTTCTTACGTAATATATTCATTTTTGGTGCGCGAAAGTAGTGCACCGAGCTATTACATAATATTTTCATTTTATGTGCTGCGGAATAGGTACGTCAAGCGAAGCAGATTGTATTTATGTCTTACTTAAATACAATAAGGCCTTCTTAAATAAAAATTACGGGTCTTACCTTTAAATTCATTTGCAATTTTATAAGATTGACACGTATAATTAGTTTCACATAAATAAGGCTATTCCTTCATAGCATGCTTATGATAAAGATTAACAATTGGCAATAAACATTTTATTGTTCGGCTACTTTGTTTTCACCAAACTGCTATTAAGCTAAGAAGATGTCATTTATTTTTAGTGTTGATCCGACAGTAACGAATACCATGTTATGCTTTCTTCCATTCTCATCGGTATTGGAACGCGAATGCACCATAATAGCAAAAGTACTACTTACGATTCCAAAGATTTCGACCATTCGCAATTACTTTATTCTGTAACTTCAAACACGTCCATTTTTTATAGTAAAAGTAGGATTAAAATTTAAAGAAAGGAACTCCTTGAGCAAAGTACTGTTGCTTACAAAATATAGTACCGCATACCCAAAATGAATATATTACGTAATAGTTTTGTGCACTACACTCGCGCACCAAAAATGAATATATTACGTAATAAATATGTTGTAGGCCCGATTTCGGTGCCTAGAATTTCCCACTTAAAATAAGGGAAAAGGAGTCTCTCCTTTACTTAAATGGACACGTCCATCATACGGTATGCTCACTATAATTAAGGATCCGGTTTGCTATCTACTGGAATGCATTTAAACCTGGAAAGAAAAATAAAAATAAAAATAAAACACAATGTAAATTAAATATATTTATGAAACATGCATGTGGCTTAAGGGTCAAACCAAATTACAAATAAGCTTTTAACTGGTATTTAAAGCAATTAAGTATCATACGTATCGAAGGAGCTTTATAAAAAGTCTAAAAAATCGTTCTATAATCAAAAAGCGACAAATGATGAGACTCAATACAAAGTTGGCTTTATGTGCGACAATGAATGACATGGTATAAAGAAAAGCAGTATTTTGGCTCTGGCATGGTACATTAAATCTGCCATCAATTGTAATAGCACTGCTCAGTACAAAGATAACTTGGTGCTAAAAAGACTACAAAGAAGCAACGATACCTGTACTAATCTAGTTTATAAAAAAGCAATTTTGTCTAAAGCAATATCTGCCAGAAATAATTTAAGCCTTGATGCTAGGTACAGAAATGGTTACATTGAAAAGCTTAAAAAACTAAAGGGAAGACATGTTCTCTACCCATGTCATCCAGACATAAAACTCGTGTTGATAGTCAGTACTATACGAGTTTCAATTATGAATATGGTGCTCATAGAACTGAGAAGGATTGCACAATGGCTCTATAATGGTATAAGAAGTCGGCTACTGACGCCCAAACCGTCGTAGTCCTATTCTTTTTTAATAATATTAATGTAAGCTACTCAAAGAAGTCCCACGCAACCACTGACGTTATATACTTGTTCTGCCAGCCAAGGTAATTCTGAGACTCAGATAGACATTGGGTTGATGCATCTCAAAAGACTTGGCAGTGATAAGGAGCACAGAGAAGCAAAATATTGGATTGAAAAGCTAATGAAAATAATAATAGTACTTGAGCTTGGTGTTATATTGACACCATTTTCCATAAGGAACTTAGTGTTTAATATAATTTCGAAATCGCGTAAGAGATTACGTGAACAAGGAGGCGAAGAGTCGTAACCCGTTGGAGTTAGCTAAATCACAAGGACCAATGGAACTTATTATAAAGAGTTTTTCCCTGCAACGAACGAACGAGAAGAAAAACCAAGAAGCTTCTTACAAGTTGAAGAACACAATAAGAATTAGCAAAAGACAAAACTACAGAAGACGAAACTGTAGGTGATGAGACAGTTGAAGTAGGAGAAGCCAGGCAGAAGCATACAATGTTTCTATTTGTTTACTACTTTCGTCAAGCTTCAGCGCTTCAATTTCAATTTTAATAAAGTTATCCATTTTTTCTTGAACGACCACTCGTGTTCCTGGCCCAGTGAATGACTGCCATTAAACTTTTAAAGTTTTCCCGCATCCAAATACGGCTTTTAATTTTTATCTTTCTTTATTTTACAACGCAATTGACAACATGGAATTCCATGCCGACTTACCTGTAGAATACTTTAAAGGTAGAAAGTTCAACAATGCCTATGTGGCGCGAGCAAAAATGTAACAATTCATAGTTTTTACTACGATAATCGATCTTTTTTTACAATTCAATGAGCTCGTCAACATTGATATTCGCAACAATCAGGTATTTATACACAATAGCCCAAGGATCGTCTCGGCGTTAATCTTGTTTGATAGTTGATCATGTCTGCAATAAATCACTCCAGAACAGCACAGGCTCTTGTTCGGTTCTCGCCAAAGTTTTTTAAAAACTACAAATTGCTGCGAAAAGGTTCAGAGGAAACAGCAATTCGATGCACAGTAGTCAACCAGGTGAATGAATCTCGAGTTTTTTTTTAATCCTTTCTAACCACAACCAAAGAGTTTGAATAGTATCCTAAAGAAAAATATGGCTAATATAGCGTCAATAAATACGTGCCATTTATCCATAATTCAAGGTAGTGCAGGTGGCGAAGGACAAGCGACCTCCCAAATGGCTATGCAACTGAACTACACCAAAAATTTAAAAAAGACAAACACGTTTACATACACTGATGGTGACAGTATATCAGCACTCTACAGCGCTGATAACTTGCATCATTTTGTCATGAGTGCCGAACTTATCAAAGATTGTTTTTCTCGATTCGATCCAAGAGTCTCGGATATTTTGTTGAAATGCACTCCTCATAGTATCACTGTATCTACATACACTGACCCGAACAAAAGTAATTAGCATATGGCTTCAGTTAATTGCTCTTACTTATATTTAATAGATATCAGATCATCTAGATACGCTTACACAATCGATTCTGGTCGTTGCTCAGAATATTCGGTGATTGATGCTGTTAAAATCGTATGCAATTTAAAAGAATTTCACGCAGTTGTGGATTTTATGGATCATATGGACACACCAATACATGCAAGTTTTGAGGACGTAGGCAAGTAAGTATTTGTTTATTTTTCGGGGTAGGTCTAAATATTAAATGACGCTATTGCTAGGCCGATTTTGTTTACGTACAGGATTGAGTCGAAAGTGATGCTTGATGTGGCACTCATGTCACAGATGGATGAAACCGAAAATAATGAGAGCATCCCGACACAATCTGTACAAATACCAAACATCAGAGAGCCAGTCTCATCCCGACCATTTGGTCACTCCTATAATCCGACACAATCATCACAGCCATCAAGAGACCGACATAGGGATATAAGTAGTTTGACTACTGCTCCTCCAGAAACCCCTTATAACTCACTATCGGAATCACCTGAGCTACCTAGCAGACCAGATCCGCCAAGAACTGATATACATAATACGGTGTCCGTAGAATCAATGCCATCACTGGATTCATTACATCATCAGCCAAACGAGCAACGGACCACGCGACAAGTTGCAGAACCGGGATCTGCTTCTCAGAGACTTACAACTTTACAGATGCTACGAGAAAAAAAAAGACAATCCATGTATCAAGATACACAAATGGAGATGGGGAGTCCGATTTATGACCGTACCAGAAATACCACACCAGAATCAAGATCATCTCTTGATTTGGAAGATTCTGCACCTTATATTAAAGAAGAAGGCTCTTCTAGGATCAGTTATAGGCGCGGTAAAAAGGTATGTTATCATTTAAAATTTTGGTCTTCAGGATTTTATTTTATTTTAATGTGCGTGTAAACAGAGACCTTGTATCAATGAGGATAGCGATTGAAGCATCAGCAAATTCTGTTTTTGCTGGCGACTGCCGACTATATAAAAATTAATAAAATTTGCTCTTTTTTTTTTCTTTTTTTTCTCGTGTTGTGTGTCTTGACAGTTTATATAGCTTCGGATTTGAACTGATTACAATTATGTGCATATATGGTATGTATTATATTAAGTCGTATGTAAAAAATGTGGTAAGTAAAGGAGTGTGTTATTTGTGCGTAATCATGATGGTTTCTGGGCGGAGAAATATAAACTGCGAATGTACGTTTTATAATCTTCACATTCATCTAAAGCTCTTGTCATAACATGTGCATATTCTTTTTCCGACACATTATTGAATTTACATAACCAGCGTTTAGCTTCTCTGAGGCCGCGCTCGGTAAAATCCTTTTGTAAATAACCCGTTTCTTTTGATTCTAAGAATGTGACACATCAATAAGGTTATAGGATGTACAACGTGGCATCCGGATCACAAACCTTTGTCTTCTGGCCATTCTCCAAGCGGTAATTCCTTGTACTCATGTTGTATATTGATAAAGCCCGAATCTTTTAGAAGTGAACCTAATTGGTTGTTTGTGTTACGATCAAGTTTGATCGCCTCATAAAAGATATCCGCCCAACCTTCCAGAATGGAGAGATAAGGGCCCACTGATTTATAATTGGTGTCTACATGACTAATGTTAACAAGATAGCCCTTATCATTTCATACATGAAAATACTTTACCCTGTTCATAGATCTCAATGTATCCACCGGGCTTTAAAATGCGTAAGACTTCCTCAAATAAATTAGTCCATTTGCTCACTGGACAATTGACAAGCCAGACATCTCTCATGACAATATAATCTACTTGGTTATTTTCGATTACGTTCAAGCCTGTTTCTCCTTGATGAATCATGGCATTTTGAAAAGAGAAGTTCTTGACAGATGTGTTCAAACTAGCAACAGTAGCGGATTCATAATCTATGCCGATAACCTTTGAATTTGGAAACTCTATTGCTAGTTCAATATCCCAAGCAGCTTACGACAATAATTAGCTTATGATGTAATTACACTGAAATCATATTTACCGGTAGTACAGCACCAGTCAATAATGAGTGTAGGATCTACTAAAGGAATTCTGTAATTACTTCCCCAGATACGTTTTAATAAATAATGCTACAAAATGATAGTGAGATGTTGTTACACTTGAATGGTATAATTTAAGATACACTACCTGTCTGTGTCGCCTAATAACTCAATATTAATTTCATATTTTTATTTCAAAGCCCCCTTTGCTCGTTTCCCTTACCTGTCACGATCTTTAATCCTTTCAGGACTTGTTTCGCACAGCAGGTATAATTCCTTTAACATCATTTCACTTGAATAAGCACGTGCCATCTCATTTTCAGACATATGCGTGTTTAAAGTAGAATATGAGTTACTAGAAGTATGCATACTCTCGACCTGCGACGAGTTGTTACTTAAAAGTGTCATTTGGCTATCTGTGTATTTATCTATCGATGGTGCTTCAAAAGTGGGCTGTGACACAGCATGTAAACTATTTAACGTGGACTCCTCAAATGGTTGTTGGACAAGGCTCACAGACTTTTTATGTCTGTTGGTTGTCTTAAACCGGTTTATAATACCAGCTTTACTGCTGTTCAAAGACACAGTAGAGTTAAATGGCGTTAAGGTTGTTCGACATTTACTTGATTTTGTCCCCTGTTTTTCTCGGCTTGGATTGTTTCCCATTAATAAAAAGAAAAAAAGATAGAGAAAAAGGTGTAGATAAACAAAATACACTGAGGTCACATTTATTTCATGGTTTGACAGCAAAATATATTTAAACTGCGCCTAGTCTATTTTGTCTAATGTCTTCTCTGGTGCGGTCAAATCATCAGCAGATGGATGGCTTTTGACGTCATTGGATGGAGGGTCTGTAACTACCGTTAGCATGTAGGCAGCCGCGGCTTGAGCGATGCCGTAACCAAGGATACCAACAATTGGAAGTCTAATGATAATGTATGCAATGGCAGAGAAACCAAATAAAACATCCTTACGTCCACTAAACCAAGCTCTCTTTTCCCGATGACTCATGCGCATTCGAACAAAATAGGGAGCGAGTAATTCTCGCATCAATGATCTCATACCGATTAAAGCTCGAATCAGTTTCATGGTTGCCCAACGAGGTAAAAAGAAGAAGCAGATACCAACAGCGATACCTTGAGTTTTACCTAAGGCCATGTAAGAAGTGTAGGCACCTGGCATAATAAGTGTTAGAATTGCTGTTTTTTAACGAATTAACCTGTTTCTTACCAGCAAGAGGAAAAACGAATCGACCGACATATGGCAAAAACGATAAAATCAGTAACACCATACCAATTCGCACTTTTTTCCAACTTCTCCACATGTATTCCTTCATATCCACCCAGTAATTTCTCTTGAATTTTTGTTTGGCCAACACAGAAGCATAAGGTGCCCGATTAGGCTCAGTAGAATCCAGAAAACGTAAGGATTCCATAAATAAATCGTCCAAGGGCTTGGGATATATATAACGCATAAATAATAATGATAAAAGAGGAACTGAGGCGACCAGTTCACGAACAAAACGATTGGCTGACTCTAATGCATCATCCGCTTGTGAAGCCTTCGTACTTGAAGAAAACCACAGTACAAAACGCACCACATGAATAGGGATCGCAACTAGAAGGTTGGTTAATCCCAACAGAATGAACGAAACAATAGAAAGGTATATAAAGATCTTGAGAAAACGTTGTTTGCGAATATTCGGGTTTTGAAGCACAAGGGCAACGCCTTGCACAGCATAGACTGCACCTTCTTGCAGCCCTTTTATTGTCCACCTTGCCATTTAGAAAATAAAATAAAATTAAAAAGAAACACACGATTTTTCAAACACGGACTTCTTGGCAACCTTTTTAAGGACTGTGAAATATAATACACTTTTTTTTTTTCTGTGTTCTGTTTTTGATTTTAACAAGACCTAATACTTAAAAATGGACTTTACGTCTGCACCTTTCCAGGCACTTCTTGTTCAAAATGCAGCCGATGAACAGTTACTTGGATTCTTAAACCAGTTGGATGAACAGTATACGCATGCAGTTGACGAAAAAGTCCGATTTGGCAACTTACAGATCTTGTTGCCAATCCTCAAAGCTCATCTTGCTCGACTTGACGATCACGAAAAGGAAGAAGCTTGTCTTGAACAATTTGTAAAGCCTTGGATGATTACCAGTTTCTCTCAGGAATCCATGGTCGCTACCGAAAGTGTCACACTTTTAGAAAACACTGTATCCTATCTTGTAGGACGATCTCTTTTATTACATGCCAATAAGAAAGACAACACATTTGGCAAAGAAACTTTGTTGTTATTTATCACTCAATTGATTTCAGCCATGGAGGCCGAACCTGACTTTGTCGATCTTAAGCCATTGGATTTTATTGAATCGAGCATAGAGCAGCTGAATTGTCGTTCACAATGGGATCAAGTGCAGACAGCCATTACTGTCCAAGACACCGCCAGCCACATTTTACTTGATCTCGAGTGCTGCCTTGAAGTACTTACCCGTTTCGTACGTGACTTGAACGAAAATCAAGAACTTTTGTCTTTGAACGTTACAGAAACTGCTCAGACTGAAATTCGTCAATGGATGGAATTAATCTTTACTATCGCTGTAGCTATGATTCCTTGCACTAACGCCACTATCAGAAGCAAGTTGAGTCATGGATTATTACCCAACTTACTTCGTTGGCAGCAAAGCCCTACTCAGAATATTGAATTAAAAGATCAAGTTTATTGGTGTGAGGTAATATCTCTTTTCTTTTTAGCATAGTCCTTAGATTGGCGTTGACAGTCTTTTGTACAGATGGTTTGGAAACGCACACTACAAATGTTTGCACTTCCCGCAACCAACCTTTTAAGATTGGAAATTTATGGATTGATCGCTCGTTTCTTTGACTTTTATTTTGGGTTGAATGATGGCGCACCTGTCATCCGTAAAGATCTTCGATTTGATGCCAACTTTTTCAAAATTCTGCAGGTAATAGAAGGGAACCAGACAACAACGAAAAAAAAGGAGGGATTACAACTAACACACTTTTCAGAGTGGTCTTCAAAGTAATGATTCATTGGCTCGTAAATACTCGTCATATATTCTCAAGCGCATCATCGATTTCACCGAGAAAACCCCTTCGACCATTGCTGATAAATCAGATAGCGATTGGACACCTTATTTCAAATGGAACGCTGAATTATCAAACGAATATATCGAACATTGGGACGATTGGTTTTTATTATATGATATCATGCATGAAAATGTAATTCATCTGGTTGAGCCTGTCTTACCTCGATTCGAAACTTTATTGAACGCTAATGCACTTGATGCCTCCTGGTGGGTTTTATTAATGTATCGTGGATTTCAAAACGATACTTCGTCTGTTAAAAAGGGTCTTTTGGAATTTATCTTTTCACGAGAAGATCCTTCTATTTTAAACAAAATGGGAATTGAACAAGGGTTCATGTTTGGTGCTTTATTTAAGACTGTGGATTCAACTGCTTTATTTGCTGTGCCCACTCAAGGTACCCTAGTCAGTCCCTTTGGTGAGCATTTCAGAGAATTCATGCGTCGTTTGGTTCAAGCGTTTGAAAAAGAGCAAGATAAGATCAATTTCCTTCGCCAGTTAATTCATCATCTCTCTCATGTCGTTAGTAGCCATGCACCTATTCTGTATACAATGGAAGCTTTAGCTGAAGTGGATTATGTCGATGCATGGGGTCCCGAGGAACTCAAGTCTTTGAGAGTCTTGGTCGATCGTCATAGAAACTTTAAGTAAGGTCGCTAAAAATTGACCTTGTATTCTAACTAACGCACATTTTAGCATTCCTGCAACCAAGCAGTTTTTGCGTAAATTAGGTATTGCGGCTGTTGTAAAACTTAGTAATACCGCTACTCTTTCATTTTCTGATATCGCAAAGTAAGGGTTTTCGTATATATGTTGTTTGGCCATTGCATTAATCAAATTTCTTTTTTAAAATAACCAGGACAATCTCATCTCTTGTGAGCGAGTATCCCATCAAGACTAATTCCAAAGAATTTAAGTTGATCCGTTACTGGTTAGAAACCAGAATTTCCAAGGATAAGGTAAAATACATTTGCTCGTGTATGTAACAGTGCATTTACAATTTTCATAGTCTCTCGATAGCATTTTAGGTGCCTTGAAGGATCGTATCAAAACTTATGTTTGCGATTTGAAGTCTGAAGGTAAAAAGATGGAGTTTCTTTGAATCTAGGAATGAAAATACTCATATAATATCTAGATATTCCTGAGGCTGTTTTACGTACACAAGCCAACGTACTTGCTCGCACATCTATATTTGTTGTATCCAGCATGGAAGGTGAATTGAACACCGACGATGTATTAGATCTTCTCTCCGTTTTTATTGCTCGCCTCAAAGATTCGTCCTGGTAAATTAAAATACGAAAAGGCCGAAAAAAACGTATTTATTAATGCAATCTTAGTGATGAAGTTACTTTTGCTAGAATTTTGACTCTATTCAATGCATTATGGGAAAACTTTGGCATTTGTTTTGAAACAAAGTGTAGCTTTACCAAGGTGATTGGATTAACTGATGAGAATATGTTGAACATCCTGACTAGAATCGGTCAAAAATACCTTAACAAAGTAGAAGAAAACGTCGTCGGTAAATTTATACTCGTTTAAAAGTGATATTTCAATATGGCTGATGCTTTTTTTTTTTTTTTTTTTTTTTTTTTTTTTTTTTTTTGTTGGTAGATGATGATTTAGCTGAATTATACTTATCTTTGACTCGACGTATTTTATCAAGTGAAAATGCGCTTGCACCAGAGACAAGAAAGACGACTGTTAAATCCCTTTTCGATCATTGTGTAGAATTATTGAAATATCGCTCGCCTTGTAAGTATTCGGCTTCAATCGTAATTTTTTTTTGAATATTAACTTGTTGTGTAGCTGTTGATGCTAACAAAGAAATGTCCAAACCAAATTATATTCGTTTGTTGAATATTGTCTATGCATCTGCTATTGAGCACTCCTATTTTACATTGGGTTGTGATTCCCCTATTGTTAAATTGGTGTATGGTCTTCCAATGAAGCGTACTCAAGAAGCATTACGTGAAAGGTAAGTAAGAACGAACAAATATTGTTTTTTCGTATCTAATCCTTTTAAAAGATCTTGGGGTGATTGTTTGTCATCGTTTATTCGTGTGAAGTGGGAATGTATTGAAAACATTGTTCGTTACGCATCTATCGTAAAGAAGAACAACATCGAGAAAGAGTTCTTTGATCCTATTGAACTTTTCGAAGAGGCGGTTGAACAGCTTGAAAATGGATCTGAAATGTGTGGCGAAGCTCTGATCAGAAGTTTCGGACCTATTCTTGCTTTCCCTTGGGATAAAACTCCAGAGATGATTGAGCGTTGTGTGGATTATGCAATTGCGTTGATGATGGAAAATATTGCTCAGTCGAGAACTTTCCCCCTTCTTATTAAGGCTTTTGTTGATGTGATTTTCCAACCCGAGCTTTTGTGTATTCCTGAACTTAATGAAGATAATGGACCCATGAAAAAGGCTTTACACATGGTACTTCAAACAGGCGATCTCAAACCTTTTGTTGTTGCCCAGACATCCAAACTTCTTCACAACTTCTGGTCTACCTTTAGTGAGGATGCCAATAAATCCATGGTCCAATATGCACCCGAGATTGCCAAACTATTGGTATTTGGACCTCTTCGTGATCGTGGTGATCAAAAATTAGAAGCAGCGATCGCAGCTAAACTCGCTACTCCTACTGAAATTTTAGAAGCAGAAGGGTAAAGCTTTTTATCAAACTATTTAACAGTATATCTTATATTCTCCTAATTAATATATAGAACTGCCGAGACTGTCTTTAGCCAAAATGATTATCTTGTACGTGTCGATATGAATGATCTCTTATTAAGACTTGACGTCAACAACAAGGATCATAAGCTTTTTGCAAATATCTTGCTGGAAAATTTCTTCCGTATCATCAACGAAGACATATTGTTTGAATTTATGTACACATCTACAATGGAGCATCGATTAAAGGTAACATTTAAATTACTAGGAGATGAAAAAAACATACGGCTAATTTTTTTTTTTTTTAATAGTTACGAATTTGTTGTTCGACCATTCTTATCATCGATCTTGCAGACGAAAGTAAATTAGACGACTATATGAAGGTTATATTTGAGGTGATGAGAAAGGAAACTGTGACATCTGTACGTTGTTATTTAGAATGGGCCATGGTAAGGATTTTGTGTCGTTTCCCTCAACGTTTACCAGCCCTCTACGAAAAGCTTGGTGATGCTAATCATAAGCCCAACTTTGTCATTTCCTTATTGACCCTCACATTCACTCTTTGTGACAATTTACCTCAAGATCATATCGAGGGCTATTTTAAAGAGATTTTTGTTTGCCTGATTCCTTGGTTGATTACCAACCATTTCACCATTCGTTTATTCTCTTATTGTGCCTGGCAACGTAACTGGAAGAGCTGCATCCAGCATGGTTATGGAAAGCAATTAGAGGAGAACAGATATCTTCAATCCATCGGTCGTTTTATGGAAACATATGTGGACTGTATCAAGTTTTACGATAAGATCCAAACTCAATTCTATATGACAAAATTCGATCCTATTCAAGATTTCAACATCGAGTTCATTTTCCGTCAAATGATGACTGAATTTGGAGTGATTGAAAATGAGAGAATTGGATCCGTAAGTTGTGACACATGACGTAAAATGAATTACGTGTCACTAACACTTTATATTAGAAAGCGTTTTTGAGAGTGAATCCCCATGCTGTCGAAAGATGTCCCTTTGAAAACCCAAAGAGAAAGGAGCTGTACACATCCGCCGATCCGTCTGAAATGATTGGCATAGAGGAGGAGATTGAATTAGCAGAGGCCAGCAGTACAAGTTCGAACAATGGTTTGGAAGAAGTAATCCAAAAGAAGATTATGCCTTGGGAGATGATGTTGGAAACAGATATGGACCTTACCAAGAACCTTGTACAGAAGAATCGTCGTCGTAATGATCTTATTGTTGTAGCCAGTCTTATTGACAGATTGCCTAATTTGGCCGGTTTATGTCGTACTTGTGAAATCTTCAATGCCTCTACTCTAGTGGTGCCAACTTTAAAGATTAAGGACGACCTTGGATTTACCACAATTAGTGTTTCATCAGAAAAGTGGATGCCCATGATTGAGGTAGTCGAAAATGATGTGGCCAAATATTTGCAGGAAAAGAAGGAACAAGGCTATACTTTATGCGGTTTAGAGCAAACCACGACAAGTGCTACTTTGGGTGACTATGAATTCCCTGAAAAATGTGTTTTGTTATTGGGTAAAGAGCGTCAAGGTGTTCCTGCCGATCTTTTGCAAATGTTGGATGTAACCATTGAGATTCCTCAGTATGGTATTACCCGTTCCTTGAATGTCCATGTCAGTGGTGCTATTTGTATTTATGAATACACAAAGCAAATGCATTGGAGACAACAGGCTGCTATTACCCAATAAGATTGTATATATTTTATGTATCCCCCTTTTTTTTCTTAGCTACTATCTCTTGTTATTATAATAAATAATTTATTAACTTCAGTCTATTTGCCATTGATATTGTACCATAATCCATCAAAAAGTTTGCTATCCATAAATGTACCCTTTCTATCCAACATGTAAGCCATCTTTTCTCCCTTGGCACCCAAAAAGATATGCGATGAATTTGCCTTGGTTCCAACAACATCAGTCCCATTCTTTCCGACGCCAGTAAATACCTTTTGTTTACAGTATAATTGATCAATGGGATATTCCTTAAATTGGTGTGATTTTATCAAACGAGCGTGAGTGACGAGTTTCACGGTTTGAGCACCCTTTAACAAAATCAGCTTGTCAATATATCTATAATTGAGATTAGTATGAACACAAATAAATCCTTGTAAAAAAAAGCAATTACCTCCAGGGATAAAGACACATTAGTGTGGCGACTGCAACACCAACAGATATGAGACCACTGGCAATGGCGATACGTTGAGTTTTGGGTGCAAGCACGACAGCTTCATTTTCTCCTTCTCTAATATGACTGTGAGTTTAAGGAAACTATTTAACGTGCGCACATATGAGTGTATATGATTTACCCTTCGGTGGTTGTATATGCAACATAGGCTAAGCTAGCAAGATTTCCCCTGTAAAAATCGAGAGTTAATAAAGTTTGACAGGTAGATAGCACGGTTTGCTCATTACCAAAACATGAGTTGAACACCAGCAGAAATGTACAGCCACATGAATGTTCTGCCAACACCAGAAGGTGCTTGATAGAATACAACGTCTTTTTGATCTAATGCTTGCTTTAATTGTTTGCTCGTGAATTGGATCGACTTTTTATCGAACGCTGACTTTAATGAGTTTTGAGTGCCATAACATGCGCGTTGTTGAATCCCATGGAAGCGATTAAGAACTAGTAAGGAGGTTTAATAAACGTTGGAGTGAATAATTAAAGACTTACATTGAATAGGTTGACGGCGAAATAATGATGCCTTTAAAGTTGAAAGGAGAGCCATGTTGTAAACAAAAAGTAAAAAACAAAAAAAACAAAAAAAGTAATTGCCGTTAATTTTTTAAAACTTCGGGTTACAGTGACTTTTGAATTAGCTGAAAACAGTTTTTCTAAAACTAGTTGAGGGCAGTCAATGATGGTAAACAGACAGCGCTGTATCATACACGGGCAGTTTACATATTTCAGATGAATAAGCCCTTTTATTATAATTTCTTGTAGTTGCATTGATGAATTATATCGAAAGTAAAACCGGTAAGGTACAATTGGACAAAGACACCACAAGCAATAAAAAAAAAAGTACAGAATGACACAGATTTTGGTTCGCTTCACAGTCGCTTACGCTGTAAAAACAGCTGGTAAAAAACAGTAAACAGAGCAAATAGTTTGAATGTTGATCTATACATAAGGGAAAAAAGAGTTATCGATACCGTTTCGTGTTGCTAGCTACTTTTTGACGATGATGCTGTCGTCCGGCCAAAACAAAAGAGGTTTATGTTAGATATTAGTGCTCAAAATTCTTTTTTATCTTTGAGATCTTACTATATTTAACAATGGAAATGTTAACCGAGATATGCGTCCGATTCCGTGACAATGCGTTTTATTCGAGTGATGAGTGTTCATTGTTCTAGTCAGAACATAAATCGGCTTTACCGGAATAAAATAGGTTTAAGCACGTGTGTACAAAAACGCAGTACAGAGACCAGTTTTGATATGAATTCAAATCACACACGCAAGATGTATGATGAGTCATTGAAACCTCATCAGGTGAACAGAAACACCTGGTAAGAAGATTTATATTTTATTTAAAAGTACCATCTAAATTATAAAAGAACAATAATAATAAAAAGCCATATCTAGACGAGATCATGATTGATTTCGTATTTTTGGTTTTTGGTAAATTTACCAAGTTTCCATGCCACCCAATCACGTAATAAATGAACGGAAACCATGAAAAAAAAGAAAACAATGACCAAGGTAGCAACCAGGAAATACCAAATGGCTGCTGAAGGCCCTTGATCCCAACTGAGAAACGGATACACCCAAGTGTGGTCACTGGATAAGTTATATTTAAGTACAATAAAACCATATCATTGCGTCAAAGATTCTTACCGAGCGTAAATGATAAATGCCAACAGCATATAAGAAATAAGCGTAAAAAATACGGGCAGTACTAAACGAATAGGTATGGTCATGGTATTTAAGAGCACGTCTATGAACATGAGAAAAAACGAGGCTCCGTGTACAGATACGTTCAACCATTCTACGACCAAACTATCTATATTGGGAATTATTGTAAGCTTGGTCCACTTATTTTTGTAATACTTTGTGCTTACTCGTAGATTGGTCCGCATTTAAAATGGACCAGAAAACAACAGGAGTTAAAACGCTATAAAATAGTAAATAAATAAAAGAGCAAATCATCTCTCTTTCTTTTCTTTTTTTTCTTTTACTTGAACGTCATCACCGTGGTATATAGATAGAGATAAAGATAATTGAGCACAGTGGGTTGGTTTAAAAGAAAGTTGACATTTTTGTATCTCAGGTAACGAAAATGATACACGCAAGCAGTCTAATATAGATATTAATACGATGCGATTATTGCCGGGAGAGCCGAATGCTCAGATATGAAACTTACGACGAGATAAGCATGGAGACCGATAAATGTCAAAGTTGTGAAGGCCGCAAAGAAGCCACCAAATCTACCTAGATCAATCATGACAACGAAGTAGGCCCAAAATGTGATGGTCGAATATAAAGTTAGGATTATTCGAACCATAAAAAAGGTTCTACACGACATCCAGTGTGAATTAAAAGCTTGCTCGGGAATAAATTGATCGAAACCGAACCATCGTATGATGGAGTAATTTGAAGGTGATAAAGATTCCATTTTGTTGGGTTTTCTGTTTTAATATTTCTGTAGCTATGCGAAAAAAAATATATATTATATATATAGAAAAGAAAAAGACAATTTTTCAATTTGGTTTCTAAATATGATGATTTATTTAATTTCTTTGGTTAAGATTGCTACGGCATTGATAAGTTTAAGATGAAATTATTTTTTTACAACATATAAATAAAGAGCGATTCCTGTCCCGCATCTTTTATATCTGCTTAAATATTAATATATATATATATATATGTATCTATCTATTTTAAGAGATGCATCATTGTTCATGACACAATGAATCGTCATTCATCCTTTGGGGTTTTTTTCTCTTTGCAGGATAAATAGAGATTGTCCCAAAATAAAGGAGTACAAAGAAGTACTTTTATCTTAAACAGGGAACAGGTTTTTTGATCATAACAACACAGATATCATCTATACGATGTAAGCATTATCTGTTTCTAATTTTTTTTTTTAAAAAAAAAAGAAAGGATAGTATGCATTGAGTTAGAAGTTGTATTAAATGATCAATAATTTGGCATTTATATGTACCACGGAAAAAATTAGTTACCAATCTAAAAAATGTTTTTCATATTGCAGCGATCGTATCCGCACATAATTTAGAAGATTAAGAGCCAGATTCATCACATGAAACTAGACGAAGCTCATGAGACCCTTTGTACTCCTTTTTTCTTGATTTAACATTTACCAATTATCCATTATTTATTTCTGAAGTGCTTAAATTTAAAAAAGCGCAGGAAAAATCAGAATTTTTATGTATTTCAATAGTAAGAACAATGTCGATGAAAAGAAAAAATCGGATAACTACTTTCATTAACAAAAAATAAAAGACTAGATAACGTCAGGATGATTCGATTTCTTCTGTATTTAGTAAAGCATTCCTTCCTTTTTCTTTCTCTTGGTCGGACCACGGTGTTCCTTCACAAGGCCAGCTTAATTGTTGCGGGAGGCCTACACAAGAATCTTGAATACACTGTCAAAAATTCGTGCATAGTTAGCTCCAGAAAAAAATACTGCAATTGCCAGTCTTGATAAAAAAACTGTAATAAACGAATCTAATTCATGTATCAAATTTCATTATTTCTTTACAATCCGACTAAAAAATGGTTTTTTTAATTGAAGAGCCAGCTTGGTTCTTTCTTCATCAAATGGATGGTATTTTGAGACAGAATAGGGTCTTTCAAACTCTGGTTTTGTTGCTGATCTGCCATGAGGCTAATCCTCCTTGTTGCTTGCATCTGCACGTTGTTCGATTGTTGCAAAGATATTCTCCGCTGTTCGATTTTCATCTTTAGTGCGAGAAAGCCTTGATTCCAGATGTAAATTTGTGACTTGGCCTCGAAATAAACATTTTGAAGTTGATTCAGTTTTACTTAGATATAACTATTTGGTTTCTTCTTCGTTATTTAAAAAGTCTGCTTCCAATTGTTTAGTAGATACCTGCGGCAAAAAAAAACAATTGAGTTTCATAAATAATAAAGAGATAAATATCGTGAACTTACATCATTGCTCTGGAGAGCTTTTTGGTTGGCTACCTCTGAAGCTTTAGCTTCTTGTGATTTTTGTTGCATGATATCCATGATAACTTGTACTTCAATAGAAAAATAAGTCGTTTTCTTGAAAACAGCTTGGTCTGATATAATCTTTTCAGCTTTTATGACCCTTAACTGTTTCTTTGCTATACACAAATTTCGTTCAAGAGAGTTAATTTTTTTTTGCTTGACCTTTCTTTTTTGAGCCAAGAGACGTGATCTTGTCTTTATGGAGATATCTATTTAAAACGCGTTAAAACTCTACGTTGTCTGTTTTTTATATTATATATATATATATATATTATATTTTTACATACTTACAGTTCTTTAAGGTTGCTTTGTAGTTTATTAAGTTGTCGAAGTTAAGCATTTTTCCTTATTGCTCTTACGTGCTGTAATTTTTAGCTATTACGTGGACGTCTTCATCATAACCTACGCCGAAAGAAGTAAATTATCACTAAACGAAACAAAAAATTTATAGAATGTTGAAGGCATTAACAGAGTGAAGAACTGGTTACCTCTGGGGTTTACGTGTTGTTGGGGCAATCTCAACCTTCCAGAAAATTCGTATCGTATGAATAAACTTTTGTATGCATCTCAGGATGAGTCAGTTTGATTTTGCATCGATTCTGGAGAAATAGCATTGATTCATAATTCACCAGGTAGAATCGTCACATTTAATATTTTATCTTATATGGGTTTTGAGTAACAACTTTTTTTTTTTTTTTTTTTTTTTTTTTTTTTTTTTTTTTTTTTTTTTTTTTTTTTTTTTTTTTTACATATGAAACTGATTTCTGAAATCAATTTTATCAATCCCTAACAGGTAATTTTATTTGCGCAGGAAAAATCTTAAATACAAAAGGACCTATATTTTTATCAGGACAAACTCTCCATTGTTTGAAGATTTTGTGTCACGGTTACCGTTAAAGATGCGTACTTGATTTCAAGTGTGATTGGGAGTTAAAGCACAATAGTTAACTTATTGATCATTTATCAAATATTTTTTCTAATAAAAGTATGTATATAGCAGGCGATATATACATATTTATATTTAAGAGCATGTCAGGTCTATAAGAGCATGTCAATTTCTATAAGAGAATGACAAATCTATAAGAGCATGTCAGGTTTATAAGAGCATGTCAAATTTATAAGAGCAGATCAGGTTTTATAAGAGCTTGTCAGATTCAATAAGAGCTTGTCAATTTTTTTATCTAGTGTCCCTATCGGAGGAATAGTTTATTATATTACATGCAGACTTCATATATTTATACTGCTGTAACATGAAAATGGATATCATAATGTAGAAAAATGTGTAAAAATATACTTTATTTTAGATTATACAGGTCTCTTAAACGCGTTGATAACAGTACGCCATTTAAAAAAAATGGCTGAAAGCAGTTCAAACAATCCTACAACAATAATAATCGGGGAATAGATAATGTACCAAAACACTTGACGAATTTTTTCGAGCCATATGATGCGTGTTTGGCGCTTAAAGATCACGCGCGCAATCCAGGCCACGGTACCAAAGATCAAATCTGTAGCTACACTTGGAATGAATGCATTGATCACCGGGTTTGCCTTCAAACAACGATTGATCACCCAGTCTCGTTTCACGGTATCTATGCGGCTATTGATATCCAAAATTGTGCTCAAGAACGAAGCTGTCAAAAGTGAGCCAAGTATGACAACTGTCAAAAATAGATAAGCAACCAATAAAACGCCGGCAACTACACTTTGATATGAAATTGTATCACCGATTTGAGGAGCACTATGAAACGCATTAGGAAAAAATAATAATAAAGCAGATTTTCATTCAAAAAACAAAACAAAAAACTTACTGAAGTGCACCAAGTAGTAAATAGCGCAACATAGTGAATGGTGAGATGTCATCAAACTGCAATGCAGCAAGAGCGACCCAAAATCCAAAAATGATAAAAGCTCCAAGTGAGAATACCCAAAGACTGTTAATAAGGCATTGATGCAAGATATAATTGGTTTTGGCAAGGCTCCAGTTAAGATCAGAAGCAGTTGAGAACAAACGGAAAAACATGAGTGGTGTAGCGACAACAACCAAAGCTAAGGACACTGTCAAGAAGTAAGCTTCCACCTCGATTTGAGAAATCACAAGTAGAGCAAAGAAACGAACGATAAACGCAATAGATAAAAGCGAGGCTGTGATAATCGAAATATAAGACGATATCTTTCGAAGGTATGTAAAGGGCTGTGTAAATAGCTTGTAAAATTCCAAAAGAACATCGGAAATAACAAGGACATAGTATACATATTCGTAAGCAAAAGGGTTATCCGATGTGTAATCTTGATTGGTCACGGTAGCCAAATGGAAGCAGAGGTAAACCAAAGCCGTAAAAAATCCGAGCATTGTTTGGTAACGGACACTTGGCCAACGAGCAAGAAAATCAACAAATGTGTGACTGATAACGTACCATGCAAAGTTCTTCGGCTCTGGTGGTTTTGTACCATCTTGTGATTTTAACCAAATATGACTGGGATGGTTCGGGTCTTGACGCCAATTTGGACCTGATTGCCAAAGATCCTATTACAAATTATTTCTTTAAAAAATAAAATTCTTTCTGAAACCATTTTTTTTCTAAATATTACCTCGATTACAAGTTGAACCCGAGAATCCGAAAGAATCAATTGACTGTTATTCTCAACGGCCCATTCCAAAGCTTATGTACGATTAAGTAAAAAGAAAAAAAGAAACAGCGTCTGTGTATATACATTACCTGACTTTCCATGCATCCATTTATTTGTTAGCATCTCATATAACACAACATGAGATGCAGAAGTATCTTGCACCTTTAAGCCAAGATTCAAAGTTGAAAGAGCAAGTGATTGCAAGGAGACATCTGTTTCAGTAGAAAGAGCGGATGATTGCCGACGTTCGTGTAACAATGCCAAAACGGCACAGACAGATGCATTTTTGGCCACATCATATACGCTTTGAGCAGAAGAAGGAATCGCCTTAAACTCTTGTTTTTTTCTTTGCTGTACAATTCCAATTCCGTTACCGTTGCTTTGTACAGTTTCCACTACAGTTGTAGTAATGGGGCTGGTTGGGCTAGGAGCGGGAAGTAAACTTGCAGACGAACTATTATTACTTCCAGTGGACCAACCATGTTTCTCCTTCCATTTGTCAGTGGCAAAACGTAACGCATCTACTGCATAATCACGCTTTCTTAAAGCCTTTTTTCCGCTCTCCGTCTTCTTTTTGCTTCCATCAATAGACCATTCACTCAATTTTTTCTTCAATGTAAATCGGACGCTACCAGAGTCACTATCACTATCACTATCACTATCACTACTGTCGCTACTGCTTGAAGGATATTGAACAGGAACTGGCGTAGGCTGTTCTTTTTTCTGTTGCTCTTGTTGCTGTTGCTGGTTCAAATATTGTTGCTGTTGTTGTCTAGCCAATTGTTTCTTTTCTTCTACAATAGCGCGTGCCTGCTGATTCTTTTTTATTTCAGTAAAGACAAGAATATCTTGGATTTTTTCAGTGAGCTGTTGTGTGGGGATGGTGGGCTGCCCAGCGGTAACAATACTGTGATAATAACGCGACGTGGTAACAGACAAACCACCTCCGTTATAGAGATAGCTAGAAGTTTCTTGTGGGTCAAGAGAGGGAGTCATAGTGATTACCGTTTGCTTTGTCTTAGCTTCACGATTACTATAATTTGCCGTGGAGGTATCCAAAAGCCTAGTATTTTCTGTGTTAGCATTGCTGCTACTTGGAACAGGCGACGAAGGTATATTATCGGACATAACAAAATGAAGGAAAGAGAAAAAAAAAAGGTTTTAGAAACACAAGAACTATTTTATGTGAATACAAAACTTTAAAATGTGGTGCAACCATAAATTGGCGTTTTTGTTTTTAATTTTTCGGGTTTATTTGTTTTCATCAAAAATGGTATAGTCTGTACAGAAATAAAATTCTAAAATATTCAAGGTTGTGATGAAAGAAGTAATTAGGGATAAGATATATGTAGTATTAGAAGATTGTGCAATATGAATATGTTTTTAAAAATGAATATATGAAAAGTTGAGTTGAGGTTTTTTTTTTCTTTACATGTTTGAAATGAGTGAGCCTGTCATTTTCCATTTCAAACAGATACATATGAGGGACCCGAAAAGATAGACAGCACCAGAAAACATTTGGACACCAATATATCCTCCACCTGGCGTGGCTTGTTGAATAGCGGAAGCAATTGGTGGACCTGTACCTGAAATAGCACTAGCAATAAACAAAATGGAAAGACCTCCAGAAATGTTATCAGGTCCAACAACAGCAGCTGTGATAGGTGGTGCAAGTGCATAATAGATACCACAAGTAAAACCAAACAAGACTGCAAAGGCCATCATTGTTTCATAAGTTTTAGCAAACGGCCAGAGCAACATACAGAAGAGCCCTGCCAAAGTGGATGCGATCATAAACATGTTTAAGCGACCAATACGATCAGCATAATAACCTAAAATGAGACGTCCAATAGCATTCATAGCGCAAGCAACACCTACGATATTGGAAGATTGAATAGCACTGATGCCATGGGCTGCACAATATTCTATAAAAGGAAAAAAGAGTCAGTAACAAAATCAAATCAATTGTTCAGCCAATGAACTTACTAGGCATGTAAAACAAAGGGATTAAATAACCGGTTAAAGCAATAACAACACCAAATAACATGATGACAAAGTTGGCATCTTTTAACAAAGAAAGCTTGAAAGGAGAACGAGCGCGTTGGTTGACGTGTCCAGGGGGAAGACGAGTACGAATCAAACAAGATGCAATCATACAAATGCCAAATGCCATAAGACCGACAATTCGGTAAGTCCAGGCAAGGCCGTATTTTTCGACTAAAGAGCTGACCATTGGACTCAAAGCCAGACCACCAAATCCAGAGCCAGCCGAGCTAATACCCATGGCTGTACCACGGCGGGTGGTAAACCATTGAGGAATTACAGCTACGATTGACATATACACCAAAGAAGATCCGAAGCCAAAAAGAACACCCTGAGACAAGTAAAGATGCCATACTTCAGTACTGAATCCAGCCAAGATAATACCGAGTGACATGAGGGTACTGCCTAGCATCATCGTTCCTCGTGCGCCCAGAAATCCTAACATAGGGCCGACAGGGGTGAAAATATTTAAGCATACAATAAGAGTTGCACCAACACCCATAAGTTCGATGGTGGTAGACTTGTCTTTAAGGATTGTCGTTGCGAAAGCATTGGAGAACACGCCTATTAAAAAATAAAAAGGTTAAATGGTGGTTTGTTTACCCGGGGAGTTATAATAATTTACCCCAAATTGACGCAGTTCCAAACATAATAAAGTTAATCAAGAATCCAACAATAGCAACAACCCTGGATCAACAAATTAATAAAATGAAAACATTCAGATCAGAAAATTGTATAATTACCATCCATAACCACCGTTTGGAATACCTTTATAGAATGCATTGTGCTCATCAGGTAACTCAATCATACTTGCCATGGTGACATCTAAGAGAAGGTAAATGATTAATAAACAGAGATATCAGATCAAACCTAAAGGACAAAATATTTTACTTGTTTTAATGATTTCCACATTTTCTAAACCTCCATGTTCAGGATCATATTTTTCAGTTTTTGTTGTTCCAATTTTTTCTAATTCGTGGTGGATATTATTGTTTGCGATCAAAGTCAAATCATTTGCTTCGTCATAGGTTGTAGTAGATGATGGTGATTTTTCGACATTCTCTGTAAATAACTCGTTTGGAAACGGGTTTGGTTTGTCCATAATGAGAAGAATAAGAAAAAGATATTTAAGTGAAGAGAAACAGCTATTTTTTTTATCGAACAATAGTGTCGCCCTTTTATACATCAGATCCCCCAAATCCGCCTTAATCTTTTTAGACACGAATAGATTATTTAACCGACAGATGCACTTACTGACCTTTAAAAACAAACAAAAGGGTCGTATTTAAAGTCGAATCAACTAGTCTAAGAGATATAACGATAAGAAACATACTGCGCTTTTGTTTACGAAGATTATTTCATTTAGCTGTTTCTATCATAGTTTATACGGAATGAATTTCTGATGGGGGTATTTTTTTGAAGTGTTAATTAAAGCCCAGAGGTTGCTCGAAATCAACAATTGAAATGATTCATCCAGGGGAGACAAGAAAGGGCGATTCTCGGGTTGATGATTAATGGATGAGAATTAATAATACAACAAACTAGTGTCTAACCCTTACATGTGCCTTTGGTACACAAGAATTTATAATCAGTACGAGAAACTCTACCATTCCTTTTCTTTTTCTTTAGGATAAATCGCTACTTGATCCATCATCTTGTTTCCCCATCATTTAACCAAAAAAACCGCATTTTTTATTGCGTACATTAAACCTTAAACCACCTAAGTTTTTGGTAAGACATATTTTTTCTGTCACAATGGTAGTACACAACCTTGTGGCAAAACTTAAAGGCGAAATATTCGCGTTTGCTGACAGTGGTGAAGTGTAACACAAGTGTCGGCCCGATTTATTTATTTCGATCTATGGAAGATTTAGTCAATGATTAGCAACGTTGGGTCATACGTTATGAAAATCATTTTTTATTTGTGAAGTTAATTGGATAACAAATGAACAGATATGCTGTACAATATGTTCATATGCCAAAAAAAGTAAACATAAACAATGTTTAAAAGCATAACAAACTACATACTCTGAGATCAAAGCTACTTTAAAAAAAATAACCCGTGAAAACATTTCCCCATCAAAAGTTCTTGGCCAGTTAAATTTTTTCTTCTTTTGGACACTTTTTAGTAAACGCCACTGGGGCGAAGTAAAAAGCGGAAAATCAACTTACAATAAAGCGGGCCTTCTTTTTTTTTTAAAAGGCGTTTTATTATTCGTCTGTGCGTATTGCCTTACCATGGTTTAAGATCCAGAATCATAACAATAATAAACTATGGCTCATCTTGTATCATATTCAATGCACGGACGCACATACACAACAGTTTAAATATAAAAGCAGATCATATAAGGAGTTACCCGTTCCTAGCTATTTCTCCCCTGATTAGCCTCGTCGATCCTTCATTTATTAATTGCATAAATATTTCAATCTAGATCAGAGCAACTTGTATTTTTTTGTCACGTCGCACTCATAGGTTTAAAGGCCTTAAAGGTACTTGCAGAAAAATAAGTCAAATTATTCGTAATAGGGCGTCTTGTTTCATCATCTGGCGGAATTATAATCGAACCAGCTCCCCCTTGAATTGATTCATCTGAAGCGTATCCATTAAAGAAGCTTAACCATATAAACGATGTGCTATATATTTCTTAGTAGAGAAGACAAGGAGTAAATTATGTGTGTCATGCTATACTTACTAATGTTACCTGTGTGCTCATTTAACTTAAACAAAGAATCGATCAGCTTAATAAGATGACCACAGTTTATTTGTAGTGCTATTGCTATAACAACAATCAAAATGTCTATCTGACGCGGTCACAGAACAATAAATGTTACGAAATAAGTTTGGGCCTAAATAATGCATGAAAAAGTGTTTTAAAAAATGAATGATGTTATTGGTCAGAGATGCCCATAGATTATGGGAACGACTGGGAAACTTCGAGATATTACTTTTTAAGTGCCCAGCAAATCAGAAATGAAAGCTGGAGTTGTAATGAATCAGTACAATATAGCCAAGCGTTTTAATCCCACTTTATAAAGGTTTTACTCAAATCGAATGCCCGCCTTGGATACAATCAATGTTACTGATATCAATTATGACTACTGTTATTTTGCACACGTACATTACATATTAGATATAGTGAAAATTGACAGCTAAACTTACTGTTGTGATGGTGAGAATATTTAATGTTTTACTGATCTCATATGTTAGTGACACATAGAAGTGTGAGTTTCGGTCTCATCGGATCCTCCTATTAATCCGGCTCTCAGTGATCCACTCACTATTCATTGTCAATGGCTGTTTGTACCTGCTTTTTTCTTTGTACGCTTAAATCAAAATCAAACAAGCCAAGTACAGATACCCTGTTATTTGATGATATAATAACTATAGCTGCTACATGTAAATTATTCGTATAATGACGAAGGTTAAATAATGTAGACTAACTACGATTTAATAATAAATTTAAGGCTTGGATGGCATGTGATAAACAAAGGACCTGAGACTAATGAAACGTTTAGCATACGGAACACTGCATGGAGCGAATTTGACATGAATATGATGTTAGTTTTGCTGCGTAATATAATCAATTCAAAGTACAGCCAATACTATTTATAAAGATGTGGGTGATTAGACCTACCACTTTTGGAAAAAGGCCTGGGATGTGGTTGGACAGGTCTAGGTCACGCTTTTTGAACAAAGAAAAAAAAAACAAAGAAAAAAGACGGACTCTATTTAATTTCTATATTTTTAGCGCTATCTTCCTTTTACCTATCTTTTTATTATAATATGTACAATAGCAAAAGAAGTGGTATATTAACAATTCAACGTGCACAATATAATAACTGGTGTAATAATAGAAAATTATCAGCGTCTAATGTAGTTACTTCAACACCACCTATCCATAGAGACAACAATCTTCGTTCGTTTCCGTTACCACCAGAGCTTTTATTAGAAGTATTTGCTTATTTAACTGATTGTCAACCTGCTCTTCATTCCGCATCTCTTGTCTGTACACAATGGATGTATTGTGCTGCTCCCATTCTATATTCTCATCCCAAGATTAACGATACTTACCGTTGGGCGACATTTATATTAACACTCACCAGAGACCGCATGTCCTTTTTTTATGGTGATCTCATTCGTTCTCTCGACTTGTCTTCGGGAAAGTCCATTGGTAAGCTCTATTACTACAATCCTATATTTTGTGTTGTCTCTTAACTGTACTGTATGCATATAGAGGCTATGAAGGACCAGGAGTTCTATAGACGTCTATCCAATTCAAATGATGATCAACTCCAGCAACAAAGAATTACTCTTGTCAACAATATTTCAGACAGAAGATCAAGGCTCAACTTAAATGTACGTGATAATGGCTCTATTAGATTCCAGCAAGAACAACAAGATTATTTAATGAAGGGGCTCCCCTTTATTATTGTCTCGACTTCTTCCCTTGTACAAATGTCTCATACCTGTGGAAATATTACCTCATTAAATTTATCCTACACAAGTCTGTTGTATGATTACTTAGTTGCTGAAACGGGTGAATACTTGTCAACTTTACAACGTTATGCAGTTCAGCCTGGTTTAACTCATATTCAGATACCGATCGAACAAGCGATACAATCTATTGGTAAAGAGTGTCTACAGTTACAACAAGTGAAAATCCAAAGATGTGAATGGGTCACTGCTCATGTTATATGGATGTTTGTTTATCACTGTCCCAATCTAAAAAAACTGGATGCAAGAAGGTCAACAAAATGTACTGTGAAAAGATTAATTGCCAATGTATTAGAAGATACTTCTCATCCTATACCAAATCCAACAGTGGGAGATAATAACGGTAGCGACTCTTCTGTTGAATTTCCTTCATCTTCATCGTCGTCAACAATGGATTATAATAGTATCTTTAACGAGAATTCCAATCAAGAAGAAGAAGAAGAAGAGGAAGACGTTGATGATGATAATCTCACTGTTCATTTTAGGTTGAACGGTAAGTGAATTCCAATTTTATATTTAAAACTCACAATTTTAATTATTCTCTCTTTTGAAGAAGAAACAGGTCTCTATGAGCAGCTTGAAATTCCCAATGAATCAAGAATGACACTTGTTAGACAACATACTGAAGAACCAGAAGAAAGTAATGACGCATTTTGGCTTATGCCTTTTCCCACCGCTGCGGATGAAATGCATCCGATTGGATTGAGACCACCCTCACCACCTAACCTAACCTCAACAGGGAACAACAAATCCCTCAAAAATATTGTATATGACATTTTATCTGATGCTAAAGAATCTGGCGCGAGCGATTTACACTGGCTACAAGATTATTAAATTTCACTTATATCCTCAATGTATATATCCTTTCTGCATGTATCCCAAATAATAATAAAAAAAAACACTTAGTAACTTACATCATATTACAAATTGAGCACAACAATAATGTTTTCTTTGTTGAATAGGCTCATGTGTTTCGTATGGTGGATCTACTTGAGCCATCTTTGTTATTTGTGCTGCCAATCGTATTGTTGTTTTATATGTTGGATATACAGCAATATGGAAGGACTAAAAAAGCATCCAAGTTTAAGCCAGGTTTATTACTACTTCATGCGATTTTACATGAATTCTTGAAAACCATGATGTTAAATGATATCATTCAGCAGTAAAAGTGTGATCTAGAATGCATGAATTCAGAAAATTTACGGCTTCTTTATAAATATGTATAAACAATTACTATGACATCTGGCTTCAATCGTTAAGAGTATTATATCTATCTCCACAAGATGATTGTTTTCATTGTTCTTGACAACGGCGGAGGGGGGGTGCACACAAGGCATACTCTTCCCAAGTTCATACTACTTTATTTTATTTTTCTCTTCAGTCAAATCCGCTCAAGCTCTCCTAGTCGAGTACAGAGTTCACTGTAGGTTCTCTACTGTTATTATTACTTGTTTGTTGGGAGAATTAGCTCCATCGTATTGAGTGTTTTTTTAATGATTGAACAAGGCTTCAAGAATAGGACATTGCACCTTTTCTATGCTTCATTTGTAAAGTTCATCACAACTTGAACTGTCTCAATATGGCTTTACAGTATTTACGCTATGAATTCGAAAAATAATTTTCATTTGTCTGAATTTAAGTAACATGGCTTTATGTAGTGAAGAGTCAGAATTGGTCCAGCGGAACACATAAGTCACTTAAAGAATATGCCGAAAACATTCTTAAGCTTTGACATTATGCAAAGGAATTAACTAACGAAAAAAAAAAAAAAAAAAAAAAAAAAAAAAAAAAAAAAAAAAAAAAAAAAAAAAAAAAAAACGGCTTTACAGTTAGATACTATAAAACCCCACGAATAAATCAAACATTCTATTATAACTTGAAAACTACTACTTTATACTTGATTTAAACAGCTTTATTTCTTTATTTTTGTTTAAAAAAATAAGTGTGCTTCTCTTAGTTCTCAATGCAACTTTTCAGTAAAAGTTACAATGATTAACAGGACAAACAACCACGAGAAGGTGAAAGCACGTCTGGTCCCAAAAAAAATATATGAGGTGTTTGCACGCACCTTTTAAGAACAGTAAAATTGGCATTAATAATAGCGACTTATAAACAAGATCTTGTGCTTTCTTGTTTGCACTCTTCATTATTGACAAAAATACACGTTCTTATCCGTAGAAAATCTAATGGGCAGAATCCGTTCATAACAGGCAGTCAAACGAACCCCTCCTTTCAAGGTAAAAGCAAGTGAGGCACCAGTACCTGTTACCCAACACAAGGAAAGGAAAAGTCGTTGACTTAAACTACTAAGGGGCTTCGGGAACCTTCACAGTATACGTCGTCCATCTTCCCTCATTCCCCTCAATCCACGAAGACTTTTTTTTTATAAATAAAAAGAAAGAAATCGTGTTACTGGTGGGTTCGTAGTGTAAGAATGTACAATAACATTACCGAAGTGAGGCATTGCAATTCTTTGTTAATTTAATCAGTACGGAATACTACCCAGAAATACCCGAAGGCAGAGATACCCGAAGGCAGAGATACCCGAAGGCAGAAATACCCGAAGGCAGAGATACCCGAAGGCAGAAATACCCGAAGGCAGAGATACCCGAAGGCAGAGATACCCGAAGGCAGAGATACCCGAAGGCAGAGTTACCCGAAGGCAGAGTTACCCGAAGGCAGAGTTACCCGAAGGCAGAGATACCCGAAGGCAGAGATACCCGAAGGCAGAGTTACCCGAAGGCAGAAATACCCGAAGGCAGAGTTACCCGAAGGTAGACAGAAAGGGACAGACAGAAAGGGACTATTAAGGAGAGAAAAAGAGAAAAAAAAATCTGGGGAAACTTTATACCCAGGTTCATACACCGCTGACGCAAGCACTTTTTAGGCCAATCAGATTGCTCCTAGCTGGTTTATTGGATGGAAAATTAAGCAGCTAAAAAGTAAAGGCTACTGGGTGTATGTATTGTATTTTGCAAACCTGATTTATTTTATTTGTCTGACAATCATTTGAGGGTTATTGTTTCAATACTTTCAGTCTAAATTTGAGGTTTATATAAGAATAATAATATGGAGAGCGTTGCATGAATTTAAAATAGCTCAAGGGGTATAAAAAATTGACAGATAATATTTTGGGTAAGAGTCGTAACAAGACGTTACATGGTATTCGGGTAGGACAGTTATGCAAAACATTTTTTGACGTACTGTTGTTATTTATCAGACTTCATACATAACAACCGTACTCAGAATGGAGATACATAATTACAGAATTATAGAGCATTACCCATTCTTACTGTAGATCATCCACAATAGCATTTCTTTCAATGATAGTATTCATCTCAACTCTATTTTAAACCGTTATGAACTCGATGACTGTTTGATAAGATAACGAAACTGTTGAATACTTTCCGGTTTTTCTGTTAAAAGTAATGAATTATGCATTAGCAGGCGTAGAAGATCATTGCTCATATCAATCCTGAATAGACGAATTCCATTGGAGGTTAATGCGCAAGCCCGATTTATGTTTATCTTCTAGATAGATCGCCCTGTAATCAAAAGCTTAAAATATCATATAAAGAAATTGACTTTCTCTTGATCCAAGGAACAACAGTCCTTAAAAGAACTTTGTATCTCGTTATTTTATTACTATTAACAAGTATAATAATTACTTCTCTGGAAGTGAACATGGCATTACTCGACAACCACAAATGTAGCACTCAAACACTCTTTTACACGAAAGGGATCAAGACCGTTCCTAATCTTTAATCCAGCATACCCTCTCTCTTTACACTCCCTGAACAAGGCTTTTTTTATAAATGTTTTAAAAGAACAGCCGAAATGTACTTTAGTCTTTTTTTATTGCATTGTTAAATAAAAAGAAGAAATTTAAACACGACGAGAAGAAGCGATGGCGGATTGGAGTTCCTCAATCTTCTTCTTGGCACGAAGGAAAGAACCGAGCTAATAATTAAAATGGGATCAGCACTTATATCCAGACAGAATACACACTTTTATTTTAATATAGAAAGCTTACCTTGGCCTTACAGAGCTTTCTGGCACGCTTATCCTTGGAGTTCTTGATCAATTCCATAAGACGACGTTCATAAGGAGCGAAACCGGCAACTTCACGAATGATGTTCTTAACGAAGACGTTACGTTGAGAAGCAACCTAATTTTGCATAATTAAAATTAGTCAATTTTCAAGAGAGGAAAAATGTTTTATAAAATGGAGTGGATTCAATGGTTTTTTTTTCTTTTTGCAAGGTGGTATAGGTATTGATTGGGGGTAAATGTTCGGTTTACTGATGAGTGACTTTTGTTGATTATGTTGTTGTTTGTTGAATAAGCATGTATTCCATATAAACTCTCCCTCGCAAAAAAAAAACATCCATCGTATCCACTGTAAAAAAAAAAAATATGTATACATACACCAATCTTGTTAGAGGGCTTAACCTTGAGTTCACGACGAGTGGTGATGTGGCCCTTGTTGAGACCAACAGCGATTCCAGACTTGGATGCAACCATTGTATGTATGATGAAAGAGGGGGATCGTTATCACGAATCTGCAGCCTCCTCCTGTTTCTACACTACAAAAAAAAATTGGGGGAGCGGGTGGGCGGGCGTGCGTGCGTGCGGTCCGATCTCAAACATCGCACAAAATAGTCCGGGTAATTTCATAGCACGGTCCGGACAGCTTTTTTTTTTTCCTTCTTTTGGTTTTTCTTGATCTACTCTCAGTCGCTCATACAGTCAAACCTATAGAATTTGGCGTTTTCGAAAAAATGAACAACGGGCTGAAGTGGTAAAGACCCTTATTGAATAAATTATATTGCATGTTATCATATTTAGGACTTAGAATTTTTCTAGTCAATTTTTTATTTTTTCTTTATCAATATAAATGCCTCCTAAAAAGAAGAGCAAGACTTTACAAGAAAAAAACAAGAAATTGATTCCTAACGACGCCCAATGGTGTCTTGCTAAAGGAGTTTCTTTAACGTTTAAAGAATATATTGCACACTGGGACTGTCTTGATAGAGATCAGGAACAGCATCGATTTGGGCGACTGCTACAATTCCAAGAGTGATCTTCATAACAAAATATAAAAAACATGGACATCAAGTGCAGACTATATACGCTTTTCGCAAAATTGAGCAGACTCTATCACTCTTCTCAAAACTGGCTTGGGCTCTACCGAGTTGATTAATGAAGTGACTGATAAACGAATTGAATCTCTGTAATCTTATGCCATCAAGACTAGATCTCAGACAGCCGCCAGTCTGCCGTCTGAATTATCCAGCTCTAGTAATGATGAGGATCCTTCCAGCTCTACTGACCCTACTCCTACTGCCATTCCTGGCTCTCCCACTGTTTCTACTACCTCTTGTGGCCCAAATGAATCGATAAGCCTCACCGACTTAAAACTTCACGGAATACATCATCATTTGACCAATATCAGGAAAAACTTTATCAACGAAGAACAGATAAACAATGAATCATATTTCTTGAAAGATGTCATCGTCAGTCGTCTATCCAACAAATACCAAAATGCCGTTAGCAGCATTATTGAAGAGCACAAATACCTCCCGATCGAATCTCATGTGCATGAGCTAGCGTCGCTAACTCATATGTTGAATTGGGGAATGTTAATGAAAAGCTATTTGATATCGCGTCAGAAATTAAACCTGTACATCGACCTGCTTGGGATGGTCAATAGATGAGATGCATATAAAACATGTTGAAAAGTTGAAATAATTAATATATGGCTAATCAATGTCCAAATCGTAAAAACCCATTGCCGGGTACTATCTTGACTTGAATCGATAATGGCATCCAAAACCATTTGGGTTTCTTTGTATCTTGAATGGATAATATCGGGGTGTTGAGATTTTTTACAAGTATCCCAAAAAATATGATTGACCATGAGTCACTTTTGGATATTGATAAGGGTAAAGAATGATGGCAAGTCTTCTAACGACTGGGGGAAGCGGACGTGCGCGATTTCCTTAAACGTGTATATACCCTTTGCAGCTACTTGATTAAGATAGAATGTCGCATTGAATCCTAGAAGTATTATGACGTGTTAAGCTATTTGTTCTTTTTCTTTTCAGATAATTTACCATGTATTTGGAAAGTGAGGGCACCCGTCAAGTTTGTGGACATCGATCGCATTTGTAGTAAACATAGCCAAACGAAGAGTGTCTAGACATAAAATCTTACTCCAGGAGCCTTGCAGGATTTTGGCTTCACCAAACCCTAAACTACTTCCAAAGGCCAATTGTTTTTTTCTTCACTGATTACGGAATCAGGTCGGGAGTTGCCATTTTCATCAGGTATTGCATCTGTCCAACGGCATTTTGGTATCTGTTGAATAGACGACTGACGTTGGCATCTTTCAAGAAATATGATTCATTATTTATCTGTTCTTCGTTAATAAAGTTTTTCCTGATATTGGTCAAATGATGATGTATTCCGTGAAGTTTTAAGTTTGTGAGGCTTATCGGTTCAATTAGACCACAAGAGGTAGTAGAGACAGTGGGAGGGCCAGGAGTAGGATCACTAGAGCTTGAAGGATCCTCATCATTACTAGAGCTGGATAAATTAGACGGCAGACTGGCGGCTGTCTGAGATCTAGTTTTGATGGCATAAGATTACAGAGATTCAATTTGTTTATCAGTCACTTCATTAATCAACTCGGTAGAGCCCAAGCCAGTTTTGAGAAGAGTGATAGAGTCTGCTCAATTTTGCCAAAAGCGTATATAGTCTGCACTTGATGTCCATGTTTTTTATACTTTGTTATGAAGATCAGTCTTGGAATTGTAGCAGTCGCCCAAATCGTTGCTGTGCCTGATTTCTATCAAGACAGTCCCAGTGTGCAATATATTCTTTAAACGTTAGAGAAACTCCTTTATCAAGACACCATTGGGCGTCGTTAGGAATCCATTTCTTTTTTTCTACTGACAAAGAAAAAGTAAGCTAGAGAGCATCTCACGACTTTAAATCTTGAAAACCCGTCACGTTAAATTTTGATTAGAAAAATTCTCAGACCTAAATATGATAACAATCACTTCAGCCAATTATTTTCGAAAACGCCAAATTCTGTAGGTTTGATTGTACTATCAAAAATAAAAAAGTACGCGATCATTTAAGGTATCACAACATCTTTTTTGAATAACGCGTCATGGTGTGAAAAAAAAATAACAAAAACAAAAAAAAATAAAAGGGTGCACACAAAAAGGAGTGATCTGACTGATTAAGGTTATTTTGGTGTAATTTAAAAAATAGCCTTATCAAATGATGTAATCTTGATTTGCATAAGTTATTTAAGCAGCCGGGGACTTATTTCTTTATCCGATTGTTCAAAAAATTGTTTATCGGATTAAATCTCTACATACTTTTGCTTACGGAGTTTTGAATTCGATATTTTACAAAAATTTCTTGCATAGTTTGGGATGTAGATAGAGTGGTAAATTCTGTTTTTAAGTAAAGAGTATCTCTTTCAAGTTAAAGGTGAGACAAGGAAAGAGAAACAAACAATAACTAAAAATATGGCATGTCGAAGATTTTCAACAACGCGAGAAATTTACCCATTTTTACCATAATTTTCCCATCGGTGGTACAATCAACATTACAAATTGATGGATACACAAAAAGAGAAAGAGACACCTGTAATTAACCTTTGGAAACGCGCCTTGGGAGATTGAAATAAATGATGTAAAACCCCTGTGGAAAGATAAGATGTCTTGCGGGACTTTTTTTTTTAATTTTTTTTTTAGTATTTTATCAAGCAAGTTTTTTTTTTATTCTTCTTCTTCTTCTTGTTTTATTATACTTTTTTTTTTTCATATAAAATGTTTACCGATAACAAGCAATCTCATACTCCTATTCAATTCCCTATGCAATGGGTCGCCAACATGGATGTTGATGTTCAACCTACTGCTGCCCGTAAGACCTCTGTCATCTGTACCATTGGTCCCAAGACCAACAGTGTCGAGAAGCTCACTGAATTAATTGATGCTGGTATGAACATTGTCCGTATGAACTTTTCTCATGGTGACTATGGTTACCACAAGTCTGTCCTTGACAACGCTCGTGCTGCCGCTTCCGGTAAGATTTGAATACAAACAAACACTGGAGAATGTTTAAACTAACCTCAAAAAAAAAGGTCGTCCCGATAAAGTCATTGCTATTGCTCTTGATACCAAGGGTCCCGAGATCCGTACCGGTATGATGGCTAACGATACTGAAGTTGCTATCTCTAAGGGTCACGAAATGAACTTTACCACTGATGAAAAGTACGAGAACGCCTGTGATGGAGAGAACATGTATGTCGATTATAAGAACTTGCCCAAGGTTATTGAGGTTGGTAAGAACATTTTCGTGGATGATGGTGTCCTTTCCTTCAAGGTCATCTCCAAGGGAGAGGACTTTGTCCGTGTTCAAGCCGAAAACAATGGTAAGCTTTGTTCAAAGAAGGGTGTCAACCTTCCCAAGACTGCTGTTGATCTTCCCGCTTTATCCGAAAAGGATAAGAACGATCTTCGTTTTGGTGTTGAGAACGGTGTTGATATGATCTTCGCCTCTTTCATCCGTCGTGGTCAAGATGTTAAAGATATTCGTCGTGTTCTCGGTGATAAGGGTAAGAACATCAAGATCATTTCCAAGATTGAAAACCATCAAGGTATTATCAACTTTGATGAGATTCTTGCCGAAACTGATGGTGTCATGATTGCTCGTGGTGATATGGGTATTGAGATTCCTTGTGAACGTGTCTTTGTTGCTCAAAAGATGATGATTGCCAAGTGTAACTTAGTTGGTAAGCCCGTTGCATGTGCCACTCAAATGCTTGAATCCATGACTTTCAACCCTCGTCCTACTCGTGCTGAAGTCTCTGATGTTGCTAACGCTGTTCTTGATGGTGCTGATCTTGTCATGCTCTCTGGTGAGACTGCTAAGGGTTCTTATCCTATTGAAGCTGTTCAAACCATGACTGCCACTTGTGAACTTGCTGACTCCGTCATCTGTTATGCTCCTCTCTTCAACCAACTCCGTGGTTTAACTCCCTGGCCCACTGATACTACTGAGACTGTTGCTTGTGCTGCTGTCTCTGCTGCTGCCGAACAAAACGCTGGTGCCATTATTGTTTTATCCAAATCTGGTCACTCTGCTCGTCTTGCCAGTAAGTACAGACCTGCCCAACCTATTATCCTTGTCACCCGTGAAGAACAAACTGCTCGTCAATCTCATCTTCACCGTGGTGTCTTCCCCTTTGTCTACTCTGGTGATGTTATTACCAAGTGGGACGAAGATGTTGAATCTCGTATCAAGTGGGGTATTCAACAAGGTAAGAAGTCTGGTCTTATCAAGTCCAATGATCCCGTTGTCATCGTTCAAGGTTGGAAGGGTGGTCTTGGTAATACCAACACTGTTCGTGTCTTGATTGCCCCATAAATAACTCTTTTTTCCTTTGCTCTCTCTATTTTCCCCCCCTTTAAACCTCATCTTTTGTAATTTATATATAAACTTTTCTTCTACATCTCCATTAAAAAAATTATGTCCACACTATAATTGTTACACACAGTCCAATGCATTTCGTTTTTTTTGATTTTCTGTGACGGTCTGGTCACACGATGTAACCTTATAAAGTGATGATTTCTCTTTTTTTTCTCTCTTTTTGTTTGTTGTTCTTTGATTATCAATGGGTATAACCAGTAGTAAGTCAAAGCTTCTTCGACGTAAAAAGAAGGACACGGGCCATGTGAATCCTGTCAGACATCAAGCTGTGCTTTCAGATCATATTTCGCCTATATCTACTCTTTCCGCCGTAATATCCATCCCTCGATCGTCTTGTTGGCGTAAGAGTGTCAATACAGGTTCCACCTACTCCCTATATGATGAAGAAGAGGATGATGCTCTTTCTACACCTCGTACATCTGTAGGCTCTTCACAAAAGGATAATATCTATGAATCGAGACACGAAGATACCACACAACCATCAAAACCCTTCTGGACACATCATTTAAACGACGAAAAGGAATACGACAGGTAAAGTTAGACTCTATTTCAATACATTAATAAACTCACCTGTTGTTTCCTAGACAACTAAGACAGGTACATAAAAAAAAAAAGTATGCTCTGACACAACGAAATAAAAACTCACAACTTTATATCAGCATTATGTATTAAAGCATATTTTAAATGGAAATATCCATGTACCAATTCCTTCCGATAAGCCCGTGACAATACTAAACGCAGCATGTGGAGCAGGCTTTTGGACATTAGACATGGCATACACATTTCCTCATGCACAAGTTATGGGGTTCGACGCCTTTGACGCCAAAAAGATTCAGGTCAACACAGCTCCCAACATTGTTTATAAAGACGGCGATATCACCAAACACATGTCTTTACCTGATAATTGTATGGATCTGATATTTCAACGAGATACCAGTTACATGATGCCTCATGAACGCTGGCCGTTGCATGTAGCTGAACTCTTTCGGATTGTCAAACCAGGCGGATACATTGAACTCGTTGAATACAGCACGTATTTTTTTTTTTTAATTTGAGCATTTTCTGCATGCCTTTCTAACATTTTTTTTTCTTTCCAGATTTCAATGTCAAAAATCCAGGACCCGTCTTGGCTTTGGTCAATGAGTGGTACAGAATTACGTCGGCGTCGGTGGGTGTGGATCCGAAAGAAGCCAACCGTTTAAAGCGCTTTTTACTGACGGCTGGGTTTCAAGATGTCTGCCAAAAGACTGTATCCATCCCGATTGGTGAATGGCCCGCTAGCTTAGGTAGGTAGTGTTTGTACGCTTTCAAATATATATATATACATAGAGTAACTTATATAACCTAGCCGAAAAAGAAAAGGGCTTCTTGTATAAACAGGTTGTCAACGCATTATTTAAGTCAATGAAGACATGGTGGATCACTGAATTAAGGATTACTGAAAAAGAATATGATAAAGTAGTCAGAGCGGCCCTCGATGAAATTGACGAACAGAGTTGCTCCATTGACTGGATAATTTATACCGCACAAAAGCCTCGCATGTAATGAAGGAAAAAAATAAATAAAGATAATATTTGCTGGATCGAAACTATTATTTTATATGCATTTATATTTTAACGCCTTAAAAGAGGAGGGGGAATAAACACATTCACCTTTTCATCCCAAGCACAAGTAGCAACCTGTCCTTCTACATAAAGATTGAAATCTAAACCAAGCACGAATTCTGTATGTGCGTCATGTACATGAATCAAGTGTTGTCCCAGAGGAGCGGCCGTATCCCAAAATCGCACGCTCATATCATACGATGCACTGGCCAAAATATTAGGTCGATGTGGAGACCATTTGACACGTCGAACAGCAAATTCATGACCTGGAATACACACCACCTCTCTATCTGAACGACGTAAATCCCATACCTTGATCGTCTTGTCCACTGAACCTGTCACCAACATGTTCTCCTGATACTTGTTCCAATCTAACGACAAAATCTCATTGTTGTGTGCTCGGATCGTCTGTGCAGATCGGGGACTGTTTGTATCCCAAATCTTGACTGTCTGGTCACCAGAAGCAGAAGCCAGACAGGTAGGATTATAAGGTGACCATGCTGTACTATACACGCAATGTGTGTGTTCGGTGTATGTTTGCAACGATCTCGGTGATTGAGGGTTCCACTACTCATTTGTGTCAGTAACTCTCTCTCTCTCTTTCTCTCTAGATTTTCTTTGTAATCCCACTCACAATCTTGACGGTGTGGTCCCAGGAACCACTGGAAAATACATTTTTGGTCACTAAATTCCAATCCACCGAGAAAACCTCGCGTTGGTGTTCATGCCAATTTTGTATAGGAAAGTCCTTTATATGCGGTAAATAGCATCAGTTTCCTCTTATATATCATCTCATATTCACATAACTTACAGCAAGTGTTGTATCCCACATTTTAATCGAACCGTCGCCACTAGAGACAACTAGTTGATTCTCATTGACTTCACTCCATGCGACATCATACAAACCATCCTGGGTGTCATAACTAAAGGGCTTTCTTCAATAGGTATTTTCAACGTATGCCTAGCCCCCTTCAACTTACGCTCTCTCAACTGCCATGCCGTCTCCTGTGGATGCCATAACAAATAATCGACCGTTTCCCACCAAACCAAAATTAGATGCACTGGCTACTGCCAATTTATTTTCGAAAAAAGGACTCCATTTAGTCTACTGGGGAGGTTAGTTGTCTGTCAGGGCACCTATATGTTATCCTTACCGAGTAGCCATTGAAGCCTTCAGTACGAAATTGTGTAAACATGGCGGGGGGAGGAGTGATGTTCTGTAAAGAAAAAAAGCTGACTACACCTTTTTTAAAACTATTTAAAAAAAGCCCCGCTGCTTGAATATGTTTTCACATGCAGTTTTTTTTTTACGAAGTCCTCTACCTGAGATTTAATAGGCTAAAGCTCTAAATGAGTTTCAGGCACCAAGCAAGAGATAATCTAATGCCTCGAAAAAGTTATCTTAGAGTAATTTCTCAGTATTGATTATGAAATAGACGATTATGTAATAAAGCTGAAAACTACAGCACTTTTTGGCTGTATTCATAAATAAATATAAACAAAACGTGTATGCGCTAATTTAATACAGCATTGACCACCATAGTTCAATTAATAAAGTTTTGCTCACTAAAAGAAAGTCTCTTGGATTCATCCCCTACAGGACAAAAACCTGAATTGGTGGGGTAGGGGACCCCGAAACTCCTATTACCCAATGTGCGTAGCCAACCACTTTCAACCTTAAAACAAAGATTTGCATCCACGATCTAAGCACCCACTGTAAGAAAATGGCTAAATTCGACTATAGCAGTGGCTCTCGATGAGTTTATATAGCCCGAATTAAGCAAACCATACCTAAAGAGTCACAAGAACATGAGTAGAAAAGTATACATAGCAGGTCCTACAAAACTGTTACAGACGCGAACAGTGACTTGAAATCGCAAAGTCTATCCGACACACGAATTGTAGCGAGCCTTTTGGCCAAATTTTCCTTGTCGAAATGATCAGTGAGAAGGGTTGGGGTTGTTAGCTAATTGATGAACCAAATGAAGCGAGTAGAGAGAATAAAGTTCCATAAATACTTGTTAGTTAAACGCTTTTCTTAGGGACAGCCAAAGTGTATGTAGTCATGGCCTAGGACAGGGTGCCTTTGGGGCAAAGTCTACACATACGTCAAAAAAAAGTTTGGAAGGGTATTTTATGATGCATCGACATATTTCACTAATTCATATCCTTTTTTCAGAACTTCACATAGTAAACGATACAAAATTTTACAATTTATTTTTTCTTTTCATTAAAAGGGGGAAAGTGATGAATATGATTGACTTATAAGGCCTTCACATCAAGACCGTCCAGACGGTTTTTGTTCCAAAAATGATTTTAGCAATCTATATCCATTTGTTCTGTTCCCATTTAACTTAACTTGGACAAGCGTAGTAAAATATGGGGAAGTTCTTATTTGTATTTGCTTTTAGTTCTAGATCTTTTTGATTCTGAATTATTTTTACTTTGTTATATCATTTTCCTTTTACGTATTGCTGTTTTACTTTGTTGTTATATTTTCCTTTTGTTGTCTATAACCTCAAAAATGCCTAAATGCATTGAGAACAAGATATTGACCTGTAGACAATATATAATAGAAAACCAGAACAGCTTCGACTTGATTGATTTTTACGAATACTTTAACTTTCCGTCGAGAACGGAAGGCGAAAGGGCTGTGAAAGTGACGTTAAATAGCCTTACTCGTAAAACGAAGAAAAACCGTCAACTGAACAAATACAAATACGATAAAAAAACGTCGTATCACGTACTAATTGATCAGAGATAACACCCACTGGACAATGGGGGAACAGTTTCAATGAGCAAAACATCATGATATAATGCTATAAACTGATAAAAGTAACTGTAAGACTGGCTTTTTGGGAATAGACTGCATAAAACGTATTTAAACTTATCATACCTGTATCAGTGTAAGACACTGTGTGCAATAGAAACCAAATTCTAGACCGTCTTCTCCCTTAGATAGATAAATGTTGTATTGGCACCAACCCCGGCATCAGTAGAAACCTTTTTACCCCATTAAAAAACCCCTTTCATGAGGAAGAAATTGGGCAGTACAAAAGTAAAAGATAATCAAAGGTGAGCACGATTAAATATAGCATCCCAAGATATCTAATTACACTTTTTTATTCAACACAGGTAATTGGGTAATTAAATATTAAGCGGTTAGGTAAAGGAGTAAGTCATTTTCTCTCAATCAGACGCTTAATAAATGACGTGGTATTTCAGGAATGTATCTATTACTCCTGGATATCTCAATCCTATGTAAGAAAGTGACTTTATAAATCAATCAACCTTTTGAATCTACAAGTAGAAGGTTCAGACTGCGGATTGTTGACTTAGTTCTTATACGCTAGAATTAATTATACTTCTTAAAAAAGTGGTGTCTTATAAGCTTATATCACTTTTCATCTCCCTGATTTTTTTTTTAAAAATCTGGCACAAATAAAACATAGCCCACATAGACGTCTCTCGTACGAACAGCAACATTTGACTTGGTATATCAAAAGAGTGTGAATATAGTTGATTTATTAAAAAACAGTGTGTCCTAATAATCAGCAATATGGTTGAATAATACGATTAAATATGAGGTGGTGTTATTAGGGGTCGTGTTTTTGCTGGTGGTGCTTTTGGCAGTCATGTCCTGATTGAAACTATTATTGGTAGGTATAGTAATTAGAGAAGGGACGTTGTTATTGTCAGGTCTAGTAATAATACGGATGTCCATGATAGTTATAAAAGTATCAGTAGAGGTGGCTGGATTAAGAATGTTATCCGCGTATACAAGTAAAGTCAATATGTTGGTTTATTTTCCAGCTAAATAAAAAGTGCGCAAAGAAAATTAGCCAAAAATAAAAAAGAGGGTTTATTTCGCTTCCTGAGGAAGGGTAACGATTTAGAGTGTCGGTACAGAAATTGAGAGTTCTGAATGTAAAATGTAGTTTAGCCTTTCGAGCTCCAATGGCTACATTCTACAGTGTAAAAGGCGGAGGGCAGTAATGAATGGCAGCATTTATTTTCTCTTTCATTTATGCTTTACAATGAAGGAATGATACTGGGACATTATTTGTGACTTGAACGATGCGATTATTCGTACCTTTTTTGAATCAAAAATAACATGTAAAAAAGTAGCTCACACTTGCGGGAAGGGTCGTGAATCAGTAAGAGTAACAAAACTTGTAACTACTACAGCTTGGTTGCTAAATAATAATAAATAAAAACACTTTTATTGAATGTAGTAAGAGATAGATAATGAAGTGGTGCATAGTTCTCTAGGACCATATGCTTTATTATGAAGGTAGATGTTGGTAGATATTAATAGATACATAGAAACTGGGTAATTGCCCCCGCACCAGATCTCTTGAGCTAGCCAAAACTCGATATGATGGAAGGCGAGCATTGGCCAATGGGGCCAAAATGGAGAGTCAATCTAACAGGCTTGAACACCAAGGGTGACTTTCGTACCACTTGTTCGGGCGACGAGCAAGATGTGTAAACAAGCCTAGTGAGGGGCTTTTTTTTTCTTCTTCTTTTGATATAAGTGCATAAAGTGCAATACTATGTGGAACGTGAATTCCACGTGTGAGTTGAAAGGGTATCAGGCTCTATCGGGTGACCTGAAGAGAGTCGGTGTTTGATGTTCCGAGAGGAAGAAGAAGGTCTTACAGAGGAATGGTTGTGACTCCTGTGACCCGGACTAGTGATACTTTCGGAAGCGGACAAGTGTGTCTGATGATTAGGATTTTTGAGATTGTAGCCCATATGCTTTAAGATGGCGGCTAGATGCTTCATGATATCCATGTATTGAAGTTGGCTTAAGGGCTCGTTACTGAATCTGGCAGTTTCATAACCTTCTAAATAAAACGAACCCAATTGTTTATCAATTAATCCCTGTTGTATTAAAAATTCCATATATTGACGTACGGGAACATACAATGGACGGGCATATTCCACATTAATACTCATAGCCACATTTTCTAAATAAAGGGGTTAATGTCCCATCATCTAACATTAGAAAGCGTAGTTTGTTACCAACAATAGCAGGTGTTCGAGCAATCGCTTGTTTGAAATCGAGTCCTTCAAATAAAGGAGTGCCTAAAAAATCAGTAGGAAATCAGTGATATGATCATATTAATCTATTGATCTCGTCTTTACCTGGCTTTGCCCAGCCCACAGCCTGAATGTCTTCTGGCCTAGGTTCTGCCATTTTCAATGTTTGTTTCGCTTGTTCAAAACCTTCCCGAATCTTAAAAAAGACTTTCTATTTCACACAATGTTTAATTTATTTGCTTGTATTTTTTTTTTTTTTTTTTTACCTTAGGTAAATCTTCTTTTTTGATAGGAATATATAGTTTGGGAATGTCTTGCAACGAATGGCGAACAGTCAACATGCGACTACATGAGAAGAGTAATGCAGCCAGCGCCTATGGAAATGTAAGTGTTAATATTTTTAGTTTTTATTGTGTGTGTGGTTTACGTACCAAGATAACATAACTACCACCGACAACAACCAAGTTACGAAAGTCAAATTTCCCAGTGTTGGTTTTATCGGTCAATGCTTGAATGATGACATCGGCAGCTGAAATAGCCACACACACGGCGGTAAGAAATATTAACAAGAACAGTGAAGCTGTATAGAGATAATGGGACACTCTTACAGACTTCATTTATTTATATATATATATGTGAACAATAACAACAACAACAAAAGAAAAAAGTTATTTTTTTCATTTAAATATGCTGTACGATTACCCTAATTGGGCGAGGGCAGGCGAATATATTTCTTTGCGGTCACAAGAAAAGAATTTATTTTTTCCCTCTTTTGTTTCATTGTTTTTAAATAGAATAGATAAAAATGGATAATGCTGTAAACAATGTGGTTGCCAATCTTATTCGAGCGGCAGCTGGCTCCAGTGCCAAAAGTGTCTCTGACCAAGATGTAGATAAATTCGTGGCCGATTTAATATTAAAAGAAGCTGAAGAAAAACGTAAAAAGTATAACCAAGTGGGTGTTCAAGCATACAAACCCAGTGGATTGTAAAGTAATTAACCCCCAAAGGGACTACAACACACTCCCTTTTCCTTTTTAACATGTTTATGCATACATAGACCCAACAAACCAAAGCCAAAGCCGAATACTCGATTCCTGTTAAACATGGTAAAGGCAACTGACAGTCATAACCAAGCAGTGATTAAAGCCAATGAAGACAATGTTGCAAAATTAAGAGAGGAAAGATTAGAACGAGAACGATTACTTACCAAAGAGAAAAAACATCGCGAGTCAAGGCGTCGTCATAGACACGAAGATGACAAAGATCGTCGGTCGAGCCATAGGAGGAGGAGTAGTAGTAGTAGCAGTAGTCATAGCAACCACAAGGAGGAAAGAAAACGGAGCCATAGAGACGATAGGGGTAACAGTCGTGACCACAGTCAAGATAAAAAGAGTAGACATAGTTCGAGTAGCAGTAAAGAAGAGGTGACAGCAGATAGAATAGACCCAGAAAGTCTCAAGCGTACAACTTCACCCGTTAAACAAGATGTGCAGTATAAAGGACGTGGTAAAGTTCGTATCAATGTGTCGTCGATGGATAAATACTTTTCAGAGGGTTATGACCCTTCCATGGATGTTGACTCGGATAAAGAGGAATACGTATTCGCTACAGAAAATCAGTCTAAACGTAAGCATAAGAAGCACAATGAAAGCAAAAAGAAGAAGAAGAAGAAGAGTAGTAGTAGTAGTAGTAGTAAGAAAAAGAAGAAGCATTATAGCTCCTCTTCCTCTTCTTCCTCAGATGAAGCCACTGTTGGACCCGTACCTAAACCTGTTAGAGCTTGGGATCTTGGTAAAGTCTAACGATTCTCCACAATAAGAAAAATAAAAGAAAAAGGCTGATAAATTAACATTTGTTTTTAAACAAAAGAAAATTGTGTTTTATTGTGTATGCATAGTTGAATCACAGTTAATTGTGTCAATTATGCGGGTATCGTTTCCCTAACCACGGAATTCACGTAATACACGCTTATTTTTCAAAGAGAGGATTAGTGGGATATGCTTTCAAAAGACGACTTATAATATGGTGTACCTCTACACAGTTATCAACGTGAATTTTTCTAACTACAACAGAATCTGTTGTCTCTTGTCTGGGTCTTTGAGAGAAGGTCTTTCGTCTGTTTGACTTTACCATTTCCTTTTCTGCTTCTTCTGCTAGTCTTTCCATAAAGATAACAAAGTCCAACAGAACCTTTTTATTGACTTGTTAGTCTAACTGCTTTGTTCCTCTGTAAGCTACAAATACCAGCAATTCTACATCGCCTTCCACAAAATCTATATCCAATGCTTCCTTCAAGCCTTTTTCTAATTTAGAGACATCCAACATGCTGAAAAAAAAAAAAAGAAAGAAAAATGTGGAATTGCCTAATTTTTAATACAGTCACTATTTTATTGGGTCCCCACTCACCCTATAAAAAGTGGTCAAACATAAAGAGGGTCTCTCTTTCTCTCTTTTTTATACCCGTCTCTTTATTATAAGCATGAAATTATATAACAATAATAAGTCCTGTCATCGAATTTCGTTTCTTCCCAAGCATTTATCACCCTCTAAACCATGTAGCAGGAAATTGACAAAGTGCTTGTCAAGTAGTCAAAAAAAGGTATTTTATTTTTCGTGTTTTTATTATTATTCATGCTAAAAAAGATTGAAAAAAATAGTCTCGATATGCTCAGTTGAAATCCTGTAAGACCAAGCGAGTGGAGAAGAGACTAACACAGAAGAAGGAGGAAGACCACTTGAAAAAGTTGCGGCAAGAAGCGTATGCTGATTTGCACGCTCAATTGCAACACTACAATGACGAGTTTGTTGCTCGCATGCGTTACGAAGAAAGTTTACGTTCAGTACCCTCTACAGACTCTATATGCAGCACGGGGACTGAAGATTCTTCTATTCAAGACTTGGTCGACTTATTTGAAGCGGGTACAGTTAAAGACTATAGCCAGTTGCTTGAATGGGAATCATATACCGTAAGTATGCAACATATTTGCTTAAAATAAGATGCTTAGACCCTTTTTTGTTACAGAACCCACCAGATTACTTTGAGTGTGAGGGAGAATACGGTAATCTCTGGTAATAAATACATCAACAACAAAAAAACATCATCCTGTCTATAATATCCCCTTGCTACATACTCACACCTTTATATTAAAAAAAACACACACACACACACACATATATACACACCAAATCACCCCTCTGTACACACACAAATAAAAAAAAATGTATTCTCTTTGTGGGAAATTAACTTGATTGGTTCCTTTTGTTGTCTATTTTGCTTGAACCGCACGTTTATTTATATATTCTTCTTTTTGATCTCAGATACACTATGGGTCCCCATCTGCTGCGGAATAAAGAGTCTAGTTGATACCTGCTCTTTCCTTTCTATCAGTTTGCTTCTTTGTTTGCCTTGTTTTTAAGAACCCCGTACCTGTTTATGATGAATTTCTTAGCATTTAAACATCCAATCAAATCATCCTCGTCATGGGAAAAAAAAAATTAACTAAAAACCCCTGCCAGAGAGGAAGGGGCGGAATAATTACGTCAGTTATCATGTAGGATCCCCTATTGGAAACTTTGATCTAACGTTGGTCTGTGCTTCCTCCTCCTTCTCCCCTCCTCATATCCCGATTATCGGGGTTTCCCGTGTGATCTCTCTCCTTTTTTATTATTGTGACGCGGCTTATGTACGTGTTGACATAGCAGACATTTAGAATGTAGATATCAGGTCATAAGCTTACTCTTAATAAACGGATTATGCGTATTTTTAAGCGCAAGTAACCAGCAGGAATGTGAAATCAACTGCAAGCATTATGGGTTAGCACCAGTCTTCCTATCATCATCATCGTAGTTGGCATGGTAAGATATTTATAGTGTTTCGCAGTTGTGTGATTGAATCTTTTTTTTTTAAACATCGGTTACTCATGCATTTACGTGTTCATGGGAGCGTTATCGGTGGTCATTGATGAAAGCCTTTGTTATGTTGGGACTTTTACTTGTTCATTGTTTATAATCAGTTTGCACTTTATCACATGCATATATAAATAACAGGTGATAGTTACACAGTGTCTTTTCCCATCACGAAAAAAAAACTGGTTATTTCTAACGAGTAACTTGTTTTTCAAACAAATTGGAGGTGGGATCGGCGTGGCTCTATAGCAAGTATGGCTTTATTTAGATAGTGCTTAAAATACAAGAAAATAAAATCAGTGAAGACGTAGTTTATCTGTCACTTAAATACTAATATAGGTGTCATGACTCATCATGAAAAAGATCTATATTTTTTTTTGTTTGTGCGGTCGTAAGGAAAAAGATGACATGTATTGTCAAATAGTTTTTATAATTTACAGTAAAAAAAAAGGGGGGCATAAAAAAAAGGGAGGGAATACATATTTCATAGTTTTTTGGCTTCATATTGTTATGCCATATCAGTAGAAAGTGAGTTCATAAGATCCATCATGGCGCCTAAATTTAAAGAAAATCAATAAATAACTCTCTCTTCAGTGAAACAATAGTAGGCTTACCTATGCTTGGAGAGCGATTATGTCGTGATGAAGGTGGAGACCCCATTAATTGTTCGAATAATGGATGTGTGCTTGACTCTAACGGTTGATGCAGTTGATATTCTGCATTGGGAGAACCAAAATCAAATCCACTTGTCAAATGATGTGAATCGAGAGGTTGTAATGTGGGCATACCGGCCGTCATTTGGGCAAATACATCATCTGTCCATACAGTCTCACTGCTCGTAGAACCCGTTGTTCCATCATTATGATGATGATGATGTTGATGTTCTTGTTGGTGATGTTGATGTTGGTCAAATACACTGGATTCATCCCATTCATCCTCCAAGTTGGGACCTCCTCTAATCTCTGGCAAACCCTTTAATCTTCTCCAGGTGTTTGTGCGGTTGACATCATAATTGATGGCAAGATACCAGAACTCTGTAAAGAATTCAGCAGGTAGTTCCCAACTGGCACTCATGGTAGGATCACCACCATGATACAAAGCACCGTTTAACAACATAGCAAAGCAACGATCGTAATCCATTTGATCTCGGAAGATAATCATTCTGTCACGCATATGAGGTGTTGGGATAAGATCAATACGAGGATCATGAGGTATAGCCAACTGTAAAATAGTGGGTTGGAGTCGAACAGCGGATTTGCCTACATTGGAAATAGTAGATTGGACTCTTAATTGAAGTCTGATTCTCTGGATTGCACTAATACTGGACGAATCTGGCTTATTTTCTTCTTCTTTCTCGCCTGCTCCTTTATTCTCTTCTTCTTCTTGTTTTTTTCGCTTCTTGTTTTCGTTATGCTGTTTAACCCATTGTGCCATGCTTTCATCTTCTTCATCTTCTCCGTCCTCTATTTTAACATAGGGAGTCTCGGGCGATAATCCATCAGGTTCGTCCATTTGCATCTCATCATCTTCTTCGCCATTCTTTTCCTCTTCTTCTTCTTCCTCTTCATCCTGTTGAACAGGCAAATCCTTATCATCTTCTGGCGCGTTGGCAAAATGCGCAGCCATGGTAGGTTTCAAGTTGATATTATTTCTGGTGTACGCATTGACATAGGCTTCAATCGCATGAGGTGTTGTCTTTGCCATATCACTTAATGCTTCCTCGGTTAAATAAGGTGAATGGGTGGGGATATGAATATTATGATGCAAACACACAAATTGTAAGGTAAGTACCACTCCCTTTAAATACCAATTCTCAGCACGAAATGAGTCCATTTTACTCTTGGTTTGATTTAGTTCTTTAATCGCGCTGTTTCTTTGCTCTCTTAATTGTCGAATGGTCCCCTCCAGGTCTTTCAGGTGTCTTTCTTTACGTTCTCGAAAGGCACGTTGGGCTGCTCTATTTTGGGCTTTACGTAATGCTGGTGAAGCAGGATTAGGCTTTCTGCCTGGTTTCTTTCGGATTTTGATAGGGTGACCATGTTCGTCAAATTGTTGGGCTGGTTGCTGTGGTTGCTGAGGTGGTGGGTGGGATAAAAGTGGTATATTACTTACATAGATGGCACCCAGTGAATTTGCGTTAAAGTTGCCTTCATTTGGGTTGTATTGACGTCCATGTAAAAAAGAAGGAAAGTCGGAATTAGACCATGTCTGACCATGGCCATCTGTTTCGTCTCTGTTTAAGTACTCGTCCATATTAGGTCCACCAAAAGTGTTCATTTTTATAAGGGCTTTACAAGGGTGGGTCTTGTAAAGAAAGAAGAAAAAGAAAAAGGTGTGAAAAATAAAAAAAAGAGGGAGCACACGGGATTTGTGTAAAACGGAATTACACGTGAAATAATTAAGCATACAAAAGTGACCTGCCAATCAATGGGGTAAATTCTCGTTTTTGACATTATCATTTTATTTGTGATTTTTTTCCCATACACCTCTTTCTTTTCTTTGGTTTCGAATTCCGTTTGGAACAGCGGTTGAGATAGACCTTTCTGAACCGATCAGATCGCTTGCCCTTCTTTTTTTGTTTCACGAATTAAAATTATCTTAGCCTTCTTATGTCAGCCTATCACATTTAAACAAACATCCTTTGAAACAGGTCTTATTAGCTGAAGAGAGCATTTGATAAATATTTAGCCCTCCCTAACATATCTCTATATTTTTAGTCTCAAACACTCTACTCACATTAACTATATTTATCACATACAATCATCCCTCATTTTAACCTTTCTGTTAAAAAAACGTTTTTCTTTTGGGAGTTCAAATACGGTTCCACAGATAAACGTGACACAATCTGCTTCATCTCCGGAGTCAGTTTTTCCTTTTTTTGCGGGGTAAAAAAGAAATACTGCTTATACAGGAGGCCCTATTTTTAGTAATTATGCAATTCACGGATGAACCAAACGTCTAATTTAACCGACTTAATTGTTCCTCGGCTCATCCCTTTAAATAAAATTTGTTACCCCCAAAAGTTAACTGATCTCAATGACGCCTTATATAACTCATGTCAAACAAAAAATCTTCACATGTTTTTAATCGACTGAATGGTTACCCATAAATAAGACAGTTACCATGGAAACCAGGTGAGTTTTCTTTATATATCTACCATTTAAACAGCGTGGATCCCTTGAAGTTTACTCGGTTAATCATTCTTCATTGGCCTTTAATTCCTGACATAGGCGATATGCGTGCTCACATTAACAATGAATACCTCTGTTGCATAAATACAGCTAATAGAACCTTATTTTATTGTGTAACTAGAATTGAAGTTCAATTTTTTTTTTTTTCTTTCAGTGGGGTATTACCTACAACGTACCTAGGATCCTGAGGTCATACCAATTGGCTGAAATATTCAAGAAACTAAGAAAAAAAAAATTGGCTTAATTTTTGTCTGGGAATGTTAAGAATAAGAAATATGTGTTAGCTATTTGCATATTTGACGAGATTTGTGGAAATTCATTTAATATTATCTACGTCAGTTTTGACAAAAAAAAGAATGCGGGTCCATAGGTTATTACTCTAGCCGCCTTTGGCTTGAGCCTTCATTGTCGTGAAATATATATCAACAGAGGTCAAAAGTCAAGGACACTATTATTATTCAGTACGTAGTTGGATATGTCACTAACGTATTCGAAGTGAATTAATCATTCTATTAAGATGTTACATTATGGTTTGTTTCAACCATAGCTTTTGGCCCATTGTTTAAAAAAAAACTTGTTGTCATATTTGAATATATCTTCTACAAAGTAAGCATATTTTTTATCTTCTAGTATTCTTACACCAAATAATATGACATATGCCTAAAAAAAAAATGGTGGTAAAGAAAGATACTACCTTAAATGCGCTTAACTTATGACACAAATTAATAGATGCATTCCCCCCTTCTTTTTTTTAAGGTTATTTTTTCATCCTGTCACATAAAAGGTGGGGAAACTCCGAAAAAAAAACAGACAAGCAACTGTAGCTTTAAATCTACCGCTATAATAAATAAATGCGTGCCTACATTATACTACTGGTTGCAGAGGCAATGATAGAATAAACTGTTGAAGAAACTGCAGGAATTCCGTTATTTTAAGGCACGGAAGATGCGGGTTATATAATAAAAATAAATAAAAAGAACTGTTGGAATAAAGAACATGTGAAAAGCAAGCCTAAACGTTTTAACTCTTTCCGTGAGATTAAAACTTTTGCCATAATCTTAAAACACATGACCCCACGTATGAGGAGTTTACACCACGCGATGCTTGTTTCTTTTTCTTTAAAACAATTGATAGACGCCACTTATAAAGATGATGCGTGCTTATCTATTACGCAGTGAACTATTCCTTTTATTCATCAAAAAGTTAATTAGTGATTAAGTAAACAATACATTGCCTTATCCTAACGTAAACCAGTCCCTTTGTGTTATATAAAAGAAGTTTTTTTTTTTTAAAAAAAACATTATCTTTTACAAAGAAAAGTAAAAGTCAGTAAACACTATTGACCTTATTTCTTCAATCCAATTGGATGATTCATGCTTTAGCTAAGCGCGGATGCAGCGTAAATATAAGGTAGAACAGGCTATGAATAATTGCCGGATAAGCTCCTCATGTCTTGAGACGAACAGGTTCGTCTAAATGGTTAGTCTGCTGCGGGGGAAACCCCCCCCCCCTCAATGAGATGTTTTTTCTGATATTGAGGCTGTTATTGTCGCTGCTCCGTTGCAATTTATCACTGCCGATAATACACATCATTCGGGTATTACATCTAGTCATGGTACTATCTCTAAGATAACATGCTTAAAGCGTATTTGACAAGTAATGATTGTCATTGCGCCACCCAGTCTAAAGAAGCAGTTACAAAAAATGCATGCTTGGTATTTACTTAAAATCAATGTTTTTCACTGTGAAATCTGTGCAAAACAATGAACGATAGTGAGGACACAGATGGATTTCTGCAGTCAAATTTGCTAAGCATGTCTCTAGTGCAAAACTTATGAAGGTAAAACCCCTAAGCTTGTAGTTCATACAAAAACGATATTTGAATAAAATAATCAATCCGTTGTAGGTTTATGAGTCCAACAAAACGTATAAAAGAGAATTTTTATGTTTCAAGTAAAGGGAATGATGCTTAATGAAGAATCTTGATGCTTTTTGCTAAGAACTTCTTTGATGTTCACACATATAAAGTTTTAAACTGAAATAAATCGTCACTGAAACTAGTCGCAAATGCCCTTTATGTTTTAGAAAACCATGGCTTTTTTTTACACACTGACGACGCTTTAAGGTACGCTAAAAAAATAAATAATTATATTTAATATAATCACATTGTTTAGGAAATTTTTGGGGCAATACTATTATTGAGCTTACATATTACCTGTGTATCTATTATACTTACATTGTGAGTTGTTGCGTTTGACTTACTGAAGGATGGTTGCAAATGCATCCTAGCATTTATTATGTGATGGCTGAAAGCTTTTTATGCATAGGAGTCTAAAATTGGCATCTAAGAACACCACTGAAATCCTTTCAGGGTATACACTAGGAACAGCTGTTTTTTCAGAAGGGTACCAATTATCAGCTACAACTGTAGGTGCGTGAGAGAATAAGTAACAATGAACACAAAGATTCCTTTTTGGTAAGATTCCAAATAATGTCATTTTATTTATTACCGCAATTGTACATACGCACTTGATCAACTTTATACAGAGGAACATGACGTTACAAGGAGACAAGCGCAAGTAGTAGATATTATTTCTAGTGAAATAAAGACCAAGTAAAATAGTATTGGACTTTTTTTAAAAGCATCAACTCAATCTATGCTAACAGGCATCTCGTAGCTCTTATTTTCACCGTAGAGCCGGCATACAACTACTACATATACGAGAGAATGTTTTTTTTTGATATTTGCATGTGAAAATTCCTTTCTCAATACCTCTTTTTTAAAATGCGATCGACACATGTGCAAAATGTCAATCATAGCCAATTTTTTTTTTTTTTACCCACCCCCCAAAATATAAGCGGTAAAATAGAAAGTATTTATATCAGCGCTTTTTTTTGTTTTCTTCCTTTTCCCCTTCTTTTTTATTTAATTGAAATCCAGTAAAAATAAAATGGCTAGTAATATTGCTTTTGAACACTTTGACCCTGAAATGGAATTAGGTCAGACAGATGAACACGGTCAACCTATCCGTATTCGCAAGAAACCTGGCCGAAAACCTAATCCACCTTCTGCCGCGCAGAGAAAGGCACAGAACAGAGCTGCCCAACGCGCTTTTCGGGAACGGAAGCGTCGTGAGATGCGAGACGCTGAAACATCCGTCAAAAGATGCATGCATGCGCGAGATATGGCTATCAGAGAGAGTGAACGACTACAACGTAGAATAGATGAACTACAATATGAAACCAACTATTTGAAAGGATATGTACTAACGCTCAAGATGGCCTGTATAGCCAACAAGGTGCATATTCCCAAATTTTGGGATACAGGCGTAACAGATGCCATTGGCGCGGATGAATTAACTTTTTCAAAGACAAAACATGTTCCCCAACAATTGGAGTTTTTCTTGGATAAAAAGATGAATATTGTCGGATTGACAGAAGAAGACACATTGGTATCATCATTATCAGCAACATCACCACCTTCATCTGTCTTGAGTAGCCCGGAATCGTCATCGCTGTCTTCAGAGGATGATGACTTTGACATGAACCAGCACTTGGCTACCATAGCACCCCAGTTAGCAAACCATTTAGAAAATTCATTTCTGCAGCAACTTTTAAATACAGATTTGGTGGGTGAGAACCATTTATCGAATTGCGGTGTCACAGACATTGATCAGGTCCTTGACCCTAAAACTGGCCAGCCACGTATAACAACAGAATCCAGTATTCCATTTACCGTGAGTCCCAATAAAAAACTATTACCGCCTATGACACCTATCGATGCAATCCGTCAAATGAGATCTATAAGAAACCTAGCCCATGGTACACGGGCCTTATTTACTCCGAGTAAGTTTTATTTGTTTTTTTTAAAACAATCCAAAGATTCTCACACCTTAAGTTGTATTTTAGCTGAGCTACAATCTAGTATCCGTCACGACACACGTATTGATGTGGTTCCAGGAGCAGCCTTACGTGATCTTATGATATTGTACCAAGATTTTTATGACGCCAATGAACTATTTGCTTACTTAGCAGAAAGCGCCGTGTTTCTAGGAGGAGAGGTAGGCAACCCAGATGCATGGTTCGCACCTCCCAGCTTCTATAAACGATATTGGTTTTTGTGTCCCAACCATAAATATGAGCGCACAGACAAAAAGGTCGAAACCATGTTTGACCTTGGCCAGAGTCTGATTCAGTTTATGACTTTGAGGAAACAAATGTATATTCAACGTGACTTGTACCGGGAACATTTCCCCATCCCAGCAACCGCTGTACAGCATGTGGTCGATCAAGTCTTTTTACAGAGAAACGATCAAGACTATTTAAATGATATTTACAATATGCCAATGGATGATTTATTTTCAATGGACGGCGAAGATGATATTTTATCAAGTGATTTGCCGCTAGGTAAATTAAGAAATACTTTTTTGATTAGTTAGCATTTTTTTTTTAACATTTTTTTTTTAATCAGAGGATCTGATAGCCATGATGGGTGCTAGGATGACCTAATGTACAAACACACAACTTATACCCCCTTTTATTTATTTTGGAAATGCAGGCACAGAATATTTATGGTATTCATGTGTAACTTTATATGCATGAATATTAGTGTATTGCCAATAAAAAAATGTTGACACACAATTTTTTACAGTGTATAATGTCGTATGGATAGAAAGTGTTGGGCACTAGCATAATAATTTTTCTTTTTGCAATCATCCAACCTTACAATTGAATTAGAATTAACAACATACAGGCGTTGGGATAATTTCGAAAAGTATATTTACACAAAGTATTATCTATATATATATAAAGGTTCCTTTGCAACTTATTACCTCAATTACACCTATAAAGATAGAACGGACGGAATATAAGCAAGTAACATGATGATAATGACAATTGGTTGAAGAACTCTGATGTAAACCAGATTTAATTTAACTGCAATTGTCATTTGTTTTTTATTATAATTAAATCATCCCTTTATTTCCTTCTTATTCACAAGTAATAACATGTGTATTAGTGAGAGCTAGTGAGCATTAGATTAGATTCTAGAGTCATATGAATGTGGGGAACATAGTACACTACTTTCATTCAACAATATAAATATTGCACCCGTGATCAAATATTTCCATAATTATATCACATTTTCATCCTTGCGACATTTAGGGTGAGTGATAGGTTTAAGAACTGGTTAACATTGTCTAGGTCTAATGGGTATTTTATATATCAATAGGCTTGCTGATTTTCGAGATAGTAATATCTCATCAAACAGTATCGAATTAAGATTAACAACAAATGATTAAAAAGCCGTGATACATTGACATCTTTTGTATATTTTTTTGCAAGTAAAAAAGCAAAATACAAGTGGTACAATCTATCCTGTTTGTGTATCATAGAGTCCACAATAGTACAAAGTGAAACTAGGCTTATACAGTAAAATTTAGCCCGTAAACAAAATCCAAACAAGGATAATTCAAGTTAAATGTATTAAGTAGAACTCCTTCTATCCCCGGGGAACTATTTCTTTAAAAGCTCATAAAATAAGTGGAGTGTTTGCCTATATTAAGGAAATTACGTAGCGGTAAGACATGATGTGCTAATAAGAAGACAAAGTTATCCCCTCTAGCATGATTTCCTGTGTCTTCGATTCATGGGAATAAGTAACAAGGTCTGATCTACTAATTGCATTTAATTCGTGCAACACAATCTTAACAACATAATGCAGCTCTGTTCTTTATAAAATCGTGGCACTTTGATCTTCCTTGTGACATAAAAAATTGACAGGTTTTGATTGGAATAGTTTATTTATAATTATAAAAGAGGGCATAAAAGGATTGGAATAGATATCATAACATACAAACAATACATAAATATCATAAAAAGAGAAATTGAGCATGGAAAGAAGAGGACAGAGAGGAGAAAGGGAATTCTTGAGAGGAACAGGTTTTACTTTGTTATTTTTTTGTGTGTGTGTTTTTTTTTGTTTTGTTTTACCAGAGACCAGTGGAATAAGAGGTTCTTCTTTGTTGATCTAAAGCGTGGGTCTTGGTATAATAAGAAGCGGAGGGTAATGGAGGTGTTGTTGGAGAAGCCATAGAAGAAACAGAGGTGGTTGGACTACTGGCCATGGTAGTATTTCCAAAATAGTAATCGACCAAGGTCGAATGTTCTTGTGGTGGTGATATTGGTAGATGATTCATTTGGGTGATAGCGGCAGCTGCAGCCTCAACTGTTTCGAGTGGAATATCATCCCAAGACCAGGTTGACCAGTTGACAAGATTACGTACATCCACCTTACGTTTAGCAGCCTTCACAAATAACTCTGGAGGTCTCACTTTGGTATGACGCAAATAGTAGCTTTTGCAGGTCTCGCACCAATGACCATGACCACACAAGTTACGATACCATTGGTGGGTTTCTTGAACACTGCAATTGGCACAGTACTTTTGAGAACGTAGCGAATTTTCCTTGGGGGAGTAAAAGACCATAGGTAAAGTATTGGCACAAGATTTAGAATCCTGCTGCTGCTGCTGTTGCTGCTGTTGCTGTTGTTGAATGCGAGGACCAGGTCGGTTAGCAACAATTAATCGCAAAGGTCTAGGCTCACCATGCTTTAATTGATATCGATAACAAGCAACGCATAATCGACGTCTGGAGGCAGGTTTGGTATTACAATTAAAACACATTGGTTTAAATTTGGTGGGACGAGGACTATGCAACAACAATAGCAAAGTTGAGTACATGGAAGGTTGCTGTTGTCCATAAGGTTGAATCTCATTGGAAAAGTAAGGTCTTGGTAAATTGAGATAATCTAAGCCAGCAGAATCGAACAAGAAGTTGGAGAGTTCAATAGCGGATCTCATTTTTGCAGGATCAAAATTATGAATGTTAAATCGAAATAAAGTGTTCAAGACATGATTGAGTCGATAAATGTGATCTTCTTTAGCCATATTTGCGTTCTCCAGAAAACGTACATCAGTTCTACCGGGAGTACCACCATGTTGAGTATACCTGAATAAATGAAGAAGCCATGTTGGGAAGAAGATGAATTCCGAGGAGACCAATTGGCTCTTAGAGCTCTCTGTACGAAAGAAGACAGCTAAGAGACGCATTTGACGACATAGTTCAGTAGAGCGTATAGGCCTTGATGCTTTACTTGTACCGATATGACAACGAAAAGAACCGTTCATATGTCTACCAATAACCTTGATGTGTACTGGTATAATTTCATTGATAAAATTCGATTGGACGATAGGTGTTAGTACAGCATCTGTTAGTGTGTTGCGTTCATTGGAAGGTCTCATATTAAAACCAGACTTCTTGAGGACTGATTCCCATAAAGGCATAAGATCATCGTCATGAATAGCTGTCATGTCTGACCTGTTATTATCCACTTTAGATTGAGGTATAAGTAATTCAGTAATATTCATAATGATTTAGATATCTTCAAATACACATAAGAGAAAAAGAAACAATGAAGAAGAAGAAGAAAAGAAACGATTATAAAAAAAAAAGATGATCCTATTTTTATAGTCGTTTGACGCTTGTTATTGTCCCGCTCCCGCCCCTCTCTCCTATTTATCGATATTGATTGTCTGTTTCTGTTCCAATACTTTTTCATTGTTGTTTTTTTTAATACTTACACAATCATCTCTTGGGACACTGCCATGACTTTTTTATAACCCCTGCTTATTATTTCCTTTTTTTGCGGTACTCTTTGATTAAAAAGGGGGGAGATCACACAGTTTATGGCTTACATGAAAATTGCATCTCGAGACCTTTAGGTTACACTGAACAACTCTGTCACTTGCTGACTACCAGAAATAACTTATAACTCGGGGTTTAATGCCATTCCACTGGCAACCTTTTTTTGAAATGTACTCCCTAAACTAAAAAAAAAAAAAATCAGGCTAAAAAAGAAAAAACGTGTCTCTCTCTTTTTTTTTCCGTGTCTTGTTTTCGCTTGTCAAAACGCGTATAGTAGAATACAATAGGCGCGTTTTAATTTCTGTTGGAGTTTCTTTTTTTTTTTTTTTTTCTTGTCACAGCCTGAAAAGATAATTCATTGTCCGTCAATAAAAACAACCCATTGGCAACTTTTTTTTTTTTTTTTTTTTTTCTATTTATTATTTGGCCCTTTATTTTTCCCTTTATTTTTTCTTCTTTATAAAAATCTCATTACAAAAAGAGTCTAATTCAAAGCATGGATGGACAAGAGGAAGACTTTTCTTCGTTATCAATTAGCGATAGATTAAACCATAAAGTAATGCACACTGAGACCGACAGAGAAAAGAGAACGTTGAATGTTTAATTAACCTATAGTGTCTTTATTTTAATTGCATCCTGTAGGTTTGGAAGGCACGTGTATCAGCTTGTGAAGACTTAACCAAACTACTTCATAAAACTACAGAAGATTCCGACTTTGATACATATGAACCTTTTCTCAGAAAACTAGCCCTCGAAGCAAACGCTGTGGCTCAAGAAGCGGGCCTAGCTGCAATCATCGAATACGTCAGCAATGCACCTAACGCTTCCAGGTAAAAAGAAAAAGAGAGATAGAAATATATATATATCATTATTTAAACTTCTGTACTAACCCTCACCCCTCTCCTCCTTTAACTACTAGCACTCGTGAAACAGTGATTACAGCTCTTGTAGAAAAGTGTCTCGGTGCCACCAAAGCAGGTACCAAACAAAAAGCAACAGACATCATTTTACTTTATGCAGAAATCGACACACCCGAACCTGTTCTTGTAAGTTTTTCTTAAAAAAAAAGTTTAAATCTATCAGCACTAAATGTAAGTTATATATATGTATGGATAAAAAGGAATTCGTCATACCCGGAACAAATGCAAAACAGCCTAAACTCGTCACTCAAACAGTCACCGTCCTCAAAGAACTGGTTCGACAATTTGGTATTAAGAAAGTAAACCCAAAACCCATCTTGAAGATCATACCTAAATTATTTGGACATGCCGATAAAAATGTACGTGCCGAAGTATCTGCATTAACCATCGAATTATATCGCTGGATCGGTCAACCCATGATGCCCAGTCTCTCCACTTTAAAACCTGTTCAAATCAAAGAGTTAGAGGAAGCCTTTACCAAATTACCTGCTGGAAAACCAACTCCAGAACGTCTCATCAGGTCAGAACAAGCAATCGAAGAAGAGGAAGCGGTAGTAGAGGACATTGGTATTTTAAAATTTAAGGGCTTCTTTTTTTCCTTATTTACTAATTAAACCCTTCTTTTTCTTATAAAAATGCAGGAGAGGAAGAACAGGGCCAAGAGGATATGGATGTGGAAGAGACTGACGCCTTTGATTTCGCTGACCCCGTAGATATCACCGCTAAATTACCTGGAAATTTTTACGAGTTACTTGTCTCTAAAAAATGGCAAGAAAGAAGAGAAGCATTGGATGCCTTATTGGAAAAAGCAAAGACACCTAAAATTATGGATAAAGATTATACAGAGCTAATAGGTGCCCTTGTGAAGGTACGTTGATTAGGATTATTTCATGTGTCATTCTGTTCCGCTGACCCTTTTATGTTTTTCTTATGTAATTAGCGTCTTGGTGATGCCAACATGCTTCTCGTCGGTGTCACGGCAAATTGTATCGAGACCATCGCGACTGGTCTAAGAATGGATTTCGGTAAATACAAACCATTACTTGCACCAGTCATGATCGAGAAATTGAAAGAGAGAAAGCCTGCCATTCTGGAACAACTGGCAAATGGATTAAACGCTGTATTCGCCTCTGTACCCATGTCAGAACTAGTAGAAGATATCACTACCGCTTCCAAACACAAAAATCCACAAGTAAGAGCAGAGACTTTCAAATTATTATCACGACAGTTGAAACAAGTGAGAGAGATACCTGGGAAAGGAGAGATTAAGACATTTGCTGAAATGTTCAAGAAATTATTGGACGATGCGGATGCGAATGCGCGTGAAGCCGGTGCAGAAGGTTTAGGTACGTTGATGAAGTTAATTGGCGAAAAACCCATGTTAGCATTTACGGATGGTTTGGATGATATCAAAATGGGTAAGATCAAGGAAGCGTTCGAAAAGGCCACCGTGAAGGCCAAGGTCAAAAAAGCCGCTCCTCCACCACCACCGCCTGTTAAGAAAGCACCTGTCAAAAAAGCCGCACCTAAACCTGCTGCTCCTAAACCAACACCCATGGCTGTTGATGAGCCTGACGATTCTTTTGCTCCACTCAGTCCACCCAAACGAAAACCACCAGCTCGTTTAGCTGGTGCCAGCAGTGTGAAGAAACCCGCACTTTCATCCGCCAAACCTAAACCGGCAGCAGCACCCGCATCAAGTGGAGGCCCTAAAAAGAGTGCGAAGTTACCTCCTCCTAGCGGCCCTGAAGAAATCAAATATAAGTTTGCACAGGAAGATGCTGAGGCACGTGCCACCGAGTTTATCCCAGCTGCGATTCATGCCGATCTTCAACAAGCGCAGTGGAAAGTGCGTTTGGCCGCCATGGAGCTCCTTTGTACACATTTTGAGCAAGAGGATGGAGCTACGATCGAACCAGAAATTGTGATTCGAGCATTCAGTAAGAAACCTGGATGGAAAGAAATGAATTTCCAAGTGATGGGTAAAATGTTTAACGCCATTCAAACCTTATCTGTCGAGTGCCCCAAATTCAACAAGGCATGTGCAGCACTTTGTATCCCCGTCATGGTTGAAAAATTAGGTGATATCAAGCTCAAGAAGCCTGCAGGTGAATGTCTGGTAGCCATCGCTGAAAAAATTTCGCTTCAGTTTGTCTTATCTCAAGCTTATCCCGTATTGAAAAAGGCCAAATCCCCTAAAGTATTGGCAGATTCTCTCCAGTGGATTCATAGTTGTTTAATGGATTTTGGTATTTCGGGTCTACAAATTCGTGACTTGATCGACCTCTTAAAATTTGGTTTGACAAACACAAATGCTTCAGTCAGAACAAGTGCAGTAACCGTCTTGGGTGCACTTCGACAATATATCGGACCTGGTAAAGCTTAATATTTATGTGTAGATATTCTTTTTTTACTAATATTTTCTGTCAGAGGTAAAATCATTCGTTGAGGATGTCAGTCCAGCATTGTTAGCCACCATCGAATCCGAGTTTGAAAAAGTTTCCAAGATGGATCCTCCTCAACCTACTAAAGGTGATATCGATATGGTAAGTCATAAATCACACATGACTGTATTAAGTTATTTATCCCCCCCCCCTTTTTTTTTATATGTACAGTCTGGTGGTGCTGCTGATGAAGGAGGCGCGAGTGCCAGTGCTGATGCGATGGAATCTCTTTTCCCTCGTGTCGATATTTCTGGTCCCTTGACTAAAACCGTGACTGAATGTGGAGATGCTAATTGGAAGATTCGTAAACAAGGTCTTGATGCTGTTCTTTCCATCATTGCAGGTGCAAACAACCGTATCAAACCTTCATTAGGTGCAGATTTCCCTGGTGTGCTGAAACAACGTCTAAATGACAGTAACAAGAATCTTCAGATTAATGCGGTTGAGATTACAGGATTATTAGCAGTAGCTATGGGAAAGCCCTTTGAGAAATATGTGAAACCTTTTACAGGACCGGTCATGGCTGTCTTGTCGGATAATAAGGCCAATGTAAGAGCCGCAGGTATCACCACCTTGGAAAGTATTCGAAAGACATGTACGATGGAAATGATGGTGCCCGCTTGTGGTACTGTGCTTGCAAATGAATCTCCCGCTTTGCGTAAAGAATTATTAACCTGGTTCGCTACTGCCATTAAGGATGAACCAGATGCTGCCAAATATGATTATTCGGGTATGGTGTTGCCTGTGTTCTCATGCCTTCAAGATCGTAATGCCGATGTACGTAAAGCAGCTCAAGCAAGTTTACCAGAACTCATTGCGGTAGCAGGGTATGATGCAGTGTTCAGTCGAACATCTGAACTCAAGGCTGCCCAACGTCAAACTGTTATGCCATTTGTCGAGGCGGCCAGAGGATCACCCGCGGCTGCTTCTGTTACACCTGCGCAAAGAAAACCAGAGGCGAAACAAGCACGTCCCGAGGCTGAAGAGAAACCTGCGAGTCGCATGAAGGCTCCTTTAAGAAAGAAAATTGGCGTTGCTTCTCCTCGATCACCCGCTCCTGCTGCTGCTGTAGAAGAAGCAAGTGCTCCTATCTTGACGAGCGATCCTCGTGCTAAATTAATGCGTGCTAAAAAAGAAAACAGATGGCAATTCGATACACCTCGTTCGGATGTTATAGATGGGCTTAAGACTCTTTGCGATGCCAATATGAGCCCCGAAGTTACGGCTCTTTTATTTAGTAATAGTCAATATGCTGAACGTGATCGATTGAATGGTCTGATGATCTTAAATGATTGTATCAGCTCTCCTCAAGTGGCTGAAACAAAATATAACATGGACTATGAAGACATGAAACAACGTTTTGTGGCTAACGCCGATCTTATTCTCAAATACCTGACGATCCGTTTCTTTGATACAAGTACCAGTATGCTGATCAAATGTTTGGATATCACCCAGAATTTGATTGCTGTCTTGGACAATGAGGGCTATAGTCTGTCTGAATACGAAGCTTCTTCCTTCTTGCCATTTTTAATTAACAAGGTGGGTGACCCCAAAGAAAGTATCCGTGGTCGAATTCGTGGCATTTTAAAATCTCTCTGCCGTATCTATCCTGCTAGTAAAGTCTTTAACTTTTTGTTAGAATCCGCTGCAGGATCAAAGAATGCAAAGGCTCGTACTGAATGTTTGGAAGAGATTGGTTCCTTAATCAAGACTAACGGTATAACGATCATGTTGCCCACCAAAGCTTTACCCCTGATCGCCACCCATATTGGTGATAAAGATGCAGGTGTGCGTAACGCTGCCTTGAACGGTATTGCACAAGCCTATATCTTGATTGGTGATTCTGTGATGAAATATGTGAGCCGGTTAGGTGAAAAGGAAAAAGGCATGCTCGAGGAAAGATTAAAGCGTACAAAACCTTCAGCTAGTGTGCTGGCTGCCGCTGAAAAGGAACGAGCTAAACAAGAAGCTGATGAAATGGAGATAGATGAATTACCCTCTGTAAGTAACTTGCCTCGTATGGGTGGTAAATCACAAATTGGAAAGCCTCCTCGTACAAGTATGGTAGCTCCTCAACGTTCTATTCGTAATGTACAAAGTATACCCGAACCTGAACCTATGGAAGATGTGATGGATGACTATGGCAACAAAGAACCCGTCTATCGTCATCAAGAATTAAGACAGGTACGCTCACAACAATTTGGTTACCATCAACCTCCCCCACCCCAACAACAACAGCAACAGCAACAACAACAACAACAACAGCAGCAACAATTTGCTAGTCAGGAGGATATTGTGGATTATCTCATTGCACAAATTACAAGCGGCGATCCTCAACCTAGTATTGATGCTCTTAAAAATCTGGATAAATACTTGTCACAAAGCCCTCAGCTTGTTTTGCCCGATATTGAACGATTGATCAATGCCATTGCACTTCAAGTGAAATTGGCTTATTCGAATATCGATCCACGCCAACCTTCTACAACAAGGCTATGTAAACATCTGGTCAATGCGCTTGTCCTATTGTTCTCAAACAAGGAATTAGCATGTGCTGTGCCTCAGGACGCATTGCACCATCTATTGCAAGAACTTGCTCATCGTTTATTAGATCAAACCATGCTTTCTTTAGAATCTGGACCTCAATTATCCAAAGCATTGAACGTTGCCATGGTGAAAGTATTAGAAAACAGTGCACGAAATGTCACATTCAGGTAAAGCAAACGGAATGTTTTAGAATAAATTCCTTTTTTTACTAAAAAATCAAGGAACACCCGAATAGCGCGCTTTTATCCATATTAGGCACTTGTTCAGCTGTGTTACGTCCCGGCGATCTTGCTACCGCTAAAAATACCAAATACACCGAGCTCATTATGAAATGTCTTTGGAAGTTGGCTAAATCAATCCAGGAGAATTTGCGCACCCAAGTTTTAAATGCAGATGAACTGTTGTACGATATTAATCGATTTTTTATAACGACACGACCTTTAGAATGGAAGCGAAGAGCGACGGAAAAAGTTCCGTTGGGTGAGATGCCGCTTCGTACAGTGAAAACTTTGTTATTGGAACTGGTTAATGGATTAGGCGATAACATCTTTCAACATTTGACATTGATCGATGATCCACAAAGAAGTAGCGTCTATCCTTATCTCCATCATATGTTGGAAGCCTGCCGAAAAAAAGATAAACAACAGCAGCAACAACAACAACAGCAGCAGCAGCAGCAGCAACAGTTAAATCAACCCATGTCGTCACAACCCATGCAACAATCCATGGAAGAAGGAAATCGTTATTTATCGCATTCACGTAACTCATCGCTGGGTAGACCTGCCTCTGCAAGCTCGATGAAGGCTCACAATACCATGATGAGAACGCCTTCTATGGCATCATACCCATCCACTGACGGAGAACAACAACAACACCATGCCATGGAAAATATGTCGGCTAATCAAAGCCCACAATTTAGCGCACCCTCTCTCAACAATAGCCATGTCCAACCTATGCAGATTGATGAACCTCAAGATAATATGGGCAGTCCTGCTGTATTAAGTGATTTCCAACTGAATAATATATTGACCAAGATTTTTCAAAAGATTGGCACACGCGATCAAACTAAGATGGTAAGGAAAGAGAGGTGTTTGAAAAAAAAAAAAAACCGGAAGTTAACTATATTAAACTTTTTTTTTTTTTTGTTCAGGGCATTATTGAACTTCATCAATTCCAAAAAAGTTATCCCCTTGCACAAACCAAAGTCAACACGTATCTTAGCCAGACAGGAAATTACTTTCAAAGTTATATCCGACGAGGATTAAGTAATTTAGCAGCTGAGGATAGTGAATTAGCAGCAGTTGAAGCAGCAGCGGCAGCAGCATCAGCGGCGGCATCGGTAGCGGCGTCTACGATGGTTACACCACCACCGAATGTCGACTATCAATCTTTTCCATCTTCCCCCATTCATACAACACCTCTACCAGAACAATATAGTAGTCATGGTGAAAGAAGCTCGTTTGAATCTCCTCAGCAACATTCTAGACCTGACCCTAGATCGAGTCTACACGCAGGAGGTAATATAAATCAACCCTTTTTGTGATTATCTGTAGATCAACAAAGAATTTTTTTTTTAATGTTAATATTAATTTCTTTGTAGATGATACAGCGGAAATGAAGCTCAAGTTATTGCGATTACAGCAAAAGTTCGGCTATAATAATAAATCTGAGGTGAGTAACATGCAAAAATAAGGTTAGGGTTCTATTTGGGATTTTTTTTTTTACTGAACTGAGTTTTGTTTTTTGTATTCTTTGTTAAACAGATGGAGGACAATTCATCGGGACCCGCAGGGCCTAGTACGTCAGACCATTCTCTTACGAGATCAGATTCACAAAGCTATTCAACTTTCTCTCCTCGAAGACAAGCAGGCATGGCAGTAAGTGAACAAGCAAAAAAAAAAAGTAATTTCTTTGTTACTAATGGATTGTTAAAAAAAGGATTATCGTGAATCACAAGGAGAGTCTGATAGGCAACAGTCTGTCTCTGCGTTGAAGGAAAGGTTAGCTAAAATGAAGCAAGTGATTAATAATGCCTCATCTTCATCATAAAGAATTCTAAAAATAAAATTATTTAATACGTCAAAAATATGTGTGTGTGTGTGTGTGCGTACCTGTATCACTTTTTGAAAAATGACATGTTCAACGCGAATCTGGTTGAAAAAGGAAATTCGACTAAAATCATGCGGCGTATAGAATAATTTGTACACGAATGACGGGATTAAATCTTTTTGTATAACCCCAACTATGACATTTATAGTTTAAATCGCCAAGTACACAAACAAAAAGAAAAAAGTAAAATAAAAAAAAAAAAAATTACGTCGGTGTTAGATCACCCCCAAAAGGGTGTTATTCCGAAGGATCGCTATACTCCGCATGTTTTTGATTGTCCTTCTTTTTTTTTCCAGTTGTATATAAATACAGGGCGATCAACAACAAATTTCTCTTCTTTTTTTTTTTCTCTTCATTATTTCTCTCACCCTTTAATACATATACACACATAAAAAAAATGAAGTTCACTCTTGTCGGATTAGCTGCTCTCGCTGTTGGTGTTCAAACCGCCATTGCTGCCTCTTGTAACTGTCCCGTTGGAGATACCAACTGTTTAAACAAGTGTGGTAAGTAAATAAAGTGTATGGGGCTTAGAATTGCTTTTAACTTTCTTTCTATAGTTACCGATACTAACGGTTGTATTGACGCCTGTAATGGTGCCATTGATTGTTACCAAGCTTGTTTAAACCACTGGCCTGGTGTTGAAGGTTCTACCACTGCTGGTGGTGCTACCACAACTCAATCCGCCACCGGAGAATCCACTCGTGCCACCAACTCTGCCAGCAGCGATCGTACTGGATCTTCTTCTTCTAGCCGTGGAAGCGCTTCTTCCGAAGCCTCTTCTAACACTCGTGTTGTTGCCGCTACTACTACTACTGGTAGCGCTGCTTCTGCTACTGCTACTGCTTCTTCTACCAGAGATATTAGCCGTTCTGTCTCCATGGTTGCCGCATCCATTGCTTCTGAAATCTCTGTTACTTCTGCAGCTGTCGCCTCTGGCGCTTCCGGTGTTTCTCAATCTGCAGTTGCCTCTGCCTCTGGTATCGTTTCCGCTGCATCCTCTGGTGCATCTTCTGTTGCTTCTGGTCTTTCCGCTACATCTGCATCAGTTGCTTCTGTCACCTCTTCTGTTCAATCTGTCTTGAGCCAAGCTTCTTCTGCTGCTTCCTCCAAGGTTGCCTCTGCTACTTCTATGGCTTCCGCTGCTGCTTCTGCTACCCCTGATTCTAACTCTGGTGCCAATGTCATGCCTGCTCTCGGTATGACTGTCTTGTCCATTGCTCTTGCTATGTTGGGTTTCCAATAAATTGGTGCAAAATCAACAAAGAAATAGAAAAATGGGCGTATATAAACATCCCCCCCCAATAATCCAAGTAGTCCCCTTTTTTTTATTTTTTCTCTCACACTCTACATAATTATGTAATATAACCTACATCTTATACACATTTATAAATAAACTTTTTACATCTATTTTAAAACAAATATTCATTATTAGCAATCATTGTTTGTATATATATATATATATTTATTCATTCTGCCTATTCTATTGTAAAATAGCTTTTTCATCAAAATTATATTTAACTCATGTGACTTTGTATGACAACTCTCCTTAGCTCGCAAACCCTATTTTTAAAATAATAATAATCAATGTTCTAACTCTTCCTTCCCCCCCTCCTCATCATTTAAAAAAAAAACATGTCTCATTCAAGTTTCATACACGATTATTCGCAGGTGGAAGAAGGTCAATGTCAAGCTCAGGTACGACCTGCACCACCCAGTACTGCATATGCAGAGTTTGAATTCGAGGATTCAGCTCACCATGAACCTTTACTAGCCCACGACAGCGATCAAGACTCCTTGCTGGATGAAACAGACCTGGAGCTAAAACAGCAATATAAGCTACCTTCAGAAGGAGGAACCATCTTCTCGAGCTTCGTAAGTACTTGTTATAAGTTTTTTTTTTTAAAAAAAACAGGTCGATTTTAAAATTTATTAAGCTTTCAAGCTTATTATTATTAGCTCAACATGGCAAACAGCATTATCGGAGCTGGAATCATTGGTTTACCGTTTGCATTTAAAGAAGCTGTAAGTGGTCGAAAGTATAGGTCTTTTAGTACATAGCATTTAAGCGCGTTTTTCTTTAGGGATTCTGGACAGGGATAGCGTTATTAATCGCTTTAACAGTGGTTGTAGGTAAGGAGAGAGAGAGAGAGAGAGACGTCTTGTTTCAATAATTAGGAGGCTCAATTTGGGTAAAATTAATTTATTAGATTGGACTGTAAGGCTGTTAATGCATAATGGAAAGTTGGCAGGAAGGTCTACATATCAGGATTTAATGGAGTTTGCTTTTGGAAGACCAGGCTTAGTAGCCATCTCTATATTTCAATTTGCCTTTGCATTTGGCGGTAATTAATTTTTTTTTATGTGTTACACTACTACTTACGAAACTGACTTGATATATCTTTTATAGGCATGTGTGCATACTGTGTCATCATTGGTAAGTAGATTTTTACTGTAAAAAACAATAAGTGTAGTTGACGTTTTATATTATAATTAGGTGACACGATTCCACACGTTATTCGGTCTCTATTTCCCAAAATCAGCCAAGTACCTGTCATTTGGATATTTGGTGATCGTAGAATGTGTATTTCTTTCTTTACCTTGTTTGTCTCCTATCCTCTATCATTATACCGGGATATATCCAAGTTGGCTAAAACTAGCGCTTTAGCATTGGTGGCTATTATTGTCATCATTGTCAGTGTTGTCATTGAAGGTCCCCAACAATCACGAGAGATAAGAGGATCAGACGATCTCATGTTTAACGTGATCAATGATGAAGTGTTTCAGGCCATTGCGGTTATTAGCTTTGGTAATAGCTCAAACATAGACTGAATGGATAATAAGTATACTGACATGTTATTTTTTTATTATCAGCGTTTGTTTGTCATCACAATAGCTTCTTGATTTTTGGTTCCTTAAAACAACCGTCCCTGAATCGATTTGCCACTGTCACACATTGGAGCATGGGGATTGCTTTTTTTACCTGTTTTGCACTGGCTGTATCTGGCTATCTTGTATTTACCGATAAGACTGTTGGCAACATTTTGAACAACTTTCCCTCTGACAATATTTTGATTAATGTAGCAAGGCTGGCGTTTGGCTTAAATATGTTTACAACTATTCCCTTGGAGGCTTTTGTATGTAGAGAGGTGATTGAAACGTTTTATTGGCCCGGAGCAAAATTTGACAAGATGCGACATTTCTCCATCACAACTATATTGGTTTTGATTACACTCACAATTTCTTTACTGACATGCAATTTGGGGATTGTTCTGGAACTGACGGGAGGGTTTTCTGCCACTGTTCTGGCCTTTGTGCTCCCTCCCATGTGTTTCTTAAAGCTGGCAACAGGATCCATCTGGGAGCGCGGTAAAATACCTCATTGGCTTTGTATGATTTTTGGCATTATTATTATGGTCTTGAGTACTTTTTATAGTCTACAAAAAGTCTTTCTTTCTAGCTCGGATACTGACCCGAGCACCGAAACCTGTAATTAGAAATAAAAAATCATTGTATGAACACTACATCTAATATACGCAACCTCTTAATTTTACTGGACTTCTTTTAATCCTTTTTTTAGTCAAGTATCTATTCTTGGCAAAAGAAAGAGATGTTTGCATGAATTAATTATGTGAGAGTCTAGGCAATAAAAGACCCTTTCTGATTGATTTTAAAGTTTCATCATGTATCAAGACTCCCCAAGCGCAAATCGAGTATAATGTACTCCTGCTTTATCCCGGGTTTTTAAGGTGAGAAACTAGAATGCATTATATTAATTGCATTACTTGTACACAACCGTTTCTCTTTTATTGTTCATCCACTACAAAGAATTAAGTATGATACTAATGGTAGAAACTCCCATTTCATGAATAAATTACATATATACGAGGAATATATATATATATATATATAAAAACCTGGGTTGATCGCTACTCAATGTAATGGTTTGCACTGCTACGATCATCGTCTAAAAATGTAAAATAAGACTCCTCTCTCGTGTTTTAAACGGCATATTTGTTCATGATGACAGATTTTTTTTTTAGTGGGTAATTATATTTAGAATTGTCATACATCATACGATTTTGATTGTCAAGACAATTAATGTGTCGCTGTTATGGTCACTGGGCTCTTTTTATGCAATGCTATGCCTCTTTATACCTTACATTGGACCCAGCTCAAGAAATTTGATTTCTTTGAGACATAAACAATCTGCTAAATATAAAACAGGTTTTTTTTTTATATGTATGACCAAGTCAGTTGTGTGACACGAGTTTTTTTTTTTTGCTGATGCGCTGCATACTGCAATCGTATAGGTATGTGGTCTTGTAATTATTAAACTTTAAATTTGCATCATTATTAACATAATCCTCTACGGAAAATTAAATATAATCAAGTCTCTCTTCTTGATGCAGTCTGTAAAGTCTCTGTTTCGCATAAATGGCAAGAAGGTGAGATTTATGATTCAGATAAATATAATTATGATGTAATATTATATTTAAAAGTAAGTACATTGGAGGATGCAGGGATAATTCAATTTGGATTTGCATACAGCTTATGTCCCTCTCTCTATTTCAGAAAAAAAAAACGAAAAGCCACTAGCCATTGTAAATAAACAAACCAAACGCTGTCCATTAGATACGGAGATCTAATTGTGTCACACTGATGACATTTTGTTTATGAAGACAAAATGAAAAGACCGTGCCATTAGAGGCCATGTACGTCAAACTATGCATCCGCAATTTTTGGAAAAAAATAATGTATGTAACATAAAGTGAGTTGCGATTTAATGAATTTTCCAAGTCGATGGCTATAGATAAGGAAAGATATCTGATGGAAGTGATTATCGGATGATTACTATCAGTTTTTTTCGCCATTATTAGGAAACGGCAATACAATAGACTCAAAACTGACAGAAAGATTATATGCATTTATCATGTCCTTACTAGAGAGCAAGTTATGAATTTATCAGTACGTGTAGTATATCGACGACTACGGCTTTGCTTTTTTGAGGTGATATAAATCGGAAAAATTAAAACTATGACCCATAACCATCCTTATTTATCATTATGGTTTTAAGTTATGACGAAATCTTGTTTAGAAGCTAATAACTCAGGAGGGCACAAAGTGCTTTCAGTGGGACGGAAAGGAGCACTAAAAATTTAAACCAAACCTTTTACAATTGTAATGTCTTACTCTTGGTTCCATTACACAGGATGAGTATTTAAAGTTTGGATACGTTTTAATGTTTCCACCGTTATAGGACTTACAGGAAAATATACACACATTCACTTTCATTGCTATAATAATCATACTAATTTAATATTAACACAATAAATAATAAATATAAAACAATCGTTATACCATCACTTTATGTAGATAGAGCCATTTAATCATCGAATAAGTGCTAATGAAGCTATTCTTACTTGGGTCTTGTTGTGTTTAAATGACGAAGATCCGTTTGTAATCTGTAAAAAAGAAAGTAAACAAACTACCTCATTCAATGGAAAAGGAAAGGGCAAGGAAAACAAAAGTTCATCACGCCACTTTTTAGACTTATTGATAAACAAAAACAAACAAGGACATGTGGTAATGATATCACAGTAAATTACGGCCTATGAGCGAAGTTGTTCCGAACGGATAACTTGTTGTTGCTTAATTACTCTGACGTTGTATGTTAGACTTCTGAACAACCGCAAATTAGGACAGATGCGTAAGATCGACCTATAATTCTAAAAACGTTAGTAGGCGGATTATGACAGCTGTTTCAAAACGCATAGTCTAGTCATACTCCAATACTCATATTATTAAACTGTCATTAACTCCACATGGTATGAGTGTTATAATATGATCTACCTGTCGATCAAGAATCGATGGACTGATTTTATATGAGTTTTTATATGCTAAATTGTGCAATTTCAGTACTGTCGCCACTCTTATAACAATCAACCGATCATTACAAATGCGTTGTGTATTGTAAACGAGAGAAGTGTCGCAAGCCAAAATAAAATAACAATGATTAGATAGATGTGTATTCTTTTATCGAGAATAAAAAATAAACTAAAGAACCCTGCTGCTAGATATCCAGATATCAAAATATCAACCAATACACATTTTCGTAATGTCTCTAGCCCTTACCTGGTTCAAGTGCTTGACTTTGGGATGTAGAATTCCATTAAATGTTTTGGTAGTTAAGAGCTTTTTTATTTATCTTTCTACCTTCGTAAGAAAAAGTAGCCTCTATCGAAGCAAGTTTGGTCTTTGACAGACTTCGAGGTCTTTTAATTGGCTTGGATGGGGAGTGAGCCTCGTTAAAACTCAAATATTCCCTACAGGAGGAGGGTAGGTTAGCTGTAAGGTTGATCCATTTAGAAGCCAAGAAAACATAATCATCGTTTGACTGATGAGGCTTTAAAGGTTATGGAGTACGGAAATGTTTTTTTTTTTTTTTTTTTTTTTTTACAAATTCCTTAAACTTGAAACACCAAAAATTCGTGCTGTGTTTCTGTTTTACATGGACAAAAAAATACAAGATTGAAAAACGTTTTAATGGTTTATGAGAAAAAAACTATGGGTAGTTATAAGAAGAATTAAATAGTTCTAGCGGAAGATATGCAGCGCATTATTGGACCATGATCTAATATAACCTGGTGATAATAAATAATAACTATGTCTTTAAATTTAGTCCTTCCATACAGGGTACATGATTATCAGTTAGAGAGATCAACAAATACCAAAACATCAAATGACAACAGCAAAGTTCATGCTTAAGATTCTAGTTACATCCTAATAGATTGTAGTACTTTATACAGAATCAAGAGTTTTTACGTCGAGTACATCTGAAGGATTTCCATAGAAATCCCTGTAATGTAAATTAAACAGTGGTACAATGCACTTGGTGACAATGGGCCAATCATTTTTCAGAAACGATTTTAAAAAACGGACAGAATTGGCCAGCCGCATTCTCAACAGTTTTCTTCTTTTTTTTTTATTATTCTTTTTGTCCATCGTCTTCCAATGGTCGTTCCTGTCATTCAATCTTACCCTCATTACAAGTATATTACGCCCGGAAAACTAGTTAGAGTGTAAGTTACAGCTCGCCGCACTTGTACGTTTAACACTAACTGAGTGTAAAACGCGTTTTAGAGCTCCTACTTTAGCTGTGTGGGGATTTGCCACTGCTGCTGCTTTAGCATTGTTGGGATCCGATATTCCTATTGTCAGAGCGGATGTCTTGGGAAGAATACCTTTGGCCGGTAAATATTTCCCTGTTCAAAGTGGAAAGGAAGAAGAGGAAGATTAAACACTCTTATCTTAATAAAAAAAAAAGCACGCGACTTTTTTTGTCAATGCCACACACTTAAAATCATAGACATTGTGTTTTCGCTGTAATTTTGAGAGTAAAAAGTAGCTACTACCTGATAATCAATATTTTAAGCTTAATTATGGATGGCAACTTTTTTTTTTTGGGTGAAAATGCTTCTTAGACATTTTCATCTTTTGTTTTTTGGGTTATCTCTTGTTTTTGAGTAATTTTTTTTACATCGCTTCTATACGCGGATTTTCGGTGATTGATATCTACTTTCTCACTGTCTATCAGGTCTACATATTCTGTTGTAATTTCAATGTGTCCATCTGCTATGGTTTTCAAATATTTGAATTTCTTTATTCTGTCTTGGAAAAGTTGTACCCAGTAGCATTTTGTTGGGAAAACTTGGTTTATATGATCCCGATAATGATCATTTTCATTTTACTTGGGTAAAGGACAATCAGGCTTCAAATTTAGGCTCAAGTAATGTCCACCCAGCAACACAAATGAAGTTGCCTTGTTTTTGTTTTGTGGACAGTCTGGAATAAAAGACCTACAACCTTTTGCCGAAAAGAAATGAACTAGACGTTCGTACAAATCAGAAATAATCATTCCTATTCGAAATAATTAGGGTTTCTTGTTTAATAAAGAATCTCAATGGTACGATATATACCTGATTGAGACATTTTCATCCAGTTGTCTTCAAGGCAAGGACCATCAATGTCCAAAGTTACTCTTTTCACAAACATCATGCACTCTTCGTCGTTACTAGCGAAGGTATACTTCAAAAAAAAAAAAGGCTTTTTACTTTTCAAGATGCATCAGAAGCTCTCTTCTGATGTCATAGCAGTCGTCTTCATTTCTACCTAAAGCGATTGCTATGACACGAAACCCACAGTTTCCATCCTTTCCAACGTCAATAACATTAACAATGTGCTCTATCATAGAACTAGGAATACCATCTTTAATGGACTTATTGGAGATAGGTTCGTAAATTCCACGGGTTGTTTTTTGTTTCTTTTTTCTGTACTAACAAGACGGCCTTTGCAGCTCTCATAGCTATCGTTGTTCTGACCTTTTTAAGGGTTTCTTGCTTTTTTATTGCACGGATGTCTTCCTTAATTCTCAACTCGGTAGTCTCGCCCTAAGACAGTATTCTCCCAGTCTTTGAGGTTTTCTCTAAAAATGATTGTGAATAATTGTCTTGTATCATTGTACATATTTAACTTACGCGAGTTTGGAAATCCACATTTTTTGGCCATTGGTTGCAGTAATTTCATTTCTGAAATATTGTTGATAGACTCAGTTAATTTGATTATTGAGTCTAGTTTTTCTTTCTTTATATAAACGAATGGGATTGCTTCAAATGCTTTATCCAAATTGTATAAAGCAGTATACCAGTCTGTGCCTGCTTTATACTGATCTATCGTGAAACAAAAGTCAGTTATCTTGTATTTATAACCAAGTCAAGTAGTTAAGACACATTCCAATAGAAATTGTTGATTCGAGTTGATCTGACTCTTCAGCTTTGGAAACTGGCTCAGTGTCCTGAATAAACCAACGACGATCAATCCACTTCAGCTGGATTGCAATATCCTTACGCACCACCATACATTGCATGTCGTCATTGCCAATTAGAGATTCATATTCTGCATGGAACATCTTGTGTCGACATGGGATTTTCATCGTTGCTTGAAATATATGTGTACAGGCACTGTATTTCTTTTCACTGGCTTCCTTGTTGAACAGCTCAACTTGTTCTCGTATTCTCTCAATGCAGTACTGACTAACAACATAAATTATATGCCTGTACATATCATTGTTCATTAAGAAAGGGTCGCATCTAGTCTTCGGGTATGCCCTTGTCATCACCGATTTTATTTCTTGACCCACAGGGACCTGGTCAAGGTTTTCAAACGTTGCCTGCAAGCTGCATCCCCCCATTTGCTTTTTGTTCCATTTCAAAGCTGCATGAGCACCTTCGACTGGACTTGTCGTGTAGTTGCCCATATGCGAAAATTCGTCTGTGTACGCACGAATCCAGAATCTACCTTCCTTGTCTATTTCTTCGACAAAAGATAAAACTTTTTGGCCCAAGCCCACCTTTTCGATTGTCCTCTTGATTGTAGTAACGTTGCTAACGCTTTCCTCCACGGTCTTACTCTGGTGAAGTCTCCAAAAGAATTTTTCAAAATCCTCGTAATCTTCAGAGGTAGCAAATAGCTTTCTGGCTGCTGTTTTAAGATTTTGAACAATTGAATGCCACACGCAAATCATTTTGTTGATATTGGGAAAAACCAAGTCAAGAGCTCCTCTGACACTGGCTGCTCTATCTGTTATCACAACTTCTGGTAAAATGCCTGCTTTATCATAAACCTTTTGATTATAATAATTTGATATAGTGAATGGATACACAATAATAATTATGATGAATATACAATTTTATATTTAGATGAAAAAATAAAAAATAGCGTAAAATATAAATTATTAAGAGTCCAATGATAAAATGATGTGATGTGAATATTTGATGTTAGATCCTTCTTGTATGTGTAATAAAAAATAGTAACATTACCTGGTTGTTCAAGGTTTCAAAAAACCACTTGTTTCTTTGGCTTCATCTGCAACTAGTGTTCGAACTTTTCGAGCTTGCACCGATCTTGCGCCAGTTCGAACGAAGCTCGAACCGAGTTTTTGTACTCGAGCTTGCGCCACTTTTTTTTGGGTTCGAGCGAGCTTCGAGCGAGCATCGATCGAAGCTCGCTCGGCTAAAATGTCGATAGTAGTCACTTTAAAGTTAAGGTCCTTGAAAGACTAGTGAAAGCATTTCTCCTTGATTTTACTCTTTTCTTCCCTTTATTATTTTTTTCTCTAATAATTCCAAATAAAATGCTTTAAACTTTTAATTAATTGTACAACCAACAAACACATTTAGCATAGGATATGATACAGTATTGCACACTAAACCCAACTAAGCCAATTTTTTACAGCAACAATAGTAACATGACGTAGCAGAATTAATTTAAACTTTCATGTTCAAAAATCCAAATGTATTATAAATATGGATGCAGTAATAGTTTGATTTAATTATCCGAATTTGGTGTTAAGGCTGGTGAAAAAAAAACCTTTCTTTTTCTTTTTCCAACTTCTATTTCAATAAATAACAATTTTATTATCATAACTTTCTGTAATTAACATCACTTTGACGTGCACTTTGTGTAATAAAAAGGGCGAGCGAGTTCGAGCTATCGTATTCGCAACCGAGCCGAGCTTAAGAAACTTCGAGCGAGCTCGAGCTGCAAAAAAACGCATCCGAGCGAGCTTCGACTGGAACACGATCGAAGCTCGCTCGAGAGTTTCGATCTTCATTCCGAACACTAAACGCTACACAAACAGTTGTGAGGATTTTTGACTATATAAATATTTGCCTTTACCAGACTGTATATCACTAAACAAAAAGAAAATGCCATTTTAATGTATTATTGATTAAAAATAGCCTTCAGAAAAAAGAAACAGGCTGATGATTTCAATCAAAGTCTAATCTGCGGCATGGCAATGCAACCTGATTCCAAACCAGCTGGAAGAGGATAGCTTATTCAGACGAGTTGCGATTCGCTTTGCATAACAACGATGGGAGTTTTTTGATCAATTAGAAAGAAAAGGGAAAGACTCAGCAAAAAATTCGTCCGTTCTACCAACATTAAATTTGGCAAAAGTTCGATAATGGTTTGGGGATGCTTTTATGCGGGAGGATTGGACCTTTGGTAACAATTCTAGGTGATACATCCAATGTTTATCGAACTTCCTTTTTTTGACTCAAAAAGCTATTGCAGAAATATAATCATGACTATAATCCAAGAATATTTAGTTATTGAAAGTAGTCATCCAACGTATAATTAAATGAACTATTTATAATAACAATACTGTTCTATTCTGTCCATCAGTAGCTAACTCATCGAAAAAACAGCTGTTATCAAGCCTCTCTTTCTTGTTTTCTTTCACAACTTATAAAGACATTAAACTCGGCTGTAATATAAATCTACGAACACAAAATACAATCAAGACACCATTTGTCTTATTGAAAAAAAAAAGGGGGGGTTTAAGTATATTTAGATAACTGTCTTTTAAGTCGAGTTCCTGAACTTAGGTAACTTATCTAAGTCCATAAAGAAAAAGCGGTTTTATTATGTAGCTTTTATCATTTATAGTGTACAGATATGAGGATAATTTTGAGAAGCTGTAACGCAGATTTTTTTTTTTTTTTTTACTTCTGACAATCATGTTTGATGAAGATATAGTTCATCCTCGAAATTAAAGAATAAAAAAAAAAGAAAAGGATATCATCATTTAAATGGGATACTAATATTAGCTTTTGATGAAATAAGACCCTCTCTATTTACAGCTTCCACAATAATCTGAGGTGCTCGAGATAAAACATATTCGAGTCCAGAAATACGGTACTGACAGCAAAAAGAAGTTCCCAAAAATGAAATATCACAATTCTCGAATTGATATGAGATTATGTAAAACTCTGTCTCTTTCCAATCGTGCGTATCCTTTGTTACATCTTTCCAATTTAGGGACCCATAATATACATACACCTCTTCTGGTAAAATTTCGCTCATGTCTTCTTGCACTGGTATTTTTGCCACCGCTTCTTGATCTGTCCATGTTAAATCAATCAATTTTGTTTCATTCATCTGTGTCAATGAATCCACCGTAGTACCAGGAATAATGCTCAGGTATCCCAAAGACGCAATTACATGCGGTGTTAAGCCAACTAGACTTGCTGCATTCACTGTAACACTCACCCCAATCTTATTTATAAAAATCGCATTGCCCACTGGTGCAGCAGGAATATGGATCGTTTTTGTTATCCACTCATTTTCTCCTGTCGCCTGTTCAGTAGCTGGCAATAAAAAACATCTGCTTTCAGAAGCATCATCGGCCGTAGTAATAGTAGCACGGAACCCATCTTCTTGGTCCAATGAGCTCTCGGGTTGCCACGAAGAAAAAAAATCGGTAGAGGTAGCATGGGCTGATGTCTTGAGCAAAAAATCGCAAGACATGGTGAGCTTGACGTCTTCGGTTAATAGTGTGCGGTAAATATACTTTAAAGTACAGCCTTTACTAGCATCAACTGAAAGCTTATAAAGTGGTACGGTGACATCGAACTCTGTATCTCTGGATTCTCGATGACTTGTACGTTGACCTCGGATAATAAGTGATGTACCTCCTGTAAAAGCGCCATAATTAGACTCTAATGAGCTACTAAACTTTGTGTTTTTATCAATTGGATATATGTGAGGATCACGGTAGTCTAAGTTGGGAAGTACAGCTTGATGTGATAGGTGTGACCAAGGTTGTGATATTAATCTCTGCGCTTATAGTTAGTACATTATAATCTTATATATCCACTGTGAATTGAATTACCTTCCCCCTATAATAAAAACGATTGCCAAATCCTCTATCAAATGATGTGACAAACCAATCTAATCCCGGCACAGAATGAGCTGTTACTGTATCCGAAATACCCTTTCTATGGCCGTGTAGCATTTCATCCTCACTTGAAAAAAATAAGTTAATGTGGATAATCATAAGAGCAGATCTAGTAAACTTGAACCCTTTCATACCTGTCATCAATTTCAATTTCAGTTTTTTTATCAGTCATTTTTGGCGAAGGAGGTGGATAATCTGAGTAATCACCACCACACCAAAATAAGTGATCCATTTTTTCAAAATCTGCTTTTCCAAAATGTTCATAGGTCCATGCCATACCAAACAAAGCTGACGAAGCCTGCGCACCACTAGCTACCTTTACACCCTATTGACGATAACAGTTTTAGGGATGAAAGTATGACTCTTTTTTTTTTTTCTGTTTTTGACAATTACTTTATAAGACTGGAATCCACCGCCACCAAATGTCCCGCGACCCCAAACATCCGTGCCAAAATAAAGATCGATGCCTGCCCTTCCTTGTTTCTCCACCATTTGTCTAGCACTTTCGGGATACTCCTTTTTCCACCAGTAATTGATGAATATACCGTCTGTGTTCTGAAAAAATAATTCGTTTTTGACGGTCAGGTTGTTTTGCCAATCGATATCTCCATCCTGTGTCATACTGTCGTACCAAATTACTTGAGACCCAGGAATTTCTTGATGCATCTTTTCTGTAAGATAGTGAAGAAACCTAAACATTGTTGTTTAGTCATACTTTTTTCCAAAATTTAGCCGGTTTATTTTACTTTGCTAATTCTTCGGCTTTTGTTCTAGGATTGGTTGGGAAAGGGAAAAACTCACATTCGATGTTAAACAACCAACCATCAAATCCATAATGCTTGGCAATAGCCACTAAATGATAGTAAGAGGGTTGAATAGGTGAATTTCTGTGTTACTGGTTAGTTTCTTTACCTAGTTTATCGGCATAAAATGGACTCCATAGTCTCATTGGGTCACCGTCGTCGCTTCCCTTAACTAAAGGTGGGCCTTGTAATAAAGCCTCCATCTCGTGCATTTGGTTACTTCCTTCCACTAAAAACGTGCCTAAGCACTTCACACCATTTCGATGACAAGCATTAGTCCAATTGACAGGTGGAATGGAGACTCGTTTATGCGAAAAACTACCAAAATATTTTTAGATAAGCGTGTACCCTGTTCCTCTTTTCTTTTTTGGTTAAAAGACATACTAAACAAAAATATCGGTCAAGTGCCAATACTGAATATGGTAGATATCAGAATAAGCATTGCCTTGAATGGACTTATCCTCATTGTACCCACCCGCCATGTCGTGGGTTAGTAGTAGACGGGGCTTAAGGGGGTCTTTGGCGCGTGGCTGAAGAGGTACGTTGGGTATATTGTACTCAGTTGCTTCGGGCGTCCAGTCGCGAAGTTCGTTTATGGACTCGAGTGCAAACGAGACAGGCAAAAGTTTGTCTTGATCTTGAAGTAGTTGAGACGACGGCATACAAGAAGAACTTTATGAAAGAGGTAAAAAGAAAAAGAAAATACGCGTGATCATCTTAATTACATAAATAACCGCCTGTGCAATTAACGAAACTTTAATTCTGCTGAATACACCTCTTATAAAAAAATGATCTTAGGAAGAATCTGTACTCTTAAGTATCCAGTCCAAAACAAATATATATTCGAGCTGTGGATATGGTCCCTAATATACAGACAGTGTATGAGTTGAACGGTGCTATTGAGTTTGGAAAATCCCAAACATTATAAAACGTAACTATTTTTTATTGTTGTGGTGATGAAACATCCCCGAGGCTTCTGATCAATACTGTACAACTTGTTGTTAGGTGTTTCATTATTATTTGTATAGAACTCTAGTTACAGTGATGGTTATGCTTATTTCAAAGGGCTATACTTGTGGAATAAATGGTTGAAGCATTAGTATCAAGGTTAGAAATGACTAAAACATTCACTACAAAGACAAACCAAAATTAAAACCACAATCAGTTTACGTCTCACCAGAATTTTTACTTAAGAGACCGTTGAATCCTGGTTAGAATTAGCCGAAAACACGCAAAGATAGGTTTAAAAAACCTCACCCTCAAATTCCTCTGGTTGTTTTTGCTCATACTGGTAAAAATAGCTTATAAGTATTGAATAGTAATGTGTTTACACTGACAGCCCTTTTCTGAAAATGCATTAAAAATTTGTGCGGAATCTGAAGTTTAAAGTCACAAAATGTGGTAGTGCGAAGTGCGGGGCAAAGGGGGACAATACGGAATACAGCTAAAGCAAACCAGTGGTCGACCTCTTTTTCCAGACAAAGGTATAGATCATCAAGTTAGATAATCAACAGTTATAGCACAGACGAAATCGAAAAATAGAATACGAATGGATGGATGGATTTGGATAAAAAATGGATGGATGAATGGATACAATGATTGAAATCAACGCACTCTAAAAATTTCAAGATCAGCAAAAAAGAATGTCGAATGTGTTATAACTGTTTTTTGTTTGATTACGAGAAATTTTAAATGAAGATCACCAGTCGATTAATCACAATATAATAGTCTATCAGCTATGGGTGCCTATAAGTATCTCGAGGAGCTTGCCAGAAAGAAGCAATCTGATGTTTCACGTTTCTTGCTCCGTGTCCGTTGTTGGGAGTTCAGACAATTGAGTGTCATTCACCGTGCCTCTCGTCCTTCTCGTCCTGACAAGGCCCGTCGTTTAGGTTACAAGGCCAAGCAAGGTTTTGTCATCTACCGTATCCGTGTCCGTCGTGGTGGTCGTAAGAGACCTGTCCATAAGGGTGCTACCTTCGGTAAGCCCGTCAATGAGGGTGTTAACCAATTGAAGTATCAACGTTCTCTCCGTTCCACTGCTGAGGAACGTATTGGTCGCAAGTGTGCTAACCTCCGTGTCTTGAACTCTTACTGGGTTAACCAAGATGCTACTTACAAGTACTTTGAAGTCATCCTCGTCGATCCCTCTCACAAGGCCATCCGTCGTGATGCTCACATTAACTGGATCGCTAACCCTGTCCACAAGCGTCGTGAAGCTCGTGGTCTTACTGCCATTGGTCGTAAGTCTCGTGGTCACGGTAAGGGTCATCGTTTCAACAACACCAAGGGTTCTGGTCGTCGTGCCACCTGGAAGCGTCGCAACACCCTCTCTCTCCGTCGTTACCGTTAAGTATCTGGCTGAAGAGATCAACATCTATTTCAGAAACCTTAAAAAGTATTGTTTTCTGTGCCTTTTTTTTAATAACAACTACAGATTATTTTCTACTCTATAATTTAATTTATTATCATTATGTGTGTTTATATACGTGTAAAATTAATGAGAACCACATCCTTCGTCCATTTCTTGCTCTTCTTTCTTGGTAAGTCTGGATAGTGCAGCTTGTGCGGCACGCTGTCTTCTTGCTTCGGGTGTATCCAGACCTGTTGTTGATTTGGACCCAGCACCCAATCTATAAGTCCCTGCTTCATACAGGACATCACTCTCCATATCCTCCTCTCCCTCGGGGGTATAAAATTCACCATGGCCCAAGGTATTTGCACCATGTGCGGTCCAATCCAGATTCACCACGTCCTTATTTAATTGTCGATTTAAAGCATGAAAGTTATCGTCGTGATCACCCCAAACATTATGAGTCAATTCATGAAGTAAAACCTTCCTCACAGAGTCGTAATGTCTAAATCCAGATAAATCGTCTGTCCGCAGGCGTAGAGCGATTAATTGGCCTGCGTTCCTATTGTATCCCAAAATAGATGCTTCGAATGGCGTCAGCTCAATTAACTCACCAACCGACCATTTTCTATCTGCCATGATCGCACGAATCTAAATATCCAGTTAATACTTCATTCTAAAACTTAAGAAAGAAAGAAAAAATGACTTACACCTCGATCGTCTCTTAATTTTTCCAGTAAGCTCTGAGCCTTTTCTGGCTGAGGGAATTCAGGAATAACCGAGATCTTGTGAAATGTATACTTTGCGTTTGGATTCGGCTTCTGTTGTTGAAGCAATTGCTTTTTCTTTAAGCGTATTGCCGGAGCCAGCTTTCGTTGTTCGACAATTTTTTGATCCTGTAAAGTCACTTTCTCGATTTGAACCGGTAGACTTCCCATCAGCATAAGTTTACTACCGTCTTGCACCCCTAAATCTTTTAAATATACTTGGGGATCTTTGAGTATACGACCCTTCCACATTAACTTTTGACTATCCATGGGCAATTCTGTTTCCTGTTCGAGGTAATGCTTTACTTCTTCAACTGTTGAATCGAGACTCCATTGGTCGAATGTAATAGTGTGTGACTTGAATCCTACTTTAAAGTTAATTTTTTCGTTCGACATTATTTTGTTTGATTATAGAGAAAAAGGGGTGAAATACTCAAGATATTTAAATGCATTAATATAATTAATAATCTGTTCTCGTTCCTTCTACAAAGTCAGCTGCTTATAAATATTTCGATTGGTCATTTCTGCGTAGTCAATCAGATGCAGTAAAAAACGGTTACTTTGAATGTCTGTAACCAGAAAAAACTTCGATCCAAGTGGTACACAAGACTTGAGCTGCTACATAACTAGTTGGTGATTAGAATCGATTTATTCAAAATCCCATTTAACAAGTTGCACGACGTCGCACTTCATTTTAATTAATAAGGTTAAAGGGACAAATCATGAGCGAATGGAAAGAGACATAGTCTTACAACGCCTAAATATTGTATTGCAGGACTATATACATGTATCTCAAGCACAACAAATTATTAAAAAAACTGTACAAAGAGCAAGGTTTATTTCACTAAGCGGAAGTATTGAGAAATGCTATCAATATTGATATAATAATGAAATATTCCAAGAAATAAACGGTTAAATTATTTGAGACTAAAACTAGATATCTTTTTATTAAATGGAAAAGGGGATCCTTTTTATAAGGAAGGATTGAAATAGATTGTTATCCGGGAAGATCAGATGGGAGCGTGGATTGGAAGTAGACATTAATATCTTGATCGGTTAATGGTTTATGTTTCAGTGCTGGGTTGCTATTAAATGTCAAGTAGATTATAGGCTGGATATATAGTGTGTATATATCAAATAACCACTTTTTTTTTTTACTCGTCTTCTTCAAGAATGAACCTCGTGTTCACAATGCATGACTGGCCATCAACAGTACCTACACAAAAGTCAAAAAAGACATTTGCTGTATCGGCCGCTAAATGTACTATCCTCTTTAGCTTATTGAACTGAGCTTCTGATCTATGTGCCCTAGATAAAAGAGGAGTCAATAAAAACCATGCAAAATCATTTGCGTAACTTATTTTCTTTACTCGTGTGCGGGAACCTGTCTCAGTGGGCGATCTTTACAATAAACTTCAAGTTCTTCATTTTCTTCGTCTTTTTATGTGAGCTTTACATCGTACGAGATACTGGTAGGGTTGTCACATTTTGGACAAAAGCTATCAACAGGAGTACTGATATACGGCCGTTAAACAACAAGTATTGGCCATTAAAAGATACATATACTTACCGCACGTTACACCTAAAACAGTATCCTTGAATCCAATCTCTAACATCTTGAGGACTGTACTTACAGATACTGGCCTTTACCTCACAAACCCCATTACCCTACATAAACAAACAAAAAGTCAGATCGGAGCTAAACATATACAATGTATGCACTTCATTACACGTCGAGATTTGATATACTTGAGACTTTTGAGGCCTCCGCGCTTCTTGGTTATGAATTCTTTTTTATATTTTTAAGAACATACGATCATATAGTTTAGTATAATACTTTCCTTACCCGTTCGAAGTGGGTATGCCTTTAACTGGTCTCTTATACATCTCTTCAAATTAGCCTTCACCGATTCTCGTCTTGCAAGAACATTCTTCAAAAGATCATCGTCTCGTGAGATGCGAACAACCTGCGGCTTACTTTGATTATTGCTTCCATGGATGTTGAACTCCAACGTGTCCGTGAGTTTTTTTACACAATTACGGAGGAAGACAAAATCTTTGATACCCAAATCAGCACAAACACTGCGATGGTTGTCCCATACAGAGCAATAAATCAGATACTTGGGATCTAAGACCTTTTGATCGACAGTTAAGGTGGGTGGGTAGGGATTCTCAGTAAAATCTGTTAATACCAACAGAGTAAACGCATCGAAGTTCTTAATATCTACGATTTGGCCAACAAAGTCAAAGTACTTAGATGGATCATCATACAGCTGAGAAGTCTCTAACAATGGTCTCTTTGTTGGAACCCACACCATTGCTTCTGAACCCGAGGCCTCAGCGTTCCATGTATCTAAAGCTTTCATGATGGCTTTATCGTTTGGTGCCGCAGGAAGATTCATATTGACGAGTTCGATTTGTCTGATTTCTGTAGCAGTGAAAAGAGCATATTTGGAGAAGGAATTGAGAGTAATTTGTGGATTATTATTAAATTCCTTTACATAAAAGTTTGTCATTTTCACTATTCGATTCTCTCGAAAAGCCTCAAGTGTCTCAAAGCTTTTACTGAATATATTTAAACAGCAAGTGCCTGATTCCAAAGAAGGGTCGCTAATATAACAGGTCAACATATGGTCTGTCATATCGTAGTTAGTAGAAAGACACTTTACTAATGGGTTCTATGCCCACCTTTCTGAGGATTGTTGCTAGTTCGAATGTCCTTTTTGGACAAGATTACTGCGTATCCTACGCTATCGCGTGGGGCGTATTCTTGTTTAGCAAAATATCTTAAATTATTTATGTTATTCTCCTATTCTTTTGCTTTTAGTCGCTCAAAAATTTTTCTCAGGTGCTATTTTACCTTCAAAAGGTCGAGGTATTATTGTCCAAACATTGTTGGTTTTAACAGCAAACAAGAACACTTGCAGTCTTTCTTTTTTTTTTTATCATGTAAAAATTTAAAAAAGCGATCGGTAGTCACACTTAAAAAGAACCAAGGCGCGAATCACAAAAAAAAAACACATCTTCTCTTTAAACCAAACAACTAAAAATGTCACACTTTTTAAAATTTCGTGAAGAAATGGAAAAGGCCATCAAGGCCTGTCTCTCCGCAACAACCGATTACCGAAATAAACATGCAGTCAGTGAAGTGCCTTCCAAAGTAATTGAAGAATTAGCCTTGCAACATATTGCTCCTTTAGCGGGTAAAGCCAACTTGTTGAATGTTCCTATCCTCGAAGGAAGACCCGACTGGCGCAAGAATGCTACCGAGGTTGTATTCCGTGATATGCTTCTCGACATTGCCGTAAGATTATTTACTTTTTCATTTTTTTTTTTTTTTTTATTTGTATATTCATCTTTTTTTTTTTTTTTGTTTAATTAGAAAGGAAACGATAGTGAACAAGTGTATAATAAGACTGAAGACTGCCTTGATATTGTCTTGTACTGCTCAGCCACGGGTAAATTGTCCAAACAAAGAAAAAGTTTTTTTTATAAAATATTGTCAACACGCAACAATCATACTCAATTTCGAAAAAAACATGTATTCAAATCCCAACAGATGCCGACTTGTTAGACCACGTCACTCATTTAACTTTTGTTGAAGAGCTGCTTGATGTCAACACCACATTTGCTTGTGAGAAATTGTTTAATTATGTCGAGAAACGCAAAACGAAAATCACAGATGTAAGAAAGAGAAAGAGAGAGAGAACGAACCAAACCTTATTACGCACGACTCACCTATAAAAAACCCCCCCTTTAAATATAGAACTTGGTGCCTGGTAAAGGAAAAGGTCTTGTACTTTTAAGAATGTGTAACGTTCTGCTTCGTCGATTATCCAAGGAAACCAACACAGTATTCTGTGGACGTATCCTCATGTTTCTCGCCAACACTTTTCCTTTGTGCGAACGATCCGGTGTTAACCTCAGAGGTGATTTTAATAACGACATGATTAGCTTTGACTCGGATGAACAAGTCGATTCAGACCCTACCTTGACCGAAGAACAAAAGCAGTTTTACAAGACATTTTGGTCCACTCGTCCGTATTTCGCTAACCCTCCTTCCATATTTGAAGGCGATAATTTTAAAAACTTACAAAAGGGCACAGACAGCATCACTCAAAGATTCCAAATCATTGCAGAAAAAGAGGCAGAAGTCTTGGGTGCTCGCAAAAACTCTTCTCCTGCAGGGTCAAAACGAACTCGGGTCGAATCATCTTCTTTGGATATGGATGTAGACCCTAATAAGGCAGAACAACTGCTAAATGAAATTAATAGAGATTTCCAATTCCCAAGGTTATTAAGTAGTCGAAAATTATTAGATTTAGAGGTAAATATATACATATATACATTTATGTATATTAATAGTATTTAACATGCTTATAATTATAGATGGAGGATTCCAGATTTCGAAGAAATGTCATTGTACAATATCTCGTTCTTTTCCAATATCTCAACGGATTCTCCCAATCCGAAAAAGACAATACCGCTAAATTATTAGCAAGCCGTGGTTCTACCAAACAATCCTTAATCCAACCCAATTATATTTTGAAAGAAGAACAAGTGGAGTGGATTGCAAAGACTAAAGATATATTATTAACACTATTACGGTCCACCAAACCTCACGGCAATCTCTATACAGATATTATTCTGACCATCTTAGCAAACGAACGTCATTGGGTAAAGTTTAGAAAAATTGCCCTAAGATATGCCTTTTCCTAGAAAATGTTGTATATATTAATTTCTGTTTTGAAAATAGATTATTTGGAAAGCATCTGGGTGTCCTACTTTTGAAAAACCACCAATCACGATCGAAGAATTAGAAAAGAATTGGTTAAGCAAGAAACCTCGATTATCGACACCTCCTAGCAAATATCGTTATTCCCATGGTAACTTTGAAGTCTCTCGACTCTACAGTAAACACACACAACCATTATCCCAATTCATGTTGTAAGTTTCCTCTCCTCTCTCCTTGCTGTGTTTCTATGCTGACCCTCGTAAAAAAAAAAATATGTAGAAATCGCGCAAAGACACCTACACCTATTGAAGTGATCACAAAGGCTACAGCCGAACTAGATGATTCACTCGACCCTTCCAAGGAAAGATTCGATTATGCCAACGGAGCTTTATTACAAGCATCAAGACTGATGTACCGAGATCATGCTCTATTGATCTGTAAATTATACGGCGCCAAAAAAGATATTTATAAAGAAATGCGATCAAGATTGAATGAACCATCGTCTCCCATGTCGGTGGATGAACCACCTAAGACCGCTGCTGAACAAGTGCTTGACTTTACAGTGGGAAATACCATCACAGAGGATCATGTGCAGGCTGAGATGCAAGTGTTGACCAAAGCCAAGAATATCATTATTGAAGCCACCAGTATAAAGATTGAAGATGATGCTAATAATAGTGCTAATGGTACAATGTAATTATTGAAAAAAACATAAAATAAAAAAGAAAATACCTGTAAAATTTAATATATTGGAATTGTGAGAATGATAAGGGGGTTATATTGCTAATCAAGCAACTGTATTAAAACGGGGGTTGCAAAGTAATTCTTGATATAAAAGAGAGAGAAAGAGAGAAGAAATGGTAAGCTTTAATCCCCCCTCCCATACCGTTAAAATGAAGTCGATTCTACTCTCCATCCTGTTATTACCAATATCTGTTTTCAGTGCCCCAGCTAATGATAAAAAAATGATCATTTCAAATCAATGTGACAAAACCCTTCAAATGGGATATCAAACCAATGATGATCCAAGAGGTACCACCATCGAAATTGGTGTTAATGGCTCTCATACGTTACATGTCAACTCCAATTGGGCTGGCAGAGTCTGGGCTAGAGAATCGTGCGACTACCACGCCTGTGATCTTGCAGGAGCTGGTGATCCTGCCTCTTTGGCCGAGTTCAAATTCAACAACAATAATGCTGATATTGATTACTATGATGTATCATTTGTAGATGGGTTTAATTTGCCAGTCAGTATTGAACCTGTGATGAGTGGAGGCCTAGATGAATTTGTTCAACTGGATAGCAAGCATTGTAGAGTATCTATCTGTGACAGTTTGCCTGTCTGCCCCGAGGACTTGAAGGAGTTGGATGATGCCGGCCAATTTGTTGCTTGTAATAGTGCTTGTTCTAAGCATGGTAAAGATGAATATTGTTGTACCGGGGATCATGGTAGCGCGGATACCTGCAATACAAATTATTATGCCAATACCATCAAAGAGACCTGCCCTGATTCATATAGTTATGCATTCGATGATGCTACCAGCGTATATGGCTGTAAAGCCAATGCTTATAAAATCGTATTTTGTCCATAAATAAACTCATTCTCATTCCCCCCCTATCATCAGTGCGGTTCTGCAAAATTATTAATCATGTACCACGTGTTTCTAAAAAACGCACAACAACTCCGTGATATGGATTCGACTGCTTTAATTGCAAGTCCTTCCTTTTGTGACGCTTTTATGTACACAAATTTTTTTTTAAACGGAATCAGAAAACTATAAAAAGGGCACGAAAAAGTGAAATAATTTAGTTTCTTTGTACTTCTTTCTCGTTTTCATATCGGATAAATCTTTCGCCTTTTACTAAAGATTTCCGTGGATGCGGGAAACTAAGGAAGATTACCCAAATTTTTTGTCAACCCATTTTTACCTTTGAAAGCCTTGGTTTTCTTGGGTAATTTTGTACATTTTTAAAAATAATAAAAAAGAAAAAAAAAAGTTTCCATAAATTGTTAAATTTTAAAAATAACGGAAATTGAATTATTTTTTTTATTATTGGACTGTTTTTGACTTTGAAATATCTACGCCAGCTGTAATATTACTCACTGCTTCGGTGGTGGGTGCAGAGATGGTTGTAGCAGCTCTCTTTCCTTCTTTCACAAGGGACTGTGAACGTATACGATTCATAGCTTTTACAGCACTAATAGCACTTTTAAATGTTCGACGAGCATTAAAGTTTTCACGCACCGTGTCCAAAAGATCAATATCCTTGGCTTGTTGTCCCGTCATCCAAACATGATTTAAAGCTTCTGTAGCGGTGGGTCGATCGGCTGGGTTCAACGAGAGACACCTTCTAATAAATGCACGCGCTAACAGAAAAAGAAAAAAAAATTAAGAAGGGCTGTTCAAGAGTATAGCAGATAAAAGGTTTACCATCAGGAGAAACGTTTCTCCAATATCTCTCATGAAATTCATAACGAGCATGTGTAATATCGTCCATTAATTCAATATTATCCTCTCCTTGAAAAGGCTGGTAACCACAAAGCACTGTGTACGTAATTACACTAGTCCTAAATCAGTATTTCCGCTCCTATTGTTCTCTCTCTTCTTTGTCTTACCCGACACCCCAAATATCCACAGGGAAGCTATAAGACTTCTTTAAAAGTACTTCAGGAGCTGTAATAAAAGTTAAATCTTAAAGCTTTAAAATGAGGTGGTCTGGGTTACATTACCGACATAGCCAGGTGATCCACACACTGTCTTTAAACCTGCACCAGCGTCATTGATAATTTTGGCAATACTGTTAAAAAAAAAAAGGATTAATCACGGTGTGTAACACTAGAATAAAAACATACTTGCCCAAAATCACAAATGACGAGTTCTGCGTTCGCTTCTGGAGTCTTGAACAGGAGATTTTCTGGCTTCATATCTTTATCATAACAGCGATTAATATCAGATAATCCTAATTGAATTTTCTATTTACCTCTGTGAACAATCTTCTTCTTATGAAGATATTCCAGGCCTCGAAGAACAGAGCCCATGATTTTGATAGCATCCTTTTCTGTAAACTTTCCTCTTTCAAATAATCGCTCGAATAATTCGCCACCTGTTGCTCTGATAGATGAAAAGGTTAAAAGACCCTATTTGTTGTATTTGAAGTATCTAACTTACAATTCGAAAACTAAATAAAACTTTTCACTACAAAGAGGTGAATAGCTATTCAGGCATATTTTTATTGAACTTACCGAGATTCAAACCAGTCATAAAAACCAATGACATTGGGATGAGAGAGGCCTTCAAGGACATCCATTTCCGAATAAACCATGTCGAAATGACCTTTGACTTTAGACTTTGGAATGATCTTTATAGCAACTTGCTTATCATCCTCAATACGAGTTGCCTTTTTCACGTACCCGTACGATCCACTACCTTTATTTATATGTGGGTAATAGGAAATAATTTTTTTCTATCGATCCTTACCTAATTCCTCACCAAAGTTATACTTCTTTTTGCGTTCATAAGAATCAGGCTTTGGCCCACCGTGGACAAAATTATCCAGCGATTCAATCAATCCCATACAGTTGAAAAAAAAGATATAAAAAGAGAGAGAGAGAGAGAGAGAAAAAGAGATTAGCTTCGATTAGGTTTATTTTTTTTTTAGCTTTTGTAAAAATAGTTTTGAACTGCGCTTATTGTCATTGTTCATGTATTTTTCTCTCTATCTTTTCTCTCTTTATTTTACTCTCACAGCTGAGTGATATTTGCAGTGATACAATTAAAAAAAGATGTCTGCCATGCAAGAACTTGTGTAGATTATGCAAATAAAAAAAATGTTTAGCGCAGGTGGTGCAACACAACAGTGTAAAACAAAAAAAGATTGGGACTTTTTTTGACTGCTAAAATGGATTTTTTTTTTTAATGATAAAAACAGGTTCACTTACATTTTTTTTTTCTCTGTAATTCAAAAGTTTTGTTCTTATAACAAGATGCACATTAAAACCATTAGAGCAGCCTTGATTTCGAATTACGAAGTATTGAGACTTTTAGAAGAAAGCCAAGAAGCACAGAAACAAGTACAAATAGCGGATCCCTCAGTAGAATACCCAGAACATTTAAGAACAGTTCAATTTGAAGTATGAATTACAATGAGCACACTGTCCTATCCTGTATTAACTCCTCTTTATTCAAGTTGACAGAATATCTGAAGGAAACACCATGTAGCACACAAACACCACAACAAGTCTCTGATTTTTTAAATGCCTTATCCAGATTTGCACTGACACGGGCCGAAAAGTTACAAATTTTAAACTGGAGACCCAAAAGCACAGTCGAGATTTACTTGGTAAAGTTTAAATGTTTTTTAAAAAAGGGGTTGAAATTAAGCATATTCTGTAGATTATCGAAGAGTGTGAAGAACGTTTTTCAGAAGAGGATTTAGAGGAAATGCTCAACTCAATTATTGTTTGTTTACCAAGAGATGACGATGAAGTAGAGGAAGAAGAAGAGGAAGAAGAGGTTGAAGAAGAAGCAATGGAGGAAGGCGAATAAATTTTAAAAGAAAAAAAAAAGTGGTACTACGTGACACATCTTGTAATAAAAACTGTTCTATTCCGTTTCCCTTTTTCTCTCCTTTTTTCTCTCTTTTTATATTTGTTTATCTTTTGCACAAATTACAATGGAATTATCTACCTCCCCAAAGACGCCAAAACGACAAGAAACATTAGGGCCCATGACCCCTATTCAAGACTGGGAAGTCGAAAGAGCCACGGTAAATTAGTTTTCCTTTGGAGTAGTTGTAATATGCACGTCTTCTAATAGGGCTGCTTAGGTTGTGGTTGAAGCCAAAAGCTATCGTGAAAAGGCAGAGAGATTGGAGAAACAATTGGAAACGGATCGTCAAACATACGAGAAAAATACTGTTAGCGTAAGGAACACGAAAATGATGATGAAAATTCGTATTAACCTTAAAATAGTTACTCCGGGAAGTCAAATTAAAAGAGTCCTTTTTGGAGAAAAAGCTAAAAGATTCTGAAGAGAACTTGATGGAAGATGTAAGGCCCTTAAAAGGAGTTCATCTCTCTCTTTTTTTTTTTGCACTCTAACTTATACTTTCTTATACAGCTTTTAAAGTTACAGCGTCAGTTGGATGATGAAAAAACTTTACGACAAGAGGAAATTCAGACTATCCGGAATCAACACGAACTAGCATTAGAATCTGAAGATAAAAAATACCAAAGAAGATTAACAGCTCTTCAAGAACGATTAAATGCCAAAGATAAAGAATACGCAGAGCTATTTGAAAAGGAAAAGGAAAACAATAACCCGGAGAGGGACCAGGAAAAGGACAAATTGATTGAGTCCTTGAATTTAGAAATCGCCAAGGAGAAATCCGAAAATGCTCAGCTGCGGGAATCTAATTCGGATTTATCTGCTACCATCACGGATTTAACTACTTTGGCCACCACAGAAAATGAAGAACAAATTCAGGTTTGCTGACAAAATATCCTTTCCATAACAACCGTATCCATTAACTCTTCTAATAATAGAATGTGTCAAAAGAGTTTGAACAGCTTCGATCCTACTGTAAATCCATCCAACATAAATTAGAAACATCCGAGTCAAACTTGAATCAGTATCGCGAGCACCAAAAGGAATATATACAAAAGGTTCAAGATTTAGAAAATGATTTAGCTGCTGCTAAAAAGCTATCCCAGCAACAAAAAAAGAGATTAAGTCAAATCGTATCAAATCACGATGATAATATCAAACAGCTTCAGGAGAACTTTGCACATGAGGCTCAATTATCTCAAATGACTACACAAGCCCAATTTCAAAACCTTCAGTCCGAACACACAGAAATGTTACGCGAGTTACGTGAGCAGCATGAAACAGAAAAGGAAGTTTGGCGCATAGAACAACAGTCTTTGATTGATGAAATACGTCGTGACACCACGTTTGAAAAAGAGGAAGCTATACGAGAATTAACAAGAGAGTGGAACGATAAAAATGAGGATTTAAGTGCTTCCATGTCCAAAGACGCCATGGAAATTCAAACTCATTGGGAATCAAAGTTAGAGGAGGCTAAATCGAAATTCGTCTTACAAAAGACCCGTCTTTTAGGTGAAATTGAGGTCATCAAGGACCGTTTAGGAAAGGAAATTCATAGACGTAAACAAAATCAGGCTGCATTAGTTGACGCCCAAGATAAATTAGACTCTGTTCAACTTAAATTGGATGTTTATCATAAGAAATCTGCTGATCTGTTAAAACAACGAACCTTGATCGACAAGGAGCTATCCCAGGTACCCATTTATATTATGATACTCTGCTTTTACAATCACTAACTTTTTTATTGGAATAGTTAAAATCCCAAAATCGTATTTCATATCGATTGGCCCGTAGCCTCGTAGCAATCACCTCTCCTACTGCCATCATTGATCTCCGTGCTCAATTACCGGACATCCTGCAAACAGCCATCCGTGACGTTTCGATTATGCGTATTCATGGTCAAACCCACCATGATTATCAGGTACCTCTTATAATTCACTCGTGCTATCGCAATTGCCACTTACCTTTATCTTTTTTAGAACTCTACGTTTGATATCGATACCATACCAACATATGGTTTTTAATACTTGCATCAAGTAAATCATACCCCTATTTTATTTTATGAATGAAACCATGTAACATGCTCTATTTGGCCCGTTTATTTTACAGCCAAATACGATTAATTTTGATAATAAAACATATGTTTTAAGTAAACTCTTATTTAAATGCTTGCTAAATATTTCAATATTAGTATGATTAATTTGCTTCATGGTTTAAAATCTAAAATAGGCTTGAGTAAGTCGTCTTTACACATGCAGAGTTCAAAAATGATAATATTCCAGTTTTTTGGATCGATTTTTCGTAATTTTTTAAAGAGGACTGGAATTCATAAATAATGAAGTATTGCAGCATTGGTTATATAAATTCCGCGGAATTTCCCTTATTATCAGAAGTGCGTTGTAATTGATTTATCCACACCACGACTCAAAGAAGGTCAAGTGGCTAAATGGCTGTCTACGGGGATATGTAACGCCACCATCCATCTAAAATGATTGTTTATTTGTAACACATACTATGGAACTTCGGGTACAATGCATCAATGAATAGCCATGGCGTGTTCAGAAATAGTTGTTATAATATACTTATGTGTAACTCTGATGGATGGCTATGTTTCGCATAATGTGGATTTTGTATTGCAATGTTTTTTTGAAATATCAATGAAAATTGCATGTGGGATTATTTAACGCAATAAGTTGGTTTAAAAGTATATCCTTCTGTCTTATGATGTTGGGGATATACACCACGGGTAAAGTATATTTACTTCTCTTCTACTGAATAACCACTCATCGTCTCGTTAAAGGATTCAAGTTTTCCTTTCGAGAATTCGCACTCACGGTTTCAGTAATGTTGGCATATTTTTTTATTCGGTAAAAATCACATGAATCGTCTGACAGATATAAGTCTTTACACATTTGTGCTTTATAGGGATCAAACACTACAGGAATGACATATATTTTGTACCCACTTTTTTAAGATGAAATATTCTCTCTGTAGTTATCGATTTGACGAAATAAAAATAAATATGAAACCCCTAAAGTTTCGTTAGCAAAGTCTGCAATTACATTAGTGAAATATCATTGGCTAATAGAGGGATTAATCGCACTGCTTTTATTTTATTTTATTTCACAGCAATATTGAGAGTTAATCAATGAGAGCATGCGTATCATGAAGCACCTAAAGATAACAATATAGTTTCTCCCTCTCGCTCTCGCTCTCTCATAGATTAGTATTCAGTTTTAGATATAGAATGAGACCCTGATGGAGACAAAACTCAGATTGGTTGAGGATGGGACTCGGAATAATTTGGTTGGGTGTCAGATGTGTCAAGTTTAAAGACATTTATAAAGGACCATGCTATTTCTCACACACTGAGAGAGTAAATCGTTTCTTCGTCTATTTCTCTCTTTTTTTTTTCTTACAACTATTATAGAAAAATAGCTTTCTCTTATTTAAAATGGATTCGAGGAACTCTAATCTAAAACCGTTTGTTATCTTTTGTGCTATGATTGCATCCCTGGGTACTTTTAACTCTGGTTTCAATACATCTGCACTCAATATTCCTGGGCATGCTGTTAGAGAATGTCCGGGAGTTGCTTCTGGTGTAGTTACATACTATCCAAACTCTCCACTACCCCAATGTATTCCCATGTCAGATTGGATTTGGTACGTCTTTTTATATCATTTAACTTGTTGATGCTTTATGCCTAACTTTATTGTTGTTGGAATAGGGGTGTCGCTACGGGTATGTTTGCTGTCGGTGGTCTTATCGGTGCCATGTCCAACAGTTATTTGATCAATAAATTTGGACGTCGTGACTCCATGATCATGATGAATGCTAACTTCTTTATCGGTGCCGTACTTTTATCTGTGGCTACCACGTCTGCTCAATTTGCTATTGGTCGTATCTTTGTCGGTATTGGTTCAGGTTTCATGACATGCGTAATTAGTGTTTATGTTTCTGAAATCTCTCCACCCAAGTTCCGTGGTGCGCTTACATCCATTCTTCAGTTGTTTACCACGCTTGGTATTCTGATTATCGAATGTATCTCACTTGGTCTGGATTCTGCTATTGGATGGCGTATTATTGTCGTGATTACGGTGGCTCCCGCTATTATTCAAATGGTACTGCTTCCCTTTTGTGCAAGATCACCTCGTTGGTTAATTAATGAAAACCGAATTGATGAGGCTCGAGCAGAGTTCCTTCGACTTCGAAATGGCGACGTGGATGCCGAATTTAACGATATGATTCTTGGTATTACCAAGGGTAAGGGTAATACGGACAAGTCGCCTGACAAAATAAATACAACGGATGCTGATGGGTTCGATAATACACCCACTAACAAGGAAGCCGGTGAAGATGCTGCTGCTAACTTTGAATCGGAAGCTCAACTTAACATCATCCAAGTTATGTCTATTCCTGTCTTGGCTTCTGTCTGTATGAAGATTTTTGTGGTCCATGCTTGTTCTCAATTGACGGGTATCAACGCTATTATGTACTATTCAACCTCTATTTTCGAACTCTCCTTTGGAAATAATGCAAAGTATGTTACCATTGGTGTTGCTGCTTTAAATGTAGTCGTTACGGTAGTAGGACTTTCCTTAATTGATCGTCTTGGACGTAAGACACTCTTATTGATTTCAATTGCTGGTATGTGTATCTGGTGTGTCATTATGACCATTGCCATGCGTTTCTTGGTAGGTGCACTTCAAGTTGTTTGTATTATGCTCTACGTTGCTTCCTATGCTGTTGGTTATGGTATGATTCCCTTTGTACTTAACGGAGAATCCTTCCCTACATACGCAGTGGGTGCAGCTTCCTCTGCTTGTTTAGCCATCAATTGGCTTTTCAATTTCGTCATTGGTTTAATTTTCCCTACCTTATTGGCAGCTTGTGGACCATATGTGTTCTTGATTTTTGCAGGACTCAGTTTGTTTGTTTTCCTATTTGTATTAGCCTTTATCCCAGAGACCAAGCAAAAGTCTCTTGATGAAATTGGTCGACAACTTGGGTGGTACGGCATTGATGTAGCCGAGGCTCTGAATCGAAAAAAGAATAAGACCAAGATTTAAAATAACTTGTTAAAAGAACAATGTCAACTTTCACTTGTATTTCTATATCATTACTTATTATTATAACACACACTCTACATAAAACATAAAACAAAACAAAAAAACATTACCAGTGTACCCAATAAAACATTAATTTTGTTATCATCTTTTTTTTTTATTATTATTATTTTGCCGTTAAATCACTTGGCATAATAGAATGATTTTAAAGTTCAATCATGGATGCAGTTCCTAGAAAAGACAGCCCGTGGATCTTTTGTGTTTGTCGTAGCACATCATCTTTTGTACTCCCCATCTGTTTTCTCCCTGAAATATCCATCAAATGATCAAAGACACTTCGCTTTTTTTATTGTTAGTCCGAAGATAGATCATCACCAATAAATGACTATATTTAACTAGGTGATAGTCATTGCCAAGAAAGATCCACTACCATACGTTTGTTCAAACAAATGATTTTCCTTCTTTTTTTTTTTTTTTTTTTTTTTTTTGCCAAGAAACTTGAGTAAATATTAGCCATTTCCTTTTTGGGATTTCTTCTTTTTCCCTATATATTTTATTCATCCCTAAATCGCCAAGATAAATATGGCCACCTTTTCTTCTTTGTTTCAATCATGAATATCCCTCCGCTTGAACTATCCAAGTATCTGACAACATCGACTGACAAGATAAAAAGTACATCTATTGCATTTATTTTGACTCCGCCCACCTCACCAGATTCAAACGACCCTCCTATGCCAACAGCAACAACAGAAACAACAGAAACAAAGAAGCGAAAGCTTGACGGAGATTCAGATATACCCACTACCGATGAGAAAAAGACCAAAATCCAAAAGAGTCAAACCTTAGACCTGAATTTATTGGATTTGTATTTATCGAGTGGAAAATCCATGGATGTAAAAGACGCAACATACGGATTAAATCTCTTATGTTGGGCTTGTCAATGCAAATCGATAGAAGCAGTCAAAAAGATATTACAGCAAGGCGATATTGATATCAATCAAAGACTGGGTCCTCATCAAATCACCGCACTTCATGTGGCCGCCGCTGTAGATTTTTCATTTGGAATCGATTATTTAACTCAGCATCCAAACCTTGATTTGAATCTCAAAGACGTCTATGGATTGACTGCGGTGCATTACGCAGCACGGCACTCTAAAACCGATTCCATGGCAACCTTATTGGAAGCAGGAGCCCGTTCTGATTTATACGATCGACAAGGAAAATCTGCATTACACTATGCTATTCGCAACGCAAACACGAAAATCGCCAATATGATCTTATCGAAACGTGGAAGAAACAACCCGACTTTTACAAACTTAATATGGGCTTCTTTCAATGATAACAATTGTCCTATTGAAGAATCTATCATCATGGCAGTTGGAAATTCAACAGAAATGCTAAAGCAACTTTTAATCGCCGGTTCGTTAATATCACTCCAGTCCGGTGGTTGGTGGGAAGACAGATATTTACATAAACGAAATAACCTCATTGAACTATGCATTGATTGGAATCGCTTTGATTGTCTGCGCTATTTAGTAGTCAATACCAGTATACCTCTTTTGCCTCAAGCCCTAGACAAAGCCGTTCGTCAGCGCAAATTGGATTTTGTAGTATATCTATGTGATCATGTCGGCATCAATCCATGTCTCCAAAATGGAAACAATCCATCACTTTTATACGCTGCTAATCATGGGTTTATGGAAATGATACCGTATTTGTTACAATCAACAACATCTATCGACTGTATTCAACAAGCCATTTTGTTTACAAGGATGGTCGGAAAAGACAAGCAATTCTGTGACATACTAAAACAACAGTGGAAGCCTCCGACAGCCTCAAATGAATGAACATTTCGTTTTGTAAATAATACCAAAAATAAAAAATCTTTAATACCCCCTTCCTTCTTTAAATTTGTAAAGCTATGACAAAGCATCTTCATTTAGTTCATCCCGAACTCTCCGGGAGTCAATCCCGGGATTATTCGCGGTTTCTGTTATAATCGTCGCTGGGTTGAATTTTATCAAGTTAAGGAATGCTTATGCAATTTTTACCTAATATTTCCTTGGCAGGAGGCAAACCTTTAGTTTATAGCAATATGCATTCTACAAAAAAAAAGAGTAAGTCGTAAGCATATAAAGACAACTGCTCAAGATACATACATCATGTCAACTACATGATATCATCACAACATACGATAGCCTGTATTACATATGACCGAAACAAGCGTGGTGAGACAATGATCAAACAGTTGAAAACTTTAATTATTTGTTTTTCCACTCTATTTTTTAATACCTTGAACATGTGTCTAAAAAACGTCATTTGAGTCCTGTTTTGTTCAGCTGCTTACTTGAGCATCTTACCAATTTAAATCATACAAATGTTATGTCATTTGAAGATAAATTACGTTGGAAGACCAAACTGATTGATACTCATTCGAATACAATGATTAAGTAGATTTTCTAACAAAATTAGTTTACCAAGCAGTTGGTTATACATATGCGTGTACACATTGCCCAAAAGGGATATTCTAGAAGCTTGCTCATATCTCCCAGAGATAGACAGTCATTAAAAGCTTAGCTTGTCTTCTCCTTTGTCATCGCATATGTTGCTAATGAGAAGAATCATTACTCGCCAATTATTAAGCTTCGTATGCTTGGTAGATTAAAAGAAGTGACTTAAGATTTTTTAGACCACTACAGTGGCGAATAACTTGCTCTCAAAAAACTGCAAAAACTGTTACTTCCCGCAAGTAAGTTTAATTATTAAAACAGTGCTAAAGGTAGGTTTTTATTTTGAAAATGAGACATAGGTGTATCTCCGTGATTACAACTGCTTTTTAAGCGAAGCGATAATTACTCGAATCAACGTGGAAAATGAGCCATTTTATCCCGTGGCAAACGAATATAAGAATCCTTGTTTATATAATCAAGGATTACTCCATTTTCGAATTCTGCCATAATTTCATCACGAGAGGTGACAATTATTCTTGTGTTTTTCTTACATTTGATATTCATTCGGTTACTTCTGACTGTTTTTTTTCGATAGCGTTCCGCCATAAAACTCTCGTCACAAGCATTTAAAGCATAAGTGGATGATTCTTGATGATAATAGATTGCATTACCCTCATCTCCATAGTCGAAGCAGACAAAACCAAAGTCCATGTACCGTGACACGAATTCAATCTCAAAGTGAAAAGTCTTAAGATTTCTAAAAATCGTTAAATCATACTTAAACAAATTGGATTTCCCCGATACGTTTACTGGATTGACGCAAGACACGAATTCAATGTTTGGCAAACGCTTTGATATTATTCTCAACAGTTTTGGTGGAGGAACAAAACAGCAGGATTCCATAGACCTCAAGTTTTCTTTCGTGTTTGTTGCTGACAGGTGATGTTTTTTTTTAGTTGCAATCGAATGATTGGCATCCCTACCAATGGTGATGCCCTCGTTTAATTTTCCTATGCAACAAAAATCAAAAAGCTCGAGATTGGGATAGTTGGTCAATACATAATCTATAAATTTAAATTGGAAGTCTTGGCCCTTGTCACAAGTAATAACAGCATTCAAATAATTGACAATTTCTAGTCCAGTTCCTGAGATAGATACGTCTGGCAAAATAAAGTTGATATCCGGCTTTCTCCAGTCTCCTTCTTTGTAATCGCAGTCCTCCAGGTCATAGGAAAGATGTAACCCATCTAAGGAATTATACTCTAGACAATCAAGTTTCGTTCTAAAATCGGGGTAATCAGCGATGTCCATTTGACAAAAAGGATTCTTAGTTCCCTTAAGAACGTCTACCACCTTAAAAAAAATGGTCATCTTTGTTTCAGGGAGCTCTGCGATTTTTCGGCCAATGGGTATCGCTTGAAAATTCAGAATGGCTGAGTTTAGCGTACTTAATCGGCTAAGAAACTTCACAACGTTATCCCATTCCATATCAATTAACCAGTCATATAAGTCGACGCCACCTGTTGTCATTTCCAGAGTGGAAAGCTGGGTGAAAACACAACTATTCAAATATTTTAGATACTCCACTGGTATTGCAGACCTTATAACCAATCTTTCTAAGTGATTTTGTAAGTTGAGATTAGCAGGATCATCCATAAACGCATTAATTTTTTCTTCTGTGCCACCAAAACCAATTCCATAGTCAAGCGATGTCAAATTTGGACATGCTTCTTGAATTTCAAATATCGTCACTTTCGAATAATAACTATCCATTACTGTCAAATCTTTTAAATTGGGAAATTGTTTTAAATAGTCAAGTGTTCTGTTGAGTTTTTCAGCACCTATATCTATCATGTCATGATATTCAAACCACATACTGGTAATAGTCTGGCGATACTTATAACACAATGCATAATGCATTTTAAGTACATCAAGACACTTGTAGTGGGGGAGTCTGAAGGTTTGAATTTGATTTAGACACTTCTTTGACTTTGTGTTGATTAGATAACCATAGTAATTTTCATGGCATTCACTATCGGATACGTCCAACGTTTTTATATTTGGAAAATACTCTAAAAAAGTTACCAATTCCTCTTCACTCAATTCTTCTGAAGGGTGGTACCGAATTGCAGACAGTTTGATTTTTTGGACCAGAGTTCCGTATTTAAAGTATTCGTCACGTTCAGACATGCCCAGTTTCAAAAGTCGATTGAGACTACTATAGCCACCTCGTCCCAGATGCAGTTCCTGATATAGGATACAAAGTGCAGGTTTGGTCCAACTTTTACATACAAGAGCATATTCCAAAGTTTCTAGTGGCACCAAGTAGAGAAATATTTCACTAAGGGTTTCAAAGGGAAGATCTAGAATGTGCATCTTAGACTTTATCTTGATTTATTTCTTTTAAAAGAAGAGAAAGAGACTAACAGTTCAGCCACACGAAGAAAGAGTAGACTTCAGGTATCCGTAAAAGGATAGGTACCCACAAATATGTAGCACGAGTTGTGTAACAAGTAAAGGATGAAATATATATCTGTGCTGCGGTTACCCTGTTTTTTCTGATTCGCTTTTAGAGATACCAACTAGTCACTAATTTTGAAAAAGCTAATATTGCTCTTGCTTTGTGACCAACGCTTTATACATTTACCCATAAAACTTTTGTTACTTATTAAAGTCTATAGGCGTATTACTAACTGGAGGTGTTTGTTTCAATTTCTTGTTATTTTTGCTGATCTCATCCAAAACACCTGGTGTAAAACACAGAATTTATATTTTCATGCCAAACTAAACAAGCTCAATAGCGCGCTGCAAAATAAACATTGCAAATGATTCTTGTTTAAAGTGAGGATCATAAATTATTATTCGAGCTACAATCATATACTCCCGTGTTGTACTGTTGCCGAAAAAGAGTAAGAAGGTAGAATTAATGGCATAGTATTGACTCTATCTTTTTTATCTACTAAAGCCGATTGCTATTATTGATCTGATAGTAAAAGCTAATACTCAGACGATTTATGGGATACACTTTGCCTCTAATATGTCTTCGTCCCATACCGATTGCTCTCAAAAGATTGCAAAAGCTAAGACTTCCGACGAATAATTGTTATTTATAAAAAATAGTGCTAAAGGTCGCTTTTTATTTCTAAAGTGAGATTAGGCGTATCAAGCGAAGCGATAATCAATCGAATGAACGCACATCAAAAAATATTTTATCCCGTGGCAAACGAATATAAGAATTTTTGTTGATATAATCAAGGATAACTCCATCTTCGAATTCTGCCATAAGATTACCACAAGAGCTGACAATTACTCTTGTATTCTTCTTGCATTTGATGTTTATCCGGCAACTTCTGACAGTGTCTTTGCTATAACACTCCACCATAAAACTCTCGTCACAAGCAGTTAAAGAATAAGGGGACGTTTCTTGGTGATAATAGATTGCATTACCCTCCTTTCCATAGTCGAAGCAAACAAACCCAAAGTCCATGTGCCGGGATACGAATTCAATCTCAAAGTGAAAAGTCTTCAGATTTTTAAAAATCGTCGTATTATATTTAAACAAATGAGATTTCCCCGATATGTTTACTGGATTGATGCAAGACGCAAATTCAATGTTTGGTAAATGGGTCGCTATCATTCTTAACATTTTTGGAAGAGGAAAAAAACAGTAGGATTCAATAGACCTCAAGTTTTCTTTCGTGTTTGTTGCTGACAGGTGATATTTCTTTTTAGTGTCCATCGAATGATTGGCGTCCCTACCAATGGTGATGCGTTCGTCTAATTTTCTACGGCAAAAAAAATCAAAAAGCTCGAGATTGGGGTAGTTGGTCAATACATGATCTATAAACTTAAATTGTAGGTCCCGGCTCTGATCACATTCGAAAATAACAAATAAACAATTGACAATTTCTAGTCCAGTTCCTGATATGGATACGTCTGGCAAAATAAAGTTGATATTGGGGGTTTTGCAGTCACCTTTTTGGTAATCACAGTCTTCCAGACCATAAGAAAGATGTAAGCCATCTACGGAATTATACTCCAGAGAATCATAATTCATCCTTACTGTTTGGCAGTCAGCGATATCCATTTGACAAAAAGGATCTTTATTTCCCTTGAAGACGTCTACCAACTTGAAAAAAGTGGTCATCTTCGTTTCAGGCATTTGTCCATATTTTCTGTAACTGATATACCGATTTTTTTTCTGGAGCCGCGTATAAAGAAATGAAATCTAAAGGTCTCTTCACTGGTCAGCACGATTTAGCCATCGTTCTATGTGTTGATGGGTTCACTTCGAAGGTATCAAGAAAAAGTATGGTGATGGTACACGTTATAATTGCTAGCATTGATCCGTCTATCAGGTAAATTTCGGCTCTATATACAATACATCCAATCTTTTTACGTCGTAATAACACCATTTGCAGATACACCGATGAATATACTTTTCAAGTTGCAATTCTTTTTGGTGACACTAAGAAAGACTTTGACTCGTATCTGCGTCCAATTATTGAAAGCCTTGATCGTTTGAGTCGTGAACCTGTTGTTGTTCGCAAGAATGGTGTTCATGTCACGTCGGCTAGAATTTTCAATTTGGGTGTCATTGCAGATGGTATAGAGATCAACCAGCGGTTGTTGATGTTTAGTGGTCATACCAACTGGTGGGGATGTAGATTTTGTATTGGTAAGTCGTCAGTTTACTAAGCTATGACCGTGGACACTAACAAAATGACCCTTCTAAATTTAGTTAAAGGCGGTCACCCAGTTGACGGAGGAAAAGGTGGTATGTACTTCTTTGGCAGAGACTCGGCTATCAGAACCAAAGCTTCTTTATTACTTGAGAAAGACGCAGTAAGTATTAACTTGTGTAGCCTTTTTTACATATTTAATTGATTTACCTTTATTAGCCTTCTTGTCCCAACCACAACTATGGTATTAAAAGTGCTTCTCCCTTTGGTCAGTTGAGTACCTTCCTCTCCATCGACTTTTTCATGTGTGACGAGCTACATATGTTTTCGAATGTCAGCAAGCTTTGCTTCGACATGCTTTCACCAAAGCTCAACACTCGGTTCAAGTTTGATGGTAACGAAGACACGTACCCGTTTGCTCTCGAGACTGCTGATTTTACTCGCATCAAAACCGCCATGGATGACTCCCTTCGTGCAATTCCTGCGGATTTCAGTGGTTCGTTTGCTGGTGTCAATCTGGATAATGTTAGATCTATCTATCGTTCGGTGGACTGGATCGCCTGGTTGGTGCATGTGATTCCTACGATTGTTGCCCCACTCTTTCACGCCAGAGAAGCAACCACAGGATTTATTGCCCTGTCTCGTGGTATTCAATTGAGTTTGCAATGGTCGATATCCGAATCTGAAGTGAAGGAAATTGAGAGGTAAATATTCATTGTTGAGTTGTAATTTATGTAGTGATATTTACTTGAACATTATATTTGCTTATGATAGATGCTTTAAGACTTGGTTTGATTACCTCGATACCTGTCTTGATAGCAGCTCTATCTCCAGAACCGTATTCAGATCGAACATGCACCAACTGAACCATATACCATACATGATAAAACGAATGGGGTTAGTTATCGATTGTCATCATAGTTATTAGACTTCCCTTTTGTACTAATTTTTCATTTCTCTGGTAGACCGTTAAGGTGTTATTCTGCAAGATCATTGGAAAGGTCTATTGGCATATACAAGAAGCGAATCCGTTCATCTTTGAATCCTGGTGTCAACGCCGGTAATGTCATGGAAACTCGTGAAATGTTCTCTTTTTTGCAATCCGATGGTATAATCGATAGTTCCGCCTATGATTTGAAGAAGGATAAAGTTAACAACTTCTTGCCCCACCCGTCCAACGATCCATTGTTGCCTCAGCTGTGGTCACCCTTTCACTGGCGGGTAAATACTGTAAAGCTGGGCCAGGTTGTAAAGCAAGCAAAAGAAAAGCACAATCATACCATTGGCGGCTACCTGGCAAAAGACTGGCTTAAAGCACTCTCTCAATTTTTGATTCGTCTGACTGGTAATACTTCGGCTGTTATAACTTCGTTCCATCAGCACCAATTTGTCAACATTTCTCAAAAACTCTGGACAAACAATCAAATATACATATCTGATTTGTGCAAATCGAAGAACGCAGCAAGTTCGCGTGGTGGTGAGTTTGTTATGTTTACTGCAATTCATAAAAATCGGTAAGTTGATGTTTGCAAATCAAAATTATTGTGTACTGACTTATTGTAATTAGGATGTTCCGGCCTGTCGAAAACTGGTACGTTTGTAAAGTCTTGTTTTTTTTTGACTTTACATATCAAGAAGGTGCTCCGGGCTCGAACTTCGTTTTTGGTGAACTGATGAAGAATCATGACGTCTCACCATACTCAAAGGCTATCCCGCGCGTGAAACCTTACGATGAGGCTGAGCAAAAAAAATTTGTGGTCTTTGATGCCGAGGATCTTTTGTCTGCTGTCGGATTGGTGAATGCGGTTGACGGCTCCAATAACAAATATGTTATAAAGACTGGTGACGCTTTTAAAGTCGATATGAGTAGTACTGCCGGGAAGTGTTGGAAACATTGTTTTCCGCTGAGAATAAAATATAAAATCATTAAAACCCACAGTCACATGTCCCCTTTTCTCATTTTACTTACGTAATCTGAAGTTGTCTTTTTCTTACCCTGGCTATCATCCCCATAAACATTTTTTTTCTTTAAAAAATCACGTTTATCTATTAACATGGTATTGCTACATCTATTTATTTATGTATAGGTTGTTTTTATAGAGATTTGAAAATTTGGCTTTGCGATCAGCGATCAAAAAATCAAAAATATCGGAGATATCGATATTTTCGATTTTTTGAGCGATATCGCCAATATCGATCAAAAAAAACATTTTGATTGCTGATTTATTTTAGGGTGCATCTGTGCTACGGTTGCCCTGTTTTTTTTCTGATTCGTTTTTAGAAGACATCAACTACTAATTTAGAAAAAAGCTAATATTGCTCATGTTGTCTAGCCAGCGCTTTATTCATTTAATCATTATACCTTTTTTACCCAATAAAGTCTATAGGCGTTATACTAACTTGTATTTGTTTCTATTTCTTGTATTGACCACATATTTTGTATTTATTTGTTCAACTAAAAGAGCTCAATAGCGTGCTGTATAATGGACATTACAACTGATTAGCAGTTAAAATGAGGACGTGAGCTACGATTATAGCTAACAGTTTAAGTCTTCTTCAATATTTAATTTTCTAACAAGAAAAGAAATCTCGAAAAGGTTTTCTTTAAGTATTCATAGTCAAATCCAATAAACATAAAAACTTGTAGTGTTAGAAGTCTTTAGTAATCAATATTTATTACAAATGTGAGAATCGATATGTACATAATCAAGAAGAATCCCATTTTCAATCTCTGCGATAACATCACCGCACAAAGCTTTAGTGCCAACAATTATTCTAATATTCTTTTCACATTCAATAGTCAGCATGTGCCTTTGTGCATTCTTGCGTATACAATCATCGTCCTCAGCTCTAAAAGATGTACTAGAACAATAGTACATAGCCGCAGAACCATCTGTGTAATTGAAGCGAACGTACCCAGAAGCAATTTTGGATGGAGAAACAAATCCAGTATCAAAGTAAAAAGTTTTTAAGTTTTTAAAAGCAAGCAGATCAAACGTACCTGGTATTGATCTTTTGTTATAACCAACATAATCAGTGCATACAATGGTTTCAATTCCTGGTAAATAATGACCAATCATCCGGTAAAAACTTGGATCAGGAGTGATGCATCTTGTTCTGATTGACTTCAAGTTTTTTTTTGTGGTGGTTGCTGTGAGATGATGCTTTTGTTTTGTCAAATAGGAATGTTTCGCGTCCCTACCAATGGTAATGTAGTGATTAAATCTATGAGCCATCACGACATTTAAAATCTCGAGGTTGGGGCAATTAACCAATGCGTACTGCACGAAGAGAAACATATAGTTTGTTCCAGTATTGTATATAGTAACATTAAAGTTATTGATAATTTCTAATCCAATCCCTGAGATGCTAATATTTGGCAAAACAAAACTAGTAGATGTTATAGTTTTACGCTTAATGACGCGGTTTTCTTCTGGAAGATCATTTGTTGAGTGTTCTAAACCATAAAAAAGTCGTAGTCCATTCACCGGGTCATACATCATGCGGTCAGCGAGATTTTGTTTGCCTTCATCGGCAATATCTATTGTACAAAAAGTGTTTTTCTTTCCTTTGAATGCATTAACCAATCTAAAAAAAGTAGTCATTTTTGTTTCCTTCATCTCTGGGCGATCTCTGATAGTATGCATGGGATAGAAAGATAATTCGGTATAATCCAATGTACTTAATCGTCGAGCAAGTTTCAGTACATTTTCCAGACCAATTTTGTTTATCCAAGTATACAAGTCTACTCTAGACATTATCAACTTGAGTGTATTCAGCTGAGTAAAATTACACTCGATCAGGTATTGTATATATTCTACGGGAATATTTGTTGAACCAAGAATCAGACTTTCTAGGTCATTCTGCTTGATCTGAAAGGCGGGATCGATAGGCAAAAAATTCTTCGGATCTTGTACCATATAAGAGTGGATACCAAAGTTGAGTGATGTCAAATTAGGACAAGCTTCTTGTAGCCGAAATGGCGTGATACTTGTTGCGCTGCCACGAAGTATTTTCAAACTTTTTAGTTTGGGAAATTCCTCCAAATATAAGAGAGTTTGTGTACTTCTGGGGAAAAGATCCAAGATATATCCCATATCCATATTATCACAATAATCCTGAATTTCCAGGCTGGTTATAGTCTCGCAGTACCGGCAGCATAAATTAAAATGTGCATTGTATGAGCCTGGATTGTAAATGGACATATTCGGAGCAGTAATAACTTGGATTTGATTCAAACACTTGTCTGATTTGGAATCAAGCAGATACCGGAAATACCTCTTGTAAAGTTTGTTGCCGGCGACGTCTAAAATCAGTAGATTCGGAAAGTATTCCATCAATGACATGAATTCTTTCTCGTTGAATTCTACAGGCGCGTCATAATCGGAATCGTAGTCATCAAAATCATAGTCAAAACCGCCTGTATAGTTTTCAAAATCGCTGTCTGAAGCATCAGAATTAAACCCGCAACGGGAACGGTTTAGGGAGGACATGTACTTTTTATTTGAATAAACGAATTGAAGTGTTTTTACATGAGCACCATATTTGAAACAATCATCGCGTTCTTTTGTGTCCAACTTGAGTAGTCTCTTTAAAAGACTACGATGTCGATCTCCAAGTTTTAAATTTTGATGCAGGAGTTTCAGTGCAGGTTCTTTCCAGGTCTTACAAACAAGAGCACATTGTAACCGTCTACTAGAATTAAGGTCGGAAAAAATATTTACAAGAGCTTCCAGAGGCAATTGTTCAATGTGCATTTGGAATCAGTTATTAAATCCTGTCAAAAAGAACTTCTACCGCGTTGTGCCTGTATTTCTAAAAGGCAAGTACAAAAAAAAGAGTCACGTTTTCGGAAAATGGCGATTTTATATTTCGTACATTTCAAAAAAAAAAGCGTTTGAAAAGATAACACTAGGTCATGATTTGCAAAGCGAAAACTGTGTCTAGGTTATGTATCATTTATTAACGTTTTTTAAAATAAGAATCCTGGTTTATGTCATCAAGGAGAACTCCATTTTCGATTTCTGCTATGAGTGTTTCATAATGGCCGAAAAGTATTCTAGTACCCTTGGTACATCTGATATTTATTCGGCTACATTTGAATTTGTAGCTTCTGTAGCGTTCCTCCATAAAACTCTTGTCACAGGGAAGTAAAACATTTTTTGCTGATTTTTGGTGATAATAGATTGGTGCGCTTTTATTTCCATGAGAAAAGCAAACAAAAACGAAGTCCATATAATAAGATAAGGAATCAATGTCAACATAAAAAGTTTTCAGGTTTTTGAAAGTTGTCAAATTAAATGCAATCAATTGGGATTCTTTTGATGTCTCGACTGGTTCGATGCACGACAAAAATTCAATATTGGGTAGATGAGTTGATAACATCTTCAACAATTTTGGAGAAGGAGTGAAATTTTTGGTTTCGATGGCCCTAAGGTTCTCTTTCGTGTTTGTTGATGACGAGTGATATTTTTTTTTTGTTCGTGCTGAGTGGCTGGCGTCCCTGCCAATGCTGATGTGTTGCCTATGTTTTTTATTATACTCGAAATCAAAAAGTTCGAGATTGGGGTGGTTGGTCAACACATATTTTATAAACTCGGATTCCAAGCTTGGGCTCTTGTCAAAACGTATGGAAGCCCTCAGATAATTGACCATCTCTAGTCCGGTTTCTGTGTTGTCTATGTCTGGTAGTTTAAAGTTGATATTGGGTCTTTTCCGGTCACCTTCTTGGTACTCAGTGTTCTCCAAAACGTAGGAAAAAGATAGTCCATTTACTGGATCACAGTGCATACTATCAAAGAGCAAACATTCTTCCTCATCGTACAAAGAGTTGTCACCAATATCCATCTGGCAAAACAAATTCTTTTTTCCCTTGAACGCATTGACTAACTTGAAAAAAATAGTCATCTTCGTTTCATCCGACCTTGTGTTTCTTGGTTCGTCGACCTTTGGTAAGAAAAACATAACGGTAGTGTCCAAAGTGCTTAATCGATTGAAAAATTTCAGAAGATTCTCCAACTTTACGTCGTTAACCCAGTCATATAAATCATGACCGAATGGAATTTCCAGTTTGGAAAGTTGAGTAAGATCACATTCAGTCAAATACTTTAAATACCCCGCTGATATCGAACCATTTAAAACCAATTCTTTCAGGTTACTTAGAGCGTTACGGTTGGCAGGGTCGTTCAACAATGCACCAATTTCCTCCTCGGTATCGCGCAAAGTGAGTCCATAGTTGAGGGATGTCAAATTTGGACAGGATTTTTGAATTTCGAATATCGTCACTTTTGAATTGTAGTTTCCTGTTATTGTCAAATTTTTTAGACTGGGGAATTGTTTTAAATAGTCAAGTGTCTTGTCGAATTTTTCTGCGCCTATACATGACATATCTTGATATTCAATCGACATACTACCAATAGTTGCACGATACTTGTAGCGTAATGCGGGATACATTTGAAGTATTTCTGGACTGACATTCTGTGGGAATTTTAATTTTTGGATTTGATTTAAACACTTGCTTGACTTCGTCCTGAGTAGATACTGAAAATACTTTGTACTGTTTTCATCGCTACACATGTCCAAAGTCTTGATATTTGGAAAATATTCCAATAATGTTATAAAATCTTCTTCCTTGAACTCTTCTGGGGGGTAATCGTTGCAAAGTAATTTAAACTCTTGTACAAAGTTTCCGTACTTGAAATATTTCTTGCGCTCGGTTTTATTCAGTTTTAAATATCGATTGACATGGCTACAACGAAGGTCATTGAGATCCAGTTTCTTATAAAACATCTGGAGTGCGGGCACGGTCCAGCTCTTACATACAAGAGCATATTCTAATGGGAGGTGAAATGGTGCCAAGTAAAAGAATACCTTAGTAATGACTTCGAACGGAAGATCGTGAATGTGCATAGATTTAACGAAAAGTAGGAAAAAAAGAAAAAAAATTAGTTCAGCCACTTAAAGAGAAGTTGAAACTTGGGTTAGCTCCTTTGACAATCCATAAAAGGAATCAACAAATTACAAGGTATGTGTAACAGCCGAATGAAGAAAATGTGTTTAAACCACACTGACTTACATCAATCCCAGCCAAAACCCAGCAGCTCACTCTGGGAGGTCTTCAGGGTATAGCGAAGACTAGCTTAAGACGCAATATGTCAAAAATTGGATATGTTTTTTCGTTTATAGAGGCGTTTCTTAAAAAAAAAAAGTTATTATTGACTAAAAAATAGGTTTGTAAGATCAATGATTTTATCTTTTGGTTTGGTGCTAAGACGTCTCGGTTTCAAAAGATATTACAATTGTTGCAGTTTAATATCTGATTGATTTTGTGACCGCCACATTTCAGATTCTCCAAGTTCTTTACAAGACAGCCATTGCATGTCTGCAAAAAAAAAAAAAAAAAAAAAAAAAAAAAAAAAAAAAAAAAAAAAAAAAAAAAAAAAAAAAAAAAAAAAGTACTTTCTTATGAGTACTTGTGCAAAATGAACATCTATTCATTATTCCTGGTGTTTTTTTTTCCTGTTTTTGTTGTACTTCGTGGAACTGCTTATCAAAAAATGGATAACATGATCCGTAGCCTTTTGGTTCCTGAGATAGTTGGGCCACCGTATTTCAGCAGTTTGAAAATCATAAAAAGTGACTAAGGCTTCAAAGTGTTGGAGCAAATAGCTTAAAGTGACATTATCCAACAAAGATAAAATAGCGGTTTCTTTTTTTTTACAAAAGAGACTCTACACGTATAACCATCGGTATAGAAGCTGTTAAAAAACATCCTGCCTTTCACATGCAATGATTGTAATTCATCCAGACTGTTCTTGTTAAAATAAAAAGTTGCGTATTGTTCGCAAGCATACCTTTTTATTTTCAATTTTCTGAAGTCGAAACATTCAAAAAAAGATCTTTTCGTGAAGGCAAAAGGTGTCTCCTTTTGTACATAACGAATTTTCCTTACAAAAATTCCATGTAGTTTTTGATTATTAATTGCCATTTTAAGCTTGAATTAAGGAATACTGAGCAGCCTTGGTGGTTGGAATCGATTCTCTTTATTTTTATGCGTTTTTGAGCTTTATTCTTTGATGATGATTTCTTCTCTTTTAGGTCTCTTCCGTAATTGATTTGAGCTCTCAGTTTGTTGCAATAAATTGGACTGTTATGGTAAAGTCAATGGTAGTTGTATCATTGTTGTTACTTGTTGATTCGCTTCAATCATTGGTTTGTATTTTGACGAAATATGTCTAAAAACTGGCATTAAATCAAAAGGGGTCTTATTCAATGTCGCCTATGTGATAGGAGCTGGTGGTAATAAGCGATTTTTTCACAGAGCTCCGGCAAGGTTGATGGTTGCATGTTAAACAATATTTTTAATATATGGCCTTATAAAATAGACTTGATATACGGCATTCTCAAGTACTATGTATTGTTAATACCAACCTTTGCAGATAACTACATATTAAAAAAAATCATTCACCTGAAATTCAGTATGGATTATTTATAAAAATAGTTACTGGCAACGCTTTCAAATAAGAGTTATTGTAGCAAGTTGAAAGTTTTTACACGCGGACGCTAGTACTTGACCATAGTTGGTAGGACCTTCTTTTTCGACAAGCATGCTTACACCTTCAAGACCGCTGAGCGCCGTCCATATTTCTTCAAGATGAGGAATATGCGAAGTGTATTTTTGTTTAAATCTAGCAACTATTTTTTATTTCCATTAATAAGTGGACATAAAGAATACCAAAGGTTTTGTTTGAAAAACTCGTTCGGCAAGTCAGCTAGGTATTTGAGAAAGTGGTAGTTTATAATGTTTGAGCCCTTACTCACAATAGAAGCATCTGCATATAGCCCAAGGCTGATATACAAGTAATTCTGATCTTGGAAGCTGTCTATCAGTGTGTATTGATACTTTGTTTAGACATACCTAAAATTCAACCAAGTGTTCTCTTAAAAATTTATCATCAAAATCATATTAGTCGTCACTCAGGGCTTCAGTCCGTCATTTATCATGATGGGGTTTTCAGATGTTTTCGTTTAAAGACGGTTCATAATCAAGATATTTATTTTTTAGGTAACGAAAACAACTGTTACCTACACGACCCAACTATCTTGACCCTCGATAGTCACCCGTTTAAGGTTTTGTACACCTAAAAAAAATTATAAGCGTTCTTTCTTAACCCGTGACTATTACTGGATAGTCTTATTCTTTTTCGCATCACATTAAACATCATCTCTTTCTGACCACCACGCTGCCTTGTTACTACAGTCTCTTCTCAAATCGATTCTGCAATAAGTAGAAATGTAAACTTTAAGGTATTAAATCCATTTTTTCTGTACCCTATCAAGTCAGTGATTTACCATTCGCTATTGACCGATGGCGTTGTACTAGCTAATCTAAAGCTGGAATTTTACATATGTAAATAAAAGCTGCTAAATGGCATTTGTAAAAGTAGTTGAATAATTATTAATGATCGCATCTTGTAAAACAGTTTTTGTTATCAATATTTGATTTTTTGTGTCACAAAGAGCAGGATAGAAGTGTAGCCTTCTTTCTCTTTTGTGAGCTTCTTTTTTTAGCTAGTGACCAAGAAAATACACAGAAAAATCAATATGACCTTCACATGTTGTAATTATTCATCCCTATTGATGTTTAATGGTTTGGATCTATGCTACGTTCGCAAAATTTAATTCCGAAATTAGCTGTCTAGTTTTTCTCCTTTTCATGTTTTAATACCAAGCTCAAAAATAGCACTATTGAATAATCAATTTCTACCGCTTTTTTTGGACATGAAACGTACAAAGACCCACTGCTGATCATGTTAATACCTTTTAGGATAAGCTTATATTCGACTGGTTACTTTCCTCGACCTCTCACAATGTTCATAAATTACTCTCTCAGTACTTACTTTTAAACAACGGAAGCTATATGTTCGATAGGAGAAAAATTCTGCTATTCTTACCCACGTTACATTCTTACGAGACAATAGACCCGAATAATTATTTCACTTGATTCCCTTTTAAGAACATTGTTTTCAAGCTCGTTTAAACCTCAGATAGAATTGATTAAAGGAAGGGTTCCGAATTGCGGAAAATCCCTGGAAAATAAGGGTAAAAAAAAGTTGAATGACATAATGAAACTCAAGAACCCTTAAAAACAGGGTCGTTACCTAAACAATGCATATGTTTCTTCCCCTGTATTGGATTAGACTTTTTTCTCTTCGCTTTTTTTTTTTTTTTTTTTTTTTTTTGGTTTAACACCAATTCATAGCTGTTTAGCGGTCCATTTAGTTAGCAGTGTTTAAAAGTCGGATGCTTAATTAAAAAAAAAAAAGGTATATAAACTCTATGTTGCTGTATCACAGTTTTTATTTCTTTTTAAACCAACTTTTTTTTTTTGTCAGTCATGTTGGATTCACTATTTTTCCAGAGACTTAATACACCATTGATCCAAGTTGTATTTTTGGGTATTGTTTCTTTATGTGGACCCGGCATGTTTAACGCCCTTTCCGGTTTGGGTGCAGGTGGATCCATGAGTGCCAATATTGGTTTAATCGATTCTGCCAACGGAGCTCTGTATGGTTGTTTTTCTATTGTCGGCTTCTTTGCAGGTACTTTTACAAACACAGTGGGTGTAAAATACACATTGACAGTAAAGTATTTCGCAGTGAATTATAAATTATGATATTTCTCCCCTCTTTGTAATAATTCATCATTATCCCCCCCCTTTTTTTTTTTGGTATCTTAGATTGGCTCTGTTGGATATGCAATCTATGCCGCTGCCATGTGGGTTTATGATCGTAAACAAGTTTCGGGTTTTGTGGTAGCAGCGGGTGCAATTCTCGGATGTTTGGCTTCATTGTTTTGGAGTGCGCAGGTAAACAGAGATCTTAAAATAAATCATTAAAAATTAATCATAAAAAGTTAATCTCTAAAAAGCAACTTCATTCCAGGGATCGATCATGATGTCTTATCCAGAAGAAAAAAATAAAGGTAAATACGTTGCTATCTTTTGGGCGCTCTTTAATTTCGGTGGTATTCTCGGCTCAGTTATTGCTTTGGGTCTTAATCTGGAGAATGAAGCAGGCGGTGTTTCGACAGGTACATACACAGCATTTGTCGTGGTGATGCTTGTAGGTGTGGTCTCCTCTCTTATTATTGCAACACCCTCCAATGTCGTACGTCCAGATGGTACACATGTAGCAGTAACAAAGGCGTCGGATTGGAAAACCGAATTAAAAGGTGTATTATTGGTTTGGAAAGAATGGCGTATGATTTATCTCATTCCTGCCTTTTTGGCTTCTAACTGGTTTTATTCATACCAATTCCGTGTTAACGCTGTTTACTTTGATCCATCCGCTAGAGCCTTGAATGACACCATGTATTGGGGTCTTCAAATCGTTGGTTCACTCTTGATCGGTCTGTTGTTGGATTATCAAGGCATGTCCCGTCGTGGGCGTGGTTTAGTATCACTCGGAGTCCTGTTTTTAATCGTTATGGCTGTCTGGGCGGGCGGATTTGCTTTTCAATTGACTTTCAATAATGATTATCATAACCCTATTGGTTGGAAAGATGATAGTTTTGGAGGCCCTTTTGTGCTCTACATGTTTTACGGTTTCACAGATTCACTTTATCAATCTTATCTTTATTGGTTGATGGGTGCCATGTCTAACAATCCTTCCTTACTCGCTCGTTATGCAGGGTTTTATAAAGCCACACAATCTGCTGGTGCTGCCATTTCTTTTGGTATTGATGCCATAGACATTCCTTTACGCTGGGAGTGCCTTATTTGCTGGATTTTGGTCTTCATTTCTTTCCCATTGATCGCCATTGTTGCTAACAATGTTACAGAGACCAATGAAAATATTCCTGAAATTGTGGGATCATTTAATGATATGGAGTCCATTAGTTCTTCCGCTAATGAAAAAACACACATAGAAAGAACACACTCATTTGAAGCTTAGAATGCTCCCCTTTCCCCCCCCCCTTCTTGTACTTATATCATATCAATAAAGGATCATTTTTGACCAATTCGGAAAAAGTCGAAAAAGCTCATAAGTTCATTGGCACGTGGAGAAAAGTCTCATGCCGTGTTTGTTCGTATACCGTACCACACAACGTACACTGCTGCTAAGGCACGCTATATAATTTCTAAATGTTAATATAGTAAGTGATTGTAAACGTCCAAATTGAAGAAAGAAATGATAATAATGACAGTGTTTTAAGCTGCATTGAAATTAACTATGTTGCTTCGAAGGTTTGTATTCAATTGGTGAGTTATTGATGTCATATGGTAGGTAAAAATTTTTGACAGACCCGTTACTTATAGAGATGTAAGACACAATACAGTAAAGAGAAAGTTATTGCAAGCAGCAATTAATTAACCATGTAAGGTAGGATATGATTTTAAAGACTGTTACTTTTGTTTTATTACCTGAAAACCATGGTGATATCCTTTCAATTTTCTCAAGAAGCGTATAACGTGTTTGTGATTATCACTACAATACCAGTATTGTAACAGTTGAAAAACCGTTTAGATACAAGTGGTCAAGAAAGATACATGGGTCCGACGAAAGTTTACAGCTTGACTATATGATCAAATCCTTTTGGATTACCATAAAAAATCCTGATGTCATAAACAAGTGAACTGATATCAGTAATCTGCTTCTGTGCATTGACGTAACAGCCTTTAATCGGACACACATTCTCTTCATCATTATTAAAAATCATAGGGCGAAATTACATGGTTTCTGGAACTTGAAGTTTTTAATCCTTAGAGCAGTCGTTAAAATCACATTCGTTGAAAACAGATAGATTTCATTATCTTCTTGCTGCGTGGGTGGACGGATAATAATATAAATCATAATAATGTTTGATGTAAGTTTTCAAAGTGCGGTAGTAGTGGTATATTAGTATGCTTTTCATGACAAAATATGATCCAGTAGTTTCTATTCTAGCTTTGTTTAAGGCCGCCAAAGCGGCCCCTGTCAAGTACTATTTCTACATCTACTTAAGTATATAAAAAGACAGCCTGTTCGATTGAAATTCACCCTCTTGAGAGCATATATACATAGCTTACTTAGAGGCGGCAGTCAATAATGTGCTATAAATTGCCCGTTCTAGGTTAGCTATATAGACACCTTATCTATCCTTAGGAATCCCTCTTACTTTCGTGATTACGTTTCTTAGAACATTTTTGCAGGTTGTCTCTTTTTTTTTATTAAAGTAAGTTTTTGGTAGGTAAATAATGTTTCATATTTGTGCAACATCACATAACCAGAAACACCGATGACTTCATGTGAGATCATAAGAACTTTTTCAAAATAGGTTCCTGTCGTGAATTAATATTTGACCATTAAGCAAAACCTGAACATTTTATCTGTGTGTAACCATCAAGGAATAAATCTTATCACAAATTTCCAAAAAAGTCAAATATGTTGAAGATGTCATTGCCGTATACAGTTTCATCTTGAGTACTAGGCTAATGGAGTTTTATATATGAATTAAAGTTGCAGGCAAAACAGAGATACGGCAACATGCACGGCGAAAACATTTGAATCATTTGTATGAAAATTAGACTGAAGGTAAAGCCATCATTTATTTGCGTCTTCAAAAACAGCAGTTTTATTATCAAACGACTTGAGCATTTAATCTTTTTATGCCTGTTCAAAGGTCTAGGTCTTTTTTTTTTTTAAGTACGACTTTAGGCCAAGACAAATATATATTGTTTTACCAAAAACCTATTATCTGTTATCATCAACACGAAAGAAAATAAGATAGAGAAAAATATGATAACAACTAATCTGTGTTGTACTCGTCGGTTTATCGGCATATTTTTTTCAAAAAATTAATTACCGTCCTGTCATTTTGGCTAGTAAATAAAGAAAACCCCTCTTTTTTATTGTTGTTTTTTTTTTTTTTTTTTTTTTTTTCGGCCATGTTGTTGTGTTTATAAACATTAAGGGAAATATTCCCAGGGAAAAAAAAAGAATCACACTTATTGAAAGGAGTTTTATTTGTTCGCGTAGTAGATAAATAGCTTAATTCATGGGTAGCCAATCCCAGAGGCTTATTATATACTATACTAACGATTGTCACACTAATTTGAATGCCATTTCGGGTGGTTTGGACGTGCCCCAAACATTTTCTAATGGAACTATTTACAAACTTTATTGATATAAAAAAACAGCTGAGGAAATATGTACATTTTTGCTTTTAATAAATTCAATACGTTTCCCAACTCTGATCAGAAGGGCTTTCCAAAAGTGAATTGAAAGCTAAATCAGGCGCTGAAATATCTTCACTCGTGAATTCAGAGAAATCAAAGTCATCGACTATGTCAAGTAGTACATCAGTAAATTCTTTGGTTTTGTTATGGGAAGTTTTGTCGTCTTCTTCAGAGGAGCTACTGATGACACTGTCATTCGAGCTAAAGTTGGTTGGAGATAATGCTGGCGTCATATCGGTCTTGGGTCGTCGATGGTTCCTCTCTAACAAATAATTGGCAGGATGACTATGATCTGGATAGAGTTGTACGGCTTCAATTTGTTCACTTTTACGTGCCGACTCGTTATTTGAAGTAGCGCGAAGCGTAGCAGGTGTAGTAATTGAGAATGTGAATTGCTGGCTAGAGGCGTTACTAGGAGCTGGCTTGCTAGAGGCTGAGTTAGATTTCCTGGATAAAGTCTTTTTGGCCTCTGTTTTCTTAGTAGCTGTGTTGCTAGATTCTTCATGATGGTCGGGTTTTTTTCTTTTTTTCTCAGGAGAGGCGTTTGGGATAATTTTTAAGGTACCTTCAACTGATGAAGGGCGAATTTGAAGAGGTATCAGAGAAGAGAACTTTGGGGGAGGAGAAGGTAGAAATGCTTTTAAATCTGGTGGAGGACCAACCGATAATAAGCAAGATTCGCTTCGATTGTCAATCGTTGTACCTTTGAGATTACTAATTTCTAACTCTAGTCTATATATAATAAATCTCAGCTGCTGATTCTCTTGATATAATTGGGTTGTAGCATGATGATGGCTGTTCTGAACTTGTCTAATTTTATTTTCCAGTTCTTTCACATAGAGTTCCTTGCGCTCTCGAAAAGCTCTTTGGGCCGCCCTATTTTGAGCTTTGCGTTTGATTTGATGTTCCTCTAGTTCGGGATCCTTTTTATGGGTAGAAAACTGTTAGAACAAAAAGGAAAAAATATATATCCAAATGTTACTTACATCATCTTCTTCGCCAATTGGCTTGCGACCTAATTTTTTCCCGCTGTCTATTAAAAAAAAACAATTTTCTTAGCGTTAGACAAACATTTATGTAAATTAAACTGCGATTATAATACGTACCAATACTTTGATCATCCTCATCATGGGACATGACAGAATTTGAATCATCATTATTCATGTAACCTATAATGTTTTTGTAAAAAAGTATCAATGATCCGTCAAAAATATGAATAAAATAATTTATCCTTACGAAAATCTTTTTTGTGTAAGACTTTGTCTTGTTCATTGCTATCTGTTGAAATTTGAATCGACTGATTTCCTACGTTATTGTCAGGATTAATGCGTGCCACTTGTTGGGTACTTTTTGCTGGCATGGTATTGGGTTGCATATCGTTAGCCATTGATATATGTTTATAAAAAAAAATTATCGAGTAAGAAGAGAAAGTTTCAATATTAAGTTAAAGAGAGAAAAAAAAAGGAGCCAGTTTATATAGATCACCGGAAAATGTAATTCGTCATGTGCTGATTAGTTCAACCGTTATCCTTTATATGTTCTTTTTTTTTTTTTTTTTTTTTTTTCACTTGCTGGTCTGAGGTTAGCAAACACTCATAGCTCAGAGTTCAGCCCGGAGAGTACGTGAGTGGTTACCACAGATACCCCGCTGATGTTGTACGGGTGAATAGGTCTTATTCTTAATTCTGATAACAGAGAAGAAGGGAGAAAGAAGAAAAAATTTAAAGGAGCAAGGAACCTTTAAATGTGTCTCTTTTACTTTGCTTGTTTAGATTTTCTGTTTCCACGCGTACAAAGATTGGAGGGAGAAGAAGATTTGAGCGTACAAACAACTTGTTCTGGAATAAATCTGCGACCCCCGAACTTTATCATGGAGATACATTGACCCAAAACTTAATAGTGTAGGGCGTTTTGATCTCATTTCTTTTTCGTCTAGGTGGTGCAATCATATTTATATTTTTCACTTGGTGAAACTTGAGCTTTTAAATGTTTACGCACCCGATACATACAAAAAAAAAACAAGCGGTACCGAGATCTCACAACACATGCCCATATGTCCATAAATTACTTAAATTGGTAACAACAATAAGACATTCTTTTAGTTCAAGAGTTACTTTTCTACTACGTGCTGTCTGATCGGAAGTAACTTGAAAACGAAGATAATACGTTTTACAGATCTCTCTCAAAAAAAAAGATAATGATTGTGTTTTAAAATATCCTTTAAAGGGTTGATTATCGGGGAAAGATAAAAGATAACAAGAATTTGCATGAGCCTAGAAGTTATTTTTATTTTATAGAATACAGAATTTCAAACACAGGTTAGTTCCTACATTATGTTATCTCCTTTTCACTATTCGATAAAGAATAATTCTAACAGCGAGTATGTTAGTCCCGGAGAAACGTTTTTTTGTAATTTCCCCAGATTTTTGAAACATAATCGTGTGAACATAATTTTGTGCGAGCTTAATTTGTGGGTGTGAGTGACCCCCTTAAACACAAGTCTAAACTTTATCTACGATATTTCAGATCTTGTGAAAAAGTAGCATGCTAGCACCATAAAATATATTACAAATACTCTGTTAACCCTTACGAACAAGTAAATGATTTACACAGATTAATGCTATATGCCCTCAGATATAATAAGCCTCTTTCTCTCTCATTTTTTTCTAAATATACAAAAAATATTTAATCCATACATTTAATGCCTACGTGTCTTGTAAGTTTGCCATAATACATGCAGTTGTATTTACGCAAGTGTGATGTAATAAAATAAAAACCTTTAATTCCAATGCGTCACCTATGACAAAGAAATAAAAAATCAAAAAAAATAAATAAGTTGTAAACTGCACAGTTCTTGGACTGAGACTGACAGTTGTCTTTACAAAACCCAGCACAGCCCGAAAAAACGGGTAACACAAAAAGACCAACTCCACTTGTTAGTAAAAGAAACATATTCACCGCAAAATTGCGGTGAAAGTTAACAATAATTTTGACTGACGGATCCGGTCGATCTTTGACTATTCTTATATCTTGGGCGGAAATTTTAAAAATTGAATTGTAAAAAATTGATCGTATCCCGTATGACTATAACTTCGACAAGAAACCAAATACTCGTAAAGATTGATTTTGTTATGATTTAAATATCTACGATAAATACATAATAATATTGTCGAAAAAGAAAATGTTTTACGGTGATATTTAATGATTTTTTGAAAATGAAAGGATATTTATTTGTAGACTATCTGGGGGTAAGATTTTGTATTACGTTACATAAGTTTCCCAGTCTTATTGAAAAGATTTTTTTTTTACAGATCACTCCTCTTTCCCCAATTTTTTTTATGCAAATCTTTTGTAAATAATAACATATGGCATAATCTGTTACTAACTAAAGCTTTCCCGCTGTAAACTATTGTGTGTGGTCTTTTGGCATATGATAAGATGAGTAGTTTCCGCTGTAGTGATTGCAGCTAGAACCAGGCACATTGAGGGATATTCTTCCACTCTGATCCTTGGGTTATATGGTGTTGTGACATTCTTGAAATCAATTGAAGCTTGAAAGCAAATTGAAGGAAAATTGTCCAGCCTGTGTTGCGATTATTTTTTTACACAAGATTATTTGCAGTTACTTAATCAAACAAACAAAGAAGGTGTAACCCCATTTTCAAGTTTCCTAGCGCAGCAACCCTACCCCAACAAGACGTTCCGTCGACTTGTAGCAAGTGATATTCTAAAAAAGTGAGGTGAATTACTTTAATGAATGCTTCTCATTAGAAATCTGGGCAAGAATGCATCTCCATGTTAGGTCTAATGTTCAGGTGTCAAGTTGGTATCAACCCAGGTGACGTCTAAATGAGTTTGTACAACTATTCGCTCAGATGGACGCATAAAAATATTAGGTAGGTAACTATAAAGATTTATAAAAAATGAGGATGAGTTATTACCCCATAAGTGTTATATTCCTCTATTTGATATAACTTGCATACCTCCTAATGAATACAAAGAAGCATTAAATTACATTCAACCTGCTATTGAAGCCAATCAAGCCATTCCTAAAGGTTCATTTTGCACTATACCTGAAAGTGTGGTATCCTTGGATACTCCACCAAATGTGACAGCGTATAGAAAGCCTTATCCAGTCCCTCTTAAGATGAAAAGCATTGTAGAGGACCAAGTAAAGGAAAGGCTCGATAACGGTATTACTAAAGTCGCCCCTGCTAATTCAGAATGGAACACTCAGCTAACTGTAGTCAAGAAGACTGATGCTAAAGGACAAATAAAAGGATATCGCGTCTGTCATGATCCCAGACATATGAATTGTTTGTCAAAGTCTATTGACCGAATGCCCTTACCTATCATCGGTGAGCTTCTTGAGGATTTAAAGGGTGCTACTGTCTATTCAACCTTGGATCTTAAGTCTGCTTTTAACTCATTAGAGTTAAATCCTAAAGATGCACATAAATTAAGCTTTACTTGGCGTGGTGTTCAATATTATCAACCTATAGGCACTGTCTTTGGCATTCGTCATGTCAGCTCACAATTTCAGAGTACAATGAGTATTGTATTAGAAGGTTTACCTTGCGTTCGATATTTCGTTGACGATATTGCTTGTTCGAGTAAATCCATTGAAGAACATAAAGAGCATTTAAATATGCTGATAAAACGATTAACTGAAGTAAACTTGATGTTGAATCCAGATAAGTGCTGTTTCTTTCAAAAGTAAATTTATCACCTGGGATTTCGTGTAACTCCTTCTGGTGTATGAAGAGCTATACCTGATAAAACGGCAGCGGTTTTAATAGTGTTGTGTTAGAAGTAATTTGCACCTTCGGCCCATTCAGAAAATTGCAAAGTGATAAGGCTACCGAATTTGTCAATAGGTGTATGTCATGCATAAAAAGCAATATTGGGTTTGACCATGCAGTATCATCCAAGATCTAATGGAGCTACTGAAAGAGCTGTACAATCCGCTGTGAAAACCGGAAATGTCTAGACCTCCGTATTTTTTTCAAACGTATTTTTTATACCACTTACAGAAATTCTGGCCAAGACCAGCAGGCCAGTATGAACACAACCATTCACAGTGTAAAGCACTGTTATTCACGGCCTGTGAGTTCCAAAAAAAAAAAAATCAAGAGCCCTGCTTAGGAGGTCGCTCTCCTATAGCAAAGACTAGCTGCAGCTGCAATACCGCAATAATATCTTTTTTTCATTTTAGCGTCTTTTGAAAGAAACAAGAGTCACTACTAAACAAACCTTTTTACATTATCCGTTACTTTCATAAGAGAGAAGAAATATGTTAAAGGAAAAGAAAAGGGGGAAGAATAAAGTGTGTGAATGAGATTTATTTGTAGATTGATAAACAAGAGCTTATGTCAGGATGATTTGATTGATTGTTTTATCATTTATAATGTTTGGGCCTTTACCTAAAATAGAAACATATGCAAACCCCTATTACTCTCTAATTGAGGTATTTGCAAATGTTTCTATTTCAAGTAAAGCCCAAACATCATAAATGATGAAACAATCAATCAAATCATCCTGACATAAGCTCTTGTTTATCAATCTACAAATAAATCTCGTTCACACACTTTTGTAATCTTATAAAATCAGACTCATTTTTCTCTTCTTTCCCTTTTTTTTTTTTTTTTTTTTTTTTTGAATGAAAGTAATCAATATTGTAAAAAGGTTAGTTTATAATGACTTTTTCTTCTTCCAGAAACACTAAAGTATTACCTCTTTCTTTTTAAAATGAAAAAGATACATTGCAATCCTTGTTACAATTAGCTTTGCCATATGATGGTGTACTCCCAGGCAGTGCTCTTGGGTTTTGGGCACTCACTGTATGAACAGATTGTAAATAGCAGAGATTGCACTGTAAATAGGTGTGATTAGATAGGCTGACTGGTCTCGACCGGGATTGCTGTAAGTGACATAAAAAATACGGAGGTCTAGACATTTCCTTTTTTTTTTTTTTTTTTTTATTTTGAAAGAAAAAAAAAACTTCGATAAAAATTAAGTCAAGAGTTTAATGACACCATCTAACTGTTTTTTATAGATTACTGGAATGTAACCAATCCTAATCAATATGACATTACATTCTATGATTTGAAGTTGTGTCAAACCACACCTATGACAAAATAATGTGCACATAAAGCACTCTTGCCAGACATGCAAACCTTGAAAAACGCATTTCTAGAAAACAAAGATTTGGTAAAATTCTTGAATAGAATTGACAACTACGTTAACTCTATCTCCTGAAATGCCGCATATCAGAGCATTTCAGGAGATGGAGTTAATGGGAATTTCCGGAAGACAACTGCTGTGAAATTATGGGATGAGCAAATGAAGAGAATAGAAATTGAGGTAATTAACAAAGCACGAGGAAAGGAAAACGTTTGTTTAACAATTCCTGCGAAATAAAGATTTAATAATACTCCGCAAGGGATGTTTTTTAATTTGAGTGTCAAGCTTAAAAAGCTCCCTCGAGGCTTGGCTACTTGGTTAGCATCTTTAGATGAAACTTTTAATAAAGGAAAAGCAAGCTTGAGGAGCAATGATAAAAATAAGTTAAAGAAGCAAAAGTCTGGTCGCGAAGTAAATGCGAGTACACTAGTAAGTAATTTCCCTGCAACATTTACGCAATATTAAAGGATTGTATTTATTTTAGTCTGCAATTGATAACGTGCTACTCAGCGATAATAATCTGTCTGTCGGTACAGTTATAAAAAGAAAAGCTGTTGAATTATTCAATGACGGGCCTGCTGTCAATTCAAGAGAATATAAAATTATGACGTTAGTATACGAAAGCTTGTACATGTTTCATGTACCTTGTTATTGACTCTCTTAAAATTTGTAGGAACGGTTTATCTTCTATTTTAGACATCTGTGATATCACGGAAAGCTCACAAAAATCCCTATTTAACGACAGTGACTGGGAATTTTTAGTCAAAACGTATACTGACAAATACGATATTACCTTGATTCCCGTTAATGATCTGATCCTCTCTACTTGGAAAATTGTGGTTAATGTAAGTAAACAGTAGTAGCAGCTAAATAGAATCCAAAATAACTCGTTCCTTTTTTAGAGCATTACAAATACAAGAGACATTAGTTTCAAATTGAAGTATATTTACCAAATTTTCCCAAAACACCTCAAAAAACACTATTTCTTTTGCTTAAAATTATGTGAACACATGTAAGTCTCTGATAATAGGATACTTTAATTGTTTAATTAGTATATTCATTTAATTGGTGTTAGGTTAAATCTCATACAAATGCATCCCACCATGTTAATTAAAGTTGATCCTCCTGCCTTCTCCGAAAATGATCATTTACGTGTAGTATGGTCTGATTTCTTTGAGTATCTCTTCCCCGCCTCTGGAAACATCAAGATTAAAACGTGAGTAATAATAGATGATTTGTAGACATAAATGACTAACACTGGTTTGTTATTAGTGGTGAAACTACGTATTATAAATCTGCTGAAAAAAATCTCAACTTTATGCACATTTGCCCAATACATCTAAAATAATAGGCTTCAAAATTGATCTTGGGCTGCTATAATATCCAATGTCTGTAAGACAATAATTTGGATCAAATGTGTTCTTGTTTGTTATGTCAAAGATTCGTGTTTGTTGTGTCGGTGATTCTTATATGTTCCGTATTTACATTAGAGTTGTTGTTACTATGGTGAGACAGTCTTGTAGTACAGCAGCTGCTATTCAGACATAACAATCGCGACATTGATATATGCGCTGGTGAACTTGGAAGCCACGATGGAGACAATAACATCATAGATGATGAAGGAAAACTAAACAGAGAATCAATTACAATGCTTTATCCCCAGCACGGTGAAATTTCAAAAGTTTAACCAGACCTTCCAACCAAGGTCAAAGGATATTTTGAACAACCTTATTTCAATAATTCTTCGAAACAAGCCAAATGTTAGTATGGGCTGGTCCGTTCAAAATGGTGGCTCCTCTTGTTTCTTTTGTGCTGTTCACTTGGATGCGGATGGTCTATACTTAAAGGTTCCCAAGTTTCAGTTTTCTCTTCCCTCTACGATTGCTGATTTTGGTGACTATACTGATTTCTTGAGTAAGCAGGCGGTGTAAAAGTGAGGTATTACACGGGTGGTGGGTTGTGTTGCGGTTGAAGCTGCTAAAAATCAGAAAGTCTATGACTGCATTTTCGATACCATTAAAGAGTTTCTGGCTTCCAAGCACTCTGGGCAAGCAGCTTTTGGTAAAGCCAATAATGATGAAGCAAACCTTGATCCACGTATCTATTGGATTCGGGATCTTTACTATACCCCTCCTTCAAACACAAAACCTGGTTTAACTACATACCTGTTTGACTGTGCCCCTCCATCATCAATTATGGATAAATTGTTAAGTTTATCGCACGAGAAAAAACAAGATCTGAATCATATATACAAAGACTGTGTGTTTGATGAAAACGGTTGGACCTTTTCTGGGGATCATTGTTTCAACACGATTATCAACGAGCGATCAACTTCCTCGTCATATAAAGCCAGTGATGACGAAGAGGGTTTTACCTCATCCGATGATAACCCCATCCCTGATTCTGATACCGCCGCCAGTGAATTCGATACCGTAATGGTTCAAGATTCTGATACCATCGCCCAGGAATTTGATGCCGCCACAGGTAATTCCGATGCCGCAATTCAAAATTCTGGTACAAACAACCAAAATCCTGATACGGCTACTCATGGCGATCGCATGGTTTCATCTCCTACTTCTGTCTCTCGCGCTCAAACGTATCAAGGTGGTGTTTAATGACAAGAACGACTTTGGACTCTTTTGGCGTCAAACGGAGTCAAATTCCTATAAAGAAACTGGTTATACTGAATCATGTATCGATTGGGTAGAACTCTATCTTTTCCAGGCCGTTAGTAACATTGGAAATCTATCCGAAGAAAGTACTGATAGTACACTGCCAAAAATCTATGGCTAACTCCTTCTGGCGAACATTAAACCATTAAGCAAATTGATTCGAAGATGGCATCCACCGCGAAATTTTCCAGCGGTTTATTCGCACCTTAAACTGCTACCGCCGGTAACGGTGTAAGCTTAAACTGATACCGGCCGGTTAACTTTTTGGCGGTCTAAGCTCTACCGCTACCGCTGGAAAGTTTTTTAGTGGAATCCCTTAAATATCTCATCAAATATTGGAGACAGTTGGTACTTGATGAGTAGAGTTAAATGGAGTATTTTATCACTTTTAATAACTTGTCAATTATTAATCTAAATGTTACTTTGGACTCTTATAAGATCCCTTTGTTTCGATAATAATTTACAAATTTATATTTTAAACACCATTACATAGCTCACAATAAACCCTTTTTTCATACCTTTTTTACACGTATAATTTACAAAGGTTCTTGTACCTGAAACCAGCACCAGCTCAGAGACTTCGAATAAAATCAGTAAAAATTAAAAACAGACATTTGAATGATTGCATACATAAATAAAGCAGTAATTATATGGATGATGAAGAGAAGTGTTTGACAGGTACCAAAAAGGCATTACCTGCTCAAATTGGGGCGATATGTGAGAAAGGAGCGATTGATTTTAAACTTTCGCAAACCAGAGGCTGTTCAGAAATAAAGAGCTTCTTATAAAAATAGAAAGATAGATCATGGTGGAGCAGCTGAAGTACCGGAGGTAAATGAAAGAATTGGTACGCAAAGCGAGCACTTCATGCAATTTATCAGTAATATTATGGACACACTTAACAAGGATGGAATGTTTGGTTGCTATCTTGTTTTAGGTAACGCCGTTATATACAAGGTCACTGTTGTCGAAGAACTCATTAAAATTTGCGGACAAAAAGCTGTTTACTCATCTTTCATAAATCGAATTAAACTTTTTTGGTCGAAAGTCAAAGCTAGCGTAAAGAGAGGAGACTGTCTCACTGTAACAGATAATTTGAGCGCTAGAGTTATTGAGTCAGTAGAACGGGCAATTGTGCACTGGGCTAAGCATTTTGTTTTATTTTTTCATAGGTGTTTGGCCCTTGAACCAATGCTTTAGTACGTTATGTTATAAATAAACTTTTGTTGAGTTTTTCCATACGCAAAGTAAAGATATTTAATCCGCGAATTGTTCGGGAAAACCCAATAAAGTAAAAATCGTAAAGGTATACGTCGTTTTTATTAATTCCGAATGTGAAATGAAAGAAAACAACCCAATCCTCTCCACTCTTATGCATTTTTGTGTTTTCTATAAGGGATAGTTATAATTATAAAAAATCAAAAAGTTGGTCGACATATTTGAAAAAGGTGGTCAATTTATTTTCAAGAAGCTGTACAAATTAGCTTCAAATATCTGACTCCTTTTTCATGGCAATTTAGCCTCGTACAATGGCACAATTTCTCTCAAAAAAGTGATGGGTGATTTCAAAAAGTTGGAAAATTGAGAGTGGAAGCACAGTAAGATAATAAATGCATTTTTGTTAATTTCGCTGAACAAATTTGACAAGTCGCCGTTTAAAACATTTCGAGTGTCGACACTGCAACAGTCTGTCGATCCATAGCGGGATGTGTGCGAGTGAACATAGTTTAAAGCTGGGCCCGTTTACAGACATATTTCCAGATCAAGGTTACAGCGCTGAAACCTGGAATCAGTTAAAAAGAAGACATTTTTGTTTTATAAAGGATTATAGAGAAGACAAAAGTTCTCCTACTTGAGTTATTTATTCATTTAGATTTACTATGCACTATTTCGAAAGTAAGGTTACTCTCCTTTCTCTCTTATTGATCCTGCTAGTTTTAAAATCTCTTAAATTTTTAAGATTTGTGAGAAGACTATCTATCATCCAAGAAAATCGATTGGCCACAATTTGCTTTCTATGTGCCTGTTTACACAGCCAGTAATGCAAAATCCGTAAAATCAGGCCCAGCTCAGGATTATAGTATAATTAAGCCACAGACTAACCAACGAATAGCAGTCTTTCCATTCCGGATCAACCAATCAATATGTTAAGTTCCTGAATTTCGCAGAATAAAAAGATCCACTTGAAAGCTGTACCAGTGATGAGAGCAATGAAGACATTTTCATTTTTTATGGTAGTTATACGTGTTTCGAAACTAGAATTCTCATTTCGATCTGTCTGATATTAAAGAAAGAAGGCTCTACATGAAATTACTTGATTTACGCCGATACAGCAATGCACGGCATTAGATGTAGTACAGAAATGTGGTTGGTTCGCAGAAGGCAGTTTTATCACACCAGTTAGAAAACATGAAACATGATTTTTATAAGAAATCAAATCACCCTTTGTATGCCAATGTGATCAGATAAATCACTGGATTAAGATCAATTAATCTATCTTTCTGTCGCAGCTGCCAGTGCACACTATTGAAAAAAAACTGAAATGCATGCAGAGTATGTGCGTGTGTGTGATTTCACGAAAATTTAAGCCCAAGTGGGGATATCAAAAAAAAAAAAAATTATTATTGTTGTTGATTGTTGAGTAAAAAGGGGCTGAACACTTCTTTTAAAATTTTCTTTCTTTGTTTCTCTTATTTGGATTGATGAATTATCTTGTCATGGACAGAGCTTCTGAAGCAGCCGCTAATGACTTGGCTGAAGTTCGTAAACTCATCGAAGGCATGAATGCACTTGTGAACAGCCAAATGCAGCAACAACAACAACACCAGTTGCAACATTGTGAATACCCAAACGCCATGCAGCAACAACAAGATGCAGCTGCTTTAATGGCTACTATCGCTGCAGTGGCTCAACAAAATAACCATAATGCTCAACAGTCCGCTCTAACATCAACTACTACCAATAATAATAATACCATGCCTCCAGAACAATCTCCTCGACCTACTTCCTTGACACCAGCAACCACTAATAATACAGATACAACAGAGAACACACCGCCACCGACTACCTCAGCAGCAGCGACAGAAGAAGTTAAGACACCTATTGCAACAGCGGAAACTGACGCCAGTTCCACACAACAAGCAGAAACCCAAGTGTACAGGTAGGTTCGGGTCGAGAGAGAGAGGGATGCATACGGCTGATTACTAAAGTGTTTCTTATGGTGCAATAGCAATCCTGCTCCACAAGCTGGCGTTATCATTGAAGTGACCCATTTGACCTACAATCGTACTTTATACTTTCAGTTAACACGTAAGTCTTCTGCCAAGCTATTTTCCTCAAGACATTACTAACAATAAAAAAAAACAGAGGATGCTACCATCGAGCCCATGATTGCCTGGTTACGTCTTTCTTTTGTAGATTCAGCCATTTCCGGAATGGTTCTTCAATATAAAGGCTTTGATGGATTATGGAAGTGCTTGTTAAATCGTAAGTTTGAAGGGGAGGATAGTGACATGCGTAGGATAGCTCAAGTATTGATGATGGTTTTATAGGTGACGATTCTTTAAGACGTATTTTAAAACAAAGCATGAAAGGAAACACAATGCTTCAAATGCGGGTTCCTCGTGAACAAGATTTATTAAGTGTAAGGAGAGTATCGTAACGTTTAAACGCAATACCATTAACCTCTTATATTTTATTTAGTCTGGTTATACCGATCGTCGACTTTTAGCATTAACAAAGCCTGATAGCCATTAAGAATGTATTATTTACCCAAATTCATTAAATCATTCATCATACTTCTTTTGATCTCTCTTTTTTTTTATAGTGTGAATAAGGTATAAGTTTATTTCTAGACTTTTTATTTTTTTTATATTTTGTATACAGTCTATGAGCTAGAGGGTGATAGTTCAACTTCGACACCACGAACAAATACTCTTTGGATCTCGAGATCATCATTCAAGAATAAAATATCAGCATCACTACCAGCATTTAGAGTTCCCTTCGTGTCTTGAATACCCACCGTTTGTGCAGGATGTAAAGTAGCAGCCTCGATAGCTTCAACAATGGAACAACGTGTGAATCGACGGAAATTACGTACGCACTGATCAATGGAAACTGTACTTCCGGCTAATGTGTCTGTATCCTTCAAATAAGCACCACTTGCACCACGGACTTCTACTTCCCGACCTGCTAACGGATAAACGCCTGGCTTCAAGTACGCGCCTGCAAGTGCATCCGTCACTAAAACGCAACCTCTTGGATGTGAATAATAGGCGATACGGACAGAGTTGGGATGAACATGAACACCATCACAAATGATGCCGTAAAAAGGACGCGGGTCAGGCTTACTGGAATCGGGAGAAGTAGAAGAAGGTGACGGATGTCTGTTTGCATGACTTGGTTGAGGTAGGTCACTAGCACCCAAAATACCTACCATACCGGGATCACGTTGATGAAAGGATTTCATCGCATTAAAGAGATGGGTAATAAAGGTGGCACCTGCCTTGACACCAGCTTCTGCCTGATGAATGTTTGCAGCCGAATGCCCAAGGGAAACAGTTATATTACGTTTGACAAGTTCCGGTATCACATTAAGCATGCCATCAGTTTCGGGAGCAACTGTCATAATCCGTATAGTATCACTTTTAATTAATTCGGGGCCATATGCTTCATCTAGTGCAGCTATTCCATTTTCTGCGTCCTGAATCATGGTCTCATTATGAGCACCCTTCTTTTCGAATGAAATAAATGGTCCTTCACAATGAGCACCAAGAATCTCGGCCCCCGTTTCTGCATCTCCGCTACGACGTCTTAATAAGGGCAAGACCTTCAATAATAACAAAACATGCATTAGATCCTTTCTTAAAAAAACAAGTATGTCTTTTTATTACTCTGGTATACACTTCTGGCGCACAGGTAACGACGGTTGGACAAAATGCTGTGCATCCAAACTGCAACAAACCTTTTGCTACAGCCGTAATATCCTGTTGCAACTTTTCATCGGATCCTTTGATGTCGGAAAAATCGAATCCAAACCCACCATTGATTTGAAGGTCGATATAGCCTGGTGAAATAATGGCTCCCTTGGCATCGATCACTATATCAGGCTCTCTCTTTTCCTCAAAGAATGAATGAAAGGCACTGATAATCTTACCGTCTTGAAGCCAAAGATATGAATTCTCTACAATTTCGTGATGAAGTAAAAGACGACCGTTGATGATTTTTGTAATTTTTCCTTCTGAAGACATGACGATTATAAAAAAAGATAAAAAGGGAAAGGAAGAAGCACGAGGAGGTAATAATTGGGCTAATGTTTGTGGTTCCCAAGTGCAACATGCGCACTTTAAAAAAAAAAAAAGGAATTTCATCATATTGATGTAGTTGAAAAAAAAAAAAAAACGAGAATCGCAAAAACAATAAAATATGTCACTTTGAGCGTTGGTTTTGCGTTGAGATTGAGCCTTATTAGTATAAGCCTGTTGAAATATATACCTTATTGAATTGCATAGAAGCCATGAACTCATCGGCTCACAGTAACTGCAAAAGGAATAATGGTTAATAAAAAAAATCAGGCAACCTTTAGATTGGATGATGCAAAAGACCCTAGATACATGTGTAATGTTAAATAAGCTTCGGGAGACCAAGAAAATAAATTGAAATTATTTGATATTCTCCAAAAAAAAAAAAAAAAAAAAAAAAAATTTCCGGGACTCTGTTGTCATTACTTGTAACAAAAGATATAACAAGGAAGGAAGCCATTATTACATTAAAGTAGTGATTTTAACAAAGCTCACTTCAGACTAAGATTGGAACCCTGTCCATTGAAATGAATGTTTCTGGTATAATAAAACTGCGTGGTAAATAAGCTGACAACTAAGACAAAGGAAGCCTTTTATAGTGCTCATCACCAGTAAAATAACGGTCAAGGTCTCTTCTGGTTGGTAGAGTATTTGTATCTAATAAATTTAGTGTTTATAAATAAGAGAAATCGGATTCCATCATAATTTAGCGGTGCTTTATGGGATTTGTTAACCCAGCGCGAGATCATCTGAGTTTCCAAGCTCCAGAAGGAAGGATTTACGTTAGGTCCTTCGAAAGGATCAGCTGGAGAAATACTAAATATGTTTAAATTGTAAAGTAAAACCTCGCTTCTGTATTTTTTCCCTTGGATAAACAATCCAGTACAGTTTAAATTCTGTTTGGCCGAACTTCTATGTTTTTAATTCATGGCCTGTGCGTCTGCTAATAAAAAAAACCTGTTTCTGGGCGACATAAGTGAAAAGAAGCCACCTTTTTTTTATCAAACCCGAATTAGGCACGACCAATATTATGTTTTTGCCGAATCCAGAAACAATAGATAGGGGAAATTCAGATCTTGTCATACTGACACGTTATTTACGATCGATGATGCAGAAACGTGTATGGCTTATTACTAGTTAAAAAAATAAAGAAAGCTGTCAACAAACAATTCTTGATACGCTTCCTTAAAAGATAAGAGTTTTCCCCTGCCAAGTGAAAGGCTTTAATTATAATAATGAAAAATAGAAAAAAATAAACGAAGAACAAACGAATCACACAATTTTTGTTTGTTTTATAAATAGTTCGATGTATTTATATATAACAATGCAGAAAGAGAAAGTGAATCTTCCCCAAAAGAGGTTTAATGATGTTGATAGCAGTATCTCAATGTGTGAGGCATCCAGAAGTTTGAATTTAATGATCACAAGAGTCAAGGCGTTTCTGGTAAACATTCCCAATGTTATGATTGTAAATAATAGATATTATAAAATCAATTCAGGTAGATGTTTCAACCTGGAAGTTAAGCTCTTATTATTTCCTGATACTCGAAAATTTCTATAGCTAGCACCTCTATTGTAAAAAAACCAATATGTTGCTTTATCACATACGTGCTCGATGTATCTATCGTATAGTTATTTTTTTTTGTTTTTTTGTTTTGTGTTTTTTGTTTTTATAATAAATTAACATCATCAGTTGTGCGTGTTTTACATGTGTGTACGGCGGCGATCGTTTTATGAGTTCTTTAGTTAATCTAGACATCCCAATTTATATTTAGCAAAGAAAACTCTCGATGCAAGTAACTCTGTTTCAAAAGTTCGTGGTAAATCATCCGAGTAAACTTTATTGTATTCATCATATGTGTTGAAAAACCCACCATGCTATTCTTTTTTTGTTTTAAACTTTTACAACATCGACCCGTGCCTTTACATAGATCGCAGGTGAGCTTCTAGGCACCGAACTGCAGCTTTTTTCTCTCCAGTCAAGTTAATGACTAATCATGATGAATATTTTTCAACACATGATTTTAGTGCATGCTCTTTTGGTCCCTTGTAATTTACTTTTGAATGATTTCACAGTTAAGGCAATTTTCGGTGCGTCACATGATCATATTTACGCTTTTTGCTTAGCTACAGTCATTTAGTAGTCAACCAACCTTACTTAGTGCTAGCTGCAATTCACATGATATTAAATAGGGTATGGATAAAGAAAGTATATAGGCACCGAGAAAAATATAAGTGATAAAGGATGGAGTATGGAACTTTTACAGTTGTAAGATATAAGGCATAATGAATATTATAATTCGCGTCCGGTGGAAGATCTTGAAACTGTGTAAATTAGTTTTTTTGAGTTTTTGCTCTCACCAACCACATTCATTTGTAGAAAAGAGGGGGGGATGGGGGCTGAGCAAAAGTAAAGTTATGACCTGATTTGGTGGACAGTAAATGAGCGGATTTCGGAACTTTCCTTTCAGAGAAATCTTGTAATTACTCATAAAACATGGTTCTTCTATTAAGAATAAAATGCCATTTTTTTTTTTATGTTATAAGACGCGAGTTAAATGTTTCGTATATAGGTTGGTCAAAATCGTGATTTTTGCAAATGTGGCATCAGCCCTTGAGCAAGTAAGCGTAACTATGTAAATATGTCACTCATAAACAAGTCATGTTTCGAACAAGACACATTTAAGGCTACCTTTTATTTTTGTATACCGTGAACAATTTTTATTCACCAACCAGATGGATGAAACAAAGTACACTCGTTTCAATTTATAGAGAGAGAAAGAGATCCTCTTGGTATTATGTAATCGCGTTGAAACGTTCAGCAGGGTCGGGAAAAGGGTCATTTAGCATCATTTTGCTGATCAAAGCGGAAAATCTCTTTTCCTTCGTTCTCTTCTTTCATGTCATTAGCTGGGATAAAACGGGGTTGAATAACAAAACGTTAAATGATGGAACAATGGAAGGCTGGTTTCAATTTTAATTTGACTAGTTTATTACTCTCTTTTTTCTTAAATGACAGATGAGACACTTAAGATATTTCACCATGTACGACGTATACAAATAAAAACAAAACAATGCTAAACTGATTGTTTTCTGGGAGAGTTTATTATACAATGGAATAATCAAACGAGTTTTTATTTTTATTTTTGTGGTAATACATTATATGAATAATTATAAATAGAAGAAAGGGAACACTTTCAAAGTAGTAGGTAGGGTGGGAAAAGTCATCAATATTATAATGATTGTTTTGACTTTGCAGTATATACCTTATTTAGTAATTCGGACTGTTCTTTTTTTTTTTTTTTTTTGCGCGGCCAAGCGAAGCGCAGGTCGAAGCAACCGACATGTATGGGAATAATAAACATTGAGTGAATTGAGAGGGGCTGTAAGTCCCGACCTAGACAGTACAAAAACCACTGAGTGAAAAAATGTGTATTAACATTGAGTGAGCTGGGAGGGGCTGTAAGTCCCGACCAACACAGTACATAAAACATTGAGTGAAAAAAATAATGATTACCATTGAGTGAGCTGGGAGGGGCTGTAAGTCCCGACCTACACAGTACAAAAAACACAGAGTGAAAAAATGTGTATTAACATTGAGTGAATTGGGAGGGGCTGTAAGTCCCGACCAACACAGTACAAAAACCACTGAGTGAAAAAATGTGTACTAACATTGAGTGAGCTGGGAGGGGCTGTAAGTCCCGACCAACACAGTACATAAAACATTGAGTGAAAAAAATAATGATTAGCATTGAGTGATCTGGGAGGGGCTGTTAGTCCCAACCTACACAGTACATAAAACATTGAGTGAAAAAAATAATGATTAGCATTGAGCGAGCTTGGAGGGGCTGTAAGTCCCGACCTACACAGTACATAAAACATTGAGTGAAAAAAATAATGATTAGCATTGAGCGAGCTTGGAGGGGCTGTAAGTCCCAACCTACACAGTACATAAAACATTGTGTGAAAAATATAATGATTAGCATTGAGTGATCTGGGAGGGGCTGTAAGTCCCAACCTACACAGTACATAAAACATTGTGTGAAAAAAATAATGATTAGCATTGAGTTAGCTGGGAGGGGCTGTAAGTCCCGACCTACACAGTACATAAAACATTGTGTGAAAAAAATAATGATTAGCATTGAGTGATCTGGGAGGGGCTGTAAGTCCCAACCTACACAGTACATAAAACATTGTGTGAAAAAAATAATGATTAGCATTGAGTTAGCTGGGAGGGGCTGTAAGTCCCGACCTACACAGTACATAAAACATTGAGTGAAAAAAATAATGATTAACATTGAGTGAGCTGGGAGGGGCTGTAAGTCCTGACCTACACAGTACATAAAGCATTGAGTGAAAAAATAATGATTAGCATTGAGTCATCTGGGAGGGGCTGTAAGTCCCGACCTACACAGTACATAAAACATTGAGTGAAAAAAATAATGATTAACATTGAGTGAGCTGGGAGGGGCTGTAAGTCCTGACCTACACAGTACATAAAACATTGAGTGAAAAAATAATGATTAGCATTGAGCGAGCTTGGAGGGGCTGTAAGTCCCAACCTACACAGTACATAAAACATTGTGTGAAAAAAATAATGATTAGCATTGAGTGATCTGGGAGGGGCTGTAAGTCCCAACCTACACAGTACATAAAACATTGAGTGAAAAAATAATGATTAACATTGAGTGAGCTGGGAGGGGCTGTAAGTCCCGACCTACACAGTACATAAAACATTGAGTGAAAAAAATAATGATTAACATTGAGTGAGCTGGGAGGGGCTGTAAGTCCTGACCTACACAGTACATAAAGCATGGAGTGAAAAAATAATGATTAGCATTGAGTCATCTGGGAGGGGCTGTAAGTCCCGACCTACACAGTACATAAAACATTGAGTGAAAAAAATAATGATTAACATTGAGTGAGCTGGGAGGGGCTGTAAGTCCTGACCTACACAGTACATAAAACATTGAGTGAAAAAAATAATGATTAGCATTGAGTTAGCTGGGAGGGGCTGTAAGTCCCAACCTACACAGTACATAAAACATTGAGTGAAAAAAATAATGATTAGCATTCAGTTAGCTGGGAGGGGCTGTAAGTCCCAACCTACACAATACATAAAACATTGAGTGAAAAAAATAATAATTAGCATTGAGTGAGCAGGGAGGGGCTGTAAGTCCCAACCTACACAGTACATAAAACATTGTGTGAAAAAAATAATGATTAGCATTGAGTGATCTGGGAGGGGCTGTAAGTCCCGACCTACACAGTACATAAAACATTGAGTGAAAAAAATAATGATTAGCATTGAGTTAGCTGGGAGGGGCTGTAAGTCCCAACCTACACAGTACATAAAACATTGAGTGAAAAAAATAATGATTAGCATTCAGTTAGCTGGGAGGGGCTGTAAGTCCCAACCTACACAATACATAAAACATTGAGTGAAAAAAATAATAATTAGCATTGAGTGAGCAGGGAGGGGCTGTAAGTCCCAACCTACACAGTACATAAAACATTGAGTGAAAAAATAATGATTAGCATTGAGTGAGTTGGGAGGGGCTGTAAGTCCCGACCAAGCCCAAACTCTTTCTTTTGCACCAATTGTCTGATCATACCCGTTTTCACGCACGGTCAACTTTATGTTGCTTTATCACGGGTCCGTAACCCTGCTAATCTCAAAGTAATCTTACTGAAAGAGCAGTCATTTTCAACACTCACAGACAACGTTGTATTTACTGAAGTACTAACTCGAACACAAAATTAAACATAAAATATTCATTATCAATAAAATCTATTTTTGTCCCATTTATAAACATTGAGTGGCGTCGGTGGCCCGCTGCAGGCGCGAGATCGCCCCCAGCAGGAACGTAGGTTATTTTTACCGTAGCGAAGCGAAGGTCAAAAAATTACCGAAGTGGGCTGGGGCCGCGATCTCGTAATAATAATAAAAAAAAAAAGTTTCTTTTTCTTTTCCTTTTTCGATGCATAAGATTATAGTTATCACTGTGTGCGCGCGTGTGTGTATATGTGTGCGTGTATGTGTATATGTGTGTGTATGTGTGTGTGTATGTTTATATATATATATATATATAAAAAGAAAAGAAAAATAGAATGATAAATGATACATGATATGATTTGCAATTTATATATATAAAGACATTAAGGAAAGGGTTTTAAAATACATGCGCCCTATTGTGTTACATCCACATGGTAGATTTGCTGTTTAAAAAGACATTATTGTACATCGTTTCAATAGATTGTTGTTGATGTTTCATCATGGTTTTTTGAAATTGATGATGTCGGTAAGAAGTCTGAGCGATGAATTCACCAGCTAAGCTTTCATCTCCACTACTGCTTCCACTTTGTGATGCTTCATCATCATGAGAGCCTAGGCTGTTTCTTCTGACAATCAAACGATCGGCTGATCCTGTCATTTTTTCTCGTGGTTGAATGTCAGAATCATGAACAAATGTACATCGAATTCCATACGGACATGATCCATCCATATGATATGAGCGACAAATCTGTGTCTTGTATCTAGTATGTCTTGGAACTTTACGTAGCTCTTCAGAACCATGAGCGTATCGACATTTTTTACCGTATCTTTAATAATAGGTTGTCAGATTTGTGTCCATTATAAAATTAAGAATAATGTTTACCTGCAGTGTCCTAATTCTGTCCAATTTCTACATGATTCGGTCTTGTACAATACGACATCTTTATGCTTCAACTTGTTGGGAGATTCGGTGATTTGATGTGGTGATATGATTTGTTGATGTTGATTGAATTGTTGTTGTGGCACATACAAATGCTGTTGAATCACCCAGCTACTAGGGTTGCTATGCATGATATTAGAGCTGTTATACATATGAGAGGGTAAAAAGAAGAAACAAAAAAAGAGAGAAAGAGTAGTTGGTAAATGATTAAAAAAAGTTGTGAAAAAGCTGAATATAAATAAACATTTTTTTTTTACGCCAAATGGGGCTACCTAAAACTTCGATCCTTCTTTTAAAATATTTATTATGTGTTTCGGTACCCATAAAACGTATAAATCGAAAACTTTGTTATTGTTTTGTTTCCCTTTTTTAAAATAAGAAGATTCACACGTGTGAACCACGCGTATGATACATGTATTATTATAAATAAGATTGACAGTTAACACCAAATGTGAATTAATCCATCAGATCCAGCTGACAACATATTTACATTTTCTGGATGATAATCTAATGCAGTTGCAACGCCTTCATGCGCATCCAGTGTCGATACGATATTTCCTTCTAATATGTCGTAAATGTAGATCTTGCCGTCTTCCGATCCTGTAAGCGCATAAGCATCCGTATTTGAAAGAATAGATTCAATTTTGTATTCATTGTGTTTATGGCCTTTAAATCTATTTTTAAGACATTCACAGAGTTAATAATAACTCTTACAATATTCTCTTTGTTCGCCCCCTTTTCTCTTTACTCATTTAGTAATCGTCCGTTGCTCTTATCCATCAGTCGCATTGTGCTATCTAGGCTGCTCACCAAGATACAATTTCCATCTTTGGACAATTTGGCAGATGTAATGGCAGGTCCGATATAATCTTCTTTTAATTCGCCCATTCTTAAGTCGTACGTACGCAGTTTTCCATCAGCACAACTACAACAATAAACCCCTTCCTTTTTTAATATATTGTTATCTTTAACCCTTTTTCAATTATTCAATTTACCCTGCTGCAATTTCAACGCCCTTGACATCAAGCGACATGACACTATCCTTACAATCTTCAATCACCTGAATTGGTTGAAAGTTGGACGATCGCAAGTCCCAAAGGCGGATAGTCGCATCAAATGATCCACTAAGTAACACTGTAGATTCCTCGTTAAATGCCACCGAGTTTACTCTCTATTTCCATTAGTTTTTACGTCTCGTTCTGTTGCACTTGCTGGCTTTGTATTACCTCCCAATGGGCCGTATATCGTCTTGTAATTTCGCCTGAACTAACATCCCATAATAAGACAGTACGGTCCACACCTCCACTCGCAATCTTTCCATTATCCGATGAACTGTATCGAGTGGATTAGTATATATAGTAAAACAATGTCTCTCATTTAGTTACACTGCTACAGTTAGCACATCTCTGCCATGACCATTATATGATTGAAGTAAAAGTCCTGTGGTTGGATTCCACAAACGAATGGATCTGTCGCGACCAGCAGACACGCAATACTGTCCCGACTTGTTATATTTAACTGCATTGATAGGTCCTTTATGACCTTTTAATGTAGATTCGATTTTAGTTGGGTATGGTGGCATTGTTTACAAAAGAGAATGAAAAAAAGGCTGAGTTATTTTTTTGACATTCTTTTTTTTTTCGTGTTTTTTATTTTCATTAATATATATGAATCGATTAGGTTTTGCAGATTTTCACGCAAGGCATTTCGGAGCTGCCCAGAGGGCTCATTGGCAGTCAATTTTAAAGCAACAAGAGTACGGGAGCCAGCATCAGCAATATGACGGCTATCAACAGCAAGGCTACGATGAGAATCAGCAGCAAACTTACGAAACAAGCCAACAAGAAGGCTACGACAGCTACCAACAGTACCAATATGACAGCTATCAGCAGGAGTATTATGGGACTGAGCAACAAGAAGAGCAACCACCATTGGACAGTAATGAACCATTTGGACAAGTAAGGGAGTACGACCATTATGAAGAAGAAGAAGAAGAATTGTCAAAAGAAGCGATAGAGATATTTCGATTTTCCGAAGCGTATCGATTAGAACGAGCACTAGAAAGACAAAAGGAGGAAGCGAATAATGACGAAGAAGGCATGAATGATTGGCAGTATGATGAATCAAACGTACTAGTGAGCGGAGGGTTAGAGGCACCTGCAACAAGTCTTGTTTTGACCAATCAAAAACAAGATCGATCGACCAAGATTAAGATTCAAGAAGATTTATTAAATTCGGCCTATTTACAATCATGTATGAATGGTGATGCACCAGTGCTTTGGCCTGTGCTTCCCTTGAAGATGTAACTAGAAGAAAAAAAAAAATTGATTTCAAATCCCCGACTTTTGTTATTTATACCCGCTTTTTCTTTTAATGACTCTTTTTCTCTTTTCTACCTTTTTTTTTTATTAGTGTGTGTACAATTAATTGAAATGAATAAAGCGGACGTATTTCCACCGTATTATTCAAGTGATGAATTTGTTTGGACCACACCGTTTGTTATTGGACCTAGTATATTATTAGGCACACTTGCTTTAGTTGGTTTACCTCGTTACCTTCACAACAGGTTTCACCAAACTAGTGCCACAACCACTAGACCACTTTCTACCTTTTCAAAATTTATTGTCCTTTTAGCTGTGATCATAACCAGTTCTTTTCTGGTCGATGCTCTGGTAATTGTCGCTAGAGTAATTGTGGATGACCATTGGACTTCTTCCGTCTTGGCTTACTACATCATTGTATCTTGGCTCGCTTGGACTCTCAGCTTGGCCGCATTGGCCGATGAAACTCAGAAATTCTCGCAATGGTTCTGGGTTCAATATCTATTTTGGATCATTGCTGTCCTGAATGATACCTTTGTCGGTTGGTTATGGATGATGGGCGTGCTTAAACCTGTACCTGGTAAGTTTTTTTTTTTTGTTATAAGGAGTAGTTTGTTTATGTCCACTGAAAAAGGGGCGGACCGGGAAGGAAGGGGTATAGAACGACTCTTTTTGGCTAATCTTTACACGCAGGTACCATTTTCTCGGCTTGGGATCATGTTTTACTGGGCATCTTTATTACACGATATATCGTTGAAGTACTCGTTCTTATGTTGTCAATTGGTCACTTATTCAACAATCCTCCATCCGCCAACGACGGAGAAAGATCAGCTCTTTTAAGTTCGACTGCACAGCAATATGGTACCAGAGAAACTCAGCCTACTGCTAGTACTAAAACACCTACCTCCGAACCCAGTCCTTTTGAAGGTTTCTTTTACAAGATGAAGAAGCTCTTGCCGTTTATTTGGCCTCATCATGATTACAAACTTCAATTGTATGTGGTGCTTTGTTTTGTATTGATGTCATTGGGTTTCGCTGTTAATTTATTAGCACCTCAGCAAATCGGTTATATTGTTGATAATTTAAAAGCAGGTGAATTTGCTTGGATGCCAATTATGATTTATGTTGGACTCAAGTTCCTTCAAGGAGGGGTAAGGAAAAAAAAAGTTTTTTTTTTTTTCTGGTAATTTACTGATACTTTTCTATTTTTGTGACAGTCGGGACTTTTGCAATCTTTGCAAAACTGGCTTTGGATCCCAATAGGTCAATATACCACGCGAGAAATTTCTTTAAAAACATTTAGTCATCTCCACAGCCTATCATTGGGATTCCACATCAATCGAAAAACAGGTGAAGTGTTACGTATTATGGACCGTGGTACAAGCTCCGTCGTGAACCTGTTGAATCAAATCTTGTTCCAAATCTTTCCTGTCTGGGTCAACATTGCCTTGATCTCTGTCTATGCCACCTATATCTATGCGCCTTCCTTTGGTTTGATTGTGTTTATGACCATGGTCATGTACATGTACGTCACCATTGCTGTTACAGAATGGCGTACCAAATACAGAAGAAGAATGATCGAACTAGACAATTATGCTCGTACAAAGGCCGTTGACTCGCTCTTAAATTTCGAGACCGTCAAATACTATAATGCTGAAAATTTCGAAATCAATCGTTACAAGGATGCCATTCTGGATTATCAGGAAGCTGATTGGAAGAGTTCCGTTTCCTTGAATATCTTGAATTTGGCTCAAAACGCAATCATCACTGGTGGTTTGCTCTCTGGTTGCTTGTTATTTGCATATGAAGTATCCAAGGGTGAATTAACCGCAGGTAACTTTGTTGCATTTAATATGTACATGATGCAACTTTATACTCCCGTAAGTTTTTTAAGGTTTTACGTTTTGTGTAATGTTCTCTTAGCATTAATTTTTTTTTTCTTTCTTTAATAGTTACACTGGTTCGGTACGTATTACAGAATGATTCAATCTAATTTCATTGATATGGAAAAAATGTTTGCTTTATTGGATGAGGTTGAAACTGTTCAAGACGCTCCTGATGCTACTGAAATGGTTGTTTCTAAAGGACATGTTGTATTTGGTAATGTCTAATTATCATCATAACTACAATTTATTAATTTTTTTTTCTTTTCGGGAATAGATAATGTTACGTTCTCGTATGACGGTCGCCAAACTGCTCTCGATGGTATATCCTTTACCATTCCCAAGGGAGCCACTGTAGCTCTTGTGGGACCTTCCGGCGGCGGGTAATTTTTTGACAAAAAAAAAAAAAAAAAAAAAAAAAAAAAAAAAAAAGAGAGAGATGCATTTATTAAGGCTCAACTTTAAACTTTAGAAAATCCACTATCTTGCGTTTGTTGTTCCGTTTTTATGACCCAAGCTCGGGTTCTATCAGTATCGATGACCAGAATATTCGTCAAGTGACTCAGCTCTCGCTCCGAAAAAATATTGGCGTTGTTCCCCAAGACACGGTTCTTTTCAACGACTCCATCTTTTACAATATCCAGTATGGTGATGTTTTGGCTGATGAAGGCGACATTTATCGTGCTGCCAAAGCAGCCATGATTCATGATAAAATCGAGTCTTTCCCCGACGGTTATGAAACCAAAGTGGGTGAGCGTGGTCTTCGTTTAAGTGGCGGTGAAAAGGTAATTTTATAACGTTATCATGAGCGGTAAAATACAGTATTAACGTGTTATCCATCAGCAACGTGTAGCCATCGCAAGAACTATTTTGAAAAACCCACCCATTATCTTACTGGACGAAGCCACTAGTGCACTAGACACGTAAGGATTTTATTATTATAATCAATAGAGTTACTCATATCTATCTCTAATAGTACTACCGAGAGACATATTCAACAAGCTTTGGCTGATATGACCAAGGATCGTACTACACTTGTCGTTGCGCATCGTTTGTCTACTATTGTCAATGCCGACTTAATTTTAGTGTAAGATAAGAAATGATCGCTCTCAAATATATCAACTCATAAAGCTTTATAGAATTAAGGATGGCAAAGTAGTAGAATCAGGTAGTCATGAGGAATTAATCAAGAAGGGCAGTGCCACAGATGAAGGTGTCTATTACGAAATGTGGCAAAAGCAGCTGTTTGATGAAAGTGAGACACAAAGCGAGACAGCTATGGAAGAGGAAACAGGTAGCACTTGCACCTTGGACGATTTAAAAAAGAAAAAACCTACACCAATTGAGACACTTGTACTTGACGAAGTAGAGGATGAGGGATCAAATAAAGATAATGTGGTTTCATCCCCTATACAAGTAGAGACGATTGATTTGGAAGAAGAAAGTACACCACCCGCAGTGGAGGAAGAACAGAGCATATCACCCACAATGGAAGAAGAGGAGAGCATACCACCAGTTGTGGAAGAAGAGGAGACCACAACTCCCGCAGCGGAAGAAACCACAACTACATCGGATGATGGCAATAATAAGCAAAACACTGCCAGTAGTAATTCTTCATCCAATAACAATAACTCAAAAAAGAACAAAAAGAAGAAGAAGAGAAGTAAATCCAAATTCTAGAAAATAAAGTATAATAGAGCTTTTTTTTATAAAAAAAACATATTCAGTTTCTTTTTAATATACAAGAGAGAAAAAGGATGCAAAAAAAAGAAGAAGAAAAAAAAAGGATATTTACAATTGATTACATATAAAAAAGGTAAAATTAGTACTTGAGAGGGTGTTGGCGGTGAAAAAGGTGCGTGAGGGTGATGGTGTGTGTGGGGCATGATATACAATTAGTTTGATGTGTAAATGATATTTTTGTGTGTGTGTGTGTGTGTGTGTGATAAAAGAGGGAGGGAAATAAGATCTAATCCCATCTTCTTCTATCCATTTCATCATCCGATAAAGACCCTCTACGTGATGAACTAGCAGAAGGTCGATGATAGTAAGGTGGGGGAGATGGTCTCCTACTCCCAGAGTAGTACCTTGGGCTTCTATAATAAGGTCCAGCAGAAGGCGGTGGATAGCGATAATAAGACGACGGGCTGTATGAACTGTAATGTGGAGGTCGAGAATACCCTGGTCGCACATACTCTCCATTACTAGAATACCGTGATGATTCTCCATATAATTTGTCTCGGTGACTACTACTGTAGGGCGATTCCGCTCGACTACGACGCGAGTAATAATATCCATCGTCTTTGGGTGCATGTGATAGTGGTTTATCGGTATTAGGAGCACCATTCACATGCTCATTTCGGCTTGGTGGTTTATCGTTATTGATAGGAGTGGCAGGAGTAGTATTGGTAGGTGTGGTGGTAGTCGGAATCAAATCATCTTCATTAGACAAAGCGCGTCTCTTTTTAAGAGGAGATGTTGGAATATCTTCAGCATAGTCCCAGGCACCATTAATATGATCTTCTGGTGGTGGTTGCGGTTGTGATTCCGGAGTGGATAACATGGGTGGTACCTGAGCCTGTTGCTGCTGTTGCTGCTGTTGTTGTTGCTGCTGTTGCTGTTGTACAGGAGAAGTCAAGGATTTCGAATATTTGTTATTGATGTCTTCTGATATCACACTGGAAGGACTATCTGTTTTATCCTTGACAATAGTTTGATGTTTTCGCTTTCGACTGATTTTCAAAACCAAATCAGAACCATGAGTGTCAATGAATTTCTCGATCTTGGACCGTACACTACTATTCATCGCGTGTATTTTTCTCGAGGATTGGATCTCTCGGTCTACAATATGATGCGTGATTTTTCGTGCCAATTCCTTAAAAAGATATTTGTCTCCTTTCCACAAGGCTTTCTGCTTGGATGACAAATACTTGGTCACAATTTTACCCACTTCCTTTTTCAGCTCGGTCTCATCCAGACTATTACTACTGACAATACCAGCATCTCCTGACCCTCTTCTACTGGTAGAAGGTGTAATAATCCGAGGTGATAACTTGTTTGTACGACTGACAATGGAAACAGCAGGGCTTTCGCTACGAGCAGATTCTAATCGTTTCTTTTCAGCATCCTGAATCGTCTTTTCCACAAGATCCTCTAAATCAGATTGATTTACACCTTCAATAGAACTCACCCTTTCTTCTGGGAAATTCCATTGAGTTTTTCCTGTGATGCGGTGATAATAGTAAATGGTGCCATCTTCGGCGTATGCAGATTTCCAATTATTCGGTAACTTTGGTGCGGCAGTGATGGATGCAGAGGGGGAATCCGCATGGCCAGGGGAATCAAAGTAAGACGAGGATTGTACATTATTGCTGTAATATTCGTTCAATTTACTACTCTTGTAATCACTTTTATACGGAGACGAATAAGAAGAATGACCTCGGTCATAGACATCTGCTTCTGAATTATAGTCGTGGTGTGATCCCTCACTAGAAACGGGGTATGTAGGGTAAGAAGGAGTAGATACGCGTGAAGGTCTTCCAAAACCATAATAACCATTTTTCACACATGCATCGATCATAGCGCGAGGTGCGGTAGGGATGGTAGAGCGTGGTGGGTATTCTGTTTTCCATTGTATCTCGTTAGCATCTGCGTCCAGTGAAAGATATTCGAAATAATCGTCATCAGGGTCAAAGAATTCTCGGCTGGAATCGTAACGTGGTGGTGTAATGATGTCTGCCGAAACTTCGGATAAGTGGTCGTCTTCATTTTGTGCGTCATGTTCTGTTTTATGAGAAGGTTCTGCAGGCTAATAAAATTCGGTGTGTGTATGTGTATGAGAGAGAGAGAGAGTGCGTGTGTGAGATAAAAAGGAAAGGGTGTGGAAATAAGAATAATAAATACGTACGGTTCTTTTGGGGATTCGATACACGCTCTTCAATTTATCCCAATCTTCCAATAAATTGTTTGCCAAATCTCGAATTTCGCTATTCTCATGGTTGGTCAGCCTTCCGACGATATCAAACATTTTGCAATCCTCAAGTCCATTCTTGTTGGCCAAAGGCAATTGTGACAAGACATGCAAGACCTTGATCAAAATTTCTGGATCATTCTTCCACTCACTCAACCAAAATTTGAGCATTTTAAGACCATGCAAACGAACAAACTTCCGTAAAATATCTCTACCCTGTGTCGAGTTCTTATCTGTCAATTCCAGTCGAAGCAATAGTTTCAGCACCAGATGTGATTTTCCAACCGAATCCAACATACGCTTCACAAACGATTGCACTTCTCGTGGATCCTGTAATGGTTCAGAGGCACGTCGACGGTGCATTTTTCGTAACATTTTCTTTTGTGTCAATGTCACGGCTTCGGCTGTATCGGAATCCTCTTCACTCACATCCTCATCGTCATCCTCATCGTCATCATCATCGTCTTCTTCATCTACCAGATTTTCATCCCTGGCTGCTGTTACTGCGGCAGAGGTCTTGGCTGCATCTCCCTTTAAGGAGCCACCAATATAACCTTTACAAGAAGCTTCACCACAATAACATTTCTGAGCAACCGCACTAATAATGGTAATGTTAGTGTAAATGAACCCAATTCATTTTCCTTTTAATTTTCCTTACCCATATCGTTCAAACTTATAATCAAATGTCAATTCTTGACCTGCCTTGATGGGACGACGAGTAAAGATACCAATACGCATGTTCTTACCTACCACCCATTTCTGTGTAACACTATTAGGATTGCAAGAATGGTTGATAAATCGAGCCAAGCAGCCTTTTTTGGTAGCATCAATAATCTAGAAGATGATTTAATGGGTTAATTGAGAGAAAGGGGTGACATTCTGTGATTTGATGCGTACCTCGTCTGTTTTCAGGGTCATGAAATAATAATGCTCTAATCCAGCTGCTTCATATTCTTTTGTTCTTCGGATGAATTCATGATTTGGTATGACTTCGCCGATATACTCCATAATGAAAGCATTACTACGCAAAAAAAAAAAAGAAGGTGTAAGTAAAAGCGGAAGAAAAATAAAGTGCAAAACAAAAACAAAACAAAAAAAGAGGCGAGCTCTTACGTGGGCAAATCCGTCAATGCTCTTAGACCAAAGCCTTTTTTATCAGTTCTGATGACATCAACGCGTGCATATTCCCGTAATTGGAATCTTCTATTACGACAGTATCTTTCGCAAGGACAATCATCCACCATACATTCCATAAACATCATTCTGTTGATACAATAATTGTCGTCGCCACAAGCGGCATCGGGATTATCGATATCAGGACGGTATTTACATTCACAAGGCATGGATTCTTCTGCAATAGATTTTCCCGTAGCTGATCCACAGTAAATGTTTTCTACAATATTGGTATACGTCTCCATTGCATCGGCTGTAGCGGAAGGTAATTGTGCTTCCTCCTCCTCCTCCTCTTCTTTTTTCTCTGGTGCTGTTTCCTCATCGTCAGATGGGTCTGTTGTTTCCCTTTCGTCTCCATCATATTCATCTTGATGTAGAAAATCCATTTCTACATGACTGAGTGACAAGTCCTGAAAAGAGTTTAAATCGTTACTAGAATTCGTTAATGAACCAACATGGCCATCATAACTAGTGCTTGTGTCTGGTTTCGAAAAAAGTAGATCAGTTTTAGATCACCATGGACTGTTTTAGGAGAAAAAAAAATGTGAGACTTTATTACCTTGATTATAACTCGATTGTCTATCGTCGAATCCAATTGATAATGTTCTCGAAGGTCTGTTCACAAAAAAGTCGTTTATTAATAAAATGTTGTTGACGTAGGGGTTATACCCTTATGCTTCTCGAAGAATATTTACACTAGCCTAATGTCAGCACTTTGCATGCTGGGTATTCCCGTTTTTTCAAAGTTCTCTGGGCGTGATATTTCTCTATTCCTTGTATTTAAAATAGTAAATGCTGTACAATGGGTTTTCTTTTTTTTTTTTGTCAAGAACAAAAAAAAAAAAAAAAAAAAATACGTACAGTTACAGAGAAAAAAGTGTAAGAATAATAATAAAAAAAAATGCGATTTTTTCCCTCTCCAATATTACCTCAAATTAAAAAAGCTACAGCTGTGTCTCCCAAAAAAAGTTGTCTAAGCCACCAATCATTGGTGCTTTTTTTATGTTCTCTGCAAACAATGAAAACCAAATTCATAGTCTACTACGCTATTATAGCAATCAATGCGCAGTAAAGCAACATCCCCTCTCCTCACACACACACACTCAAACACACATACACACATATTTAAAGAATATATACAATTAACAAGTGATATATTACACACTGTCATCATTGTATCATCATGATTCGCAAATTCTCTCTGACAACTGAGTCATTACGTAATGGCGTGTAATCCGAAAAAGCTCAAGGTCTACAATCGTCTTTTTTTAAAATAGGTGGTATTTGTGCCACAATACACATGTACGTAGTTGATGCAACATGCATTGAGCGATTCGGAAATTTAGCATAATTTTAGTTGTTGTTGCCATGGCTACTGCTGAAGCGTGATGAATGGAGTTTGAAATAACGGATTTAATGTTTATTACATTTAGTTTTTTTTTTTATCGTGTATCAACATGTTCCAATTTCTCGAAATATTTTCTTGCAGCAGCAATATTGACCTGTGTAGCTGCAGAAGCTATAAAAAAATTAATACAAGGCATGTGGGATTATAGAAAAATAAATAGAAAATAATGCTTACTTATACCGGTATCTGATATGATGAGTAATACACTTGTATTCTTTGTCAGCGTATCAAAAAATGCTGTGAAATTACTTCCTTTAATTTCCATTTGCTTGGAATAGCTCTCCTTACTATAATCAGAGATTAATGATTGATCAGGTGAGTGTATGTGTGTGTATGTGTAACCCTTACCGTGTGCACAGATTGAATTGTTTGATAATACTGCTGATCTTTTCAAATCGATGCACATCAGGATGATGAATCGTGGCTGAATTAGCAATCACTAAAAACGTTGTTTTTTCAAACAAGACAATTTCATCCGCTCCACAGATCTTGCAAAATGTATCCAGACTAGCTTGCAATGCATTGATATTTGGAATTAAGCAATGAATAATCTTTGCCCACGCCTGGATTGAAAGTATTAGTTTTTTTTTTTCACATGGTATTCTTTTGTGCTTACAGCATAAAGTGTTTCGTCCCATATCGATGTTTGGAACGCCTGGATTTGTATAGGTTCAGATCGTACTTGAAGTTCAAGCTTTTGCTTTTCAAACATCTAGACATAGAACTGATTAAATTATAATTTTAAACACAATAAATCGAGTCATACCTTATCTCGTCGGTCTTCTTGTATCAGATCCATCTTATGCATTAAGCAAAATACAATGGCATTGGGCGAGTGTGTCAAGATAGATTCTAAGCAAGACTGGTAATAATGGATATCTTTATCCAATTCGGCACTGACGGCATCAAAGACATAAATCAAGACATGCACGTCTTTAAATATCACAGATCGATACGTTGTCAAGTAATCTTTGAATGAATCGTCTTGTCTGTCCTATTGGTCAGAATGAAGGTTGTTTACGATACCAAACTTTTTAATCTCTTACCCTCCACAATCCCATAAATTTAACTGTAAATTACCGAGAAATTGAACATCTGTTTTATTATCCCATAATACTTTTTTTTTTTTTTTAGAGTTAGAACTATAAATTAAGAGAGTTGTTACTTTTGTAGTGGGGTATACCTAAAACATACTTGTAGGTTCTAGATTTCGTGTTTTGGTAGCCACATTGTTATGAAAAATAATTGATCGCATAGAAGTTTTGCCAGCCGCACATCTTCCCATTAATAAAACCTATCTGACTTTCTTAGTGTTCATTCTCTTTTTATGATTTTTTCCTTGCTCTTTTACCTTTTTTGTCTTTTTGTAAAACACCATTTTTTTATTTTGTAAAATGAAATAAAATAGATAAACAAAAGAGAAAAAGAGAGAGAGATAAACTATGAATGAATTGACATAGGCTGACACCACTCGTGATATCTTTGTCGGAGTCCGTGAGAAAACCTTACCACCCAACCTTCTCTTGTCAGCTGAAGAGGTCTGCAACCACATTTTGTCATACCCCACTTTTTTTTTTTAGACTCATCGAATCCTCATACAGTTGAAGCAATCCCGCCTCATCCCAAAATATTCTTTTCTCGTTCGATCAATGAGTAACAGTGCAAATCAACCTTCCATTAAACCTCAAAGCTTGAGTAAGGATCTAATGTAAATAGGAGTATGTTTCTTGACTGAGCGTTGAGTGACATGAGGGGTTGGGTTTTATAGTCATTCATCATGTATTCGTAAGTAATAAATTCTAAAGAACTATCTCTTGAAGGTGTCTATTCACCAAAAAAGAAATCCATGTGAGCTAAAAAAAATTGGCACCAATAACATAACCTATCCATCCAAGTATACGAAGTATTGGATTCATGCTTAAAATTGAAAATGAAAGGCCACAAGGGCACATTCAATGCACGCACACAGTAATCTCTAGATGTGGTGTGTTTAGCACATAGGAGTTTGTCAGCAAAACAAAGCTCAGAAGGAGGAATGCACCAATCAGACACATTAGGCGAGTGGTCACGCTGAGAAGGGGGGGTTGAATTTTACTTTCAACCCCACACTCTCAATTCTGTCTTGTAACCATAACTTTTTTTTTCTTTATTTATTTATTATTAAAAAATGCTATTCAGTGCCATTCTCAAGCAAGCTGCAACAAGTACTATTAAATCGGGCAGTGGAAATCCACGATTACGTTTAAGAAAAGCCGCCTTGACTTTGGTAAATTGAGGAATATTAATAAAAATGGAAGCCATTGAACATGAATCTAACCTCTCCCACCCCCCTGTTTAATTAGACACCAGCTGCAGTTTCTCGGTTAAAGGACTTGACAGAAGGACCCACACCACAGTACTTGAGAGTAGGTGTTAAACAAAAGGGTTGTTCAGGCAATTCCTATGATTTACAATTTACTGAATCCAAAGGAAAATTCGATGAAATTGTGAACCAAGATGGTAAGTGAATGTTTATTATTATGAAGAAGATATACTAAAAGCATTCCATGTAGGTGTTACTGTGTTGGTTGATTCAAAGGCTTTAATTACAGTGTTAGGCTCCGAGATGGATTTTGTTCAAGATAAACTATCAGAACACTTTGTGTTCAATAACCCCAATGCGAAAGGCACCTGCGGCTGTGGTGAATCTTTTACCACAGTATAAAATACCTAATTCCTCAAACTCTAGACAATTGTACATACCTAATTTAACCTTTCATCCCCCTTTTTTGCCCCAATTTCAAGTCTCCCTTCACCCCATCTCAACCCATGCTTAGAAAATAAATTAAACTATCTCTTGCATTACTAATACTATTTTTTATTTTGCATAATTGCATTGAACTACCGATAGCATTACTTTTTTATTTAATTTTTTTTTTTTTTTTTTTGATATAATATGTGTGTGTGTGTGGATAACTATACTATATGATAAATTGCTAAAAAGAACACCGAAATCATTCTTATCTGTCCTTTTATGCCTGATAAATCATGAACAGGAATGCGATCAATGCAAAACCTAAAAGGTGTGTATTACAATCGTACATGGATACACCCGATGACATAGGAGGAATCGTCGTTGTACTAGACGCAGTTGCGGTGGTGGTTCTGTTCATACTATGTGTACTGGAAGCAGAAGTCATACTGGATGGCATGCTCGATGAACCGTTTGATCTTGTAACAGGTGCAGTTGTAGACACTACTGTAGAGGTTGCAACAGGGCTACTACTAACCTCGGTGTTGGGGATACTAACTGTTGAAGTAGGTTCACTGGATGGTGTGATTGTAGTAACGGGGATCAAAGGAGCTGCAACCACATTTGTCGCTTGTACTTTATCTTTAGCGCCGGGTGCAGTAACAGCAGCAGTAGTATCTTGTTTATCACCTACAGAGGCTACAGGAACTTCAGCAGCAATATTAACTGGAGATACGGAATTAGAATCAACCACAGCAACAGGTACTTGAGAAACAACATTACGAGAGTGATCAACAGCTGGAACACTTTTTGGCTTACTACTTTCCTCTTCGTGAGCAATAGGTTGGTTCAATGTGGCTTCAAGTACAGGTTGAACCGCAGGCTTAGCGATGGGATGATTGAGATCGGCTACATTGGCAGCGGGTACTACAACTACAGGCTTAGAAGCAATATCTGCAGGTTTAGCATTGGTAGTAGGGACAGTCTCCTTGTCAGCTACAGGATGAGCAGTGTCTACCTTGGCAGTGACAGGGGCAGTATCTGAAGCAGTGTCAATTGCAGGAGCGATAGCAGCGGGTTCAGCGTCAATGGCTTTAGTAGAAGGTTCCAAAACTACATTAGCTTCAATAACAGAAGAGTCGGTGGCCTTTGCGTCAAACTTGGTATCCTGTTCTGCAATAGCAGCAGCAGACTTGATATCCGTTTCGGATTTCGATTTGATATTATCCGTTTTAGCAGCAGACTTGGTGTTCTCCTCAGCGTCATCAGCAAGCTTGACATCGATTTCAGCCTTCTTGGCCACAGACTTTGCATCAGATCCGGGAGTGTAGGGATGAGGAATGGCAGCAGCTGCTGCTACGGAAGCAGGGACACCGGCGGCCAAAGCAATGGGACTATCGGAAGGAGTCTTTGCTGATGAAGCCTTTTCAGCGGCTTTTGCTGCCTTATTATCAGCGTTCTTTTGCTGCTTTGCTTGCTTAGAGTTGTCTTGCATGTCTTTTGCATGATCAATAGCTTGTTCTAGAAAAACAGGGTTAATGAGCAATTTATGCCTGTAAGTAAGCAATGATTTTTACCTTGTTGAGCTTGAATTGTCGTCAAGCAGACGATAGCTACAAGTAAAAGAGGGAGAGTATTTCGGGTCATCTTTCGATATAAGAATGAAGGAAAGAAGAAAATATTGAACGGGGATTACGGGTTTATATATTACAATGTGAATCCAATTTATCAATAGTAAAAATGCTTGATTAAATAGTGTTTATCCCGCAAAAAAAAAAAAGTATATGGGTTGTTATTTATATATTTTAATATATCACACTGTACAAATTAAAAAGGAGGTATACTGTTCCAGGTGAACTTTTATGGTTTATGCGTTATGCTGTTCTCCTTTTGTGCAAGGCAGTGTCGATACTGGACTAGATCAGAAAAGGTTAATTTTTGTTTATTACGGACTTTAATTAGATTTTTTTTTCATACCTAGCAACGGGATCACCATATTGATCATATTCAGGCGTCACTTCGACAGTGGGTAACCCTGTGCATCTATTCAAACAGGATTAAGAAAGCATTCGTTTTGAAGAGAGGATCAATTACTTTAGAAATAAACGGACAAAAGGTGTACATTCTATGTTATTTATATTGGCTTCACATTGGTATTGTACCATTTCAAACAGTTTACAATGCTCTGGTATTCTCTTCATTTCGGTGTGTTCTGTCATTGAGGTACAAGGATAAAGAGAGTGGAAAAAAATAAAAATAAAAATGCGCTGTGACCTTTTTTAGAGTGTTATTTTGACATACCGGGGGTTGGATTTATTATTTTTTTGTCCTTCTTCCAACATGACACAACCGTTTCGTACATTGCTTGACTTGTGTCGGCGTCGAGGCTTTTTATACCAATCGGCCGAAATTTATGGCGGTTTAAGAGGAGCTTACGATTATGGACCACTGGGTGTAGAAATGAAGAAGAATATTTTAAACTCTTGGTGGCAAAGACACGTTTATAACCGCGACGACGTCGTTGGTCTTGACACCAGTATTTTGACACCTCATCCTGTATTAAAGGCTTCAGGTCATGTCGATGAATTCACTGATCTTCTTGTCGATTGTGCCTTGACCAAGGAACGTTTCCGACCCGATAAAGCACCTCCTTTGAGTCTAGATAAAAATGGACATATTCCCATTACTGCACCCAGCAAGGAAACAGCGCTTGCTTGGAAGAAAGCCATTGAAGATCAATTTGCACCCAATACCAAAGTCACAGTGGAAGGCAACCGCATCTTATTGTTTGTGGATCACATCGTTCAACCAGATCAACGAGGTCAGGGAGGTAAAATCGTTTTCCAAATGTTGGATGAGAGTTCACCTTTAGAATTAAACTATCATGGCTATGTCGAACCCGATACCAACTCACCTTTCTTGACCGACAGTCGACCATTTAATTTGATGTTTAAGACCTTCTTGGACCCTATTGATCCTATTGATCGTGTTATCCAAACCACCATGAATAAACCCAATGACTCTAAAACAAGTGTACGTGAGGCTGTGGATCAAGTCTTAAAACCTTCCACCGTCTTTCTTCGTCCCGAAACTGCCCAAGGTGTCTTTGTCAATTTTGAGCAAGTAGTACGTACCATGAAGACAAAACCACCCTTTGGTATTGCCCAAGTTGGTAAATCCTTTAGAAACGAAATCAGATTAGAACACGGTATCTTTAGAACTCCCGAATTCGAACAATTGGAACTCGAGTTCTTTGTGGCGCCTTGGGAAGCCAAACATTATTTTAAATATTGGCGTAAAGAACGTTACAATTGGTGGTTAGAGCACGCTACCAACCCAGAAAAATTCAGACAGAGAGACCATGAATCCGATGAGATGGCTCATTATGCTACAGGCTGTACAGATGTTGAATATCTCTATCCTTGGGGCTGGGGAGAAGTAGAAGGCGTGGCTCATAGAGGAAACTACGATTTAACGCAACATATTAAGAATACCGGTGCCAACTTTGAAATATCTGAAGAAAAACCTGCATTATCTCAAGAGGTGAAGGAATCAGGTGAAGGTGAAGCTGAATTAATACCAACAGAAACACCTGCTCGTTATATACCTCATGTTGTTGAAAGTTCATGTGGATTAAATCGTGCAATGTTGGCTTATCTCTGTGACGCATTCCATCAAATTGAAGACGGCAAGGGCAAACCACCAAGAAACGTCTTAAAGTTGCATCCACGTTTATCACCCATCAAGTGTGCTGTCATGCCACTTACTGGTAAAGATGAGTTCTTGCCTCTTACTAAAAAGGTTGCCAAATCCTTAAGACGAAAGGGCTGGTACACTGTCATTGAATCTCAAAAGTTAAAGATTGGTAAACGTTACTATCGTCATGATGAAATCGGTACTCCTTGGTGTGTCACTGTTGATTATCAAAGTCTGGAGGATGATACAGTCACTATCCGTGATCGTGATACTGGCCTTCAAGAAAGAGTCAACTGGAAAGATGTTCAGACTATTATCGGTGAAAAGTTGATGGAACCTGAGGATTTAGATTAATACTTAATAAAACAAAAAACAAAATTCTTGTAAATATCTTTTTTATTTCATTGTTTCTTCCTTAAGCCAGGTCTTCTTCATCAAAATCATCATCAAAACCTAAACATTATTATCAGCAAACATAAACTTCCTCATCTTTAGAAACTTACTGTCAAAGAAATTTTGATGAATAGCCGTCTTTTCTAGATGCATCATGAGCGCTACGGATTCTCCTTTCTCATCCATCGGATCGTTCCAACTACCTGGTGAAGCACCTCCAAGCATATCGAAACGCGCAAAATCTCCCTGATGTCTTGCAAACCTTGGTGACATGTTACTGTTATTGATTGCTACTAAATCTTCAGGGCTCACACTTTTTCCATAAGGAGAACCGAATCTTTCCTCTTCCTCTTCCTCCTCGTCACCTTCTTCCATCACTTGATCTTCATCGTCCATTTCTGTTTATAGCGTATTAATGTTTATTTACTGAAGCAAGCCATCTGTGCTTACTACCTTCACTATTTGTTTCCCATTTGACAGTACTCATTTTTTATATGCGTTTGTACAAAAAAAAAAGGCGTAAAAAACATTGTACAGTCGCTGCAATTCAAGTATCAAGGTTCCTACTCCCTATTGGCTGTCACGATTTACAATTGAATTCGGTTTCTCCTCAGGCCGAATCAGATACGGCTTCTTATTCAGCAAACGCTCTGTTAATAAAGGGCAGTCTTTTTAAGTTTATTTGATTACAAGAAAAAATAAAATGCATTAATCGTTGACAGATTTCGATGGATATTATTTTGGAACTGAAACTGACGGCATATAATTAGTTCTCGAGTATAGCAAGATCATCATGTTCTACACGATGAATGAGTAAGTTCTTTACTTATACATTATACCGGGAGAAAGGGTTGGTGTTTGACTAATATTTTAAAGGCATACTGCCTGCTTTAGCAATTGAGCAACAATTCCAAGACTTAGGTTTTGTGTACGGATATTTATTTGTAAAATGTATGTATGCGATGTATGTTGAAAATTTAATGGAAGAAAAAATCATGTAATATTCGATAGCAATGTAAAATCGATTGAGAAAAATAAGAAACCAAAAGTAAGAACTAGCAGAGTACGGAATGACTAGTCATGGTATATGGGCTCAAAATAAGACACAGTCGAGCGAATATGAGGTTTGTATCGGTCCCAGATATTTTGGCAATCCTCATCCTCGTTTTTATGACCTAAACATATTAAAATGGGCTTTCCAGATGTTTTCCCACTTTCAAGAGAGACTGGATTATTTGGTCCTACATATTATAAACAACATGTTTCAATTACACAACTATCGGATACTCACAAATAATAATAAGCTACCTTTATCTTATATATTGAATATACTTATAATGACTCCAGCATGAATATTTGAGGTAACATTTTTAAATAAATAAGATGACGTACATGAATCAATCAATGACTTAAGTGATAATAAAAAGTGATACACAATAATGATAGGAATGACATTTCTGTGATAAAAAGAATCGGTATCTATTTTTAACGAGTATTCTTTCAATAATCGAAAAAATATATATACAACGACTTCATAATAAAAACAGGTTTGTACATTGTACACAAATGACAGATCAGCATCACTCGATTTGGGTAACTGTTATGGCATGTTACCCATTGTCAGATATACAAATTCCGGAGGAATACTTTCTTTGGATAAACTTCGAGACATGATTGAAGCTATTAAATATGATGTGTTTACCGAATTGTCATCACAATCAAGGGTGAGGGCCATTTTATCAATCGAAATAAGTGATATTGAATAAGAATATGTGTCATAATTACTTCATTGACTGGTATTATAATAAGATACTAAACAAATAAAGAGCTCGTATATGCATCTGTCAATTTCACATCAATCACGATATAATGTATTAGTTAATTGCAGCCTTTGTTTTGCTAACCATAAAAAGTTATAGAGCTTAATGCTTTGTCCAATGCTGTGACTATTTCCAAAGTTAATGGACAATGACCATCAGTTTTATTTTTGTTTAGCAAGATTACAATGCTTCTATTGTCTGCTAAAACAATAATTTACATCCGTTAATTTACGTCCAATATTGAACCAATGAAAACTATCTACTTTATTTTATTTTTTTTAAATTATGCCGCAAAATAAAATTAATGATGATTTATTTAGCTTTCTTTGTCAGCCTTTACCCAAAGTAATCACAATCATTCTATCTAAGAAACAATTCACTACCATTTTTTCATAGTTGATAAAGCTTATTTATCCTTAAGGAAAATTACGTCTGTTTTATTAACTAAATTCTGTGTACACGCATTATCAAATTATACAATCACTTAAAACAGCATACATTATCTGCAAATCATGCTGTAAATTTATTACAAAATTGTGGGCACTTCATAGTTAATTGTCTCTTTATCATTTTATTTAGATAAATTAATAAAGATACATGAAAGTTTTTTCATTATTTTTAAGTGCTGTTATATAGGTGCTTCATTGTCAATAAAAGTATAAGTACCACTGAGAAATCACTTTTTTTGTTATATCCCCTTTTACTTTTTTTATCAAACTCTTGTAACAAAAAGACAAATGATAACCTTTTCAATCATCTATGTGTTGTTGAACCTACTTCTTTACTGTGGGGTTTTTTTTAAACTTTACGAATGGGCCTATCCTGTTGCCAAATCATTTATTGCTCATCCATTTCTGGTTAAAGAAATCGTCACTTTTTTTTACCAAGAATTCATCTCCTGGATTAAATCTAGTCTTAAAGATTTGGCTATCAAGTGTATACCTTCTCTCTGGTTGCTCATGTGTGCAATGAGATGGGTCGAAGTTAGTGTATCCAAAATTCTTACTGTAAACGTTGTGGTGATCAAAGTCTTGAAGTTCGCCTTTTTCCCTCTTTGGATTCTGAAGATAGTCTTTTTGGTTGTCCTTTCTCCTTTTGCTCGTCTGATTATCAAAACAATTGAATATACTATTGGGATGCCTATCATTGCCACTGCTGATACTCAGGTCTCTTTAATTCCTCGCTCTTTCACTAGACGTTTTACTGACGTAGCACCTGCTGGTTCTACTTCTTATTTTGATAGAGTGTACACTTGGGTTCGTTCTTTAGTCCAAGGTGGTGATATGCAAGCTGGCTCAGAAGAATCCCATGCAAATACTGTTGAAACTAACCCTTCTGAAACTAACCCTGTTAGACCCCTCTATCTTGCACCAAACTTAGGCGAAGATACTGAATTTGTACAAAATACGATTATGACACTACTAACTTGGATAGAACAACAAAAATTACCTAGACTAGAAAACTTAGCCGATCGTGATGGCGATGCAATCAGTCACTGGTTTCAATTTCAATCTCCTGAACTTCTTTGCAGAGGTGTTTTGACAGAACTGTTTTCGGTACACCGTGATACTCGTTTGGAGAAAATGCTTGAATTTTTTGCAACAGATACTGAGTCTAGAGATCTTGCTATTGCTATTGCTACTCTTTTATTGATTTCTTTTGATATTAAAATGCCATTGCCTGTTAGATTAATTGTTGGACATCAGGTACCTAACGTACCACGTAGACCGTTCGAGAGATTTGTCGAGAATATGGCAGATACTCTTCAGTCATCCCGAAGCACACTCATGTGTGATTTCATGTTGGCGAACCTCACTGATAGTACTATTGCAGCGGAGATTGTGAACAAGCAATGGACCGACAAAAATTCCACTAGTAACAAGAAAAAACCTGTGCCTGCTTTTATCACTGAATTTATTGAGCAACCCTTTATTGTGTCTGATCCCAAGCCTTCCAAATTTCGTTTTTTAAAACGTGCACTATTTTGGTTCAAGCGTACATTTACCAAAGCCGGACTTGCGCAAGATGCCGAACTTAAATTCCTTCGCTTATATGCCGATAAGACTCTCAAAGATCTTCATGAACTTCAAGAACTCTTTTGGTTTCAGCCTGGTCAACATCCTCGTCTTATCGCTACGCCTTCTTCTTCTTTACGTGCTAGTAGTATGGACACAGAAGACTATGAGGTTGAACATTATAATCTCGTTCATGAAATTTTGGAGGATGTACCGTCTACGCCGACAGAAATTCCTGATATTCCTCCCGAGAGACAAGTAAATCATAATGAACTAAGGGACCTTATAGACGCTGGTCCTGACGTTGATATTAGAAGACTTGATCGTAGTTATTATGCCCAACGCCTGCTTCGTGCAGGACAACGATTGACACATCCAAAATATGATTCAAATGACATGACTGTCAAAGGTGAAGTTATAGGAAGTCCATTTTCCTCATTGCGAAATATCAATCTGTCAGGTACTTATACACCTGAAATCAATAATGAAAGGCCCCCTATTCAATACCAGCAATATCCCGCTCGCTTAATTGAACCAGCAGCTGGATGTACTTGGGAGTGGGAAAGTGAAATTGCTCTATATGGTAGTAATCATGGTAGCGAAGAAGGTGAGCGTGGCTCTGATGGCGAAGACAATGAGCGTAGATCTGGTAGTGAAAAAAATGAATCTGGTTCCGATAAGGAAGTAATTGAGGAAGAAGAACACATTTCTACATATGCTATAAATCCATATTCTGGACGTATCGCTGCTGCCATTCCTCCAAATATTTTCTATGAATCTCAAGGTGGTTCTCAGGGTGGTTCCCAAGGTGGTTCTCAGGGTGGTTCTCAAGGTGGTTCTCAAGGTGATCCTCAAGGTGGTCCTCAGGGTGGTTCTCAAGGTGGTTCTCAAGATGGCTCCCAGAACAATTCTCAAGGAAATTTAGCTATGATTGAAGCTGAAGAGACAGACATACCAGCAAGAACTATTCGTTTACGTAGTTTCTCTTGGCCTATGGTCTCTAGTGGGTCTCAAATTCTGCCAAGAACCAATCGTCAACCTTCGGAAGATATCGTGCCTGGTATGAGCGATGATGCAATTCTGATGGCTATTCTTCGTGATGACGATGACGAGTATGTAAATGACCCTAATAATCCAATTACCTCTGATTTAATTGCAAGCATGTATCACCGTAATTCTTATGTTTCTACTTATGCCCAAAGCATCATTTATGGTTCGTTCGAAGCAGATTTTCATAGGTCATGTTCCAGCGCTGGCTCAGAGTATTTTGATAACAACGGATTTCCTATTGACAAAGACGGCATTTTCAGAGAAAAGCTGGATGATTACATCTCTGAGCGCTATAATAATCTTGCTACAATTACAGAGGCTGACGACGATCAAATTACCCAGGAAGGTGGTGAGCAACTTTCTGAGCAAGAACAGGAAAATCTTACTGAATTAATTACCAATGACAACTCAGAGAATGACAACAATAATGCATTAGATCCTGGGTCTAATAGTAATGACCACAGTAGCATGGATGGTTTATTGGGTACTGAAAATATAGAGCGAATTCAAGATATCACTTTCGATTTTCCCTCTCTGACTGAAGGTAATTTATCAGGTCCAACATCACAGAATCTTAATCCTGGTGTTCAAAATATTTTGGATGATTTATCTGATGACAATGTTGATGAAGAGCTAGCCCAAAGTACTATCGTTACTCCCCTCGAACAAACTCAAGATATTGCCCTGACCCCACCTGTTCTTGGTGTTCAAAATATTTTGGATGATTTAACTGATGATAATGTTGATGAAGAGCTAGTCCAAAGTACTATTGTTAATCCCCCTGAACAAACTCAAGATATTGCCCTGACCCCACCTGTTCTTGGTGTTCAAAATATTTTGGATGATTTATCTGATGACAATGTTGATGAAGAGCTAGCCCAAAGTACTATTGTTACTCCCCCCGAACAAACTCAAGATATTGCCTTAACCCCACCAACGCAAACTCTTGTTCCTGGCGGCCAAAATGTTTTTGATGATCTCTTAGTTGAAAATAATGAAAGTTTATTTTTGCCTCTTTCCCATGATGATGGTAACATCCCTCAAGTTCCGGAACCAAGTGAATTAATTTGTGGTGTTCCCCAGAATGTTTTGAACAATTTGGTGGATAGTAATAATACCGATCAATCTCAAGCAGTTGAGCTGACTGTAGCACCTGAAAATCTTAATACTAGTGTCGAAGGTAAAAATACTAATATAATTACGAAAAAACTTAATATTAACGAGTTTATTATAGATACTGTTCAAGATGCCCCTGGTAGCGGATTAGTTGATAGCAATATCGTTCCTGTTAATACTGGTATCGAAGGTAGATATACTGATATAATTACAAAGAGATTAATATTAACGGCTTTACTGCAGATGCTGTTCAAGAAGCTCTTGGTAGCTTATTAGATTTAGATAATGGAGAACCTGGCCATGAAGTGATTGATGATTTTTTTTCAACTCCAGCCGATAGAAACCGAAACCCAACCATCACTATAGCTGACATGCCCCGAGGACTTGGTAGAAATAGGCTTGGCTCTGGTCAACTTCGTCCTGTTACATCTGAAGAATTGGAGGAAATTAGACTTATCACCAATCCACCTGAATCTGATCTTCCAACAGCTTTTCAACCAGAACCATTCCGGGATGGTGGTGACATTATAGATCTTTTGGATCCTACTGATGATAATCAAGACAGTAATTCGGATGCTCCACCCACATTTGAAGAACTTAGAGCAATTGAAGCTGAAGATATACAAAACAATGCTGCTGGTCAAGATATATCACAGGGTGCTCGTGATGCTCCTGGACCTGGATCTGGATCCTCTGGTAGTAATAATAGCGGTTCTGGAGTTAGTTCATTACACGGTTCACTAGGCAGTTCACTAGGCAGTACTTTTGATGGTTCTGGTGGTAGCAATGTCGGTGGTATTAACAATAACAATGACGACGCAGGATCTGGTAGTTCCTTTGCTGAAGTATTCTTTACCCAAAGGGATCGTGCTGAATTCGAACAACACTTTGCCAGTCTTTCTACTGCAGTTTATAATGATGTTCAAGATTTACGCAAAAAGATGTCCACTATTACAAGAATTATGAGAAGACTGATGTCTGGTGAAAGTGCTCAGTTTTTAAACACCTTGCATGCGTCAAGTGTCAAGGGAGAAACATTAGCCGAGACAACTGAGATCCTTCAAAAGTTAAGACAAAATTTTAAAAGCACAGCGGATCATTTCCAGTACTATGAAGGTTATATCGAAGACTTCGGAATGGGGTATGCTTTTTACCGTGCTGTAGAGTTTGCAACGGATTTTATAGAAGAATTAGAACGTACTTTTGAGATGCTCGATGGAGAGAGACGTATTCACGGGACTGTTATGCGCAGAGTCAAAAAAGAAGTTGCTGAAAACACTCGTATGGTCAAAAATTTGAGAGCAATAGTACAGCAATACATCTACTCCTCTGTTCATCTCACAGACCCTCAAAGACGCAGAGAGTTTAGAGAATCTGTTGGTGCTCTTTTAGAATATGTTAGTATACATGGTGATCGATACGATTTTTTGTCTGATATTCAACGTCGTCGCAATTTAATAATCAACTAGAGAAATACTCATTACCTTTATATTTAGAATAAAGTGTTCAATTTTTATTATATTTTTGTACTTTTTTGTACTTTTTTAGGAAGCTCAAATACAATTAAAGGTTCCTTTTATAGAGACTAATATGATAAATTACGGGATAAATAGCTATTACATAGTGCATACATGGGTCGCTAAAAGACAGCCTCATTGTCATAGATAAACTATTTATCCACTTGTATCTTGGCGTCAGTTACTATCGATAATGGAAATTGCCTAATCGAAAACAAAAACTTTCATTTATTTACCGAACCATTTTTAGATAATGATCGGCGATACCAGTAAACTTACAGCAACTACCCCCGTTATCGATCAGGAAGATTTACGAGATAATTATGGGTTGACTGTCATTTTTCATAATGTATTCGTCTTGATAACAAAATATTACACCTGTTTACAATCAAAGATGTTATGTTATAATTTGAGTCTTATTTGACTACCTGGCAGCTACAAGAGAAATCAGAAGCATTGACAGATTTTTTTTTAAAAAAAAATTAAGGTTAACTAATTTTTTATCCCTCGGTTCCATCTAATAAATGTTTGTTCCTTTGTCCAAAAAACCCAACAATAACGCTCTACATTGATATGAACCCTTAAATCTTTATTCTCTGTTTCTATTTCATCTCAAGTCTCTTATTTTCTGTTGTTATAAGGTTGTCTTTTATCACTATTTAATTTTTTCTATCATTATCATTATTTTTCGATCCATCATGGTGCGGCAAAACTGTAAAAATCTTGCAGGTAAACAATAAAGACACGTATATTAAATATGTAGTTCTTATTTTTCATATATATGTAAAGATATCGATGATACGAGCAACACTGGATCCCTTATTGAAGATTTGGACTTTATTGTGGGTGTTTCTCAATTTAAAAAGAGTCAGTTCCAAAACGCATTGGAATGCTTTGAAAAGTCTTTAGATAAGTGTGGAGATAGCGAGGCTGCCCTTTTATTTGCGGCAACAATTTTGTACATTGGATTAGAGGTACAAAGAGATGCGGTGAGAGCATACACGCTTTTTGATAGAGCTTTGCTCTTTGATAGCGCTATAGCTCAGTATGTACTTGGGCTCATGTGTAGGTATGGAGATGGTGTGGAAGGTGACTATAAAAAATCCATTGAGTGGTTTATCCTGTCAGCCAGACTTGGATGCTCAGCACAGCACATCCAGAATATTTATCACTTAGTGGAGCCTTCAAGTGAGTTAGATGATACCATGTTTTGGTATAACGCCATGACAAATGCTTCCAATGATGATGACGAGAGTGTTTATGAGTTTGATCAGCATATGGAGTTATTGTTTACAATGATTAGACGATTCGAAGATGATTATTATATTAAGGTGAAGGGAAAACCTATACGTTCAGCACATCCTAAAGCAAACAAGAGCTTTGTTCAACGTATACGTCATTTATGGTACAAGTTAAAACGAGCGAAGCAAATGGTATCATGTTAAACAATGCACTTCCCCCTATTCATATTAAAATAAATAGCTTTGGTTTCACATCTTGTAAAAATTCTATTTTTTCCGACAGATCACGATTAATCTCAGAAGCTTTTTTTTTATAAATTACTGTCTATTGTTTTTTTTTGTACTTGGTGTTAGCGACTATTTTTACGAGCCCTTTGTCACTAATCGTTGATTCTGTTACTGTCTGTGCCTGTTCCTGCATGTGTGGATTGTACGCATCGTGACTGTTTCCTGCGAATATTCCTCCTCTCCTTTTTCTTGAATTTCAACTCTCCGCTAACCCATGCCTGCCCTGGCTTTTCTCTTTTTTTTTTTATTCCCCAAAAAACTGTCAAATTATGCTTAGAAATATTCACAGCTTGCAAAGAGTAACTCTGGGCCGATATACGACTGCAGGAAGTTGCGGTGTATTTAGTGTGTGTAAAAAGACTTGGTATTCCACCAAACCAGGTAAAAAAAAAAAAAAAAAAACTAAAAATTATGCGAACTTGTTTTAACCTTTTTTTTCTTCGGGTAAGTAGCTTTTGAACTGGGAGAGAAAGATACGACAATTAATGGAAATAAGTTTGACAAGGATGAATGGACGAATGTAACACCAGCCATTCTTTCCAAAGTGAATCGTCAACTGCATTTACAACCCAAGAATCCCATTTCCATCATTCGACAATTGATTGAATCCAACTTTACCGACTTTAAAACGTTCAACGAGTTTAGTCCTGTGGTCAGTACACGCCAAAATTTCGACGACTTGCATATTCCTGTCGACCATCCCAGTCGTACGAAATCCGACAATTATTATTTTAACAAGGAGACAGTCCTTCGTGCGCATACTTCAGCTCATCAATTGCAAGGCTTAGCATCTGGTGAGAATAAATTTTTGATTAGTGGTGATGTTTATCGTCGTGATGAGATTGATGCGTCTCATTATCCTGTTTTTCATCAAATTGAGGGTTTCTTTTACCTCGATAACGATTTGAGCAAGCTGTCAACCGAATTAAAACGTATTCAGGATATTGAGACACCCAATATTGAACTTGTGGATGATACAGTGATTAAGCCGGAGAATCCAGTGCAAGCATGCCATTCTGCCGAAGCCTCTGATTTGATTGCTGCCCATTTAAAGCATAGTATTAATACCATGATTCGCAATTTGTTTGCAGACGAGAAAGATTTAAAGGTGCGTTGGATTGATGCTTATTTCCCCTTCACCAGCCCCAGTTGGGAAGTCGAGATCCTTTACAAGGGAGAATGGTTAGAAGTCTTGGGATGTGGTGTAGTGAATCAAAAGATTATGAACGGAGCTGGATTAGATAATAAGATTGGATGGGCCTTTGGTATGGGATTAGAAAGATTAGCCATGGTCTTGTTTGGTATTCCTGATATCCGTTTATTCTGGTCTCAAGACCAACGTTTCATTGACCAATTCACACCTGGCAAGATTAACAAGTTTGTGCCCTTTTCAAAGTTTCCTCCTTGTATTAAGGATATTTCTTTCTGGCTTCCTGAAGGTGAATGGCATGAAAATGATTTCTGTGAATTGATTCGTGGTGAAGCAGGTGATCTTGTGGAGAATGTGCAATTGGTATGATTGTACTATGTAATGTACATATATAGTTATCTAAATCATGTCTATAGATTGATGATTTCAAGCATCCTAAAACCAATAAGCGTAGTTTGTGCTACCGTATTAATTATAGATCCATGGACAGGTAACATCTTATATTCTACATATGTGTATATTTGAATAGATACGTAACTTACTCTTTAATCATTAGAAATGTGACTAATGAAGAGATTAATGAGATCCAAGAAAAAGTGCGTCAAGTTGTACAAGATCAATTCAAAGTTGAGTTGCGATAGGCATGCATAATGAAATAATAATAATAATAATAAACGCGTGTAAATGGTCAGTTGATACGTGACAGGTGACGGGGTTTGGACCTCATCATCATTGTGGCTCTCTTATCATTACTGCGTCTTGGATTAAAGCTTTCCAACGATATAAAGAGGGATGGAAGGAAACCCTACACTCTGAGGTTGTAAATGGTTGCCTTAGAAATGAAATCCATGACCTCCTAGTCTAAGTTGTATTTCGTGATTTAACCGATTGAATCACCCACTCGCGGAAAAATAAAATAAAAAACGATAAACGTTTTATGAGGAAGATCTAAGGCACAAGCTCTTCATATGTTTCAGTTCTCACTTGGTGTGTAGATTAATTAAGGACTTGCTATTTAAGGCATTCCAAACTATAAAGAATACACCCACCCACCCACCTTCATCTTGTAAGATCGAGCACGAAGAAGCGGAATCAAACTTTCTACTTTTTTTATTAGTGACTGTCTCGCCTTTTTGGCGATTTAATGTCGCTCTGGTTGTTCACCTGAATATTTCTCATTTCTTAGTCAACCCCCCCCCCTTCTTTCCTTTGCCTATAATTTTTTATACAATAAAAAAAAAGGCAGCGTACTTACTTATAAAAACGAATGGATACACAGCTTGATCTTATTGAAAAGACACAACCAAAGTAAAAACCTTTTTTCATTATTATTAAGCACTCTATCAATAATTATTCACTTCTTTACAAAAAAAAAAAAAAAAAAAAAAATCATATAGAAGAGTCTTATCATCGATAGAAAATAGGAGTGAAATGTTTGAAGAACAAAGATTGAATAGTGAAGATTTAAAGTCTCAAGTTAATAATATCCGACCTATTTCCATGGATGTGCATGGGACGAAACGATACTCCATCCCACAAAATTACAAGGATAGCTTTTATGCGATTCATCACATTCATTCCCCCAATCCTACTACAGCCGTGCCAATGACTACAATAGTCAGCAGTCCGGAAAATACAGAACCCTTACCGAAAAAGAAGTCTATTTCTACTGCTACCACCACTACTACCACCACCACCATGCGTGGTCGTAAACGCCAGGACCTTACAAAGTCAACTGATCGTAAACGCTCACGCCAGCACACCACCACCGCTAATAAAGCCCGTAAATCCAGTCTTGGAGATCTAATCTCACCCACACTTTATAAAACCTGTGTGGGTCTTTGGCCCAAAGAACAACATTCTTTAGGGGATCTTGGGTACGATCATATCAAGGCACTCAGTAATTTACTCAAAGTTAGACTCTGTCAAGCAAAGTTCAAGATGATGGCTAAATTAGATGGTGATAATGAATTGTTTACGTTTTTAGCAGAGGAATATGCTACACCTAAGCATCAATCGACCCCCTCCATTCAGTTCTCTGGAAAGAAACAGAACAAGTCCATGGCTGTAGTGGTTGGTAACGGAAAGAATTTGTTTAGAAGAAATAACAATTGCAATCCATTGGATGTTTTGGCACCTTCCACAGAAGAAGCAACAGCTACTACACCAACAGGAACAGGAAGCGGCGCAGCAAAGACATCAAAAGCAGCAATAATTCCACCAGCAACCTCAGAAGCAACAGGAGGAGCAGGTGGAGGAGAAAAGCCCAAGAAGAGAAAGGTGGGCCGCCCAATTACAACTAATGTCAAGGCAAAACGATCCAAAAAGAAATCGGCAACTTCTGATATCGTGCCCGTAACATTATCGGATGGTAATTTTAACATTCTTATTTGTATATATTGCATATATTAAAATCTAGAATAGGTACATCCGTTTATGTATGTGAACCATGCCACAAGAAATACAAGAATCGAAACGGATTAGCTTATCATTTACAACGCTGTAAGAACAGCAGCAGTAACAAGGATGAGGAGGATAAATCCGAAAGCATCATCAATTGCATATGTTCACAAAACACGGATGAACACGGCACAATGGTACAATGTGATAAATGTCGGATATGGCTTCATTCAGAATGTGTAGGGCTTACAGAAGAAGCGCTTGATGATTCTTTCCATTGTACTAACTGTAAAGAGCGAATCGAGAAAGATCTACTGCAGACATTGATTGATACTCAAACAACAAGTGATCGTGAAGAACAAAGCATCTCATCCCAAGATCAAATCAGCCATCATTTACAAGAACTTTTCCGGACACCCAAAGAGGATGAAGAAGATGATTTGATGCATGCTCCCTTAGAGTATCAAGATGACTGTTCTGAAGCTGGCGTGCCTAGTTCAACTCAGTTACATGTTTGGGACGACTTCAGTTTCTCTTCCACCTTGGAAAAATCCAATAATGAAGCATGGAATGTGTTGGAAGAGGATTATGAAAATGACGTACCTAGTTCATCTTGGACAATGAATGAAATTGGCCTCTTTAATCAACCCCCTTCTCTTTTATTTTCGGACATGAGTAGTGCATTGGAAGAGGAAACCACTACACCCCTCTTGAGTGATTTAGCTACTCCTTTACCCGTCACTGAAACTACACCTGTGCCTGTCGCTACTCCCACTTCTGTAACAGATACACGTGAAGCTACCACTCCAGCACCTTTGCATACAGCAGATGGACTCTGGTTTCAATTTGCTAACTTTGACGACGATTACCAATGCGAGACATAGTTGTCCTTTTTTTTTTTCTAAAGAAGAAAAAATAAAACAGTTTATTATTTTTATTGGAATAGGGTTTCTTCATGCTTCTTTTTAGTTTTGACAGCACCTGGTTTTCCTTGAGCGTCAGGATGACTAGCTAATTCATGGGGTACCTTGGAAAGCGAGGACTTTGCAAGCATTTGACGAAGATCATACATTACATCGGCATCCTTGTTTGATAAGAAAGTGATGGCCACACCAGAATTACCTGCACGACCAGTACGACCAATACGATGGGTGTAATCTTTATATACAAGAAAAAAAAATGAGTTGGATTGTCCTATTTTAATATTCACATATATGTATACTTTACCTTCAATGTTCTTGGCCATGTCATAATTGATAACCAAGGATACGTTCTTGACATCAATACCACGACCAGCTACATCGGTAGCCACTAACACACCAGCAGTACCATTCTTTAATTGTGCAAGGGCCAATTCTCTATTAAAAGAATTTTTAAGAAAAATGAGTATATCGGCGAAATTTAACAGCTTGGCGATTAAAACAAACCTTTGTTCCTGAGATTTACCACCATGGAGCGTCACAGTGTTATGACCCAATCTGTTCAAGGTCTTGGACAAAGTATCCACACCACGTCTTTGGTTGACAAAAATAATCATAGGAGGAGCGAACTTGCCAGAATTGAGAATCTCAATAAGACGGTTACTACATAAAAGGTGTTAATACATAAAATAAGATACAAAAACACATAATACATACGTCTTTTTAGCCTCATCGTTAATCATTTCTACACGTTGCTCAACAGACTCAACAGCTTGACCAGCCATACCAATTGTGACCACAGCTTCTCTACGCAAGTACTTTTTAGCCAAACGCTCAACGGCGGTAGGCATTGTAGCGGAAAACATGGTGGTTTGTCTGTACTTGTAGCCAGCAGGAGGTTCAATAGGCATACTGTTTTCATCTTCGGGTTTCATGTTGGAAGCTGGTAAAGCATCCAAAATGAAATTCACATCGGCTTCCATACCCATATCAATCATACGATCGGCTTCATCCATAACGACGTAGGTACATTGGTTTAAAACAAGAATACGACGATCCAAACAATCCTTCAAACGACCGGGTGTGGCAATAATGATCTCGGCACCGTTACGTAAATTATAGGCTTGTTCTTCAATAGCGTGCTAAAAAAAAATAATGGGGGGTTAGACATAAGTAACACAATTTTTTTTTTACATATAAAGAGAGTATACTTACACCACCGACAATGGAAACACAAGTGAACCCCATGGGCGTAGCAAATTTGATGGTTTCTTCCTCAATTTGTTGTGCTAATTCACGAGTAGGAGCCATGATCAAAGCATAAGGACCTTCTGCCATATTCTCTTGGGTGATTTTAGGCAAGTCCGAGATATAAGTGAGCAAAGGAATGACAAATGAAGCAGTTTTACCAGAACCTGTTTCAGCAATACCAATAATATCTCTGTTTTGAATACCAATGGGAATGGCTTGACGTTGAATAGGTGTGGGCTCCTTGTATCCGACTTGATCAATGACCTTAAGCATTTTCTCGGGTAATCCAGATTCGGCCCAAGAACGAATAGGATGTGGGATTTGTCCACCTTTGGTAGAGATATTGAAATCTTCTTTAAAGATACGCCAATCTCTTTCCTTCATTTGATTCAAAGGCTTCTCTGACCAATGACGTTCATCGAATTTGGTCTTTGCTTCCTTGTTGATTGACATTTGATTTAATTCACTATAAAAACAAAGAGATTAGAGACAATAAATCACATAAATTGGGGGGTTGGGCTGTACCTGGCTCTGTCGACTTCGGTGGTAGTTCTACGTTCCTTCAAAAGTCGATCGTAAAATTCAGATTGGTGTTTCTTTTGCTCTTTACTATCGATACCAGCCATATGTCCACGACCAAACATTTGGGCATTGTGCTTGTTTGCGTATAACGGATTGAAATCGTACGATGTGTCTTCTCCTGCATCCCAATCAAACACAAATTTACGTTCATTCATTCTACGAATCTTTCTCTTCTTACGCTCTCCACCGAAATACCGTTCCTAAATCAACATATAAATGAGTTTCTTATTCAGCAAAAACAGAAAAGACAATACTTACTCGGATTGCTTGCTTTTCTTTCTCAGTCAGGGCAGCGTCTTCTTCTTCAGCCATAGCTGCTTCATCAATATCTCTGCTACGGCGGTCTCGCTTATTGTAATCACGTCTATTATTATCACGACTATCGTAACGCGAAGAACGAGTATCTTGTGTTTTTCTATACTCGTCCTCAGCTGCATGATCAAAATTCTCTCGAGCTTTTCGTTCTTCCAGCTGTCGTTGTCTCTGTTCCTCGACCTCTAATTGACGTTTTTCTAAGGCTAATTTTGCACGTTGTTCCTTTGTTAAAAATACAGGCTATACATAAAAATGAAATGAGTAACGTAGCTATCATGATTGAGTACAACTTTCTAACCTTTTCTGTTGCTTTTTTCTCCTGTTCCTTTTTTTGAATCAGTTCTTCAATGGAAATAGGAACTCTTTTTTTAGGTGCTGGTGCTGGTGGTGGTGGTGGTGCCATGGGTGTGTCTTCTTCTCTAACTTCGGGTCGGCTGTACTCGCGGCGACGCAGATCGTCTCGATCATCGCGATCTCTTCTGGATCGGCTATCTCTGTTGTAATCATCGGAACGGCGGTAATCTCTACGGTCGTAACCTCTATCATTGCCTCGGTCGTTGCGACTGTATTTATCAGAGTTTCGTGTAGGTGAGCGATCGTAACTAGACATGGTTGAAAGAAGAGCAACTGTTTAAAATTTTCGTCTGCGTGTATCCTACAAAATAAAAAACCGCAGCTTTTTTCTAAAAAAAAAAAAGTGACGTAACATTTTTTATATTTTGCATGTTTTTGTTCAATTGATCCCCCGCCTTGTTGTATAAGCAAGCACGCACACTTTGTGAAACTTGTGCAAATGACTCAGAATATAAATATATTACTCGATCTCGTTTTTTGATATTTTACGTTTTTTCTATCTTTTTGATCTCTCATCAAAATGTCTTCTACAGTGACAGAGACAGATTTGAAACAGGAAGAAATCGATCTATCGAATCAGGAACCTTATAAGCAGCCCGAACCCAGCCGAAGACAGGCGATACAAAAGAAGGCCTATGCATTGTTCCTCCGCTACTGGTTTTTACTGGGTCTTGCCATTGTCATTGGATTAGCATGGGCTTTTCCACAAGTAGGTAAAGCCAATGGTGATATCCAAGCGCAATATACAGTCAAATGGGGAGCCGTCATTATCATCTTTTTACTTTCAGGGCTTGGATTAGAAGTCAGTGTGATGTTAAAAACGATTTTGCGTTGGCGCTTACATGTAGTTGTTCAATTCATTAATTTTATTTTGCTTCCGTTTTTGATGTATGGTATTGTAAGGTTCTTTATTACGGTGCATGCTGATCTGGATATGACGGTGTATAAAGGCTGGATGATTGCCTTATCTACCAGCACAACTGTTTCATCAAATGCTATCATGACTCGTAATGCAAATGGAAATGATGGAGCGGGTAAACAAAAGATCACACATATATATATATAAAAGCTTATTTTAAAGTTTCTTTCTTTTTTACATATAGCATTGTTTAATGCAGCATTAGGTAACGTTTTAGGTATATTTGTTTCCCCTGCTCTCATGACAGGTAAAATTAGCTTGCATCTCTCCCGATTATCCATTCATTTTTTTAATTTTTTTTTTTTTTTTTTTTAAAAAAAAAAAAGCCTTCCAAAATGACCCTATTGTCTTTGAGCCTGGCACCGATCGAGGCAACCCAGATTATCTCAGTGTTCTAAAAACTCTGGGGTCCACAGTATTGGCTCCATTAGTATTGGGTCAATTGATCCGGTACCTTTTTCCGGTCCGGGTAAAGTATTTAGCTGCCAAATTCAAGTTTCCCATCATCAACAGTTTAGCTCTCTTGTGTCTGGTCTGGTCCGTCTTTTGTGATGGTGTAGCCAGTGATGCCTTTACTAAAATGACGGCCGTAGATATTGTAGCTATTATCTTTGTAGACATTTTCATGTATCTGTTTGGTTGTGCCGCCTGTTTGTTTGTAGCAAGGCTTCCATGGCCATTGAAGGAAGAGCCACAGTGGGTGACTCGATGGAGGTTCTCGAAAAAAGATTCTGTAGCCATCATGGTATGTTATGTTTGGGTAAAGACTATCAACAAACATAATTAAAATATGACATGTAGTATTGTGGAGCAACCAAGACAGTATCAATGGGTATTCCCTTGATCAATGTGTTATATTCCAGCAGCAGTTATGGAGTAGTTGGAGTTCTCTCACTCCCATTACTTATGTATCACATTTGTCAGTAAGTAAAAAAAAAGATGGTATAAATAACCTCGATTTTTTAATCTTGATATGGTATTATTATTATTTCAGGCTTTTTATTGGAAATTTTCAGGTACCATTATTAAAAAGATGGATTGAGGCTGATGAAGAAGATTCTTGCAGTGAGGCCACACAAGACGTGATCCCTTTATCGACGATTAGAAAAAGAGGAAATTAAACGGAGTTTTGAAGTTTGCTGCAAGTTATTTATAATGTTTAAACCAGAACCATTTAGGGAGATGGAAGAAGAGAAAGGGTGATGACCTATTTATATATGTTTTTTTATTTTATTGTATGTATATAAAGATGTGTACTGATATAAAAAAAGAATGGTACATAAGACATTTATAAAAGAAGGGAAACCAGCCCTGTTTTTTATCGCCAGAAAGTTTTACATGTTGGAGTTCATAAATGATGTGGGATAATGTGATGGGTTGAATGGAGGTGGAGGGGGAGGATAATGAAAGGCAAATTGAGGTGAATAATATGGTTCGATAAATGAATTATTGACGGGTACCTGCCCCGTAGACATGACTTGTTCGTAAGAAGGTGGTGGTGGTGATGGTTCATGGCTCTTTTCATGCTTTTTTAGAGATCGGGAATGATAGTATGCTTTTCCACAACCTGCAAACAGGCACACAAAAGGTCTCACATTTGAATGCGTCTTAATATGCGTTGTAAGTGAATCTGGGCGAGAAAACTTCTTTTCGCAATCTACAGGAACAAGAATTAATATCTATTTTGATTTACATCTAAAATCAACTTGCCTGGTTTAGGACATGCGAAGGGTCTTTCGCCTGTGTGTGTACGTAGATGGTTGTACATTTTATGTCTTTTTGTAAAAGGTTTATTACTTCTAGCGCATTTTTGCCACTCGCATCGATAAGTTGCCTGCAAATCATAAAAAAATAAGGTTAATACTAATAAAAAACAAGTTTTTATAATCATACTTTTCCACCTCCCACGTGTACTTCGGTAATATGAGATATTAATTTCTGCAATATATCAAACTTTTGACCACAATCCGACCACAAACAGGTCCGAATCTGTTCTTGTTCATCTTCCTCGGTTGCGGTTTCATCTACCGAATCGTCCGCCATCTCATCAGTGCTGGTAGTAGCCGTGGTGGTGATACAATGGTTTTCTTTTTCTAATGCAACCAATCTTGCAATTAATTGTTCTCTCGACATGCCTTCAAATTGCTTAGGATCTACGGTAGGATTATACATATAGTTATCTTCTTGTTGGATCATATTCGCCATCATGTGGTGTTCAGCAGCAGCAACAGCGGCAGCTGCATCATATCCGTTAAATTCGACACCAGAACAAGTGTGGATGTTATTGTTTAAAATACGCTGCTGTTCTTCTAGTCTCTATTTTTTTTGGTTATTTTAGTATTCAACATAAGCATTTTTTCCGTGTATAAACAAAAACATACAGTGTCTATCAATAATGCATTATTATAACCATTGTTTGGACTAGGAATACCAATCATCATTTGCGGGTTATAAGCAGCTTGTTGGTCAGGTATCGAACAAGGAGGAGAAGGAATAGACTGTTGTGTCAATAGACTACTCATGCCATCATCCTTGACAGTCATTTCAGTTTGGAATTGGTGTAAATTCATTTTTTTGAAAAATAAAATAAAGAAAGAGAAAAAAGAGAGAAGAACACGGAAGCTGATGATTGGAGGCATTTTAAAGTGACTTTCCTTTTCTACCTTTCTCCATTTTGTTGTTGTTGTTAATTTAGTCCCCCGGTATCTTTCCCATATCAGCATCCAGTGTTTGGCCATGGTCTTTTTGGCATATGAGTATCGTACGACACATGACGAAATATCCTTATAATGTGAGCTTGTTTGTCAGCCTAAAATCAGGATGAATGCAACTTTTTTTTTTTATTAATTTTTTATCCGAAAAAAAAAATAGGTTTGAATTCCAGACAAGGGCAAGGAATTCGAAGAAAGAGATAAGGAAAACATACAATATTCAAAAAAAAAAAAAAAGCGTTGCTATGGTTTGGTTACAGTGTATCTTATGAAAGTGGGTTTTGTTTGATTTAAACGGAGTGACGTAAAACAAATGACGTTGGTCCAGGAAGCATAAAATAAATGTTCGGATAATGGTGACACGCGATGGTTCCTTATTATTTACTTTTTCGCTTTAGGTTGTGTCACCATTTTAATTAAAAAAACATGTATGTAGATCCATTCATTATAGGCTTTTTTTATATTTTGATGTCATATTTACACTATTTTCACAAATTATCGGCGCACAATTTGGAAAAATAAAATGGCACATTTGAGAAAAAATTTGGCGCACTAGTTGAAAAAAGCTTGGCGCATCGAAAAAAATCAAAATTTGGCACATAAAAAGGTTTAATATTGTCGTATTTGAGGGCTTCTTTACTTTTACATTAATTTTGAATATGAATGATTCTGTATATGAAAACGTCCAGGGAAATCTTTTATAACAACAAATGCATGGAAGTTGCAGTCGTGGAAATTGAAGTAGACGAAGAAATGTATCCCATTGAAACGGTGATGTACCAGGAGCTCAAACCACCTGAAAAGCCCGAGAAAAACAATGAAAAGAAAAAAGACAGAGGAGATGTCAAGTTAGAGAACGACACAACAACCTGTGTCTACAAAAGTTACAAGGAAGTAAAGAGGGAGTAACTGTTTGCTTTGGTCTATGAAAAAGGCATGGGTGTTAGAGAAGCAGCCCTGAAACTTCATATCATTCCAAGCACAGCATTGCACAATCAGTCTGAAGAGAGCTAACTTCCATTCGGTTGAGCGCGACTGCCTGGAAAAGATCACAGCAAGAAAGGAATGGGTAGAAAAATGGATGGCCATCGACATGGACTACATGAGCAACTGCGTATTCATCGACGAAGCAACATTTCATATCAACATGAAGCGATCTATTACATGGTCAAAAGTGGGAGCTCGCGCCATTGTTAAAATACCAAAGACTAGGGGAAAAACAATAACAACCTTGGTTCCAACCTGTGCTTTTGGTGTTGTCAACATAAAAGTAAGATGTCCTCGAGTAATGCCTACTTCCAAGAAAAGAAACCGCTGGATCGAGTGGAAAAGCTCAGACACAGAGCAAAGGCACTTTTACAGGTCATTACTTTAACTTTATAAGCGACACCATGGACGAAATAGACAAGCACCCAGAGATTTTCAAGGACAACTACTTGATCTTGGATAATGCTCTAACCCACACAAATGATGATATCAGGCTTCTTATTAAAACTCGTGGCCACAGATGCGTTTATCTTCCTCCTCACTCGCCAGAGTTTAACCCTATTGAGCAATTCTGGTCTATTTGTAAGAGTAAGCTCAAATGAGAGAAGCTGTCGATGGAAGAGACACTCACATCTAGAATCAGAGATACATTCAATTAAGTGCTTATTAGTGATCTTAAAGGATTTTGCAAATACTCCTGTGATAGATTCAATGATTGCTTGAAAGGGATGCCTATCTAGAAATAAAGATCATTTGTCACATGTGTCGCATTCAATTTTTGTGCCAAATTTTTATTTTAGGCAAAGCTTGAATAGTGTGCCATGAATACTACGTCTGCTGCGGAAGAGCTGGAGAACAAGCGAAGTTCAATGAGTATTGCTTTTAGTCGCAAACGCACCCTTTTGCAGGGTAAGAGACGTGATGTTTGGATGCGCCCAACGTATTACTCCCCTCCTCGTGATGTGGCTGCTGATGGAGAAAGCTGTGGAGGATGACCATGTTGAGGATATCATAGATATAATAATAAAGATAATTATCACATGACATTAAGGATGGATAGTAGTATACAACTTAATCATAAATCACGCATTACCCCGCTTGTTCTCATCCTATCGTTGAGGTCTGTACAAAGGGCTAAAATTAAAGACATGTTTATTATTTACAATCACAAGGTTATTACATCATGATCCAATAATGCGCTGAGCATTATCCCTAGAACTGTTTGATTCTTCATATAAGTATCTGTAGTTTCTTCTCATAGACCAAGAGAAGGTTTTTTAAGTGTGTTTTTTTCGTATAAACTAAAGTAGCATCCTAGTTCTAACAGTATCACTTTGGTTTTATTTTAATTTTGTTCTCCATGCAAAACAGACCAAGTATCGGATGCAAATAATACGAACGCTGACCAGTTTAAATAGGTCTATCAAGATGGCGCGTGGAGAAACATCTTCGTCAAGGAATCAGGGGTAGACACCCATCGCCCAGATGAAGAATGACAGCATCATACCGCTCTTCACTGCCCTGTTTTTTTTTTCTTTTTTTTATCCCTCTCAATAACACTATGGAGTGGTTCGATGATTCGCTTGTAACGACATATCATGAAACAATTGCAACACAAGTGGTTCATGGAAACATACGCCAAAGGCAACAACAGACAGACAGATTATAGTGACACCAACGTGAGGCAAAAAAAAAAGTAAAAAAAAAACAGGGCCCATCCAATAAATGTGGCCTTCTCTCATTCGAAGACCTCTTGTCCAGATAAGCTTATTTAAATTTCTATCAGCAGATAAAATACTTGTTTTTTTTCTGTTACAATAATAGATTAAAAATAGTATCTGAAACCAAATTAGTGTTTTTTTAGTTTTATTGACTTGAAATTGGGGATCCTTTTTTTATAAGAAAATCAAAGGCCTGGATTGCAATTAGCCCTTGCAACATGGGCCAAGTCAGGAACCCTACGTAATCGATAAGATTTCTTCCGACAATCTTTATTGCACCATTTAGGTTACCATTGGTCCCAGAGTTGACTACCTATTTCGGCAATCCAGAAAGGGCAAGTTGTACGTATACATATATTATCTCAATCTCGGAGGAAAAATGGTGACATGATATGGGCTCCTTTTAGATAACTTTATTGTAGTCATTCGGTAATCCATCTCCCAAATGATCTATCGATGACATGTTTTCAGAAGCTTTGACATCTTTTTAATAAAGTGTGTTATCTACCTCACAACCATCGCGAATAAAATTATTGTGTGTGCTCAAAGTGTAGCTTGATTTATTACATTAAATCGGTAGCGTCTACTGTTCATTTTTATGCGGTCTACATGAAAACTTTAAGAAAATCCATACTAACAAATGTTTTAGTAAATGATGCAAGTTGAGCAAAATAAAATTGATTCACCGACATATTTATCGTCGCGACGCGCGCATACACACGCGGTTCGGGCAAAATAACGCGGGCGAGGACAAAACATTCCCGAAAAGCGAATTATTTTATTTTTTGGGATAAAACTGCGCTTTTTTTTTTTATCATAAAATGCCATTGAAGCGACCGATTGCACATAAACCCACACGACCCAAGAAAACACGTATAGTGTATTCCGAGTCTGAATCCGATGAAGAAGATTTTCAACCGGCAAAACCAAAAACAAAGAAACGACAAATTGTTGTTGACGACCACGACGACGACGACGACGACGACGATTCTGATTTTAGCGACGAGAAGATAGTGACAACTGTTAAAAGGCCAGCTTTAAAAACAATTCCCAACAAGAGTTTTCAAATTGGTAAATTCATACCCTTAAATAGACCAAAATCAACCTACGATGCCAAGTCTGCCCTCAGTAAAAAGTTCAAGGTGCCAACCATGACTATCCCGACAACAGTAGTGAACACAGAAGGCATGAGCAAGAAGAAGACTGCTTCTTTGAAGGCTGCAGCCAATGCGATCAAGGAAGCAGCTGAAGCAGATAGTAACTTTGGAGAAAGAAAGACTCTGGGAATTCGAAGACGACCAGGTTCAATGCGAGCACTATATGACCATACAGCAGAAGATGCCATTGTACTTTGGGATCCCGATCGTGATCATGTCGAACCTGAAGAAATTAAAATTTCAACTGATAAACCCAAACCCAAAGGAAAGTCTTTAGCCGAAATTCTGGGTTTGAAAAAGGAAGAGAAGAAGTTGGTACATGTGGTGGTGGATCCGGTCTTGACAAGAGTGCTTCGACCTCATCAGGTTGAAGGTGTCAAGTTCTTGTATCAATGTACCACAGGTCAAGTACATCCTGAAGCAATGGGGTAAGTTATATGGGAAATATGCGATATTGGTTTGAGTTCTAATTTATCTTTTTGTATGTACCAGTTGCATCATGGCTGATGAAATGGGTTTAGGAAAAACGGTAAGTAAAAATCTACTTTTAATACCAAATGGATAGCAATTTTAACAGAATATATGGAAATTAGCTTCAATGTCTTACTCTTTTATGGACCTTATTACAACAATCAAACCACCTTGGTAAACCAACTATCAATAAAGCAATCATTACGTGCCCCTCCAGTCTTGTAAATAATTGGGCCAATGAAATTGGTAAGAGAGCAATTGGGAGAGGAAGAAAGAAAGAAAGAGAAAGAATTAATGACGACCAATGATTTAGTGAAATGGCTGGGGGATAACCGAGTAAGACCACTTGTGATTAGCGATGCTAAAGCCAAGGATAAAGTCAGTGCAGTGAAAAGATGGGGAGCTGCTCAAGGTCGCATGATTAACCCAATTCTTATCATTTCATACGAGAGCTTGAGAGTATATACCCCTTACCTAAAGAATTCGCCCATTGGTCTCTTATTATGTGATGAAGGACATCGATTAAAAAACTCTGGCTCATTATTATTTGAAAAGCTAAATAGTCTAACCGTAACGCGTCGAGTTATTCTTTCCGGTACACCCATCCAGGTAAAAGTCCCAAAAAAAAAAAGAGAGAAGTGAAAAACCTGTATACTCATTTTCTTAGAACGATTTAATTGAATACTATTCTTTACTTGACTTTGCAAATCCTGGTTTACTAGGCACCATCCATGAATTTAGAAAGCATTATGAAAGGCCAATTGCACGGGGTCGTGATGCCGATGCCACGGACAACGAAAGAAAAATCAGTGATGAAAAAGTAGCGGAATTCTGGAAAATTGTATCCAAATTTACCATTCGAAGAACTAATGATATCCTTACTAAATACTGTAAGTCACTTATGAGATATATACTTATAGAGATTAATAATAGTTTTTCGTTAGTACCTGTGAAGTTTGAGCATGTTGTGTTTTGTAAATTAGCACCCTTGCAACGCTCTTTATACGATGTCTTTCTGACTTCACCGGAAATCCAAAAGATTTTACGAGGTCAGGGCAGTCAACCCTTGAAAGCGATCACGATCCTCAAAAAACTGTGTAATCATCCCAACTTGTTGAATTTACCTGCGGATTTGGAAGGCTGTGAAAAGGTCTTGCCTGAGGGTTACTCGACAAATCAAAAAGTGGATGCCTCTTTTTCGGGAAAGTTTATGGTGCTTGCACGGTAAATAAATAAAAAGTAGAGAACTTCTATGATATGAACTCACTCAACTTTCATTCCTACAGAATGTTATCCAAAATTAAAAAGGAGACCAAGGATAAGATTGTTCTGATTAGTAACTATACACAAACATTGGATGTATTTGAGAAATTCTGTAAACAAAACCAGTAAGTTCAGGCAGATTTTTTTTTTTTTTTGAAGAGTATTCATATTGGTGAATAGGTACGGTGTACTTCGATTGGATGGTACCATGAACACAAACAAGAGACAAAAACTAGTAGATGAATTTAATGATCCTGAACGCGAGGAATTTGTGTTTTTATTAAGTAGTAAAGCAGGTGGTTGTGGTCTCAATTTAATTGGTGCCAACCGACTTGTCTTGTTCGATCCTGGTATGTGTTTTCTATTTAAACTTACAAAGTTTTGCTCATTTTTCGATGAAATTAGACTGGAATCCTGCAGCAGATCAACAAGCTCTAGCACGTGTATGGCGGGATGGTCAAAAGAAGGATTGTTTTATTTATCGGTTTATTTCATCGGGCACGATCGAAGAAAAGATCTTCCAAAGACAATCTCACAAACAATCACTTTCAAATTGCGTGGTGGATGAGGCAGAAGCTGAAAGACATTTCTCAGTGGCAGATATGCGACAACTATTCTTGCTCCATACTAAATCTGAATGTGAAACTCATGATACTTTCAAATGTAAAGCTCTATAATCATGAATTTTCTTTAAACATCTAACATACTAACATTTACTCTTTAGGTAAACGTTGCATCAAAGGTAAACAGCATTCACCAGCAGACGTAATGAACTATGGTGACACAAGCACGTAAGTCCTTTTTTTATATTTATGTTAAATGCAAACTTTAACCTTATCGACTTCCTTAGATGGAATCATTACGATCACGATCTCATTCGACTTTCTGACCCGATTCTCGCAACAGAGGCACAAAAGGATATCGTATCTTATGTATTCCAATACACTTCACACATGAAGTAATAATGATTTATGGGTTATCGAAAATAAATGCTACATTTCTTTTATTATGCTTATTCTGCGGGAGGCCATGTTGTGGAAGGATCATTTTTGTAGGTTTCAAAATGATCTCTAAAATAAGTTAAACTGGTGACATTTTCCTTGTCTGGGTTATAATCATCAGCTACAGCATAAGATGGTAATCTTTCGCTGATTTCTTTTGCAAGAAGAGGCTCGAGATCATCTGCAGTAGATCCTTGAGGGAGTTTGTACCCTGTGCAATGGAAAAGGACATAGCCTTCTTTATTGCCCATCTTCATGAAAGGTGGGAATTTAGAAATACGGGTCCAGTTAACCTCAACATGATCAATGGTTTTAGAATCATCGAATTCAGCAGTATTACACTTGAACGTAAAGAACTCACCGGCTAGTTTCGAATACGTTGGGAAACAAATTAAAAATATACATATACAAGTGTGGCATACCTTCATACATTGCATTTGCATCATACGCATCGAACTTGTGGTCTTCTGTAGCAAGAGGGTTTGGGTAAAACAGGGGAAGCTATTTATAGTCCCAATTTTTCAGCATGAATTAAACATTGTTAATGTATTTTACTATTTACCTCTACAACGACATTTGTGGTGTTGCTATACTTGTTATGACGAGCGGTTAAGGGAACAAAAGAAGGAAGAGCCATCTGTACAGGGTCGTTGGCAATATGCACCACGGGCAAACCCTTTTCACCTGTCCAGGGGTTATCCCAAGTGGATAATTTTTGGCCTGTGGTTGGGTCAAGGTAGTAAGTCAACTCTTTACCAGATACCTTTAATTTATTTTCCTCGATTTTGGCTTTGGATACGTTCATGCCAACACATTGGAAAAGCTTTTTGGGGGCTTCTCCCGGAATAAACACGCTTATTCATAAAAACAAATTTAATACACTGCGTGTCTTTTACATCGTTATTTTAAAACTTACAAAATGGAACCCTCCCATTGAAAGAGGGTATTGGCTTCAGGGTCTGTCGCGTATCTTAATTTCAACAAAGAATTGACATCGTATCCTAAAGTTGGATTAATACGTAATCAATAGAAATGTACCAGTTTGTTTACTTTTGGGGGTTGTCATGATAGGATTAGAAAAATGTTATAACAGAAAGAAAGAACGTAGAGAAACTGAGTTGTTAAATTATTTATTACAAAAAAAAAAAAAAAAAAAAAAAAAAAAAGCAACCGGTTAAAGTTATTTCAGGTCTTTTGCTTTCAATTCTTCCTCCTTTAACTTCAAGTCGCCTGTAGAATCTAGTAAATGCATTAATACAATGTTACATTTTTAAAAGTTACACCAGAAATGTTACCTTCTTGTTTGTCAAAAAGGTCGTCCAAATCATCCTCGTCGTCATGCACGGTGTAACCCGAGACCTTGGCTTCTTTTGCCGTGGATGAATCGTCACTTAAAGCTGAAAAGGTCACTACATACATAATGTCAGTACTTTGTTTTCTCTTTCAAGTTTCAGTCTTTTTACCTCCTCCGTTATCTGAATCTGACTGTTCCTCTGTGTGCTTAGGAGGCGGTGTGATGGTAGATGCTTTGGCAGGAGGGGGTGAGCGAGCAGCTACGAAAAAAAAACTTAGTTAGGATATCTCCCAATATCAATTGAATCAATCTACCTACCATTAATCGCTTCTTCATCTTGTCTAGCCAATTGTCTAGCAAATTCCTCATCTGACAATAACTGGTCGTTAGGTGTGGACGTATTTGAATCCTTCTTGGGAGATAACAATGGATTACGGCCCACTTGATCTATTAAAAAAATGTTAGCAAGTATAAGAGCGCTTAAAATAATTGCCGCATATACCTTTGCCATCCCATTCATATAAATCCACGGAAACGCTTTGGGGAGTTGCGACAGGTCGTTGATTCTGTGAGAGACTTAAATTACCCATGCGGGATTCCAAAACGCCGCTCTGGGTAGAAGTTGAAGGTTGGTCAGCAGCCATAAACTGATTGTACAGGTTCATAATCTTATTCTTGGCAGCTAAAGGGGGATGATAAGGGGTTTAATAAACATTTCCTTCTGACACTTTCCAAAAATCCTTATTACCTGTGCCTGCTTCAATGACCTTTTCCTTAATAATGGGTAATTCCTCTATGAACGGAAGAGAATTATTGTTATTTTTTTCAGCTTGCATGCTGCCTTTATTTCTTTACCTTGGAAATTGAAAAGAGGTTGTTGAGGCTCTTGATTATTTTGAGGATAATGAGCATCCCCCTCACGAGCTAAACGTCTTGCATACTCCTCATCTTGTCTTAACTGAGATAGCCCTTCTGCTTCTTCTGGTGTAGGTTTATAAGTAGGATCGGACATGCCAAGCAAAATCTCAAAAGCACCGTCTAAATTTCCTCCTTGACTGTCAAGAATGGTTTCAATCACATCCAAGTCCAAGTCTGGAAATGCATCCTTCAACGTCTTAATATCGCCCGATAACTCCTTTGGTGGTGGTACTGGTGCTGGTGTTGTTGTTGCTGTTTGAGACACACGTTCGGCTTCTTCATGAGGTTGTTGTCCTCCTCTCATAATTTCCTCAGCTCTAGGAGAAGTTGCTTTGATTCCTACAAGAGGTTTGATTTGATGTTCAGACATATTTTTAATAAATTATAATAGATAAAGAGAGCCAAGCATTGTTTAAAAACATTCACACATATAGTGTGTGCGGGAATTAAACTCGAAAAATAGGCTTGTGGACACACAATGCAATGCACGTCATGAATATAATGCGCGTCATTGTATACCATCTGGTGTCACCTTTTAATTTTCCATACACCTTTCTCTTAATAGTAACCTCTCAAATAGACACAGATGTCACTTGGTTTTTGTGCCGTGCCTATGCTCCATACCAATTTGCAACATTTTGAACTGGTTTACCGCTAGTTTAACTGGTCCATTCGATTGCTGCCCATTCTGTAAAAACAAGCAATTTATTGATCTGCACCCCTGGATCATTGCCAACGTTAAGTGATTCTTGTAAATATTTTAGTTACCGAATAAAGCTTTGGTTTTTTCTAGAGGATATTCGGAAATCTCATAAAAGGATCTCTGGATCACATCCCAAACTTAAGACAGTGTAGAACAGAATTATACGTTTTGCTTATTTTTTTTATTATTATAATTATAATGCTATATTTTTGGTATCAAAGACGGATCGATAGAAACGGGATAAATTCACACTCTTCTTATGAGAGGTTGGCACAAGTTTACTTTCGCTTTGAGCAGACCTTTGTGGTAGCAAGGCATTCGGATCCTGCAACACATGGGATGCCATGTGCAACAGCACATTTTTCACCAGGATAAGCTGCTCGATAACATTCAGTTGTTTTGGGGGTGGCCAAACGCGAATGGCAAAATAATCCAGCACAGCATCTTTTATTGACACCACATTTTTCAGCTCGCTCGCTGCAAAGAGGATTTTTGATACAGAAACCTGCTCTAGTACACACGTCACCCGCTTTACAATTGGTTTTGCCATTCTTTTGCTTATATTTGTTACAATTGTTGACGTCTTCGTTAAACCCACTGACGGTTTCTTTAGAACAGCCACAGATACGAGCCACAGTTCTACAAATGGTGGCGCCTTTACCTTTGGCATCGCATTGAGATTTGTATGGGGCGCATTCGGTGTTCTTGCTACAAGTAATTTCTTGACATGTATTGCCGACAGACATATATCGGGGGTGATCGCATCCAATTGCTAAGCTAGATCCAATAAAAAGGGAGCAGATAAGAGCCATGGATAAGAAAGACTTCATTTTAACTTGTTAAAGAGACAAAAATAGGATAGGTATACTTTATTTTTTGTTGAAGAAAAAGCAAAGGTACTTATAGAGAATTGAAATTCGAAAATCCTAATGCATGTTGAAGTAGTTATCCATCGAAATAGTAGGGGGTTTAGACATAAATAACCAACGGGATAGAATTGAAGTTTGTTACATGTACAATGTTTTTTCTTTACAGGACTCCAACTCAACTTACGTTTGTAGCCATAACAGTCAGTTTGATATTGCTTTTATTAGGATTACATAATAAACAATTGTGTATCACAATTCCTCGATATATAACTGTTGATACAATACTGTTATTACATAAATATAGATATGCGTGCATACAAACTGAAGAGTAAACATTATTCCCTTGATTTTCAATACTTATTTACATCAGATACAGGGACATGAATCCCATGAGTTTCAAACATAAGTAGGAGCGTCTTGTTGGAATGCATAGTATGCTGATCATTTTCACACAGTTATTTATAACTGCTTTGTTTTTCTGTTTCTAGAACAACCATCTGCTCACCCCCGCCCCTTTTATTGATCAACACATTAAAGTCCAGTTTCTATAAAATTTTCAAAGAATTTATAATTGTATGCGTTAGCTACATTCACTTGTGTCGCTTTTTTTCAGGTAACACGAAAATGAGATGTAATATTAATCCATACAAAAATCTGATCTTTGTATTGCACAAATTTTGCCTTTACATACGCCAAGATAATCAATACTGGACCTTGCATGAGTAAACAAAAAAGTTTAAAGGGGGTCGGTGATATCCCAAAACATAGAAAAAACAATCAAATACACTGGTTATTTGAACCGAAAGTTTAGTGAGTGCCCAACTTCTGATAATTTAAATTTATGCGGCTAAAAACTAACTAAATGCCTTGTACAATTGTACACTCTTAAAAAATAACCCCCAATATGACATGGCATTCCGTTTGACAATTTCCAAGTTGAATATTTCAGATAGATATACCTAATAACATTATTATTTGTAGTAAGGAAAAAAAGAAGTACGTTGCCGAAGTTGATTTTCATAGACCTGCATATCTGGGAATATGTTCCACATTCAGCAGTCTTTGATTTTCCACATTATTCCACATGTATTCGTTAATTCAAAGAAAATCTATGGATTTAATAAGGTTCCTTTTCTTATATGACATTATCTTATAGTAAAAATCAACGGTAGGTGAGTGAGATGTATTTTGGAAATTTAAAGGTATACATAACTCCAAAAGAAAGCAAGATAACTGCTCAACATCTGATATATATTTTTTCTTTGTCTTAAGTAAATATCACTCAATAACTATAATACTCGCTTTATATTATTGTATTATCGATGAGGATGATGTACTATTAAGTGCGATCTTTATACCAGACTTCTGAAATACCAACAACATATTTACCATTGCACCTGGTAATTAGCTTTTAAGTATTATTGTTAGCTCAATTATGCAATAAAATATACATATGTACACTTTTGTAAAATTTACCTTTGTGGATGTTTCCAAGTCCTTAAATTTTTCCATGATAATTTTCATGTCTCAAATCATGTTAATCCATATGTTTAGGTAACAGTATATCTGTGTGAACAATCATCATAATCATAATTTTTACGCACATTTACGCCCAACATAGTAATACCGCATTTTTCCTGTCTTCATCATGCCGCACACATTTGTTCCGGATTTTTCTGCCGTTTCAAAGATGTCGTGCGTAAAAAGACAATATTTTTGATGACTTTTTTATGTCTAAAATAATTACATCACATATCTTAGGTAATTACGATGTTGGACATGTATAGTTATGCCGATTATTCGTGTCTTAATAATGTCTAGCATTAATACAGCATATAAGTTATGCTTACATAATTACTATTTTATCCACTTTTAAATTGACCTATAGTTTTATCAATACGTTTGCACTTGAAAAATAAAATTACAGTTCTGCCGCTCTCCTGATCACGTCATTGACTAATATTTTACTTGTATATTTGACTACGGAGGTAATATACCCGTGAGTCCAAAATTTCCTATTTTTGCAAATTTACGACAATTAATACTGCTTCATTTGATCCTGTCACTCATCTAATCAATGCCCAGCCAGCTACTAAACCTTATCTACCAAAGTATTGTTGTACAGGCTAGCGCAGTAACGGTCACTACCGTTTTTGAATTGCCAATTCATTAAAAATTGGACATTCATCAAACTGTTGTTGTTATTAAGACAGCAGAAATTTTGATTAAATGTTCCCACAAAGCAATTTTCTGTATTAATATTTTTCAGAGTAAAACTGTAAACATACAATGATGTCTTTTTAATTATTTCTGCATGGGGGTTGTTTATCCATAAATTATTCTGAGAATACGATAGTGACACACGTATGATCAATTACTGGCATTACCAAAATCACTTAAAATTACGTGTTACCATTACCATATACACTTTTGGTTACGTATCCCCGTCGCCAAAAACAAATTCTCGCTTCGGATAAAGCCCCCACCGATTGCATGCTCTATTGCTGCCCACGAAATAGCTGATTAATACAAGCTTGACGTCCCATTATCATGACAGTGAGTTATCAAAATAATGAAATTACAGAAAACAGTGACACACTTGATTACAAATTGAGTGACAGCTTCAAACAATTGACAGCACATATAAATATAATGTTTATGGACAACTTTTGAAAGTATTATCTTCAATATTAATTTAAATATGACTAACTTTCTCAACTTGAATCGTACAGGCGACAAAATTCCTTTAATTGGTTTTGGCACTGCTCGTAAGTATATGAAGTTCGCAAGTCTTAATAGCTTTTACTGATAATTATTACATAGGTATTACACAGGAGGCTACTCCTGATGTTGTTTACACTGCTATCAAATCCGGGTATCGTTTAATTGACGGTGCATTATTATACGGAAACGAAACTCAAGTAGGCCAAGGCATAAAAAGAGCTATTGATGAAGGCATTGTCAAAAGAGAAGAATTGTTTGGTAAGGCGTTATATAATAGCATTTATTAATGTATAAGTACTCTAACTCTATTATTTAGTAATCAGCAAGCTTTGGGCTTCCTTCCATAGTAAGGACGACGTAAGACGTTCATTTAATGTTACGTTGGGAAATCTCGGTTTGAATTATATCGATCTTTATCTTATTCACTTTCCTTTTGCTACGGAATCTGTTGACCTAAGTCTGCCAATTACCGGCTTCCTTAACAAGGACAACAAGTTTGTTCTCCAACGTACTCCTATTCATGAGACTTGGGGGGCTATGGAAAATTTGGTGGATGCAGGCCTTGTTCGTAATATTGGACTTTCTAATTTTAATGTACAAAGCATTCTTGATTTATTGACTTATGCAAGAATCAAGCCCGCCATCTTGGAGATTGAGCTTCATCCTTATCTTTGGCAAGAACGTCTCATTACTTGGGTAAAATCTCAGGGTATAGATATTATTGCGTATGCCTCCTTCGGCAACACGGTATTTGACGAGGTTCCCCCTGCTACTGCTCATTTGCCTATTCTCATGACCCAACCCACGGTAAAAGAAATTGCTCAGAAGCATAACCGAAACAATGGACAGATACTTTTATCATTTGCGGCTCAGCAAAACATTATTGTTATTCCAAAGAGTGCCCAAGAATCCCGCATGAAGACCAACTTGGATTTGTTCTCTTTTAAATTGGATGCAGACGATATTAAGCAGTTGAAAGCATTGAATGTACATGCTCGCTTTAGCGATCCTGTACCCAACACTTATGGTTTTGATTTACCTATCTTTGAATAAATATCATTGAATAAATATCATTTTTTTCTTGTGATCTCTTCTTAAATATACGTCACCATTTACAAAAATCTTTAATGTTTCGAAAGGGTAAATTAGAGCAGTTTTTTTATAATTAATTACGAGGAGGATGGCCATGTAATAAAGCTAGAAACTATAGTACTTTTTATTGTAACCATGAATAAAAGTAAAGGAAACGTGTACGCACTAATAATAATACAGCATTGATCATCATATAGTTCAAATAAAAAATTTGCCGAATTCTTCATTCACTAAAATAAAGTCTCTTTGTTTCATCCCCTACAGGATAAAAACCTAATTTGGCGGCGTAGGGGACTCTTAATATCCTAACACCCAATGTAGCATCCTCGATCTAAGCACCCACTAAAAGAAAATAACAAAGAACAGCTAGGTCCAACTACAACAGCGACTCTCGATGGGTTTATATAACCCAGATTAAGCAAAATTATACTCATGAAAGAATCACAAGAACATGAGTTGGAAAGTATAGCAGGCCCTACAAAAGTGTTACAGATGCGAACAATGACTTAAAATCCCAAAGTCTATCAGACACACGAGTTGCAGAGAGCCTTTTGGCTATTCACCGCAAAATTACGGTGAAGGTTAACAACGATTTTGGCCGTATCCGTGACGGATCTGGTCAATTTTTGACTATTCTGTATCCTGGACGGGAATTTTTGAAAAATGACCGTATCCGTGACGGATCTGGTCAATTTTCGATCATTCTGTATCCTGGACGGGGCAAGTTTATAAATTGACCGTATCCGTGACGGATCTGGTCAATTTTTTGTCATTCTGTATCCTGGACGGGGCAAGTTTATAGATTGACCGTCACCGTCACGGATATGGTCAATTTTTGATGATTCCGTCTCCGTCACGGCCACGGCCAATTTTTGACCATACCGTCACCGTCACGGATACGGTCAATTTTTTGACCATTCTGTGTGTTTGACGTTACATAAGTTTCCCACTCTTATTTAAAAGAGTTTTTTTTTAAAAACTACTCTTCTTTCCCCAAATCTTTTTCATATAAATATTCTGTAAATAATAAAATGTGGCATACTCTGTTACTATCTAAAGCTTTCCCGATGTAAACTATTGTGTGTGGTATTTCGGCATCTGATAGGATGAGTCATTGCTATTTTTTTAGTGTTCTGCTCGTGTTTATTGAAATGTGAGTAACTTGATCTCTTTGTTTGTGTTGATATATTCTGATAGTATTGTTATAGATAAAATGGCAATGAAGTTGGCTATAGGATAAGGTATATAAAATGATACATATGAAATATGTTAATCGCCTATTAATAATTTTGATTATAGGATTATCACTGTTCTATTTATTATGATACTCCACTACCAAACAATGGGCTACACCGTATTAGAATTTGGTCTTTATTTCTTTCTAATAGCTCTCATAATATATTCTTTTAATAAAATACATCGTAATATCTTTTATTATCAATACAAATTGTCTTCACACAAATAAATAAATTACTTTTTTTTATAAACATAACTATTAAATATAACTGTCCAACAGTACAACGGTGTATGTATTAACTTTCGCAATAGCAATGAGTGTTTAAAGATTCCGGAAAATATAGGATATAATCCTGAACAATTATATAAAATCCGTCAAATGCACGGTCAATAACGGAAATAAATTGACCCTTTCAGTCACGAATACGGTGAAAATAATAAAATAATGGCAGTATCCGTCACGGATATGGTGAAAATAATAAAATAAAGGCAGTATCCGTCACGGATATGGTGAAAATAATGAAATAATGGCAGTATCCGTCACGGCCACGGTGAAAAATGGGAAAAATTGGCCGTATCCGTCACGGCCACGGTGAAAAATGAGAAAAATTGGCCGCGACCGTCACGGATATGGTGAATTTAAAATCCGCGTCCGTCACGGTTACGGTGAAAAATTGGAAAAATTGGCCGTATCCGTGACAGGTAACTATTTGCGAAAAATTGGCCGTCTCTGGGATTTTGCGGTGATTTTCCATGTCGAGCTGAACATCAGTGAGCATGGCTGGGGTTGTTCCCTGATTAATGACTTTCAAATGTGTTGCGAGAACACAAAAGTGAGAGCCAAATGTTTGCACAAGACAAGTTTTGACATCAAGTACCAAGCCTTCACGTGTATGCCTACAAGTTGACCTACCCAAGGTTAGCATGTTGTGAATTAAGCTCTAACCCACCAAACAAGCGCATCCCGAATTACTCTTGCTGTGACACTCTGCTGAGTTCCATATGATGATCAACATAACCCCAACAAACAAAACAGATATGTAACGTCATTAGGACAGGGTGAAAACAAAGACATCTAAATCCCAAACATTTGGCGCTATGTGCTCACCGCTGAGAATGAAAGTTCGAAGAACCTCAACGTATCCAGATATAAATGATTGCATTTTGTACGAGTAACAAATGGCCAAACATTCTTCTATGCAAAGAATGTCTTGATAAAAGGGTCTTCTTTTCATAGAAGGATAAAGAAACTTTTTTATATGATACAATCGATAGCAATGGCAAGCTTATATTGTTTAAAAGCTTAAATTTGGATAATGACTTTATCAGTGAGACAATGCATTTTAAGTAACACCAAAACATCATAATAGCAAATGGCATGTAGCCAGCATTTGTTTGTGAAATATCTTACAAGACACATTACAACGCTGGCGGTAAGAAACTATTACTTGAACCGTCAATTCTCTAGGACATGCATTGTTACGGTAAGGACTTCATGAAGTAATATATTGCCTTTGTATAAGCATCTACGGATCATATTTGAGGGAAGAACGCAGCAGTTTACCTAGCATGTTATTTGACAGTTTCTATGTAGTTATATAAGGTACATGGGAACTAGTAGAAACTACAGAGCTTTAATGGGTGGTTTATGGCACGGACCCAATCATAAAAAAAATGGTTCTCAGCTGCGCTCTGAATGCTTGAGCGGGGCAACACACGTGAGTTAAAAAAAAAGAGTTGGGATTTTTTTTTTTTTCTAATTAATACATCTTTTTTTTTTATAAGCAAACGTAAACATTATGGGTAAATAATGAAATAAATGTACAGGCAAGAGATGACTTATAAGAGAGTATTGTGTTAGGTGCACTTTTTAGTAGTCTTTTCAGTAAACTTTGGGGAGAAAAGGAAGTGCGTATATTAATTCTTGGTCTCGATGGAGCTGGTAAGACCACCATTCTTTACAGACTTCAGGTAAAATAAAATATAAGGTAGTTTTTTCTTTCTTTTATGCTGACATTGTATAGATTGGAGAGGTTGTGTCTACCATTCCTAGTAAGTAAACAAAAGGCTGCTAGATTACAATAACAAAAGCACTCATCATATTTTCACCAGCTATTGGGTTTAATGTGGAAACGGTCACTTACAAGAATATCAAGTTCCAAGTCTGGGATTTAGGAGGACAAACGAGTATAAGGTAAGGATGGGGGGCTAGAATGTATGACGCGTGTTATTCTTTGATATTGATGCGGTGGAAAATTAGACCTTATTGGAGATGTTATTATTCAAATACAGATGCGGTTATTTATGTGGTTGACAGTGTGGATAAGGACCGTATGCAGACATCGAGGGAAGAATTACACGCAATGTTAGAAGAAGAGGAATTAAAGGATGCAGCACTTTTGGTGTTTGCTAATAAGCAAGATATGGAGGGAGCTTTATCAGCTGCACAAGTGGCTGATGCCCTTGGTTTATCCACCTTAAAAAACAGACAGTATTCCATCTACCGAACAAGTGCATTGAAGGGTGAAGGGTTGACAGAAGGCTTAGATTGGTAAGGCAACAAAATAAAGTACATATTGCATCTTTGACTGATGGTGAGGTCATTCCTCTTATTAATAATAGGTTAGTAAACATTATTCAAGAGCACAAGAAATAACTTTTTTTTTCTTTATTGAATAAAAAAAAAAAGAGAAATATATATATACTATTTTAAATTACACGCCTGAAGAAAGAGTTGGGTTTCACATTGTTCCTAGTAAACCCCCCTCCCTCTGTTTCCTAGAAACGAAGAATCGCCCGGATAATTTTCTTTGTCTGGTGTCCCAATGTGTGCCCGATTTTCTGGATGTCCTTCACGCTTGATTGGACTGGGTTAAAAAGGCAACTTAACAAGGTAACCTTCTGTGGGGCCAGTTATGATTCGGCACTCGCCGCCTCCTAGAAACAGATTTTTTCTTCATCACCAGCGTATAAGCAGCCTCATCACAGGCAGTAGAATATGAACCTCTTATCATCACTTTAGGGGGGATTTGGTATTGACTTTTCTTCTTCATGTTTAAACGGAGGAAAAAAAAAAAAAAAAGAAAAAAAAAAAAAAAAAAAAAGGAAAAAAAAATAACTGGGGAATAAAAAAAGAAGAAGAAAAGATTGCTTTTAAAAGGGAAAAAGAACTTTTTTATTATTATTTGACACGCCGACTTAAAATTAACGGTTTTCAGAAGTCTCGACTTGCAAAATCAGTTCACGAGGCGCATCAAAACGAGGCATGACGACCTCGATAAAATGGATCTTTTTGGGCTCAGACTGAACAATCTTCATGGCAGCTTCGAATTCACCACGCGTACGTACCAGAGATTCAACACCAACAGGCGCAGGTGTCACATCTTGTGCGTTTCGCAAAAGATGACCACCAAAGTAATCCAGAGTTTTGCTGTATTGCCACATTTGGAAATTGTTGTAGGCCCGGTGAGGACCGTGGATCAACTTCTCAATCAGATAACCATCGTTATTTAAAATAAAAATTACCGGTGTTAATCCTTGATGAAGGAATACGGAAACTTCTTGACATGTCAACTGGAAAGAACCATCACCACAGAACAAATACAAACGTCGATCACGTGCTGCGATAGCTGCTCCCACGGCACATCCCACCGAGAAACCAATAGATCCCCAGAGCACTTGGGAAATGAAAAATGCATCCTTGGGTGCTCTTAAATTAAATGACGCAAATTCAGAAGTACCGGTCTCAGAAACAATAATACAGTTAGGGTCCATATATTCAGGCACCTTGTTCCATAAGTAATTGTGTGTAATCTCAGTTCCTGCTTCAATGGGTGCTGGCTCATGTCGAGGTCCCAGTTCAAATGCACGCGCTGCTCGAGGAAGTGACTTGGTCAAAAGTGGTAAAAACTCCACCATAGAAACCTTGTCATAATTAGCATAGAATACCTTGGTAGCAAACGAATGAAGTGAAATAGTCTTGCCTTGATCTAAACTGTAGGTAAAACCACCTGTGTTGAAATCAGACTTGATCGAACCCAACTCAATAATCAAATCAGCACGTTGCACTTCCTTGGCAATCCCTTCAATCGTAATGGAACCTGCATAGCAACCACGGTAATTGTTCAGATCTTCAGGGATAATACCTTTACCCATAGGTGCTACATATGTGGGGAAGCCAGATCGCTTGACAAAGGCAATAGCCTCTTCTTGAAGCGCATGACGTTGAACACAGGCATCCACCATAATAATAGGATGTTGTGCGTTTGTAATAGCCTCCATAACTACCTTGAGAGCAACTTCTTGTGTACGAGCTGGGTTCTTGGGAATCGATAAGTTTAATGCTTGCATATCCACCTGTACCTCATAATTAATCAAATCAATAGGGATACCAATATAGCCAGGGCGTTTACGTAAGATGGATTGCTCAAATACACGGTCGATCTCCTTGATTGCGTTATCGTGGTTTAAATGGGTAGAGGCACATGTAATCTTGGAGAACATTTCAACAAACACTTGGAAATTACCGTTACCCAGTGAATGATGAAGAATAGCCCCCTCTGCTTGAGACTTGGTATTGGGAGTACCTACAATATGGATGACTGGAAGCATCTCGGAATAAGAACCAGCAATACCTGCTGCAGCAGAAAGTTCACCCACACCAAATGTTGTGACGAGAGCACCAACGCCACGGATACGAGCATATCCGTCGGCGGCATAAGAAGCGTTTAATTCGTTGGCATTGTTACCCCAAGTGAGATCAGCGTCATCTTCAATCAAATCCAAAAAGGGCTTTATAAAAGTACAGATGTTATTCTAATGCTAATGCTTTCACCCTGAATAAAGCCTTACCATGTTGTAATCACCAGGAACACCAAATACGGTATCTATGCCAACTTCCTTGATACGGTTTAAAAGGTAATCTCCAATCGTGATAGCAACCATCTTGTGTGAGTGTTTTTGAGAAAAAAAATGATAGAAACTGTCATTACCACTTACTTTCTGTCTCTTTATATACAATGCGATAGAAAATAAAACCCTAGTTTCTATACCAAAAATCCCTCGGGATAGTTTCACTTAGGTTTCTTTTAGAAAAAAAAATGTCTTGTCAAAAAAAAGTCGTGGTTGATTTTTAAATTTTTGTTTGTCTCTTGAAATGTGAAAATAAAGGGACATCACATCGTTTACAGACAGTAAGTTGATCTAAAGAAATTGTAAAATGAAGAAATTTTAATACGTGTGGATGCATTTGTTATCCAACGAGATATGATGTTTGGGATATTTCACCAAAAAAAAAAAAAAAAAAAAAAAAAAAAAAAAACTATTTAATAGTTATAATAAAAAAAAAACTTCCATGATAGCGAATGAGGATGATTTGTTTGGTTACTAAGTGTCATGATGTGTGAATGACAAATAAGAGAGAGAGAAAGAGAAATAGAAAGAGAAAGAAAGAGAGAGAGAGAGATGAAATCAAAATTGATCTTTTGTCTGCCTTCAAGAATGCTAATAAAACAACCATATTTAACAGCTAAATAATTTCTTTTTTGTTTTTCTTTCTTACTCCCTTTTTTCCCTTTTAACCCAAGTGATGGACAGCTCATATTACCAAAGCCAAATATTTGACACGATTCCCGAGGAAAAATTCAACACACCGGATGGATTAGTGTACAATCATTTACAACAAACATTACAAGTCCAAACAGATTTAAAAAATCAACACCGTGTGCAAGAATTCCTAAACAGTGCCGTAACTGAAGATGAGTCACTATTGGGCTTTGACGAGCTTTATTCGTCTGTCACCACTTTGGAATCAGACATGACCTATTTACAGCTCATGCAATCCAATCCTCCTTTTTATACCGACACATCATCATTTTGCCATCCGCTGGATAATCTACCAGAATGTGATTATTATCTTGACGATCATGATATGTTGGCAGGTTTAAACTGCAATGCATTTGTGAGTAATTATGTCCCATCATAAAGATTTCTTTCTCTAACTCTAAAAAAACAACAGGACTCCCTCAATACCTTTATGCCTACATACCCTTCACCCATTCATGACACAGCAGCATCCATGGCCATGTCCAATGATATCTATCGGAATAATTCAACGCCTATGCTTTCAGCATCCTTTTCCTTCTCTTCCTTTTCATCCGCATCCTCCTCCTCGTGTGATCCCAAACCAACCATGCCCACCACAACTACCACCCCAACCACGAAAAAATCCGCCTCAATGAGTTTTCTACCCGAGCGTAGCAGTATAAAACGCAACAAGAAAAAGAAATTATCATTACCCTCATCGGATAGTTACTACAGCAAACAGCGGCAGTTATCAGACACAGACGACGAGGAAGACTTTACAATGACTACATCCGCTTCTACAGGCTTAATCTGTAAAAAAGGGAGGAATGTCGATAAAGCATGTAACCATTGTAAACGTTCTCATTTACGGTGTGATAACGTACGACCTTGTCGTCGTTGTGTAGCCACTGGTAAAATAGGCTGTCAAGATGTAAAGCATAAACCAAGAGGCAGACCTCGTCTTCAAAAGAGATTATAAATAAATAAATAAAAACTTTTTTTTATTATGATTACTTTTCTGCACTTAATAACTTGGAATTTTGATCGTCGTGAAGTATACCGTCAGATTTTTCTACCATCAACTCGGTTTGACTTAGATCAACCGCTGAGTGTGATGTACCCAATGAAGGTCGCTCACTATGAAGATGTTTGAAGGAAGACATGGCTTCCCGGAATCCAAAATCCAGTGAGCTGGACGGAGATGAATTATGTTGCTTGTCAAATGCAAATAGTCTTAGTGCTGTTACTGCCTGCACGCTTTGACAATCCACAGCAATATCTAGCGCCGTCTAAGTGAAACATATTAGTGTGATAGAACATACCAATGGATTCCCTTTTGTTCTCCTTTACCCGATTAGATGCGTCCTGAATGTCTGGTTTAGCATGTCGCTTTAATAAGGCCAAGACAAGTCGTACATTGTTATTTGAGGCGGCATAATGAAGTGCGGTCCAGCCATTTTCATCCTGCTGATTGATATCACTTAACCTCTGCAAGAGAAATTCAACAACTACTTGATGATTTTCCTGCACTACCTTATGAAGTGCAGTCTTTAACCCGTCGTCTGGGTTCTTGTAATCTACATGTGCTCCCTGTGCTAGTCTACGCAACGATGTCTCGAAATCTTGAGCCACAACAGCGTTCCAAAAAGCCTAGAGTTGTAAATATTTAAGGAACGAAGGCATATTTAATACACAGCTTGAGCTTACCTTGTCTAAATTCTCTTGATCCAACTCGCTGGGCTTAACAAATGATCTTTTTACATACTTTTCAATAATCCATAAATCCCGATCACCTCTATTTGCATGAAATAAGTAAATATGTATATAAAAAGGAGGTGTTGTGTATATAGTGCGGGTACCTGGTAGAATCAGGATTGATTCGGAAGGATTCCATATCAATGGGAACTGATTCTTCATAAATACTATTGCCAATGTTGTTTCCCAAGCATAACATCACTTGAACCGTATCAGATTCCCACTTATCCAATATAACCGATCTAACTTTACTGACATGCACACCCAGACTACGATGAATACCTGAACATTCAATGCAGACAATGATGCCTAAATTCGTACATGCCCATTCAGGGTCTCTCACACCACAATCCGCACATGTATCATTACCAGGTATCATTCGAAGTTTCTTTAAAGATTCTCTATTATCATCACCCACTTCATTCTTTGCGTTGGATGACGCTTCAATCGCTGCCTTCAAAAAAAAAAAAAACAAAAAATTTAGTATTTTACTAGGAGATTTTTTTTTTCGGATGGTTTATATTACCTTGCGAAGGTTTGGTGATTGTTGTGTATAGCGTGGTGTGTTGTCTGAATTTAAGGCTTGTTGACTGGCTGTACGGATACTAGAAACCCATTCATTCATGTCCTGTTCATTTTCTGCTTGTAACACCAAAATTCTATTTTATATAAAATTCCAAATAAATGTCAATGACAAGCATTCATATATGCAGTTTTTTTTTTCTTTTGCTAGAGAAGCGTATAGTTTACCTGTTGGGTGAGATCAACTCAAAACAAAAACGACGATCATATGCATCAGTCAATTTCACACTGCATACCCTTAAATTATACGTATTTGATCCATCTTCATCTTTGGATGAAGTCTACATGATGTACATAAGTTTCCGAATTAAATATATATCGTGTATATTTATTTTTATACCTTGGGATTACGCGTGGTACATATTAATTCGCCATCAAAGATACTATAGTATTTCCGAGACCAGCTTTGATACACACGTCCATGCTTACGTTCAAAGAGGTAGCCTGATTTATGAGGATTGGCTGTACTTTCTGATTTAACGGTTTGCATTGGATTGTATTCTTCGGCAGCGTTCTTTGCAATCTTTTAGTGTTTGCTATTTTTTTTTTTTATTATTATTATTATTATTTTCGTAGGTATTACCTCTTCCACAATTTTTTGGTATAAAAGTCCTTCTTGTTCTTCCTCTTCGTATCGTTGTCTTGACTATATACATACACAAAAAAAAATATAGGTGTTAAGATTATATATCGTCACACTAGTAAAGTTTTTTAAATACATCATGTAAAAGGCCTAATAAAAAATAATGGTGAGATTAGCATGAATAAGAAAAAATGTGTATTCAAGTTAACCTGTCAAGTCACGCATGTAAGGTTCAAGGTCTTTAAGAATTTCGTAACCTTGATGATGAAAAGCGGATTCTGTGTACATGTATGCAAGCACCTAGTATAGATTTAAAAAAGGAGGTCAGATAAATCATACTTTTTTGAATACAGAGTGAAGGTTAGGAACATACATTTTCCATGTAATCCACCTTTTTTTTTGCCTCAATGTCGTTTAATTTTGAAACATATTCCATATAAGATTTATAAAATAATTTTCGGGCATCAGCTAATTCTTTGGCAGACTATAAATAGCAAGTTAATGCATTAGGCATTACACACGATTTTTTTTTTTTTTTTTTTTTTTTTTTTTTTTTTTTTTTTTTTTTTTTTTTTTACTTCTTGTAGTGTTGGATCTCTAGGTTTTTTACTCATGTAACGTGATAATGCAGAATCCACTTCATCACTAGATTTTTCAAATTTCTTTCGTAATTCCTAACTCTATTTTTTCAGTAACTCAAACATTTAGTTGACCTTCAATAAAATATACTGACTTTGATCGGTGCTACGGTATTCTTAACGAATAAATCCAATGGTGTAATAAACGTATCGACAACGTGTGTATTCTATCAAGGTTTACATCAATTAATCTGCATTATCCTCATACACTGTGATCTTACAAGCATATTTCGACTCTTTTCAACTTCTGTAATTGATTTCCCAAACTTTTCTAAAGCTTGTGCTATAATTTTGTAAAAATGTGAGTTGCTGTTAAAAGAGAAAGGTGTACAAAAAGTTTACCAACAATAGGGTCATCTTGTGCGTGTGCAAACGACATGAATTCACGAGCAAGTTCACATTGTTGTTGACTGTACGCTAATGACCCAATTTAAAAAAAAAAGATGAGTTTTTATATTTAGATGTTGTATGCTCTTTTTGTTACTTGAGGATAGGTCCACTTGAGAACGAGTCAATTTTATCAGGGTTTTCAGTGAATGTTCAAAATTGTTTATGGATTCTTCATGTGACTGAATACGTTTTCGAAAGGTAGGTGAGTCATCTAAACAGCCCCTAATGTCTAAGGCTGGCATTGAATGAAAAGAAAGGATGAAAGAAGCAGAAAAGAAAGAGGAACAAACCCAAACCATAAAAACCAAAAAAAAGTTGGTACTACATTGAATTAAAGTCACAAAAAAAAAAGGGAAGATATTTTTTATTATATTAAGAAGAGGCAAACTCATCCGTGTTATAATATTCTGGGTATTTCTTTACAAGTTCAAGCAATTCATTCTGTTGTCTAATCAAATTAGGTGTTAATTCATCATAGACATCTGTAAATAAATGTTTAATTGCTGGCTTCTTGCGCTTCTCAGCAGCTGTAAAACTAGTCAGGATCTCCTTCTTAACCTTCTTTCGATAGGCATCTTCTTGTTCTTGACTCCACCAATTCTTGTTCTCCAAGTAACGTCGGAGTCGAGTCACAGGATTGTCAAATTGGGCTCGTTCTTCCACTTCCTTTCGGTCGCGGTATTTAGTCGAATCATCCGATGTACTATGATGTCCAATACGATACGTCATAGCTTCAATCAACACAGGCTTTTGTTCCTTGATGGCCATCTCTCTGGCTGCTTTTGTGGCATTGTAGATGGCCCAAATATCATTACCATCTACTCGGATTGTATCAATACCATAACCAATACCACGACTGGCAATACCATCTCCTTTATATTGCTCTGAAGAGGGTGTAGAAATTGCAAACCCATTGTTTCTACAAAAGAAGATCACTGGACTCTTTAACGTAGCAGCCATATTTAATCCTGCATGGAAATCTCCTTCCGATGCAGCTCCTTCACCAAAGAAACAAAGACTACAAGCATCTGCTCCCGAGAGTTTAAGTGCATATGCTGCTCCAGACGCCTGAGGAATTTGAGTACCCAATGGAGAGGAAATTGTTTGGAAGTTGAGCTTTTTGGACCCATAATGGACTGGCATTTGTCGTCCTTTACCATAATCCAATTCATTAGAGAAACATTGGTTCACAAATTCATCTATACTAAAACCACGATACACCAGCATAAAAGCTTCTCTGTACTAAGAGAGACAGTTTAAGTTAGCAAAGGTAATTCCTGATTTCTTTTTAATTCTTTCGGAGCACTTACTTGACCAAAGATAACATCTTGGGGCGTTAATGCAGCAGCACTACCAATCATGGCTTCTTCTCCATAATGAGTCATGTAGAAACTGATGCGTCCCTGACGTTGTGCATCGTACAAGATACCATCCATTGTATGTAATAAAATCATACTTTCATAGCATTTTAAAACTTGTTCTTTAGAGAGATTTGGATCATGCTCTGGGTTTAAAACTGTGCCAGTATGATCCATGACACGATAAGCTTGTACGGTTTCTTGCTTTTGGATAAACTTCATCTCATTTACGAATTTATCAGTGCATGTCCATCCTGTTACGGGTTTACTGTCATTTTCGGCCACAGAAGACATGGCAATACTAGACAACTGAAATGAAAAAAAAAAAGATCAATAAATAAGTCTACGTGACATAGAGTAGAGACAAACCTTGGGAAATGAAGTAAAAGCTCGCTTTTGCTGGACAAGACATCGTACTGCTGTTCTTCTTAGTTGGAACATTTTAATTTTTTTTTTCTAAAAGAAAAAAAAGGGAGATAAAAGACAAAAAAAGACTTTTTTCTGTTTTTATTTATGCTTTGCCCTTTGAAGCGTGTGAAAATCGGAACTTGTTTCCATATCTGGACGTTTTTCGTGGGAAAAATAAGTTGTGGATGGCTTATTTTATGACTTGCTTAATTGTTACAATGAAATCATAGATTATTTTTCTATTGTATTTTTACTGGTTATTAAAGGCTTTAGGGGATTCATTTACACTGTACTAAAAACTAAATTATACTGTTTGGAAATCATTTTAATGTGTTTTTTCGCCATTCTTTTATTTTACACTGTAAGTGTAAACGCTTTCACTAATCGGAACTTAAAATAAGCCAATCGCTTCTGTCAATATTACATATTTTAAAGTCACTGTGAATGCTGTAGTGTAACACTTGGTGAAAATCTGAGTCCCCTAAACTCTATCATTTACACTTATTTATTTTAACAATACCCCCGTCCTTTTTTTTCTCTCTTTCTTTCTGGTGAACAAAGGAATGTAGAAAGAAAAATTCGAAAAAGGTTTTTTTATAATTTTAAAAATAGCAATATATCAAGTCAAGTGTTGATTTTTTACAAGTTACAATTTATCACTTTTTTTTTTTATGTAGCTCCTGTGATAATTTGAATTTGTTTATGAAGCTTATTACGAGTAAAAGTAGATTGAGAATTGAGAGATTGTAGCTCCATATCAATTACAAATTAGTAAATATTTACATACGTGTGTTGAGAGAAGTTAGATTTTTGATGTGTATGTTATTTACACGGCTCTAAAAGAGGTATTTGTGGATCTATTACTATTAGGATTGATTTCAGGTTTTAAGACCTATATTCAGGCTTTTTTTGTAGAAGAAGAAGAAAACTATCTGTCTTAAGCTTCCAGGTTCTTACCAATGGTATCATATAATTGTAGAATAAAGTAAACATGAGACCGTGGATCTGACTGAAAATCAAAAACTCTTACAAGGATTAAGTGGCATATGTAAAGTTTTTATTGGGTATTTAAGTTTAATTAGGGACCAAAGGCTCATCCAAAAGACTTAAAAATTAGATGACATTTGATCTAACGCGAGAATAAATGTAGCCATTAGCTTCAAAAACCGGTTCAGAAACTCCATGTTCTTTTAAATGTCATATTTTTATGGATACATAAAGAGGTATTCTATATTAATTTTAAAAAAAAGAACCCCGATATCTTAAGCCAAAGTAAGTACTCTTGAAATATAGTAAAGAACACTGTATGGCATCGATAATTCAACTTGGCACGATATAAGCCTTTGATGTTATTTACTTTTAAAAGCAAAGTTTTGATTAATATAATGGATATTTGAAATTTATATTTTTTATTGCATTGTATATGATTTAAAACCCAATCGGGCCCAATAACAGAATTTAAAAAAAATTCCTTTTTCCTGCAAGTCTCCTTTTTGAACTTACCTTTCTTATTATTTGAAAAAAATGTCAATGGACATCCAACCTTATTGTCCTATTCCTGTTACTGTAACAGTTCCTATCGAGACCTACAAAACTGTGATTCAAGAATCTGTTTCCAAACATGGTGTAAATTGGAATTTCAACAAACGACAAGATGCTCCTACTAGAAACTTAAATGGTAGACAAAGACAGCCAACCTATGTCTTCAGAGAGTACTATGCATGCCATCATTCAAGCTCCAAAAAAGAACATGCTGGTGTTGTCCGAGGCGGTGCTTCGGGCCAGGTACGCGGTTGGCAGAAGAGAAGCAAGAAGATCAAATGCCCAGCCACTCTGAAGGTCGTCTGTTTGCCAGGTAGTCCATCAATGGTTACTGCAAACTTGCAGTGTATGTCTTGACGCTACCCACAGCACTGCCAGTTTTTCCCAACGGAATCCTCTATACGATTGTCATGCGCCATCCTTTGACAGTCACTGGTTGTCCTATAGTTTTTTTTTTTTCTTCTTAATCGATCAATCAATGGGTCCATTGGTCAGCTTCTTGGGGCTGTTGAGAAATAATGTTGGGATCTTGAACATCTAGAAGATCACCATCGATGCCAGTACTACCGAGTTGGGTGCAATCCAAGAAGTATACCCTTTGGCAAGTGTGCAATGGTGTTTGTTTCATGTAGCAAGAGCTTGGACAGGGAAAATCCGGCAATTGGTCAAGCCTGGAGATATCCAACACAACAACACCGTCCAAAACAAAATCATCGTGGATCTAAAGGCAATGATGTGGAAACGTGACAGATCTGTCTTCACAAGAAAACTGACGGCATTCATCACCGAATACTCTGTGTATCGCGATTTTTTTTTGCAGTACTTTAAAGTCGGTACCTGGAAAACGATGCGTTTACACGATGGTCCGCCGCATACCAACCAGCCATGTACACCGACATGGAGACGAACAACTACGTGAAGAGTTGGCATAATCAGTTCAAGACAGCATATCTTGGTAGAAAAAGAAACCGCAGAGTTGATCGACTGGTGTTTTTTTTTTGGTAAAGGATGTTCTGCCTGAGCACAACAATAACATCAATCGCATCTTTTTAAAAGTTGGAAGAATGTGTCCAAAAAAAAGAAGACATCGCAAAAGAGAAATGCAAGCAGAGGCCATCAGTGCTGATGCTTTGGAACAAATGATCGAAACTGCGAGAACTGATTCTGATGGTAGAAGTGTCTATGTTGTCTCTTCTTTCTCGACTTCAGGTGTAAATTATAACGTTGTGGTGGACGATTTCTAAATAATCTCTTGCAGCTGCCCTGACTTCTGTTTTAATAATATCGCATGCACACATGTATTTGTAGAAGTGTGATATGTCTTGGTTGTCTGTATTTGAAGGTAAACATAAATACTATTGAATTCTTTACGGCTTCATTTCTTTACCAACCTTAAATTGAATAGTTTCTTTGGATCCCACTTTCTCAACCATTCCCCAGAACTCGCCTGATACCTCAGCTCTTCTTACTCCAACTGAACAAGCTCCTCTTACCGCTCCAAGCAATTCTTCAACAGATATTGACACTCTGCTTTCTAACATTCATATACTTTGAACGAAACTGAGCTCGAAGAATTGACCAGATTCAACCACTGTTTTCTCTCTCGTATAGATTCCACAAACATTCCTTCCAATTCTAATTTTACTATTAATAATAAACGCGCCCCTTCCCTCTGCCTAAAAATCAAAAGCAAAGCAGCCCTCTACTTTTAAAACCCGCTCAAAAATTCGGGCGCTGTAACACACACTACGGCTACGTCACTAAAAAACTTTTGTAGAAAGAATTTTTTTTATAGTCAACATTGTTGAAGACGTAGTCTCTTTCATACATAATTAATTCATTCTGGTTCAACTTAAAAAATCTAGACATGCTATATTAATTGTTTTTCTTCGCATTTCAAGAAACTTTACGAGCTTAGGAAAGTATTAGTTTTAAATCATCAACATTTTTGGCTTTTATCATCCCTTTTTTTCTTCATGAACAAACACAGCGACGCATAGCTATCATAGCTCATGTTCCCGCCAAGACTATGCTGTAGGACTTTGTAAGGCATAGGAGTGGCTTTCGCTGTGAACGGTCTCCGTAGGCTTGCCAGATATCCTTAGCTGAGACGCAACTATTAGCACAGAGTTGACTTGTCTGTTTGAAACAGACAAGGCGTCTATCGAGGCCGTTATGAAGAAAAATCGTAGAAATCGAATGATATTAAGGACACAGCGACGCATAGCTATCATAGCTCATGTTCCCGCCAAGACTATGCTGTAGGACTTTGTAAGGCATAGGAGTGGCTTTCGCTGTGAACGGTCTCCGTAGGCTTGCCAGATATCCTTAGCTGAGACGCAACTAAATGGAAAAAAGAGTTGACTTGCCTGTTTGAAACAGACAAGGCGTCTATCGAGAACGTTTTGCCTTAATGTCATTCTTTTTCGATGCTTACAGAATGTGTTCTAACTCTTATTATTAGTACTATTATACATGTATATAGTCATTCTACCGTATCACGCTTCTTACCAATTAAAAGAAGAAATACAACATAAACCATACATAAAGGTAATATAAGTTACAACTAAAATAGCTTAGATAAACTAATGCGCTTTTTTAACGTAGCAATTTAAGGAAACCTCTGTTAGACTCTCCAAAAACATGGTGTAGGACTTTGTAAGGAATAAAAGTAGCTTTATCCGTCAAGCCTACATATTTATTTTTACTACTGGTATAATGCATAACCAAGTGATTATTTTTGTCGAAACGCGAATCTTTTTAAATTAATTCGCCATTCATTCTTACTGGTGTGACGACTTGTGAAATCTTCAATCAATTTTAATTACATGAATTATATTTTTTTAATAAAGCACAGTTTTATCTCAATCACAATAATAACAACATCAGCATCCCTCAGACCTCTTTTAGTAATATCCGCAGTTTCTAACTATTTAATTAATCAGACAAGAATCACCCAGAACTCACCAATTCGTGACTTCATTATATCACTGGTCAATATATTTATAGAAATTAAAAATAAAATAAAAAAACTAATGGTGTGGGGGGGAATACATCGGTCCAAGAGAACTCATACCATTGCTGTCTTCGTTTTTGGTTAACTTCAAAATGATGGGATTGACAATGTTATCCAATCTTGTGACCTTATCCAAATTGTACCTGTTTTGCTTCAGAACATAGTGATGTTCTTCCTTTAAGGAAGTTATACTTGTCACCGACTGTTCTATGAAGCACTAATAGAATAAAATATCAATATATTTTTTTGTTGATATACGTTAGGCAATAGTTTTTGTTACCTTAATGGTCCAAAAGAATTGAACTAGCTGGGGTAGGTATTCATCTACATCATCATATTCGGGCTTAAGATTTAAGGTTGCCTCCCTCCAAAGGTCGAAAATCCCTTCCTCTTTATAGCTGATGCTCCATAGATGTAGCTGTTCATCTATTTACAAATTTTAAAAAACTTACTTAAATTCTATTAAATCAAGATGCTGTATTACCTGCACCATTTAAGAAAAAAACCTTTACTTTGGAAAACTTCTCAACAGACGCCAAGTAGAATTCATCGGCTATGCACTTTAACATGGCCAGCATACCAAACATACCCTTATGGTGGTCAAATTTGAGCTTCACCCGGTCAGTGTTGCCAAAGTGACCGGATGTTTCCACAATCAGTATATCGATCTTTTTAAGACCATATAGTTTAATCAGACCATCCGTCTTATAACAGCTTTTTTCATCGACAAAGATTCCGTTGGCTTTGAGTTGCTTGGTCATACTTTCCAAGCGTGGTTGGGCAGAGTGAAATCCAGCCTTACAGTTATGGATGGTAATATTTTTTGCAACTACTGCTAAGTACGGCCAAATGAATAATTGGTTGAAAGTATCCTCACTTTCGTCCTTGTCAATAGGTGAAGTGTATGTTTCATGACTATAAAACACTGTAAGATGGTGTTTGATAATTAAACCGCAAATATGTAACTTACAGCTCAATAAATATTCCTTCTAAAAACTCTAACAGCTTCATCTCTTCTTCTTTCTCTTGAACTAATGCTCCTATGAACACAGAGAATTCTCTAATTTTCTTCTTGAATTGGCTCAAGGCATTCTACATCAAGAAATAAGAGTTTATTACAAATATAATCTTAATTGATAATTATAATTACTTACACAATCAACAACGGAATCGATGTGTTGTTGATATACAGTTGGTATTGTAAACAGCTGAACACTGTGACCTTCCAAGTGTCTATCGTAGAGGCTTCGATCCAAATAAGGTTTCGAAGAAATACCATTTCCAGCTCTAATAATATTATTAGCCTCTGGGCTAAAAGAAAGACATGAATATTTCTTGGTTTAAAAAAGTTTGCACTATATCCTAATTACCTGTATGGATGGAAAGCAGACTTGTGGTGCTCCAAGAAATTGAGCCAGTCATTCCAAATACTTGGTTCCTGATTCAAATAAAAAAAAAAAAAAAAAAAAAAAAAAAAAAAAAAAAAACTAGATGGTTAGTCCAGGTAAAAGGCTATTGTTACAGCAACCTACTTTATTTTCATTATCGTCTTCATCCTTCTTTTCTTCTGCTTCATCCTTCTTTTCTTCTGCTTCATCCTTCTTTTCTTCGGCTTCATCCTTTTTTTCCTCTGCTTCAAATTTTCGCTTAGAGGAGTTCTCCTTTTAAAAAGACTACATTAAAATTCCATAAAATTTGGTATGTGGTTAGTGGCCCTTACCGTGTTAATATAATGAACCTTATCTCCAATAATATTGTTAAAGGTGCCTCCAGTTATTGTTCCGTTGATTGTCACAGCTATTTTCCTTTTTTTGGCGGCGTTTCGCGCTATTGTAGACATCAATTCAGCTTTTGTTGGCTAAATTTAAAAGAGTAAGTTTTCTATTAATTTTTTTGGATATAAGGTAAATTGTATACCTTTTTTTGTTTAAGCAATGAAGTAGCATATTCTTTAATACAAATTGGGGTCTCCTGTAATTGTGTAATCCAGTTCAGATCACTGTCGTAGTCCCTTGATATTTCTTGGATTTTTTTAGATTTATTCAAGTCTTGATGCGTTTCCTCAAAATAATGTTGAAAATCCCAGCTATAAGCGCTGTTCAACGCAAAGAAATGACGAGAACCTTCCTGTATATTCGTAACTTTGTAATCTTTGTAACGATCTGGTAGATTCATCTTTGTTGCTAAACATAGAAAAAAAAACGCCAATTGACACTGAAACAACTCAGTTTCGCGTTAAATTGTGGAAACTGTGTTTTCTGTGACTCTCGTGCCTACGATAATCCTCGCTGACTCTGATTCGTCACTGATTGTGGTACGGGAAATTGAAGTCACTGTTTTTATTGATCAACAACAAACGCCAATAGATCTTAGGTAAGCGGGCTAGACTAAATAAAGCCTATAGATGTTGTTGCATCTACACATGGCGTTATCGCTTTTAGTAACTGTAATTTTGGTGCAGTAAGCTACGGTGTTTGTATATACCTTCCACCATATTCTGGTGTAAAGAGGGAAGCTTTCGACAATGTAGACACATTAACTCCAAGAATCGTAAAGTCATGTTCGGAAGTAACCCTCAAAGACTGCCAAGGTTAAATTAGACACTCTGTCTCACTTTTTGATTGTTGTTTGGTCCTGAAAGAAAAACTTTAGCCTTTTAACTTTCTCATTTAATAAAATGTTTTTACCAAAAATAGAGGTGCCCTCAAAGAGTAAACAACATTTCTTAAATTGAGCAAAAAAAAAAAAAAAAATTAATGATCAAGTGATGCCGTGACGGCTCTCCACCATAGAATTTACTAAAGGACCAACGCGATTTCATTAAAACAAAAGACGCTTGTTATTTTATCATTTTCTTTTCAAGTGAATAATTTTGTAAACATGAGCAACATTTCATTTTTTACCTACATATGTATATGTATTATTTTGACCAAATTTAGATTGACATTTCAAACACTTTTTTTACTATTTTTGTAAAAAAAATGGGCTCTTTATTTTCGGTTTCCGATCTTGAGAGCACCTAGTGCATTGAATTTTTCTCAAAAATACCCAAAAACGGTAGCTCAATTTTCCAAAAGTTAGGTGAAATACAGTATGTAGTTTTTTATTTCATGAATACTGAGTAAAGTAATAAAAAAGGGTTGTGTGGGATTGATATTATGTGAGTACAATGGAGGGTTTTGTGTGTGTGGGGGGATAATGAATAATGTGAAAGGGGGATATAAATATATATGTATTTTTTTATCCAGTAAAGATCTTGGAAACCAAGTATAAACAAGCACCAATAAAACGTACAGCTGATAAACCAGCGACAGACCAAAGAATAAAGCCAAGGTAAGCAGTAGCTCTTTCCTCATATGTACCAGCCCATTTAAAGACCTCTTGTCCGTTTGTGATCAGCGTCACTAAAATCATATTGGAAGTCACCCAACATGTAACCAACTTCGTTCTAAAGGATTTATAATAATCCTCTTGTTTCGTCTTGGCATCTCGGTGACTGACTTCAGGTATCACGACAGCCTTCAAATCCATACAAGCCTCATCGTATTGTTCGTTCAAATCCTTTTGTTCTGTGGGCGCTGCTACTTCAACTTCACTTTCACCATCTTTACCCTTTGAACTCTTTACAACACCTAAATCAGTAGACACACCGTTGTCACCCTTGGTACCCCAAGAAACATCATGTGTGTTACAGAACGCATAAATATTAAGCACATTGATATAACTAGGTGACATAAAGATGTAAGGAATCATACTGGTGAGCATATGCCATGGGTCCAGGAAGAGCAAACTAGCAACAAGATACATGACATAAGTAGAGCAGACTGAGATGACAACGTTACGGAAAGTGTCCTCCTGGATCAAGGCCATAAAGATAGTACTAGCATCTTCCGATGCCTTTGCAAGCTCCGCTGTAGCATAAGCGGATTGCACACCTCGCACAGTGATCCAAATAGTACAGAACATGACGTAGAGCATCAGAATAGCGAAAAACACAATAATACCCGTGTAAGCCCATTTGAGACCTTGAGGGCGATTACCGAGCGCAATGATAAATTGAAGAATAAGAAGCATGACGTAAATGTAGTTAAGAACCGTATGAATGATTTGACCAACGTGACCGCTGTAAGGAGGATTGGGTGTGTCGATAATAGAAGTAGTCATGATATAAAATACAAGATAAAAGTTACCAATGGCGAACCAGGAAAAGAAAAGATTGTACAGTTGGTAGAGATCGTTAAACATGAATAGAATCTTTCTCAAAATGAAATGATCCGAACTCCACACTTTACGCCAATGTACCATCGAATAAAGACCAGCAAAGAACGAACCGTTCAACCAACGACGACGCTGAGAAATGAATTCATCCACCTTATCGGGTACATCAGTTTCGCCTGACGCGTTAGAGCAATAATGTAAGACCCAAGCGGCGTCTTTCTTGGCTACCAGCTCGTAACACAAGATACGATCCTCGGCAAGATACATGTTAGCGGTAAAGATATCTGCATCTGCACCGTGCATCTTTTCACCTAAAAAGTACTTTTCAAGAGGCCCGACGCCGTGAATATCGTTCTGAAGGGCAGTATAACGATACGCAGAGAAAGCACCAGGTAAGACAGAAATATGACCAAATACCGATTCAAGGGGTTTATCCAGAATATTCGACATTTTATACTCAAAATTCTGAGAGGCGACTAAAGGATTCAAAAGGTGCACACCACCTCTACCCACCATGGCTTTAATCTCACCACACGCACCAGCAACATTACGGTTAATATCAAAGGATTTCCAGAGATTGTAAATGGAACGAGATCCTGGTTTGGTACCGACATCCAATAATACACAGACATTGGGACGAATGAGAGGACCGAATGCTTGGAAAAACCAACGATGAGAGTTAATCTTCTTTTGATTCTTTTCCTTGAGACAGAACAAGATTTGAACAGGCACAACACCCTTCTCTGAGCCTCTGAAATTCATGTCAGCATCCACAGAGAGTTGAGTTGTATGCTAATTGAATGAATAAAAAAAAGTTTAGTGTAACGTTACATATATAAATTAAAACAAGCAAACCTCGTAGATATGAGCTGTTACAGGTTTTCCTTCAACCACATTTTTAGCTAAACCGTCTTGATAAACACCCATTGCAGCCAGCACAGACAAAGTACGAGGATGAATCTTGGTTCGACCATCAGAGACGATGCAGACTACGACCTTCTTCCAACCTTGTTGTCCCCATGTCTTGGATCGTTCTCGACCACAAAGATGTGCGATGTTTTTCATAACACCATTCATGGTTCTACAAAATAAAACCTCATCTTCCTATTAAATATAAACAAATATAAATAAAAAAACGCCATATTTTTGTTAATATTTAAAGTTTACATTGTACATGGTCAGGACAATGAAAAGCTCGGTCTCTCTTCTCAACAAGTTTTGTCTTAATTGATAATTCTCTCGAAGGAAATCAGCAGGATCACAAGTAGCAGCAGTGTATCGCATATGAGTGAATTCATTATCATCTCGACGTTGCACTTGAGAAAGATATTTGTTCGGTACAGGATTATCCAAAACCAAATTGCCACCTGTCAACTTAACTCTTCGAACTAAAACACACACACACACATACACACACACACACAAAAAAGAGTAAGTAAACAAATAAATAAAAAACGCACGTTTTTTCTCCTTGATTTCCTTACCTGTTTTGTATCTTCTCGTTTGTCTTCTTGGAGCAATACCGAAATCGCCAGGTCCGCCACCAATCATGTTTGATGGAGGAGATCCAAATCGCGTGCCACCACCGCCGCCATTGCCGCCATTGCCGCCTAAAGTAGTTGCAGTAGAGATAGATGAATTATTGGCAGCCATTAAAGGTCTTTGCATGTTGTTGGAACCAGGTATAGATGACTCATAGTATCCTAAATCATTATCATTACGTGCAGGTTGTTGGAATCCGACATTTGCGGGTTTACTATTGTATGAGGTTTGTTGCATTGAATACTCCTCGCCTGGTCCATTGAACCTAGGTCTTGCAGGTAATCTTGCGGATGGTAAAGGAGGGTTGTTGCTATCATTGCTGGGGTTGTTATATTGATACATTGCAATGATTGTACAATAGAAATGAAGGGAATGGGATAGTTTGTTTTTTAAATGAAGGGAGGTGAAAAAGAAAAAAAAAGAGAAAGAGAAAAGAAGGTAGATGCTGAATAAAATTAGTGGGGAATTGGTTTTAAATAAACTATTACTTGCATCAATTAATAATTGGTAACACAAATCATAAAAAGCCAGGGCTTGTGTACAGTTGCTTCCTGTATACCAAGTTGCGGGAATCAAAAACTAAATTACTACGAACAAGCATCCTATTACTTTTTGTTTCGGCCCATCATTTTATTCTATTTTATTTTTCTTTGCCTATATTGGGGAGTTACTTTTGATCGACCTATAAATCTCTGTGTTGGTAAACAAGAAGTAAAGTGGGAGATCACTCTAGGATAATCGCCGTTTAGAACCATATTTACTTTTTTTACCTGATAGCCGAGACCCATTTGGCTTTAATTAAGCAATTGAAGGAAAGGCTTGTTTCTGTTTGCCGTAAACAAAGGTATGGGTAAGCTAAGCAATTTAGATGTCAAAATGTGTTCAATGCTCATGCTTCCCACGTGTAACGCCGTTCGAATGATAACGTTTTTTTTTTTTTCCTATACAGCAACTCGAGGTGGTTGTCAAGCCATCCAAATAGCTCTTATATTAATTTTCTCCAAATACAGGATCCTTTATTTTTGCAATTGTTCTTTAATATCACATAATAGATACTGCTGTCTATGTCCGTTTTTTATATTTAACTTTAACTTATTGTTATTCTTGCAACCTCAAAAATCTCGAGGGAAATCATAATCGTTTTTGGAAAATGGATTTCATTTACAGATAATGGTCTAGCCATTTGATTTCTTTAGATTTTTTTTTTCTCGGTGTTTCGTCAATGTGAAATTCTGATCACTTGATGGGCACTTGATTGTGCAAATTGAGCTAAACCTGTATCATTTTGTAAATGGGTTTGATTATACGATGATTATGTATTCCTACATCTAAAAAAAAAGCATTATTATTTGTTTTACCGTGATCCCTAATATTAGACCTCGTGTGTAACTTGATAGTTACTCAGACTTTAATTACAGGTAAAGACCCACGCACCAAGAAATCAACCTTCTCTGCTGTATGGCTGATGCATTTTTAATTATAGATTCATCGTTGTGCACACGCGCTATTTGTGTCCATCTTTTTTTCCTTTCTTCTTTTCTTTTAAAAAAAAAGGCTCAAAAAAGGAACAATAGCTTGATGAAACGTTCTATCGGTTGATTCTTTTTTCTTCGTTCAACACAATGTCTCTTGACATTTATGTCTGATCTTTTTTTTTCGTCTGTATGTTAGACCACAGATGAGGGCCACTCAGAGAATACATAATTTACTGTTTATTAAAACTAACGTAACAAAATTGGGTGATCCATTTGCGCCCAATTTACCTTGTAAGAGGCAAGGTGATCGTTTATATTCCAATGGCATTGTCACATTAATTGCTAATTTATTTTTTTCATTCAGTTTTCACCTATTCGTTACACGGCTTTACGGGTTGTTTTCCTTTGAATCCCTGTACGCACCCCGTCCAATCACCATCCATACTCAGTTACACACTGCATAACCCAGCTTTCCTGCCCACCCCGCACACATGAAAAAATGCAAGTGGTGTTTCGACCCTGATTATGAAATCATCATTTTATTTTAGCTTCCTTTTTTTTTTATTTTTACCCCATTTATTCTTACTTATTATTTCTCGGTAAATGAGTATTCCTACTTCAATCCCTGTCATTCAACAGCCAGATGATTACGTACGTGGTGTTTCCTTCGACACCATGACAGACCATGACCAACCTGATCTCTCGTTTACTTTAAGAGGAAAGAACCAAGGTTATCAACGCACAAGACGTAGCCGAACATTCATGGTAGCTACTGACTTGGCTAATTACAGCGATTATGCTCTGGATTGGGCCATTGAGGTCAGTTCTTTTATTCAAGTGTATTTCAAAAAGAAAGTGGGTATTCATCTCGTTAAATAGAATATTGTAGATAACGGTGACGAAATCATTGTTTTAAGAGTTCTCACGATCGATATGAGTGGTTTGTTATATAAATATTAAGGAAACACATACAAATGTTTACTGATTTATATATATAGAAAATAGACCTAATTTGCCAGCCATGCTAAGACACGAGGAATTACAATCCAAGGAAACTGCCACTGTGGTCATGAATAAGATTATGGCTTCTGGTGGTCCGGATATCAAGGTAAAAAAAATATATAAGCATAGATCATAACTACTAGAGTAAGCTGATGATTCTCTTGATCCAGATTAGTGCCGTGATTGAATTTGTGATTGGCAAGGTTCAAGAGACGATCCAGAGCATGGTAAGTCATGGGGAGAAAAAATGGTTATTTCAGAGTTTAAGGAGTATTGACGATTCTCCATAGATTTCGGTGTATCAACCTTCTATGCTGATTGTCGGTACAAGAGGCATGTCAGAGTTAAAGGGTATGTTTATCAATAGTGTGTCTAAATACTGCTTACAACATTCACCTGTGCCTGTGGTCGTGGTCCGACCCGAAAACAAGGTCAAAAAGCAAAAGGACAAAAAGTCGAGCAGTAAAAAGTCGAAACGTCTCAGTGGCATGTTTCGTATCAGTAGCCATTCCAGTATCTCCAGCTTAAATTCCAAGGGCTCCGATTCGTCAGACAGCAGCTCTGATGATGACGAGGTTGCTGGTGTCGAGAAAAAAGTACAGCGTCTGTCTGTGTTTGATAAAATCGGTCGTCATTCACGATCTTCATCTCCTTCTCGTCCTTCCAAGAAACAATAATATAATATTGATATTTTATATTTTTTTTTATATATATATATACAAAGTACAAGAGTTTATTAAATAATAAGAGATATAATGTAATAGTAATTAGTGGTCAAAAAGAGGGTGGCATTGAAATCACAATGAAGGATTAGGAGGGTATTTTTATATGGTGTAATTAGACTCGCTCAACTTGGTCCACATGATATTTCTTTGCAACATCAACTTGACTATCATTATCAGAGCTATCAGACTGTACTTGAGTCTTATAATCCGTCATGGCATTATCGCCAAAGCCTTCCAATTGTGGGTCAGGTTCCATACTTTTACCTGGACCTGAGAACCATTGACGGGCACGGAAGTGATAATAGGCAACAGATAATGCCATAACACCACCAAACACAACAATAGCATAGTTCATGTTTTGAGGTGTCACTGGGTATTCAGTAGGGCAAACAAACAAGATGGAGGTAAACAAAATCCAAAAAAGACTCGTGACGTTAATGATATCTGAAAAGGGACCCAAATGGAAAGGTCCACGCTTGAAAATCTTTCGAGCCACAGTTACACGAAGCGCAATAGGAATAAAGTAAGCCATAGAAGAAGCAATCGTATTGACAGACACAATGGCATTAAAAGCAGTTTCATTGATAATGTAAAGTAAACCAACCACAATGGCAAAAATAATATTGAACCAGACAGCCCAGACGGGTGTCATGGTTTTTTGATTGATGGTTGCTAATTGTTTGGAAAAGGGCATAGCACCATCACGAGCAAAAGCATAGACCATGCGGGAGCTACCCAATGTCAAGGCTGAACCTGAGAAGAACATAGCACCCATAATGATTGTCGTAAAGACAACAGTCCATTTGTACCCAACACCGTCCAAAAATACTTGGGTCATCGCAGGACTGATGCTAGTATTGACAATTTGTGTTTGGAAGTCTTGAACACAGAAATTGACGGCAACCAAGAAGGCAAGACCAACAATGGAAGCGGCACCAATGGCATAGAGAATACCACGGGGAGCACTACGACCTGCATCACGCGTTTCATCAGACATGTGGGCTGCACTGTCAAAACCAGAGAGCGTATATTGACATTGCAAAAGACCAATCAAGAAGCCGTAACCACTGGAGGAAAAGCCAGTTTCGTTTTCAAAGTTGGTAAAGACCCATTTGGCACTAGCCTTGTTGGGTGTCAACACAAGAGCAACAATAATCAAAAGAAGCGTGCCAATTAAATGCCAGTAAAGAGAGGTCTGGTTGAAAAAGCCATTGTACTTTACACTGACAGAGTTGATGATACCATGAACAACTGCAATAACAACAAAAATGCCATATTGCCAGTAAATAGATGGGCTGTTGGTTTCGTCACTGATATTGATGATAGAAGCAATGAATTGTGCAAGACCAAGATCAGCTGATGTAATAGCCACTATTGCACAGAAAAAGAAAAATGTGTTAATTAAATCTGATAACGGTTAAAACAATGTAAATTTTATAAATCATCATTTACCAGTCTAAAATATAAAAAAAAAAAGTTAGAAAGTTTTGGCGTTAAAGAAAAAAAATGGACTTACCAAACCCAGCCAGTTACACCAACCAGTTAACCAACACATAATTGGAACCCACTCGGGAGGGGCGAGCTTGGACACCCAGATGTACAGACCACCTGTAATAGGGTAAGCGGAACAAATTTCAGCTAAGGAAAGACCAACACCAAAGGTAAATACAGATACGAGGACCCAGCCCCATACAACAGCAATTGATCCTCCGGCTTGCATGGCATCACCCCATAACTACATAGGATGTTAATATATCAGCGAATATCGTAAAGAAATAAGAAAAAAACTTACAGGTGTAAGACCTGAAAGAATAGAACAACAGCCAAACGCAATCGCAAAGTTTGAAATGGTAGACATGGTTTTGTCCATTTCCTAAAAGGGCAAAATGGGTCAGTTTTTTCCTAACTAATCAAAATCGACAGATCGCCCTGTTTTCTTTACTTGTTTGTAACCCATAGAATGCATGAGTTCTTCCTCAGTTTGGAATTGAGATTCTTTTACGCCGGTTTCGTTGACTTCATTGATGCTCAGGGTACGGTCCATGCCAACCATATATTAATTAGAGTGATGAGTAGCGATATTCTCGAGTAACTGGGGAAAAGTGTATTTGGTATAAAAAAAACTAGTATTAGTTTTTTTGGGTTTACAAAGTTTGTAAGAAAAAGATATAAAAAAAAAAAAGCGGAAAGTTAAAGAAAAAAAGAAAATCTGAATTGTTATGAAATAAATCTCCCTCCCTCCTTTTATACAAGAGAGATCATTGAGGGGGTGAATTATAGAGCCAAGTCGCTATTTTAATCTCTTATTTTAGACCTTTATTCATTTGTTCATCATCTTTCATCTACTCCGCTATTTTAAGATTTGCCTTTTTGTAATCCACTAATTTCAAGTAACGAAGCGATGGACGAAAACGGTAAGAAATACCATCGTGACTTGATGGGTGAGCCAAAAAAGGGACCCTGACGTCCTTCATTTTAGGTCTTGAAAGCTATCTTATCAACATGTGGCCCTATAATATTTGACCGCTGACAAATATGTTGTCGCACTAAATCCATGTAAAGCAATCAGTTGATCAGGAACGGCCTTTACCCCCACAAAATTCATTTTCCTGCAGCCTTTTCTTCCTTTATTCAGTGTCCAATCACAGTTATAATCTCTCACGCAGCTTCCAAAAAGAGATCATACATGACTAATAGACAGGTCTTTTCGCCTGTTTTTCGCCCTATTATGTTCCGTCATTAATATAACTTGCTGGTCCCTATCAAGGTCCAAAAATTAAAAAGCGGCGCAAAGTGGTCCCAGATTCATAAATCCCTCCCATTGTATATGATGCGTAAACACGGTCTGCATGTCCTTGTTTAGAATTACAAGCGAGTCATGCAACATTTAAATTGATAGGTTCCCGAGTTTCATCATATCCTTGAGCTCGGTTTCCCTTCTCTTTATATATATATATACATGTTGTATCATTATGCATGCATTGTTATAATTAAGTCCTTTAGTTGTACGTATGAATGCATATGCTTTTTTAAGCTTAAATCCGTTCATCTTACAAATTATACCGGTAGTTTAACTATTCCGTATGGTCTGCATTTGGATATCTAATCATTTCGTGGGAATCACTTAAGTATTTATTATTAAGTGTGTTTTTTTGGTTAGTTCTTCGCAAGAAATAAAAAACATAAGAAACTAAAGAATGTATGTATTCAACCTTGATCTAATAGATGACAACACGTATTAAATTTCTATAAACTAATCCAATTGATACTTTGAAGTCTTGGCTATTTTTTTCCCACCTAGTTGTGGAGTACAAAAAAAAAAAAAGAAATAAAAAAAATAGAATCATTGGTTTCTTTGAGTAAAATATCATATCATCATGTCCCGATTGTTACAACGATATACATTGAAATGAAGTGTTACTTATCACAAAAAAAAATCAATTGTCCTACATCTTTGTGATATACGTTTGATCGCATTCTTCATCTAAATAGTGCCTCTATTTTTTAAGTGTGTAACAACATGAAAGGTTATACAACGAGCACTAAATCGATGATACGTTATAGCAGTGTATCTAATTTCGATAATTTCGATATTCTGCGCACACGAAAAACTTAACGGCTAATTCATTGGCATTTTAAGAGTTAGTCAATCCGAATAGGATATCTGAGAACGATTACGTCCAAATAGAATGGCTTACAAAATCATAATTGCCGTCATTTAACCATACTTTTTTTTTTATATTTGTTTTGGACATAATTGGTAGAACCTGCCAAACTGTCACATTTTCCACGCGTGGTTCTAATGACCACCAAATACGCAAATGTATCTACTCGTAAAGATATTGTGTGAAATAAAGCAACAATACTGAGGCACCAGATAAGACGCAATATCTGATAATCGGGGTTGCAAATATGTGGACCCAATTAACGTTTGTACAAGTACATCAGTTGCAGACTATCTTATCTGTTTACCTCTCACAATGAACACAAAGAAATGTAATTTATTAACAATAAAAAACTATATAACAATTTCTTGTACTATCAATGATATTTCATGTTAGAAATGTACCCTGTATCTGTGTACATCAGTTGTAGCTATAGTACAGTCCCAGGATAAACATTGGATCAAAATTCAACAAATTATTTTTTTGTTTATGCTGACTTCGTGAAGTCGATAATTTCTGAAAAATCTGGTCTCTGTTTATTTGTAATCTGATTAAAACAGCTTTATAAGCTTATTCAAGGCGATTTAAACTTACTTCTAGTTGAAGTAACACCACCCGTATAACCTATTAAAAGAACTAAGATTATCTGAAGTAGCATTTCGTATTGACCATGTTAGACCAATCCTACGCATATACTAATTTGGGAAAATCAATTACCCATTAAGTATCTTGCATACACTGACCTCCTACTTGACCCGCGGTCTAAAAGTTAAGCTATGACCCTTTTTATATCAGTTCCGGACTTTCTCAAAAACTACGAGCATCTAGTTTTTTGTGTGATCCTCCAAGCATGAAGAGCATTTGACAGAAAAACTTAAATTTGTTTGTCTATACTCAAGACAAACATTGTGTGACGTTTCACTCTGATGGCGTTAGTTGTGTCGCCATTTTTTGATAGATCTGCTAGATAATTAATATCCACAATACTGCATGTACCGTTGCTTTGTGGCTATTAGTAAAATATATATTTTTATTTATTTATACATGTATTGAAACGGTTTTTTGAATCTGTGAGAAATCCTTTCTTTCTTCAAGCGGTCTTTGCGGCTTCTTCTTTTTCAGTCAAAAGGTCACCCCACACGTTCTCAGCTTCATCCTTCTTGACATCTCCGAAAACAACATCATAGACGTCCTTATAGGTGTCACAGGGAACACCTGTTAAACCTTCCTTGATGTATTCAGGCAAATCATCCCAATCCGCTTGGTTATCCTTGGGGAATAAGATGGTGTCAACCTTAGATCGCTTGGCAGCAATTGTCTTTTCCTTCAAACCACCAATCTTCAAAACCTTACCGGTAACAGTCAACTCACCTGTCATGGCAATGCTTGCACTGACTGGTCTATTGAGAGCTAATGAAACTAAAGCAGTGGTCATAGTGACACCGGCAGATGGGCCTATAGGACAGTCATTAGCCATAGTTACAGTCACGCATTGTTTTTATACTTTACCATCTTTAGGAACGGCACCTGCAGGACAATGCAAATGAACCTTAGCCTTATCGAAAAACTTGTTTTTAGGGAAATGGGTTGCCATTAAAGATTTAGCAAATGTATAAGCAATACTAGTAGATTCCTTCATGACATCTCCAAGTTGACCAGTCTTTGAAAGATGAGGTGTGGATTTAGGTCCAAGAGAGGATTCAAGAACAGATTCAATATAAAGGGATGTTCCACCTAACAAATTTTAAGGATCAATGTACGTTTCATAAATTTTTGTTGTTAATAAACCTACCCATGCTTGTCCAAGCCAAACCCATTACGACACCAGGAGGTGTTTGTTCATAAAGACGCTCAGTTTGATATACTTGAGGACCAACATAATCCTTCAAGTTGGAGCTATCAATATTAATGGAAACATCACCAGAAACAGACAAGGGCTTTTGATCAGCGTCTTGGAGCTTAGAGTCTTCAGTAAGAGCTTTGTCATCTTTTTCTTCCTTAACCTCCTTGACTTCTTCTGATTCCTTATCATCTTGTCCGATTTCCTGTACTACCTTATAAGCTGCCTTTCTAAAAACCTTGTCGATATGTTTTTTCAAATTACGAACACCACTTTCGCGACAATAACTCTTGATCAATGAATCAATAGCTTCGGGAGTTAAGTTAACATTGACATTTTCAAGACCAGCAGCCTTCTTTGCGGTAGGGGCCAAGTATTTTTCAGCAATAGCTGCCTTTTCCTCGGCAATATAACCAGACAGTTGAATGACTTCCATACGATCCAAGAGAGGACCAGGTATCGTATCCAAAACATTGGCGGTACAAACAAACAAAACTTTAGATAAATCAACAGGAACATCCATATAATGATCCAAGAAACTACTGTTTTGCTCGGGATCTAATAACTCCAAAAGGGCAGATGAAGGGTCACCTTGATGACCTCTACCAAGCTTATCGATCTCATCAATCAAAATCAAGGGATTTTCAGTCTGGACTTTCTTCAAGGCTTGAATGACCTTTCCTGGCATAGCACCAACATACGTACGACGATGGCCCTTAATTTCAGCTACGTCGGTCAAACCACCAACAGAGAAACGGAAAAACTCGCGATCCAGGGCACGAGCGATACTCTTACCAATAGAAGTTTTACCTACACCGGGAGGGCCGGAAAGACAGAGGATTTTTCCTTCCACTGTTCCTCTCAATTTACCAACAGCGACGAATTCCAAAATTCTATCTTTTACATCCTTAAGACCGTAGTGATCTTCATCCAAAACGGTAGTTGCATGGCGGATGTTGTAATTTTCGCGAGAGCGCTGACCCCAGGGAATTTGAGTAATCCAGTCAAGATAATTACGAGTGACATTGAATTCAGAAGCAGCAGGTTCAAGGTGGGCAAGTTTGGTGATTTCCTATAAAAGATACTATTTAGCTTTTTTTCTTTCATATACCAGTACCAATACTCTTAATTTTTACTTCATCGAAAACTTTCTTAACGGCAACAGGCATTGCGAGTTTAGCAGCCTTTTCCTTAAACCCTTCTACAAGCTTATCCTTTCCGTCACTTTCCAAACCAAGTTCCTTTTTGATACCTTTTAATTGTTCCATCAAATAGTATTCACGTTGGCGTTTCGCAATTTTGCTTTCGACATCCTTGGAGATCTTGTTTTGTAATTGAGCATTCATGAGTTCCTTTTTGAGTACAACAAGAGACTTCTGAAGTCTTTCTTCGACGGGCAATGTTTCCAACACCTCTTGAAGTTCCGATGCTTCACCAGCAGAAACAGCCGCAGCAAAATCGGCAAGCTTAGAGGGTTCGTCAAATACATTACCAGCAGACTGTGCCATACTGAAACTAGCAATTTGGTCTCTAAACAGAGGGTTCAAAGACGCAATCTCTTTAAAAACAGAAACAATTTCAGACGTAACAGCTCTGATGTATGGACTCTTTTTGGAAAATTCGGGTTCTACAAAGTTGTCAACATTTACAAGCGAAACAGCATAGTCATCTGCCAAAAACGATGTTGCATATTGTGACTCGGGTTTAGCCTCTGCTGCTTCATCTGCCATAAATTCATCTGAAAATGATATATAAATACTTCAGATCATTGCTCATTTGAGTATAATGCTTACCAGACTTTTGAACAACTGCCTTTTCAGGTTGAAATTCAGATTCAATACTCTTTTCGGCCTTTTCGATCACCTTTTCTCCACTATGTTCAGATACTGCTTCTTTAGAAGTAACCTCTTCAATAGCAGCCATATGATGTTTATCCTTAATAGGTAACAATTCGTTAATTTTAATACGTCGATGGGGATAGAGTACGGCAGTTAATCCAGTTTCCTCTTTTCCAGAAGAGGCAGGGAACACGCTAGTGATCTGTGCAAAAACACCGACTTGGTGGACTTGATCGATATTCGTAATCGTGTCAACATCTAAAGTTTCATCTTTTAATAAAAATGCACCGACATAAGGTTGGCCACGCTTCATTAACTCTTTAATGGCTGCAGTGACTGTGGGCTCTTTAATGACCACTGCCTTGTAGAAACCAGGGAACAAAGGTCTTCCAGCAATAGGCAAAGCCAAAACTTGTGGATATACGTCAGGGACAACGGGTTTTTGCAATTGATTCTCAACAGCCTCCCAATTGGGGTTTTTGTTAGATTTACCATCGCCACCGTTTCCATTGTTGCCGTTTCCGCTTTCGCCTCCTGAAGTACTTCCATTATTTCCTGGTGGTGGTGGTGCTTGGTCTGAAGGGTTGTCTTTGGGATCGCGTTCCTTCATTTCAACTGCACTATACGATGAAGCAGCGCGTCTTAAAGCTGCAGCGTTACGAATAGGTTGTAAGCCAATGCACACTGGGCTGTTTTGCATAGTGCGAGCAATGCCCTCCCCTCCCCAAATTGATACGTTGGCTTGACTACGGCTGGAAGAGAATGAACGTAAATTTAAGGGTTTGGTGTTTGTCATGGGCGATTGCAGTTGGGACCATATTGCCTGATTCACCTTGGAACGAGGTATGGTTTTCGAAACATGAATCAAGAAGGAATGACTCATTTTTGAAAATAGAGGAAATAAAAATTAATAATAAAAAGAAGGTTGAAGAAGCAACTGCGTAAAGTATCCGCACTTTAAAGCCAGACAAACTTTGAACAAGGCTCGATCTCCAGCCAATCCACTCTCATGAATTACTATGCTTTTTATGTAGCCAATGGAATCCCTACTTTTTTAGACCTATTTCCCCAGCCTTGAATATGTTATTTCTTTCTCTCACTATGTTCGACGCTTTACACACTCAATCAATCATACGGCCAAAAAAAAGCATTTAAAAATTTCAGAACCATCGATTATATGTTACAAAAATCTACAATCAACCTGATTAAGGCAAAAAATACACTATTTTTATAAACTATACGCACACTCTCAGAAAAAAGTTGCTTCAATTTCTGCATATGATAAATGCAAACGGATTTCAGGCACCTACTAATGTCCTCTTTTATTTTTGAATTAGGTTTCAAACTTGCTCAAGATTTGATTTTGGTATCTCAAAAGATCATGGATATTACAAAGGCCGAAACATTAGTGATGGATGCTGAACGTAATTTTTTTAATAATGCTACTTCAGGCAATATGAACGCGGGTAGTATGAAGCAAGCTTGGGATTGCCTCAAGATCTTGCCAGCAATGACAGAAATTCAAAAGACTTTTGTCCTAATTAATAGTATACGTCTACTTATCCGTATCTATTTACCCCTTTGTTTTAAAGCTGGGCGACAATTAAACAGCTTAAGATCTTCAGGATTGTTTAGCAACTGGGCACTGTCGAAATACTTGAATTTATTTTCATGTAAAAATTGATCAATAAATACTTTTTGTAGGCTTGAGTTGTTTCTGGATACAAAATGTTTGTAAGTTCATTACTATTTTAGAATTTACGCTCTTTGTTACCTTAATAATTGCTTGAGATCTGTACAGTTAGTGGTGAAGCCAGCATAATCAATTGATATAACGCATATTTTTGGATTGTTGTTTAAAAATTTCAAAAAATCTACTGTGCTTCCATGAGTGTTGTTCAATTGTGACAAGATATGGTTTACATCTTTCAAATCGCGCTTTAAAAATATTTGCTTCGCTGTACTAAGGGGAGAAACAAAGACCTTATCCACTAATGATCTTTTGTACAATACATCTATCATCCTTTGTAAGCAAAGGACTCTGTTTTCTGTATTTCCAAAGGATTTTTTACAATAACCAATTACTTGATATCCTTCTTTCTTCATTTCATTTATTATCTGTTGGTGTTTTGGCAATACTTCGACAATATCTTTTATCACAGAATCTATAACAACAGCCAGTAAGTTGCTGTGTTCTTAATCGCCAACTTCAAACTTACCGTAATATTTGTTGTCTAAGACATACAATTGTCTGCTTCGAAGTTTTATCTCTTTTTCTTTAACCTTTATGCTTTTTCGTTCAGGCTCAGTTGAGATTAAATCAACTTTCTGCGAATTCAACCATTGGCTAAACCCCAGAGGAGTCTTTTTGTCGAATATATGACTATATTTCCAAATGATTGATAAGATATCCTTATCATATACAGAAAGCAGTTGGTAGCGAGGGTCAGAGAAGCATTCCTCTTTTGGTCTAAAAATATAATTGATAAAATCAACGACTTGACTTTCATTTTCTACATTGTACATTTAATTAGAAGTCAATGAATTTTTGAAATTGCTTTCTAGCCTCACATTTACCAAGTATGATATCTTTCTTATTATTTGTATTTTTGCTGGGTATAACTTCAGTTAATTCTTCTTAAGTTTTGTACAATTTGTAAAAAGCTGGCGCGCCAAATACACGATGGTTGCAAACGAGCATGGGTTCATATGGATTGTTAACGTAGCAGAGAGTAACATCGGGTGATGTCTCCACATTGAGAAGACAAACTTTAACATTTTCCTCATTGTATTGTTTACAGTAAAAAATGCAACTGGCTTCTTCTTTAGAAATCATTTTTAGTAATGAAATAGGGAAATGTCTAGACCTCCGTATTTTTTTCAAACGTATTTTTTTTTATACTACTTACAGAAATTCTGGCCAGAAGACCAGCAGGCCAGTATGTTTGCACCTATTTAAAATGCATCCCTGCTATTTACAGTTTGTGAGTTCCAAAAACTCAAGAACCCTGCCAAGGAGGTCGCCTTCCTATAGCAAAGACTAGCCGCAGCCGGGATATCACAATATATCTTTTTCAATTTAGCTTCTTTTCAAAGAAACAAGAGTCGCTACTAAACAAACCTTTTTACTTGGTTGGTTCCTTCCATACGATAAAAGAAGTATGTTAAGAGAAAAGAAAAGAAGAATAAAGTGTGGGAACCAGCTTTATTTATAGATAAACAAGCTTATGTCAGGATGATTTCATTTGTCTATTTTATCATCCATAATGTATGAGCCTTTACTTAAAATAGAAACACTTGCAAAAACCTCCCAAGCAAGTCAGAGCTTGGTAATTGTCTATCTGCGTTCCAGTAGTGAAGCAGATTTTATGGAAAACAGAAATCGATCATCCTATAAAGTTTAGATGATATGGCATGTCAATCGACGTGTAGACCATCGCGTGATTCTAAAAAATACGTTTGAAAAAAATACGGAGTTCTAGACATTGCCATGAAATAGACCAGCTGAAAAAAAGATTCTCTAAGCAGTGAAATGGACCGGTTGCGATTTAACAGTTTTGGGCAATCTTAAAAGGGAAACTGAAATGCCACAAACTGTTAACGGAAGATAAATTATCTGATAGAATTGCTGAGGTATGTAATGCCATACCTGTTGAAATTGTATACAACTTTGCCAGTCATTTTAAACGACAAACCATTCAATGTTGTAATAAAACTCCATTCTAATCATTTTGAAGTCAAAAAATACAAATCATTTTCAGGTCAGACATAAAGGGACAATCAATTTTAGGGTTAGTGCAGAAAGTGACATTTATTATTTGGTTACGGACATTTAATTTTCTCAAAGTGACAAAAATTTACCGTTCTCACTGTATTTTATTTATAACAACAGTAAACAGGAAATTAGAGCCATTAAAAAATAAAAAAATTGTTGTTTGTTTTTTTTTGGGGTGGAGGGAGATATGTTGATTACACATTTATCCGATGATCTTAAGCAGTAAGCACTGTGTAACATGAATTGATTTCCCAGAGATTGTAAAAAGGGTAGGTAAGGAAATGAATGCTGATTGGCCCGAATACAAAAGTAATCAATAAAAGTAGTATAATTATCATAAGCCAAGGATATTGTGATTATGAAGGAGATGCAGATTACATCAGCATGAATAGGGCAGCCAGTAGCTACGTCACGCGTGACTTTTTTAAATAGAGTCAAGATGCTCTCTCTCATTGCATCGGGGGAAAAAAAAAGATGGAACAAGAGCCAAAGATTGGGAAAAATTAAATTAAAAAGCCCCTGCAAAAAAATATAAATTTCTCTTTTTTTTTCTCTCTCTTTCAAAACAACAAAAAAAAAATTAGTTAAAGATGGCCGAAAAGCATTCAGCAGTTCTTGAGGAAATCAAGAAGAACATTCAATCTCTCCATGAGAAGTTTGACGCCCTTGAAAAGAAGGTACAAGGAGGTGTTCCCAAGCAACAATTACGTATGGTGATTATGGGTCCTCCTGGTGCTGGTAAGGGAACCCAAGCTCCTGCTATCAAGGAAAAGTTCTGTGCTTGTCATTTAGCTACTGGTGATATGCTTAGAGCTGCCGTTGCATCAAAGTCTCCTCTCGGTGTTGCTGCCAAGAAGATTATGGACGATGGTGGACTTGTTTCTGACGATATTGTTGTTGGTATGATCCAAGAGAACTTGGACACCAACCCCGATTGTAAGAATGGGTAAAGTATTTTGTTGTGTGGTTCTATGTCTATTAGACACATGTGTGGGGAAAAAAAAGGGTTAAATTAGGGGAGGGTTGTCACACACGAATATGTTATCTAATATTGCATGTGATTATACAATAGTTTCATTCTCGATGGTTTCCCTCGTACTGTTGGTCAAGCTGAAAAGTTGGATGAGATGCTTGAGTCTAGACACAAGCCCTTGAACTCTGTTATCGAATTAGTTATTGATGACAACCTCCTTGTCTCTCGTATCACTGGTCGTTTGGTCCACCCTGCTTCCGGTAGAAGTTACCACAAGGAATTCAAGTAAGTTACACATTTACCATACTTGAGCCGAGAAACAATACTAACCCTACCTTATAGCCCTCCCAAGGCCCCTATGAAGGATGATGTTACTGGTGAACCTCTTATCCAACGTTCCGACGATAACGCCGAAGCCTTAAAGAAGCGTTTAGATGCTTTCCACAAGCAAACTGTCCCTGTTGTTGAGTATTATAAGAAGAAGAACATCTGGTACGGTGTTGATGCTGCTCAATCTCCCAAGGCTGTCTGGGCTTCTCTCTCTGCCATCTTTGACAAGACCCTTTAGATTAATTGTATTTAGTTTTCTTTTCTTTTTTTTTTCTCTTCCCCTCACAACCAACTTTCGTTTCTATATAAAAATTTACTCCCCCTATTAAAAAAAAAAAAAATATCATCAAAGACCATCCCAATGAAAAACCTTCTTTGGGATGGTTGTCTATGATGATTTTTTTTTGTATGCAAAATAAAAACATGTCCACTTTAAAAGTCACAAATATATTATCTTTTTTTTTTTTCTTGTCTCTCTCTCTCTTTCCTTTTGTATTACTGCGGTTTTTTTTTTTAATAATGAGTAACTCAAGTTCTCCTTTATCTGTTCATGACTCACTTTCAGAAAGTGACGTGGACGGCACAGAAATTAACCATGAACTGGAACAACTTGGTGTTGATTTGGTAGACCAAAACGACCTGGAAAAGTCGCTCATGGCCAAGGTAAAAAAAGAAAAAGAAAAGCACTTTGCCTTTCTTTATATTCATGAATACCTGTTCCATAGGCCGACCAATTAATGACCGAAAGAGATAACGAGTTGGACCAGAAAAGACTAGAGAAAGCCCAAAAAGAAATCGCGCTTGCGCAAAAACAACTTGACAGTCTAAAGCTTAAACTCAAAAAGGAACCCGACCAAGAAAAACTATTACCCAAAGTCACGCAGCAAGTCAAGAAATTAAGGGACGCAACACAGGATAAACAGGATATTTTGAACCGTATCAAGGAACGACAACAAGTGGTGACACCTCTAGACAAAAACAGTCGACAAGAAGATGAGACACAACGCGAGTTTTTGGTTCGAACAGGTAAAATCACTCCCTTTTCAAATGTGCCCTCAGAAGAAGCAACACATAGGTCCAAACAGTATGACACTGATGCTACTGCAAATACTGTCTTTTCTGGATCCATGTCACATCAAAACTTACATGCTCCCGTACATACCGCCTCACTAAAACGAAAATTATCAGCGGATGAGGATGACGATTTCGAATTAGGACAGGACGAAGATGATGATTATGCAGTGGATTCGGGGGATGAATTTGTGCTGGATTCCGACGATGAAGTCCTGAATAAGAGACATGTACCGAAAAAGTTGGATGAAATATACGACGATGATGGATCCGAAGTGCATTACCAAAAAAGACTTAGCGAATGGGTTCAGAATCGAAAGTTGATGCGATACGGGGATGAAATGGCTGAGGATGATATTGACGAACAATTCACACCGCATCCAAACTTTGAAGATATACAATTCGATGCTGGGGATGCTGGTGGTTTAAGAGTACCGGGTGAACTCTGGGATTGTTTGTTTGATTATCAAAAGACGTGCGTACAATGGTTATGGGAACTACATCGTCAGCATGTGGGTGGTATATTGGGTGATGAAATGGGTTTGGGAAAGACCATCCAGATCATTGCCTTTCTATCCAGCTTATACTACTCCAAAATACTAGGTCCCGGTCAGCCTTCCATCATTGTCTGTCCTGCAACTGTTATGAAGCAATGGGTCCAAGAATTTCATAAATGGTGGCCTCCTTTAAGGGTAGCCATCTTGCATTCAAGTGGTACAGGTGTCAAAACTTCAATCACAAACAATAAGGTCGCCGTTCTGGATAGTGACGAAGAGTATACTTACAATGCAGACGATGATACGTATGAACAGGATCGTAGAGGAAAAAGTGCTAAAAAGGGTAAAGGGAGATCCTCTGTCAAGAGCATTTTGACCACCAAGGCAGGAAGAAATGCTGAAGCGTTGGTAGAGGAGTACGTAAAGAAAGGTGGTATTCTGATCACAACTTATAGTGGTGTTCAAACCTATCGTGAAATTTTGCTCAAGCATCGCTGGGGATATGTGGTTCTAGATGAAGGTCACAAGATAAGAAACCCTGATTCAGGTACAACATTGGCTATCAAGCAATTTAAGGTAGTAAATTGGTATATCTGATTTATTTGGATGACATCTAATCATTGGGCTTGCTGATAGACACCACATCGAATTATTCTGTCCGGTACACCTATCCAAAACAATTTGAAAGAATTGTGGTCCTTGTTTGATTTTGTCTTTCCAGGTCGACTTGGCGTAAGTAACAATTGTGTATATAAGCTTAAGCTTGGGATTTGAATGCTAATATTTATATTTCGTTATCTGTAGACGTTGCCCGTGTTTCAAACCCAATTCTCGGTACCTATTGGTATTGGTGGATACGCTAATGCGACCAATGTACAAGTTCAAACTGCATATAAATGTGCATGTATGTTACGTGACCTCATCAACCCCTATCTACTTCGCCGTATGAAAATCGATGTTGCATCCGACTTACCCAAGAAAAACGAACAAGTCCTGTTTTGTAAACTCACGCCCTTTCAGCGTCAGGCATATCTGGGTTTCATTCATTCCAAGGATATGGATGCTATCTTGGAACATCGTCGACAAGTGCTCTATGGTATTGACATTGTGCGAAAGATTTGTAATCACCCTGATATCATCAACTTGACTTTGCCGCATACGGATCCAGACTATGGTAACCCCGAAAGAAGCGGGAAAATGGTTGTGGTTCGTGCCCTGTTAAAGATGTGGAAACAGCAGCATCATCGTGTCCTGTTGTTCTGTCAGACAAAACAGATGTTGGATATTCTGGAAATCATGATGAGGCGTGCACCGTATAAATATTTGCGAATGGATGGTACAACACCTGTCAGTCAAAGAATGGCCTTGGTAAACGATTTCAATGCTAGTCCGGATATCTTTGTATTTCTTTTAACTACAAAGGTGGGGGGTCTTGGTCTGAATTTAACAGGTGCTGATCGAGTGATCTTGTATGATCCTGACTGGGTAAGAAAAAATAGTCGTTTATTATTATTATAACTTTTTTTTTTTAATTCATTTTGTGTGTATGTACATAGAATCCTTCTACAGACATGCAGGCAAGAGAAAGAGCTTGGCGTCTTGGACAAAAGAAAGAAGTCACTGTATATCGTCTGATGACAAGTGGCACCATTGAAGAAAAAATCTATCATCGACAAATCTACAAGCAGTTTTTGACGAACAAAATTTTAAAGGATCCGAAACAACGTAGATTCTTTGATGCAAGTAACTTACAGTCGTTATTTACGTTGGCGTCAGAAGATGCGGTAGGTACGGAAACAGGTGAACTCTTTAAAGGCACCGAAATCAATTACAGCAAAAACAAGAGAAAGAAGACAAAGAACGGTGATGATCTGAAACAGTTGACATCTATTGAAGGTGTAAACTGCTTGGAGCAATAGTAAGTTGAATCTCATTGTGGCGTTGAATGGTTAGCACTGTAACTTATTTACGTATATAGCGCGGGAGATCAATTAGAAGCAGACGAAAGAAGAAAAGAGAGAGAACAGGATAACGAAGACCATGTATTAAAAAGTTTGTTTGAAATGACAGGGATACAAAGTGCTTTACAGCACGATCAAATCATGGATTCGGCCTCACACGATTCTATGTTTGTTGAACGCGAAGGTAGAAAAAATCATGTAAATTAAACATCACTTGACATTAGAAAAAAAATACATCTTTTTACATTATGTAGCCACTATCATTGCGGAACGAGCGGCTGCTGCACTGAAGGAATCAAGGCGCCAAAGAAGACAGCAGGATATAGGTGTTCCTACTTGGACAGGACGTTCCGGAGCAGTGGGAGCCCCAAGGCCAAGTAAAAATACCTATAAAGCATCTCCTGTACCTAAATTTGGTTCTGGTAGTGTATCAGGTTTCAAAAGCCGTGATGCTACCGCCAAACCCTCGTCTGGCAGTCTATTGGCAAAAATGAGAGCACGCAGAGCCATGGAAGCAAACGATAACAGTCCAGCACCAGGTAAAACACGATGCGTTTATTCTATAAGAGCTTATATTTATGACATATAACAGACATACCATCACTGACAGTGCTTGATGATACGTCTCAAGAGGGCATGATTGTGAAGATACGAGACTTTTTATCGACGCACAATGGACGTGGTACATCACAAGAAATCATGAATAATCTACAACTCAATATCAATCAGGAACAAGTGGTGGTTTTCCGGAAAATGTTGCAAGCCATTGCTAAATTTGAAAAGGACCAAACCGGTAAAGGGGTCTGGATTCTTAAAGAAGACTTCTTTTAAGTTTTTCTTTTTCATGCGTTTTTGACGCTTTCCTAAATACCCCCCTTTATTTTTCTTCCTGAAAGGTAGAGTGTCATAGATAAGTGAAACAAATATGGTATTTTTTTTTTAATAAATTAAACAGAGAATGACCGTGTATTAGATCTTCTGTAATACATCCAATATGCTGTACCTTTTGTTTAAATAACTAACTCAGTATTAATTTTCAATATTATGGAACTGAATATTTGTATGATATGATGTATGTGTATACTTTAAATAAATTCTTTGGCTTTATAATTGATTATAAATAATCAAATACATCTATCGAAACTCTGTTGACAGTTCTTATACATACGACTCTACTTTTAAAGTGGCCACTATTAAGTAGGTAACCATCTATTTTTATTTGCAAATCGATTTGGCTGAGCTTTAATTCATGTGCTGCCAGGTACCACAAAACTTTCATCTGGCAGTTGCCAAGTAAAGTTGTGAGCTCGCAACTCGTTTTAATGACATCTTTTTAAAAAGGTACAGCAGATGTACTATCAAATAAAGCAAATCATATATTTAACGAAGGTACAATAGTAACAGTAAAATACCTCTTATTAATGCATAACGGACGTAACACATCAAAAGATATGATTCACTCGAAATCAGTAACACTGTTGCATGCCATAGCTATAATTTGAAAAGTCTCAGATCCGATAAAGGAGTTTGGATTCTTGCAGAAGAAGGCTTTTTCTTTTGTAGTTTATGCCATGCGTTTAAACTTCCGAATACACACTTAGTCCCATTTATTTTTGCTTTCTCAAAGGTAGACTTTTGTAATAAGAGCACTTTTTATTTATTTTATAATCGTGACTTCACTCAGATACGCCTTATTTTGATTTGCAGAGTTTTATTTATTTAGATTTCCTCTCTTTTCCCATCAAAAGAAAAATATACCTGTTTTATCGCGTAGTATAAAAATTATTTTTTTGTGAAAGACCCTATTTGTCTATTATTATTTTTTCTCAATACTTTTTTCAAATATCCTGATCGTTAGTCCAACTTATACAAGCAGCTAGATTACCACTACCACTACTACACAACAGTAAGTAGTTTATACATTTAAAGAAAAAGTACATGTTTACTCAGAAGCACTCCTCTTTTCTTTCCTTTTTTCGCAGAGAAACGAATGACAATTGATACGTTCGACCCTGAAGACGCTTTGCTGGATATTAGTCGCAAACTATCTAATGTCAGCATTCACAAGCTACCTACCAATGGCAGTGTTGAGAAAGAAGCGGTAAGAGTATTAAAATAACGGAGTTTTTGGGATGTTCAAGAACCGACTGCTTGAATAATGTTTTTTTATATAAATCAGTTACCTACAATCAAGTATCTGCTCTTTTCCTCAGACAGAGATCAAATCAAGCAAAGTATCCGATTGTTGCGTAGATACTTGACACAAGGTAACATTTGAATTTATTTAATCAGTAGCAAGAGACTAAAACAAGCAAGAAAAAGGACATAGTGATGAAAATAGCGTCAGTGATTTATTAGAGCTAGGTATTCTACCACGTATAAAGGAACTGATGGAAGCTGATTTTGGGAACGTGATAAAGGTGAACTATTTTTCCCCTGATTCTATTAAAAAAAAGACTCCTTTAATTTAACCTTTTTATATATGCGGCTGTAGTTTGAAGCTGCTTGGATTGTCACCAATGTTGCTGTAAGTAAATAAAAAAAAAAAGGTACAAGATCCAGAAAAAAAAATTAACTCTTGTGGATAGGCTGGTACTACAGAACAGACACAAGCTATAATTAAGGAAGGCTTTGTCGATCTATTACTTCAATGCATGAGCGACAAGAAATCTAAGTTAGATTTAAAGGCACAAGCTGCTTGGGCTCTCGGAAACGTTGCTGGAGAATCTGCTTCTTATCGCGAAGAACTGATGTCTAAAGGGTTCACACATTCCATAGTCAATGTGCTTAACTCTGTCTATGATGAGATTTATGATGAGGCAGTTGACAATCAACAATACAATGGTAAAATGGTCTTTTCTGGTGAAGAATTTTATTCAAATATCGAAGCACTGTTATGGGCCTTGTCCAATATGTGTCGTGGTGGTTTCCGCGTTGCTGAATTCTACCCAAGCGTAAGTTTTTTTATATATATATATATCCAACGTTAATTACGCCCGACTTTTTAACTTTGCTTCTTTTTGCAGTATTTACCAATGTTCGATGTGTTCTCAAAATATATTGTGTTTAACTTTCCCAAAATAGAAATTGAAGTATGGTAAGTGATTTTTTGATAATGATTTTACCAAAGGGGACTTCATTGATCTTTGTTTATTTATTTATTTTCTAGCTGGGGTTTGTCGCGTATCTTGTATAATATGCATGATGTGTTGGAATTCCATAACGCCATGGTTTTGACCGATGATTTATGCGAGAGACTAACTGAACTTTTACGTATCGGTACTCCCAAAGTAGTTGTTCCAGCTATTCGATCTATTGTGAACATCACTTCCGGTCCCAACAGCAGTGTTGCTGGACTATTACGTACACAATTGTTGGAAAGTATTACTCGACTCTTAGACCCCATTGCTCCTAATGAAATCCGTAAAGATGCATACTTGGTTGTGTCTAATTTGGCAGCTGGAAACGATGAGATGATTAAATATGTTGTGGATCATAAGGTCGTGATGGGAAATGTTGTGGCCCATATCACTGTGCCTGGACATACCTACAACTCAGATTCTAATGAATGGACGCCCAATTTGTGCAATGCCTATTATTATAGAGAAGATGAATGGAAAGTTACAAAAGAAGCCTTATGGATTATTTGTAATATCATTTCTCTTGGTAGCGATTCTGCGGTCTGGTAATAACGAGATGTTTCTCTCAATGGTAATATAACTATTGATTTATTTTAATTTTATAAATGTAGGGATTTACTCCATGAGAATTCAAGTTTACCACGCACATTATCAGCTGTATTGGCTTACCCGGAACTGCCGCTGGAGATATGCGAAAAGACAGTTGAATCACTTATCAGTTTAATTCAAAGGTCTAATAAGTGGATCGATGTACGCTTTCCCAATGGAAAGAACCCATTTGTTCGAATCATCATTGACCAGGATGTTCATGAGGCACTTCCCCATATCGAAGAAATGCATCCCAGAAACACGAATTTGCATGATATGTGTCTTAAATTAGACAAACTGTTACTTGCATCGGAAGAAGATGTAATCAAAACTGTCAACATATCCGATATTGCTGGTATGGCTAGTGCTTTTGGTTTACCTACCATTGTTGAAATTAAATCCAAAAGCAACAAAAGAAGAGTCATTCGTGGTCGTGAAGATGGTGATATTAGACTAATCGAAAATGCAGTCGGCAATTTGTGTATTTGAGAAATAAATTAAGTTTTTTAAGCCACAGCATTCATTGAAGGTTTTCTTTTTTTTTTACACCCCCTTCTACTCCCTTATTTCCCTTACATTCATTTGGCATGTCAAAACCTGTCTCTTCTCTATTGCAACGTCTGTCTTCAACCTACAAAACAAGAAGATTCCCTTGGAAGAAACATGCTCTCATCGGTTACGATTTAAACGGCAACGAATATTGGGACTGCCCCAACCCTTTAGGTAAACACAACGCGCTTTATCTTTACGACTTGTACATTGACACTAAAAATGAATAGGTGGAAGAATGAAGCGTTGGGTTCAAATGCACGATAAAGACGATAATAACGATTTAACTCGATTTTCACAAGACTCAGTGCCAGGTAAGAATTAAACCCCCGTAAAAGTCCTCTCTCTTACGCATGGAGACCAGTTCAATGGCAAGCTTGGTTACGACATAATAGAAACGTGGCGCCAACCATTCAAGATCTGCTGCAAGATGAAAGAAGAATTGCCATTGTTCAAGGTAGAGCCAAGGCATTAGACGAAAATTGGGCAAAGGTAATAAAATTGAAGAGCACGCATATTTTAAAGAATTTTGGGAATTGATTTTGCTTTGTCATCAGCGTAAATTGGAATTACAAGAGGCTCAAGAAGCAGAGCAAATGGAAGTCAATCGATTGGCCTCTATCGAGAGTGGTAAGATATAAAGTTAGAGAAGAGTGAGTTTTGGTGTACTGATTTATATACATAGCTGAGGAACAAAAGGCTCAATCAACACAGCCTAAGGGTCACGGCGAAACATTTACACCGGGTGAATGGGCTCCCAGTAGATCAAAGAGATGATAAAGCCCAACAAGTGTATATCTTTATTGTGTAATAAATCGTGAGAAATATATAATCGCAAGTGTTGCATGAACTGATTAGTTGTTTCTTATAAAAGGCCACCTGTTCAAAAAAAAAAGTCTATTTCTTCCCTCTTTAACCCTTAGAGCATTCCCAACCGTGGATTAGATTAATGGATTATATCAGATCTAATACAATTTTTAATTAAAAGCATTCCCAACCGTGCATTAATTTTTTATTAGATTTAATTATTTTTCTACTTTTCATTACATATTGCTTAAATCTGAACAATAAATAATCCAAAAAAAAAAAATCATTATTTTTCTTTCCACACATAAATTTTTCAAATTTTACAAGTAAAAATGCCAACTGATCCTCTCAAGCGCAAGTCATCACCAAACTGGACTACCAAAGAAGATATGCAGCTGTGTCTATCATGGATTGCCATATCTAAAGATGGAATCGTTGGAAATGGACAAAAAATGGCCACCCTTTGGGCTGGTATCAGGAACAACTTTCGTGAGAACTTTGCAACGAATCAAGCCGCTGTATTGGTAGATCGTGACGACGATAGCTTTTATACCAGATGGAAAACCATCCAAAAACTGGTTTTAAAGTACACTTCTTTCTTTGACCAGGTTCAAAACGGTCCTTCTCCCAGTGGCTCTGGGCCCAACGAAATGGTAAGTAATATTTATTATGATTGTTTATAATGTAAATTTATCGATTACTTACCAACCAATCAATCAAAATAGATTGACAGAGCAGACGTGCTCTTCGAAAAAGACGTTGGTAAGCGATTTAATTTGCGGCACTGCTGGAAAATTCTTCGGGCAGAACCAAAGTTCAAGTCGATGCTTGAGGTTTCTGCCATCAAAGCCAAAGGAAAGCGAAAGGCAACAAATTCTTCAGCTGTGGAAGATGACGTTGACGAGGTCCGACCTATTGGTCGCAAGAAAGAGAAACGTTTGGCAAGCGGCGAAGGCTCAAAAGCCGCAAGTGAAAGTAGAAGTGCCAAGAACATCGAGCTTTTGCTTGAATGCAACAGGGAAAGGATAAGATTGTTACAGATGACAAGAGAAGACGAAATTATGAAAAAGGACATATACAGCGTAGATGATCTTGACTATCGTGAATTACTGATCGTACAGAAGAAGAGAATTTTGGCTCGGATGTGGGAAGAAGAACGTCGTCTTCAAAAGGAAAGTGAATCATCTTTGCTGAGAGAAGCCGAAAAAGACGAAGATGGGAGTAACGTGGAGGTACCAGAAGAAGTAAGCGAAGAAGTAAGAGAAGAAGTAGAAGTAGGGGGAGAAGAAGTTGGGGAAGAAGAAGAGGTAGACGAAGAGGTAGATTAAGAGTTACAAAATTCGGTATAAGATCTATAAAATAAAAATTAGTTTATATTTAAAGAAAGAAAATACATTTTGAAGTGGATTAAAAAATCGATTGAACTTTGGAAATAGCTACAACTATTGTCCAAGATCGAAGGAATGATTGTTCATCCATCGCTTCGCTGATTATTGATTGGTATAAATACTTAATACTTTTACCAGTGTTTTCAAAATTAGATAAAAGTTTCAACTTTGTTCTTTGTTTATTTTCTTTCATATATGTTTGTATGTATGTATTAAGTTTTTATTAATTTACGGCATATGTAACTACATGTTACCTTTCCTTTGCCATAAATGTTCAATTAAATCTTTTTGTAATTGGCTGTGGGTATGGGGATCTCTAATCGAGAAGTACTGTTCAACGAATTCATCAAATGTTAACTCCTCCCGAGATGATGAAGGTGTGGCAGAATGAGGAGTATAAATCAATTCAAGACCTTGCCCGCGTTCATTTTCCACTATTTTGTTGTGCAGAATGATGCAAGAGTTCATCACAGTTTCTATATCCCTCTTTTTAAACATCCGAGCTGGTCTTTGAACCATGGCGAATCTTGCTTGGAGAACACCAAACGCACGCTCTACATCTTTTCGTGTTGCCTCTTGCCCTGTTGCAAAATACTACGTTAAAGTCTTGTGTTAATATCAAAATAACCAAGTTTAGCTTCAGATAATATATGTGTACCTTCGATTTGGCTGTTTGCGGGTTAGGGATGGTTTTTACCAAAGTTGCGTACTTTGGGTAAATACCATCCGCCAGGTAATACCCCTTCGTGTAGGTATTGCCATTCACCTCAAACCTGACATCGGGGGTTACACCTTTTGCCAGGTCTGCAAACACAGGAGACCGATTGATGACATTAATGTCATTAAGTGACCCAGGGAGTCCGAAGAACGCATGCCAGATCCAGAGGTCATGTGAGGCTACGGCCTCCAGAATTACAGAGGGCCTCTTGCTCTTGCCGGTATACTGGCCATGTAAAGCTGTCGGGCAATTCTTCCACTCCCAGTGCATACAGTCAATTGATCCAAGCATGCCGGGGAATCCTCTCTCTTCT